GGGGGGGGACATAAAAAGTGAAGGAGGAAGGAAGAAGAAAATAAATAAACATAGACCGGTATGTGTAAGGACTTCTGCTTGTTGGATTTATATTCCCGGGTGAAATCATTACAGTCTTTGTCCATTATTTACCAATGAATCTTGCAAAACTTCTCCGGTGATCGCGTGCACTAATATCAAATATGGTGCCAGTAAATAGCTACCTGGCCACTCTGATGTCAGGTCATGTGTCCGTAGAATATTTCATTTTAACATTACAGTACATGCAGCCTGAAGAGTCATGTGGTCGTCACCAAGCTTCGCTTTTCACCTTACATGTGAACCGCTTGTGTTGCGTGATGCAGTGCTTTATTTAGTAGAAGGGTCCCCCAAGAGACCTGAGCGGCTTGGGCAATGCAGATCTCGAGTCCAATTATGGCAGTGTCGTGCGACCGGTTGACCTTCTTTTCACTGGCACGGGCATCCCGTTTCTGCCAGTTGAGGAAATCGAACCATAGGAACTAGATTTTATGCGCAGAAGTCACGGCATCATTGCTGTATTGAAACCAAGCGACTTTTAACAAGTGCAGCAGAATGTATCGGTATACGTTTGCTGAAATGCACAAGATTCCCCAGTCTGTTGCATGAATCCTTTATTGCAGTTCGATCCTACTAGTCCCTTTCCCACTGGGCAAGGTGTTCCCGGTATGAGATCATCTCGCTCCATTTGGCTGCAAACTCTCTCATGCCGCCTTGACCAGCCATGCTTGCATCTACCACGTCTTTGGGTAGTTTGTGGGCTGAATATGCTGGCGAGCTTAGATTGTAGGCAGAAGCGTGCTCCTTCTCAACGAGCCGGAGTTCAGGAACAATGTCTTCGTCGTCGTAGTCGTCGTCGTCGTCGTCGTCGTCGTCCTCATCTTCGGTCACTTCAGAGCCCGTTTGGAGACCAATGTCATCGTCATCTCCTGCTACTCCTATGATTGGGCCAGGGACTTGCCAATCGTTTAGTTCATCCCAGCCAAACAGGAGGCTGTCGGTGTGAGGAGCCCAGGCATTGATATCTATGAGCCGAACACGGCCCAGGGGCTCGTCCTCGCCCTCGGGGATATACACATCGAAAGCAAAGTTACCATCTGGGAATGTGTAGCGCAGTTTGTGATTGAAGAATTGGCTGATCCTTGCCACGATGGCGCCGCGCAAATCAGTGAGGAACTCATAATACTTGAGATCCCTCTGACAGATGCCAACTAGATTCCGATGCTTGACGTAGCAGCGGAATTCGAGAGCCGTGTGAGGGTTGAAGAAGGAGCGAAGGACGAGGACGGGCTTGAACAGTGCCGGCGACACAGCGCCCGGCAGGGGGGTACAGTCTTCAAATGCATGCTCCAAATCATACGTGATAAAGTTGGAGCTCTTCAAGAGCAGGTAGATATCGTCGGGCGTTGTGCATTTGATCGTGTTCTGGTGAGGCGACATCCATGCTGCGTCTTTAGGAGAGGTCCAGTTCAACTTGGGCGCAACCTCGCCGCCAAGCTCGGCGATGGTGTCCTTGATGGCTTGGTGTAGCTCAGGGAACCTCTTGTTTGGGGGTAGTGGCGGGGGCGCATCATCCTCATCGCTGTCCGAGTCCGAGTCTACTTCTTCGGGTTCAACCCGAGATACTGTCGTGGGCCCTTCCCACTCGACATTGTCGTCGTCGTCATCATCATCGCCATCCTGTTCGTCTGATAATGTAATGCCATCCTCTCGAATGTACTCCAGGAACTGTGGTGTGAGGGGAATAATCCTTGACTTGATGCAGTTTGCTCGATACCTATTGTTCACATGTGAGTCTCTTACTTTTACGTAAAGGTAGAGGGGTAGAGGGAATGCGAACTTTGGGAACCAGTGATCGTATGAACAGTGTAGAATGTGGTCCCTGGTTATCGGCGGGAAATGAAGCTCAGGTGCTGGACCCTTGGATGCGCCGCCGCCAGTGGCAGAATTTGTATTAGTGACAGTGGGCATCTTTTTTTTTTTGTTCTTTTCCTATTTTTGCTTCGATGGTACGTATCAGCCAGAATATGAAAGGAATGGAAGGGGCAGAGAAGACAAATCACTCAGCAACACGCTTGTTTGTTGTTGTTGACCATAGATGAGACTTATCCTCAGCGGAACCACTTGGACTTCTTAACGAGGAATCTTTGTATCAGAACATGGGCATCTGAATGAATAGAGTTGAAAGGTAGGAGTCATAGTCATCGCGGGGCAAATTTCGAGATGCGCAAACCTCTGACTCTGACTCAAGCCCCACCTAAATTGCCCCTCCATTAAGTGCTTTCTGTCAGACAACAAGTGTTGATGAAAAGGCGCTACAGGCGTTGCTGAAGCACCGGATCTTGGTACTAGCTAGGCCACAAGACCCTGTTGCATTACACATGTGCATATTTCAATGCCTGCTAATGTAATAGGTACCTACTACCTATGTATAGTGGTTTGAGTATCTTGCACGTACTGCACCATTTAATGTTACATACCTACAAACACTTGCCTACTGACAGTAGGTAACCTGAGAGTTCACGAACCAAACCCACCAACTCAGGTAACGACTCGATTGATACCTTTCCTGGTAATTCACAGACTTTGAATAACTGCTGCCCTGGCCTTTCTCTCTCTTCTTCTTAGTCCTCTTGTCGCACGGGCCTATCCGTTTCCATTTTCATCACCGTCATTGCCAGCCATCGGCGCCAACCCCTACAAATCATTATTCCTGCCGCCAACCATGTCGGACAATGTAGGCCTTTCAACGCCTCGTGGCTCTGGCACCTCTGGCTACGTCCAACGCAATCTAGCTCATATGAGACCTCGAGATCGCGCTGCTCCATATCCAAAGGATCTCGACTCCATGCGCCACAGACAGAGGCAACCGGACAAGGGCATTCTGGAACACGAGCGCAAACGTGAGGTGGAGGTCAAGGTCTTCGAGCTGCGGGATCGCCTCGAAGACGAGGGGTACGTACGCAATATATCTTGATTGGCTGACTGCCTCGAATTTCTCAGAGATGCATGAGCTGACACTGTAGCATCAGTGTCGACGAAGACGAGATCGACTCGCAATGCGATAAGCTTAGGAAAGAGCTTCTGGGAAAAATGGAGAGAGCCGGACGGGACCGGGACGTGGCCCCCAAGAAAGGACTCAAGATGCACCAGGTTCACGAACTGGCCGACGCCAAAATTAAAGAAAGCGAACGGCTGCGCAAGGCGCTGAAGATCAACAAAGATTACGAGGAGGGTAGTCATTGGAGGAGGCAGGAGGAGCGACTGAAGAAAGCCTCGGAGAGAGAAACCGAAAACGAGGGCGACGAAAAAGAAGAGCGGCGCCGGGATTGATTGTTTCCGTCCTCGTTCTCTATTTCTCCTATATTACCCAAACAACATGCTTTGCGGGCAAATGTTCACCATCAACGGTTCCGTGCGCCCGAAAACCCACTGGGAATGGTCGCGAAACCAGATCCAAGGGTCTCCTACCACCAGCCTTCCGTTCTGTACGAGGCTGGGTGCTTTGTGTGTGCGACTTTGCCCCTTGCTGCACTTTTTGGTGGGTTCTTCTTCTTTTCCTCTTGATTGATTTGAGAATTCGGCGTCTAGGATCGTAGTGGGCTGAACAGATATGGCCTGGCATTGCATCGCCCTCGTCACGATATGTTTATTCGAAACAAATTATATAACTTAAAAAGTTGTCAGAACAGTAATTCCCCCCCGCCCCTTCCCATGTCTTTTGGGTATCATTTGAGAAGTGGTCTGTTCAGTCCAGCTCTGTAATCTTGCCTAATTTGCTGCTAGAATCTCCGCCGCCTCGTGCGACGGAGCAATATCCTCGCGGCCATTACTCTTCCTCATGTGTTCTGCCTCGCGAGCCTTCTCTTCTGCTATCCTCTTCTTCTCGTGGTTTATATATGTGGCGTACCGTATTGTTCCCAATGTCATAACAGCCATAAACAGGATACCTAGCACGGATCGGCGAATCAACACCCAGCGCAGGCCTTCAATGTCGGATTTGGCATCGCTCGTTAGAATGACACTAATATCAAGGTTGACTTGTTGTATCTAGTGGGATTAGTCAGCGTTTGCGCCCATTGTAACCTCAAAAAAGTAAAAAGACTCACCGCGCCCTCCATTCGCCTCTGCTCCTCCCTTACTGCCATCTTTCGGTCGTTGAACATGCCTTTCACATCATCGCGAAGTGTCATGAGATCCTGGCTGAGCTTTTGGTTGAGAATATCGACTTCGTGTTGCAGAAGTGTCCGTTGCTGTCGAGACTCCTCATCCGCCTTTCTCTGATTATTGACCACTTCGGAACTCAATTCGGAGCAGGCAGCACGGAAAAGGTATGTTTCATTGTCCACGTCACTTTTACTAACCAATCCATCCTGAGCAATGTCGAGATTTTGTGCCAAAATACCCCTGACCGCTTTCATCATAGTGATGGACTGGTCCTTGGAATAACCACCAGCTTCGAGCTGCTTGACAAGCGTGTAGGTATCGAAATGATGCACGTATGGTGGTTTAGCGATATGTGGGTGCGAGGACTCCCCTGGTGGTGGCATGTGGAGGACGGCGTCCATGGGACCGCTTGACTGCATTGTCTCCTCAGCAGCCTTCTGCTGTGGTGTCGGTGAAGGGGTGCTAGGTTCTCCCTGGCTGGATGCGGCTTCTGCTTGGTCTTGGACCGCGTCAGGGTCGCTGGCGGGCTTGAGACCAGCTTCGGCAGCTACTTGACCCGAGGAAGCAGCATCTTTCTGTTTCTGTGCCTCGGCTTGGTTGGTCCTGACGTTATCTGGCTGAGGCAATATCACCCCCTCTGCCGTCAGAGGCTGAGGCTCAACAGCTTTGCCATGCCTCTTGAAAACAGCGTCCCTTGACCTCACAGAGCTGGAGAATGCGGCGGACCGGGGAGGTCTTTGATGAGCAAGAGTTTTGCGACGCGAGTGCTTGGTCGACTGCAGCACGGCAGACTCGCTTAGTCGAATGGACTTGAAGAGGTGGGGGTACAAGAAAGTCAAGCGAGCAGTCGTCATGGTCGATCGGCAGAACGAAAGGAGGTTTAAAAATCGGATTTGGTATCGTTGATTAGCTCGAACATAGCTAGCTCGGTTCAGAGATTTGGGTTTTGCTGTTGGGTTCTGGCTTTCCTTGTAGGGAGACTGAATGCGATAGATGGAGTTGGTGAGGGTGGTGATATACTCTGTAGACTTGCGTAAAGCTTGTGATAGCGGAAATGCAAAGAGCGGTTGAGCAATTGATCGGCTGGCCTCTGCAACGCACGTGGCCCTGAGCCTGCAGTACCTTCCTGGCACATTAGATTAGTGGGCAGAGTGCATAGGAGGGGAGCGGTCTCGCAGCTGACAGGCACTGGCACCAGGCTGACAAGCAGGCGTTGACTGAGACCATTTATTACCTACACAGTAGTACCGTAGGTACATTAGGTACTCTGTAGTATGTACGTACTGTCTGGGCTTTGCGTGTGGAGTCGAGATTTCAGATCTCTTTTCAGCCTCTTGGGCGGTTGGGCCCGGCACGAGCTGAGAGTGGAGTTTCCACCACATCAATTAAGCACTTAGCGCATCCCCCAGGCGCTTCCCTCGTCACCCAGCGCAACGCGACTCTGAACCCGCGTCAACAATGAGCTCACCTTGAACAGGATCCTGGCCGCACCACATCGAGACTAGGTACCTGCTTGGCTGACACCCAAAGCTCCACCCCCAACCTTCCCTCTAACTATCATGCCAGCGCATGTCCCTGGTGTCTTTCATCGACACCGATATTTTTTTCCCCTTCCCTTTTCTTTCTTCGGAGAAAGACCACTACTGGTCATTGAAAGAAAGTGCAGATTCAGAAGCATCTAGGGGATGTTGGCAACGTCCTCGCATTGCCTCTCTTGATAGACACGGCCTTCAACCACTCTCTTACTCTATCCGTCTTACACGACTCAGGCTATTCGGATACACCCACCTGCCCCACTCAGCCACCCAAGAGTATACACAAAGTAAGGTAGCTACCAGAACCTTAAAAAGCTGCATACCTACATCACCTCCCACAAACCTTGGATAGATACATTATCTAGCCATCTCGGAGATACAGGACAGCTCCAGCTTTGCGGTTTGAAGCTGCCGAATCTTTCGCTACCAACTCTGCATTCCCACGATCGGCCTCCCACCGCCCTTGCGCATCACTTGCGACGGCCCACCAGAACACCCCCATCTCTACCGCTGAGCGGCTACGATATAATACACCTCTGGTGGCGGTAGCGGTAGCAGCAGCAGCATTTTGCGCCCGCCGCCATGGCGCCGACCGATGCGCTGTCGGCGCCCGGAGCCGTGTCATACTCGTCAGACAACTTGGTAGTTGGAGACGGGACATGGGACTTCACCAAGAATGACTTCTTACTACCAAATCTCATGGGCTTGCCCTTTGAGACTATGCAGTACAATGGTGAGCCCCTCTTGAAACTCCGCCCATCTGTGCGCAACAGAGGTATACGATGGAACACAGCGACTAACGTAGCCAACAACTGTATGTAGGCATGGGCAATCGATTCTCGACTTTGGCACAATACCACCAGCTTATAACAGGCCACGGCGTCTTGGCCGCCATTGTCTTCTTACTTATCATCCCGGTAGCAGTCATGATGGCCAGGTTCCATCGAGGTGCACCCGGTAGTGCTGTCAAATACCACGCGTATCTACAGATCCTCGCCGTTGGCCTCACCACCGTCGTATTCATCTTGGGTTTCTTTGCGGTCGGCCCAAAGCGAAGTCTCACAAATCCACATCACGGCATTGGCGTAGCCATATACACCCTGATCCTGGTCCAAGCATTGGGCGGCCGTTTTATTCGGCGCATTACCAAGAGGTCGCTTCGTGTCATGATCCATCAGTGGACTGGCAGAGCCATTGCCCTCCTCGGCATAGCTCAAGTTCCTCTGGGGCTTACTCTGTACGGATCACCCAAATTCACCTTCATCCTATTCGCCATTTGGATGGCATTCCTACTCCTCGTCTATTTCGTCCTAAGCTGGCGTCGCGAGAAGCATCTGGACGATGTGTATATTCATGGTGGTCGATCCGCTCATGGAGGAACTGAAATCTCCGTCTCGAGTCGGCGGGAAGAGCATCGGGGCCGAGGTTGGTTGGGCCCGCTGGCTGCCGGAGCCGGTCTGGCAACACTTTGGAAGGGCCGGAAAAATGAGAAAGAGAGAGAACGGAGTCGCAGCCGTAGTCACAGCCGTAGCCGGTCCCGTGTACGCAACGGGAGCAGGCCACCTGAGGTAATCTCGTCCAGACGTGAGTCCCATATCTACTCGGAAAAGCCAGATCATTCAGAGTATACCGATGTACCCAAACGCAACGGCTTCATGGATAGATTTCTGGCCCTCGCAGGTCTTCTCGGAGCTGGTGCGTTTGCCAAGAGACAACTAGACAAGAGAGATGCGACTCGTCGCTACCATGATGAGGAATACTCGGCTGTGGCCACGGATACACCAAGCAGAAGGAGTAGACCAAATCGCTACGCCAGGTCCCGATACACGGAAAGCGACATCACCGATTCCCTGACAGATCTTGGGAGAGATGAACGAAGCAGGAGGCATAGCACGCATCTTCCTGGACCGGGCAATCGCATGGCTAATGACCCCCGTACTCATCGGCCGACAGATTCCAGAATCGACAGCTTCTTCAGCTCGGATTATTCATCTTATGTCAGCCCTTCACGCAGGGCAAAGGATGAACGAGAACAAATTGGGACTGGGAAGGGCATCTTGGCTGGCCTGGGACTGGGCTGGCTTGCGGCAAAAATGAAAGGCAAAAAGGGCAAGGGAGAAGTTGAAGAACAACGGAAATATGAGGAGGAGCGGCGTGGTGGCTATCATGGCTCTCGACTGACCGGAGATGGGTATGGATCGCCGAGAAGGGCGTCCTATCGCAGACAGTCACGGCCTGCAGGAACTATGACCACCATGACGGGCGACTCAGATTACTCTTCGGTTGAGCCACGTCCTACGGGAACCAGTTCCGCAGGGCCGCCCATGCCTCCGTTGGGACCTGCAGGCCACGGTCCGGTTCCGGTCAGACCGATTGCTGGGGAGTCAGCTACACGACACGACTCGATCATCGCCCCGGTAGAGATGCCCCCCATCCCGGATGATGCTCACGGACACGGTATACTCCACCGATCCGACTCGGGCAGCGAAAGCTACATGTCTGCAGGTGGTCGTCCCCAACGCCGCGGCTCTTCCCGTCGTAGACGCGCCGGCGAGTCGGCGGCAGCGGCAGCGGCAGCATCGGCCAGTGTCCTTGCTGCGGAGACAGAAGCAGATCGGCGCCGACGCGATCAGAGTCACTCTCGAGCTCCGAGCCAACCCGTGAGCGTCAAGGTCAAATACCATGATGATAGAGACCGGAACATCACGCTACGGCGTCTCACAGAGGAAGAAGCCGCGCGCGAGCAACGCCGCCGCCGCCGCCGCTCCAACTCGGCTAGCAGTCTCAGCGAATCCGACATTGGCGGGAGCACAGGTCGACGTCGTTATCGCCGAGACTCCAGCGCGAGAAGGACGGGTGATGAGCTAGGTGGAGAGCCTCTATCGCCCCCAGCGCCGGCATTTGCAGGAGGAAGAAGGCCGGCCAAGGACGCTGCATATTATGCGGGCCATGGCGCGGGCACATCGGCGGCACCCATGACTCCTATGCATGGCGCCCCAACCGTGTCTAGTATCGACACGCCTCCGGGGACTCATGACACCTTTAGCGCAATGAGCCCATCGCCAAGCGGAGCTGCTGGCACGGACATGGGTACTGCTTCAGCTGCAGATCGCCGCAGACGGCGGAGGCTGGAACGAAGGGATCAAAGACCTTCAGCAACCGTAGAATTCACTTAAGCGAGGACTCGCCCAGAGCAGTTAATGGCGACGGACACCGCCCTGTGGTGACGAGACGACCTTGGGAATTGAGACGTTCATTGGGCCGGAGTTTTTGGCGTTTCGAGAATCCGAGTCTGGAAACAAATGTTTGATGTCGATGAGAAGGGCCACTAGCGATTTCTATTTTGTTTTATTGTTCTTGAAATTGCATTATAAAGCATGTCAGCGAGAAATCAAACGACACATGACATACGACAAAAGACACTTTGAGGATGCTGGATAAAGTGATTTCCTGATAGAAATCCGTGGAGGTGTCTTTATTTTACATATCTAATGATCTATTGTATATACTATGAACACATGACTTCCAGACCAAATAATAATCAACACTCGGGCGTTTATGTTGTCGTTGTCATGTAAAGCTATAAAGACGGCATTGTCTATCCATAATGAGAGCATTGGTCTGCCGACTTGAAAGATGAAGTTATTTCTAACATCATGCTAGACAAAGGTAGTTTATATTTGTATATTGATGGCCACACTACTCGGTTTAAAAAAAAAAAAAAGGGAACAAAGAAGAAGAAGAAGAAATGCCGGGTTTGATTGGGTGTGCCATGTGGCTTATGGTTACTCAGGTTCCATAGTGAAGAAAAGACAGCAATCGCTCTTGTTGCCCACGAATTGATGCCCATGTTTTGTTTGTATTGATGGCCGAGCCGGGGTTCGATTATTCTAGGCACTTGACTCGCCTCATGTTGCATTCGTTGATGTTGAATGCGCGATGAATATTGCGTGTATTGGTTTCATCACCTTAATATCAGGATTAATCAAATGAAGGTCAACTACATAGGTAAGAGCAATTACCTTAGTGGCTTGAGGTAAGTTAGGTAGTCTTGATTGGCAAATACTCTGGCAGTCCCCGCCAACCATTGATGTTCATTAGGCTCTGCTGTGTACCTACCTAGCGTTCTGTGTACGGCCTTTTTTTTTTTTCTGGCCCTCTTTTGCTCCCTCTCCTCCTCCACGCAAACTTGGACATTGGACCCCAGCCAGCTAGTAGCTCCAGGTAGTCCAACCAACCACAATCCAGCCAGCCAAGCTAAAAAGTTAGGTGACTAGGTCACTAGGCTGACTTTTCGATACGTCGAGGCCGAGTCCACATTCGACTTTCTTTGGCCCATCCCGCATCACCACTCTTCCCACACCCACTGCACACTCAAACCTCACGCCCGAAGACATTTTTTTTTTCTTGTGTCTCTATCCTTCTCCTTCTCATCTCTCTTGGCTACTCCCCTCCAACCCGAGAAGTAACTATCCCCATTCGCCAATCACTCTTCGAAAACCTCAATTACTTCAATTCCCTTCCCAGGTCAATTGTAGCGCATCTACTTCTCGTCACGATTCTAACGCGACTGGCCATTACTGGGGCGTTTACTGGCGAAATTTGGTTCGGAAAAGGTAAGGAGCTCAACAACTGTGCAATCCCGATCTCGCATTCCTGCCAGACAGACCCTGCAGCTTCGTCGCGCAACGCAACAAACGCAAACGCACCCTCGCAAGCAAGCAAGCAAGCAAGCAGACTGTGCACTTGGGGGTAATGATCAATGGACCTACCTAATTTACCTGGTTGACAGATAGAATAACGTTAAGATGACCTTGGTTGCTAACGCTTTACTCTTTTCTCCAGCAACTGCCTTCGACTCCGTCAATCATCACCAGCATCTACCATTCACGATCGCAACTCTCACCCAGCGATCGTCACTCTCCCTCTCTCCATCCTTCACCTTCATCACACAATCATAAGCAGCCATGGCAAGCACAAACGGTACGCACGCTCTTGTCATCTTCTCTGTCTATCTATCTACCTCCCAGGGTATCTTGTCAAAAATCCTGCAGCAGCTACTAACGCGCATTCTTTCAGGTGCCTCTACCGCCCCCGAGCAATCGGGTGGTCCCCAGAGCAACCTTGGCAAGGATGAAGTCGCCTGGTTCTTCGTCGAGCAATACTACACCACACTCAGCAAGACACCTGAGAAGCTTCACGTATGTTCTAGGACCCCGCAGGTCGCGTCTGCGTGCCCGACGTACTAACCGCACCGTGTGCAGCTCTTCTACAGCAAGCGATCTCAATTTGTCTACGGCCAGGAAGCTGAGGTTGCCGATGTCTCTGTCGGCAGACAGGTATGTTGGGATGAATTCTCCAGCTTGCCCGAGTTGTCCATCAACTAATACCCTTTATCCAGAACATTCAAGAACGCATCAAGAGTCTCGACCTCTCGGACAGCTGCAGCAAGGTCCGCATCTCCAACGTCGACTCGCAGACTTCGTACGACAACATTGTTATTCAAGTCATTGGCGAGACCTCCAATAAGATTGGCGATGACCCCAAGAAATTCGTCCAGACTTTCGTCCTAGCCCAGCAGCCGTCAGGTTACTTTGTCTTGAACGATATCCTTCGTTATCTCGACGAGGATACTGAAGAGGACCAGGGTGAGGCCGCTGCCCAAGAGCCCGCCGTGGAGACTTCGGCTCCCGCCCCTGCCACTTCGGCTCCCACCACCGAGGAGGCACACGAAGAGCCTGTGGCTAAGGCTGAGTCTGTTGTTGAGGAAGCTGCCCCTGCCACAGCTGCTCTTGATGCTGGCGCTATTGACGACAGGCTCGAGCAAGTTGCTCGCAATGACACAGCCTCCGTCAACGGCGACGCTGCCACCGAGGCTCCCACTGAGCCAGCTGCCACTGTCGACGCAGAGGTCGCCGCTCCTGTCGAATCTACTACAGCAGCTGATCCTGAGGAGACTGCCCGTCAGATCGAAGAGGAGGACACCAAGGAGCCCGAGAAGCCTACTGACCCAAGCCCGACTCCTGTTGCTGCCCGTCAACCCCCGGCTCCTCAAGCTGCTGCTCCCGCTCAGCCGCCGAAGCCCATGACCTGGGCAAGCCGCGCTGCCGCTGCTGCCGGTCCCCCTCGACCCGTCGTCCCCCTTGCCAAGACAGCAACTCCCGCCGCTCCCGCTACCCAACAACGACCGGCTGCTCCAGCAGCCCCTGCGGCCTCGAAGCCTGCCGCTTCCACTACCCAGCCCACCGAGACACCCTCAGCAGCCGTCACTACTGCTAAGGATGAGTGGCAGACAGCTGGCAGTGACTCGAAACGACACAACCGCCCTCAGTCCATCTCGGGCCCCCAAGGAGATAAGGATGGCGTCTTGGGCTACGTGAAGTACGTCACAGAGAAGGTCCAGCAGGATGACTTGAAAACGACACTCAGCCAATATGGTGAGGTCACATATCTTGACATCAATCGCACCAAGGTACGTCATCTTCTCTACTAATGCTTTTTTTTGTTCTTCTTTTTGTTTTTTTTTTAATTCCCGGGACGACCATGATACTAACATTTCATGCAGAGCTGCGCCTTTGTTGAATTTGCAACCCCAGCCGGCTACCAGGCTGCTGTTGCTGCCAACCCCCATGTGGTGAACGGCGAGAACATCACCGTTGAGCCCCGCCGACCCAAGGCTCAGGCTTACGGTGGTGGCAACTTTGGTGCTGGACGAGGAAACGTTGCCAACCGAGGTGGGCGAGGTGGTTTTGATGGAGGCCGATCCGGAGGCCAGGGCGGCAGAGGCAACTTTGGACAGAACCGCGGACGAGGTGGCGTCCGCGGCCGCGGCGGTGCACAGGCTTCAGCCTAAATGAATTCGACGCGCGACGGTTCCGTTACGAGCCCGACAGAAACATAAGAGCAGGTCATCGTGAAGCAGAAGTCGCAGTCGCAGTCGCAGTCGCAGTCGCAGTCACAGTCGCTGCTGTTGTTGTTGTTCTTCTTCTTCTCGTCCCATGGGCGTAGAAACCCTGATTGCTTCAGCGCTGGAATGCTACCTTGATACTTGAGTTGTCAGACTCTTTGCGCTTTGGCTCTGACGCTCTTCACTTCCGTCCGTTCCTTCTCACCTCGTGGTAGTCTTTTTTCTACATTCTCTTGGGTGCCTCGTTTCTGGCCTTTAGGCGTCTTCTTTCCACCTCCCTTCCCCTTCTTTCTCATTTTGCAAGTTTTCTGTTTTCCCATCCAGGTCAGTGTGGCAGACAGTGTCCATGATCATCACACTTTGTGCAAATATGCATTGCGAGGGTCATTTTCTTGCTAGAAGCTAGCATGATGGGGGATTTGTACATTGCTCGGCGGCTGGGAAAAGTCGATACCTAGGGATCATTTCTTTTTCTCTCTTTTTTTTTTTTCTTGCATGGTTGGAGCGTTATGGTGAAACGTGGTCAAAAGAACTGGACGATCGATAATGTACAATACTGGAAAAGTCTTTCAAGATCCGGCTTGTATCAGTGTAATGCAATCAACGAATTTGACGACAATCTCCCAAGCTAAGCTTTGGCACATTGATCGATGAAGTTCATCGAGGCGTGCGTATACCATAGGCCACTCGAGACGTGATCTAGTCATCATGGCCATTGTTTGCTATACAACCTACGGCCTCGTTGGACAGCTAGCATCTGCTCCAGTAATGTTCATGTCTCCCTTCTGTGGCTGATGTACTACTAGGAGAACGTAGGTGTCCACCCCGATCGCTATAATGAGTACAAGAGGTTGGAACATCTATCACCTTGCAGTACGCTGGAGTGGAGTAGCTTATAGGGTGAGGTTTCTGGTCAGTCGCACCTTGATGTGTAATAAACGTGGAAAATCAAAGGCCCTATCGCAGGTTGCCAATCATTACTCGAAAGCAAGGCGAGAAAGAATCTTGAGTACCTTGAGGAGGTACACGGTCTCGCTTATAATGTAACCTTCCGCAGTGAATTTCCATTACGAAATGAGAGTTCATTTATCCATTAATCCAATAAGAGTGCGATTGGGCGGGCCAAAATACAAGGCTCAAACAGAAGGAGGGAGAACAAACCCCCCTCCCTGGGCTATGATCGACTTCCAACATACATCATTGCCAGGTACATTGGCTGCCTTGTTACTTGACATACAGCATTCTATTATCCGTCCCAAGCAGTTTGTCAATGTCATATTCGAAAATGTAAAAATCTATACAAGCATGTACATACCTACTACTACTACTACTACTACTACTACTACTCACCCACTCACGACCTATTACCTGCTGAAAATTACTGCGCGCAGTAGCAGCAGTATTTTACCTACTACCCACAACCCGTACACTACCATGCCTAGAGGTATCCAATATATTTCCCCTCTCGCCGGATGCGTAGCCGGCTGCAAGTAGTTGGTTCAGCGGACGTCCTCTGCGGCGCTGCATTGCATATTGATTTGACTACGCTACCACCTACCTGGCCGGGAATAGTGGGATTCGGGGGCGGTCATTGATGTAGGTCTCGGCAAACATGTCCGTTGCTCACGAACAGTCGTCCATTCAATTAATCCTTCCATTCAATCCATTCATCGCCCGCCCCCATAACCAGATGCCCGGCATGAACAAAGAATCCGCTTTTTACTTTGGGGAGGGGGGCCGGCGATGGTTCAAGGTGTAGCCAGGCTTGCAGAGAGCAGGTAATGCAGTAGACAGGACCTAGGTACTGCAATGTACAATGGGCGGGCGATGTCGTGAGTGGATTGTATTGTTTTCGTATGAGGTACATGGATTTGCATCAGCTGTCACCCCTCGACTGCGACGCTTCGGCTGGCTTGGATCTTTCCAGGATTGGGGGAGGGAGGGGGGGGGGGGGGGGGGGGGGGGATTTGGAGCTGTTGATGGGCTCCGTCCGGGGTTGTCGATCTTTAGCAGGTCATCCATCATCGGCAAGGTCGTTGTCCTGCTTATGGGGATGGGGGGTGAGAGGGTTGAAGGGGGTCGTCCGTTCGCAGGACCTTGTCTGCCCTAGAACAATCATCGAAGGTTCGGGCTTCCAATACGATCGATGCGGCTTCCATTGCATAATTTTTCTTTCGGCAAATATCTTAAACCCGCGACGCATTTGCGCCGCCGCCGCCGCCCTTGCCCCTTGTTTATACGTACATGCTATGTACATACATGGCTACCAACCTTACACCTACGAATGTAGGTTACATGGAGAATGGATGGATGGATGATGGATGGATGGATGGATGGATGGGGACCGTCGGTACTGAGAAGCACCAGTAGCAACAGCAGCAACAGACAGACAGCCTTGGAAAGGTTAGCCGCGTCTCCTCCTCCCCCCGGCTTCCCGTTGTCAGACTGGCTTCCACTCTACTCTCTTTCCATCCATTATTCTCGTGGCTCTCCTTCATCTGTCCGCGCCTCGATCTCTTGGTTTTCTCGCGGCGTCCGATCAGTGTCACCCCTTTTGCATCTTCATCCTTCCCCTCCGATCTGGTCTCCCACCCCCAAGGTCTACGACCTCCAGTTTCCCTTACCCATAGTAATCACTATACACACTCATTTGGTGATCCAGTTGCACCATGAGGATTGGTCGGGCTTGATGCAGTCAGAGTTCTGCTCTTTCTCACTCTGTCTCTCACTACTACAAACACCACTACTCACACACACGCACATATATATATATATATATATATATATATACACATTTTCTCTCTCCCTTCCTCAGTGTGTCCTTCTCTCTTGTAATCTCTGTGGCACGACCTTGCCTGCCGACCTATCTTGTCTTGGCCAGACACTAGGAGGTGTGTGTGGTGGCAGTTCTCAGCGGTACTCGACCCTGGGCAGAGGGTTTATTAGACAGACGGCCAAGACTCTGCCACCTTTGCTGAGACTCGGACTCCGTGTCTCTATGGCTCCTGCAGCCGCGTTGGAGGGTCATGATGTCTCGACTCCGCGGCTGTCGGCGGCATCGCCTCTGCGGCGCCGCGTGTCGATGGAGGAGGACTTCTTTTACCACGAGGTGATGACGGCGCCTGCGCACCACCACCACCAACACCGGCCATCTTCCCCTCCAGCGTACACACTGCCACGCTTCGGATATGACAAAAAGGGCGAGCCTGTGGTCATGGCCGAGGCCGAACCCCTCCCGCAGTACACGTGCGACGTGCAGATCGAGGGGGTTTTCAACATGAAGATGGAAATTATAGACACGATCAAGCGTGCACCAGCCCGGAATTGGCGCGCCATGTTTGTCAAGCTGGAGGGAACCAAACTGAGCATACATTCTATCAAAAAGGACTGGGGCCTGGGTAGGTCCAAAAGGCATGGCGCCCAAGTCTTTGCAGACAATCCACCGTGGGTTCAAAAGGGCACGCTCGAGAAGACCTATACACTATTACATGCCGACGTTGGTATAGCCGCAGACTATGAAAAGTATGTCCAGTCCAGTCCAGTCCAATCCTTTTCTCCCTTCTTCGTGGATTCTGACATGTCTTGCGCGTTTAGGCGGAGATATGTCATCCGGGTTCGAGCAGAAACAGACCAGTTCTTGCTCTCATGCATAGAACTCGAGACCTTTGTTCGATGGCTGGATGCCATGTTTGCAGCCATCAATATCTCACCAACCATCGACGAGCGGGACTTCCCCCGGGACCAAAGCATACCGCGCCGGGCCCGTCTGCAATACTTCCGGGCCGGTGCACATCTCACGCGGCAGAACAGCAGAGCCTCGGACGCGTCCAGGCCAGCACCCGTCATCCACCATTCGGCCGTCACCCCAAGGATACCCGTACGGCAGACCAGCGAGGTGGGACCGAGCAACAGCAATCCCGACCGGCAGACACATGCCACCGCCATGGCTTCCCCAGAGGCTGCACCCTTGTCACCCATCAGAGAATCATCGACGACCATGGGCGCAGTAGGACCTATAGGAGCCCCTCTTCATACGCGTCTGGCAGCAGCACAAAATGCTCAGCCATCTACCGATGACCGTCCGGGGCAGTTGCCCGAACCGTTCCACCACGGGCGTCTGTCGACAACCTCCTACCCCAACGAATCTATCCATCCGGAGACGGGCAAGTGGCGTCCGAGACATGAGTGGACGAGCGCACACGACATGGTCTATGCAAAGCTCTGCTACGCCGTCCTTTTGTTCCGGAGTCCACGCAAGTCCAACTATGTAATCGCCAAGGGGAAAAAATGGTTCGTGGACTGGACGACGGGCAGGATGATTCGGGTCTTGCCTCCGGGCTATTTCGAGCATGAGGTCATGGGGCCGTGGCAAGTATGGAGTAGCGAGAATAGGAGGATTTAATCATGGTGTCGAATGTGCCACGAGTTTTTGATAGTTGTTCTGCCCGACCGATGAGGTTTTCAATCTGCAGCAAATGTTGTCATGGGCGACAATGGCATCCAAGGTCATGGGAGTCTTTGCTTCCTTTTTCTTCTTCTTTTCTTCTTCTTTTCTTCTTCTGGTCGGCCTGCATATTCGGAAGCATTGAAAACATACATCTGGCTGCATAGGTATTTGTTTGGCATCAAAAGGTTGGGAAAGCCTCAAAGCTTGCGTGATAAAATATATATCCTCCTTGCTATAGTATTCGAGTAGAATGGAGCAGGGAAGAAACATTTGCATGAACCTTTAGTGTCCAATATCCCTTTGCTTCCGTGCACAACCATTACCAGATTTATCCCCCTTTCCAATTTATCCAGAGTAAAGCCCGAAAGCTGGACTGTATGATATTGTCATAGAATCTTGAGCCTGGACACCTTTGCTGGCATCGCCGCCCCGAGCTCGGGCTTCTCGTACATTGAAAGGGAGCACATGTACCTCCACTGGGCCGCTATCTGGCTGACTGGCATTGCCTCATTCATCTTGTAACGAGACTCCATATACCCCGTTTGGTGGAGGGGAGATGTGGCCTCCATATTGTGTCTCTTGAAATCAAAGCCAGTCCTGAACCAGCTCAGCGAGGTAATACGCCCTCGTGTGGAGAACCGCGTTGTCAGACCATTCTACTGTACCTGCGAGTGACGAAGGCTCTCGTCCCATTCGCCTCAGATCTGTTGACTCGAAATGCTTCAAGTCGACTTAGATCATTTGAAATCTTTAAAATGGCAAGCCATGACCACACGAAAGCAGCTGATCGCCTCCTACAGCACACAGGGCAGTCTGGTATCGCTTCCCCGATGTCGAAGAACTGGGCTAGAACTAGCTGAATGAGCTGCATCTGTTATGGGCTGATGTTGAGCATTCTGTTTGAGCAGACAGTGTGCGTAATATTGCCCTCACCTGATGACTTACTTTCTCTGTTTGTTTTCTTCCTTTTTTTTTTTTTTTTTTGGGCACCCATGTCGCTTCGAATCAAGGGCCAGACAGTTCGACTTCGGCGCTTCTCGTCTCCCTTGCGAGCTCATCGACGACTCCGTCCATGGACTGGTTTGCACCATCAATGTCCGCGAACAGCTTTTCTAGCAGCAATAGCAGTGATTCTAGCTCCGATCGCTGCTTCTGTATTTCCCCAAATAGTTTGGCATTGTGCGCCTGCGTTGTCTGCAGCTTCGCGTTGAGCTGTGACTGCTGCTGCGCAAGGTGAGGGGCCAAGTGGGCGGCAAGTATAGTGTTGGCCGGCAATAGATGTGGCCTATCATGTCGCAGCAATCAACAGTTAGCAGGGCAATACGATTCCCTCCCCCCCTCTCCAGATTGCATAGAACAAATGGGCGAGAACTGACGGTACTGGCACGTCCGCGGAGTCCATGGCACCAGCCTCTTCCCTCCTCCTCTCCGCCTGGCTGACAAGGCTTTCGAGCTCATTCAGCTTGGCGACCACGTTGCGGCTCTGGACAATGGTCGCAAACTCCTTTCGGCACAGCACGCCTAGGCGGTCGACCATCTGCTTCTGCACGCCCTTGAGATTGGCGGGAGCTTGGGCGGCAATGGTGGGGAAGCAGGAGGCGAAGTTGTCCCAGCTGATCTTGCCGAGGGTATGTGTCAGGCTGTCGTCGAGGACTTTCTGAAACCGTGCTGCGCGAGGGCCCGGCGCAACAGCCGTATGCTTCGAGGGGAGTGGAGGAGAGGCCGGGGCGGCGGCTGTAGTGGCAACATTATCGTCGGCCACGGTTGGAATCTGAGCGGTGGATGGCTCAGAGTCAGACATGGTAGAAGAAGGTATATCTCCAGCGCCTTTGCAGAAATCAGAAAATTACATCGAGGTTGTGGCGGAAGGGAAAAATGAGCGCAGAGGTTGATGAGTGCGAAGATGCCGCAAGACATTTGAAACACGTACGGAGAGACGCGTCGCACAAGTGAGCGACCGTGTTTAGGTGTTTTATTAGAGTGCTTATCGGCCGCACCCTCAGGGTACATCATTAGGTATGTACTAGGTAGGTAATTAAGGTATTGAACCTGGGTACTGTAGTTAAGTCAATGCGTGGGGTTCTTTTGAAGGTACGTTATCACCGATAAGCTATGCGAATCGCCTTCCTAACCCCCCGATGTGCACTAGGCACCTCTAAGACTACATGCCTGTATTTACTTTTATCTGCGCATAGCTATGTATACATATATTAAGTAGAATTAAAACTCGATATGAACAATTTTACCCCCCCCTCCCCCCAAAGTTATGCTGAACAATCTCAATAATCTCCGGACAAAGTCAACGATGAAATAGCATCCTCCAGTCTTGCTGCACTTCACCAGGCAACTCTACTTTCGTAAAGGGCATTCGAGTAAACAATGAACATCTGAAAACGTAATCTACAAACTGCCCACCCGAGAATGAACCATGGAACTGCTCGTGTTCGTTCACACTGTTGAGTACAATCCATGCTGCATCTTCCATAATCAATGCTCACCAATACAAAGACCATTTCCACTCTATATACAGGTCAAGACGCGTCCGTTCTTCGCTCATATATAATCATACATCAATTCCTGCTGTTACTCTTTCCTTACCAAGCTGTCATCAACATTGCTCTTGTAAGCCTTGGCGGGCGGCTCTCGGGCCCATGTTTCGGCCAGCGCCAGCTTGGCATCGTCCTCTGGGTACCCTTGGCTGATTCTGAGCTTTTCGATTTCATCCCTAACACGCCTAGCGACTTCTGTTCGGAGCTCGATGGCTTCGCGGCCGTACTTGAGCTCATCAGTAAGTTCCCCCATGGCCAGTGGCTTGCCGCCTTTCGTCTCTCTTTGAACAAGTTCCTGCCATCTCCGGCGCAGGTCACCAAAAGTGCGCTCCGTATCAACGAGCTCTCCAAAGGCTATACGGAATGTCTTGTTGATTCGTGGTAGAAATCGAGGGAACGTCCTGTCCTCGGACATCATATGCTGCGTTCCATCGATGAACATGGGCAAAACGTCGGGCATGGGCTCTGATTCGAGGATCAGGCGAGACATGCCCCATTTGAAGTATCGAAGTGAGAGCGCCGAGTGCTGGTGAATGCAGCCTTCGGGGAAAACGTGAACCCACGCCAATCGGTTCTGCGCATAGGCTGAGGGAGCGACAAATGAGTCCGAGCCAGTGGTGGTAAAGGTGAGGCCGCCTGTTGTGAACGGATCTGATATGTCGGGGAACGACGAGCTTAACGACGGGACAGCAGAGCCCGGCTGGCTACCAGGGAACGGCTGGGCAGAAAGTAGGCGAATCGCCTGCGGCATCGTGGACTGGAACGCGCCTCCATGGGGCGAGTATAAGAGACGATGAGTCGGCAGGACTTGGCCAAGACTGAAGAAGGTGGCTAAGGCTCTAAGGGGACGGTGAGCATTTGTGACAAGCACGTGCATGACCTGGATAGGATTGCTGACTTGTTCTTGAAGCATATGTCGTGAGCACCCAAGCCCCATCTCAAGTTGGGAGGGTTGAAAAGATAACGTGCTGGAAGCACACCCCATAAGACGGGGTCATCTATTCTGAGTTCATGGTATGAGTCGTCGGAGGGCCCATATAAATCCAAGGATGGAATTTTTTCCGACTTACACACTGACGTGGTTGCAAACTGGCGTAACATGTTAGTTCATGCCTGCTTCTGGACGGATGCGGTCAGGGGCGGAAAAGAGAAAGAGAGAGGGGTTGTACCCGTGAGAAGACCTTTTTGCCTCTTGTCCATATCCTCTCTGTCGTCTAGGATCTTCAAAAACCTTTGCAGGCCGGTAGTCTCAACCTTGTTGAACCCATAGAGAAACCCACGAGAGACCATGCCGGTGAGGCCTGTAATCATGGCAGACGACGCGCGCCATGGTAGGCTGGGGCGATCATAAGGCACCGCGGTGATTGGACCTGACGCTGAGGGCTTGTCGTCGTTCGTCATGGTGGTCGTGGTTGTTGCTGTTGTTAATGTGCTCATTGATGAGAGAGCAACGGCGCGCTTGCCAACTGGGGGAGTGAATATGGCTGAAAGGTTGGGAAAGGAAAACTACGAGGCACGAAAATTAAGAAGTCAGGACATAATCGAATCAGCAAATGCTTGCTGTTGTTCACGATGGCGAAGTAAAAAAGGGAACGTGGAAATAAAAATAAAAGAATGAACAATATGCGGCTCCGGTCACTCACGATTCAAGCGACGCGTAGAGAGCATTACTGTGGTAGACGGCAATCAACTCTACAAAGAGGAATTCAACTTTTTTTTTTTTCTGGGTCCTCTCTGACACGCTCCCGTCATTCCACTATGTATCATCAGCTTGGGGATTGGCCTAAAGACACCTACCTACATTAAGGTAGTTCAGTTGAGTTATTAGTGGGCATTTCGTGGCTTTTCTGCGCTATGTAGTGTAGTGTAGGCGTCCTGCCGCCGTCCCAAAGTTGGGGAAGCTCCAGGGTGCAAGAAGGTCACCCCAGAAACTACAGATCCATCTGCCAGTGCTGCGCCAACCAACACTCCATGCCGACCGACCGACCCACGCGCGCTTCCTTGCACTTACTATGTACTCATTGAGCTCAAGTAGGTTTCGGTACCCAAAAAAGCTTTACTTTTTTTTTTTCTTGCTTTCCCCCCCCCCTCTCCACAGGTACCTAGCTGCTGCTGCTGCTGGTGCTACCTGTGCACCTCAACAACCTACACGTAGGTCATGTACCTACCAAAACATTGGATTTGCATACTGCCTCATACCTCTACACTCCCGCATCGCGACGGACCCAATCGACTCTGGGAGTGACCGCAAGTACATAACACTACTACTTCGTCATTGACACGCCATCATGTCGCATAGCAAACGTAACACGTCGCGGGCGGTTTTCACCTCCCATGAGCGCGAACAAGCCAAAAAGGCATGGGGCGCATCGTCGGCACGTCTAAGTCGCGACTCGATGCTGCCCTTCTCTGCCTGCCGGCTTTGCCTCGAGACCGCCGAGGAACCTGTCGCCTGCGTACACGGGGATGTCTTTTGCAGAGAGTGCGCTCTGTCAAATATTCTCGCCCAGAAGAAGGAGATCAAGAGACTGGACAAGGTCCGGGAGCAGGAAGCCAGAGAGAAGGAAGAAGCAGAACAGAGGAGGGACGCCGAGGCCAGGGAAAGAGAAGTCAGCGACTTTGAAAGGACTTTGAGCGGCGTCGGCTCTTCTGTCGCTCACAGCCACGGAACAGCCGCCGTCTCGAGCAAATCCCCAGACGACACACCTCCTAAAAATGGCGCCGCACGTCCTGGCAAGAGGAAATTCGAGATGAACGATGAAGAGTTGCAGCGTATAGCAGCACAGCAGAGAGCAAAAGCGCGGCAGGCCCTCGACCACGAGAAGGCAGCTATGCCAAAGCTGCCGTCGTTTTGGACCCCCTCGATTACCCCATCATCCAACACAACCACTGCGCTGCATGATGTAGTCAAGAAGGCAAAGACTGCTCCTACCTGCCCAGCCTCGCAAGAAGGCCAACCGCATGCCTATTCCTTGGCCACTCTGGTCACAGTTCACTTCACCGAGGAGATAGACGAGAAGACGAAGAAGAAGCAGCGGCTCTGTCCATCTTGCAAGAAGGTCCTGAGCAACGCCTCAAAGGCCATGCTCGCCAAACCGTGCGGTCATGTCATGTGTCTCAACTGCGTTGACAAGTTCATGCGGCCATCCAAACATGGCGACCCCCACGCCGACGATGTCGACTTCACTGGCATGAGATGTTATGTTTGCGAAGCCAATCTTATCGACAGTTCGGCTCAAGAAAAATCCAAAAAGAAGGACAAGGAAAGGATTCGACCCGGTCTCGTGGAGCTGCGCAGCGAGGGAACAGGCTTCTCCGCTGGTGGTTCGAACCAAGTCCAAAAAGTCGGAGTCGCATTCCAATGCTAAGTGAGAAGGTCACAAAGCGGGTGAACAGGTGGGTATGGATCTTGCCACTGTAGTCTACCTGAACGTGTTTGGCGTTGCTTGCAGAAGCGAGTGAGTGAGTGAGTGAGTGAGTGACCGATCTCGGGAAGAAGTGTCTACTAGAAGGCCACTACAACGCTGCGTACCAAGCCGGTATGCTCCGTTCGATTCATTGTCATATCGCAGAGTCGAGCGCATGCCACACAGGCTCGCCTCTTGGACAATACCATCAGAGCAGCCCACTAGAATGGCGCCCGTATTTCTTGGCCTTTTCGGTTATAATGATCCCTTATTTTGATGTCTTGGCTGGTCTTGTCTGTTGCAAAGGCAGATGGCAGTGTGCTGCTGCTCAGCAATCCAATAATGCAGTTATGGGGTCCATCCAATCAAGTTCACAACCATGACATTAATGTCTTACTGCGTAGGTCATTTACTCCTAGATAGGAGGCATCGTCCCTGCACTGAAAATCAAATCTCCCCACGCCTACGCGAACCTATCGAGGGAATGCTATCGAAATAGCCATAATGAATGAACAAATCCAGTCGGAGAAATAAAAATCAGCAGACCTTTTAGCCTGAAAAGCCTTTGCCCACAAGGGTGTTTATATGTATATATATATATATATATATACATATATAAACAGCTAGTAGTACAGGAGGGGAGGGGGGGTATACAGTCTGCGGGATGATCCATCACCATACAGATGCTTAGTCTCTTGTCTCTTGTACCATGCAACTATGTCTCCTACATCAGACAACCTTCAACGGACCAAATGTTCTAGACCTATGGCGTTCTTTTGCTCTCCATTGCTGCAAAATCCTCGCAAGGAGGAGATATAGCTTGAACAACAATTTATGAATAAGGCTTTTTGCGAGCATGGTTGTGCCATGGCTAAAGAAACCCTTGAGCAGCTCTCCGTGAACGCCATCGTAGAGCGCCCCGACACCTTCAGTGCGTGAAATTTTCGCTATGGTACCAAAGACGCTCTGTTGGGCAAATTTGTGTAGGGCGCGGCCGGGGTCAAGCGTTGCGTCGTCTGCGGACTTGACATTGCCAGATGCTTGCGGGCTTTCCCTGGGAGGAGAAGAAGAAGACTCTTTGGCTTGTTGCTTTTCACTCTCTCCCGGTGATGCAGATTCTGAATTTGAATCCACGGGTACGCCGGCCTGGAGACGGGCTTTCGCTGTTTGGAAGGGGTACGTGATTGTGCTCGCTATTGCCTTGCTCGAGGCTGCCAGTAGAAACGTCAAAGCCGCACCCGGATCCTCCCCGCTGCCGTCGTCTCCCACAATCTGTTTCGTGAGAAAGTCTTGCAGGAAAAAGGTGATGCCGGGGTTCAGAGTCAAGACTAGTGTGGCCGAATACCCAGACCAGAGCCCCTTGACCCCCCTTTCGTCCAAGATGCCTCGCATGATCTCTCGTACACTCAACCGCCTCGCGTCAACAGCCCCTCCCTCCACCATGGCCCCAGTCTGTTTCCTCGTGACAACGTTGGCGATGGGTGTAGTCAGGGCCCTCGAGCAAGCGCCGGCGAGGACGCCCGTGGCCAATTCGCGGAATACCCGCACAGCCCGGTCACCATTGTGGTAAGCCGCGCCGGCAGGATGTGAGCCAGCACGGCTCCAGGGAGCCCGGGACCGGAAGAGCTCATAGAACAAAAAGAATAGAAAAGAGTCCAAGACAGATTTGGCCGACTCCGTCGTCAGGCCAGTATAGAGCGCTGCGATGCTCCGGACTCTGCCCACAACGCCTGCACTCTGCTCGCCATCCCGCAAGATCCGAAAAAAGGCGTCGACGATGCCGGCGTATTCGTCTGCTGCGGCGAGACGACCGGCACGTGCTAGTTGTCGCTGCACGGTCAATGCATATCAGCAAACAAACTCAAACATGTTACAATTCAAAAGGGTGGAACAGATGTAAGTCGAAATGTATGCATGCTGGGGAATTGGTGGACAGGGCAATGGATTGGTCTCCATGATCAAACAGCCTTGTTCCATCAACGATGTATTGTAAATATGCCGATAATACGCAAAATCCGAGGGGAGGAAAGGTGGGAGGGAAAAGAGAAAACTTTAAGCACACATGTATATCATTAAAAAAAAAAAAGGGACTCACCTGTACTTGTAGACGGATTACTACTAGAGATAACGGATAGGCTGCGCATGTTGAGATCAAGGTGCCCGCCGAGCCAGAAAGAGCGTGGTGAATAGCAGGCAGTATTTCGTCGACTGATTTTAGAAGTGACTTGGACATGGCGAGAAGAAAAAGAGGCAAACACAGAGGCCCGCGAAATGTTACAACTTATACGAGCGATGCGAGGACCCTCCCATGAAGGAGGAGTATATCTCAACAAGTACGAAAGTATACGCCGACTGGTTGTGCATACACAGTATCCTGCGGTCCTGAGAGAGAGAGAGAGAGAGTGTGTGGATCACAAAGTGGGTAAATTGGGCACATGTACCGAGCTCCGAGTCCAGATGCTTGTATCCCAGCAAAAAACCGACGGGCAGACAGCCAGGGACAGACAAACACGTATTGTAGGGCGAGCCAAAAGAAGCTGTACCCCTTCTGCCGCGTGCTCTGTGCAGACCGTCTTGTTCTTCAGATTACCATGTGCTCCCCTGCCGCAGAGCCCAATGGCTATGTTAGCAAGGTTATAATCCTCAAGTGGCGACGCGCAGAATGGCCGAGGCGGCAAGAGAAGAAATGGTCGAGATGCGTCCAATATCGGATACAGCAAATGTATGCACAGTGCAGACGCTTCCACTCTTGGCCGAGCTCGATTGGGAGGATTGGGTATCTATATTCGACCTGGCTTGGTATGTAGCAGGCAATGGACAGGAGGGACAAGACGGAACAAGGACAAATGTCTTTCTGAGTGGGTTAAACTAATGTAGCTGGGTAGCTGTTTGTTTGAGGTATATATGATTGGGCCGCTGTAATTGCTGGGAAGAAGCGAGCGAGTTCGAGAAGAAGAAAAATGTCTCTACATTAACCGCGGTCTGTATCGAGTGGTTGGTTGGCAAGTTCAAATTGGGCTGCTGGCGGTTAGCTTCGAAAGTAAAATGGCAGTCGACGTCATATGCCGAGAATCAAAATTGCGTACAAAAAGTAATGAAGTGATAGACAAGCTAATGGTAATCATCAAGGCACCATGCCTTTTAGGAACTTACTACCTAGGTTATTAAGTCAGGATAAAAACATACACGTACATGGGCCACGATCCAAGTCATCACATGAAGATGACCAGGGATTAATCCGACTTACTCTCTTCGTGTAGACCTGTAATACATTAGACAAATTTATTTTTTTTTAAAAAAAAACAAAAACAAAAAAACATCAGAATTATTTACTCGGTGCTGGCTAGACCGCTTGGAGGTATAGGAACCAATCCGCACTCGCACTCCATGCTCCAGGAACATCGCCTCAGACTCGACATCAGTAGCCTCAACATTGCCTTTTCGATAACTTCACTGATTATTGATTAACTGAGTGGTATCATTTTGGCCCCAAACCGCGAAAATGCAGAACCGGAAGATGCTACAGCAAAAGGTAGTCGAATGCAAAACCAACAAAAATAAGCGAGCCTTGGGTATACTGCGGCCAACAGGAGGGGCTCATGGGAAGATGTAGCCCAACTCGCCTCTGCTGTATGCGTTGTACGCCATACCCGTATCTCTCGCCACGTGAACCATAAAACGCCCTTCGTCATCCATTGACTCTTGTCAAAGCCGAGATCCGCAAACAGTGGCACAAATATATATATACAAGTCTTCCAGACCGTGAACGGATTCTTCAATACCACATAACCAAAACGCCAGGAACTTTCAAGTCCTATTACCTTGATTCGGGGCTCGCTGATGCTTCCTAGGCCTGCCGCGCTTCCTGCGAGGCGTATTCTCTGGGGCCGCATAGCTCGTCTTGGCTATGCTTTTCTCCGACTTCTCCCTGGGCCCATCGCTGGCCTGAGCGCGTGGCAATTCCTTTGCAGTGGACGGGGTGGGTGAGGGCTCGAATAGCGGACTCTCGACCGGTGCGCTGCCCGTAGCTGTGCTTGGAGCAACAGCGGATGCCGACCGCGGACTGCCCTTGTCCGGGCTGCTGAGTGTTAAACCCTCCTTCTCTGCCGAATCATCCTAAGTTCGGTTTGCGACTGATGGTCGTCTCGAAGCATTGGACAAGCTGAAACTTGGCGTCCGTCGGGCCGTTACTGCACTCATAATGACATCAGGTTCGCCCGGCGCATCGTCCATGTCCACATTCAGATCCGCGTGAGCATCTGATAGTTTGTGTGCTCCATAACCAACAACCTTGAAAATATTTGATCGTCCGCCATTTGTAGCAGTCTGTAGTTGCTCGTGGAGCCGTGCCAGTTGGTAATTCCGCTTGATCGGGTTGAAGACGGGCGGTGGCAGTACTGGTTGTGGGTTCCAACGAGCCAGGGCGCCCATAACGGCTGCCGTCTCTTCGTCGGAATCCACAGGTGCTGCGTTCGCATCGTCCTCATCCGCTACTGGAGCATTTGCATCGAGCGCAGCCTCTGTCGTATCCCCGAAGCGTCAGTCTGTTGTCGTCTTGCAGCCTCCTTGCACCAACGTGGAAAATAACATGGCGAATTCAATGACTTACTCTGCTGCTTTGCTTGATTCTTCTTCTGGTATGCTGCTAACAACATATCATATGGGAGCGAACGTCCCGGTACTGCACGTTTAGCGCCCATGGAGTGGCTCTTGCACGTAAGGGACCGAGCACAAGGTTGGCCATTTGGGAGGATGACACCACATTGTTTCTCGACATCGACGGGACCTAAACGGTGAAGGATATGATTACTAAGTTGTCCTGGTAGAAAATCAAGGGTGCTTGGGGATAATACCTTTTGGTTTGGGGACCTTTGGTTTGGGTTCTTCCTTCTTCTTTTTGCTCTTGGGTCCCTTGTCGGCGTCGGCCTCAGCCTTGCGCTTTTTGCCCTTGGCCTCGCCATCTGGCTTCTTGCCACCGACTTTCTTGTTGGCCTTGCCGCCGGTGCCCTTCTTTTCGTCATCTTCGTCATCGCTATCATCGTTCATTTGCGTGTCGCCATCGGGATCATTCTTGCGAGCCTCCTCTTGGCGGGCTTCCTCTTTGGCTCGCTCCCTAGCCTCTCTGGCCTCCTTTTTGCGTTGTGCCTTTTCCTTCTTGATTTTGAGGCATTGTGCAATATGCTCCTTGGCGGCATTCTTGAGGATCCCTTTTTTGCAATGTTTGCACTGTTGAAGTGGCAGGGGGTCATCGAGTGGGAGGCCTGTTGAGAAGGTATCTCTCGAGGTGTCGTCAAGTGGGTTAACGACGGTACCGGAAGACGGCGAGCCGAGTACAGCAGCAGGACTTTCGCTTCGCTTCTTCTTCTTTTCCACTATTATTAGGGCGTGAGCAGGTCAGCTGGGAAGCCTCGCGGAAACGGATGCCATATGCTGTGACTAAGGGGTTGACAGGTCTCTCTTGCACGTACGGTCTGACACAATACCCTCCCTCCAATTGCCCGGTTTTGTCTGCTTGACAGTGGATCTTCTCAACTTGAGTCCGCCATTGGCCATGGCCTTGGCTATCTTCTTGGGTGCAACATTGATGGTGCCTTCGTCGTCGGGGCCTGGTCAGCGTTAGTGGGTAATCCCATGAACAGCGCTCCGCGTAGCGGTTTCTCTCTCACCTTTGCGCCCCTCCAACACGCCCGCCATCTCTTGTCACCAACGAGGTGCACTCAGAGGCGCGTCATGTGGCGCGATAGCAGGCACCCTTTCTTACTAAAAAACAACAACAATGGCTGTTGCGACGTACTGATGATCCGGACGATTTCTGAATGTGAGACTTCCCAAACGACGTGTCGCGCGACAACCTTGCCGCAGGGTGGCGATGGAGGCTAATGGTGTTTTGGGAGGGATCTCGGTTGTCCGTAGGCGTCGGCGCCGACAAGCGAGAGTTATTCGGGATGAAAGGAGATGAGAGAGGTGTGTCCTTGATGGATTTGATTGTCCAAAGCGTCGTTGATGGTGGTAGTCGCATCAATCTACCTACTAAGTAATGTAGCTTGCGGTCGGTAATGTAGCCTCCACTGGAATGCGGTGCCCAGTTAGTTCAAATGGTGACTAGGCATTCATGGGTACCTTAATGGCCTTGGCGGAATGAATGCGGTTGGCCCCCCGTTGGAACGAGTGCACGCACCAGCGCTTCTTCTAGCGTGGGTTATCGATAAAGGTCGATAAGCATAAATAGTCATCTCTGGGGCGCTCTCTCATCGATCATGCCAACGGCCAGTTGATGAACGCCAATGCCAAATATAAATTGGAATAAAAACAGAATAATGTACAGAAAAGTCTAGGCTTTTGGATTAACAGAGAGGTATGTGGAAATAAATAAATGGATTTGCTTTTTGCATATTTTGTTATTATAATTTCATACTATATTTTATATTTTAGCTAAATTTATAACCGTATAATATATTCAACCACTAATAGTCATATCCTCCACATTAAATATCTTATGTCGAAATGTCATTATTTCTGTCAGGGCATACACTACCACTGTACTATAATGGGCAAAAATGCATGCTCGCAATCTTTGGAAAACGATCACGAACCAGGACCTATATGCCCACGGGACAGGACCATGGTACAGTCCCTATCTACCATGACAATTTCACCCTTTCAGCCTCTTATCTATAAAGGGCGAGTTAAAACATGCTTCATTGTATTTAAATCGATAGCGAATAAGCATATTCGGTTTTGCCACACTAAATAAGCGACGTTTTCAAATTGCACATAAGATGCTTGCGAATGGATAATCACAAATGCCTTTGATTTGTTTAGCTTAGAAGACTTGTTCAGTGGCAAGAGAGACCTTTTGAGATGTTTACATAATCATTGCCATAATTCAGTCAGCTTAATTCTATGGCGACTCTTGCAATCCCAGCTTCAGCTTAAAGTAGAATATCGGTGAGATAGTGTTCATTTTACACAGTTGAACACAAGCATAGACGTTGGTACGTCACTCGGAGTCTTGTCCTCCTCCATCTCCAAAGGAGGTATTGGATTTGAACCCAACTTCATCGGGAATCTCTTTGAGTGTAACCTCCAATGTGATATGAAGAGAAATGAGAGCCACTACAAAATTATTATAAGAAAGTAAGTCAGGTTTTACAAGAATGTAAATGCGGTGATGGTGGTTGCAAAAAGAATAGTGATATCAATGATGCATATACTTGCCAAACTTCAATGTTTGAGGCCATCGGTAATCCAACATTATCACAGCCAGTGAATTGTCCCATCATGTGGTCACGCCTTCCAACAATGGTGTGGAGGGTTGCCTAGCATGATCACGGGTCTGCTCGTTTGTTGGATACATTGCACCGACGCCGCCCGATTTATGTCGGTGTGTCGTGGTCTCACATATGCCGACAGTCCATAATCTTTGAGTTATTCTGCTGGGCGTGCCGGATCCCGTTCTTCTGTGGTTGCCATGCGTTCTCAGCACTTACTCTTATCTACTTGATCCACCACTGACTGTAATACTAGATGTTCGATACCCAAGACCAGCTTCGAATTCATGGATGGTTAACTAGGTACTTTACAACATCAGCCACCCGACTACACTGTCACACTTCGGTCTTTCATGAGCCCGACCATGCTCCTGATTCGGGTTTCCCTCCGAGAGTGAAAACGCTGACCAAGCTACAGCAAATATCGAAACAATGCTCGTAGGTAGAGACGAGTTCGGGAAACGATGTCTTTTATGGCGAGGAGGTCATAGAAACCAACTCGCCCCGCCACAATTCTTCCATCGACCGTTTGAACGCAAATGTCTATTTACCTTAGGGGGAATAATCTCTCTCAGAGCACTCCAATTTCCTAAACGGCACGAGATCATCATAATCGAGCAGTATTGGGAGATGACAGGATTGGTTGCAAAACCAGATGTCATTTTCAAACACACTGTACTGGTATAAGTTGTCCACCGCGCTGGTCTTGACGCCACATCTATGCTTCTCCAGTGATGTACGGCTCGATATATTTCAAATCCTGCTTCTTACCTTCCGTATGTGGGTTCGCGGTTATTCACGCTTCGAAATAAAGCGGCCGTATTGCCCAACGAGGGTTAAGGACATGATCTAGTATGAGCCGCATGCCGTTTTCTTTTATCCATCGTCGTTGCTTGTTTACTATGGTTGGAGCCGATCAGTCTGAAAACATTTGCACAAAGTCGCCGCTTAACTCCAGGTTCCAGTTTGGTGGCGGCTGCTAGTGGCTGCTCAATCATTCAATTTCTGGGCGACCTCGTCAACATTGTAGTGTGACACTGTTTGTGTTATTACTGGATATAAGGCGATTGAGGTATCATGGAAAAATACTACACACTCGACCTGGACATACTCCCCCAAGCTCGTTTCGGCGCATTATACTGGTAAAGTGATCACTCAAAATAACAGATATTACTTCGGGCGATGGAGAACCGCAAGTAGAAAGCACTCCATATCCATCTACTTATTACTCAGTGGGTTCAAACGAGCAGCAATATGTGTGGCTTTCCAACCCCGGATGCGCTCCGCGACAGGGGCAACGGTTCAACAATTCTAAAGGCCCTTAATAAAGGCCCTTAATGGATAACTGTGACTATATGTACCTGCATTGGCAGTATTAATGCAAATATATAAGAGCTTTTGCGGCAAAAATCTTAATTTTAAGGGCAATATGAATCGTGCAAGTCCGAGCTATCAAGGAAGCGATAATTCTGCTTCTTCTGCTTCTTCTGTTTCCCTTTCTCAATATACAACAGGTATAACTATTGGGTCCAAGTCTGACAGACGGACAAGCTACATGCACAGTACCCAACCATGCACACAGTAAAGCAGCGCAAGGGTCAGCAGACAAGATGCCTTTGGATGCTTTCGATTGAGGTGTAGGAAATGAGGGTCTTTTTTTTTTCCCCCCCTCCTCCTCCGTTTTGTGTAATCACCCCCCTTCCTGTGCTTGTGCTTAATTGTCGTCTGTCGTCACAGCATTGCTTGTGGCGGTCATGGACCGTCGGAGTCGGATAGATTCAACCGTATCAAGCCCGCAGGCGACAGGGATCATGAGAGCCTCCCCCTGCGGATTGAAGGTCGACATATGCTCAATGGGGGTACCATCCGGATCAACCCCCCTCGAGGAAGCTCGGCGGGTCGACCAGTATCAAGCTAGCGCGCAGGCCTTCCCAATGGAGCAACGCGGCCCAGCAGACGGGCGGAAAGTTGTGGTGGTGAACAGGAGACGTGCTGTCGACCTTTTCCTGCGCAGTCTTGGCCTTGTTGTACATGTATACAAATGTTAACCAAAGCTGAATACTTGCCAGTGTGCAAAGTAGTATTGCGCACAGCTGACAGGTATGGGGATACTGCAAGGTCTCGCTCCACCCCCACTGGCTTCCCCAAAGCGACAGCCGCGGCTGTGGCCCGTATCAAATCTACATCTAGTACCCCAATTTTCTTTTATAGTGTGTGCAGCGTGGCCAGGGGGCGTGTGAGTTCCATCCCATCTTGGTGGGACGAGTTATGAAAACCAAGCGGCACTGCCGTCGTTGAGTCTTGTATTTGCCCGGCCCGGATCTCTGAGGTATTCATGTCAGATGGGTGCCCAGGATGAGTGCCTCCTTCCACCTTGGATTCCTCACTGCGCGAGTGAAATGGCATGAGATGATCGTAGTACACTGGTACTGTCTATATTAGCTTGGATACTCATGGCTAATGCATATATAACTATACATTCTACAACTCACGTGCCATCGAGCCTAGCATACATACGTACTACCCAGTGCTTGTTGTATATCACCAAATAAATGACTACTACTTACTCATGAAATCAGTACAGAGGTATACTTTGCATATATCTATGCCCATGCCACGAGCATTGCATACAAACAGACCGTGACAAGGACAGATAGTATCAGGCCATCTTATTGTGACATGTTGTTATCCTGGACAAGAATAGCAAGCACGGCCACTTGCACGACATTGCAGTATCGAAGATGGTGAGTGAATACTGATGGCATTGCAAATTTCTTCGTATTGGGATGAACAATGTACGTGTTCCAAGAAATTGACGCCATTCATTCCATTCACCTGGCAATCTGGAACTGAATTAAACTAGACCTCTGACAACATTACATGCAGATGGGCTTTACACACAGTATTGTGTAGAAGAGCCTTGAACTAGACATGTACCTGGTTAGCTTGCCTCTGTGTGATGAATGTGTAGTCAGTGTGAATAGGTATTTACAAAGTAGTTTGTGCATTGCACGAATGATGTCCAGTTATCCCGAGTGCCGGGAGGCTTTGGAATGCCGAGCACGCTGATAACCACCTCACCAACATAAATAAAGTGCACCGTTCTCTTCCTTTTTTTTTTTTTTCTTTTAATCGATGCACATCTTGCTCCATTTTGTGTCTGGGGGCAGCATTGCATGAGACTAAGCAAATAGAATTGCACGAGGTCGCAGGTCGGCAGCCATTTCGTGGAGGTGATAACTAAACGTCGAATCAAGCATGCAAGGTAAAGAAAGAATAGGACTCGACTACATGCTGCCAGTAATCTTTTGCCCCTCCTTTGACTCCTCGGCCCTGCTCTTCTATTCTCGTCATTGATTCTAGTGTACATACCTACATGTGTAACCTACGTATGAATGTATGTATAGAGGCACATTGGGTATTACCCCTCCCCACCCACCTACCCACTCTATGACGATTGTACTTCGTACCTCTCATGACATTCGACACCTCAGTCGCTTCTGACCTTGATCTGCCTGTCGATCTACCAGTTAACAACCATCGTACCTAGCCCAGTCCAGACCTCAAGACCGCGCTGGCCGACGATCCCGCTCAGATATACGCTACGCAGACAATTGTCCCTACACTAGGTTAGTTGATTAATTGATTGGGGCCGACGGTAGGTAGTAGTACAACTTTCTGGTAGGTAACTAGCCTTCGGCACCTGTCCCCCCCCCCCCCCTACCCTAAACGGCCTGCGCTATCCACACGTTACTTATACACGGTACATAGATAGTTGTACTATATAAAGGTAGTATCTATCTATGTTAGGTACGAAATAGACGGTATGATTTCTATTATTGCTAAGAGGGGGAGGCGTTTAAGGAATTTGCAGTGATTTTTAATTATTAAGGGCAGTACTAGCATTTTGCACGCCCGTCCGCCTGCCTGCCGTGGGTGAATGACAGCACGCGCTAAGGAGAAATAGTGTCCAAGTACCGGGGCTAAGCATGTACCTAGTACGTCAATACATTGGTTGACTTTTTTCTTTTTGCTGTGTAAATTGTTTAATTGCCTTGCAGTATGGAGACAGATAATAAGAGATCGCATTTACTTTCGATCATTTCAACTCGCCATGCATCTGATGTACGGTAGGAGATACCCAGCTTAAGGTCAGGTTCGGACCAGTTGATAAGTGTCAAGGCAGAAGACAAACGCCAGGGCATATCTCGTCTCCTCCTTTTTTTGACCTGACTTGACTTGACGTTGCTGTCGGCCGCCTTGTTACAGAGCGACTAGATACTTACTTGGATGGTCTTGTTCGATGTTGTCGCTGCCAGTCGGCATTTTGCATTCAAATCCTGGTTCCGATTCCTTTTTGGGTTGCATCTTCCGCACCCTTTCGAAACTGACGGACGTTTTGTTCTATCATTTTTTCTTTCTTTCCGGCGATCCTTTTATTTACTTTAATTATTATCATACGGATCTTGATTTTTCTCATTTCTTTCTTAACGTGACGGCGCTTGTCAAGCTCTCAATACCTACATGTATACATATGTGTATTTGTCATATACAGCACACCCATACCCGACGCCTGTCGTCTGTCATACTTTGTCCCTTTTTTTTCTCTTCTTCTTCCCACCTGCCTTGGCGATCTCAGTGCTGGCTGGCAGCTTGATGACTACTACCGGTATTTCCTTTTTGCTACCTACCTACATTTACCTTACTTACTATGTACATATATGAGTTCCAACCCTGGCCTCTCCGGTGACCCCTCTCCCCTGGATGACTAGGTATGTATGTAGGTAACTGTACTACTTCTCACTACCTACACTACATTAGGCGACCAACCCCATAAAAGTGTCCGCCGCCGCTGGGGCGCTGATGAAAAGCCGAAGCTGGACCTTGCAGTCAGGCGGTACTTACGGTAGCCCTGTAGTAGTAAAGGAAGAAAAGCTGTCTGCCTGCGACCATCGCCGCCGCCGCCGCCGTTGGTCACTGTGGTACAGCTACAGCTACTACTACTACTACTGTTACTGTTACCGCTACCACTAACATCCGCAAAAGAAGGGACTGGAGGGAGGAGGGGGAAAAAAAAAAGAGGAGCCCCAATCCATAACCCAGGCACACACGAGCGCAGACCGCTGACGCAGCTAAGAATCCTCGACTCGGCCGTGTTCTTAGCAAATGGCCGTTGTTTTCTCCCTACCTTTTTTTTTTCTAAAAAGAAAAAGTATCCTATCCTAAAAACCCAATATCATCTCCACGATTCTGACGAGCTGCTTTCCATCTTTGGCTACCGTCCACAACAAGCCCTTTGAACCACCAGCCAACAACATAACTGCTGGTGGATAGGATAGCGCCCGTAATGCTAATGCGCACCACCAGTCGTCGCTCGTACGAGTTTCATGCCTGACTCGGGTATCCTATTCGTCTCTGAACCAGCCTAGCTCATCCCACTACTACTACTGCCTGTCATTCCGACGCGCCCGTCGTCGATCTACGCATAGTAGAAGCAACAGCAGCCAAGCAAGCAAGCAAGCAAGCAGCAGCAGCAGAAGAGGATAGAGATAGGAGGAGAGGAGTAGTAGTAGTAGTAGTAGTAGGAGGAGGAGACCAGCAGTAGTAGGAGGCAGCAAGCAACGCCTTTCAAAGCATGGTCTATTGCGGAAAGGCATCGCAAGGTCCGTCCGTCCCTCCTCTAGCTCTCTCCCTGATCAATCCACACTCCTACGATCATCATAAAACTCATTACCAATACTGTCACGACAGGATGCCAAAACTGCCGCCAACGGCGAATCAAAGTAAGCACACCCCATCTACTGACCCCTTACTAAAAACATCTTCATCCCTACTTCTCATACATATTGCATTGGTCAATCTCTCTGGTTTGCAAAAAAACTGTACAATCCGAGTATACCTGCAATTCTCCACACCGCACCTGGTCCTGGTTCTTGGGCGCGCTTTGCAGTTAGGTAGCCAGCCCCAATGCGAACAAAAGAGAGAGGCCTTCTCAAGACATGCATGGCACCTAGAGGGTTCATCTCCAAAAAGGAACACGCGCGCCTATCCACCAGACTAATTCCTATCACCATGATTCTCCTCCTCATCATTCTATAATGAATTGTTATAGATTGATCCATGGTGTATACAATACACGCAGGGAAACACCCGCCAGCAAAGCCTCCCCCTTTTTTTTTTTTTTTTAAATAAAAAAATCGAGCCCGCTGCTGACGACGGCGTTATAGTGTGACAAGGTCAAGCCGGAATGCTCACAATGCATTCGGATCGGCAAGAAATGCCCTGGATATCGGGACCAACTGTCATTAATGTTCCGAGATGAGTCCAGTAAAGTAATCCAAAAAGCACACGCGCAATGGGGGGCGGCTACATCACCACCTTCGGCCAACTCTGCTGCGTCGGCAACGTCGAGTTCGGCATCGTGGACCTCCTCGCCGTCAGCCATGACCAACGACACGAGGAGTCCCGTGGACGAGAGCCCCGCCTCGCCTGCCGAGATTGTGCTTAGCAAGAACATGCAGCTATTGTCGCCCAAGATTCATCAAAAGGTTGAACCGACGATAGAACAGCGCGGTCTCCAGTTCTTCATCGAGCAGTACCTCATGAAGACCCCCGATGCTCCGTCAGCCGACCGCCATCTGGCCGTCTACAGTGGTAGCACCCAGGCCATGCAGACTGTCATGATGGCTGTAGGCCTTGCCGGCCTGTCACACAAGCGAGGGGATAAGGCCATGAACCTTATAGCGAGACAAAAGTATACGGCAGCGCTGAAGCAAACGGGACAATTAATAGCCGCCGGTCCGAGTGACACGATTTCTGTCATGGGTCCGCTCCGAGCCGTTGTCACTTTGGCCATGTTTGAGGTTGTCCAAGGCAAGGGCTCGAAACTGTCAACCGGCACAGCCAACATTCACATCCTGGGGGCCATTGCCCTGCTAAGAAATGTAGTCCCACACTCCCAGTATCCCGTGTTCGGGGCACGGGCTATACTGCAACTGATGTACTCACTGGTAGGTGTCCAACCCGGGGGAGGACGCATGATGGATTGACGACTGGCATGCAAAGGATATAAAAGCTGATGACAACTATAGTTGATCCCTTCTCAAGTGACGGACGCGCCACTCCCACCCCAATTTTTTGAGGTGCTTGCCATGTGTAGGCAGTTTATACCACCACAAGAGCATGCCACATGTGATCTAGCTGTGGCAATCGCCAATTTTCTCGAATTGCTCACACACTCCAAAAGCCCCTTGCTCCTGGACGGAAATCCAGACACGGAACATACCCTTCAGGAATTATTACAAATGGACGACCTCATGGGTGGTCTCGAGCAGCAATTGCAGAGATCGCTACCTTTCACGGTGGAAAAAGCACCCAAGGAGTACCCCCCAGAGGCCGTCTTTCGGGGGAAATATCATAGATACAATGGTATCGAAGCGGCCCGGCTCTGGAATCACTTGCGCTGGGCTCGCATACTAGTGGTTCAACGAATCATTGATACGAAGAAGGATTTCCCAAATTCGGTTTCCTTCGTAGTATCCCCAGCCCAATTGCAGGCATGTTATAACACGTCACAGCGCATGGCGGAGGACATCATCACAAGCACTCCGTCTCACTGGCACCACCCCATACTCTCCGAGCCGCAAGCCCGACGGCTAGCAGCAGTCGGCAAAGGTGGAACCGGCGCTGCGGGACTACCGGGTCTTCTCTGGCACCTCAAGATCGCCGGTTGCGCGCCTGGTGTGCCGACAGAATTCTGGGACTGGGCATACGCACTCGCGCAGGTGGTATGGAGAACCATGGGAATGCAACACGCGCTTGCCCTGTCCGAGGTCATGGAAGGCCACCGTGCCGGCATGGAGAAGGAGGCCATTGACCGGCTCATCAAGGTCGAGGATGAAGAGGAGTGGTAAAGTCTTGCCTCCACTGACATGCACAAAACGTACCATCTCCGGGTTCTGAAAGCATTGACAACAGACGCCTGGCAAATATCACTGCGACCAGGAACTAAGCGCGCAACGAAACAACTGCGCCGAGAGGTGAACCTGAGGCGCTTCTAACAGAAGGAATACCCAAACCATCTTGGACACAATGTTTTCTGGATTCCACGGTTCCTGGTATTATGTACAATGGACCTTTCTTTAGCCCCCAGCGAGTCTGTCCATGGGTCAAGCAGGAGGCTGAGTCTAGGTTGACTTTATTTCAATGTGTTACCATATATATGTATATATATGAACTGCCACATAGACTCTAGCAGAAATCTGTTTTCACAGCCCGTTTTCCACCATAAGCTCAATCAGTTAGCGATATATATATCTAAATCCAATTACTCATCACAAGACCCGTGGCGAGTGACACGAACCCGAAGAGCAGAGCTTCAGAGAGGCAGATTATATGCAATCAGTAAATCAGCTGAATGGTAAGTCATGCATGCAACGATAGGTAGATTTATTCATCTGCAGAAGTTCTCTAGGTACATGCCAGGATGTCTAAATTTAGACCTCGAACAAAGATGCCGCCGGTTGAGCGGATTTCTACATTGCAAATCCATTCTTGGGCCAAAGTATTAAAATGTGCTCTTTTCGGCCAATTCGATCAGCTGGTATTGTCGCAGCCCTGTGCGCTACAAATGGCGCCAATATCCGATGGTGATCAAAACCCCACTTGGAGGGAGATGAATGATTTCTTTGCGTATGCCGAGTATAAGCAGCGTGGCCACTATCGGGCATCAGGCCATCTCTTCCATCTTATGCATTTCCACCTCCATGACTATATGAGTTAGGGTATCATAGTTCCTCTCTTCGTTTCTTTTTCTCACTAAAGTGTTTTCTTCTTCTCTCGGTTCCTGTTTCATTGCATTTGTTGGCAACCATCTATCCCACCCTGCGTTTGGGATTCGTTCTTTGGGGAGGACAGGTTGGTATCTTCTCTCCGAGAAGATTTCGCGTACATGCAGGATGAACTCGTCGCTTGATTACAAATGGATAGCTTTGCTTTCCCCCAAACATGGACGAGTTCCATGAAGGGCTCATTAGCTGTGTTGAGCAGTTGCAAGGCAAGGATAACCACGAATTTCTAAAAGCAGGACCAAGTGCTTCTGAACATAAAGGGTAGGCAGTAACTGGCTCGCGAAGCCGTATGCTATTGAGCCATCAAAGAAGACCGCTGGCTCCGAGGTCGCTTACCATGATCCAATGGTACTCGCCAAACGTCGTGGCCTTCTGCTGCAACATTAGCCAATCTTTTTAAGCAGTGAAGCATTGTAGATGGTCCCGCAAGCTGCACTCAGCCTGCTGCTGTTGGCTGCTGTCGTTTGGCAGACGGTTGGTCCTGTAGCCACGGTTAGTAGTACTTCAAGAATCAGGGGTAGCATCCTTGATTCGGCCATCGCATGAAGCAATCCACCATTCCTACATACATCTGCCGGCGATGGGTTGGGCCGCTTGACATTCTTTGGCACTGCAGCTCCGTTGGCTGCGCCCGCTCTCTTAAGCGGACGAGTGGGCTTGACTTCGCCGGGTTCGAACACATCGTCGGGGAGGTTAATGCTATTGTCGTTAGGTAGTGCTTATCGGAATAAATTGCCCGGGTACTCACTTCCTTACGTGCTGGATGCTCAAGAAGTTCAGCTCAGCCTGATACTTATCCCAACTGAAGCAGAGGTCTTTGAATTCATTGACCTGGAACGAGAGATCCAGAGATTTGGCACCTAGAAAGTTAGCAACCTCTATTCACCACCATGGCTTCCTCCAGTGACGGAAAAGGGCCACTGCTTGATACTAGGCCGTAAAATAAAGGTGTCACATACCTTCCGCAAGCTCAAGACCAATGTAGTGGGTAGTCGTAAACACCTTACCGCCTTGGACAGGCAGGTCTTCCAATTTCACCTTCATTTCGCTTTCGGGATCTGCTTTCACAGGGAGATCTGCTAATCCCACCTTTGTCTCGCTTTCTGGGTCTGGCTTGATACGTAGGGCAGGTTCGGCAGGTGACGTGGTGGGAGTAACTCCGTTTCCGATTTGCGGTTTCGTCTCCACGGTTTCGTTCTTGATGGCACCGCTTTGAGCAGCCTGGCCTTCCGACTCCTGCTCCTCCTCCTTGCATACGTAGTCTAGCTTCCCATCGATGACGTCGCTCAGCTGGTCCTCGTTGCCCACCTTGTGCAGACGATCAAAGCCCTTGTTAAAAGGATGTGCAATTGCGATGGAAGCATGGCGTTCTACACTGGCGACTAGCACTCTTACTTTGCTTTCGACGAAACCAGACCAGATTTTGTGGGCTTCCTTGTCCTTGGATGTAACAACCACAGCCAAGTAGTATTTGTAGCCGTTTGTGAAGAAGGTGTGTTTGACAAACAGATGCTCCCACGGGAGCACACCTAACAAGATCTCGCTTGCAATGCCCTTTGCGCGTTGCAGCTCTCGTTGTATAATGGCCTTATTGGAATGCGTAATGTTGAACGTTGCACACATCTGGGGATATGCAGGAGTAATGACGGGCATCAAATGGAAGCTATCACCCTTGTACACCTTGGGGTTCCAGACGCGCACGTTGAGAGGACCATCCTCCATGTGCTTCAACATGACAGGCGATGGCCAAGGCCATTGTCCAATGATGACAAAGAATCTGGCAACGATGACAGCCGCGGCAGCCTTTGGATATAGCTGGCATATTCTCGCCACCAACATGGCCCAGACGACTCCTCCAGGAAAACCAATAATATTTGCATATATGGCACGTCGCTGAGCCCACAGCTTAATCGCACGCAATGCCAGACGGAACGTCGCCTTCTCAGGAACAAGATTCAGTATCTCGTTGGTGACACGGGTTCCGTTGACGGAGCGAAGCTCAGCCTCGTCGAGTCCCCGTAGGTACTTGTTTTCGGTGAGAAACAACTCTTTATGGGGTGGGAACTGCGTAAGAGTGGCAATGCGGGCGAAAATTAGATCAATGCTAATACCCCAATACTCGAACTTGATGATGGGAACAAAGGCGTCCTGGACGGGCGTCAGATCGGTAATGGCACCCTTGGGGGCCATCTCGACAAGGATGCCAGGAAAGTCTTCAAAGTAATGCTGGCGGGTCACATATTTCGGAGCGCAGACGAGAGTATCAATATCGGAGCCGGGGCCGTAGACACCAAGACAGAAACTACCGTATGTGAAGACTTCTCCACGAGCTTCTCGGATTAGGGCCGTGTTATGTGGTTCCTTCTTCTTGGCAATGCGGCGGACGAATTCATCAGTGATGCGCTGTAAATCATCGAGAACCTTGTTTCTATAAGGAGGGTGTCAATTCATGGTCACTTGACTGTTCGCGCTGTGACTGGATGGGGATGGTTTGTACTTGAGAAGTCTTACCGTTTGGTTGTCTCGTCGGGTGACTCGAAGGTGCCCTGACGCTTGAGCTCTTCCAAGAGCGCCTCTGTCGATTTGACCTCGTCGGGGGTGGGCAGAGTTGTCGTGATGGGCGGCGTGACGCCGAGTGTCCTCTCTAAGGAAGCCATGGTTTATGATCTTCCTTGCCGACAGGAGAAGATGAGAATCCAAGGTTCTAGTAGACCCGGATGGTAGGGGCTGTCTTTCGTGGCGTTAACGGATGAATCGGTCGCACGCAGAAATCAGACTGACAGCAAGTCTAACTTGCACAAGACGCGGCTGCCCACTGGTTTTCGTCACAACCAAAGAAAGGATAAACGTAGGTCAGGATCTGTCAGGGCCAAGGAAGGACAGAAGCAGCACACGCATGCACGTACGCCCAAAGACGGTTCCGTGGCAGATGCGAATCGGGATTTGGATTGAAGAAGATAAAGTGAAGATGCGAATAATCGCACGCCTTGACTAGGTAGAGCTTTGACGTTTGTTCATCGCTGCACTGAGCACTCACTGGTGGCGGCGCCAACTCGACTTTTGCCCCGCTGAACTGAAGGGTATAGGCCAAGTACCTGTGAACTCTAGTGATGCTTAGAGGGACTTTCTGATACAACCAGTAAGCTCCAGCCTCCAGCTGGAGCACAGTCTAATGTAGGTTAGCAGATTCTTAGCGCGCGTCTAGCGGCTCGTTGCCTTGGGTCCTGGCCCAGGTGGTGGCTGTTTTGGGCCAAGAAGTCAGTCAGCATTGGTCGTTTTTTCAGAGCGTTGATAAGGCTGAAAGGCCCTTGAGGTGATAAAGAAGAGAAGCATCCATGGTGAGTAACTCAAAAGTTATTAGTCATGTATTTCGTTTCAAATATGAGTGCTTCTTCCCGCTGTTCTTTTCATCTTCTTTTTTTTAAATGCATACAATTTCACCTTTATCAAGATTCGAAAATGCATTTCAAATTACGTCTTCATGCGCCGTCCAAATACACCATCCCCTGGATCCTGGACATAAAAAAAAGTCCCAGCACACAGACTTTGATGTGGCTTTCAATGCGGCTCATCTTGAATTTCCTTTCATATGACCACAACTAAGCACATGTAGGTATTCTGAAGATGCCGAACCGTTTTCACCAATAACACCACGGGCCTGAAAACACTACACCGCGCTTTCCTGGACTCCTTTCTGTAATCAGTCACCATCTCTCTATCATGCCATCGTCCATGATCGTGTGGTTCATTATAACATATCCAGTGCTTCCCTTTCTTCGCTCAAGCCTCATATATCAAATCCCCACAGCCTGGCCCAGTCGTCAGCCGTTTGAGCAGGCTCGTTCTGATGCGTCAGGTAATAAGCCAGCCCGCCTAATATCCCAAGACTGCCAAGCACCTCCAGTGCGATCCAGCCTTTGCTCTTGAGGTCAGCCAATACCTGAAGCAAACCAAGGGGATCTTGGTGTCGGCTCGTCCTCTTTGCTGCCCCTCCTTGCCTCCTTCTTCTGCGAACGGGGCTTTGCGCATTACGCCGACACGCTGAGACGAGGGTTCCACTTGCGACACACTCATTGGGCCACGTACTATGATCACGGCATGCCAGATTCTCCTGTCGTGCTCTCTCTTGTGCAAGACTCCTCTGGAGGTCTGCTGCCCAGTCCACCAGCTCTATTCGGCGGGTGGCGTTGTTTACATCATAATCACGATGCTGTGTAATCCGCGCTAGTGTTAATGGTGGTCGGCCTATAAGCGCCCCTGTCCCGGGGCTCAGAGGTTGGTAGAGATGTCTAGGCCTTGAGGGAGCCGATTCATCACGCCACTGCAGGTATTTTTTTGCCGCTGAATGCCTCAACCAGGAAGATCCACTGAGGCTGAACATATGGCTAATCAGCACGCTGAGCTCCGAAGGCGCTAACGGCTGGACGTAGTCAGGGCTCATGAGAAGGCTGGCATCCATAACATCGAGGTCAGACCCGGTTGCGCTCGACACAGCGTATGGAACTGTCGGTGCATTGGAGCCTGTTTGCAGTGCCGAGCCCGTAGTGAAGCTGAAGAAGCTTATATCAGCCTCGCGGAGCTGGCCCAGTATCTGCTGCTTGCAAAGATTCTGCTCGTCGATACTCATGGTGTCCGATTGAGCCAGGAGCGGAATAACATTTGTCAGTGATGATAGTCGCTTCAGGTACTCAATATCGACTGGGGTCATGTCTATTTTGAAATGAGAATAAGTCCGGGGTGTCAGTGGAAGACTGACTTACAGCGTTGTATCAAGTAAAGCACAACATCGACTTGCAAGCCTCCATCGCCCCCAAGAAGATTGAGCCGTTCAAGCTCGTTCAGTGAGTCCGAATATACCTTACTCAGGTGTGATTCTACATATTCGATACAGGGTACAATGGTTTCCATTGCCTGTTGCTGTGGTAAGCAATTGTACCGTCTTACAGATGACTTTGACACTTACAGATGCACCTAGGCTATAACCAGGGGTGTCCACAAAACATATGTTCCGATCGAGAACTTGATCGCCCAGGCTCTTTCGCCTTTGACTGGAATTCGCGTGGCCAAGTTCAACCCACCATTCAGGATATGATTTTGTGCTGGCGAATATCTCATAGATTGATTCGGTCGTTTCCGAATGTCGTCCTCGGGATGGCCTCGGTGGTGGCCTCATGGCCTCCTTGGTTGATCTTCTTGACCCTGCTTGGGGGACAATTGGATCGACATGAACAATGTGTTCACATGTCTGCACAATAGACTTTAGAAGAGAAGTTTTGCCAGTCTTGGAGGCTCCCGCACATAAAACCTTTAGGCGGCCTAGGCTCTTGCCCGTAGAAGTGAAGGGGCGACGGCTGGGCATTTTGATACTTGGCATGACGAGTTGGGGGGCACTACCGCTATCAACCATGTCAACGGTTGACGTCTCGAGTACATGATCATCGTCATCAAAGCTGATCGCGTTTGCTGATATCGAGCCAACAAATGAGTTTCGTCTCGAAGAAGGCCCGCTTAGCAGCGAACCAGTGACGGACGTGCCTAGGGTTATGGGAGTTATCGGTCGCGACAAGGGAGCATGTTGATTCGTTGAAGATGCCGGCACGGGGGTCGGACTAGGTAGAGATACTGTTGATAAGGGGGAATACATGGAGCCAGAGTCCATTTCAGGTCGTATGGAAGCGCTTCTTGGCTGCTCTGATCTCAAATCATCTCTCTCGCAAGCCAAGACATGGCCAGAGCCTACTACTGGCTTTCGGGGATCTCTCATCTGGGAGCCGGCGACACTGGGCTGATCCAAGTAAGAGTCAACAGTGGACTCATCAGCAAGGAAGAAGGACATTTGACTGCTGCTCGTGGACGCAAGGTTGACTGAAGACTCCACGTCGTGATCGGTTGATCGTCGACGCACAAAGGCATTGTCGCCAGGCATAGGCCGCATCGTCACGCTCACATCTACGAGAAGGCTAGGTGGAGAGTAGTGGATGATGTTAGAGTGCTTGAGCACTACAAGAGATATTCCACTATTGAAAGATGGGAGACGTCTAGCTTAAAAGTATAGAAGAACGATCCGACCATGTGTTGGTCAATGTTGATGGATGGAAAAGGACATGAAGAGATCATGTACTCGAAAGGAGTTGAGGAAGGTGGTGGGTTTGGGCAGGCCATTTGGGTGATCACAGGCAGAGGAACACAGCACTGATAAAGGGTCACCCCGCATCACATCATTACCTGTCTAGGTACATGCCTACTGTGAAAAGGTAAAATAGTGTCTTGACCCCGGCCAAATCAGACTACGTCCACGTAGTAGCTAAGGTCCAGTCAGTCGACCCCTGGTCAGATACATTCCATACATAAGAGGGGTTATGCGGGGCGAGAATCCCATCATTACCTATCGAGTGTCGGGCCAGTACCTAAGAGAACACGAACAACAGACAAGAGGCCGTGGCAGGCGGCAGATGTGTTATTTTGCTCACTGTGGCCACAGAAGCGGGTGCGCGATAGATGATAATGACCAAAGAACTGGACCTAGGGAGCTGCGTAGGGTCAATAGCATGAATGGATGTGATAAATGTAAACGATGTTTACTGGCTCGGCAGTACCTAGGTACAGGCTGGTATGGCTGGCTTACACAGTACTAGGTAAGTTGTCCACCGTAACATTGCGCTGGGTTGCATGTATTCAAGCGCCATTAGTACTGTCTTATTGGGTCTTAGGGGTCCTATTCACTGTACTACATAGCCTACCTGCATTACCGTCAATTCATATGTACCTAGTACTCTGTAGGTATGTAGGTAATGTAGATGCTGGCCACTATCAAACCACTAGAAGTCGACGATGCTCAAGCTGCCCGCCTGCTGCCCCTCATTGGGAATCACCGCAGGTATTGGAAGTTTTGCTTGGGCCTTCACCAGTCGGCCACACTAGCAGCAACTCGTCAACCTCTCTTAAACTTCTTGTCTTTCTAGCCACCTTACCTAGGGTACACTTGATTTCTCGAGTCTATGCCTGTTTGTTGAGCACTTGAATATCTAGCCCATTCTCCTTGCAGAGCTCGCCTACCTGCCTTAGTTTCTGCTGTCTCCGTCTGACTGACGCACGACCGCCACCATAACATCGTCGCCGTTGTTGCAAAATCGCCCATTGCAGGTGGCGGACGAAAACCGAGCTGCCTCGTTCGAGTCGACTCAGAACAGCGCACCAACGGAACCCGCAACTCAGCAGAGAAGCTCCTACACGAGTGCGACCAGCATTCTCTTTGGTTCGCAAACCACCTCGCAAAGACCCGTCACCCGCGACACTTCCGTGTTTAGCACGTTCCCGCTTGTATCGTCTTCATCTACAACCCCAGCCATGGATGCTAAGAGACACCCCAGCTCTTTTCAACAGCTGGAGAAGCTGGGCGAGGGCACGTATGCAACTGTACGTCGACAATCTCCCAACACTAGACGCCAGCACGCACGAGGCGGCCATGTCAACTAACCTGACTCGGTTTCAAATAGGTGTTCAAGGGCCGAAATCGCCAGACGGGCGAGCTAGTCGCATTGAAGGAAATTCACCTCGATTCCGAGGAGGGCACACCATCCACTGCCATTCGAGAGATCTCCCTCATGAAGGAGCTCAAGCACGAGAACATAGTCGCACTCCACGATGTTATCCACACCGAGAACAAGCTTATGCTGGTCTTTGAGTACATGGACGGTGATCTCAAGAAGTATATGGATACCCACGGCGATAGGGGTGCCCTCAAGCCCATGACCATCAAGTCCTTTATGTATCAACTGCTAAAGGGCATTGACTTTTGTCATCAGAACCGTGTCCTCCATCGAGATCTCAAGCCTCAGAACTTGCTAATTAGTCCCAAGGGCGTGCTGAAGCTTGGCGATTTTGGTCTTGCTCGTGCCTTTGGAATTCCCGTCAACACATTCTCCAACGAGGTTGTGACCCTGTGGTACCGCGCCCCAGATGTGCTCTTGGGCAGTAGAACCTACAACACTAGCATCGATATCTGGTCAGCCGGATGCATCATGGCTGAGATGTACACTGGTCGGCCGCTGTTCCCCGGCACAACCAACGAAGATCAGATCATTCGAATTTTCCGCATCATGGGCACGCCCACGGAACGAACGTGGCCCGGCATCACCCAGTTCGCCGAGTACAAGCCCAACTTTCAGATGTATGCAACCCAGAGTTTGCAGGCCATTCTGCCGCAGATTGATCAGTTGGGCATTGATCTCCTTCAGAGAATGCTAGTATTACGTCCCGAACACCGAATCAGCGCACATGATGCTCTGCAACACCCGTGGTTTAGCGATATTGTGCAGCAGCAAATGATGCAACAGCAGCAGGCAATGCACTCACAATCTAGAGGGTACTCATCACAAATCCCCATACCATCTCAGTCGGCTTACCAAGGTGGATATTAGGTACAATCAGTAGCGCGGATACGAGAACACACAGGCTTCGCCATCATGGCTCGGAGTCTTCGAACGAGGGGATAGCTACTACCACATGGCCGGAACAGTGCCGAATGCTAGGCCCATTTATACAATTGGCCTAGGCACTGCTGGGGAAAGATGGAAACCCAAGCTCTATGCGGCGATGTAGATGGGAGATGAAAAGGAAGGGGATCCTGTAGGTACTCAGTATAACTATTGGCTGGGTTAGTATGATGTGATGCGAAGTGAAGGGCGTTCACGGATCTGTTTAGTGGCATCGTTAGATTACGTTTCTGGTCCGTGGAGTCGGATGGCGTTATGATCAATCTCTAATCAGTAATACCCCCAGAGTCGTAGAATGAACAGTGGCGACATTTTGAAAGATGATAGAACTTGGCTCGTGTACATGGTGTCTCTTCATACCTACCAAGATAGTGAGTCTCAGTTCGGCCCCAGTAACGTGGCGTAGAGATTTAGGGCACCAATGTAATCGTAAAATGCCCCAAAGCCCAGCTTTCTTGATATGTTCTCATTGTCCAAGCGCCAGGCCATGTCAGCAATCACATGACGATGTTGCGGGTGGCTGAATCAAACGTGAACACCAGTCATACGTATACACGTATATATTGGGGACTTGTGGTCTAGACGCGCTGGCGCTCAATGACGAAGCAGGCAAAAAGCGCATGCAGTGTAAGTATACCTAGAGACAGAGAGAGAAAAGAAGAAGAAAAATCATTATTTCGGCTTGGTAATCTCAAAGAATTCCTTCAAACCTTCTACCACTACATCGACGTTCATATTGACAAGAGGCATTTTATCATAGCTGTCCTCCTTCATGATGGCAACAAGCGCCAAGTACTTATCGACCTCCCGAAGCATGATGGGCCGGTTGCCGTCGGTAAGGACCATGCAGCTCTCAGCCCAGGTGCTGGCGACCTGGTCCTCAAGTTTCTGGTTCCATGGTTCGCCTTCTAGAACTTCGCGATAGCCTTGGGAGCGTGGCCAACTGCCGTATACTTCTGTAAGGTCGATGATGACGTCAATGTAATCCGAGCATATTTCATAGCTGGCCATGTCCGCTGGGGCACTATCCGTGGCAATGTATATCTTTGACAAGACATCAAATAGGTACGCCTTTTCGAAGCGGCACGTTCGACAAAGATTCGTTAGCATTGCTTCGAGGCTGCCGAGGCGAGGTATCAGCTTCTGGATAACCTTGCTGAAAGCCTCAAATATGCTGTGGTTGTAAATGCTGGTTTGATGAAAGCGGATGGGAACATTGTCAAAGCCGTGGTCGGACATTTCGTCTTGGATGCGGATGGTGATATCCCTCTGTATATCCATCTTGTAGTCGTCAGACAGTCCGTCCACCTTGTGAATGAAGACCTCGATCTTGATATTAGGAAATCTGCTCTGTAGATTGAGGATGGTGACGTTGAGCCGAGCGACGGCTTCCATATAGTCATCTTGAGCATCAATCACCCATATGAGAGCTCCTATCTCCCCAAACATGGCATCGATGTCAAACGTGGGATTCTCAAAAATGTCAATCTGACCAGGAAAGTCCCAGACTTGAAAGTCCATAAACGACCTGACTCGGAGCTAAGCAATGACATCTCATGACAAGGAAATAGCCAAGACTTACGCCATCGAGTCTTTCTGGATACGTGCCGTGGATTCCAAGAATAAAGTCTCGCTTGGTGGCAACTTGTGGAAGACGACGCTCGATATCGAAGACTTGCCACTCCTATCTTGCGTTAGATCCTCGACCTAGACACTGGCTAGTATGACCTTACCTTCTTTGACCCATCAAGAGCAGCCGAGGCTTTCCTTTTGTTGGCGGCCCCGGATTGAGTAGCTCTGGCGCCGCGGCGCCATTCTTGGGTTGTTGACCCTGTCGAAGTCGATTCTGTTCAAACACACGTTCAAGATTTAGCTGAGCTGGACTGAGCGAACCTGGTCCTTCGGTGGTTTGACGGGCACCTCCCAACTCGGAAGTTATGTCCCATCCGCTGAGCCGAGAGGCCATGATGCGATGCTTTGGGAAATATGATTGTTCAAGGAAATGGTGCAATCGGTAGAATCCTTGCAAGAAAATGAAGTTGGTTGGGCTCTTGCAAACCGATGCCGTCAAGGTCTCTGGTCGTGCCGCAACTACGTCAAAGCAATTGTCCAAAAGTCAAAGCTTCCAATCAAAGGCTTGGTTTTTGTCGTTGTCTAGAGAGCGAAGTGATAGTAATTCGAACCTCAGAATGACCCGATATCCGTCCTTGGCGAACAAACGACCTTTTGCCGGAGCTGCCGAGCGTCGAGGCTCGAATCCGGCGGCGAGCTGGTCGACACGCTCAGAAGACGGTGGTGTCGAGACGAGCGCACATGATAGGCAAGACATGAAGCCATCGATGTTGATAATGCGGTTGGTGTGCCATGTTGTCGTGCGGGACGCTTTCGATGTATATGTTGGACTGATTGAGAACCCTCGTTTTTTCGAGAACAGGGAATAAAAAATAAAAATAAATGGTGGCTGACCTCGTCGTTCCACGAACAAGCGGCTTGAGACTCAGCTCAGGAGATGACTCAATGCACAGGGCTATCACGCTCGGACCTGCCTGCGCCGTCTGCCTGCTCCTATCGTTTACGTCGACCCAATTGCTTCAGGTTGTCACGGGAAAGCCGCAGGCATTAAGATGAACATGTATCATCTTGGGAACTGTGAGTCCAGATTTCTTGTACCACTAGGCAGGCAAGACTGGGAGAAGTGCTTCCAATTTCAGAGAGACGCGCGCAGGGGAATTTGAAGATGCGGAAACGTTTCGGATCAGAGATATTGAGATAGGAAATCTTGTCTTACCTCCATGGCTGCAACGCTTCGTAAGAGGTCTCTAAGGAACCCAGGAATTTGGGTAGAGCGATCCTGCTAGTCACTCCTTCTACGGCAGCTGAAGCCGTGCCTCTCTACGTTGGGCTGCAACGACTCGCACGTCCTTTATTACCCTGGCTGGTCTTGGGTTTTTGGAGGAGCGCCGTCCTGGATGACCTATTCGATAAGATAGACTTTGCTTGACACCGTGGATCTCTGTGCATCAACCCTCCCGGGCCGACTGGCGTTGGGTCGTACGGAGAGTTGGTTGGCCCAAGAAAATGCCTGTGAGCATTGATTGTATTGTGTTGTGAGTAGACGCCGTGCGTGGGATTGCACGTTAGGGAGCACAGCAATCACAGAAATCATCCAACAGACAGCAATGACAAGAAAGTCCAGAGGTCGGTCGAAAGGGCTCAACGCAGAGTTGCTGATACAAACGGCCCGCGAACAAGCCGACTGCTGCAAGAGAGGGTTGGTGTGGCCTTTGGTATGAGTCTGCAGATGGTTCCAGTTGAGCTGTCGCCAGCGTGTGCGTTTGCTGAGCCCCAAAGCGAGGGATGATGTTGTGGCTCTGCCTCGGCGGGTGAGATCCTTCTTCAGCAGCTTGAGGCGTCTTGAATCTTCTGAAAGACCTGAGAAATCGAAGTCGCCAATGCTCACGAGAAGTAAAGTATGTAGTAGTATTCCAAGGTTCCATCCGGATATGCAAGGCTGATGGAGTCAAGCGACGTGTGTGTGTGTGTGTGTGTGTGGTGGGTGGAGCGAGACGGCAAGTGAGGCTAGTGACTGCACAGTGTATCTGTTCTGGTCATTACACGGAGTCACCACATGTCCAGGTCAATACGATTGACATGTACATGCAGTATACACTCTGTGTCTATTCTGCATGTACATGTCCATTAATAAGTATCGTGAATCAAGACACCTCCTAAGGGTAAGCAAGGGTGGTCAATTGCAAACTTACCTGTATACACCGAAGTAATTGGTTCACACAGGTTTCATTCGGTATGCATATCACTATATAAGTATAAGTATCAATTTACAGTGACGTCAGTCGACACCCTCAATGTGCAGCACAGATGATCGCACTCCACTCTCTGCTGTGCACTCCGTATGATGCGCTGCACGGTGAAGATGTTTCCAGCGCGATAGACAACCACAAGGTATCAAATACTTCAGCCACCTTTTCAACACTACTACTTGGATCCCACAAACGACAGGAGTAAGGCATTCTGGTAAACAACAGCTTTCACTCGAGTCTTATTCTATCCCTCTTAAACAGGCAGATGTACCGGCTATTTGAATGCAAGAAGAGAGCTGTTTATTAATGGGCAATTCATTACAGAGTATGCTTCCGAGCTTAGAAACTACGAGCTGTCTAATTGTGTCTAGAAAAGACAGAGTAGATCAAGTGACCAATTTGTTAAACCTGGCCCATAGAACAAAGCTATTCCAGTTCAATGCCCCTCCAAATTCCGTACTCCAGCACGCCAGTGCATTACGATGCTGATGAGGGAGTCATGGGTCGTAATTTCAGTTGGCCAACGCCGCGGCGCTCTTGGCACGTCTTTCTTTACTCAATGACTTGCCTGCAAACAAGGCTGTTACGAAGCTTTTCCGGCGGGTTGCCGTCTTGGCGGGCTTCTCCTCGGCCAGTCTGCCAGGCGAGTCTGCTGGTGGAGTGAGAGGATGCTCGGGGATGGCAGTGGTGATCATAGGAGTGTCGCCTGTACTGGCCGGGGGCGTAGGCAGTGTATCAAAACCTGGGTTTGGATTCACGGCTGTGCTCGGTTTCGAGTTCAGCGAAGCGAAGGACTATTTGTTCTTCATCATCAGCTGCGCCGTCGGGGCAGAGACAGAGAGAGAGAGAGAGAACGAAGAAAATGTGCAGAAAAGGAATCAGGCTTACGCGGACACTAAGCCTCTTGATCTTTAGCGGTTTGGTCGACGACTCGCGACCCTGCTCGACTTCGTCTGCTGTCACTTTATCCAGATCGTCCAACTCGCCAGCTACCGTTTTCCCACCATTGGCGACATCTTCTTCAGGCGTAGCGACGAACCTAACGTGCCCCCTCGCAGGTGCAACCCCTAGGCTTTCCTGGATTTGCTTTTGGATGAGGGCCGCATTTCTCTTGTTCATGGTCGGTTGCACCATATCTGGCAACGCGAATATCGACAGAGTGTATGCACTGGGTTCCCAAATTCGGTATTAGCTGAAATTTCATCCACAATCTATACGATATGCCGCCCTCTTCAGGCCACGACAACCTGAGGACAGGCAAGCGAGGGACTGGCATTAAGAATATTCTTACGGGTCAAAGGAGCCACCAAACATCAAACAGCAACCGTGTTGCAAGTTGATTACAATGGATGACATGGATCTCTGGTATCTATTGGACAGGTGGTACGATAAATCTGTTATGAAGGTGAATTCGTCTTGTATCTAGTCGAATTTGTTAAGAAGGAAACAATACACTGAAAAGGGGAGGAGACAACTATCAGACAGACCAGTATGCCGGGAACTTACAATGACGTTTGTGCGCAGCTCGGCCAGGACAATGGCCTCATTTCGCACTCGATCCTTGGTAGAGTCCATCTCTCGACCAGCGGCAAACTCATTCTCGTAGTATTGGCTTCTCTTCTTGGACAGGCCTGGTTGGCGTTGTGACCTGCGGTGGTGAACCATATCTCCCGGAGGCGGCCGGTCAATGTTCCTCATGACATGATTTCCTTCGACAATGTTGGATCTGGATGGACGCGGCAGCTGGGCTTTGCGCTGCGCAAAAGACAGGTTGGCTGGGGAGGCACCACCACCGCCATCGTGCCGGAGAGGCGGGTTGGTGGCAGGTTTATAGGATAAATGGGACCTGGCAACCAGACTTCCATTCGAAGGTGACTGCTGCTGCAGCATGCTGCCTGCCTGCCTGCCTGTCTATCGGAACGAGCGATGGCACGGACTGGTGGATCGCTAATGAGACGAGACACGATGCTTACACAAGTAACCGTTCGCCGGTGCGGATGCTAACCACCTATAGGTAGACTAGTGCCTATTGCCCCCCCTTATGTCTCGCTGAACAAGATGCCAGTGCTTCTAGCCGGTCGAGTTTGATGGGTCTAGGATATGGGCGTATTTCAGGTCAACCAAACTGGAGGACCGCGATCTAGCGTCCCTAAAATGTATGTACGTGGGTGGGTGGTTAGGTAGGTAGGTAGGTAGGTAGCAGTAAGGAGCTGAAGAGGTGTCGAACGCCGCCAATGCCAGCAAGACGCCGCAACGCTACTGTAGGTAGACAAATGTAGTCTTCGTATTGCCCCGTTCAAGGTGGCTTACTAGCTGAGTGTTTGTCGGTTGGGAAGAGGTGAGAGCTTGTCGAGGCGTGGCAATGACTGAACAGTGTTTTTTTTTTTTTTTTTGGTTGCCAATGAAAACGGTAATTCAGCTTCCAAAAGACTGTTTGGTCGAAACGATGCCTGTACAATGGCAACGGACAGGCAGAATTATTGGCAGGTAAAGGTAGTTGGTGCGACCTTGAGGTCAAATTTTGACTGCTCAGTCCTCACAGACACCTCCAAGAAAGAAGAGAAAAAAAGAAAAAAAAAGAAAGAGAGAAAAAAGTGAGAGAGACAGGTGCCAAAACTGCGGGAGATAGACCGCAGATGATTTTCTTTTCCAGAAGCGGGAATGATCCCTTAGTTGCGGAAGTCGAGATACTGTTAAACAGTCGAAGGATCGATCGATAGAAGAAGGAAAGAAAGAATTAGAAAAGAAATGCGCTGGCAATTGCTGGATCAAGGCGGTAACATTACTTGTGTTTGCTTGACTAAAAGATGCAGCATTGGTTGTACATACACTAAAACCAAAACCACCAGATAGATAGACGGATGATTGAGGTGATTTATCAACTGGGCTCGTTGAGTGAGTACTCAAGATACAAAGTAAAATTTATTTTTCCTCCCTTCCTTCCCCTAGCAAGGCTGCCAAGCGAGAAATTCCGGATAGGAGCCCGCCCACCTTTCGCGCAACGATGGAGAGACGGGGAGACAGATACCTCGTTGTCCTTGAACAACAATTATACAAGTGATGACATCTCGTGTCGTGGAGTGAGCGCAACCGAGACACACTGACTGCAACGGGCCTGTGAACCGTCAAGACCAACTATCCAACTACATTACATTGCCTACGTAGATGACCAAACACGCCAATCATGATTGAAGTGCTCCAGGTGAGATTGTTCCGTCGGCACGATCTATTGGGCTCGAATGTAGAAAGATAAGGATAGTCGCAGATGGCTCTGTCGCAAGAATGCAACCCTCCTTTCCTTCATTGTGTTCGGGTACGGATAATATCTATACATAATTATGCAATATACGTTGCAGGCTTCAGGTACCAAGAAAAGCTGATCAGACGTGGCGCCCAATACTACTTGCTTGCATAAATCCCAACGACGCGGGGCTGATATATTGAACATTGTAAGGAGGAAATATGATTCTTTTCTTTTCTTTTTTCCCCCCACTCTAAATTACATGACCTGTACTACACATCCACCTGCCGGCCAGCCACTCAATTGAGAAGCTACCCGGAATGCTGTATAAAAAAGGGCCCACACGGAACTTTGCCGAGACTTTATCTTAAACTCTAGCCACCGAGACCAACAGTAGCATGGATGTGTGTTGATTGGTTAGATGACTGGCTGTCTTTCTCTTGCCGCAATGCAGCTATACGCGGCCAGTTCAGTTCCTATCTAGAGTCTTCATTTACAAATGCTGATTACTCTCATTTCTTCACTAAATGCACAAAATAGAGGATTTGTTTAAATATGTTACAGTGTCTCTCAAGGCAAACAAAGTCCGAATGATGGAGGTCATGTTTGAATAGATACACGTACCAAAGTAAGAAAAAAAATCTTGATCCTTGAATTGATTAGTAGATTATTTTCGAATCTTGCCCTGCCAGCGACCATGGCCGTGAAATTTGACGCGAAAAGATAGGGACTTTAGTACGTATACTATGTATGATACAACAAATGGTTCAGTCTGAATATTGGGGTCCAGCGTGGAAATCACTGCGCTTCCTCATATCCTCCACTCTCGACTCTGGATTGCAGGCCTTAAATGCATAGTTCTTGCACACGTAATCCACCATATGCCCGATGATCATAGTAACCAGACTCTCATGTGTCCAACACTACACAGATGGGGTTGGGCTATCGCGCTTACCAGGCTGGACAAGTGATGCGGCTCTCTTCTCGAGGGTACATTGGTATCCAGCCAAGGACAAGACGATAGCTTCAACGGGTACCAGGACGACCGATAGATACAGAGCGGTTTTGCTCTCGCGACAGAGTGTACCGAAGTATGGCTGCACCCTCATCTCAACCGACTCCCACTGGCAGCTCCAGCTCTGCAGCGTGTCGACTGTCGTGGATGTGTTGACGGCGTAAAAGAAAATCATGGCGATCATTGAGGCTGCGAAGCCGATAAAAGGCGTAATGAAGCATACTAGTGTGTGAGCCGACACTTTGCGGCGAAGCTGCAGAAGTATTCCATGTCAGTCTCTCTCTCTCTCTCTCTCTCTCTCTCTCTCTTTCTTTCTTCCCCGAAATGTTTACAGCTTCTGGGTAAACAAGCGCCAGTTCAAGAATTTCAACGTACAGAAGGTATCTTGCTAAAGACAAGCGAGAGAATGCTGGCCAATACGACAATGGCGCTGCCCACCACCAGTGCGACGGTTGGCCGGGCATCAAACTCATCGGGCCATAGTGGTAGGAGAAAACCTGTCGACACCGAAGTGGTGTTATACACGTTTAGTGCGTGTCCGGATGTCCCCAAGACAGTGACACCGCAGAGAAGACTGAGAAGCGTAAGACTGAGCCTGAGCCCGTCGACTGCGCGAATAGATCGGTGATTATATTGAGATTGCAAATCCGGAGAGGCTACCTCGAGTGCCGAGGCGGCGACCGGGGTTTTGGTATCCTGAGACATGACACAGCAAGAATGAATGAATGAAATGTTTCGACTCGACCAGGAGACTGGACCGAAAGGGTGAGTGGGAGGGAACGACTTGAAAGAAGGCGTGGCCAGAGGAACGAAACAATGCACGAAGAGAGACAAGAAAAAGGCACGCTCAGAGGTCAGCCATAGGAGGAGATAGATCGTGGAATGGCACAAATGAGAGCCGGATAAACAGAGAAAGAAACAAAATCAACCCACCTCTGGCAGTTGCGAAACACGCAATTATGAAGGCAGATCCTCAGCAGAGATGCCAGCGCGGGGGTTACAGCAAATAAGCTCGAGTTGCTGCGACGATCTAATGATAGACTGCCATCATGTATCCGAATAGCCTCAGCGAAGCGCTCATGCACAACGAGCGCCTGCCTTTGCAACCACTCAGGAAGGCTGCCGCCGGGGCCAGAAAGCACCAAGTGTTAAGGTTGAGTCGGCAGATTCTCCCCGGATTGGCTGCGACTCTTTTCCATGCAACCCAGTATGGCACCCGGCGGGCGCTTAGAGGCGTGTGGTGACCAGCCATCAGCCAATGAGTATGAAGCGGCCTGGTTGCGCTATGCCTCAATAACCCGTGCTTTCTTCTCGTGCAGCTCACAATTTCTATATTTGTATGCAAGCGAGGAGCGAGGCATTGAATCGACTGCAGCTCTTGGTCGACCTGCCAGGTACCGTACTAATGTACCATGTAGCTGCCATCATAAATCATGAATGGTCGTCTTTTAGCTGGGCTTCCTTTCACCGTGTACTACAATAGTAGATTGTGCAGGCCAGGCCAGGCCGGGCTTTCTGATATGCTGCAGCGCTTATATTTTAACATGGAACTTGAAGGGAGAAGAAAGACCTCTTGGCGGATGCGATGCAGATATACATTGCCTGCTCCAGCTTTTTACACAGGCTCGGCTGCTGCATAAGACTGACGTGTTAGTACTTGGAGGGAAGGGCAATTGCCGTGCTCCCTATTGTACATTGAACCTACCTTTGCCGAGCCGCTTCTCCATCTTGATCACACAAGGAAAAGAAAAGGCCTACAAATATTCAACCACACCAGGAAATTGGTGTACAAAACAAGACATGGCTATGCACCCCAACCCATTCACCCATCGAGTTTCTGCATCTCGATCACCATGTCTCTCACTATTGTAGCCCCGGATAATGGCCATGATTCTTCGACATAGCATTTGGCGTCATATGGCAACGCGGCCAGGCCATCCACCCCCCCTACAAGCACGCATGCACACGATTCGAGACCTGGACCCATGCACAGATAATTCCATTATGTAGATACAATACATCGTTGAAACGCCTCGTAAATGTCATGGCCGGTATCATTTATACAATCAATGGTGCTGACGCCAGCATCTCTGGAGCCCTGCCGTGTTCTTCTCACAGGTATTTCTTGGGCAGTGTCTTCTTGCGCTCATACCAGATATATGCGAGTACCAGCACAATTTGGCTGCCAATGATGACGAAAATCAATTTTCCGTGTGTTGGTTGCGTCTTTTCGGCAACGTGCAAGAGCATATCCCCATGGGAGCTGCCTAGCATCTTCTTGATCGCATTTTCCGAATCTCTGACCTTGTTGCCTGTCTCCTGCTTGATTGTCTTGATCTCTCGCTCAAGGCTGACAATGTGGCTCTGCAGAGCATCGATCTTGTTGAGCTTTTCGAGCAATTGCTTAAGCTCGTTGATGGACGTCGACGTCTCCTCGTGGCGCTTCTCACCAATGCTGTCTTGAGATGCGACTTTGCGGAAAATGGTTGAAAGGTGATGGTTGACACTTTGAAGTCGATTGTGCAGATCAGCAAATTGGGCCTCGGAGCTTATAATCGAGGCAGCCGTAGCATCTGCAATGTCCTGTTCCCACCCATTGTCGTCTACTGGCATGTTCTTCTCGTAGCCGTGACCGCCGGGGTTGCTCCAGGTGTTCTGTTGCTGGCCTTGCTGATTCATCTGCTGCTGCGTTGGCTCTTCGTGCTGCTTGTTGAGATCCTCAGTCATGACAACAAACTTGAAGATCTCGAACGAGTCTGGATTTTCCGCGCTTGCCGCAGTAAGACCAAAGCTGTATCCCGGAGGGATTTGGATATTGCTGCTCTCGAAGCAGAGAGTTCCGTCAACCTCCACCTTGAAGTTGTCTTGCGTCTGGCGCAATTTGATCTGCGATGGGCGGCCCAGATTTCGGTAGCTGTAGTCGCAATGTCCAAACGCCAGACTGTCGACACTGTGGTGCGAGCTGTAGTCGGTTGTGCCGTCGTTCAAGAAACCTCGAACCATACCCGCCCCTCCGCCAGACCGGTCAATAACGAGAGCGAGACCATCAAAACGGCCAACAGTGTATATGCTCGCGGTGCCAATGTCCTGGACACCGCGGCGCGCAAGCCAGATATTGAGATTGCCTCCGCCTCGCTCGGGGCCATTTACGCGAAAGTCGACATCTGCCACCCACTCCTTATACTTGTTGGAATTATCTCCCCAGACTGCGCCTCTGGCATTGCCGGGCGACGGTTGTGTGAGGATGATTTTGTTGGAGAGGATCTCTGGTACGTCGGGTTCGCCTTGTATGGAGAAGAGAGGGACGGACTGTTGCCCCTTGTCGTTTATCCTGTTGATGGTAATGCCCATTAGTATGCGGTCCTGTCTGAGGCAAGTAATTGGTGCACAACGAGCTGGACATACCGGCCAGTGTAGCCAAAACTGAGTTGATCGACCAGGAACTGAGCCTGAGCTTCAGCGACCGAGATTCCAGCAGCAAGCCATGCGGCCAGGGAGGCCGGGCGAGAGAAGCGCATCTTTGGCGGCTTGCAGTGGGGAAGGGTCGGCAGCAAGCTTTTAGGAAGCTGCAGAAGAAAGCAAATGACAGTTACCTGTAGTGATATTGTACAATTTGCAGCTTGTGGGTATTGTGAGACCTGGAGCAATGCCGACGTGAATGCTTCTGCTGTGTGGGATCTTTCCCAGTTCCCCCAACTGGGTAAGCTGAGGACACTTTGTCTCGAAATGGGGGACCCCTAATAAGTCTGCTAAGCTAGCAGTTTGACCCCAAGTACCTACCTTAGTGAATGGGCAACAGCAACTATAACTGAACCACCTACCCGACGTGCATGGGTAATGTAGGTAAAATGCCCAGTGTCAAAAAGGCTCTTTCTTCTTGGGCGGGCCGGGATCCAGCCAAGACGGATCCAGAAAAACAAGGGTTCCGTAGTACATTATCGGGTTCTGTGCGCAAGTCCTTCCCAATTTTCGTTCTCGGGGACAGATATACGCTTCCAGGTTCAGATATGTGAGACTGTATCAGATGATTTCTTTATCCTGGCAATCGCATAGTCCTCAGCTTCTGCGCACGCAAGCAACCGACTTAGATTTCTATGGTCAACCTAGAAACTCGACATACTGAGCAATACTAATCAACATGCGTCCATTCTTGATCTGGTCAACACCTCAAGGTGGACATATTATGATCCAAGTCAATGAACAAGCTTCTCCAACTGGTGCAAGTAAAGATTGAAAGATGCTCGGTGGCCTGTTGTGTTCTACCTTGAGATGACCTTGCAATGTACTATGTAGCAGCTCTGACCTCGAATTGGTATTTCATGGGTTTGTTCACCACTGTACACACAAGAGACCTGGTAAAGTAGGGGGTTAGGCCAACTAATGTAGGTACTATCATACACAGTAGGCCTGAAACGGATGGAGTAGAGCCAACATAACATTTGAAGAATCAAATGTTACATGTAGTTTTCATAAGTCTAGCGTCGACACGCGCTTCTGGGGTGCCGCGCTGCGCGCTACCAGGTTCCTTAGTTGATGCATTTTCTCTCGAGTCACTACATTTGAAGCACTACTAATGCATCCCCGCCACATATGTACAGTTAAAGTACAGCGATACTGTCAAGTATATTGGTACAAATAGACAAGAATGACATGGAGATCAGATTTGTGAAGATGAGCACGATCGAGGAAAAAGTCCTAGCAAAACTGAATTGACAAGTCTGATCGACCATTGGTTCTTCTTTTCTTTGTTTTATTTTTATGATTACTATCACAGACAATCGCTTGATGTGAAGAGTGAAGACTTACAGATAAAATGTGCAACCGGCTAACCTAGGTAACTACTTCGTACATTGTTAGGTACCTGGGCGGTCCACATTAGTCGGTGATTTCGTGGCCTTTCACGCCAACGAGACTTCTTCATTTGGAGAGACCCTAGCATCTTTTTGTGAACAACCACTACCATCGTGGTCGTTTGCTCACGTCTCGTCTTGTCGCAATCGGGTTCACTTTCTCTCAAAGCCGACAACATTCAAAGGCTCTGAAGCTCAGCATACCTGTATTGTTGGCCATGCTGTCTTGATCATGACGGAGCACTACCCGACCCTTGCGCAATGCGCCGTTGTTGCGACTGCACTCAAGATCCTCCTATTTCCAGCCTAGTATGTTGCAATTTGCTCTGCTCTGCAGAGGCAGAAAGTTCGCACGAGAGCTTTCCTCCCCTACGTTCGCAGGAGTCACCGCCGTCGCCGCCAGAAACTGAGCTAACCATCGCACAACAGTAAATCAACGGATTTTGAGGTTCATCGCAACTGGCTGGCCATTACCCACAGCTTGCCCGTATGGGAGTGGTATTATGAGAAAACTTCGGAATGGACTTTGGATTACCCCCCTTTCTTTGCCTATTTCGAATGGGCACTCTCCCAGGTTGCCAAGCTGGTCGATCCTCTGATGTTGCGTGTGTACAATCTGGAGTATGATAGCTGGCAGACGGTTTACTTCCAGAGATTCACCGTCATTGCCACGGAACTAGTTCTGCTATACGCACTTCAGATGTGAGTTGCCCTCTCCATATGCAAATCCTCGGTGACGGCAGCTTAAACGTCTATGTTGCACTCTAGGTTCATCGATGCCAACCATGGAACCGCCCGGCGGGCTGCTCAAGCCGCTGCTATTTCTATTTTCCTATCTCCGGGCCTCCTCATCATTGACCATATCCACTTTCAGTACAATGGTTGTATGTACGGTATCCTCATCGCGTCTCTTGTCTTGGCTAAAGAGCGCTCTGGTCTTCTTGCCAGCGGACTTGTATTTGCTGCCCTTTTGTGCATGAAACACATATATGCCTACCTTGCGCCAGCGTATTTTGTGTATCTGCTTCGAGTATACTGCCTCTCGCCAAGATCAATCTTGCGTATCCAGTTCCTCAACTGCATCAAACTCGGCACCGGCATCCTAGCCATCTTGGGTGCCGCATTCGGTCCTTTTGCCCTGAAAGAGCAGATCCCGCAGATTCTGAGCCGCCTGTTTCCATTCTCGCGCGGTCTATGTCATGCGTATTGGGCCCCCAACGTGTGGGCATTGTATTCCTTTATGGATCGTGTCCTGATCTTCGGTGAGTTTCTCTGCAAAAGGTCCGCCAGGGCGTGACAAGTGACTGACATGAAAGCAGCGGCCCCTCGACTTGGGTTGCCGGTCAAGGAAGAGGCATTAAACAGTGTGACTCGTGGACTGGTGGGCGACACGTCCTTTGCCGTCCTCCCCGAGGTGTCGGCAAGGACGTGCTTTGTTCTCACACTTCTTTTCCAAGCCATACCACTCACCAAACTCTTCCTCCAACCCAACTGGCATGCCTTCGTTGGAGCAGTCACACTCTGTGGTTATGCGTCGTTCCTATTCGGATGGCATGTCCACGAGAAAGCTATCCTGCTCGTTATTATCCCCTTCAGTCTCATAGCACTCAAGGACCGAAGGTACCTTAGTGCATTCCGACCCCTAGCTGTGTCTGGTCATGTCTCCCTCTTTCCACTGCTTTTCACACCGGCCGAGTTTCCCATCAAGACAGTCTATACCGTGTTCTGGTTGATTCTCTTTCTGATGGGTTTCGATCGCCTCGCACCAGCATCCAACAGACAGCGATTCTTCCTGTTTGACCGATTTACGGTGCTGTACATTGCGATCAGTATCCCCTTGATTGCTTACACGTCCCTGATACATCAGATGGTGTTTGGGAAGAGCTACGAATTTCTCCCATTGATGTTCACGAGCTCCTACTCAGCAATAGGAGTGGTTGGAAGCTGGCTGGGATTCATGGTAGTTTACTTCACCTCGTGAAATTTCGGAGCATTCAAGGACCGGTTGTCCAGTAGTTTCAGTTTTTCTGTAGAAAAACTAAGAACACATGGTTATGACCAGCGCAATGTCATTGAACATTTTCCAATTCATGTTCCCGTGAAGATGCCTGTGCTCGAAACGTCCCCTAAGAGAGGTCGAATATCTGATGATAAGCTCTGTAAAGTGTCGTGGTGCGAGGGAGCTGAAGGTCCCCAACTATACATATCGTGCTGGCAACCTTCCTTCAGATCCGGTAGTACCTATGCCAAGGTGGTACCGGTTGGTATGGATTGTTTAGGCCCAGAGGTGGCCTTCTTCCGACACCAATCCCTGCTGGCGACCTTTAGTTGGCCGGGCTCAGTCTCACCAGGGGCCCATCTACGCGAAATAATTTTGTATTCTACAAACAAAGGACACGAGAACGCGGGCGGGGCGCGTATACATCTTTTATAAATGCATTAACACATGTCCCGCCTCGAATTGGGTCTTTGGCCAATGGCTGGGCGCGCCATCTCAAAGGTTTCCCACCCGGAGCAAACTTGATGGATGGATTATACTGGGCCACAATTCCAGCAACAGACGTGTCAATGACGTATAGTTGACATGAAAAGAAAGAGGATAAGTCACAGAGAGGGAAACAAGTTGCTCTGGCGGATTTTGCTGGATTTCGGCGGGAGCATATGAAGTCGAAGACGCGGTGCCCGAGGAGGCAGCTCGCCGGCAAAACGACCTACCTTGAAGGCGGGAGGCAGGGAAATCCCAGAGGGACGGATAAGTAAAGATTGAGCAGTCGAAAAAGAACAGTTCGGGGCTTGAAAAACTCGCGCGGCCGCGACGAGCAGATTGAGTACAAGAACGTGTGGGAATTCGCATTTGGCGGCGTGATGCATGGACAAAAGGAAGAAGTTGATGGGGGTGGGTAGAGGTAGGAGATGATGCTCGTAGATCCACCAGCAAAATCGAGGTGGACTCGCAGACCCAATCGAGCACATCCCCTACCCACAACCGGACAGACGGACCAGTCAGCATCGAGCTTGGGGCTTCGTCTAAACCCCCGGTCTGTCTTTCACTTCCCTTCCCGTCCGTCGTTCCGCCTTCTTTCTCTGTCTGCGTGCGTGGTAGGTCGGTTCCATGTATACGTACTAGTATGTCGGAGAGCAAAAGGGCAAGGAAGGGGGAAAAAAAAAGAAGAAGAAGAAGCTCTGGGCTTCCACACTAGAAAGGGTACATAGCTTACCTGTGCTAGCCTGCATCTAACAACTACATCTACTCCGCAGGTTGTATTCTTCTCTACTTCTCTTGGTATGTCTTGGGATTGGCCCCGAAGCTGTCTTTTTTTTTTATTTTTATTTTTTATTCTCTCTCCCTGCAGATGCCACGCTCACTCGTTGTCGAGACCTAAACTACTAGGTTAGTCAGTCTCCATCCCGTTACATTACCGCCAGTCCGTCTCTAGTCCTGATCCTTGAGTCCTTGTTGCCAATGCAAATGCTGCGCTTTTCTCGCGCGCGCGCGCTCACTCTCTCTCTCTCTCTCTCTCGCACACACACACACACACACACACACACGCACACACAAGTCACTTTAGTTTTCTTACCTAACCTGGTCGTTTTTCCCTCTCACTCTCGCCCTCTCCCTTGCCTTCTTTTCTTCTAACCGCCACCATCTGCTTCGAAGCCTTTTCTCTTCCCCCCTCAAACACAACCACATCATCATATTTCGCCGGCACTCCGTTCCGTCGCGTCTGCCTTCGCCGGCAATCTGCATCTCGCGACTATTCTCGGTGGTCCTATGCGCTTGTCTGGACGCGTCCTATACCGCCCAGACCGCGTCTCGGTACCTGGACTGTCCTTGTACCCAGTATGTATACATTGTTTCCGCCCGTCCTTGCTTGACATATTCGTACTACATACCCTTTAGTCCGCTCACCCCAACTAGGTAACGGCTATCCACCACCACCACACCCTCACCCTTGGATTTTTCTGACTACCTACCTCACATACTCTGCATTGCACTACCCACTTTGCCTTATACTACCTTACTTTTGTCAACCAGGCACAATCCCTCTCCCTCTCCTTGCGCTTTCTCTCTTTTTTCCAACTACAACATACCTCCTGTCGCTTGCACTGCACTCTTTTACCAACTTGCGACCGCACTTATACGTGCGAGGCTGACCATCAGCCTTGCAGATTGATCGTCAATTAGTCTTCCGGCTACCTGCCGGATTGCCTTCGACGCCATGGTATGTGATGCCACTATTTTCAGATGTCCCATCGCCGCCGTTTTTCTCACCAATTCAGGTTCTCTTCAAACGCAAGCCAGTGCAGTTTCTGCAGACCCCCGTCGTCGAAGATGAATCCATAGAGGTACGTACCCTTTTCCACGTATAGTCCTCCTGCCCGCCCCAACCCGGCGCGCACCCATTTCCCTCCTTCCTCTTCAATTGATTTCTTTTATGCTAAATATATCCCTGTGTAGGTCTGGCATATACCCCAAACGGGGGAAATATTTACCTCTTACGAAGAATACTTGAATCGGTACGTGTGATTAACCTCTGTACTCCTTGCACACATGGATGGCTAACCCAAGTATCCCAGCATGGATTTCTATACCCAGGTTTGTGATCCTAATCCTCAGTGCCGGCTGTGATCCCGCGCTCTAACCAAGTTCTCAGCCGCGATTCATCTGCCAGATTACTGGTCACTCCGGTCTCACCTTTTTTGCAGCTCTCCGAAGCGAACAAGCCGGTGCCGAAGAAGTCGAACAAGCTTTCCCAGAAGCCCTCAAGGGTCCCGTATTGCGACGCGTCCAATTCCAGACGATTTCACGAATCGATAATCTTGTCGACATGATATACGACGAGTTCAAGGCCGATTACTATCCTGGAGAAGCTGTCACAATACACCTTATGAACGGCGAACGAACGACCGGTATCGTGAGAGACAAGGCGCGGCTCGGAAGCAAGGTACTCCCTGATGGGACACTCACCCCTCCGTATTCGCGCTACTTCACCAGTATCGATGGGCGACCTGGAGAAGAGGCCGCGGTCGACGAGAACAACATCTACAGGGACAGGAAAGTTTTCACCAAGTCCGTCCTGAGGTCCTTTATTAAGAAGACTGTCACTCGGGCAGCCTGGACTGGCGCACCATGGCTGGTCAAGCACGATGTTGCGGCACAGTACCACATCGACACCCGCGTTCCTCCTCATCTACAATACAACAACAAGTTAGCGGAACGTAAGCAACACCAAGCGCAGAAGAGAGCACTGGGTGTCCAAGACATGGTCTCCGCCAACGGCGCATCGCTTCACAACGCGCTGGGACCGGCCAGACTTCCCGAACTCAAACCAGCGCCCAAGGCTCAGAAGATATCGAAACTCCAAGAACAGCATCTCAGGGGCAGACAGGGAATACATGTCGGGCCGGACCCTGGTTTTGTGCCCGGGAACAATCCCTTCCAGTTCCCCGTATCATTTAGGAACAACATGCCGCCACCCCCTGCGCCGGTCGTATACACACCGCCTGAACCGCCGCCGCCGCCGCCGCCCCCCAAATATCCGATCGAAGATCTGCAGCTAGAGCCTCGCGATGATTATGTGCGACCGCCCCTCAAGTTTTTATGTGCAGACCCTCCGCAAGGTGTTGTTGATAGTGGAGCCCGCAACGACAAGATACTTATGAAGTCAATGGGCCCCCTCTTGGAGACATGGGACACCTTGAACGTCTACGCTGAGATATTCAAGCTGGATTCTTTCACATTTGATGACTTTGTGCAAGCCTTGGAAGTTGCGCGCGCCAATGTTCCAGTTCAGCTTTTTGACGAGGTCCATTGTGCGGTGTTGAAGCAACTGGTAAGCTCCGAGGCGGACGGTGGCAAGTTATTGGTGCGGATGCCAGAACTTGAGGAGGAAGATGAAGAGGAGGAAGACGAGGATGATGATAGCGAAGAAGCCCCCTCGCCCGAGCCTGAACCGGAACCAAAACCCCCGGCGCGTGCGACTCGGCGAAGCCTGGCCAAGGCTGAAGCAGAGAGACTACAAGCTGAGGCGGCGGCTGCCGAGAAGGAGGAGGCCGAAGACACCCCGGTCGTCAAGCACCGAGCAGCGGAGGTTTTGGCCGACTATGACTGGATTGAACATCTCAAGAAGCGCGATTTCAAGGATGGTGGATGGGAGATGATCATGGTCGGTTTACTGAACCAACTCTCGCGGGAACCTAGGAAAACCGAAATATGTGAGGAGTTGCTCAGTAAGCTCGTGCCTCCGGACCAAGAGCCATCTCGCGAGACGGTCCAGCAATGCTACAGCAATCTCGATCTCAACCTCCGGATATCTGCACTCCAGATTATATGCATGCTGACAACGGGAACCAAGGCCGTCCGGGCCTACATGGAAGACTGTGCAGAGACCATGACTGGGTACCGCAAAGAGAAGATTGAGTGGCAGAAGAACCGAAAACAAGCGTAAGTTCACTACTGGGTTCGCATGTAGTGCGAACCTTCCCCGGCTTGACTTGCGCGTGCTAACATGGTGGCCTAGTGTGGAGGAGCTCAAGGCTTTGAATGAGCAGAAGAAACTGTTACTTCCGGAAAATACGCCGCAATCACCCAAGGCTGACGAGGCACCCAAGACTAATGGCGACGTCAAGATGACGGACGCTGATGAATCGCTCCAAGAGGAGACAGCGGAGGAGGTGGCCGACAGCGATGATGACCTCAGTCTCCGTCGTAACACCCGGCGCGGAGGCGACCGGGCTGTTGTTCAGCGGAAGCAGAAAGAACGGGAAGAAGAACAGAAGAGAAAAGAGGCAGAGGCTGCAGCGGCCAAACAGCCGAAGCAGTCAAAACAATTTATCAAGCTGCTCAAGGACATACAGAAGAAGGAAGAGTATATCAAGAAGTGTGAGGACGAAGTTGCCGTTATAGAGAACGACCTCCGCGAGGCAGATTGTGCGCGGACTCGTGTGCTGGGCAAGGATCGATTCTGGAATAGGTATTACTGGTTTGAGCGCAACGGTATGCCATACGCGGGGCTTCCAACCAGTTCAACCGCCGAGTCGGGTTATGCCAACGGCTGCATCTGGGTGCAGGGTCCCGACGACCTTGAGAGGGAGGGCTATATTGACCTGTCCCCAGAGCTCCAAGCTGAGTATAAGCAGAAGTTCAAGATCACAGTTTCCCAGCGCAAGAAGATGGAAGAGGGCCGAACAAGCGTCTTCAATGCGCACCAGTGGGGCTATTATTCCGAGCCAAACGACGTCGAGTCTCTTCTGAACTGGCTGGATCCCCGGGGCTTCAATGAGCTCAAGCTGCGCAAGGAGCTGATCAATTGCAAGGAGAAGGTCATCTCTGGTATGGAGGCTCGGACACAATATCTTGCAACGGAGGAGGAGGAAGCCGCCGAAAAAGAAAAGAAGGAGGAGCAGCAACCCAAGGAGTCGAAGCGCATGAGTACCCGTGCAAAGAACCAACCGTCCCCAGAGCTGCAGCCGCAGCACCGTTGTTTGAATTGGTACAATTCCATGGCGATTGACGAGATTGGCCACATTCACAGCGAGGAGCCGGTGCCTCAGGAGAAGAAGAGCAGAAAGCCAGGCAGGAAATCAAAAGGTTGATCGACGTGGATGACTTGGACGGATGCATTATCGGAGTTTCCCTTGTAGATGGGGGCCGGCGTTGAATATCATTTGCATGTTCACGGTAATATAACATAAAAAAAGAGCAGATGGAAGAAAAGAGGGGTTGCACACTGTTCAGCGGACAAGGTGATTTGGCAATGCATAGCGACTGGTGATTGCATTTTGAGGACGGCACATGCGAATACTTTTTTTTTTTTTTTTTTGTAGTCTCGACACAAGAGCAGGAGCGAGATGTCCACAAGGATGCCTTTCTCTCTCTCTCTCAACCCTGTTTTTGTCTTTGCGGCAATCCGTGTCGCTGCCCTTGTCGGGATGGTCATGGTCTGTCTGTCTTGGATACTCTCATGGGCAGAGGGTGTTTGTACGGCATATTGTATATTGGGACTGCAAAGATCAAAGAAACAAACAATGCTATTCACAATATTCATGATGAAGCCAACGCATAATTCTGATATTTCTGGGCACGATGAATATGACAAAAGTTTTGCCAGGCTTGCAAGAGTAAAGATCCACCCAAGGTAAGCATTGTCTGGCAGGTTCCCGTACCGTGTATTGATTGCATGGTGCATTTGAGATAGAGGTTTATTTTCCTTTGCTTTCTCAAATCCTACCTGACAAGTGCTGTGCTCTGTCATGTTGAATCTTGGTGCGCACAAATGAAGCTACCTACAAGACATACGTACTCTGTAAACACAGAGGAAGGCGGATGAGGTAGGGGATCTGTTCAGCTATGGATCATGAGGCTGATCATTTCCTCTTGACTCTGGTTACCGCCTCGTTTCTAGAAGCTGAGTTGTATGCAGCACTACCCTGCCCTGCCTGCGACATAACGTAAGCATTATATGCCAAGAATCGGGAGTAAGAATTGGGGAGGTTAGGGGGATTTGTCTTTTTCTTTTTGCACCCATTCCCAATCTACCTTGGCTACCCAAACAGAATTCACTCACGGGTTGATTTATCTCTGGAGAAGAGGTGCGATTGTCATGGAAGCACGGTCATGACGTCAAAGGAGACCCCGGATACTCGACTTGATATTGTAGAAGGGGGGCGGACCTGACAAGTAGGTATGCAGTAATTAGCCAAACCATCCTTCAGTTGTTTAGTACTGTTGGGTAGCTGTCCTGGCCTTATATTACCTGCTGGGCAGCACCATTGTCGGCGCCGCATTTTAGTTAAAGGCTCGGCCGGCTTCTCACTAGAAAGAGCACGGTAGTAGCCTGAAGTAGTCTAGTCTGGCCTAGGTAGCCTTTCGATAGCTTGAGGACAAAGTTGCAGCTCAGTGGGCTGACAAGCATCAACCAAGCACCCCGTCATCCATAGAGGATCAGCAGTACTTCGTACGTACAAGAGGTACATTTACTGTAAGAACCCTTGTGTGCAGCAGCATTTGCTCCATAATGGTGCGTGCGTACGAATGAACAAACCTCGACTCGTATATATCAATATTTGATACCACGGGATAAGAAGAGGAGACTTGTGCTAGCTATCTGGTTGGAGTCGCGGCGGATACGTTGAGTTCCAGCTCCTGTCCCATCCCGCCCAGACAGATACACCTGTGCCTAACAATTGACATGTGAAGTCGAAATGCATGGGGATATGGAGACAGCCAACAAAGCTCCAGCTGCAAGGAAGAGTGCTTACATTACTTGCTTGCTGGCTACAAGGTAGCTGGCTGCTGGCTCGTCGGTCAGTCGGCGTTAGGTTGGTTGGTCGGTGGCCCCGTGGGTCCTTTTTTAGCCCGTACGAGGTAGGTTTGTATTGGGGGAAAAAAAAGAGGATCCGTCATCGTGGCAGCGCGTCAGCTCCAGCCCCAGATTTATTTATTTTTAAGGGGAAACGACATTGAGCTTAACAGCACGAAGAGGAGTTTGACCCTAAAGAGGAAGAAAAAAAAAACAAGGTCGCGCGAGGACCCTGAATTTGAACGAAGGAAGGATGGAAGAAACATTTTTGCACAGGACAGAAAAAAGAGAGTCAAGTGGGTTTTTGTAACTTATTTAGTGCCGTGGCAAAATGTCATTCATTGTTGGGCAGAAAGGCAACAGAGAGAGAGAGGAAACGATGATTAATTTTTGCATCTGCTCAGCCTAGCAGTTCCCAGGCTGATAATAAACAAACTTTGGTATCCAAGACCGTTGGACTCCTCTGCACATTTATAAACGCCCTCTTCTTATTATTCTTGGTCTCATTGCCCCTTGGTTTCGTCCTTTCACCCCTATTGGTTACCTTTGTTTACTTTAATTGATGGCTTTTCTCGAAAGCTCTGCCACAAACGGTATATATCCTACTGTAGTGTAGCCACCGCCAAACCAGGTATGTTCCTTTTTTGAGAGGGTATACTGAAAGTCAAAAGAGAGAAAGCGGGCAAGGGGAAAAAAAAAAAAAAGAGGGCCACTTCCAAGTATTGAATTGTGCTTGGGCCATGTGCCCAACCTAGATTTGTACCTCGGTGTCGTTCTCTTTCTTCTCCCCTGTTTCTATCTGTCCCTCTCTCCCTCTCTCTATCTCTCTGTATCTTCAACCCATCCTCGCCCAGAGGAGAAGGGGAGCAAGGGAAAAAGAAAGGAAAAAAAAAAAAAAGAAGAAAAAAAGAAAAGCTGTGGGCTGGCTCTCTCTCTCTCTCTCTCTCTCTCTCTCTTTCGTGTACACACTTTAATTGGACAGACCATTTCCATTATTCGAACCGTCGATCCATCCATCCATCCATCCATCCATCCTTCCTTCTTCGACTACTACAGCCTAGATAACCTAGTTAGCAGCTCCACCGTCCCTCTTTCTTCTTAATTCCGTTTATGTACATTGTATATTCGTCAGACCAATTGACTGACAATTTCCCGCAACTTTTTCTTAGTCAATTGCACCAACACACAATCATTCCCCGACACATCCGGTTCATGTATGTGTTTGTGTGTACTGCGCTGTGTATTGACTTTCATACATGCCATGCAATATTAGGTATCTATCCATCGTTCGGGATCAGTATCATTGTCGTGTCCGCTGCAAAGACCTTGTCTTGTCGACCTATGGGATCGAATTTGTTTGTATAACACAAACACTTCGAGGCATATCCAAGCATTGGTCCAATGGTTGACAACCAGACCTCTTTTCTCTCTCTCTCTCTCTCTATTTCCTTTTTTTTTTTTTTTTTTTTTGGATCGCATCGACCTGACCATGATCTAATCTGACCTAATTCTTGGTTGCACTGAGAGCAATTTGGCATTGTAGCAGCTTTTCATCTTGCATTTGCTTGCCACCCAAACCACTTGCAAGTTCACGTCTTTCCCACCTCCATGGCCCGGTCACTACAATACGCCCACAACCACAAGTATCAGCGTCATTGTCATCATTGTCATGGCCATGGCCAACTCAACTGTGCCTGTCTCAGCTGCTGCTACAGCACAGCCGCCCCCAATGCATGACACCCGCCCGTCAGCGTCCCCGTCTCACCAGGACCACGCCAGTAATAACGTGGCCGTTGCTCCCTCGGACGAGCCATCTTCTGACAGTAATAACGACGATGACCCCCTGTTCCAGGATGCCGACGATGCACAGTCTCTCTTCCAGCCCGCCATTAGTCCCGCTGCGACAAGGCTCACTTCACCCAAGACACCAGCTGCCGAGAAGGCGGCGGCCATGGAGAAGTTACCCGGCGGTGGTTTCTTCGGTGCTGGATTCGACGGCCCGCCCGTCTTGGCATCTGCTCAGCCCACGTCAACATCACGCAAGTTGGTAAAGCCCTATCCAAATCGTCAGAGCCGTGGCTTTTCCCTGGGGCAGTTGCCTCCTGCACGTTATGAACCTTTGCCTAGACTCCCGTCGCCATGGCAGCCGGGACCAAAGGATCTCGTCGTTGAGAATGAGCCGACCACCTCGAGGCCAGCAATGGCATCGGTCTTTGGTACCAACACTCGACCCAGGAGGTCCTCATCGGGCGGCAACGACGCTCTGAGGAAGCTCAAGGAGGCACTGCCGAGCATCACGCTACCGACAAATTTTCTGTCCAGCCTGAAATCGCCCTCCTTCTTCTCGGACAACTCGTCTCAAAAGAGTCCGAACCCGGCGACAAGGCAAATAGCTGCTGCCAACAAGACGGACACGAGCCTGACCAATAGCCAGGATGCTCGAGGAGTCCATCGTCTCAGCGGCGACGCTTCATTGCGCCCGTCTTCGGCATCCATAAAGAGGCCAAAGGCAATCAGGAGATCCACGTCGGATGAGTCAATGCTCTATCACTCGCTGTCCCGCATGTCCTCTCTGGGCGATGACGATCGGTGGGGAGGCGTCTCGGAGCAGGCCAACGTTAGATTCAAAGCGATCAAGGAGAGCTTTGACAGACCGACTTTCAAGCTGCCACAGTTGCCACATGCCTTGAAGAGACATTCACTCCTGAGCTCAGAAATGGCACATAACAAGGAATCGGCTCCTGCGACAACAATGCTGCGTTCATCAGGTTCTTTCCCAAAGGACAGCGCGATGTCTGAGCTAGGTCAGGCTCTCGAGATGTTGACTGGCGACGTCGTGGTCATGGGTGGCTATAGAGGCTCCATTCTGAGATCAACTAGAACAAATCGTCAGATTTGGGTTCCCGTCAAAGTCGGCCTCAACATTCGAAAAGTCAACCTCGAAGTCGGCCTAGACCCAGAAGATGAAGAAAGAATGGAAGGGAGCATATACCCCTCGGGTATGCTCACCAACATAGGGCCCGTCGATATATCGAAACGCCTGTTCAAGCGACTAAGGGAGAGTGATAATGCCAAGAACGGAAAGTTGAGGGTCTGGGATTATGGCTGGGACTGGCGGCTCAGTCCGCATCTACTCAGTCGGAAGCTGATATCATTCCTGGAACAGCTCCCGTGTAACCAGTCAGGAAACCCCCAGGAAAGGGGCGCAACAGTGATTGCTCACAGCCTTGGCGGCCTGATCACTCGGCATGCCATCAATCAGCGGCCCGAGCTATTCGCCGGCGTGCTATTTGCCGGCACTCCCCAGCGATGTATCAATATTCTCGGCCCAATTCGCAACGGCGACGCGGTACTGCTGAACGAAAAGGTCCTCACAGCGCAGGTCAACTTCTCTCTCAGGACGAGCTTTGCCTTCTTACCCGAGGACGGCTTTTGCTTCGTCAATAAGAACACGGGAGAGGAATTCCCAATCGACTTTTATAATCCAGACGAATGGGCGAAACACGCTCTTTCCCCTTGCGTTGCCCCAATATTGCCGGCATACAATGTTCGACCAAGTGCATTGGGCTCGTTGCTCAACCTTTCGGGCAGTCTACCTAATTTGCCCATGAGGAGCCGCGGCAACAGCTCTGCCAGCGAGCTCACTTCCAGGTCGCCCGTTCGACAAGGCGTCGTGGACGCGGCCCGCAAAGCCGAGGTGCAAAATGACCATACGCTGGCTCCGCAAATGGGCACCCTGTCGGGCCAGGCGCGTGCTTCTCAGCAGCAGCACGCCGAGCCCAAGAGCGCAAACGAGAGGGACAGATACATGGAGTACCTAGGACGCACGTTGAGAGACACGAAGCGGTTTCGTGCCGAGATGCAGCACCAGCCGCAGCTTACAGAGTCCAACTTGTACCCGCCCATGGCCATCATATACGGCAAGGACATTCCGACGGTATACGCCGCGCATGTCACTAATCGCGAAGCCATCCCCTGCGCCGACTGCTATGACGACCTGCTATTCCGCAGCGGCGACGGGGTAGTCCTTTCCCGCGAGGCCATGCTGCCGCCGGGGTACGACGTCGTCAATGGCGGCCGCATCAGCACTGACCGCGGTCACATTACCATGCTCGGCGACCTACCGGCAGTGGGCAAGGCGCTCCAGGCAATCTTGAGGGGCCGCCAGAAGGGCATTGGACTGGGTACTATTGGCATGGAGAAGGCCTCTGACCAGCCATCATCACCGTCCCCATCATCTCCATAAAAGACGGATAGAAAATGGCGTTCCAAGATGCACACTTAGAATGGCACAGCACGGAACTCTCCTGCGAAGTCATTGATTTATTCATCCCCCCAGAATCAGACACCATGGGCAACCGCTTTTTGTACAATCACTTGAGCATGGAGTTATGTGGACAATGGACTATTTAATTAGGTGCTGATACAATTACGATGTACGATGTAAACAAGCTTATTATACGATCGGTGGAAAAGCATCTGGGCAGTGTCATGGATCATAGATGTTACGAATATAAGAATGGCTTCTTTCCACATAGATCATCTGCCTTTGCTTCTAGATCCTCCATGATTGCTCCTTGACTTGGATTATTGCTCCCTATACCACGTGCGGTCTTTGATCTGCTTTGTCTCGCCATTGATGATGTCCAGCATCTCCTGACCTTTGGGTGCCCAAGAGAGATTCTCATTCCCGTCATCTGTGACTAGAATATCGTCTTCAATGCGCACACCGCCCACGTCCCAATACCTCTCGAGGACTTCGGTGTTGATGTACCTGGCATGATCGGGCTGCTTGAGAAAAAATGTTTCAATGTAGGGCCTGCAAAAATATATACCTGGCTCCACGGTGACAATCATGCCGGGGGCAAGTTGTCGACGTCCCTTGTACGGAGGAGGCGGCCCGGACATTTTAGTGTTACTTCCCTCGTCAGCTGCAGCAATGGGGTCAAAAGAATCCAAGGCCATCATTTCGCGGAGCATCTCGGGCAGGACGGGTTTTCGCTTCCCACCCATTGCCAGGAAACCGTCAGCCTCGATCATGAGCCTCTCGTACCCGGGGACATCGTGGACCTCGAGACCGACATGGTGGCCAAGTCCGTGGGGGAAGAAGGCGGTGCTTGTACCGTTCTTGAAGATCTCACTCGCGGTGCCATTGTGTAGGATACCAATTTGTAGCAGACCCTTGACTGCCACCATGTGGGCATGCAGATGAAGGCTGTAATAGACAGTGCCGGGACGAATGCGATCGATGCATTGGGTCTGCATCTCATTGACAAGGTCATAAATGGCTTTAGCCTCGGGAGTGAAGCTGCCCGAGATTGGGAGAGTGCGCGTGATGTCTGAAGCGTACACGTTCCATTCAGCACCAGCATCGAGAACGAGAAGTTGACGGCCTGCCAGAGGTTCATTGTTTGCACCGTAGTGAAGCGAGGCGGCATTGGCCCCGGAGCCAGCGATGATGGCGTATGCTTGAGTATGCGCATTACGCGAGATGCTCACGGCGGTAAAGATAGCCTCGACCTCACATTCATTCTTCAATGAGAGCAGCTCCTCGCAGACTGTCCGGTGAGCCAGGGAGCTAATATCATTGGCCTTTCTGATCATGGCAAGCTCGTAGTCTGACTTTATCACTCGGGCCTCACCAATAGCTGACAAGAGGGACGAGGTGTCGATCCTGATATGCGGCTTGAGGGTGTCGAAGGATTTGAATCGTGGAAGCTGTGACTCCCGCAAACCGTAGAGAGTCTCAACGAGAGCGAGCGTTGGGACTAGGTACTTGGGAAGTTCGGCAACATACTTGACATCGTCCAGATCCGATTTCTCCATACACTCGGCGGGACTTGGCGTCGTGCCATACCACAGGACGGTCTGGGGCGGTGTATATGGGATCCAGAGGATTAGATTATCCGCTTCTATATCATATGTGACGGCGCAGCCGGCGAAATCAGCACCACTTAGGTAGTAAAAGCTAAGTCTGCATGTCAGCCTACGACCTCTCGCATCTTGTTGTTCTTCGTCGGACTATTACTACTCACTATCGACGTTGTCGGAAGGGAGCCTCCATGTCCGAGTCTTCATACCCCAACTCGGATTGACCAGGCAGATAGATGATGCCATGGTCGACGCCCAGGGCTTTTGCCACTTTCCTTGCGTGCGTTTTGGCTAGGAGCAATCAGTATGACGTGACGCTCGATAAGTGAATCAATAGATTTGAGAGATGGCTCGAAGGACAAAGGGCTCATTGGCGAATTAGACATGATAAGCACAGGTTCCTCAACTAAAGGAAGCACTTTCAAGACAGCCAGATTACACTTGAAAATGGCCAGAGTAAGGGCATTGGAGCGACCATTTATCACCGAGAAAGTCTAGAATAGTAGAAACAACATACCAGGAAACCGCCGGATCGGTGACGATTTGAGCTCAATGGTCCTGGCAGTCGAGAGTCAGAACGGAGAAGGAGAGCGAGCGACGAGCCGTGCTGCTGGCGTAATCTTGGGGTACGTGATTGAGCTTACAAAGCATCGAACTCTTCATCGACGGCAATTTCGTGATCGATAATCTCCATCTCGTCCATGTTTAATTCAATGTAGTGCGCGCCCGCCACACTCGAAGAGACGACCTAGCCGGCACAAGTTGGGCGTTTGGCGATCTCGTCGTTCCAGCGGGTCCTGGGCTTTCCTGCTTGGTACAGATGACGAGGGGCAAGAGGTCTGTCTGCCTAGTCGACAAGCCTTTGGCTGGTTTAGTGCCTATTGAATAGTTGTTCCAAGCACGCAAAAAAGAAGGCGAGTACGGACTGACGTAGTGAAAAATGTAAGAAGTCAGGTACCTGGTTGAGGTAGGTAGCTATTCGGTGAAGTAGTAGTAGTAGTCTGGGTAGTTGTTGTTATCCATCAAGGAAGTACACGAGGTAGGTGCTTGACAGACATGAACGAGGTCGGGTACCTACCACCTACCTACCTTGCCTACTTACTACCTTAGGTACCTAATGCAATGCGGGGCACCTAGCCATTGGCCGTCAATCGCTGTTTATCAGCTTGTCCCCGGCCCCCCCGTCCATTTTTGGTTTAGGGACTGGGTTTAGGCGAGAATTACAGTAGAGTGTGTTTTCCATTCATCAAATCTGCAAATCGTCCACTATTAGTACTGATTTCTTAGTACCCGTATCATAGACATACATGGATCGATCACTCTTCATCGTATTCACGTCGGGGCGACTACAGTCGCTCGCTATATTGTTTGTAAATCATGGACACGGTATCGCGAAATGTAATATCAGCATGTGACAACAAGACATCAACTCTGTAACAGTTTCTAATTCTCCTTGAGTATTTGGCCAAGGCTTGCCAGATAGTAGAAGCTGTATAAGGGTCTCCTCCCACCCCTTTCAATTGGCCTCTTGTCCCATACATGTCGCTTCATCGCCACATGGTAAATAAAAAATAAGTAAATAAATACTACGTGCAGCTAGCCCGGAGGGACTGGTCGTAGCTATAAAGACGCCTTCTCAAATGTCTATGCCCCGCCAACAAACATGCATAATTTGACCTTGCCTGGACGTTGGCCCATATGAGTTATTTTTTTTTATTCCCCCATTGCTTCCGAAGGACTGCACAGCAACGGCATTGCCACACGCAACGCCGACTGACTTGGGCATATATACCACACCCAGAACGAATCAGGCAAACTCCAACCAGACTACCACGGAAACATCAAACCGCTGTGATCACGGACCAGCCGATCCGTACACTTTACAAGGAAGGGGTATCATCTCGATCATCAATCTCTCTACTGGGGAAACATGCCGCCGGACCATGACTGTTGTGCGCCGAACTGATTAAACATACGCCGCCGTTGCTGCGGCATCTGGTGATGGCCATGGGGCTGATGGGGCGCCCGCTGCAGCTGAATTGCTAGCATTGGATCTGAATACATTTGAGCTGGGAACGAAAACCCGGGCTGTCCTTGTGGTGTCTGCATCAAGTATGGAGGAAGCGGACCCATCAACTGACCTTCAATACCATCAAACAGGTTCGGTGCATAGTACTGTGATGGATCGTAGTGTTGAGGACCTCCCCTCATGCCTAACCCAGGCTGATTGGGGTATGCCAGCGGATCACCTGAGGGAAACATAACGGCGTCAAGTTGGTTGATCTGGTTCAATCCCTGTCCGAGGCCGTCTTGTTGCAGATGTCTTCCATGGTCAAGATGAGCCGCGGCCATTGCGTCTGCCGGGTGAGCCGCCAGATCTAGTGGCGACATGCCCTGCATGTTTGGAGAGAAGTCGTCGAGGCCAAAATTTGTATCGAGATCAAAGCCAACGCTAGGCGCCATGGGTGCCAAGGATCCTCGGATTCCGTTGGCCGACATGCCGTCCATCGTATCGCTTGAGCGCACTGACTGGTTGTGGCTGCTTGGAGACGAGATAGTCGTTGGGAGTGATTCTTTTGAGCCCGTAGCTGAGCGCTTTTTGGACGGAGTCGATGTGGCCGACACCTTTTTCATCTTTGGGGGAAGCTGCTCAAACAGAACCTGAGGCGAGTTAGTAAAAGTCGGGCGGGCGGCCGGGGGGGATGGAAAAAACAAGGTCATCGTCTTACATCTAAAGCCTTGGAGATACGATCAGCAGCTACACTACGCCGTGCAATCTTGGCAATCATATCTCTACCGGCTGCAGCATCTGCCATGATGTCTGAAGTACCGGGCTTGTCGACATTCTCGAGAACGTAGAATACCAAGGTGATGATGGCGAAGAATTCGGTGAACAGGGTGAACCAGTATGGGCCGACCAAGGATACCTGCTTGCGCATTTCAATGCCTATATGTATGATATTGCGGGCAACGTTGATGCCCGCGGCGCCGCAGGCGTAGGACCGCTCGTCGGGTTGCTTGCCCGCCGTCATCTTTGGCGACACGGCATGGAGGAATGGTCGATACAGGACCATTTGAACGTGTGCAAATGCGAACCTGAGTAAGTTGCGAACGCGGACAACCTCCTCAGGGCCCTCGGAATCTGGTCGCCAGGCGACAGGCAATGCTTCGTTCCATTCATGCAGCGCAGCCTCGAGTTCTTTAACCTTGGCGTAGCTAATGACATATGACGGACTCATCTGTCCACCTTCTGCAACGCTCTGCTCGATGCCTTTTAGCGGATAGACGAACTTGATAACCTTGCTCAGGATATCCATCAGGCGAGCGTGAGCATTGAAGGCCTCAAAGAACGAGGTAGTGCCAGGAGGCACAGAGACGATACCAGCTTTCGTGATAAATTCGTCGTCCACGGGCGTAGGCAATGGCTGATCGATATCCTCTTCGTTCAGGAGCATCGGGAATCCTAAAAGCGCGGAAACATAAATATCCAGTTGGCGGCAGACAGAGAAGACACGCCGCCTTGTTTCGGCGTCAATGGCTGTTTCCCCGTTGTGCGGCAGATTTCTGTGCAAGCCCATCCGCAGGGCAGACCGCAGAGCAATGCCAACAAAACCGTAGCACGTGCTCAAATTCGAGATTGACTGTATGAAGAGAATCATGAACAGGAGCGCCTGAAGAGACGTCAGGTCACGGCATTCCGTAATATCTTGAAGCAAGAAACGTGCTGACGTGTAGTACTTTAGTCTGTTCCAGGGTCAGTAGGTGGGTTTTTACTTTCAGTGGTTTAGACCTTACCCTTGCTCAGTGGCCAATTCGTAGGGTGGTTTCTTCGACTTTTCGTCATCCAAAACATTGTACATGCACCCAAGAGCCAGAACCGAGTACAACAATGCAAGCTCTCTATCTTCATTTTCCCCATGGTAGCTTCCCGGAGTGCGCTCGTAGATTCTGTCCACCATGCTGTAAAACGATGGAACGTGCACCACACGCAGTAAACAGGTGGCATATTTTAGTGAATGAGAACATAGGCGTCGTGCTACCACTTTTGGAGGCAGATCGACAATTTCTGGCAATGATCCTTTTCTGCTGGCAGGAGAGCCACCGGCTGACAGGCGAGGAGAATCCAGGGTTAGGCTAGAAGGTTTGGGCGGTCGGGGAAGCACGGGGACGTGGTAATCGCGTCCGAGCAATGACTTGAAATGGTCCTTCATCTTGCGGAAAAATACCGTGCCAGAGGAAGGGCCATGGAAATCATAGTCGCCCTTGTCGTCGAATTCGAGCTGGCCCACGCCAGAGATCATGGATAGGAGCCGCTCATCCGTTTTGGTCGATGATGACCCGGAGCTCTCCTCCTTCTTAATCGCCTTGGCACGTGCCTGTTCGCGTAGTCTAAACTCCTGCTCGACGGCAGGGTCCATGGCGGGATCTGCCAAGTCGAGATCTGGCATGAACTTCTTGAGCAGCGCCTCTGCCCTTTGCAATCGGTTCTCCAGGGCCTCGATATACTGTGGGGCAGGGTTCCTGCGACGGTTAGAGGGCTTGTCGTAGGTGCACTCGTAGCTGTAGACCTGGCAGTGGGTGCATGGCTGCTTTCCATCGCACTTGATCTTCTTCCTCCTACACTCGTCGCAAGCGCGTGTGACCCTCCGACGCTTCTGCAGCGGCAGCGCTGGCGCGTCGCTGGGAGTGCCGCTATCCTTTTCCTTGTCGGCGGTGGTGCTTTCGTCCTCGGAGTGAGCTACGACCGACTCTGTATCAGACATATCCAGCGTTGGCGGCGACTCGGTAGCCTTATCCTTGCCCTTTTGCGGCGCCATGGTGACCTCTCCTTGCAGGTTTCCTGTGAGCGCCTGAGTTTGGTCGCAACGTTCGGTCAACTGGATTTATTTGGGGCGGTGAATGCTCAGGTGACAGGCATGCATCGTGGACCACAGAACGATGGGCTTTTATTTCATGGCGGGATCCCCGCCAAAAGAAAACCTGTAAAGAGGATGGCGAGATGCAGATGAGAGCAGAGCGAAGTTGAAGGTTGAGCAGCGAGCGACGTGGGGCAGGGGTTGGTCGAAGCGTCGCAGCCAGCAGTGTTCGTGTTTTCCCCCCCAAAGCAGATAGATACTTGCTGAGCGGCGCACGCAATCGACTGGAGGAAGGGGGAAGGGGGCGGAGAGGAGAAGGGGAAAAGAAAGTACAGGTTCCCGCTGGTTCGAGACAGTCACGTTGGTAGACTGCGACTGGTGGTGCCGTTGTCGCGCGCGCGCATACACGGGAAAGGCAGACGACAGTTAGGCAAGTAGGTTGGTATGGTAGTATGTAGGTAAACAGAATAGCGTGCGATTGTCTGATCAATGACTGGAAAGAAGGGGGAAAAAAAAAGGTCAGGACACACGATGAGAAACCGGGGGTGTGGGTTTGTCGACCGAGGAGATGACTGGTACAGCAGAATCGCTGGTCCTCCTAGAATTGAGCGAAGAAAAGAAATGCAATCTACCAGTGCCAAGTGGTGGTGGTGGTGGTTGCGGTGGTGGCCTGCACCGGTTGGGTTGGGCGTAATCAAGGGAATGGTCTTGAATCGAGAGCCGGGGGGGGGCAGGTCAACCGTCAATGTATCTAGCGATGACCCAAGTGGGACGCATGCGACAGCCAAATGGAGACAAGTTCGATTTCGGGCGGCCATTGAGACCGGGGAGGCACCGTCTCCAAGTTACAGTGGACTTTTTTTCTTCTTGATATTAATAACTTGCCTTTCTACTGCGTATTACTTCTTCTTCTTCTTCTACTATTACTACGAATCAACTTGTTACAGCCTGCTAGGTTAGGTACGATCGTTGGCGGTACACTAGCCATGCAGCGTGTAATTTGTAGCACACTTTGCAAAGCCAGCGGCTGAGTAGGTAACCACAAATGCATACATACCTAGTAGGCAGGTTTATTATAGTCCACATATTTACACTTATTTCCTACACTCCCTCTCTTGTTAAAGAGTTTTCTTCTCTGTCCATCAAGGTATTTCTCAGGGACCACTTACACATGGCAATTACGTACGTCTAATTCGTGCCCTCCAACAAGTTGGCATCTCAAATTGTGGCGCAAGGATGGGTATGTTGGTATACAATACCTAGTTCGGTTAGGATACTACTAGGTAAGGGTAATGAATCAATGTACGTGTATCTTCTCCAGCCCCAGTCAAAGTGCCGATGATGCTAGCAATAGATCCGTTCCACTTGCTAATTAGCTGCCACTAGACACTGGCCTGCATTACCTAGACATCTAGGGAACGGACTCTGGATAGTAATCATGGGCTTTTGCTTTTGTTCCTAGCAGGTTTTAATACGTGTATGTAAGCTACATACTGTGTAAGGACTTACATTAACCTAGGTGAGGTAATGTCATAGGGAAGTCCGCGGAGAGGAAACCAAACCTTCACATGTTTTACACTTGGATTTGGGTAGCCACAACGGGTTTTCGTTTTCTCATAACCCTCGGTGTTCTAGATCACTATAAAAGAAAATAGTCATCGTCGGGAGACGCTACCAAGACGAGCTACGTAGGTGGTCTGGCTAAGGCAGCCGAGAAACGACGATACGCCTTGATGCGCGGTAAATGGCGTATTCTGTCATCCACTAGGATACACCGACAACAACGAGTTTCCCCCGAAAAGAAACCATCATCCTCGGAAAAAAAAAAAAAAAAAAAAGAATGATGGGAAATCCCACACCCCAATTTCATTCAACTCACCAGCAACCTTGCACTTGCAAGCAATTGATATCGGCGAAGATGTTGTTTGAACTATAGGCAGAATTGCCCGGACCAGGGTTGAGTAGGTATGTATCGTTGGTTGGCGGCCTCCTCTCCCTATAACTTACACTCAGGTTTTCACCCTTATAGCCACACCCAGCTTGCGTTAGTTGCAGATAAGGTACGTCCCGAAGGGCAAGAATGTGTAAGCACACCTGGTACGTACACATTTAGTACGTACGTTTATCTACGTAGGGTCGTCTAGGCAAGTATGGCTAAAAACAGATTGCACAGTTGCATGCATTTATTGCTGTGACGAAGCAATGCGGCCTGCGCCGGGGAATGGGTATGATTTCATGACTGGTAACGTCTCTACTAAAACTATACACTTTAAGGAACGACTCTGTAACAACAGTCAGCCGTCACGACGGTGCCAAACTCAACCCAGGGCCCGGGATGCATCATCCAACGGCGCTTTCTGTCTGCGTATCCTATATGTTTAAGCACTGCTAACCAGATATCTGGAATGATTTGGCCACCTTGTCAACAGACAAAAAACAGAAGAACCTTTCTTCGCCGCCTACACAGCTGGTGCCAACAGCAGCGTCAAGTCCACATATTCCAGGTTTCGCAATTTCTCGGACAGCACTATATGGCGTCGGAAGCCTCCGTGAGTCGAAATGGCCTTAAAGTAATACTTGAAGATGCTTCCGCTTAACCAATTGGTCATGGTTCGCCGCCAACGGGCAACAGGATTCACATGTCGACAAACGGCGCAAACTCTGCAGCCCATTGAACTCTAAACATCCGTTTGCTGCGAGCAGGAACAGCAGTCGTCATTGCGTCCCCATGATGCTGGATCAATAACGTAGCCTGTGCTCAGTGGCATACTGGTAAGTATGATATCTTGAGTTCAGAGTGCTACCAGGTCATGATTATTCGTGTCCATTTTATAGACGCATTTTGGAGAATGAAGCACATGACCAACGATGCGTTCCTCGTTTTGCTCTACTATATTCACCATGATAAAAAAAAAACACTGAGGTTGTTGGCTTGAAGCCAATAAGTGAGTACAAGCTGGTATTAATGATACACTGCAAGTATGTAGAACATTTAGGTCTCCCTAGCCCAGCAAGCGGCATATTATCATCGCCAGTGAACAGCTTATTACCTACTTTTTACCCGCTTTAGCTACCAATAACCTATCAAGACTCTCTCCAAGACCGGCGATAGCTGAGCACGACTTGGGGCTTCTCCCACACAGCAGTAGTAGCCATACGTGGCCAGCGTTCGATCTCAAGCGAACAGCGCAGGACAGGGCCAACGTCAAGGGGATGTTCTGGGCTGGGTGTTGCCTCGCTATTGGCAGCCCAGTGTCCAGGCTGAGCTGCCAAGCAAACCGGAGCAAGTCTTGGCAAATCTAGTGCCAGATCAATGTGTGCCGGGTATCCGGAGCACAGCATGCGTGCGGATCGATCATTCAACTTGTCTCCTTCATGGATCGATCAACACTCATTCATAAACTCGGCCAGGAGAATGGCGATTGCCAAATTTTCATGGTACATAGTGTAGGTGCAGTATACACAGTATGGGATATTGTCTTAGGTAATCAATCGTACATTACAATCTCTCGATTACCCAAGTGAATTCAACCCGCTTCTAGTGTAATTCTCGAAACAGAAAGTAGAAGAAACAGGCCAAGCTCGCTTTGAGCAAGACCTGTTTTTAGGGCTTATTGCGTCGGAAAGTCTTTTCCTTTCTCATTTTGTCAATCACGCGCCGATGGTAATATCAAGACTTCTTCCGACCCTGACCACGAGTCAGTGAGCTGCAAGTTCTGACACAGAACTTTTGGGACTATTTCCGCGCACGGGAGAATGCCTCGAGTGGCAATTGTGCCTGCAATGGATGTAACGCACGTCTTGTTTATTTGATTTCCTCTCTATCTACTAGGTTGACCCAAGTCTACCAAGCCCGTTCAGGGCTGCAACCCACCATGTTTTATTGAAGCTGCAGGAATGGACTTATTCTATGCTTTCATGAGCTCGCTAGGGGAAGAGCCAAAGTAAAGACCAGTCTGTGGATCTACCACCTGTCCGAGCTATTTTTATTACTTTCCTCGCTGTGTGAAGTCATAAGTCCGGACCCCCTTGCGACGGTTTTGATTTTGCTCGGAATGACTCGGCCTTGCGCAAGTAGAGATCGTCGTTCGTTAGCATTGACTCAAGGTTTCTCTCAGATAGACGTGTTCTCGCCTCGGGGTCAGTCTCGAGAGTTCACTAACTCCGCGTTTCACCTACATCCGAGCCTTCAATGGCAGGTGTGGCATTGCCCTTTTACTACTTGGGTTTGTGAGGGCGGTAAAAAGAATCTCCTACCTTGTTCCTCGCCCAGAGAATTCATTTCCAAGTCATTCCCAGGATGGATTATGTTGTCATTTGCCCAATGGCCATGTAGGTAACAAAGCCCCTTCTACTTTGTGTACATCGTCGGGATACGATCACGTATACACATACGTACTTGCACGGTTTGCTTTGACAAGACAAAAGTTGTTCGTCGCATTTGAAGCTAGTGTCCAATTCCTAGCAGCCCAAGGAAAACAAAAACACCACTATTTCAAAAGGAAAGACAAGTTTATTGGGAATAGTTCCTATATATCTCCCAAACCCCCGAGGCTGCGATTATAGTCGTTTATCCTCGTGCTAACAATGTCTGCAAGACAGCCTCTTTCCACTGACAATGATTGACTACTCGTTTACCAGACAAGTCAGGATGGACAAAATACCCCTTCATACATATATTATTATATGTTATAGAGCCAAAATGACAACTCCCCATTCCTTCATGAATCAACAGCTGGTTTGTGGGTTACAAGGGACTACGAGAAATTGAAGTAAAACCCAATTTGTTATTTTAGAACAAACACTTTGGGGTATGGTGTCTGATTGTAGCACGTCGGTTGAGTGCATACGTGAATCTAAGCAACATTGAAAGTACATACAAAAAAGGTATGATGCGCTCCATGACTGTGAGGAAGCTACCCCGCTATCGATAACGCTGATGGTTAAGGCAGGCACGATGGAGCTCCAAGGCCCCACCGTGCTTCTTACGTCCGTTTGTCTACAGACGAACCTACATACTATCTACCTAGGTATCTTACACTACACAACTGTGTGCGCAACGGTATACCTTATTGGCATTTACAACAAACTCAAGGGCAACGAACCTCTAGGTTTGCCAAAACCCCAATCATCACATCCCAGAACGATCGAAGAACGCGCGATCCACCCGAAATCCTTCAACACCCAGTAGACCTTGTGCATGGTGCGCCGTTATCCAAAGACAAGCAAGGCACGATGGCGGACCAGAGCAGCACCCAGCTCCTCAGCTATTTCACGCTCATGGAGCATCAAGGCAACATCATAGTCAAAGGCACGATGCAAAGACCCCACGCCTGACCAGAATACAGCTAACCAGACATGCAGAGGCGCCCAAATTCGACCTCGACCTCTACATATCTAATTATCGAGGTGCGCCAACCCCACCGCTCCGAGATGTGCGACTTTCCTAACTTTGTTCAGGCCGGACACGCTTCGATCGACTGCTGCTGATAGGACAATCTTCCGTTCCCTTGGGCCTAGATGCCCTAAAAGCTGCCATAGTGGAGGCCAAGAATGGAAGGGACACGCAACAATATCGCAACGCCTGGGAAGCCATTCGCGCCGCCGCCCCCGGCGAGCCAGAGGCTCAATTCGATCAGGCTTGGTTGGACAAGACAACCAAGCTGAATAAGGCCGAGACCAGCCGCCTCGAAGTTGAGCTCAAACAATATAAGAACAACCTTGTGAGAGAGAGCATCAGGGTACGTCCGCGCAAGATTGTCTACTCTTCCCCGGGATACGAGCCGCTAATGTTGGATCTTTATATTCGGCGCAGATTGGCTATCGGGACATGGCCCTACACCTCGAGAGAATCGGCGAGCTGCAGGGCGCCGCTGATACATTTGTGCGCATGAGAGGTGAAGCTAGCACGCCGTCGCATCTTCTCGAGGTTGCCAAGTATTTGATTGGTGTCATGGTCCAAAAACGGGACTGGCCCAGTGTCCTCTCCAATGTCGGCAAGATGTTTGCCAGTCCTACCAGTGGTGATGAGGAAGCCAGAGCCCATCAGCCGTATGTCAAGGTGGTCTCCGGCATTGCCAATCTCAATTCCGAGAAGTACTACGAGGCTGCCAGGAACTTCTTGGAGACGGGTGATCTGGTTCATTGCCAACGTCTCAATGATATCATCAGCCCCAACGATGTGGCTACCTATGGTGCGCTCTTGGCTCTGGCATCCATGGATCGAGCTGAGCTCCAGTCCCGGGTTCTCAATAACACGAGCTTTAGAACTTACCTGGAACTGGAGTCACACCTTCGCAAGGCCATCAACATGTTTGTCAATGGCCGTTATTCCCAGTGCCTCGCAATCCTGGAGTCATACCGACCCGATTACCTTCTCGACATTCATCTTCACAAACACGTCTCAGTCCTCTACTCACTGATCCGCACCAAGTGTATTGTACAATATTTTATCCCCTTTTCCTGCGTCACCCTGGACAGCTTGAACGAGGCTTTTGCCAAGCCTGGCGAGTCTTTGGAGTCGGAACTGGTAGCCATGATCCGGAGTGGCAGGCTCCAGGCTCGCATCAATACCATTGATAGACTGCTGGTTGCAGTATCACCAGATCGTCGGGTGGAGATGCAGAGTGCGGCTCTGGAGGCGGCCAAGAACTATGAAAAGGAAGTCTTGGAACGTATCCGGCGCATGAGTATCATGGCTGCTGATCTGGAGGTGAAGGGTCATGGTAGAAAAGCGGCTCCCCCAGGCTCAGGTGTGACAGACATGTGGTTCGATGACACTCGCAAGGGCGTTGCTGAGAGCTCGTTCTAGACAGTGCTACAACAAAAATGTGGTGACAACATTCAACAGAAAGCATATTCCAGAAACTGGAATGGGGAGTACTGGCGTTCAGGAGGGATCTGACCATGTTAATTCCGCGCAGCGCGTCTCTGCTACGTGGCGGCCGATTTTGACGAACCTTAGTCAATTGCGTTCGTTCACCTGGCAAAATGATTAGATAATGACAGGGATAATGAATTCATCTTCACACATTCATCTATCTCAAGGGTATCATGGCCATGTGCTTTAGTCATAATAAATAAACCAGACGACCACCCGCTGCCTGTGAAAACGTAAATCGTGCCAACGCCCAGAACGCCACTGCGAGATACTTGCAAAGATTCGATTTCCTACCATCTGCCTCGGCCACGACCTCGAGCATGTGACCTGTTGGATTGTGAATCCAGCCCTCTCCATTCTCCAGAGGAACCGCCGCGTTCTCGAGGCACGTCGGGTAATTGTTCGCCACGCCTCCACTCTCCCCTTGGAACGCCAAAACTACCACCAGCAGAAGCACTGCCGCCTGCTCCTCCTCGACTGCCCCAACCAAAGCCATCTGAACGCCCGGCGCGACCACCTCTGCGACCACCAGAATCGTGAAATCTGTCTCTTCCAAGATGGCCTGGTGCGCGTCCTACAACGGTGCCCGCCTCTCCGGCACCGGCACCTCTACCCATTCTCGCGGCGCTGGGAGGTGCAATACTGCCGTCCTCTAGGGGCGGCAAAATGGCCAGGGAAATATAATCCCCAACAACAAATCGAGCTTCGGCTAGGGTTTTCAGACCCTCGCCTCCATCCACGCTGCCTCGCAACCCATCTGCTTCGCCAAGATCCCTATGGAGAGAGGAAGTATCTTCAGCCTCCAGGCCCGGTTCGCCGTCGCCGATCACGATGCTACCCAAATCTTTGATCATATACTTGGGGCCCTGAGCATGGGCCGAGGGGCCGGCAGCGCCGCGCGCGTCTGGGTAAATGAGGCGGAACGACAGCCGAGTGCCTATTACCGGGTCGGGAAGGATGGAAGGCGCCGTGAAGGCGACATGATGCGACAGCTCGTGGAGAGTGCAAGAAGGCCAAGTATGGACGGTGAGGTGCGGTAGGAGCTCCGGCGCGAAGAACTCATCAGGCCTGTAATGACAAAGTTGTTAATACCAATATTCCATAATTTCTTTTCTTTCTTTTCCCCCTTCTTTCCTCTTCTAACGAGGCAAAGAGAGATGTCGTTTCCGAGCTCATACCGGTGGAATGCGCCGGTGCGATAGAATATTCGCAACGCCGAGGGCGGGTTTGCGCGCCTGTCCATCTCTTTATCGGCCGGTCCGTCCTGCGTGTGTCCTTTTCCAGCTGTTGCGGATGGACGGTACGCTTTCTTTCAAGAGAGAAAAAGATGATAAGCCGCATTCAGATCATGATTGTGATATTGCTGCTCGTCTCTAACACAGGGCTGCGCAGAAGAATTGTGAATGCTTGCGTAGTTGCAGACTTGGAATTGAGAGTACGGGACTTTGTGTGTAATGTGTTGAAGCTGTAATATGTTTTACGTATCATACATACAACCAATGCACTAAAGGCTGAGGTCTCTGCTGGAGGGGACCCTGGGAAAGCTTAATTGGGTTTTTAGCGTGTCGGGAGAGCCAAGGCAGCTTTGAGCAGGTACCTAAGGTAGCAGCTACTTGAGCTCTGGCGGCCCCGCGACTTTGCGCCACTACCACTTTGTTGAAGTCAGCTACGTACATTACATTAGCTCTAGCAGGTCCATATCAATTTTATTGAGACTACATTTTGCTGCACTAATGTACATTTAATAGACGACTGATTATTCCTCCGACTTGATCAAATATTTGCCCAGCAAGGAAAAGAAAAAGAGCCACGCCTTTTTCTTTTCTCTCTCTCTCTCACTTTGACTTGCCTCAACAAAAGCTGAATTTAAGGGTATTTTCGGGTATCCCAAAAAAAAAAAAAAAAGAAAAAAGAATTTCTGACCAAGATGGATTTCGCCTCTCTCATGTCTAAAGAGATCGCGAAAGCGAAGCCCAAGGCTGAGAGCGCCCCAGCCGACAGGGCTGCCCCCGGCAAGTACATGAGGCGCGCCGACGTGGAGGCAGAACGACAAAAGGCCTACCTGGCGGAGCAGAAGGAGCTCGAGGAGAAGCGCGCGGCCAAGGCGGCCGAGAAGCGGAAGCGTGAGGAAGATGCCGCCGAGGAGGCGCGCATCCGGGATGAGAAGCGCCGCAAGCTCGAGGAGGATACCAGGAGGCGACGCGAGGAAACCGCCAAGGAGGAGGAGAGGAAGCGGAGGAAGCGACTCGGCCTGCCGGAGCTCAAGGAGGACGAGAGTGCTGATGCTTCTGCGGACGGCGACGCCGAGGATGACATTCCAGACGGGGAACTGATTGAAAAGCTGCGCGCTCTGGGCGAGCCGGCCATTCTGTTTGGAGAGTCACACAAAGGACGTCTGAGACGACACAAAAAACTTACCACGGTGGTGTCCAAGGGCCCGATCCCGACAACGATACAGATGGTGGATGAAAAGGACATGAAGGTCGACGGCACCATGCCCAAGGATAAGGAAGCTCGGAGATATCTGTTCCGCCAACTGGCTTCTTACTTTACCATGGTGCTCCGGGAGTGGGAGATGGCGCTTGCGCAGGAGGAGAGGCGGGATACATTTGAAAGTCGGGCAGCAGTGACGGCCATGATACAGAGCCGGGAGAACATGACTCCCCTGTTCCGCAAGCTTGAAAAGGACGACCTGGACGACGACATCCTCGAGCCTGTGATTGAGATCGTCAAAGCGGCACAGGAGCGACGATACGTGGATGCGAATGACGGATACCTGCGTCTGAGTATTGGCAAAGCCGCCTGGCCCATTGGTGTTACCATGGTGGGTATCCACGAGCGAAGTGCGCGAGAAAAGCTGCATGACGGCGAGAGAGGACATGTCATGGGTGACGAGGTTACGCGAAAATATCTTCAGAGCATCAAGCGCTGTCTCACGTTTGCGCAAGTTCGGTGGCCGCCCGAAGATATCAGACAACTCATGGGATAGTTCCTCTGTCGTGTTGGAGGCGCCAAATAGAAAGAATAAGCTTGAAATGCGGTCAGAGGTCTGGCTTTCTACTACTTGATATTGTGACAATCCCTGGCATGTAGAGTAACCGAAATAGCTTGAGCTAGTGAAGAACAACAAAGTAAAGTAACAGTGAAGCATCATAAAAAGACCTGCTTGGAGTCCCAAGCCAAGATTGTGCTGACCACTAGGTAGACACAAGAGTATTGGTCTGAACTTGATGTATTCTTCTCTGACCATGTCATTCTCGAGGCTTAATGATATCATGATATAATCTGGCCGAATGGGGAAGACAATGATCTCCCCAGAAAAGACTAAGCGCCTGAAGTAAGGCAACAGCATACGCATGGAAGCTCGGTTGCTCGGAGGACCATAGAGGTTACAGCAGTCGGTCCCATTTATTCCATTGTCCATTGATTCGCCCTGTTTATTTACAAGTCTCGCATGCGCGGTTCGCTTTGAGATGGTCTCCTTCGCTCTCTCGATACTTTAGAATTCGGAAATCAAATCGCCCTTCCTCTTTGCCCGCAGATCCCACTTGCCCTAAACATTACAACCCGTGTTAGCCCAAAGCGCCTACTCGTTACTCAACCCCTCCGAACCGATGTTGCGACTTACGTCTGTCTGGTAGGCGACGATGCCAAAGAGCGCCGGAACAAACACGGCGTACATGAAGGTGATGCGCGCAGTTCTTGGGGTCCAGCGGAAGTACTTGACGCGGTTCGTTTGCATCGCTGTTTCGTATCGTCAGCCATTGTCTCGTCTCCTTCTCGTCGTTTGACTCTTTTCCCTCAATCCCGGACAACGCAGTATCATGGGTATAGTGTAGCGATCACGTCAGAGGGGAGGGGCCGCGGGTGAAATACGTACTCCCCAGCTTCTGGATGGACGGGTCGAACGCCAGTTCTGTCATGTAGTATCAGCTTTTGCGGTCTCGTACAACGGGCGGCGGGCGCCATGGACCGCGGTCGGTCTCGGAACGTACTGAAGTGCTTGAGGCCTGCCATCTTGGTTGTGGGTGGGCAAGCGCCTGCACTGATCTCAATTGGGTGGTGGATTTGGGCGAGATTTGTTCTAGTAGATGAAGCTCCAATTGAGGACTTTGGGATGTCGTCGGCACTTGGCGCCTCAGATGGTTGAGCAGCCCAGTGCGTCAAGCCACAATCGATGTGGCGTCGACCAGATTATTCCTTAGTGGGGTCGCGCATTACAATCTTGCCTGTCGCTATTGGGCCTCTGTCTCATTGGACAGTTCAACTTCTTGACATGAGAACATGCACTACGTAGCATCATTGGCTGATGGTTGTTAAAAGGCACGTATTAGGCTGATGATTAATGTCAGCTGGCTCCCATGGTTTTGATACACTTCCAAGTGTATGATAATCATTGACCATCTAATCAAGCTTCATTTGATTGCCTTCTCAAAAGTAGAAACATATTTCCAGTATTCATTTCAGTGGTCCGCCCGTCAGTCCCATCAAGATCGTCACTGGAACTAGCTAACTAACACCTTTACGTCAATCAACTCCGTTAGATCATGATCTGGCTCGGATGCCAACTTGCCGAGGTATGCATCCGCACAGGTCCCTCGCCATCCGGTGAAGATAACGAATCAAAACGGCGGACAAGACATGATTGATCCAGTCGTTGCTGCTCTTGCTCGACCCCCATCGACACTTTTGTCTCTGCGACTCGTTTTCCATTTTGAGCAATTCCGTTGATTCCATCGAACCACTGGAACTGCCGGTTGGCCCACCTCCACAACCCACCACCGAAGCATTTGTAGATTCCGAACGACATCTGACCTTGGGATATATGAAACCGGTGTCGTAATCAACAAAAGACATTTCCAGAAAAGAGAATAAATCATTCTTGTGGATTCCTTCTTTATTTGCACAATATTGCCTATCAAACTGCCGACAACATGGCCGCAACAGAGCAAGCCAAGGTGAAGCTTTACTGGTACATTCCATCGTCACAAGATACTTTCAATGAGGTTTCTTTCTCTTACTGACGCGCAACGATAGGCTCGAAAAGTCAAGGGCGCAGGGCATCCTTTGGCTGCTCGAGGAGCTCAAGGTGGACTACGAGCTTGAGCTCTTCCACCGCAACAAGCAGACCATGTTGGCACCGCCCGAGCTCAAAAAAATACACCCACTCGGCAAGTCGCCCGTCATCAGCGTCACGGCGCCGGGCGCCGACAAGCCCATTGTCATTGCCGAGACGGGCGCCATTGCACAGTACCTGAGCGAGCACTGGGGCCAAAACAGCACGCTGGTGCCGAAGCGCTGGAAGGAGGGCCAGGAGGGCCGCGTCGGTGGCGAGACCGAGGCCTGGATGCGCTGGATGTACTTTCTCCACTACAACGAGGGCAGTCTCATGACGCTCCTCATGATGGTCCTCGTCCTCAGCACGATCAAGGGCCCAAGGGTGCCCTTCTTGATCCGCCCCGTCACCTCGGTCGTGGTCAACCAAGTGTTCAACTCCTTCATCATGCCCAACCTCAAGACGCACCTTGCCTTCCTCGAGGAACAGCTCGCCACGAGCGGTGGTGACTTCCTTTGCGGCAAGGACCTTACCACCGCCGACATTGTGGTGAGCTTTGCACTCATCAATTATCAGTCCAGGTTTGAGGAGGTCGGGACCTGGGCAGAGAAGCCAGAGAAGCTGTATCCCAAGGTGTGGGCCTACATCAACATGATAGATGCGCACCCAGGGTACAAGAAGTCAGCCGAGAAAATCAAGGAAATCGATGCCAGCTATGGCATTAAATGGTAGTGCAGCTCGGCAAATGGGAGCAACGGTGGTGTCGCTAACGTGCTCCTTGTGTACAAATGTCAATATGATATGCATGAAAGATTCCTAGGATCTGTACTGGTCTTGAACCGGCAGTCCATCAAGCTGGAAAAGAGATGGTTGATGAGGATTGGCCAAAACTTTCCGCCGCGTGTATTCATGAGTAATACAAGACTATTCTACATATGAGAGCCTTCCATATTATTGCAGACAGATACCGTGATGACGAACTGGGACGAGGGTGGCGAAGTACATAAAACAGTCGTGTTCGCTGGGGAGTATCATTTAATTTTCACAAACAGCCTCTCAGCCCATCAAAGTGTTGTGAGTTAGTACGTACACCAGCGAGATAAACACGAGGTACTCGTCGAGAGTCAAAGACATAGCTCTAATTCATGGACAGTCATACAACCGATATGACAAGTGAAAATCAGTATTGCTACCTGAAAGCCTCGTCGGCGACACCATTGATGATCGCAATTCGGGGGCGCGCGGTGGAGTTGGAAACAGTTCACCTGAGTTATCAAATTGGGAGGATTTGGTTTTGAAGAACGTTGTTTTCATCTATACACATCCGATTCGTTGGACAATTGCCACCTCTCATCCTGCCTACAGATCTTCCCTGGCATCTGCTTTGGTATTGTTTGAACACCCACCCAGCCCACCTCTGCCGGGTGGCTCATCGCTTCTTATCCGCTCGAGTACACTGCATGTCGTTCCTGCCCATTGTCCTGGGCGGCCATGTCTGCCACGGAAAACAAACAAAAGGAAAATTATAGAAAAGAACCAAGTACTCCACAAACACATAATTAAACAAGATATGTAACCGCTGTGGCTTTAGATGCAATCCTTGCCTATCTCTGCAGTTCCACGCTTTGGTGTCGATTTCTTTTTTATGCTCGACCGCGCGGTGGTTATGGTAAAACAAGGTCCCGAAGCCTAAACATGGCGTGAAGCGAGGCATCGAGACGGTTGGCACGGAAGGAGATCGAATGGCGGGCGTATGTGTTAAGAGACATGCGCTCGGCTTCATTAGCCAGAGGGTGACATTACTGGCGACCGTACTGTATTTGGTGAAAAAGGGAGGGGGTATTTTTTTATTCGTAGCATCGCATAACATTCAAGTGAATCAAATCAAATGAGACCACACAGGCGGAGGTTCTCTTGGATAATGATATCTGTGCCCAGTGTTAGTCAAAATGACATCGCAGCAAACATGCGTCCTTTTCAGTCTTACCATTGACAGCTGCCATGACGAAACGGATCTGGGTCGTATCCGTGGCGCAGGTAAAATGTGTGTAGATCTGCTTGGTTTCGTGCTGGTTGAGGCTGACGAAGCGGTTGAGGATGTAGTCACAAGCGGCAGCGTAGTCCTCACCACCCTCGTAGTCGGGGAAGTAGTTCTTCATAGGACTGACGGGGAGCTTCTCCTTGAAGCGATCGATCTTGTTCAAGAACAGAATGATCGACGTCTTGATGAACCATCTCGAGTTGCAGATGGAGTCGAATAGCGTCAAAGCCTCCTGCATACGGTTGACCGTCTCATCCTCGAAAAGCAGCTGATCGTACTCGGAGATGGCGACCAGGAAAAGGATAGTGGTGACGTTCTCGAAGCAGTGAATCCACTTCTTTCGCTCGGATCGCTGACCACCGACATCGAACATGCGGTAGGTCAAGTCACCAATGATGAAGGTGGTCTCGGTAATACCAGTTGTCTTGACACGGGATCGCAGGACGTCCTGGTCGTTAGGCATGTAGTCAGGTGCAGCAATTCTGGTAATGTTATCAAAGTAGCTGCGAGGATTCGTCGTTAGTGAGAGGTGGACCACATGCTGGAAGATAGGGGACTCACTATCGTGCAGAATCATTAAGCTGGTATTCACGCGACCGCTTGAAACACTCCTGAACACCACGGTCCTTCCAGAGAGCCTCGATGGCGTTGCCAACCTCCGGAGGCAGAACGTCACCCTCGATCTGAGCGGGCTGCATGAAGATGGTCTGGACGTGGTACTCCATTCGCTGGTCCTCAAGGGGAAGCTCCAGAGACTCCATAGCCTCGAGAATGACACGCATTGACTGAACCGTGTTGCTGAAGATGATCTCCTTGAAAGACTCTCGCTCGTCGCGCGAGTAGCCGCCCTCGTGAATGAGCTTCATTTGCTTCAAGATGGTCGACTTTCCGGATTCACCAGCACCTGACCGCAGAGTTAGAACAGAAGCTGGCATGCGACCGATGGTGGAATAAATGTAGAGATATGGTTGTTGTTTTGCTACTCACCCAGAAGAAGCATCTTGATCTCGTTTCGCTGCATCATCTTGTCTCTCTTGAGCTGGTTCTCGATCTCCTCGTTGCGGGCCTTGCCCTCCTTCTCCTCGGTACTCATTCCACAACCCATCTTGACTGATTTTTACACAGGTTTGACGATTAGTGGAAGGTTGGTGAATGTCGTATCGATATTGTATTTGTTTAGTAGAATGCGAAAGGAATTGTCGGGCTGCTGTCTACAAGGAAGCAATGACGGTTAGCGGCCGGCGGTTCTCGCAGAAAGAAAGATCAAAATTGTTCAGATGAGGCAGGCCGGCGAAAAGCGATTGACAGATGACGACCCGCTCGACGATGCGCTTGGTGCGACTGCTTCGCTTGTCGATTGAAGCTCCCGTAACAGGGGAGATTGAGACAGCGCGCCGGGGAGGGTCTCTCGAATGTCGCAGAAGTTGCCAGCAGAGATTTTGGGCCCGAGAGGGGAAAAGGTAGTCCCTAGGAGACGCTCGGGAAGACTGGCTCAATGGCGGTGCAGAGGATACGACGAGACGGGAAGTTGTATGTTGGCAGGTAGAATAAAGTTCTGCAGGCGGCGGCGGGTGGGCAAGCGAGCAAGCGAGCAAGCGGGCGGGCGGGCGGGCGGGTGGACAGGTGCGCGCCGCCTGCCTCTCTGAAGGTTCTTTTCTTTGGAGTGGGATTTAACCGCGAATCCAGTCCAACTTACCGATTGAACGAAGCAGCAGTATTATTACTGTATTTGTGATGTGTGAAGTGAGGCGCTGAGCAGCGTCGACAAAGAAGAAGAGAATGTCGTGAATAGAATTCACGATGGTAGGAGGTGAGAGAAGAAAATGGCTGGCTGGAGATGGGTTTGAAAGGATGCGCAAGCAGTTGCTCTTGGGGAGCCGACGACGGTACGATGGAAAAGAGAAAAAGGAAGTGAAAAAAAGGGTGGCCCCCGAAATGGTTTGATTGATTGGAAATTGTGACAGGACGCCAGTCTCCTGAAGTGGAAAAGGGAGAAAAAGCAGAGAGTCGACGACGCGGGACCAGAGTGGCCGAGTGGAGCTTGGGGAACTAGGAACTGGCTTCTGGTGCTAACTAACGCAGGCGGGCGACTGCAGAAAAACTGGTGCTGATGCTGGGAGCCCACTGGAGCCCTTTTTGGGGAGGGTGGGTTGACTCTAGTACGGTGTTTTAGTACCTTAGCTGCTGCCCACTGGGGCCCTTTAGCGTCGCACGCTTCTGGGCAGTGGGTTCACTGGGTTCTGGAGACATAGGAACTGGCTTGGGACTGGCTCTGGCATCGGCTTCGGCAGCATTCAATTTGCTTTGCGGACACACTGAACACACGAGTGAACCCTGTCACGGGCACGCCTATGTCAACAGCTAACCAATCGGAGCCCTGAATTTGCCCAAGAATGAGATGGACAAAAGGATACAAGCGGAGAGGGAAGGACAAGGGAAAAAAAATTGACAAGGGGAACAAGATGGGCAATCTGGGCCCTTGCGCTAATGTAGGCAGACCTGGCCCATGTTCTCCTTTCCTGGCCTGGGTTCCTCTTTGCTGCTTCTCTAGTGTACGGGAATCCTCATGGTAAGTTCATAGGTTGGTAAGAGTACCCAAAGGCAGTGTTATCAAACCGGATGGGGGTGAAGCACAGGCACTTGGTTGATCACTTCATGGCCACCATGCCCTTGAAGCAAAGCTTCTCAACGTTGTCTGATGCAGCTCATTGAGGTATCTCTCGCATCTTACATGACGCTGCCAAGTACATCAATGATTATGTTCCCCAGTTCATCGCTCCAGAGGAGCTACAGAGGATCAGCTCGTAATCCATCCCAGGTACACCGCGACTACAAACCATCGGCATCAGCGTTGCCCTGGAGCAGTCCTGGGGGGGTCATCTCATTGCACCAGCCCGCAAGTGGACTAAGCATGCCCATGCTTCCTCTCTGACAAGTCCCCGAATTTGATTTCATTGCAGTATTAGCAGGCGCAGACAGGCCTCTTTCTCCCTCGCCCGCTTCCGCCTCTCTCCATATCACGGACGATTACACGCACACAAGTAGTACTTGCGGTGGAGGGACAAATGGCTCTCTCCCAGCCAGGCCCCAGTGTCGATTAATGAACTCTTTACAGTAGGTTGTGCCAATTGTCGACGGCTCTGCGACCGCCCCTGACTCGGCGGCAGGCTAGAAACACGCTTCCATGGCTATGGAATTTCCATCCGCATCACGTCCACCGACCAAACCTGCGCCGATTCCCCTTTTTAACATGACTATTGCATTCTCTAGCTCGTAGCTAAAATGACAAAAGTCCAGTGGTCACCAGAGTGGTTAGCCAGAAGAAGAAGAGGCGAGAGAAGTGGACAAGTAGCCGGTGTGGTATCCGTTCATGCATCTGGGAGGACCTCCCCTCAAGCTTACCTAGGTAATGTAGGTATGTCTGTAGGTAGACATTAAATTACTAGTACTTGGAAGTCCTGCTGTTCGTGAAAGCAGGTAGCCAGCCACTAGCTAACGCAAGCATGGATTGTATACGTGATACCTAATTAGGTTACATATCCCCGGCTTATCCATTTTCCCACATGTTGACATGGGTGTGTTGAAATAGCATTGTCATGTCATTCGAATTTGGTACTGTGCGTTCCCTGTCCTGTTCCATCTCATATTCATCGGCTCTTGCCTTTTTAACATATACTACAAACAGGCGAGCAGGTCTGAAGAAGAATGAGAAGATCCAGCCAAGCTACATACTCACTATAAAAGTGGATATGTAGCGTGTGATACTCGAGATCTGGCTTTCCTGGCGCGATATTGTCCTCGTAATCGACCACGGACGGAGGCATGAGTTGCAGCATGGAATGGCCAATGCGATCACTGCCGCCTGCGCTATGACCTTCTTTGGTCTTTGACGACTTATTAGTAGTAGCACCATAGTTGCTATAACAGAAAGTTGCGGTATATATTCTCACGCAAGGGCTAAGTAGTTGGGGAGAATTGAAATGAGAACCATATTATAGCAACAAAAATCACCACTTAACAAATGTATCTACCTCGAGATCAAAGAAATGCAAATCTGGGTCTGCTTAGTAAATCAATCCTTAGTGTCCGTCGCACTGTGCGAATGACCCATATCTCATTTCGCGAATGAGCCCAGATCCATTTTCACGCGTTGCAGAGTCGGGACCATCTTTGGATGGAGCACAGGGACCGGGTTGGTGCTGGGCCAACTCCATCGTGCTGCTGCTACCTACATATGCAATTCGTGCTCATTATGAGCACTCGAGCTCTTCTTTATTTTAATTTTTTGCCTCTGTGGTCGGACTCGCCGGTCCACTGATGTTTTTTTTTTTTTTTTTTTTTTGGTGTCCGCTCACCTGTCAGCTGCAGGTCGTCATAGCCAGAAATGCACCTGCAGCCACACACCAGAGATCGAATCTACGAATAGCAAGCATCAGTGGCATTTGCTGAGGCTCACCTCACCATATTCGCGGGGGTGCTCGGGCCATTCTCGTGGACGCCCAGGATCTAAATATGGCACCCTGCTCATCCTCCCACCTACCTCACTGCAGCGCACGACGTACATGACCTACTCTAATGGTTACATTCAATGCCAGTGGTAGTCTGTCAATTTGATGTATGTAGCTCGTAGGTGATGACGAACAGCATGCGAAATCCTGCACGCCAGTGATACTGCTCCTCATGGACTGACTGCAGGCACAATGCAACGTCGTCCGAAAGGCTGATGTGATGGATCCAAAGCACCATCCTCGGACTGAAGCCATCAATCCACTCACCCGCCACCAGCTGCTCATGACGGCGGCAGATTACCGACAATGCAAAACTGCAAGACAGCAGCCAGTGGGCTGGTCCAGCTGACTGTTGTGTTGTGCTGCTGAGTGGTGGGCCCCACTGGATCGGGTTTGCATCCCTCTGCTGCCCTGCTGCTTGTTTCTGACCTGCATTGATTCAACCCCACCTACAATCATGACTCCGCCCAAGGATCGACAATAGAAGGACTTCTGCGACATGAAGCCAATTCGCTCATCACTAGTGGTATTACCGACCTACGGATGCTTGCCGGCTCATGACCAGCCTTCTGCATATCAATCAGACTACTATACCGACACATACACACACATATACACACACTATACTCTTTGCTTGCCGCGGTTTACTCCCTGTAGTCGGTTGTGTAGTATGCGCTTCCATTATTCCGTACCTGTATTACTTGGCAGGGCGTTGCTCTACATCAAGCTACCCAGACTGTGATCTGCCGGCTCGACAGCGCAATACACTACTTTGGCGTGTTATTCACACTAATTCAACCTCTTCCCATCTCTCCAGGGCGCCGCGCCTATTCCCTTGATTGCCAATTTCAACTTGACGACCGTTGGGACTTTCTCGGAAAGCTTTGGAAGTCCGCGCACACGCTTGTGCCGGGTGCAGTGACGGCCCTTTTGCTGCAGTGACATGAACAACAGCCACATTGTCCCACTCTTCCGAGAAAGAAGTCAGACTTGTCATCAACAGATGGAATTTGTGCTATACGTCAGGGTGTCCAGTAAAGGGTACGGATACTGCAAATACTCCAAAATGCTGAAACATTTCCAAGATTAGCCGAACATGTTCGGTATATGCGGTTCTCAGTGCGCAAAGACCCACCGCTGGTCATTGGCCTAGTGTTGGTAATGGTCCTATCCACTTTTCCTTTTCCCTCTCAAGATCTGCATCAGATGAAGCATACAAGACTCCGTGCCCCTGACACTATTCCGGATATGGCTCTGAGGCGAATACGCTACTAGTATACGTGAGGAGCTGTGCTGTTCCTCCAATGAACACTTTGAGATGCGAGCCTTGAAGGCGTCTCATCTCCAACCAAGTAATCATAATGTCGTCGTTATCGAAACTGCCATCCTTGTTGTCGCCGTTTTCTGACAAGGAAAACTTGAAACGGTATTCCCCGTGAAAAGGATCTGCTGCGACCACTTCTTCTAGAAGAAAATCATGCCCTCGTCTTCTTCTGCAGCTGTGCTGATCACCTGATCTGCAATTTCGACTATACGGGGAGAATCTTGGGCTGACTCGCGGCCAACCAAGCTGCTGGCAGTCCTGGCGGTTTGGCTTTGAGATGACCCTTATCGAGCTCCACACCAACCCATATGGCCTGCCTGCGCAAATGCCTAACATTGGAAATGGCCCTACTGATGACACTACATGACATACACTAAGATCTGAGGGACCGGCAGGCTTGCCACATGGCAAATCTAACCTGTCTGGAGCGGACCGATGGAAACATGCCGGATGAATCTTCTCATGTGCACTACCTACCTATGCCTATGTACGCTGCAAGCACATTGCAGGCAATCATGTAATTGTCTCGAGACGCATGCAAAGCTTGCAGCCGGGGTGGCAAGGCAAAGGTACGAAGAGCATGGCCTTGACGCCCAAGAGTCCATGACCTTGTCAACAATGACACGGTCTTCGACAAGGAAGGGGTTTACCTTGATAGCCATTAGATAATTTTAGCATCAATGGTGGCTGTTGAAGTTCGCATAACGACCGAAAGCCCTGCCAACACTTCAACAAAAGAGAGGGAGAGAGAGAGAGGGAGGGAGAAAACAGACAGCAATTGATCACAACTTCACGGTTCTGCCAAGTTCACAAAGACATTTATTCTCTAGGGCATTATCAGCACACACACTCTAGCTACAAGGCCACGTGGTTCACAATAATATCTTTTTGGAACTCTAGGAAGACTGGCCATGACATAGTGCCCGACTCCTTTTCAATCTTGTCCTCCTGTTCTGCCCAAATATACACTAGCGTGCCCACCACGCGAGGAACATATTCCGAAGTATACAAAAAAAAGCATCATCGTCCCTGGTTCTACGCAAGCTTCTAGATGACCGGCTGTCATGTAGCATGTTTCAGCATGCGCAGCCGAGCATCAGTATAATCTATACGGGCATACCGTTTAAGAACCGAAATCCTTCCAGGCGTCTCAAGTCTGACTCGAGTGCTTCTAGAAGAGAACGGACCAGTCACGGTTGGCATTCCCCAAGGTCCTGGAGCTGACACGGCCGCGCCACCTTGAAAAGTTCTTCTCCCTACTACGTACAACTTTGGCGGGAGTAGTTGCAGACTAAATGTAGAGCCAGCACGAAGGGAGTAGATCGATAGAGACCGATGCAGCGTGGCGTTCATACAACGAGCCAGTGATCTAAAATTTGCGGTAGCGCAGCGTACCTACCTGTAAGTGTAAGTAGATCAATTGGTAGGCAGTCGAGACTAGTACCTAGGTACCGCTTTCGCGAGGTCAAGAGCCAATGCCGCTGCCGGATTATTCCCAACAACAACTTTTTTTTTTCTCTCTTTTCTTTATCTTCTTCCTTTTTTTTTCCCCCTCCAAACTGGCAGGCTGGGTAATGTTGTTGACTCGGTACGCTAGCCGCAGCGCTCATGCGAAATTTCGAGTCGTGGCGTATGTAGCATAGCGCAGCTGCTAACACCTCAGCTATTATACATGCGAGCTTGACGTGGTTAGCTGCATTTTTACTTACCTCCAGCCTCCTATACCATCCCACATGGGGCTCCCTCGTCCGTCGGTGCTCATCCGTCTCTACACATGAGCAATCAGCTCAGAACAGAAGTGGCTTGGACTGACTGGAGATGGGAGATGGGAAATGGGAGATCACAGACGGGCCCAGACCAATGGTTTCCCTCTCGGAACTCGTACCCCTCGGCCAGCAGCTACTAGGCAATTGATACTACCGTCTTTTAACGCAGCAGAGAGAGAGAGAATCGTGTGTGTGTGTATGTGTGTGTGTGTGTGTCTGTGTATGTGTGGTGTAAATTCCGCCTGGACAATGCGCAAGTATCCGCTTTGTTGATCAGGCTGCTTGCTGTTGAGATTGCTCGTGCTGGCAACCAGGAGCGTGTTCAACCCATTCCTACCACTGACTACTACGTCACCTCAAATCCGATCACATTTCCAGAGTCAAGAGTCAGCCAGTCAGCCGCCCAACTGCCTTTTGACGGGATTATCACAATGTCGAACGCGATTCCACTGACGCGCCTAGGCGGAAAAGGTATGTTGCACCTGCAGGAAGGGTCTCGATCTCGTTTCCACCCCCTTCCTTCTATCAGATCCCCCCAGATTCCCGTATTTTTGGGTGGATGATGAAAGCGCGTGCCGGCACCTTGGGGGTAGCTCCGAGCTGTACCACCCGTGCAGCCGCTTCCCCCACAAAACCGCAACCCTCCAACAAAGAGCTCGAGCTGGTCATGATGATGGTGTTTGTGTCTATTTACCTGCCCGTCGGGTCTTCGAATTGCACCGCCGCCTGGCATGTTCTGATGATGCCCAATACATACCGCATAGAGACTTCCACTGACGTCAACTGATGTCATATAGCCTTCAATCACAGCGCGAACAACGATGCCGAGGCCGAGTATGACCGGCTGCGCGACCTCGCGCGTGAGGAGGCCAAGAAGCGCAATGACTGTTTCGATAGGGTATGTATTCCAATGTTCATATACGGCAAGGGCCTCGCTGCCTCCTCTGCTCCAAAGGCAAAAAACCCCTGACAGAAGGCGGCGGCATCATGTATAGTCCCACAAGGCATACGAGCGCGGCGACGGCGCCGAAGCCAAGGAGCTGAGCAACGAGGGCAAGCGACACGCGGCCAAGATGGACGAGTACAACAAGCAGGCGTCGGACTACATCTTCCGGGAGAACAACGCGACCGGGCGCGTTGCCGACGACACCATTGACCTGCACGGCCAGTTTGTCGAGGAGGCCGAGGACATACTCGAGCAGCGCATCCGCTACGCCCAGCAGCACGGCCAGACGCATCTGCACGTCATTGTCGGCAAGGGCAACCACTCGGCAAACCACGTTCAAAAGATCAAGCCCCGCGTCGAGCGTGTCTGCCAGGAGCTCGGCCTTCAGTACTCCACCGAGGAGAACGCCGGCCGCATCTACGTCAACCTCCAGGGCGGCAGTGCCGCGTCGCCGCCGCCCCCCTCCCAGCCTTCCGGACACCAGGGTGGTGGCTCTTACGCTGGCGGACATCAACAGTCGCAACCGCACCACAGTGGTCAGCAACACCATGGTGGGCAGAGTCAGTACCCTGGTAGTCAGCAGCAACACCAACAGCCACAACAACAACATGGTGGCCAGCAGCAGCAACAAGAGGATGGCGATATTGCTGAGAAGATTGTCAAGAAGATGCTTGTCAAGCTGGAGAAGGCTTGTTGTGTGATGATGTAGGATATATATTCAGACACAGTCCATGTAAGCTTTCTTCTAGAATACAAAATAATTGGGAAACCCTTTCAATGGTTCTAATCTTGAATGGCTGCGTTGGCTTGAATCTTTATTGAAACCATTTCCAAGTACTTATTGCGTCTACGAAGGAGGCATAGCACGTTTCATCGTGGTGAAGAGGTCAAATCAACATAAACTGATCCATTATTAAAGTGCCACGAGCAAAAACGGTATTTGAATTTCAAGTACCAAATAGAGGTGCCTGTCTTTTCCTCTTCTTTTGCTTTTCTCTACTAGGTACACCGTGGTATTCCGCCCCTTTTATGACTTTTTGACGCAACCGAATCCGAGATTAATTGTGCACAACCAGGTGACATGTCTCGAGAAGAGCTCGTCGAAAGAAATTTTTGTTCATAAGAGTATACCCCGAACTCCTTCCCCGGCTTCCGTCAAGTCACTGGTAGCAATCATGATCGTAGTGAGCTCACTATATTTGAGGTTTTGGTGGAGCGCCGTCAAGGTCATTCAGCCCAAATTTCTGCAAAGTTGCTCAGCTCCTCGTCCTAAGGAGCGTCGGGCTCTTCCACTAACATGATATCAGTATCTGTTTGCTGTGGATAAAATAACAATGAATGAATAGAGGGCCGAGAGACTCCATTAACAATTGCCAGTAGTGGGGCAGTACACGGGGTAATTTCTGAACGATCAGTACGGGATCACTTACTTATGGCTTCCGGAGGCGGGGGGTGGCCCTGCGCTTGAGCTTGAACTTGAGCATGTTGTTCATGGACTTGTTCCTCATGAAGTGTCTCTTCATATGCAACAATTTGGAAAGCTAGCTGTTTGGCTGCTGCCTCGATCATCAGCATTTGGCGAGTCCTCTTGTCTGCGGCACGGATGTCGGCCATGGCGCGCTCAATGGTGTATTTCACAACAGGATCAGCCGAAGCAGGCCCAGATACGTAATTGAAACCCCCAAGAGCAGCAGAGGGGATAGCTAGATTGTTGAAAGCCGCATCGCCCATCACTGTTCCTGCGTGAGCGGCCGGGTTGCGAGTTTCTGTGGAACACACAACGTGTTAGCCAGGCATGTTGGACTGTGGATGACAGCATCAGTTTTCTTACCATGGAATGAACATCTGGCTCCCGAAGCATTGAACCAACAGTTGGCACAACTACCACACATCTGACCATCCACGATCACGCAAGTCGTCCACGGTCCGTGGCCCTTGTGACAGTTCTTGCAGGGAACCGGTGCCGACTCGCCAGCAATGTGAGCAAATAAGGCTTCAACATTACTGCGTCTTTGCAGGTTAAGTTGCTGCTCTGGTCGCCTCTGCTGTGCCAGCCGCATGCCCGGCTCCCGTGCCAGCCGCTTCGCCAACGCACTTTCCACGATGACGTTCTGGTATCCTGACTGAAGAGCTAGACTCTCGGTGGTGTGGGATAAATCGTCGGTGCCATCGTGCTGGCCCATCTGGTCAAAGTCTGGATGTTCATGAGGGTTTACGCCCATGGGACCTGCACCGCTGCTGGCCAGGATGCTGGCGGCAGTGCTAAGGTCCATCTGCTGTTGCTGCTGTTGTTGCTGGGCGGCAGAGTGCTGGGCAGCGGCGGCGGCGGCAGCAGCGGCAGCCTCTGGATCGAAATCGCCGTGATGATCATGGTGCTGCTGCTGGTCAAGCTCGTCAGGCCCTGGGCCTAGGTCGTGCTCATGGCTGTGATCTTGTTCGGGATCATGCTCGTGCTCGTGCTCGTGCTCGTGCTCGTGCTCATGTTCATGCTCGTGCTCATGCTCATGGTGCGGCTCGAGGTCCGGGTCTTGGTTAGGGACGGTGTCCTGAAGTCCGGCGCGACGAGCAGCGGGACGACGAGGTGTGGCGGCGGGTTTTGTCACCTTTGAGGGACGACCTCGCGGCGGTTGAATGATGCCTCCTCTGGCGGCTGACATGGCGATGATGTCGTCGTCGGCTGTCAGACAGTTGGATGGAATCGCGTTGGAACTGATGCGGCAAATCAGCTGTCGGCAGCTGCAGCAGTGACAGTTGTTGCGAGATTTGGAGGGGGGGATTTTTTTCAGAGGTGTTTGGAAAGACGCGGAGGGGGGATCCCGGATTAGCTAAGGCACGCGCTGGACGCTGCCCCAAGCTCCAGGTCTCGTCCTCGAGCTGTCTGGTATCCCCACTATCATCAATGCATGTGTACTTTACATTCCTAGCGCCTACCTTACATAGGTGGCGCTACCACCACCACCACCACCGTACTCAAGAAGTGCTCTACATTAGGTGCCATAGGTGCACATATACACGTCAATAACACACCTACATTTACGATATACTTACATTGCAACAAGACTTTCATGGTCGCCGGAGCATTCACTGTGCACAGTCTTCTCCGAGGCAAAGTCGAAACTTTAAGGATAGGCTGTCCTGCCCAGTGACGAACCTTCAGGTTTACTTATCAATGTCCAAAGGGAGAAATTTTTACTAGTGTGTTTCTGGACAATTCAAATCTTCTAGGACTGATGTGCCCTGAAGGTGCTCATTACGTGCTTGGAACTACTTCCGCTGCGCCTGATAGTAGGGTCTAGGTACACCATGCAATGCGCGGTATCCCGTGCGGACGAGGCTGTCAGGGCCCTTCACATCACCGACGCCCGTCCAGTAGAATAGCCCACCAAGCCCCGTTCGCCGTACATATTCTGCCTTTATTTGAACAGTGGCAGGCACATCAAAGCTTGCGAATCCCTTGCCTCCCGATCCTGTATCAGCATAGCTGGCAGCGCCACAGTGATGATCTACACTGGCACACGTGATCCATTCCTGTGGCACCTCGTTGTAATCCATTTCGTGTGCCTTTTTGAAAGGTTGGCCAATGCCGTGAGCGCCCTCGAACGTCCGAACATAGAGGGGTATTCCGAGAATAAGCTTTCTGGCGGGAAAGCCGCGTGACAAGATGTAGTCGACACCGCCGTGGCAGGAGGTTCTTAGCCTGGGGTAGATGCTCTCTACTGGCCCTGGCGGCGGTAGAAGCTGAGCGTGATGGCCGCTGACATCTGTCCAGGGACCATTAAAGTCATAGCCCATCAAATTGAGATAATCGAGAAGTTGCCCGGCCAAGTCGAGGTCAATATTCTTGAGGCAGTACTGGCCTACCGGAAGAGCTGTGCTCAGGAGGAACCACGGCGACGGAAGTGCTCTGCGCAACTCGCTCAACATGGCCACGAAATTGGCACCGTCGTGGGGGGTTTCGGGATGCTCCCAGTCGATATCGACACCATCCATTTTCCATTTCTCGCAGAATTCCCGACAGCTACTGGCAAAGGTCGATCGAGCAACGGGGTTGGCGGCCATGGCGGGAAACTCGGCACTGCCACTTCCACCGCCAATCGATACAATCGTCTTCAGACCGGGTATCTGGGTTTTGAGCTTGACGAGGGCTGCGAGACAACCCTTTTCTCCGTCAGCTTCGATGCAGCAGTCGGCATATTCATCCAACAGACGTAGTGTCCCGTCTTGGTTCACGCGCACAAAGGCATAGTAGACATGAGAGATGGCGTCTTGCTGTAGAGCCGACGGAGCATGGCCTTTGTAGATGCGCCAGCACGGATAATAGACAGCATTGACAAATTGAGGAGTAGCCATGATTCTCATAACATGTGGACAAGAAGTGATCAGTGGAGAGATGAATATGGAAGAAACGGATCTAGCGGGGTGCTCAAGAGATGATATAATATGTATGCTCGAGAGGTCAGAATGTTGATTGTTCGGATATGGATTCAAGGTTGGATGATTTGACCTGGAGGAGATTAGTTTTAGCACATGATGCACGGTACATACATAGGTGTTAGGAGTGACCATATATCATCGCCCTTGCCTACCTGCTAGATACCCGACCAAGGCTTTTTCTTCTTGTAGGTACATGCAGGCCCGGGACCTTTGGATCAATCGAATGTTAAACAACTAACTTGAATGACCAGCGAACATAGCACAGCATTTAGCGTGTTTCAAACGTATTAGTATTGCGTCTCGGACCTCGTGTTTCTGGAATAGTAGATCTAAGTTTGGAACGAAATGTGCGAGTCATTGTGCATATAATGATCATGTTTTATTTTTGCACTGACAAGTGTATCTATCCCGTTGCTATTACTCACGATAGGTTTTATTTACTCTTCGTTCTACTTGATAAATGAGTGATGGTGATGGATTGTGAGTTACAAGATTACTCTGGCCGAGTAGAAAATCCATGAAATTACAAATGAGAAATGAATATCCTTCCCTTACGCCCTTCTCGATTTATCCGTCATCACATCCGGCTGGAAAGCTGAACCGGTGTCGCGTCTCCCTTCTTCGCGACCTGGTATGATACCCCATTGGTGCCGTTATGGACACCATATTGCTACATTGACATCTTGCAGTATCTGGAGGACGCTGAGGTCAAGTCCGTGTTGCTTGACGGCCACAATGATCATATCAAATCCCTCGAGGGTATCTTTTTTCCAGAACTCATCAGGCAGACGCGGGATTAGGGGTATGGCTTCCTGCTTCACCAACGGGTCCGCAAACATGACGTCCACGCGGCCGGACTCAGCAAGGAATTGGGCAAGTTTCTGTCCGGGAGAGTTGCTCAAGACGCTCTGTCCTGCTTTAAAGCCCATACCAACCACGAGAACCCGGGCACGTGGCTTGAAGGTCGTTGCGCCGCTCATGGTCTCGGGAAGGCTCATCAAGCCTCCAGTCAAGCCGACGCCGCATTTGGCCAGCGCCCCATCCGCCACCATCTCATCGTGAGACATGTCAACACCCGAATCTGTTCGCTTCACAGTGGACAGAGGATAGGTTCCCTCATTGTCCGGGCCAAAGAGGAGTCGTAGTGCTCTCTGGCCCATTTCGACCGGTCGTTGCCACATTTTCTCCGTGCAGGCTTTGAGCAATGGGAAGTCACTATTGGATAGCAGGTAATAGGGGTTCACAGGGATACAGTGACCACCAACTCCCAAGCTCGGCATATATGGCATGTATCCAAACGGCTTGGTAGAGGCAGCCCGGCATACTTCGTAGGGATCGACACCAAAGGGAATGCAAGCGTCAGCCATCTCGTTGGCAAAGGCAATACACATCATTCTCTGGCAGTTTTCGTAGAGTTTCATCATCTCTGCGACTTCAGGCTTGGACACTGGAATGATGGTGTCAAAGACAGATGAGTACAGACGGACGATTGCCTCTAGAGAGCCTGGAGCCACATCGTCGAGGCCCGAAACAATCTTGGGGATCTTATGCGTGGAAGGCTCTGTGCGCCCGGGGTCAACTCTCTGTTTTCTCCCATTAGCATCATACAATTTCTATGTTGCAAGTCGACATGGTGCACAACATACCTCGGGTGACATTCCTACGAAGAAACCCTTCTTGTCCACCAGAGGTCCAAGAAGCTGTCTGGTCATGCCAACAGCCACCGAGCTCTCCACAACGACGGTAGAGCCCTTGCGCCCAAAAGTTGCTACCGTACCAAGGGCACTCTGGATGTAGCTGATATCAATGGTCTTGTCCTCCAAGAGAAGAGTCGGAACAGAAATCAAGAAATGAGTTGCTTTCGACAAGTCGCCAGGGTCCTGGGTGAAGGTGATGCGGCTATCCTTCTGATTGTATGTCTGCCGCAAAACCTCAAGACGAGCCTGGGACAAATCGTACCCTAGGACGTTGTAATGCTTCGAGAAGCTGCTGATCAAGTGCTCGCCAACGTAGCCACAGCCGATGACCGCGACCAGCGGCTCCTCCGCTTGTGGGAGTTGGGCGACAGCCTGGGCGACGGCGAGGGGATCGACATGACCAATACCGTTTCCAATGGCAACAATAGGCGGTGTTATGGGAGGCGTCAGCTCTTGAGACGACTTGGCCATGCTCGGGCTACCCACGGGCAAGGCCGAGCAGACTATGGGCGGAAGATCAGGTGCTGGATGCATTTTCCCGGTAGTCTTGCTGGCAAGAACGAGGAGATTTGAAGCTTGATATGAAAAGTTTGCTTCAATTTCTCTGAAAATGACCACCTGAGGAGGCCAGGTTAAGACCCTTCGGGACAACCTCGAGGCAATCTGGTAGGTGAGCAGTCTTCTGCATTTTAAACCAGCAGCCTCCACTACAGACCTGCTATGTCAGAGCTTGTCGGCAATGGACTTTCGCCAACACGAATGAAGGTGCTGGCTAAGCACCGAGACTTTGCGGATGTGGCATCACAGCCAGGTCATGGTATTGGCAGGAGTCAAAATCACCAGCATTTCTCTACATGTCCCCGAAAGCCGAAGCTAAAAGTGGACAATCGTGCGACTCACAGTGGCGACATCTGTTGGAACCGAAAAGGAATATGCTTTTCTACAATATTGGTGCTGGGTCGTCTCCAGTTTTACCATCAGACAACTCCTCAGCCTATTGGCAGAGATGTGCCTTCTAGGTGTATCTGTTGCAGGAACCACATACTGCATCACACCAATTTCTGGTACCATTGGTTATGCCATCGACATGGACAAACCCTCATTGTTACAGAACGTAGTCCTTGACCTTCTCAGTCTTTCCAACAACAGCTGAATATAGCTACTCCTCGATGGCAATATCTGCTGGTCAAGATCCGGGACGAATGGCAAGATCGGGCGTTCTGTGCACGCTGCTGCTTAGTAGCGACAGTATCTGCTCCAAAACTTAAGGGACCTGTCAGGCTGTCATCAGGGTGCCTTGCAAACTGCAGTACGGTCCGAAAGGAGGACAAAAAAAAGGGGGGGAGGACGCACCTAAAAACTTATCGAATCTTAAATGTTGGCACAACTCTTGGCCCTAATCGAGGGACGAGGTCCCAATGTCCTTGAAGAGTCTTGCCACGGGGCGACTATGCGGAGCTCAAGGAGAATATTATGCATTCTTCCCCAGTTTCCTAGGCTGGTGGCATAAGTGAGCCCTCATCAGACCTTTCACTTCTGCCACTTGATGCTGCGGTTTCATGTAGAAGCAGTATCTCCCGAATTGTTTCCACCTGTGTCCATAACCTCTTGTATCATCATAGAAATTATGGTGGGGAAAATTGCAAGATGCTTACGCCATCCAGGTGACTCATGACATGTAAACGGTGTACTTGGGCAGAGATATGGTTAGCAACTTGTGGCAAAAAAAGGGGGTATGCTTGGTTGGGGATTTGGTATGTAGGTACTCGGGACATTTGCAGTGACTCTGTAAAATACAGTTTTGTAGTCCTGTTGGCCAGCTTGCCCTATGGTTTTGCCAACCACCGCACTTTTTACGTCTTTCTTGTTCTTTGTCCTGCTGCCAGTCCATCAAAATTCCCCTACACTCGCACAATTTCCACGCATCTACAGCGCTACAGCCCAGACGAAACCTCTAAGCGCTTCAAACGGCTGTCACTCGACCTCCATCGTCATTGCCACCACTGAACATTAGAAGGATGCCATTTGAGAAGGACTTTGGCGATCTCATCTACAAAGTTGTGCTGCTCTTGATGCGTATATAGCCTCCCCGAAGAAGTACAGAGCTTGGACACACAAGACATCGACAGAAAAGGAGGCTGATCTGCCACGGATCTAGACGGCCGGTCATCTTTGCAATATGGATCCAAACAATCGACGCCTGAGGGCATACTTGCCGGAGTCAGAAGATCCATTTGCTGATCCGACTGAGCGATCATACACTTCAAGTCCGCCGGAGCTTAGAAGGGTCCCAGCTCGGTCGATAACAGTAAGTTACCCTGCGCACAAAGGTAGAAGACAGTTTTAATCGTGCTTTCCAGGATCCTTGGCGACAAAGACGCCCAGAACACAGCGACACTCTTGCGCACGCTGCACTGCGAAGCAACTATAAAAATAGTTGCACCCAGACATTATCAGACGAGACACACAGGAACACACATCGCGCTACATCCGCAGCACAACTGCCACTGCTCCGTCAGATCCAGACACATCATGGTTCGACGCCCACGCACTTGAGAAGACCTTCCGTCACGGTAAGGCAGGGTCAGGAGTCAACGCCAACTTCATTCGATCCAGTGACCAGAGCCACCAAGTCCATAGACGCTTCGACGTCATCGCCTGGACCAATTCCGATCAGTCTGCCCCCTTTGCTTGCCAACGAGAAATCCGCAGTGGAACTTGCCGACACCGTTGACCCAAAGATCATCAAGCGAGGGAAGCGCAAGGTCTGGTTCCAGAAGCAACTCCTTACACTGTTTGACTTTTCAGCAAAGTAGGTACAAACGTGACCAGAGCTGACCAGGGTCGATCGCTGACAGAAAATTAGCTTCATACTGATCTTTGCGAGTTGGTATTGGCCCAGATACTACTACCTCTACCTACCCTTCATCTCTCTGCCTCTGGTGTTGAACTGTATCATGATTTTCATGATCATCATCTACAGCACAAAGAACAAAGTCTTCAAGCCGAGAAAGATTGTCCCCAACACACCAGAGGCCATGGTTCTCTTGATGCCATGCTACAATGAAAGCTTTGAGGAATGTACACGATCTTTGGATTCACTGACCTCGCAGGTCAATATTGACCAGCACAAGAAGGCCATCATGATTGTATGCGATGGAAAGGTTCGTGGGCCCGGGATGGAGAAGACGACGGCTCAGTATCTGGCCGAGGACATTCTTGTTGGTAGGCAGACCCGACGCTTCATGATTCGCACTGCCTATCTTGCCTGGGATGGCCAGACAATGGATGTTGAATGCCTTACGGGCGTGTACAAGGGAGTGCCGTTCTTCTGCATCATCAAGCAGCAGAACCAAGGCAAGCGCGACAGCCTCATCGTCTCCCGATCATTTGTGCACCACTTCAACAAGCGGGCAGAGCAACCAAAGGTCGTGTTCTCGCCTCCCTTCTTCAAGGCCATGGCGAGCTGGCTGCAGAACGATGCCGGCTTTGATAGAGTCGACGTCCTCATTGGTATGGATGCAGATACAGTCTTTGAGACAGACTGCATCTCGCATCTTGTCACAGAGAGCCACTATCCTCAGACTGTGGGCGTCTGCGGCTATGTTGCTGTTGACTTCCAGCATGGGAACTGGAATCTATGGTCCATCTACCAATCTGCCGAGTATACCATTGCCCAGGGTCTCCGCCGCCTTCATCAGAGCGTGGTGACCCACAAGGTCTCATGCTTGCCGGGCTGCTGCCAGCTTCTCAAAGTCTGCGAAGAGACGTGCGGAGACAGGGTGCTCATTGAGCTTTTCGGCTATCATCCAAAGCCCTTGGATGGTGTGATCCGCCGCATTCGTGCGACTGCCTCGGAAGATCGCAACCACGTCTGTCTGATGCTCATGGAGAGCCCCAAGGCACAGACTCGGCAGGCTCTCCGGGCCAGAGCCTACACAGACGTTCCGCACTCGCTCAAGGTCTTTCTGAGCCAGAGGCGACGGTGGACGCTCGGAGCCACCTCGAATGACTTGATGCTCTTCACCAAGGCTCCATGGTGGAGCTTCAACTGGTGGGAAAGAATCATAGCTTTCTCCAATGTTCTGACCTGGGTTCTCAACCCCTTTGTCATAGCAAGCCTGGGCTGCATGATCTACGCCTTCCTTCGTAAGTTGTCCTTGCCGATGAATCGAGCGTTAAAAGGTGGGATGTGGTGGCTAACTCTGTTCTAGACCAGCCCTGGTGGATTATCCTGGCATTCGCCGGCGTCATGATCATTCCCCTCTTGTACTATCTGACCATGGTGGTATGGATGCCTCGAAACTGGCTTGAGCGAGGCCAGTTCCTTTTGGGCTTGACCATTTTCGCAATTGTTGGCCCGTTCATCAACATATGCGTCACGATATACGCTGTCAAGAACATGGACAATTTTGGCTGGGGCAAAACCCGCCAAGTGATAGCAGAGACGGGCGAGGCAGAGGAGACCAACGCGGATGAGGAACAGCGGCGCACCCAGGTGGCACTCAGGTTCAATGAGAAGGTCATCGGGAATCAAGTGCCTGATGAAGAGAACCAGCTAGCTCATGTCAGAGTGCCCAACCCGTTTACTGTTCCCCTCATCCCGGATCTCAGACGGGGGCCAGAGTCGCCCGAGCCCGAGCCCGAGCCTGAGCTGGAGCTGGAGCTTCAAGAGTCAGATCCAGAGACGCCATACTTCAGACATGACATAAATGGACTTCGCGCAGCAGAGGACCATGTCCAAGAGATGTCTGGTGCCCTCCCGGGTCCTGCTCGAGCTTCTCGTGAGTCATTGTCCGATGGCCACTGGAGGCCAATGACCCCAACGGCAGCAGAGCCTTATAGAACGCGAGGTATCGCGAGCCATGCCATCCCTCCCAGACACGCATCCCTGGGGAGGCCAGGTCACCAAGCAGTGGAAACATCATCGATTGGAACTCCATCTGTTGGACCTCCGGTCTCCTTGGACACCAGATCACAATCGCAACTCCGAACTCGATATAGCCAGGGTGCCATATTTCGACCTGACGACTTTCGGCCGCGTTGAGCTGCTGCTGCTCCATTCATGGTTCCTGATGGCTTTGCTTGTTAATTCTTCTCTTTTCTTTCTTTTTGAAATTTTTTGCCTACTTTCCATTTTCACCTCGAGTATATTTCGAGACATTTGATTGCATGACCTTCAAGAATAAGGATACTCTGGATTTATATATCCGATGTTTGTGATTGGATTAACTGACCGGGAGGGGGTGGGATTCGACTTTAAAGTAACGTAAAGTACTCGGTGGGAAAATTGATGGGCGGAACATAGTACCAATTTAAGAGTGCATCAAGACATTGGCTGGCATTGTTTGTATTGGAAACAAAGTTGGCTTATACCGAGAATGCTATGAGGTTTGGGCAGTTGTATAATTTATGAAAATGACGCGACATCAGTCCGATTCAGATAGGTTAGACCCAACGGGCTAGATCCGCTGGGCCCACAGCGAGGTTACTGAGTTCTGGGCTGCAAAGTTTAGTCCGTAGATGAACAACTTGCTCCCATTCGTCAACTCTGTTCTTCTTTCATATATTTCCAGACTACGATGGTATACTACGAGACATGTCTCCACTATTGTATCAGAGTCTTTTCATGGTATACTTCGTGTGATATCGGTGCTACTGTCTCGACACACTCATATCCAGAGTATATAGCCGCGTCTCGTGGATCAATTGCATTCATTTCTTGGCATTATCCTCCGCCGCCGTCCATTTCGTCGCGTGATCTACAACCCTCACGAATCACCACTAATTCATGGTGGGAAACTGGGGGAAAACCCCACAACCTATTACTAGTAGCCATCCACCCCGTGCCAATCCCCCATCCTCCCCTCAACGGCCAGTAACCACCCCGCATAACTAGTACTAGGTACAGGGCCTGCACACGGTCGTCAGCACCAGTGTGCCCTGTTGTAAACCCACTGGCTCCAGACACTCCAGACACTCCAGCAGCTTGATTGGCGCGCCTAACTCTCATGATCAACGCTCAGTCTCCCCAAGGCTTCAAGGGCCCCTACCTAAACTTGCTTTAAGAAAAAAAAAAAATAACCACCCAAGGAGCTGTAAGTTTGTCTGCACTGCTGCTGCAGGACGACATGTCAAAGAAGAAGAAGAAGAAGGAAAAGAAGAAAATGCCTCGTCTTTGCCCCGATGATGCATGACGCAGTTTGGCCCACGCTCGGGCATATACCCGAACAGTATTGCCGGGCCATGGCATGATGTAGGTATCTTTGCTTTCACGATCAAGCTCGTCTCGGGGCGGGTGGTGTGATCAGGGAGCCGGCCCAAACCTTCCTGGTGTCCACACATTCCCCATGTAGGTTGGATACCTATGCCAGTCAGTAAGTAGGTAGGTATTTATATATGCAGGCATGACCTGTGCATATGCCCGTTTTCCTTTCTTGCCCGTGCCTTCGGACAAAGCAGAAAAACCTTGACCAGCTTCAACGGCAGCCAGATTTGGTTCTTCGCAGGTGGGAATAAGAAAAGGGCCAATGGATACCGCAACCATGGAACGCCTCCCGGGCTTCAACGTTGCCAACATACTGGAGAAGCGCCAGCTTCTCATCGCCATCAACTGCATTGCTGCACTGTCCATCTTCTTCTTCGGCTATGACCAGGGCATGATGGGCGGCGTGAACAACGCGAAAGACTACATTGACTTGATGGGCTTTGGCTATGTCGACCCCGTCACCGAGGAGCCAATCATCACGGACAGTTTGCTGCAGGGAGGCATCGTCTCCGTCTACTACCTCGGAACCTTGTTCGGCTGCATGTTTGGCGGCTGGATCGGCGACAAGATTGGAAGGGTAAAGACTATTGCGGTAGGAGCCGCCTGGGCCATTGTTGGAGCGTGTCTGCAGTGTTCAGCCATGAACCATGACTGGATGATTTGCGGTGAGTACACTAGAAATGCCGGAGTCCCGATGGACTATCTAGAACCGAGACGGACACTGACTGATTCATCTCCCAGCTCGAGCCGTCAATGGCATTGGCACCGGCATCCTCAATGCCATTGTGCCCGTCTGGGCGACTGAGACGGCTGAACACACCTCCCGTGGACAGTTCATTGCCATTGAGTTCACTCTAAACATTTTTGGTGTCGTCGTGGCCTACTGGCTGGAGTTTGGTCTGTCATACATTGACAATGGTAATTCTGCCATTCGATGGCGATTCCCCATTGCTTTCCAGATCATCCCTCTCTTGGTCCTCCTGGCGGCTGTGTGGTTCTTTCCCGAATCTCCGCGCTGGCTTGTCAAGGTCGGACGTGACGAAGAGGCTCGCTACATTCTACGTCGTCTCCGAGGGTCCACTGGCGATGATGCCAAGCGAGCCGAGCTTGAATACCAGGACATCCGCAACATTGTGCAACTAGAGTCCAAGGAGTCGTCCAAGAACTCGTACTTTCACATGTTCTTCGGCATTGGATCCGGGGACCTCCATACGGGGCGCCGTGTTCAACTCGTCATCTGGCTGCAGATTATCCAGGAATGGGTCGGTATTGCCGGTGTCACCATTTACGCCCCAACCATATTTCGCATTGCTGGTTTCGATACGGTCAAGAGTCAGTGGATCAGCGGACTGAACAATATCTTTTACATGTTTGCAACTCTCATCTGTGTCTTTACACTGGACCGAATCGGCCGCCGATGGACCCTGTACTGGGGAGCCGTGGGCCAAGGGATTGCCATGTTCCTTGCCGGTGCCTTTTCACGTCTCGGCCAAGATGCTACTAGAGATGGCGATGTGGCCAAGGCAAACTCATATGGTGCCGCAGCAGCATCGTTTGTGTTTATATTCACCTCTGTGTTTGGCGCCACTTGGTTGACTGTACCGTGGCTCTATCCAGGTTAGGTTTTTTTTTTTTTTTCCCCTTTCTTCGTAGCTTTAGGGCCATGATCATGTTCATGACTAACTCTGCGCAACAGCCGAGATATTCCCTCTTCAAGTTCGAGCCAAAGGAAACGCATGGGGTGTCTTTGGCTGGTCGATCGGCAATGGTTGGCTAACACTGTTATGTCCCGTCATGTTCAGCGCCATCGGCGAAAATACCCTACACATCTTTGGTGCATGCAACATTCTAGCAATCCCAGTTGTATGGGCACTATACCCCGAGTCGAATCAGCGAACACTCGAAGAGATGGACCTGTTGTTCGCCGCGCCCACTCCTTGGGTGTGGGACGCGGAAAAGACCTTGTAAGTCATGCTTATGCTAGCCGTGTTCATCACTAGGGAATCACGTCCCAATGAAATTCCAGCTCGCTCGAATCAGTCACGCTTCGAGGAAAACTACTAATCTCGCCTGTCACAGCGAACGTCTCAAGGTCGAGCAGCCAGGTTTGGTCCAAGCAGCCAAGAAAGGGGACAGTGTGGTTGATCCTGAAGTCGGCGTCTTGTCACGACCAAAGGATGGAGAAGTGCACGAGGAGGGTCTAGACAAAGTATCCTCGTGAGCAGACATCAACGACGATACAATAGATATGATGCTATGCCATGGGAAAGGCCAAGCGCTTTCTATAGATTCATTCAAGTACAAGGTGAGCTAATAAGAATGCAATAATCAATATTCCGTCATATACATATACATATATGAATAATAATAAACATACGGATCAAGTACCGATCATTAAATCGCTTCTGGGTGCATCAAAGGTTGTTGCGGGGTAAAAAGACTCGGCGCCGCTAAAAAATATTAATGATCCCCAGGTGCTCATTGCACCTTGGGTCCTTAGCCGAGGTCCACTAGTACCGGTAGATAGACAATATCTAAATAATGGCCAGTGGGCGATTATTCATTCAGGGTGATGCCAAATGATTACGATTGTATAATTATCAACTGTGCTACTTTGATCGTTGCTTTGGGTCTCTCGCTAGCGATTGCGATTGTTGAGAGCAGCAACCAGCTGCGTTTTATCACGGCAGTATGGCCTCATTTGCGCAAATACTCAAGGTCACGGCAATTGACTCACATTCATATCGCGTCAACTTTACAGATGAATGGTGCATTGGATCTGGTGGGAGACAAACCCCTCCCCCCGACCCCCTCCCCCACAAAGCATTCCGCTCAAGCGCCTTGAACTGACTGACGGTACCAGTACCAAATGGCGGCGTGGTGACCTCGGTCCTGCAGTCGGTCGCGCGGGAGCACTTTCTCACAACGCTAAAGTCCCAAAACCAGCCAGATTGCATCTCCCTACATGCAGACTTTGTGCAGCGGACGTCGGCTGGTCCGGCAGTCGTCCAGGTCGAGGATCTCAAGCTAGGGCGCCAGACGTCGACGGTACGGCTCACGCTGGTGCAAGAGGGCCGGAAGGAGGTCCTCGTGGTGCTCACGCACGCCAACATTGCCCTCGAGTCGGGCCTGAGCCTGCCCACGGCGTGGCGGCTCGACCCGCCACCGCCGCCCGCCGATCTGGTCAAGATGGCCGCGCACGGCACGGATGGCACGTGGACCGAGTGGAAGTCGCCGCGGCCAGACTTTCGCAAGGCGTCGCTCAACGCCAACATGTACACGGTCCGGCAGAGCGGACGGGTCGACCGGGGCGTGGTTGAGCAGTGGATCAAGCTCAAGAGCGGAGAGAACTTTACCAACACGAGCCTCGGATTCCTCAGCGACATGTTTCCTCTCATGGTCGAGTCGTACAGCGAAGACGAGGACGCCATGGCAAGTGCATCAGTCTCACAGCGGCAGTTGTACAGACACTGGTATCCGACGCTGGCCCTCAATCTCGACGTGAAGAAGCTGTTGCCTGAGGGAGGAGCCAAGTGGATGTTTGTGAGGGTTCAGTCGAAGATGATTGCGAATGGGCGCAAGGATTTGGAGGTTATCATTATGGACCAAGAGAACGAGATTGTTGCGCTGAGCCACCATGTAGCCATGATACTGGATGCTTCACGAAATATTGCAAAGAGGGGAGAGAGTGGGAGCAGCGAATCTAATAGTAGTAAACTGTAGACTTGTAGACGTGATTTAGATTCATATCATGTAGTTTTAGAGTTTCGACAGAGTATCATAGTACATTGCTATGCATACGCTCTATCTTTTTTTTTTCAATAATCAAAATCAAAATTAAAATATCCAGCACAAAGAGATACATACCTTTAACATCATGACGAAACATAGCAAAGCGAGAAGAATGCATTCATTTATAGGCAGGGAACGGGTTGTGACTTTCTTGGCATTGTATACTGTTTCCGAACCAAGACCTGAGTATAGCAATCTTGGCAACAAGCCAAATAGTTTTAAATTCTCCACATGGCGGTCCGCCACCACCATAATCAGAGCCGATGATGGATGGATGCTCTTATCAAGAGATTCTTCTAAACTCGACACAAAAAGTTTCAGGGTCCTTGTCAAAACTTGCGGAGATGCCACTGATAAGTGGAAGTACTTAACTCCTCGGAGGCTAGCATTGTACCATCTGCCCACTGTTTAACGGTCTGTAGTTCCCACTTGGACCTGGTTATAGTGGGTTCATCGGTCCGAACGCTTACGACCGCTCGGAGGACGGCGGTTCTGGCTTCTGGATTTTTTTTTTAATTTTTTTTTCTCCCTGTGTACACCAAGGATGATCCTTTATCCATCCTACATATAAGTCGTCCTGGGGTCTGGGGATTCTGTTGCATCCTCAGATGGGAGCTCCCTCTCAAGCTCTCCAAAGGTCGCAAGCGCATATCTACATACACAACCATGTCCATCGTGCAACAGACACCATCGTCTGGGGCCCAGCAGCCACAGCTGGACGAAAAGCATGCAGGCAGTGCCGCTGTCATGACTGGTGCTACTACAACGGCAACTCCAGACGGCACTTCGGCAAGAAAGACTGGCAGCATCATCACCATTGTCGGCAGCGCCCTGGCCAACTTTTCCGATGGCTACCAGCAGAACCTGGCTTCGTCCACAAACGTCATCTTCAACCACATTATTGGTACTCAGATCTACACCTCGGCCGTGCAGACGCGAATCTCCAACTCGCTGCTTGTAGGCTCTGTAATTGGTATAGTCGTGTTCGGATATCTGGCCGACAAGTTTAGCCGCAAGGGAGGCAGTACGTATACCCATGTAATTTATTTACACCTCGTCAAAGAAACACTGTTGAATTGATGGAATTAGTGCTCGTCACCTCGGGATTAGTAGTTATTGGCAGCTTAATGTCAACACTTGCGTTTCAGGTCAACGGTACAGACGCAATGCTCTGGTACATGACAATCGCGCGAGGTGCCGCCGGGGTGGGCGTGGGAGGCGAGTATCCGACCTCGGCCGCGGCCGCACTCGAGGGCTCACAGGAGCATTTCAACGCCCAGCGCGGACCCATTCAGGTCTTGATCTCGACCCTGCAAGCGACGACAGGTTCGGCCGTTTGCACCTTTGTCTATCTCATGGCCTTGATCGGTAGCGGCAACGACTTGAAGGTCGCGTTCCATGCTATTTACGCCCTCGCCATCTTTCTGCCCATGTCTGTGGTTCTCTTCAGATGGAGAATGCAAGATGGCAAGCTGTTTACCCGCAGTAACTTTAAAAAGAGGTCTATTCCGTGGATGCTTCTGCTGAGACAATACTTTTGGCGCATCCTCGGAACTTCAGCCGCATTCTTCCTCTATGACTTTGTAAACTTGTAAGAATGACAGCCTCTCACGTCCCATGATTCGCCACTTGGAATCACAAGTACTTATTGTTTGCACAGCCCAAACTCGATTATGTCGTCAGTCATTATCAACTCCCTTGTCCCTGGCAAGAATGTTCGCCACGTTGCCCTTTGGCAGCTGTATCTTGCCTTGATGCCCATTCCTGGAGTTCTCGTGGGCGCATGGCTGGTCAACAAGATTGGACGCCGCTGGACCGGCATCGTCGGTCTGGTGGGAGGGTATGTTATTATTGGCTTCATCATTGGTGGCTGCTATGAGAAGCTTACCAAAGATGCTCTTCCGGCATTTGTTGTACTATATGGACTGCTGCAGGCCTTTGGCCATCTGGGACCGGGAGCGACCATCGGCCTGATTTCGTGCGAGTCATTCCCAACAGCAGCTCGTGGTATGGGCTATGGCATCGCCGCTGGATTCGGCAAGGCTGGAGCAGCGGTCGGCACCCAGGTTTTCACCCCAATACGTGCGGCGGCCGGTCCGGCGTCGACCTTTTATGTGGCTGGAGGTGTTGGCATCGTCACTTCTGCGATTTACTATTTCTTGCCCGAGGGCAACAAGACTGATCTCGAGCGAGCCGACGAAGAATTTGAGCATTTATTGGAGACGCATGGAAAATAGACACAGGAATATTTATACCAAGCCACAGCTATTTCCGAGTAGCCTACTTGGGGAAGCGAATAGTTTTGCTTTGTTCGAAAGCATGGCTCCCTAAATATTGCAGAGCAGCAATGATGAACATGACGAACATGAAGTTGGAATATTATCAACCGTCCTTGAGGGTTTAATTGTGATATCAAATAGATCACTAGCTCATCGATCATTCCCAGATGTTTGAGTTGACGCATTAGGCAGCCGTGATATTATATCCACTATTGGCTTACTTGCGAATGCGAGAAGTCTATGCGTGGCCCGGTGGCGCAGCAACTTATCCGAATGCGATTGATCATATTGCGCACCATCTCATAGAATCCTATAATTCAAGACACCAAGGTAAAACTTGTCAAGTCTGGAAACTCAAGTATAAATATGAAAGGTTCCCAATCACTTAGCTTAATCAAATCAATCCAGCAGAAAAAGCACAATCAGGAGCGAAAAAAAAGTATCAATTAAAATGAAGTGCACCAACGCGCTGCTCTTTCTGAGCACTCATTGCGGCCTCTGTTCTATAGCAGAAGTAAGCGAAACCCACTAAGCTGATGTGATTTGCATAAAACAAAGCATTAACTCTTTATAGGCCGCCTACAATGGCACGCAGAATAGCACCAACTTGATTTACCCCCTCAGCCAGGATAGCGAGTTTTCTTTCATCTTGACTGAAGCTCTCGCTCTGGCCAATGGCGGAGGCGCAGCCACGAGTGAGGTCCTTCGTGCCGCTAGCCAAATCGTGCCTGGTGACGAGGATAGCTGGTATCAGGAATTTTACTGGCTGGCAGAGCAGATCCATGGCCTGGCCTCGCAGGCCAGGACGACCACATCCAAGCGCGAGGCCCTCTTTCGCGCGTCTTCCTACTACCGGCTTGCCAGCTTCTACCTGACAGCCAACGTGAGCGACCCTCGACTCTACTCGATATGGGACACGGTGCTCGGCACCTTTCATGAGGCTATATCATACCTTCCTATTCCAGGACAGAATATTACCATCCAAGGTCCTGGGTGTGAGATCCCCGGGTATGTCTTCAAAGCTCAGGAAGGAAACACTTCCAAACTACCAACGGTCATTATTGGTGACGGGTACGATGCACCTCAGGAAGACATTTGGCACGGCCTGGGCAAGGAGGTAGTCGATCGCGGCTGGAACCTGGTCACATACGAAGGTCCTGGCCAGCCGACTGTGCGACGTCAACAAGGACTCGGGTTCATCCCGGATTGGTGGAATGTCGTGTCGCCTGTCGTGGACTATCTCGCCACCCGCGAAGACGTCGACATGGACAATATTGCGCTGGTTGGCATCTCGTTTGGAGGCCAGCTCGCCCCGCTGGCTGCTACACACGAGCACCGGATAAAGGCTGTTCTTTCCATTGACGGTCTATATGATATGCAAAAGGCTCTTTTGGACCAGTTTGGAGAGCTCGCCACAATCTTTGCAACTGGCAATGCGACCAACTTTGATCAAGCTGTTGAATGTGAGTACCCGAGCCAAGTGCCACCACTCTTGATACCCTGCCCATACCCAAAGAGAGCAAGAACATGGCCCCGACTGTCGCTAGAATCGAAATACTTACCACTTTTTCCTTTGCACAGATGAACTCGGCCAGCCAGAGGCTCCTACGATTTTCAAGTGGATCACGGGCCAGGGGCTCTGGACTTCCAATACAACTTCCTACTATGACTGGATTGACCAGCTGGGAGCCTATGCCCTGACGCAAGACAAGGTGGACAACATCACAGCATACCCTTGGGTTGGCCGAGGTGAGAATGACGATTTGGTCGGAGGACAGGAACCAGTATTGGCCGGATTCTACAATGCCAGCCCCGGCCATGATGCCGCATATCACGTCTTTTCGACGGATCTAGGAGCGGGCGAGCATTGCCAACTGGGCGCAGAGCAGCACCTAGCACAGTTTGCATTCGACTGGCTCGATGAAATTTTCTCGGTCTAATCAGAAATGTCAAGTTTAATAATCTGCTGTAGTTGATGTCAGTGTTTTGCAGATCGTTGCTCCCTTACCACGAGTCTTCTATGAGTCACATAGTTGATGACATCCATAACACCTAGACCTGTCGGCCATGTCATTTCCTTTCACATTGAATTGTTGAAACCAACTAGGAGCCGTAGAGTCACGTTGCTTTTGCAGTAGGCGGAAAGTGATTGTCCCACAACGGCAGTGGATACTCCTGCTCACCTTTTTGCAGTAATACCTGATATCCTGTGATGAATGACTTGTGTGTCCAATTGTTCCAAGTTCGTGTGCGCGCTGCCGAGTGAGCATAGTTGTCGCGCTAAATTCTGACATACTGCGTGGCCGGTGCAGTCATTGCGAACAAGCGCGATCCGAGTCGAACAAGGGCCTCGTTTTAGGTGCACACTGCGCCTGTAGCCGCCAAGATGGCACGCCGGTTGCCAAGTGACCTTTTTTGGTCTTGGAACGAAGTATAGAAGTGCTGACATGATTTGTAAGCTATAGAGTCGAGAAGCACAATGAGTTAGTCCATTTCGATCGTGAGAGCCGCAACTGAACGTTGTAGTGATTGTCTTTTTTTTGCCCCTTGATTGTATTAGCATAATTATACAACTTTAGTTTTGGGTGATGCTGTATTGTATAATAGGGACAAGAGGAACTTGAACTGCAATGAACAAGAGAATTATTTTAGCTGAGCATTGACAATCGATTGCTCAATCAATATAAGCAACCAGACAACCAGCCGGCTAACCTAGTAACAACTAATTCAACTCCACAGTAAGAAGGAAAGGGCTCCGTTAAGGGGCGGTGAGCAGAGACGGCCGATCGGTAGCCTAGGTACTTATCTGATAGGTATGACAGACACTCTGTATTATTTGAAAACGAAGAAGAAGAAAGAGCCGACCAGCTATTCCTCTTCTATGGTGCTTTGGTGGGAGATGCCAGATGCTAGAGATGCTTACCGGTCGCGTGGAATCAGTCGTCGTTGGCTATCGTTACATGCACTATGCCGTAAAAGTGCCTTCCGCTTCCCGACAGGCCTCCCGAGCTGATTTGACTGGCCTTGCGAATTGAATTTTTTTTTTCGGCTGCGGCTATTACACGGGAATATAATTATGCATGTCGTGGCGTATTGCCTCGTGGTGCCCAGCTTTTGCCTAGAGTCACGCTCCCGTCGTGGGCGTTTGGCGTTGTTTTCGTAAAGCAACAGGGACCTCGACTGGGGGGGGCTTCACTGGGTTTTGCTCTAGCTTAGATACCTACAGAGAGGAGAGCAAGTATGTATGGGGAGAAACTGGGGGCGCCAATAAGAGTATAGTTAGCGACTCAATCCATTTACTTACCTATGTATGAACGGCTTCATCTGCTACCTACCTGTCGAGTCTTGCCCGTCTCCAACGTCAATGGCCCCGCTCTAAGATCTAAAACAAGGTTGGGGTGTCCCACGGTTTTCGGACTTCAGATATCTTAACACCGCGGCTTCGGCTTGTATTGCCTGACAACGGGAAGTGGAAGGCGCAAAGATGTGTGCGAGCGAGGGGAAAAGTGGGCTCAAACCTGCATCAGTGCATCAGTTTTCGCTTGTACCTTGCCGAAGGGGGGGAACGGACACGGAAGTCTGGGATTGGGGATTGGATTGGGGGACTGTGTGACGACTGGGGGGTAAGGGAATCGAAGGGACCTGCATTGCATATTTGTTCATCATTGATTTTTTTTTCTTCCCTCCCGTTTCGCATCGCATCTGCCAGGGAGAGTTGGGGAAAAAAAATAATAACAAGGGATATGTCGTCGTTGTCATTGTCGATGCGCGATTGAACCAAAATACAAGCACTCTTGTACCTTTCATCCCTCCTTCCACCCCTGTCGCGCATACGGTGATACACATAATTTGAAAACATGAGCGAAAAGGCAGGCGATGAGCATGGTGCCTCGCGCCCATCGACGGCTTCGTCCAAAGCACGCGAAGTTCAGCCGCGGCTTTCGCATGAGAGTGACGGCATCACCGGTCTGCCTGATTCCAGCCACGAAGATGTCGAGAAACAAATCCCTGGCCACGAGTTCGACATGGACTTGCAGAGCTTGCACAGCGTATGTTGACTAGCTCTTCCCCTTGGCATTGACATCTTTAGATAATTCATCTGACTTTTTCAAACAAGGCTGTTCGAGTAGAGACCCGCGCCAGCGTCCGGAGCAAGGCTTCTCGTGTCCTGAGCATCGTGAGTCGGCGCAGCAAGACCGACCGCAAAGGTCTGCGCTATGAGTTGCTACCAGTCATGGACCTCGACGAAGGAGTCGTTGGGTGGGAGGGACAGGACGATCCAGAAATGCCCCTCAACTTTCCCATGTGGAAGAAGTGGCTGTTGGTCGGGTTGCTGGCTGCCATCACGCTCCTGACGCCCTTTGCCTCGTCTATTCTCTCTCCCGGCATTTCCAAACTCGACGCCGAATTCCACAACGACGTCTCCATTGTGGGATCCATGACGGTCAGCATTTACCTGCTGGGATATGTTGTTGGTCCGTTGTTTCTGGCGCCTCTTTCCGAGATTTACGGACGAAAGCCAGTCTTGGGTGCTGCCAATATATTTTTCTGTGTATGGCAAATAGGTTGTGCCCTTGCCCCAAATATCGCCACCCTCATTGTGTTTCGCTTCTTTACCGGCCTTGGTGGCGCCGGATGTCTGGTAGGTTTATCATACAATATCACATGGCAGTTCGCTGATTCGGCTCAAGACACTAGGCGGCGGCGTCATTGGTGACATGTTTCAACCAGATCGAAGAGGTTTTGCCATGGGCATATGGACTTTGGGACCGCTATTCGGTAAGTTGCCATGTCTATAAGCTTATGGAATAGAAGTCTTCAACGAGAACAAGAGCTAAGAGCGGTCAAATACAGGACCTACTATTGGCCCCTTGGTGGGTGGTTTCGTCGCTGATTCCATTGGTTGGCGTTGGGATTTCTGGATCGTCCTGATTATCGCCGTCATCATCACCGTATTGATCGAGATTCTCAACAAGGAAACAAGTCGTAAGTTTTCAATTTACATGACATGGACAAGTTTTTATCCTGTATCTTTACATTCCACGTCCAATATTTTTGTCTTGCAGTCCATACTTCCATTCTTGTTTACAGGACATAATCTTCATCAGCAAATGGAGAAGCTAATCTGGTTCTACATATTAGATAAGAAGCTGATTGAGAGAAAGACGGCGCGTCTCCGAAAGGAACTCGGCCGAGATGACCTAAAAAGCTGCTACGACAACAACCAACATCAGAGCGGATCGCGCACCATGGTCAACGGTCTTATACGCCCCCTGAAGTTGCTATTCCTGTCGCCTCTGGTCTTTTTCGTCTCCCTGTATATTGCATTCGTCTACGGCGTGCTCTACTTGCTTTTCACAACTATACCAACCGTGTTTGAAGAGACATATGGCTTCGAGGTGAGGCTGACAGGTCTCGTGTATCTTGCCATGGGCGTCGGTAATCTCATCGCGTGGGCTCTTGTTACACTGTTCTCGGACAAGTCCGTGGTCAAGATGGCTCAGGCCAACGGTGGCGTCTTTGAACCGGAAATGAGGCTGAAGATAAGCATATCGTTCAGCTTATTCTTGCCCGTGACCCTATTCTGGTATGGCTGGTGCGCTTACTACAAGGTTCACTGGGCTGCAACTACCCTCTCACTGATTCCGTACGGCTTTGGTGCCGTAGGAATCTTTCTGCCGCTTACGACCTACATCGTTGACAGTTATCCCATGTACGCTGCCTCTGCCATTGCTGCAAGCACTGTGCTCCGCAGTCTTGTCGGTGCACTGCTACCGCTGGCAGGACCACCAATGTATGAGGCCTTGGGTCTTGGATGGGGCAACTCTCTACTGGGATTCATCTGCATCGCCATGATCCCGACACCTATATTGTTCTTCAAGTTTGGACTGCGGCTTCGGAAAGCACAAAAGTTCACCTTGTAAGATTAGAGAGGACCACACCTCTGGAGAAACGATTGTGAAAAAAAAAAAAAATTCATTGATGCTCAAGTGGACGCCTTATCTATGGAGATCAACCAATACCATGCAACCATTTATAATGAATCCGCGTCTAGTCTAGTTATAGTCGAACTGCCCAAGCTTATCCTCTCCCAGAATCCTGTCATCAGACATCATATTTAATTGACAATACGCCACCGACTTCTTGACAGCCTCGAGGAAGGCAAGTCCGAGCAGCAACATGGCCGTGGACTGTCCAAAGTCCCAGCGATCCTCTCTTTCCGAACCCTCGAGAAGCTTTTGGTTGGCTTCCCTCACGACAATCATAAAATACAGATGCACGACATAGTGCATGATGGCGAAGAGAACGAGTGGAAACCTCAGCCTCGGCCCAGAGAAGATGGCGCCAATCATTGTACACAGGAGGGAGAAGCCTGTAACAACGACATACATGATTTCGGTGCCCGGTTGCTCTGCGCCTGGATCGGCAGAGCCTGCCGTGTTGTAGCAGTAGCCGGGTTCTTCGGTCCGGGGATTCCATTGGAGCATGTGATTGAGGGTGACGACGGTGAGGGCAAAGAAGAAGATGGCGTAGAGGTACGTTGTCAAGTATTGGAATGACAGTCGATGGGGTGGCAGGGAGAGTTTGGCTTCGCAGAATCTTGTCCAGACAAAAGCCACAATACCCGATACACTTGAACACAGGAGGCGAGACGTTAGCATGAGGCCATACTTGTCGACAGGAGCAGGATCTAGAAGAGGTTACTCACCCGACAAAGCTGACGGTATCAAAAGCCAATCTCAAGTGGTAGACGCCAATATTGTCCTGCTTGGTCCACACCGTGATCATGTATGCAATGCCCAGAAGCATCTGCATATCATTGCCAACCCTAAGCATACTCGACAGTATCTCGAGCCTTTTGGTCCTCCTCCGGTACTCTGCGGTGCTCCTGGCCTCATCCAGGTCCAGGTGCCCGTGTCTCGCCAGGAAGAATACCCACAGCGTGATGACCAAGGACAGAAGAGACTGTCCGGCAAACGACACCATCACGCCAATGCCGGCAATATCAGGCAGACCCTCGCCCACATTGTCACAGATTTCTGACGTGGTCGACACATTCTGCGAGCTCACCCCCAGCACCTCTTCCACAGTCTGATCGATAGACATGATCAGCACAGAATTTCACCAAGCAAGAAAAAAAAAAAGAGTCGGCAGCGAGAGAATGAAGAGCACACAAAGATTATTAGCGGGTCCAGCCCATATATAATAGCAGCGGCAGTTGCTCCAGGAAGGGGCTCAGCGAGGGTATTTGATGTCCAGCGAGGGAGACATATATGAGAGCAGGAGTTTGAGGCCTTCCATGAACCCTAAATGATGGGGGTGAGGTCGGGGAAGGAAGAGCAGCAGGAGGAGGAGGAGGAGGTGAGGCTGGAACGGACGAGGATGTCCCCGTGTTCTTGTAAGGTTCCATGAAGCCAAGCTTTGACACTCCCGCCCGTCCGCCCACATGGTATCATAGATCATGGTGAGGAGTAAGATAGTTGTAGCACTAGCAGCCCGGCATTTCATGGATTCCATGCATTCCGCTCATCGTCCCCTTTTACTAAGGAGCCGGTCCAGTACCCAACGGAACGCGCGCAAGTTGCCCATGCACTCACTACGTACGTACTACCGGTACTCCGTGTTAGCACACAGCCCTACGTATATCGTACTATCAGAGTGATATGTGACGGCATTTGGCAATGGAGTGGAAATGTTGCCGATCCGTGCAGATCAGCATGGACGCGACGCTGAAACCGGAGCAGGGAGACAAATCGATTCGATAGTAGGGCTCGTAGTTGGGCATTCGAGAAATTGATCGTCTGTTTATCCCATCTCCCCGCGCCCACGAACCGCCTGGGAACCAAAAGAGAGCCAGCCCCCAGTGGCCCTGCAGCACAGACGCTGCTCATCAGGGACCACTGCCTCACTAAAAAAAACACGAATGGGTCGAGTTGTAAGGGGAAAGAGACCAGCAGAAAGGAACAAGCTTTGGCCAAGGTCCCACCTGTGGGCACTATGAGGACTGGAGCTCTCGAGGCCCCAGAGCCAACGGGAACGGGACTTTTGTGCTGCTCGCGCTGAGCATCTCATCTAACAGGCTGACCATCGTTTTTATTTGTTTCATGGCCGCATTGGATCTCGCGGGTCTCGATGTCGACCTTATTATCATCCTCTCTCGCTTTTAACTTTTTTTTTTTTTTTTTTTTTTACGACTGCGCCTCCCTCGAAAGCAAAGCAGAGCATTGATACTAAAGGAAAAAAAAAAAACACGTATGTGCGCGCGTACGCCTTTTTTTCGCTTTGGCCATTGTTTTTTTTTTTCCCAACAAAGAAGTTCATGCTGCCCAATCGATCGTCCCTCGGATGCCAAGGTTTGAAACACAATGGCTGTTTGAGCATGCCAAGACGTGGGTTTGCAAAGTAAAGACGATCCATCTCGGAATGTGTATTTTCGTGTATGAGCAACAAACAGCCACGGGCTGATATTCTGGGGCGGCTCTACACTGCTCCTCCTCTCCTCTGGGGGTCAAGCAGGTGCCACTTTTTAGGTGCTCTAGGTTCCATATGCTAGCGGCTCTCTATTCATAGGTACCTAATGTACCTCATGTATGCGGTCCCTCGACTCTGTGACGGCGTGGTTGGCGCGCGGATGTACATGTAGGCTGTGGCCCTTGGGAGGCGGACTGGCCAAGAGCAAATAGACATGAACTCGATAAAGACAATATTGGTCAGGAAATAGACTGTTTAGAAGAACCAAGCAAGCACCTGAAATAATAATCATTGTCAGGTGCCTTGCCTGGACCCTGCATAAAGAGAGGCATGCATTGTAGCGGCTGTTATCCTCTCGGCAGTCAGTCCTGGGTGGCGTCAAGCTACTAACAGTAGTAGAATAGTACCTAATGCTTTCCTTTTATCTCCGGTTGACTTGCCGCCAGTTCTTAGCCGCTCTTAATTGATTGATACATTTCACTTCCAAGTTTGAAAAAAAAAAAATGATGCTTATAGGCTCTGCCCTTGCAGATGACATTTATGCTCTTGGGCAGTTTGATTTGACATTTGCTGGCAATGATCACCCTGTCAAAGTATACACAAATTCGACTTTACTCAGGCACTCATATACCTGGTTTTAAACTTGTGAGGTGCTTTGTTGTGTTTTATCGAGCCTTCGCTGATGATTGGGAGAATCTACATGTAACTAGAATTTGCGATACTGGCTATAGACACCAATGAAAATATGTATGGGCTGTGCTGGGAGAAACGCCGCCCCGCCTGTTCCTGAAGAAACCCATTTTGACTCGTTTCCAGATCACCTGATACTATTGTATTCTTACAAATTCTCTGGGAGCCTCGAGAAAATGAGAAGACAAAAGTACGGCTACACCAACACGTTTCCATATAGCATTCGGTTTTTCCAGAAAAACTGGCTTGATGATTAGAGCGTAAACATTCCTCTCGTGTTCTTTCCCTAGGTTATCTTTTCCTAGCACGACACACCGAAGATGGGTCAGATCTCGGACCGACTCTGTGTCGAACACACAGCGTGTCAATCTTTCAGCCACACCAAACGAATTGAGATCGAATTGTCTTGCAATAGCTTCAAGCTCGATTGCCTTTTCTTTCTCATTGATCCTTGTACTGCACCGGAGAGGACCGTGTAAGAAAGGATCTTTGGGATTGTCGGTATTCCATTGCACACCATTGACAGGCGCATCAACATACTTGACGGCACCAGTGTATGCCATCCAGGACCAGGAGGGGACGCTGGCGTCTGTGTATAGAATTGGCTTCATTGTCGCCTCGGACTCTGATCTCCACAAGAGACTTTGATGCAAGTAGTTTTGAAAGATGCCGTAGTCGGCCTCGGTGTTGAAGGTCCGCGCCAGGCGCTGCTCCAATCCAAGCAGACCGACAGATCGGTCGTTGGGATAGCTAAATATGCGCCTGGAATAGTTGGAATACAGTTCTTGGAAGAGCAATTGTCGTTGACCCTTTGAAGATTTCATGGCCGATTGGGGGAAATGAGCATCTCCTAACAAACTATGTCTTTAGATTGTTAGTCGTTCATCGATATAATACCAGAAAGGATGGAGAAAGTCTTACTTGCGCATTTTTGCCAAGGTCTCGCAGTGGACTCCATGTCCGCATTCGAAGTAGACTTGAGCCTTTGAGAAATGGATCGTCCTTCGGGATAACGCTCGCTCCTGGAGCGCCCATCCGCGTGTGTTCAAGACACTTTTTTCTATGTCTTGGTGGAAATTGTCGATAGCTTGACAGAGATAAAATTTCCCCCCATCAGACGGTAAGAGTACACACGGCCGAGCTTTTCGTTTGTGGATGAAGCCAGCCAAGGGGGATTCCGCCGATGAGGCTGCTACTGTGCAATATGCCGCGCCGAAGACGTTTTCCATATCTCCAGCCTCTACCTTCCAGTCGGCCGCGTCGTCCTGGATGATGCAGATCGAGTCAATCCATATGTATTTGATATCCAAGGCTCGGGCAACGACCACCATATCCTTGAAGTTTTGTGGAAGGTGATCGAAATTCATCTTGAGCTTGAGCTGCTCAATGTTGCTACGATATGTAAAAAACTTTGCGAAGTGTGGTATGTTGCCCCCACAGTAGCTCAGTGCAGCGTATCTCTCATACATCATATCTTTCGAGTCAATCAGTCGTAAGTCTGGCATAGCTGAACTGCCGACATAAATTAGTCTGGTCGGCATTGACTCTCGAGGGTTTGCTAGGTGCATGCATTCATGATCGTTGTCGCATGTACGCAGCCATTCGCGCAGAATGGCGATCTGTGTGTCGCTGACTGGTAACGGAAGTTGTGGGATGCCTAACTGGACGAACGGCGGTAGACTCTGCTCTACCTCTACAGGAAGCAAGTCTGAAGCCAAAGACTTGTACTTGGCTAGTATACTTGCTTGAGGATCAGTATATATCGTCATGACTGGAGGCCCCGAAGGTTCCGTCTTTAATGCCGGACCTCTGCGTAACAAACGACCCGAGCTGTCACTGGTTGCCCCTGATGCCAATAATGATTGGTAGATCAGTTCGCACAGTTCACAGTCTTTACCTTTGCTTTGCAGAATCTTCATCTCAAAGAGAAGCTCAAATTTGGGAGATAAGATATCCATGGACTGGCATGAAGAGCACAAGGTTAATGCTGTCGAGCTAGGCGTCAATTTGGACCAGTCGAGTTGTTGTAGAATCTTGTTTGCAAAGACATTATCGGGTTCAGATCCCCATAAATCATCCCAGTTCTGCATTTTGAACTGTTTGGGTCAGTAGAGGTCTTCTAAACTGGGAATATAGGACATACCTCGCTGTACTCAGCTGGAACCATGGCTGCAGCCAAGTCTGACGAGACAGCATATTCCCCGGTAGGATCAATTTTGATGTCAGACATTGGCGTGTTGGCGGCGATATCATCAACCTTCACTACCGGGCTCTGATGCCATAACCTGGCATCATAGGCGTAGGATCCATCTCCGAGCGCCCGAAAGTATATATCGTCCATGCGCTCTGCAAGAAATGTCGCTTTGGCCCGACCAAGTGGTGGCCGTTCGATACCATCTGAAAGCTCGACTTTTAACAGTCTACTTTCAATGAGGTCGACGATGTCTCTGAGCGCGGTATTGGGTGCCAAGTCATGTTGGAGATTCGAAATCCAGCTCTGAGCCTCTGGATGGACTACACATATTCCACCCGAAGAGCGCGTCCATAGTGTAAGCAGTGTGGCATAGCTGCGGAGTCTCTTTTTCCCATAAACAAGCCATGTCAGCCACTCCAATAGGATAACACCCATCGACCAGATATCATAGTCACGTGAAAGCGCCCTGTGCCTGTCATCCATGTAAATCTCTGGTGCTGCGTATCGACGTGTGGCAAATCTTCCCGACGAGCTGTGTTCCCGCATCTCTGTAGTAATGAGGTACAGCTTGGATAGTCCGACATCGGCAATGACGAGATTGCCTTGGGCGTTGAGCAGAATGTTTTCTGGTTTGAGGTCGCCGTGTCTGCAGTTGATATTCCAGAGAGTCTTGAGGCAACTCGCGATACCACGCATCTGACACAACGTCCAAAGCACCGCTTCTTTATCTCGCCTGGGACTTCCACTAACACCAGAGTCTGTCCGGCTCCAGTAGTCCCTCAAACTTCCTAAACAAGAATAGAATTAATGATGAGGACGAAGAGACTCTCAAATATGGGAAATGTTGACTTACCACCAGGAGCCCATGGGAAAACAAAGCACTGGAGATTTCCGTTTTCAAATGCCGCAATGGGTTTTATCAGATGATCGTGCTCCAGATACTTGATGATTTTTAGTGTTTCCTGTTCTCTGCGAAAGTCTTCATCATATCCTCTGTTGAAAATCTTGACTGCCACCTCGGACGTTTTTGCACCAATCTTGAACATTTTTAGCACTCTTTATCAACGTTTGCATGTGGAATGACCTACATTATCAAACAGAGCAGGATCCGCATGAGCTGGATGGATGCTGGCCTTGAGAACCAAGCTGAATTGGCCACTCTTCTGAACAGTGATGCCCCCGGGAGTAGCGAAGGGCAGTGGCTGTTGTTTATCAAAGACACGAGTAAAGTCGCCTTGGCCAAATGATGGGGCAAGAAAGCACCACTGAGAATTGATGAAATGGTCTATGTCTCCATTGGACCATTTCTGAAATGTATTCCAGCGTTTGGTGTTCGCGGCATTGATGGACCCGTCCAAAGAGATGACTGCCCTGCTTCCCCTCTCAACCCGCTGGACAGGAAGGCCACTGTCGTTGAAATTTTCGGCAAAAAGCTCCGTGAGGGCTGACACCTTACCGATCTTGACGAGTGTCAAAAAGACCTTTCCTGCTGACTTGAGCACAAAGTTGACGAGTTGCTCTGTCGTATGCAGGTTGTTTTCTCCCAATACCACTGCGATGTTTTCTTTTTTCAGTAATTTTCTGATCTCATCGTTTGGGAGGAAGTCTTGACCCCCAAGAGCTGCGTCAGACGTGACCTGCGCTTCAGCAATCTGGTCATAAAACAGATCTTCAGCTGCCATCTGCGCGTGCCCACTAGATTGCGTGTCAGGTGGATTAGTAACTTCTTGTTCAATTCCAAGGCTTGATCTATGAGAAGGCGTGCCAGAGGGTAGAGGCATATCATCCAGGCCTCTTCCATCCAATCGTCCTTCCTCGGATGTGCCGTGGCTGACCTCAACCTTTTCTGCACTTCCTTCTTCATAGTCATGGCCTGGCTCTGCGGTTACATTGTCTTTGAGCTTCAGCGAAAGCACCATCAAGAACTGTAAGTGTCGCAGGACATGCTTCTCCATTGCAGAGGAAACAACAATGGAGTTGTCATCAAAGTCATGTTCTTCTTGGTCCTGGCCAAGCAGACTTGGTGTCTTGCCCTTCGACCCAGCAGGATTTGAGATCTTGGGACGCTTCACGGAGGCTCCTGTCTGCTGCTCTTTGGGTCGTTTTGAAGCGGATGAGTCTCCAGTCAACGCGCTGCCATCTAGCGAATTAATTGAATATCCACAGATCGGGCAAATATCAATAGGCCGTGGAAGATTTACAACGACAGCGTAATCTGATATTGATTCATTTTGTCCAAGCCTGTCACTATGCATTCCTTTGATGTGCTCATGAAGGTGGTCAGCTGATGGGAATAGGGCAGTAGTCTCGTGATGGTCAAGATTGCATCTCCACATCGGGACTCTGTGGACTTGACAAGACCATGAGGCACTGTGAGATTTCATGTGCTCTTTCCATTCCCCAGTGGAGGAGAAAACGCGTGGATCTTCGCTGCACTCGTCAGAGATACATACAAATGGCTGTAAATCTTCGAGATAGTGCTGTCTGGATCACTGATTAGCATGAGAGAGTCGCGTGAATACAAATCCGAGCTTTGGCCCTTTACCTGCCGGATGATGTCCATTTTCCGTCTCTCACAAGTGATTTGGGAATACTTGCAAAGCACCATTGACATTTCACGTGACTCTGCTCAGCGAAATCTGGCGGAGTTGGTTCCGAAGATCTTGAGAGTACGGCAGTGGTAGCACCAGACCGACTTTGAGTTTGACGAGCAGCTGCTAGTTGCAGATTGAACATATTGGTATTGAGAGAAGTTGGCGCAATGCTTAATCGTTGTTGTTCTGGTGTATAGGCAGCGTCTTCACGAATTGATTCCCTAGGCTCTTCATGCTGAGGGACGACTGGATCTGCCGCATTTGGCCTGATTGGGTCCTGCTGATTATGCCCATGCAACGCCGAAGATTCACTGGCGTTTCGATCACCGTGTCGAAAAGCTTTGTACTTGAGTCTCAGATAACGATCAGTCATACTCCTGCATAGCTGCGATTGAAGGCTCTCGGGAGCATCCGGATAGAGAGTCTCAACCACCAAAAAAGCTATTCTCTCAAAATGGGTCGAGTCGAGATGAGTAGCGGCAAAGGCTTGAACCCGCTTAGTCTCGAATTTTTTTCCAGTCTCGCGCATGGCAACACTGAAATAACACAATTCCTTGAGAGCTTCTTCAATGGCCTCGAATGTGTCTTCGAGCGCGTCTGGAATTGCGGGGACGTATGCAGCCCTTCCCGGGTCTGTTCCATCGAGATCAGAGCTGGATTCCATCGGTTGCGTATTGCCAGCTTGGGCTCTCAAATATTGCTGCACTGGAGAGATTTTAGTACACGAATGCGAAGAAATAATCATTGGTAAAAATCTACTCACACTGCTCCAGGTTCATTTGAAGGATAATCAACAAACGCAGAAGTATGTCTCGAATCGTTGGATGATTCCGAAGCTTGTCATCCAGGCTCATTTCGTTCGAGGCATGGTCATTCAAAGATTGCCACCAGGCAACGAAGCGTCTCTCATACTCCTCGACCAAACTCTTCATGAAGGGTCCGGCGTTTTGGGCAAAACCAAAGCATCCTTGGATGAGATCATTGCAATTCGATGCAAGTGAATAGACAGGGGCATCATCCGACATGGCATTGAAACTTCTCCAAAGGCCATCAAGAGTCCACCAGTACTACTGTGCCTAGTTCTGGTGCGATACAAGCTTGATTGGGGTCTTTGTGTATCTCTGAAGGCGTGTGCATGGGACGTGGTAAAACTTATCTGATGTTGAGATGCTGCAAGAGCATTCAATTGTACCTACTCAAAGAGGGGTTGCTGATGGAAGTATCGTATCACAATCACAGTCACGTGCAGAATTACGGCAGGGCTTTGCCATTGGTGCAAGGCGGTACTCAAGCCACTTCCGAGTTTCGTACCTACTAGGTATGCTGTACTTATTCCGTAAGAATGCCACTTATTCAGGTGGGTATTTGAGATTCAGTAATGTTCAATATGAACAGAGTTGCTTGCTTTTTGCATGAACAAATATCCGAGTCACAGATAACTGCTGGATTGAATGGCATGTTTGCTTGAGTTCGGATAGTACCTAGGGATAACACAAATACGTTCCTTCAAGCAGAGGATATCTTCATACACTGATAGATCTCCTGTTCGACTTACTGAAACCTCCAGCACGATGCGCATTTCTGCGGAAAAAAGCAAACATTGAACCGCTGCACAAACTACCTAGTCATCCGTTCACACTTCTCGCCACTTCCGCTTTTTGTTGCTATCCAAATCGCTCATAATCTTGGAGACAATCAAAGTCCTTATGAGTCTTCTGCTGGTTTCCTCCTCACTTTCACTTCTCCCTGCTGCTTTCGTTCTCTCTTCCATGTAAAGCCTGTCGAATTCTAGACAAGCCTCGACTGCGTCGAGGTAGGAGTCTTTTGATGGATCATGATCTTCTCGCTCTGTCTCATACCATTTCTTGACGATCGTATAGCCATAGTCATTATCTTCAGAGAAGTCTCCGGATGAGTAACACCCGAATTCTATTTCCAAGAGCAACTTTGCAAACTTGGTAAAGGCAGGAATCGGTGCGTATTCATCATCCGAGCCTCTTGTCTCGGTCAATGATTCAGATCCGATATAACAAGTAATATAGACTTTATCGCTGTCATAAGCCGATGCAGATGAGCCAAGAAATTGGACTTCGTTGCCATCCCACGGACATGTAGTGTGATTCCAGGAGCAGGAGGCGAGCAAGACCAGAGCTAATTTGGCAGCTAGCTTGCGACGTTCTATATAGTTGAATTTATAGTGTTGTCGCACTCGACGAGAACGAGGACCAAAAGCCTCAAGGACATTGACTAGTTGTGCAAGCCGCGTATAGACGGTTGGCGATTCGTCGTGCTTGTGGAGAGAGTTGACGCAGTAAGAGGCCGTGTTTTCAGCATCGCTCATAACCAAAATGAGACCCCTAGCGCGTCGCGAAAGTGACTTCAGTGTATTACAAAGCCCTTTCTTCATTTCCAGAGCGTCTTCCTTTCTGTTCCTGCTGTCAGCAACCCCATATATGCTCGGACTCGATGGGTTCTCACGCTTGGAATGTGCACAATGCACTTTGCCACGAACTCGATTGCTCACTTGATTTTGGACATGATAGATGGAAATCAACGCCACCGCCGGAAATCTTCTCTTTCCAGGTCTCCACGTCGTATAGTTGCATCATTACCTTGTGATCAGTGTGAAGTTTGGGGTCATCACAGCGCGCAAACTCTGCACCCATCATGTCCAGAACTTTTCCCATCTGGAATCGATATTGACGTTCAAACATTGATAAACCATGATGAGAAGATGTAATATCCACTGTCTTTGCATGCAGTGGCTTCCTGAACGACGACGGCTGTCCGTGGAGGGTCTTCAGAAACCCTCTGAAGGACGAACTCTCTAGGCGGGCGCTAGATGCAGATACACGCCCCTGGAATTGAAACATTGAGAGAGAAGTCTCTGTTGCCAGCTCGAATGGACCATGAGACAAGGACACAATATTTAGCATCTTTTCTAGATGAGAATATTTCCCACTCCCACTGAAGCATCTGCTTGGCGATTCGGCAGCTTGATTAGAATGTTGGATGTCTTGATTGGCAATCGAATCAAGAAGAGTACAGAATTTGACGCGCTCTTGTCTTAGTTCCTCTTTCCTCTCATCTGACAGTATTCCTGTGGCGTCCTCACGCAATTTTTCACTTGAGAGGATATCGATCAAATAAATTTCGAAGAATGCTCGATCGTTGGCTGTCTTATCAGGGTTTTCTCTCCCGGAAACAGCATTTGTGTATAATGGGTATAATGGGACTTTGCATTTCTCTGTCCGCTGATGCTGTAGTTCCATTAGTAGTTCTTCCTCGTAGTTGGTGCGGTTTTGCGTTTTCTGCGTCACCCGGGTCGACTCTGGAAGAGGTTGGTCTGCTAATAGCTCTGTGTCTGGAGATGGATGTGTTAAAATCTCTACCCATCGTTTTGCTTATAAACTCAGCAACTGGACTTGCCTCTTTTTGCAAGGTTTTGGTCTGCGTTCTTGGCAAATCTCTGCAGAACTGCAGAAATTTCCCGATATGCGGCGCCCGTGGGCGAGTTGTGCTTGTGAAGCATATTGTGTCTGACATCTAGACCGACGTTTTCGTGGCCATCGAGACAGGCAGAGTCTCTTGAGACGGTCTGTTCGTTTTAGTCATGAAATTCTATAGTCTTGGTTACTGCAAATGTACGTACCAATTCACGGGTTTGGTTGAACTTCGTCGGTAAACGGTCTGCAGGAAGGTCTTGCTGAATTGCCGCAATCACCGTAGGAAACCTCTCGTAGAAGCACACGACTTCCAAGCTCCGGTCACTGAGCAGCATCTCGGAGAACTTTTGAACTACTTCGTCGAGAGGACTTGGGCCATTTTCAGCGTCATGGCGGCTGTTGTTTCGAAGATATTGGATAAGCTCTTTATTGAAATCGACATTTTCTTGCTTTGCCAAATCCACTCGAGTTGTTGCGGTCGAATGTCCGACTCTCCAACTGCCTCTGAAAGGGGTACCCAGAAATGCAATGCCGACAGTGTTTCTTAGTATCAAACGCGTGCGTTGATATGCAGGGTGAAACGTCTCGGCTGCTCGTACAAGTGCCTGCAAAGATTTCGCTATTAGCAATGCTTGAAGACGACCAAAGAAAGTACACTCAAATCTTGCATGTTATGATGACTGTAAATGAAGTAGAGAAATAAGAAAAACTAAATTACTTTTGCTAGTAACAAGCCGCTAAAGCAAGACGCAATGAATATGATGGGGCGATATAATCTGTCCTAGTTGACTGTCAGCCACTCCGTTGACTCTCAGTGCTAGGAACTACACCGTACGGTCTCTTCTCTGTCCATATCAAGGCATCGGAGGAGTGAATCGGCATGACCAAGAAACAAGTCGTGAGAAGGATTGCCGACATAGTCTGCGTTCCAATTGTAGGTTGAGATTCTGGAATCAGGGATGGCTGAAGGCAGCATGCCCTCATCTTTCAGCCAGAAAACCTCGCCAGACGTGGCGTCGCCATCCTTTTTCCACGCAATCCAAGTCTTGGGCGAGCGAGCGCGCAATCCGTGCATGGCGATGATACTATTTCTGTCAGACCACTTTTGCATGAAATTGAAATCACCTGCCTACTCTACAGCCGCTTTACTGGTAGCTTCCGCATTGTGTCGATCGGGGTAGTGTTGAGATAGACCAAAGTCGCGATCATTTTGAAACTTGACTCGCTTTTGAGCTGTGTGACCCGATTGAGAATGAGGCTGCTCAGTACTTTGCCTTTGAGGATCTGTAGAATTCTGCATAATGGAGGAAGGATACATTTGTCACTATAGGGCAACCCAAAGTTCTAGCATTTAAGCGCATTACGGAGAAAAGTCACGGCCATGAGCGAGACCAGCAAATTCAAACGCGTGCAGTCGCGAGTAAATCCAGGGGAATGATATGACCTGAAATCAAGATAGACATCAGAGCTGATCTTGATGCATGACCCCTCCCGTCTCGTGCTGGGGGTGGGCATAATCAATTATCCGCTGCCGAATTGTCTGATGCTGCACTGAGCTGGAACATGGCCCGACATCTTGCATTTCAGCTCCAATCATCTTTTCTTAGTGACGCCGAATGGTCGATGCCAGATACCATAGGTCAAGATATCCATTTCCGATTGTCTACAAAGTATTTTCATTTTCACGAAAAATCGACAGGTTACAGCCGATGGTGTTCATAACTGGCAAGACAAGCATACGCCCGCAGGCAACTTTTTATCAGTGATATTGTAACGCATCTGAGGCTGTGACTTGTGTGGATAATTCGTCAACAGACCATGTGCGCAGATTCTTGCCAAATTCCGCAGGGCACCTTGGGCTGACTTCATGCATGTACACCGTGATCACCCCCCACCTCTCTGCCCTCTTACAGAGCTGAGTTCCAAGCGACCCTCCAAGTGGCTATGCACGCCTCTGTAAGGAATGATGTGGCAGAGGAATACCGAATAATCTAAGGCTGCCCCATTTCTTCATACTGCCATAAATGCTCAATCTTCCGTCTGCGCGTCACAAGGATGTGGACATCAATCATTCGTACATAAAACACAAGATGGAGACCCATCAAAGTGCAACAACCTACGAGAATTTGCCCCCTCACAGCATTCGACTGTTGCGACTTGATACATCTGCCTCAGAGTCCATTGTTGGAAGTCTCCACGTGGTCGACCTCGACACAGCACCCTCGTATTACGCTGTCAGCCACTGCTGGGGCAATCAAAGCCAAACCATACCAATTCTGATAGGGGCCAAAAAGTTCCTTGTATGTCCTGATCTTGCAGCTGGCATTCGTCGGCTTCGAGAGCTTTCAACCGAAACTTCGCAACTTGTCCCTCCCGTCCAGTATGTATGGATCGATAATATCTGCATCAACCAGCAAGACGTGTACGAGCGTTCACGCCAGTTGCGGTACATGGGCGATATCTATTCGCGATCTGTCAGAACTCTCATTTGGTTAGGACCTTCATCGGCAACCTCTGCTTCAGCTTGGGAATTAGTCCAAACCCTTTACACCCTTTTCAAAGAGCAATATGAGGAGGTGGTGGACCTGGACAATGTCGCAGTCAAAATGTTCTCCGACAAATCCCATTCAGCCAACAGGCTTGCCGGAATGGAAACCTTGCAATGGCTGTATCTGAAGGAAATATTCCAGATACCGTGGTTCTCAAGAATCTGGGTCGTGCAAGAAGTCGTGCTGTCGCGCAAAGATCCTATGATCCTCCATGGGCATTATGCCATTCCATGGCAGCGTCTTGAAGGGGCTGCATACTGGCTTCGCCGCAACGGCTATGTTCGGTTGACCCAAACAGCCGAGGAAATTCTGAACGTAGACGTGATAGGCCTGCTGAGACGGTCCCAGGTGAGGTGGCCCCTGGACGCTTTGCTATCTGTCACTCAAATGAAGTTCCATGCCTCGGACCAAAGAGACAAGATCTACGGCTTATATGGTCTGGCAGCAGAGACCCACGACTCCTCAAAGCAGCCTGCCGAATTGGTTGTTGATTATACTCTCGACGTGGCACAGACGTATCGTAGGGTTGCGCATTATCTGCTTCAACATAACAAATCCCTCGCGGTCCTCACACGCATACGCGGCACCCAGGAGAGTTTGAGCCGAACCAGTCGACAATATGACTTCGCAGACTTTCCCTCATGGCTTCCAGATTGGAGTGATTTTAGTGTCTATGGTCGAGATATCCGGAGAAGCTTTTCGTGGGTCTACAGTTCTGATAGCACAAAGACCCCAAGCTTAGGCTATCCTGAGCATTATAATGCTTCTGCTGGGTTACCCACGGAACTGCATCAATCGTCCAACGACTCTATACTTCGGATTAGCGGCATGAGAGTTGACGTGATCAGTCAGGTGATTCCATTGAACAGGGCGCTAGATGGTGACGAATCTAATCAGGCCTTTACATCAAACATCAGAGACGTTTGTGAGGCAGTGTTGCCGATGTCAGCAGGCAAAGACATGATTGACTGGACGGAGGCGCTGATCAAGACAATCAGCGCTGAACAACACAATTCTGCTGGATACAGTTGGCAGCAGTTTTCGAAAGATGGGCTAGCTTACCTCTTCGAGCTGCTGTCGAGCAAAGAGAGTCAAATGTCCCCCACTGTGATGGAGAGCATCAGCGTGAAAACATTGGAAGTTCTACAGCAGAAATCGCTTGACGGGAAACCATTGAGTTTCGCTGCAATCGCGCAAAATTTCTGTTTCAATAGGTCATTTATAATCACCTCCGCCGGGCGCATGGGGCTAGGACCATCAGACTCCCGCCTTGGGGATATTATTGCAATCATTCCAGGCAGTGGAGTTCCCCTTATCATGAGGCGTCTTTCCAATGATCCTCACTGGTTGTTAGTCGGAGAGTCTTACGTTCAAGGACTAATGAACGGGGAGGCGATAAATCATTCAGAGGTCGGGGATTTTAAAAGGGAGATATTAGCATTCAAATAATGATTTGATAAATGTGCAGTCTTTGGGCAGGCCCGGCCAAACTACAACTTTCTCGATGATTAGGGCAATATCTTCATGACTTGAACCTTTTTTTGTCATTAATGATACCATTTCGCATCCATATCTTTGTAGCGATTAAAACAAACCATCGTCATTTTCCTGCACATATCTATGTAAAGAAAGCGAATCATCGGCGCTTTCCACAGCTCAGCATCACTCGAAGCTCCGAGTTCTTGCTCGTAGGAAGAAGGAAACTGCCTTATGGTAGTCGTGGTAGCCGCGTTATGAAGTTGGTAAAAGGACAATCCATATGCTGTTTTCTTGCCTATCTCGATATCAACAGCCAACCACTGTAGTACCGGGCCAAGGTGCTTGATGTAGTCCCCTCACCCCTTGGTCCTGGCCTTGCTACTCGTGTTGCTAATCTTTGTGACAGGAAACGGACAAGCAAGAGTTGAAGAGCAAAACAAGGCGGAGCAGAAGCAAAAGTAGTATGATTTCACTACTTACTTTGGGTCACCTCTGGCAACTGTTCAACATCGTGTAAAACATGTGTACATTCAAGATGTGATATGATCACCAAGAACCCAAATGAGGACTTTTGTAATGAATTATAGAGTTGTGTATGGTACATTGTCATTTCGCTCTATGCGCTCACATCACCGCCAAATCCAGTCGGCCGTCTGCGGCCCTCGTTCTCAGGCAGAATTGCCAAGGCTTTATACAACTTGCCCATTCCGTTTGGGCCTCTATCAACCAGTCTCTGACAGGATGTCTCGATTTCTTGCTTTTTGGCCTCGTCGCCTACCTTCTTTGCAAGATATTGGGCACGCTGTTGTATGCCCATTGCCTCAAGAAAGTCCCCTTGGTTGACAGGACCGTGAACCTCAATTCCTTCGCTGGCTATCATGGATGCTTCCGCAATAGCCATAAAGTCAACATCGACACTTAGATCCACAAGTCCTGGCTCACTGAAAGGACTGACTCGCTTGTGGCCCTTGATGCCACGCAGCGAGTTGACTGGAATGGTGTCGCTCGGACCATAGTCCAAGATCAGCGCTGCACCAGAAGCTCGCTCTTTGGGATGTTGAGCAGATCCGCCAATGCGTGCGGCAAATTCGGCGGCGTAGAGGTAGGCATCAGGGCAGACCTCGATGAGCGCATTGGGTGTCGACTTGAGCGCCTTGTATCGAGGCGACGACTCGGGCACGTACATGGAATGCCGGGTTGCAGATGGGGAGACAGCGAGCTGAAACTCGGGGACTGGGCCGTCGTGTCGCTCCAGCTTTGGCGTTCCTAGGCTATCGTGGGTAGAGCCTGGGGGTGCGGGTGCCACGACCATCTCACGCCACTGCAAGGGAGAGGTATTGGCTTTGGACTTGGATGGCGAATCTGCTTTACTGGGGTCTGCAGGTTGCTGTGGTACATCGACGACTTGAAAGGCATGAATGGGGAGGGCATCGAAGAATTCGTGGGCCACAATAAAGGGAGTCTTTGACGCCTCTTTTGGGACAGCCTGGATAGTCTCGGTCCATACAATGGGCAAATTGGCATATTTGCTGGTGCTGTGATATCCGATCTTGGACTCTGTCAGGGGAGTATCTTCGCCGCACAGCAAATTCTTCTGGGCTACCCGTAGCTCCGGGCTGGCTTCCACCATGTAGATGGCATCAATACTTGACACCATATCCGGGAAGTTCTTGATAGTCTGGGTTTGGATCGTAAGCGACCATGACCGGAACACGCAAAGATTGTCAACGACTTACACGAAGCATATCATCCATCAAAGTGCCTCTGCCCGGACCTACTTCCATGAGCTCCACGCCTGACCGCGGACGGCCTTGAGAAATCCATTCCGCGACGAACCAGATGCCAATGAGCTCTCCAAATATCTGTGAAATCTCTGGCGAAGTGATAAAGTCTCCCTTTTTTCCAAACTGATCACGGCCTTGCTGAATAGCACCCGTATAATAGCCTCCAGTGTCAGAAGTAAGACACATGCGCATATAGCTGGCCAGAGGGATCGGTCCGGTGGTCTTTGAAGTCTGGTTAGAAAGACTATATTTGTAAAGTAAACAAGTGTCAGACTTACATTTATGGCTTCTGTCAGCTGCTTGGCCAAAGGTGTCGACCATTTGCGCTCTTCATCTCTCTTGGCTGCTGTGGCCGTAAAGTGCCGATAACTCTGACATGAACTCCAGACTGGCCTAGCAAGCTTTGTCGCCGAGCTGTTCGTGAGCCCACAACGGGCGGCACGAGTGATCATGGACCTCATTATGGACTTACAGGATCATGTCACGAATTATATCCGAATAATTAGTCACCTATGCATTGTTCTTGCAACGACTGAGAGAGCCAATCAAAATAGTGTTGACGTCTGATGCACCAAAGGAGAGTGTGCTAAGGCAGGTGATTGTAGGCAAGCTTAAAACAGCTCTGGAGCTGCAGCAGCTGCACCTGTGGGCGGCGGCGGCGGCGGAAGCTCCCAGGGCACCCATAAAATTTTAGCGTCCGCCCCTTGTGCTGTGCAGCATCAATTCCGCGCCTTGAACTTTGACGTCAGGCTCACTATCTCGGCGAAGAAAACCGATAAGGGACCAAATCACGAGAAATCGAAAGCTGTTACAATTGATCTCTGTACCATAAATCCTGGGCAGGGAGGAGACGGCGACCCTATCCAACAGGACCAAATTACCTGTGGACAACAACGGATCAGCCTTTCAGGAAACCCGAGACGACTACTGTCACTAGCTTTCAACCCCAGCTGGAAGGCTGCCAGCAATATGGCAGGCAAGTCGCGCTGGGCCGACACAGAAGAGGATGCCGCTCTCGAGGCCAAGCTCAAGCGTGAAAAGGAGGAGAAGAAGCGCTTGAAGGCAGAAAAGGCCCGCAAGACAGCCGAGGAAGAACGACGACGCGCTGAAGAAGAAGAGGCGGCAGCTAAAGCGGCAGCATTGCAACAAACCCAGCAAATACAAGACGAAGAGGATGACCGGCCAACAAAGCGACGGAAACTCACGCCCGAGCGTGTCCGCCAGGATGATACGGCGGCAACAGGATCTACGACAGCTACAAGTGGCAAGGGGGACGAACAGACGGCAAAACTACAACGCTTTGAATACGGCACCTTTGCGCCCACGACGAGCGTCGAGAACTACGACAAGCTAAATGATATTGAAGAAGGTGCCTATGGCTGGGTTGCCCGAGCAAAGGACTTGCGAACGAGTCGCGTCGTTGCGCTCAAGCGACTAAAGCTCGACGACTCGCCCCAAAACCGTGTCGGTCTACCAGAGACGGGACTGCGTGAGATACAAATCTTGAAGGACTGCTCGCACCGCAATGTCGTCGATCTACACGAGGTGGTGGTCAATGATGGCGCCGCCGATGGCCAACCGGCAAAGATTGAGTCGATATTTCTCGTTCTCGAGTTTGTCGAGCACGACCTCAAGAGTATACTGGAAGATATGCCCGAGCCGTTCCTGGCATCCGAGGTCAAGACTCTTATGCGGCAGCTCGCCGAGGGTGTCGGATATCTTCACGACAACTGGATATTACATCGGGATCTCAAAACATCAAATTTACTGCTCAATAACCGCGGGCAGCTCAAGATAGCAGACTTCGGCATGGCCCGGTATGTGGGCGATCCTCCGCCGCCCAAGCTCACACAGCTTGTCGTGACGTTGTGGTACCGCGCGCCGGAGCTACTACTCGGGGCCAAAACATACGACAGCAAAATCGACATGTGGAGCATAGGCTGCATCTTTGGTGAGGTGCTCACGCGCGAACCCCTGCTGCAGGGTCGTAACGAGGTCGACGAGCTCACCAAAATCTTTGAGCTATGCGGCATCCCGACCGACGAGTCGTGGCCCGGCTTCCGCCGCCTCCCCAACGCCAGGAGCCTGCGCCTGCCCAAGAGCTCCGCCACCACGGGCTCCGTCATCCGGGCCAAATTCCCGCTGCTCACGGCGGCGGGCAGTGGGCTTCTGAACAGTCTGCTGAGCCTCGACCCGGCCAAGCGGCCGAGCGCCCAGACGATGCTAAAGCACGAGTATTTCAGCCAGGACCCCAAGCCAAAGCACGAAGACATGTTTCCTACGTTCCCATCCAAGGCCGGCCAGGAGAGGAGAAAGAGGCGCGAAACACCCAATGCCCCTGGGCGCGGTCAAAAGGCAGCTGATATGGGAACTGTGGACTTTAGTGGCATATTTGCGGGAAGGGAAAAAGAGGAGAGAGGTGGTGGATTCACCCTCAGGCTCGTGTAGCTGAAATGCCAAAGAAAAGATGGTCAAAATTGACCAAGATGTGATCATTGGCTTGATCACGCCTCCATGACTAGCCTCTGTGAAGGAGATTCGAGTCCCATGTAACCGAATAATACAGTCGTTGCAGGCCATATAGTCTCGTAATATTAAAATGTATATACGCAGTAGCCAAATGCTGCCATACCTACTCCAGGACCGCTGATAATGCAAGCAGATTGTTGCGATAGATTCCATTCGCCCAGTATTCCAAATCAAATGTATAGAACGCCAATGACATGAGTGTTTTTTTACCTTGATCACCAGATTATTACCGGGCTACAATTGCCCTTCCCAGATGCACTTGATCTCCTCTAGTTCCCCAAGCGGCCAAGTTATCTGGATATGAACAAGACATACATCTAGGTGTTGTCTAGACTAGCATGACCCTCGCTGCTGCGGACTGCCAAATTTCATTCTGACCTAGAGTGCTCCAAAGCCAGCGACGAACCATGTAAATGTCAACACGGTTATTGTGGCCATACCAACAGCGAACCTCAATGCTTGGTTGTCCAGGTTGTTACCGGCCGCACCCGAGCAAGTGACACACTTCCATTCACCAAGGTCTTTGTATGGTCGGCTGTTGTACAAACCGAAGGTGAAGGAATTATAGACGCCTAAATAACCGGCTTCCGAGGTAGCCGAGACGGAAGAGTCTGCATCATAAATGACCAAAGTGTACTCCTCAGTCAAGAGCGGACTAGCCACGGCAGTCTGAGCGTAGGCATCGGTGTCCCAAGTAAAAGTTGCAGTAGCATCGTATGACATGTTCTGGGTCAAAGTCCAGGTTTGGGTAACAGCACTGCAAGATACCAGAACGTCGATCCCGGTGGGCGTGGCCTGCAACGACGTGTAGTTCCATGCCCAAGTTATAGTCTCTCCGATGCGGTATAGAGCAGTGCCCGACGTTGTCACAGGCGTGATCATGGAAACACCACCCGCTGGATCTTCAGCATCAAATGTTGTGTGTGTCGCCGCAGACGTTTCATCAGTACCCGTTGCCGTACCTGTCCCCGAGTCTGTGCCTGATGCTGTCGTCTTTGTTTGGCCGCCAGTGTTCAAATTTGTCGTCGTCACCTTTCCGGCGGATTTAGTCGAGGTCGTCCCCGTCTCCTGTGCTGTATCTGAGGCAGCAGTGGTTGTGCCGGTTTCTTTGGCTGCAGAGTTTTGGTCAGTCATGGTGATCCCTGTGAAAAAAAAGTACCTTTTATTCAAAGTTTATGGAGGACTCACCAGTCGTGGTAGAAGACTCGTCCGCCCTCACGACGAGCGAGTCGATTGCCGGAAGCCATCCTGGCCATGCTGAAGCTGTGGACGAAAGAGCAACAGCCGCAATCAGGAAGCTCTTGGGGCCCTTCATTGTGCCGCCGAAAAAAAAGAGTGTCTCGACTGCTGGAATGCGGGAAGAGAAGTAGACTTGTCTTGCCCAGAGCAAGAAAGTATCAATTACTCAATAGCGCCGATGACAAAGGTGTTTCCCGAGTTTAATGCTGTACCACCGCTTACAAAGTCGTGCAGGAATTAAATTTGTCGTTGCACGTCGCACGTTGCTCGTAGAGTTTTCGGATCGATGCGCAATGTACGGAACGTGCTCAAATGCCCCCTTTTTCGATCTGCACCTTGCGTCGATCGAGCAAAACCGCTAGGGCCGGATAAAGAACGATTGGAAATTGCCGAAGATTAATACAGGTGTAATACAGAGTACACTCTAATACCAATTACATCCAAGATATAGCAGCAAATGTGTAAAGCGAATGTGGCAGATGCAGGTGGCGGAGAATACACGAAGGAAGGCGAAGCGAGCGTTTGAATAGACGTGTGGGGAGGAGGAGGAGGAGGAGGAGGAAGGAGAAGAAGAAAACCTTCTAGCCCAGAGTTTGAAATGCAATCATTAAGGTTGTACGATGGTGTTGATTGAAAACGACGGGAGGTAACAGGGTGAGAGGCGCCAAACCTGAATGACCCGTTTATTAGAGCGTCTGCCACCAGTCAGAGACGCCCAGGCAGGGGCACAGCTGCTTGTTTTTGCTGGGGCCATGGACGAACACGAAGGGCCCATCGGGTCGAGCCAGCCCACAGTGGGCATGGTGTGTTGATGCGCACTAGGTGGTAGGTCGGCATCGGGTGGGAGGTAGGATGGTGGCCCAGGTAGTGGATGGATGGATGGCTGCGCAGGGGAAACGACGAGATTGTTTTTTTCCTCCTTCAATGCCTGTGTTGCTAATGCAACCTGCCCTCGCTGCGCCCGTCTAGGTAGATGATGCCCAAGTGCTCATTCGCCGCTCCAGCCCAGATCTCACTTGCTCACTTCCAAATGGGGGCCCGGTCGGCTGGTCCTAGGCAAGGGAGGTCCGACAAAGAGCAAGCTGCACCCAGTGTGACTGCCACTGCAGTCGGAGAAGAATGTCGCCTCCGTCATCTTTCGTATTGTCGGCGCTGTGTGTGGCGTAGCAGAGTGTGTGAATCAATGTGTTCCAACCTCTCCTCACCTTAATCCTCCATCACACGGAGAACACAATACTGTCCCTTTTTTATTATTTTTTCCCACATTGTCTCCAGCTTGTCTCGTGCAAGTAAAATGTACGAGGTATGGCATAGATTGTGTGCTGGGTCAGAGGCTTGAGAGGCTAGAGCTTGCGATTTAAGACCCCAGCCTAGCATTACCTTGATGGGGAAAGCCAAAAGCAATGTTGCCAGATTCGGTCCACCCTTTAACAGGGCATTCCCCTGGCCGACCCAGCAATGATCATCTTCCCTTGGCCATATGGCCGCCTTAAGAGATCGTATTTTTCTTTCAGAGTTTGTCCCCGCGACTAGCCACGCTATGCCACGCTACGTCCTCGTGAATCCCGCGGCGGGCCAGTAAAGGAAATCGCGGATAGGTCGCTGAGGCTCTAGTGGGCCAGTCGGGGCCAGTATCTCTAATGTATTACTCCCAAATGCTCAGTGGGAAAAGCAGATTTTGGCACACGCTCACCAGCCAGCTAAAAATAGGTGTGGTCTTCCTTTGTCTCACCCCTCCCTCATCGAGTGTGTACCAGACTCTGGAGGCTTATATGTTTATTTGTCGTCAGGAATTGCGACAAAACTGACTTCACATTGCATTTCACATACGCCACCAAACTAAATCGCTTTCCAAAGACGTGACCTTGGCACTGGGCACCTTCTGTTACCCTCAGGGCACACACTGGTCCCAGTGACCAAGCCCATTAGATCGATACTCATTTCTCGTGGTGGATGCTCACCGTAAATACATGCTGATTTTTCTCTGCGAAATGGTTTCCAGTGAATCTATCGCTGACATAACCTCACACAGTGGCTAAAATACCAGCCGATCGCTCTTCCTGGAAAATAAAGATTTGAGCTAGACCTGCAATCAATTGCATGCCCCAAACTTTGCATACATGCGTGCTAATTTCCATCCACGACAACTCAGCTGCTGAGGTGACACAATCCAATGCGTCGGAAACAGCGCTTGGTACATCATGCAAGCCAAACGATGACTTGACCGAAAACAACATGATTGCCTGATCTGTTGAAATCTCCCAGTCAGTGCTACATTCCGCAGTCAAGGCTCCTAATCGCCGTAGACGTGCTTCTTTGTCGCATGACTTGAGGTGCTTTGGTCTGCCTATTTGTGCACATAGCAAGTCGCTTCCACTTGAATCGGTCGACGATGATTCTACAATTTTGCTGCGCCAAGCTCGGCCTAGTTCGATCAAATCTCGACATCAACGAAGTAATTGTGCCGTGATCTGCAGAATTATCTTACTATTGTGCGCTGCTGAGTGCTTCTACTCTGATGGAATTGCTTGCTACTGAGCAGATTTGACGATTGTTCTTGTATGGCTCGAGCATCTTCCGTCGTGGCATCTAGAGGCGGACCGCGCCTTGGCTCATTGCTGGTCAGTTGGAACCGGTAAATGCAGATGGGCGCCCAGGATGATGAGTCTCCCAACGGTGATATCTCAGGCTGCACCAAACTCTGCACTGCATGGCCAAAAAAGAGATGATCCTGCTGGGCTTTTTCGTTTGAACTCGCCATAGGCTGGCGGGTTGTCGAATACAATATCCTTCAACTTTTCGACTCAATCTTGCACATGAAACATCCAAGGCAGGACAGCGAAGCAGGATCTCGCCATGACCATGCATTCACCTTCCATCCGCACTCCACGGCGGCCCCTGGCTCGCAGAAGAATATAGCATGGCAAGCTAAGCAGATGGCATTTAGGAGACCTCATCTTCTCTAGTCGTCGGATCTCGTTGGCTCAGGCCACCCACGACTGCTCGGAACCATGCCACTCTGGACTTGCTCAAGCAGTCCCTGAGTGATCTTGGACCGACTCGAGAACATGTTGTTGGGGCTCGACAGATAGCCACAAGCACTCTTGTTTGGAAGCGAAGTGTCTATTAAGAACAAGCCGGGCGCTCTTCTTTGACTTTTCGACTGGCAGACTCCATATGAGCCATCGATCCGAAGATATCCCAATTCCATGAACGAGAGGTATCCTGTTAGACATGATTCGTGGACGATCGAATCACGCGCCGAAGTGCCTGTGGAACTCGCGTAATTGAGATGAAGCAGGGCCAGCTTCTACTCAAGCTTGGACACGATGCATCGCTCTGGCCCTACAGAAGTGAGCGCTGATCAGAGAAGACTAGAGACCAGGTCGAATCCTTTGAATTCATAAAGTATTAGTTCCCCTCGCTCGCATGTACACCTCCTGAGCTCGGCTCTCGGCAGAGATTGTCATTCACTTGGGATGGACTGCTGATACCGGTTAATATATCGGCCAAAGATGAGGGAACATTCACTACCATCTCAAGCTTTCGCCATGACTGGAATATCAATAGGAAGTAGTTGTAGACGCTGATCTATATCATAAAGATTGGTGAACGCGTGGTCATTTAATAAACGAGATACTCTGCATGGCTTCTAGAAATGGTAAATTAACCATTGAAAAAGAAGTAGTCCACTGGTATTTACACCCTTCGAGTATGCGGTACTGTCTAGGAGGGTGGTTTTGTAGAATTTAGATATTACATTCTAGATCGTGAGGATGAGAATGAGAATGTAGATGAGGAATAGTTTGGACACCGAAGAATTGATACCGCTGTAGGTTTTTACTACCCAGTAACAGCAAGTATCAGTTCCAGTCATCAATTCCTTTCGCTATGTCCAGCTTGACCAGGATCAGCCGTGGCGGCTGCGTGCCTTTATTTACCTTGACTGTTGACCTGCTTGTTTGCGCTGCCTTGTGTATGTGCCTCAGTGTTGCTTGCCGTCCTGGGTCTGGATCGCCCACGATCAAACTCCTTGGTTTGACACTCGCACAATACAAAGCCCCAGACATTACCAAGTATTGTCCAAATGGGATTATTTGTCTCTTTTCGCAGTCTCGCCGCAACAAATGCCACAGCATGACTGCGATTTCGATATATAGGTCGGACATGGGAAGCAAGCAGATAGTGGCCACCACGAGAAGATCGGTAGATCTTGGGAACAAGAACCACCTGGGAAAGTATAATACAGTGCTCGACCACTTAACGTTAATCCAACAAGACCCCGGTCATTGCACCAATGCAGCTTGATTGCTGTCACTTTTTGTTCTCTCAGGTATCTTGGGAATACTGCACTCCAGTCACATCAAAGAACTTCATTGACTAGGGAGCCTTGATGTAGAAACATGCGGCCTTTAATTCCCAAAATATTATGCACCCACATTTGCAACATACTGAGGCTCTGCCAGCGTCAAGACTCTCCTGTCGCACGTTAATTGGTAGATATCAGTATATACCTACTTTGAGACAATGCATCTTCTAATCTCAAGCTGCAAGAAGATGATTATATTTATACAGCCTTATGATAAAACTGAACAAGACTTGAAAATAGCTTCGATTCGCCTCCTTGGACAGACCCTTGGCTCTTTCAAGAAGAAGAAGAAAAAAAAAGAAAGAAAGAAAAAACAGGATTCCATTTGTCACCTACTGCAATTGACGGCACTTGGGCACCTGCATGTCCGCATCAATCAGTACCAACAATAACAGCTTGTGTTGGTTGGACCCACCCGCAGGTTGCACTTACTTTGACTACAGCCTACAAGGGTCCTTCGCCTTTACTTGCACCATTCAGATCAGATCCCTTTACTTTTCTTGAAGCTTTTCTTTTGCAAGGGCGACACTCTCTGTCTGGTTGGAAGGAGCTTGTTTCGAAAGATTCAACCATCCTCTTCTTGCCTTTTTTTTTTCTCCGCACGTCTCTCTTCTTCTTCTTTTGTGCTCCTTGTCGTGGTCAATTCCTGGTCCGTAACACCTGTACCGGCAAACCAAAGCTGCGTTTGTTGTGTCTCGTTGCACATTCGTTTTCTTACTATCCTGGGGAAAATGGCGTCGATTACGGATCCTGTCACCATCGATCGCGCTTATTTCGACACCCTCGTGCGAAGGTATGTACCATAAAAAACAACATTATATCCAAATCGCAACGCCGCTGCCCATCCCCCCCTTCTACTCTGATCACTCAAGCTTCCTTGAGCTTCCTCCACTCTCTTTCGTGGACCTTTTGTGTGGTTGCTCAGGTCGCTAACTCTATGGGTATCACATCTGACAGGGCTAATTGTGTAAGTCATGTTATATCAGACCCATTGCGACATAGATTTCACCTGCTTACCCTCATCTCCCAGAACGATGGACCGCTCTCTGCAGCCATGGCCGACCAGAACTTGACCGTGGTACCCAAGGCGGACTACGATAACCTGCTGCAGCTTGCACATCAGTATACTACCCTTTGCGCAAATCTGATTAGTGGAGGAATCGATGAGCAGACAATTGTGGTAAGTAATATGCACTCTGACTTGAGAATTTGGTTTCTGCTCGATGATAGAGTTCCGTCTCTGCATACACTGACTAATACATGGCTCCTGAAATGTAATCCAAATTGACACAGTGCAGGTTCTGAGCCAGGACAACACGAGTCGCCATAGCCAAGAGATGATTGGAAAGACATCCAGAATGCCCATGCCCACCGGCAACAAGACTCATTCTCTGAATCAGACCAAGGAACATGGAACACACTTCTCTCCAGCCACCAAAATCTACAGTACCCACTACAAAGAATACTCTGCTGGAAACGGCCGGAACGGTTACAGCAGTCAAAATGGCTACAGTGGTTACAACGGTAGCGCTGGGTGGGCTGATGGTCCCGAGGAAGACTTTTCAGCCGAGTACTCACCCGACGGCTCCTCGCCGGGAGCGCAGCAAGAACCCAACTTCAGCCAGGCACTGGCCTACGAGCGACCTCACTATCCGCGAATGTGCAAGCGAACAGTCGTTTTGGCAGGTCTCGCCGAGGGCACTACTCACGGAGACGTGACCAACGTTGTCCGGGGAGGTATGGTACTGGAGATTTACCTCCGAGCCGCCGACCATTCGGCTCTTGTTTCTTTTCTGCTCGAGGAGGATGCAGTCAGCTTCTACGAGCATGTACGACGAAATGATTTGTACATCAACCACAAGCGCGTACGTTGGCATATCACTTGACAAATGTCAGCGTATGGCTAATTCTGCATGAAAAGGTCTTCGTCAAATGGGCTGACAGACACTTTCATCTTGCTGGTCACGTCGCTGGCAAGATTGGCCAAGGCGCTACTCGAAACATGATAATTCGCCGCTGCGGCCCTGATCACACCGTTGACAGCATTCGCGATCACCTCGAACACATTCACAACCTGGTGGTCATCAGCATCGACTTCATTGGCAGCAGCTGCTACATCAAAACCAACTCCGTCCACAATGCCATGTTTGCGAGGACATGCATGATGAGCAGAGTGTAAGCGACCAAGAACAAGAGATAAACGAGCATTGAATTGACGCGATTATAGCACGTACAAAGGATCCAAGATTGAATGGGATGTAGACGAGTGCGCACAGCCTCTGGAGGTCTCTCGGAAGCCCTCAGTTCCCAAGCCTCTGCAATCCCTTGCCACGAAACCTCCTGGAGTCAAGATTCGCAATCGGTTCGCAACTTTGAGACTGGATGACGACGACAATGGCGATAGTGACGATAGACTCGATACATCGACCGAGTTCGCGGCTTTCAGCACCGTTGGCGTTGGTGCATAATCGGAGGTTGTTCGTCTCTGTTGATACAACTTGATGGACCAATGTTACATATCATGAAGGAGAGCCTCAGAGAATTTCGCGATGGTTCTATTACATGGGGAATTGCTTGGTATCTCCTGCGATCAGTTGTGGGATACGTCACCGCTTCGTCATGGTCTTCTTGATTTTTCAGAAGGCGCAAGGACGGGGGGTAGCATATGCCTCTCTCATACTTGGCGAAAAAGCAGCTTTTGACTAAGATGTCCAGGCTGCAAGCACACCACTTGTCTTTGCATTGCAACGGACTCGCAGAGGGAGGTTCAGGGTGTGCAATATCAGTAGATTCATGAGAGGAAAAGCAAGGACATGTATTGTTTATGAAGCATAAGTTTGAACTCTCAAGCCACGTCCTTTGTTGTTGAAGATGACCCATGATTATTCATATGAAAGCATTCCGGTATGCCCTTTGCGGGTGCAACTCGAGAGTCACTATATCTAATTATCCTTCTGGGGGGGGGGGGGGGGGCAAAAACCCAGAAGCAGAAGAAAGAGAAAGAGACTAAGATAAGAGAGAAAAGGGTAGAAGAACAAAAACCTTGGGCGCAATGGAATACATGACAGCGTCTAGGTAGGTGCGAAGTACTTACTACTGTACGCCCAGGTACCTGTGCACAATGTAGAGACCCGACTCCACATGAGCCAGCCCGACACTTCGGAACCGCTCAGAAACTTGGAACTGCTCAATGTGTCCGGACCTAGGTACACAGTAAATATTATGAACGCGAGCCAGCATTTATTCTACTACCTGTGGTCCTTATCCGGCCCTTGCAGTTTTACACCTACTTGGAGTAAGCCAAGGGGGAAAAGAACAAAAACAACCCTTGTATACTAATTAATCTGTTCTAGAGCCCAGTGCTCGCCGTCATGGTTGAGAAAAGAGTGTCCAGCATAATGACTAGCGAATGTCCTGCAAGCAAAAAGTAAACGCAACTGGCATGCTTTCTAGCATACAAATTATGTAAAATCAGCTAATCGGGAGTCAGCATTAATTTAGATAAGCTATGAACACACGTGTTGCAGAATTGCGGAAACGCTCGTGCCATTGTGCATCCGAGATACGCTCTCTATTTGCGTCAAAAGATTGGTTCAAGTTGCAGTATAGGTACTTTGGAATATACATTGATACACATGTAATTGGTCACCACAGCATCTTGAAAGCACTAGGAAAATAGCAATGAAGAGATCTCGGCTACGAGCCGGAGACTTCCTAAACAGGGCATCTCCGAGTGCTGAATGACAAGCATATCTTTAGTCTTGCATTGCTATCAAGAGAGACAGGACCCACGCCCCTTGAGATGATTTGCATGCGAGGCTGGGACCCCTTGTATCCTGTCTGTCACCTCTACTACATATATATATATATACTGCCTCACTGCGTATGACATGCTAAAGTGATTGGCAAACCTTGATGAAAACGGGTGGGCTCAGAGAATGGCGCAACATCTATATCTGTTCATCTGGCGAGTTGGGATCTTTTTCCAAATACCTCCTTGTTGGGTATCGAAATGCAGCACTAGCAGGTAGAAGCAACAGCCTAAATAAAGTTGAATCAATTCTGAAAATACATTGAGTAGGAGAGAGATAAAGACAACCTTTAAAGTTTAGCTGCATTGGTGCCAACTGCCGAGGATTCCAATTCAGAGCCCAGACTGCAAGACTCCAGCTGTTCGGTCAATCAACAGGCGGAGATCCGATCATGGGGCTTATGTAAGTACCTAGGGTAAAAGAGAAAAGATGCTGTATTCTGTATCTGTAAATGGGTTGAGCAGCAAGTAGCAGTCTCCTCTTCTTCATAGTGAGGGATGGTTCTCGAGTAGGTGTACGACATGTCACCCCACTTTGGTAGCTACCCAAGCTAGTGCCACACCAAAGACGCTCGACTTGAGCCTGACCCATTGCGAAAGCTCTCCACGTCACTCAACAACTCTCTCACTACCTTGCCTTGATAGGCGTCCCTCCTCCTAATCACTGCCCAACCCAACAACAACAATCACCACCATCACCAGCAGAAGCAGCGCTATTAAGGTATCCCTCCTTTTGGTCTTGTTCGCCTCGGGATACACTCATTAGCTGTTTCTTCGCAAAACCAAACTACTTGCATCTCATCGCTGATATGCACAGCCAAGATGGAAGAACAAATGACGATCGAAGACTGGTTGGACGACCTCTGCGTCCGCTTTATTCTAAACCTCCCGGAGGAAGATTTGGGCTCGATTCCGCACATCTGCTTTCAAATTGAGGAGGCACACTGGTTCTACGAAGACTTTATCCGCGTCCTGGACCCCGCGCTGCCGCACATGACACTCAAGGACTTTTGCCTTCGCATGTTCCAACACTGTCCGCTCTTCGCAAACTATTCGATCGAGCACCACATGCGGGCGTACCAAGAGTTTATGCAATACAAGACCAGAATCCCCGTGCGCGGCGCCATTATGCTGAACCACGAGATGGACAGTTGCGTCCTTGTGCGCGGCTGGAAGAACAACTCAACATGGAGCTTTCCTCGCGGAAAGATCAACAAGGATGAAACCGACCTTGATTGCGCCATTCGAGAATGCTGGGAAGAGACAGGGTTTGACTTGCGCAAGGCTGGCCTTGTTCCGGCCGACGACGACGTCAAGTTCTTCGACATCACTATGCGTGATCAGCATCTGCGAATGTTCGTATTCCGCGACGTGCCCATGGACACCGTTTTTGAGCCCCAGACGAGGAACGAGATCGGAAAGGTGGCCTGGTACAATCTACGAGATCTACCGGCTTTCCGCAAGAAAAAGGGAGGGAAACAAGCTGAAGGGGGCAGCAGTGCGGCCAATGCCATTCCAAACGCCAGCAAGTTCTACAATGTGGCACCCTTTTTAGTCCCCCTGAAGAAGTGGGTGCTCAGCCAGAAGAAGAAGGACATACCCCCCGAGGTACTTCAGGACGACGCATTTGTCAACAATAGAGATATCGAAGAGCTGGAGGCTGCGATACCACACTTTCAGGCAGCCGCAAGCCGCTCCATGGCAGCGGAACAAGAAATGCGCAACTTGCTCAATGGACAGCAACAGGCATCGGCATCGGCATCACTGCCAAATGGCAGCAACAAACAAGGGGCCGCTCTACTGTCCATGTTGCAGTCCAAGGAGGCCTCAATGGCCCCCTTTCAAAACCAGTATCCCCATACGCCCATGGAACAGACCACGATCCAGGCACCACAACCACAGTCACCACACTATCGTCACCATGCACAACGGCTAACCCAGGGTACCTTTGAGAATCCACCGCAATTCCCCATGGTGCCGCAAGCACAAATGATGCAGGACAACCCCCAACAGCAGTATCACGCAAGACCACAGGTTCTTATGACATCTGATGCGAGTGGCGGGCCTCATATCATGGTCGCTCCCCGTCAATACCAAAACCAGCCACAGCTGGTCCACCCACAACCCCAACCACCACAAGTACAGCAAGCCTTGCTCATGCGAGCCATGCTTGGGACGCCGGGCGCACAACCTCACCAGCAACATCATCCTGGACCAAGCCACGCCGGCCAGAACATTGCACACCAGCATCCTCAACAGTATCATCAACATCAACATCAACATCAGCAGCAGCCGCAGCCGCAGCCGCAGCCGCCACAACCAAATCCCTTCAATATGGCCGCCAGCCATGGACCTCCAGGGCAATCACAGCCATCAGCACATTCAATGGGACTACTCAACATGTTCAAGGATAAAAACGCCCAAGAAAATGTGCAACAGGCTCCTAGTCAAGCCAAGTCCATGCCGCCGCAGGACACACACCGATCTGGGCTTCTGGGTATGTTCAAGCAGGGTGAACAACACCCAGCGCCAGCAGCCGCTAGACCCGATCTCCAGCTACCGTTTGGTGCCTTGTCAATTGCATCGAGGCCAAAACAACAGAGTCAGAATAGGGCACAGGAACCTCAAGCTGCTGCTGCCACCACCCATGCAGCGAGTCAGTCACCAAGATATCCATACGCAGACCCAAATCGTGGCGTGTCAGCCGCGGACATGTCCATCGCGCGGGCGCCAGAAGCGTCGGCACTAACCATGCCAAACAACATCTTACAACCACGGCGAGAGTCGACACACGAGCAGCGGACACAGCTGTTGTCTCTCTTTGGCAAAAACAAGGGTAAGGAGCCGGCCATGTCTCCGTCTATTGAGATGGCACGCCCGAGATCGCGTGTTGCGTCGATTGCCTCGGGAGCTGGCAGCCAGTCAAGTAGACGTGGTAGCCAGACGCCGACGTCGCTTACACCAGCTGATCAAAACTTCTTGTTAAATTACCTGAAAAATGCTTCCAAGCCGCAGCGTTAGTTAGCACCACACCAACTCGACATATGTCTAGTCCCGTGGTGAAGTTAGTCGTTCTGTTTGCATGGGATAGCGATGGAATTACCAGTCTCTTTATTAAATAATACTCCGTTATTCGAGTACTTGGCGCAACTCATGTTTCATGCAAGCTTTCTACTGGAATTTACTTGCATAACCGGCAAGCCTTGCGTTGTAATTCTTGGTGGGATCCTGGCGTGTAAAGATTGAAGTGAGGACAGACCGGACGTGATGGTAGAGTCGACTCCACGCTCGATAAGTTTCGTTACTGCAAGAAAAACTGCGCAGACGGTGTACCACTCATCCCCCATTGACAACTGGCTGGTTACAGATAAAGGTTTGAACCTGTCTGCCTACTTGCAATCCACTGAAATATACTGGTCGTTCATCACGACCTCGGGAGCTTGCTTCCTGGAGTGGATATAGCTGATGACGGGAATAACAGTCTGCGAGCTGGGGTGTGGATACTTTTACATATACCATGGATATAGTACTGCAGAAAACATGACCAGGTCTTGCTCCACGTATGCGAAGAACATCTACAGCGGCAAAACCCCAAGATTCGTGTCTCGCGCTAAACAAGCATTCCCCCCATTGCCGAGCTTTCCAGGGGGCTCTTTGTTTGGTGCTTCCCCCGCAGTATGTCCCTGTTTCCGTCCATGGCGTCAACTAGAGCAGGTAGATTAGGTTAGCTGTGTAATAATAGTTTTAGAGGCACACCAGCAGCCATGAGAGGGTGGCTGTCGGTTTTAAGCCGACGGCTCATAGTACAAATGGCACTCGGAGCCGTCGTTGCGTGTCTCATCCTTCAGCTGCTACTTGGCTTCGGTTAGATTCTCTTCTCAGTTTTGTTAGATATTTTATTTCCACTGGTGGTACGATCTCGTCTATTTTCAGCGTCACATTTGAATTATATATGAACACTAGAAACTTGAACCATATATCCCATATACAACAAGGGCAAGAAATCAATTACCAAGGTCCAATTCACCTCGGTTAGCCATCTACATAAGACGGACGTCATTTCATCCATCACCACCATGTCCGGAGCCACCTCGCGACTAAAGAGCTTACTCGGACACTTCACCTCGACCGAGTCATCGCCGGTTGGCCACGTCCACAGTCACCATCTTCACCAGCTCTCGCCAACCTTCTTCCTGGAACGGGCGGCAGCCATTGAACCCAATGCAACGGCCATCTACCATGTCACGGCCAACCAGCAGGTCCTCAGACGATCGTACGCCGAGTTTGCGGACCGGGCCAGGGGACTTGCCTATTACCTGCTCAGGCACAAGTTCAAGAGGGTCGGCATCTTGGCGACCAACACGCCGGCCTTTCTCGAGTCCATCTTTGGCATCATCGCCGCCGGCGCCGTGGTCGTGCCCGTCAACTACCGGTTGGTTTTATGCTCCACGGCTTTCACTCGCTTTCATGTGCGGGGAAGGCCTTTTTTTCTTTTCAGTAGAGTCTAACATGTTTGCTGCAAGGTTGAAACCGGATGACATCACTTACATCTTTGACTTTGCCGAGGTCGACTCCATCGTGGTGGATAACGAGTACGTATCCCTGCTGGATGACTTTAAGAAGACGCATCCCAAGGTCAAGTTCATCATTGACACCGTGAGTCTGGATCCTCCTCGGACGCTGGATATCTGGCTTTTGGGGTCGTTGACGCTGAATTCTCTGTAGGATACCGATGCTACTGAAGGTCAGCTCTGTGGCCCGTTTGACGAGGCGATCCTCGAGGGTCTCCATTATGACAAAGCCCAGGGCAGTAAAGGGTGGGCAGGTCTGAAGTCGCAATGTTCCAACGAAGACGACATGCTGGCAATTCCTTTCACGTCTGGAACAACGTCTCGCCCCAAAGGAGTTGTCTATACTCACCGAGGTGCTTACTTGGCAAGTTTGGCCAACATCGTCGAGTCCGGCTTGAACTATCATAACGGAAGGTGCAGGTACTTGTGGACGTTGCCAATGTAAATGGTCAAAATGCTCTCACCATGGTGGTTATTTGACTGACTTGTTTCTAGGTTCCATGCCATGGGTTGGACGTTTCCGTGAGTAGCCGAGTATCACAACACATGCCGACAAGTCATGCTAATATAGTACAGCTGGTCGGTTACTGCGGTTCGAGGAACGCACTATTGTTTGAGAAAAATCGATTACCCCTTGATTTGGAAGCTGCTAAAGGAAGAACAAATCACTCATTTCAACGCGGCGCCAACGGTCAACACGCTTCTGTGTGCATCAAAGGAAGCCGAAAAACTACCAGAGCCTGTACGAGTCACGGTTGCGGCCAGCCCACCAACAGCCCACCTCTTCCAGCAAATGACTGAGCTGAATTTACACCCAGTGCACGTCTATGGCTTGACGGAAACATATGGTCCCATCACCAAAGGATATGCCATGCCTGAATGGGCCGAGTTGCCTGATGCTGAGAGATATGCAAAGATGGCACGCCAAGGTCACGGCTTCCTGACGAGTTTGCCAATCAGAATCGTCAAGCCAGATCAACCAGACGGAGCTGTGATAGATGTGGCCAAGGACGGCAATGAAATTGGAGAGATTGTCTTCACTGGCAACATATGCGCCAAGGGCTACTACAAGGATGCAGAAGCCACCCGGAAACTTTTCCTTGGCGGTGTGCTGCGATCAGGCGATTTGGCCGTCTGGCATCCAGACGGGAGCGCGCAGATCCAGGACCGCGCAAAGGACATCATCATCTCGGGTGGAGAAAACATCTCCTCGGTGGCCCTGGAGAGTATGTTGGTGCAGCATCCAGATGTGCTTGAAGCGGGAGTGGTGGCCGTGCCTGACTCACACTGGGGCGAACGGCCAAAGGCGTACCTCACTGTCAAGGAGGGCAAGGCCTTGAAGCCCGAGGACATGATTAATTGGGCCAAGAACCAGAGTAGTATCAGCAAATTCATGGTGCCCAGAGAGGTGGAGATTGTGGATGAGCTGCCAAAGACGAGCACCGGCAAGATTCAAAAGAATGTGCTGCGGGAATGGTCGAAGAAGGGCAGGTCATGATGCTGAAATAACTGTGGCTTTGAGCGTGTTCATTATAGCAAGCGATAGATCTTTCAGCGGCTTTCGACAATACATCATCCGTGCCTAGAACAGAAGGATTCTGTCATGATTTTCCTCCGAGGTAGCAATTCATCAAACTTGCAAACAGCCACTTTATTCGGTTATGTTATACTAGTGATAAGTTGATACATGTGTTTAAAGACCAAGACATGAAGAAGATCAAAAACAAAGGAAAGATTATAATCAGAAATATTTACGGAACAATACCTCCTGTCTTGTGTGGGTCGTTTATGCAAGACATCCAGGCAGCGGCCAAAAAAACCAGGATCTATCTCCAACGCAACGTCATACGGCACGATCATACGTTTCACGGCTCTCCACTTTCTACTTATATATCAACTCCCATATTGTAAAGACGACATTTATCAAGAGCAGAGTGTTGTAAAATTTGCTTCTCTTGTGCGCTCGTAGGTTCTGTTGTTGCAGTGGGCAACGAATAATTCTTCCAACTCCCAAGAAGGATTCCAAGATTATTTCACACAGTCCACACACAGATTATTTCCCTTCCCTCTGTGATTGCCCGAACCAAGCGCTCTGAACAAGATGGCACAAGAACTGGCCCCTCGTCTCCTCCTCACGCAAATCGTACGCACCATTTTAATCTTCTTTGGCGTGGCCTCGCTCATCGATGCACACGCCTACATTGGACCGCGCTTCGGCGACGGGCACCACGGCCAAGTAACGGCGTCGTTTGCCGCGTCCTGGGCCGCCGTGGGCTGGAACGTGGTCGCCGTGGCCGCCGCCGCCGTCCACCCATATCTGCAGCGCTTTGCCGACGGTCTGCCGTTTCCCGTCTCCGTCACGGTGCGCGGCCGCCCCATCTTGTCTTACGGCGAGTCCGGCGACGGCGGCGACGGCGTCATGGCCCCGTTGGCTGGGAAGCTCGTCTTTGCTGGCCTCGACGCCGTGCTCGCTACCCTCCTCGTCGTGTTCCAGGCCCTCGCCCGCGGCCTGTCGGTCGAGTGCGGGTCCCCGTACGAGTGTTTCCAGGGCCGCGAGGTCTATATCCACGCCTGGATCGTGAACATCTGGTTGACTCTGGCCATTTTCGAGTACGTCCTTGCCGCGGTGCAGGGGTTCGAGGCCTTGGGTATTTGGTATCACCGTCGGTACTTGAAGAAGAGGGGTCAAATCAGCTTGGCATAAGGACCTCTGCCAGAACCTCAGTGATGGGAACATTTGTGCCTTGCTTTATTGCATCATGAGAACGAAACATATCTATTGCATAGTTCTCGAAGAAGCGAGAAGCCAATCATAGGGGGCTCCGAAAACCTCGTATTGCTCTTTAGGGAAATACTCGTCTCATAAAATTTAGCATTTAGGAAAGCAGGATATGAAAATTGAAACTCTTGACGTTGCCAAGGACTTGACATGGCTCTAGCAATACATTAACCAAGTTGATTTGAACCAATTGCTTAGCAATATATGTCTTCTAGGATTGACCTCAACTAATAGTCCACATTGTCCTAGCTATAACCCAATACTACTGGCTAGGAACGAATCATGGATGCAGTTGTACATGGATGGCCGTGTTCTATAAAATGTGTCTGGGTAGGGAAAAGACTTTGTACGTCTGCCCATCCTTGCCCAGGAGCGCGACTCGAGCTGGAATTTGTCCTCGTTGAGAACTGGCTTCCCGAACTTCCATCTGTCCAGGCATGAAGCCACTCTCAAGAGGCACCTTTGCGTTGGGGAAGACACTGACGACCTGTTCCGTGTTGAGCACATGCGGCTCCGCGGGAACCCACGGGTCATATACATGATAGCCAAGGTTAACTGATGTATGGGGTACTTTGATGATGCGAATGTCGTTTTCTGCATGACTTGATTAGTATCTAATTTGGTCGGATAGAGGCACAAGTGACTAACCTGCGAGTGCTAAAAGTACGAGTAGTGACTCCTCGTTGAGAAACTTGACATCAATGACCGTGCTGCCGCCAAGTTGCAAATGTGAGTGCTGCGTCATGACCCCACCACTGATGCCATTAATGATCATCGTTTGGGCCCGGAACACATGTACTGTCAGGTATTAATAGGAGCCGCAACGATGAGATGACAGACGACTTACCGCTATTCTCTCGTTCTTGTTCCGTCAAGGCTATGTAGGTTTCTGCATTGTGGTTCTGGCCGGGTTAGTCGCACAAACCTAATGTCCACTGGGAAGCGACGACTTACGACTTCTGCAACACTGCGCATCTGAATATCAAGCTTGGCTATATCATGTTCCAGCTTGATGTGCTGGAGCTGGCCGAAACGCACGCTGCGTTTTCCGGCAGTTGCAATTCCTTGGAAAACAACGTCGGCGTGTCTGCCGAGGAGACCCTCAATATATTCAATCTGCGTGATTGTTGTTTGTTGTTGTTTTCCTTCCTCTTGCTTTTTGATATGCTTGTCTACTATATCAAACAAGGGTGTGATGCCCTCGGCATTTGCAGACTCTCGAGCTGCATCTTCAGTTGTCACTTTGCTAAGATAAAACCTGAGCGGACTTGCAGGCATGAACTGCTGTATGTATGTGAGGATTCTGCCATGCTCCATGGTGGCCTCTTTCTCGGTCAGCTCGTCTGATACTGTTGAGGATGCTAAACGGTCAATCTCGTAGCGAATCCAGGTAGAAAAGGCTCGAAATAGTTCGAGCTCTTCCATGACAGCTAATAGGATCTTGTTCCCGACAAGCATGAGAGATGAGACCATGTCCATGACCTTGGTGATTTGAATACCGGTAAAACCAATCTCATCTTTGGAATCATGAAATCGAGCTATACCCAAAAGACGACTCAAGATGGTGGCAATGCGTTCCAGGGCAGGAAGGAAGTTCTCGTGAACTAGATTTCGAACGCTCTCGAGGCCAGAGACAACGGCCTTGTCCCACCGTTTATGCCCCTAGAACAACGATGGTCAGAGGGTTGCACGCGTGACATGGTCTTGATGCTGTTCCACTTACACGTTCCGCTAATTGATCGACAAGCCATTCCTTGACTTCTGGGAACGTATGTCCCGTTACGACCGTATGGTACATGGCCTGTCCAACATCCATCTGTCCGTACTTTCCAGTTTCTTTCAATGTGTCGTTAATACTGTCGAGGAATCTATGGGGCAATTCCCGTGTTGACTGCCAGTCGGCCATCATGTGGATCTGCACTTGCCTTACGTATCTGATGAGCTTTTGCAATGTGGTTGTCTTTGACGCCAGGAGAGACAGGTTTTCCAGCGTGGAGTGGATGAAGGTCAGATCCATTGGCACGAGATATATTTGATTCTTCTCCTCTCCTGTAGAGGGTTGTAACAACAACGAATGTGTTGTGAGATCTTGATGCGATGCATGGTGTGTCAATTTCAAGGAGGGCACTGCGTCTAGGGGTTCTGGCATTTCCGCGGCAGGGATGGTATACTGGAATTTGCCAATGACGAAGGAGTCGTAGATGCTCAGGTGTATGGCTTCGTCATCAGTTCCAACCAGCATGACGTCCACGAGATCGGCCGTCTCGGGGGAGAAGGGGCGAAAAAGAAATTCCAGAGATGATCTCGTGGTGAAGACATACATGTCGTCCCTGCCCACCTGTCAGCACACATTTCCACCCTGGACAGGTTTTGACGTACCCAGAGCCTCCAGTTGCGGGCAAAGGGCTGAGTTTTGGCAGCGCAGTCTCGACCTCTAGGAAGGTGAGTTCACGTGGCAGGTCCTGTTTGTTATTCTTTTCGCCGAGACTCAAGCCCTCGAGAGAGAGTTTTTCCCAAGACGTGCCAGGCTTTGCAGTCACAGCAGCCCTTTTCCCAGTACGATTTCTAGTCCAGCCGATGCAGGTAATCTTTGCCTCGCCGGATTGGCATACGGAGATCAAGTGGACGGCCTTGCTATTCTCCAAGCCCATTAGGCGCACGACGCCATCGCTCCAACCGACGGCCAAGAATTCACCTATGGACAGGCAGTGAGTATAAGGGCTACATTGCACAGTGCGCAGGATGCGTTACCGTCCGTCTTCCATCTGAGAGCTTCAACTGTCTGCTTGTCGCCTTTCTGACTGGCCTTGACGACCGACTGTCCGTTTGAACGCCATATCTCGAGTGTTCTGGGGCCAGCGGCTCGGGCAAAGAGCTCAATGCTCGGATTATAAGTGAGAAGCTCGCCGTGGGGCTTTGGATCTAGCCTCGTTTCGCTCAATGGCTCAAGTGCTGCTGCTGTTACTACTGGCTCAGCCATTTTGATTGTCGACATTGAATGGAATAAAGGTGGAAAGCATCTTCCTCCCAATGCCAGAATATGCAAGTCAAAATCTTTCGAGCTCGTAGTTGTGAAATGCTGGTGGCTCTGCCCAGCACTGGGGATTGGAAGTTGGAAACGCGACTGACGCGACTTTTTTTAATGGGTGCCGCATCAAGAAGCACAGTGCAACCACGAGGGTGTGGAATCAACTAGGTACCTAACAGGCACCCACGGCTAGCAGCAATCATGACAAGTGCGTACCTTGCTCCCTGTCTTCTTCCACCAGAACTTTATCAAATTAACACAGATACTCATTTAAATTCCAGCATTTTGGATGAGGCATGGAAAAATCATGAGTTTCTTCAACACTTGGCATCGTGAACTCGTTTTTCATTGTATCCTTCAAAGGAAGTTACATGTAATGATCGCCATCAAAAGTCAATTCCCAAAGCCTATAAATCACGAGCTTTTGGTTGACCCCCCCCCCCTCTGCATTGCTCTATTCGCTGAAATGTTGCATCTCTCTATTATACCAGGCTTTTCCCTTACTCAACCACATATGAGTCCGCCACAGACTTGATGTCCTTGGAGAAGGTCACTTCCTCATTTTCCTCTAGCAATGCAACAGACAGGACCTAATGACTTTCGTTAGCAACTTGATTGTCGAGCATAATATGCAGACGCGAATATGAAGATACTTACATCAACATCGATGAATGGGGTCGTCTTGGAAAAGCGCACTTGCATGGGGAAGAACTCCTCTTCGCCGTCTGCTTGTGCCTCGAACTCAAAGGAGCCATTTGGCTCATCTGGGGTAATTGTGCCGATTGTCCATTCTAAGCTGTCGCCCGACACCTCATACTGTGCATCAAAGCTCGAGACTGAGGGCTCGCTGGTGGAGTAGGGAATCGTAACACTGACGTCCCTAAGCTCCTGGCCACCAGAAAGCTCATATTCAACAGTAAGACCATAGTTGCCGTCAGATCCCTTGTTCACCCAGACGGTGAACTGGATAGGAACGGCTGTGGGGTCGTCGACCTTGGGCGAGGCCCTCCAGCGGAGAACGCCAACAGCATTGTTCACGGGGAATCCACGTGAGGCATTGCTCATCTGGATTACCTTGGAGCCGTTGAAAGCCGCCTTGTCGACGTTGGGGTGTGTTCGGAATTGTACACCATGCGATGGAGTGGCCGAGAGAGCCATCTTGATCTTGGTCAAGCTTGGGTCTGAGACGCGAAGGGTCAAGTCACCGCTGACCGAGAGAGAGTTGACAGATCCCTCCTTCGAAAGCTTGGCCGATATGGATTCGTTGACGGTAACATGAATGGCATCGCGATCCAGCGTCGTAGATGCGCGTGGTGCCGCAGGTTCAGCGACGGGTGCAGGAGATGCAACAGGGACCAGAGGAGACTCGTCGACTTCGGTGCCCATATCTCCGCGTACGCGCTCAAACATGTCGGTTGTCTTGGACTTCTTTCCAAGCTGCATACCCTTGCCCTTCATGGTAGTAGTCTTGAGAGTGGTCTTGTTCTTCTCGGCTTCATAACTGTCGTACGTATCGGTTGGGGTAGGTCGAGTCGGAGGGGTATAGGTTGGGTAGACTGGTGTTCGGGGTACGCCAGCACGACCGCTTCTTGCCGACTCCTTGCGCTGCATCTCCAGTTGCTTCGCCTTGCGCTTGCGCTCCTCTGTGGCCTCCAACTCCTTGTTCTGTGGATGTGTTAGTTACTTGGGTTGGACATGGCGTGTATACCAGACATACTCTTGCAATAATCTCCTGGATGCGCTCTTCGTGGGACTCCATCTCGAGGAAGGTCTTGATTTGGCTGATTGTGAGGTTTTCCCGGTAGCCCAGAGTGACCAGCTCGTCAAAGGCACTGAGCAATTCGTATGCATTCTTGAGAATTTCTCTTTCGTCCAGGCTCTTGCATGTGCTGGTCACAACCTGAGCAAATAGATGCAGGGAGTCGATGTCCTGCAGGATATTGGACTGGCGATTTGTGATGAGGACCATGTAGAGCTCGTCAAGGGGTTGGTAGACGAAGCGGACGTTATCTTGCTCAACAGTGGTGTGCTGCGTACCGCTGTCGGCAAGCTTGGGGAAAGATGCCAGCAAAGCTTCGATTCGCGATCTGGGCATCTCGCGGAACTGCCTCGAGAGGACAGCTTTACCGCCGCGAGAGCAGATGGAGGCAGCGAGGACAACCTGGTGATGCCATGTCAGTGGCCGACGCGTGCAGCTGGCTTTCGACCGGAACTCACCATTTTGAATTCAGGAACCTGAACCGATTGGGAAATGTATGAAGATTTATCAATCTCCGGAGGCGAGGTTGGGCCGTTCAGGAGTTGTTCACGACCTGCGCAAGTGCAATGTATGTAGGTAGCTTTCGGGGGTGGGATCAAGCCAATTCACCCTAAGCGATACCGTAGCAAGGCCAAATGTCCACAGTCAGTGGTGGGATCAGACGTGGCTGCACCTCAAGTTGCTTGTGTAATTGTGGCACCCATCAATGGGCGTATCCACTAGCCTGCTACCTATTAATGTGCTGTGCCTGGAGTCTCAGCCACACGAACACATGTCCAGTTGTGTTGTGTGCACTGAGTGCGCTCTGTACACTAGTGTAAAGAACCTATGAAAGTACCGAGCGGGGCCTTGGGGCTTTAACAACTGTGACCATTGATGGTCACAGTTGTTAGAGCTTCAGCTGCTGGGAAAGGGGCCTAATGACAGCACGGAGTACCTAATGTTGTTGAACGTATCGAATCGCCGCTTTCTAGGAGCTGGGCATTCGAGCTGCACCAGGACCTCACCGAGATTTATCCATCGCAAGACCGGTACCTCTACAAGCAGGGGACAGACGCCTGGAACAGTTGTACCTGGTCTAATTAAACCCACTAGGAATCTTATGCCCACCGCGTTCTGGAATGAAGCACAGTGGCCCGCGTCTCCAAAAGTGTGAGCGCATTGTGTGTGTACCACGGTCCACGGAGCTCTCACCCATTACCCACCTGGCAACTTCTTTTTTTTCTTCTTCTTTGAAGCCGTCTTCGTCCTTCTTCTTCTTCTTCTTCTTCTTCATCATCATCATCATCGAGGTGCTAGGCTTCCACTGCATTAGTGCGAGGATACTGAGTTCTTTCTTTGTTCCCATTCTAACTACGTAGTCTTTTCAGGCTACGACTTCCCAGTCGCTGCAGAAGCACCTTTTGCCGCAAGGTTCCAGCGTTGTGAGCAGCAGCCTATTTTTGCGCCCAACATCACCAGTCAGATTACTCGGATAACTTCCAACGCGACACGGGAAAATCCTTTCGTCCAGACTTCGATTCAAAGCTGTTCGCAAAGTGCAAGAGCCGCAGAACGGAACTATCCAAGCTTTCTACAAGATTTATCGTCTCTATGGCGCGCACTCGTTGATCAACCTCGCTCGCCACCCATGTGCCGTGTCTTCAGAAATACTTCACGTAGACACAAACCCATCACAGAAACATCATAGATGATATAGCACGAAGCAGCCCAGCAGCCTGCAGATTCCTTAGCAGCAAAGATCCATTGCGGCACTGTCTACTAGAGGGCACCGCAACGCCTGGCGTTCTTCTTTCGGGTTCTACTCGATAACAGAAGTGTTAAGATTGGCCGCCGGCCCTCTCTAGTATTAAACTATCAAGGTTTCTTCAAAATCTTCCAGGCGTTCACAGAATTTCTCCTCCGACCTACACACCACGGCTTTCTGCAAGATGGCGAGTGAAGAGATGGAGATCAGCACGGATCTAGGCTTCCACACCCTTACCGAAGACATTGATATCGATGTCGAGTTTGCCGCACAACAAGATGAGGATCTTGAGCTTGGCGATTTCAATCACACCGAGGATTTCCAGCATTTCAACTCGGATAATCGGGATGAGCTGATGGCAGAAAATGACGATGCTTCCTATGGCATGATTGATGTCGACGATATGAGTTATAACGAAACCGCGGCAGCCGCAAATGACTATGAGATACCTATCGGCGATGCTGATGTATACTCCTGGCAAGAAGCCGACGTCAGTGGCATTCAGGAGGACGAAATATTTGCCGAGGAGATTCGCGACAACGATGCTCTCGAATTTCAGACGGGTGTCGAAACTATCGCCACTGTTGTCGACAACGATGGAATTTCGACCCAGGCTCAACTTTCGACATCCGAGACTGCACCCCATGACGCGATATCTGGCGTAGAGCACTATGAGGTCACCGAGGCAGTAGCCAATGACGAGGCTGCAGCTGCAATGGATGCCGATGCAGATGGCATTGCAGAGCAAGACTTTGAAGACACCGACGAGAGCACTGCGCCAGAGCATACTGCTGAGGAGCCTGCTACTGGTCCTACCGTCGAGGTACTTGAATCGAGAGCACAGTCTCCTCCAGTGATTGAATCGAATGGCGAGTCTGGGGATAAGCAATCCGTCGGCATTGATAACAACACCGAGATACTGCAAACAGAGGCAGCGCCAGAGCCACAAGCAGCAGAGGATGAGCAGCATCATGATAATTCTGAGGATGCTGAAGAGGAAATTGGTTATGGCCATGACGAAGCAGACAGAAATATCCCGGAGGAGGGCCTAGAAGCCACCACGAATCTTGATCGTGTGTCGAGTGAACCCAAGGACACCCAGGTATCCAGACCAGCGGATGCCTACGATGAAGCTCCTGGGGATGATGATGACTATCACACTGATGAGAACCAGCTCGAAGACAAGTCGTATGATGACGCTGAAAATCTGGATGATCAGGAATCCAAGCTCGCGGGCACACACACTCCCTCGCCGCAGAACCCAGCTGACTCTCCAGTACCCCATAATGACGAGGATGGAGTCGAAGCTGCCTCTGAGGGCATATCGCAAGATATGAAGGAGGTTGCTAGTCGCCATACCATGGTCGTGCGCTATGGTGAGACTGATTACCGGCTTTTTGCCAATGAAACCGATGATGATCCAAGTGAATACTTCTTCAAGGACTTGTCAGCCTTAGAGTTGTCGCTAGGCGACTTCCTTTCAGAAATCCGCAATGTTATCTCTGAAGAGGTTTCCCCTCTTGATGAGCTCGTCTTGCATGTTGACGGCCTTGGGCTCGAATTTGGCGAGGTTAGTAACTCCCTTTGGCCGAGCTGAGAGCAATAGCTAACAAATCTAACAGACCATGGCCAGTCAAATACTTGACGCACACACTTTTGGAAACATCGTATCGCTCTACGATTCACTTGTGCAAAATGATGCCACCGAAGAAACGTTGGATGCTCCTGAACTCTACATGTATCTTATGGTAAGACCAAATTGCTTGCAACGTCTCATAGCACTGCAATTCCAAGCAGCTTCTGGTAGGAGCTTGACCGATGTGGCGGTGTATCGGGAGGCGTCTCCTGAGCAAGAGCAAGATGACACCCCCGAACATTCCGAAAACCATGCCACGACTCCTGAGTACGCCGAAGAAGAGCTCTACGACCACGACGAGCAGTCTGAAGATGATTCCTTTGCCCAGGACCATGCAGGCACGCTAGAGACCGAACAGGAGACGGAGCAGGAGACGTATATAGCCGAGTCCGAAGAGACTCAGGCATCGGCACAACAAGAGGAGGACCTAGAGGAGCCCAAAGAGGGCTCAGCAGACAATGACGCCGATGACGTGGTTGACTATGACAACCTTGATTTGTCACCGTCTCAACAGGGTAATTCCCCCTTTTACTCGAGCCCGTCCATTCCCATGTATTGCATCGGCACTCTCGATTGCCAATGCGACACATGTTGGCTCCAGCGAGTCGAGGACATTTTTACCTTTTCCAGCACCAATCGCCACGGGCAAACCAACTGTTTTATACGGGTTGGTGGCACCCACAGCGCGAGCGCTGGATTGCAAGATGCATTCAGTGGAGGCAACCACTCCGAAACCACAATACAGTCTATGCAAGTAATGTCCGAGGCTAACAGTTGTCGCTATCAAGATGTTCCAAACAATTCTACTAATGAACCCAGTCTTGCCCCAGTGGAGGCAAGCTTGAACGCGCCAGAAGTTCTGACAGAAGTTGGCGATGTTACTGATGCCGCCACGGTCGATCAAAACCGAGCACCCCCTTCGGAAAGCACTAGTGCTACTGCCACTCTCGACGGAAATCTGAATGATGAAATAGACTACGATGAGAACGACTTGGATGATGGCAGAGGCGACGCCAACAACACGGAATTGCCGTTACCACTCTCCCCGGCAAAGTTAATGGTCCCCTTGGACGAGGAGATCACGTGGGAATCCGAAAATGAAGACGCGCGAACCGAGCTGCCAGCTACTTCCAATCCGTCTGAACAAGTGTCCACGACGCCTGGAAAGCGAACGCGTTCCGGATCCGATGCGGCCGCCATCACAGATGGTCGGAAAGGTATGAAGAGCCCAACGCCCCTCTCGAGACTAGTTGCTAACATAGCCCCAGATGTCAAGCGTCAGCGATCTTGATCACCGTGATGGTATCCCGACTTTCCGCCACCATTCTTTATTACATCCATCCTTTGCTATGCGCAACGAACCTTTCTCGGCCCCTTCAGATACAACTCTGAGGTTCGCTAACTTCGAGACTTTGGAGCACTAGAATCTCGACTCGACCCAACATCCAACGCCTTTTCGAATTTCAGGAAATTGACTAACACGCAGGAGAAGAAGAAAAAAGCAGATAGCAGATCTCTCCGTTAGCTCTGCTGGTAAGTTTGTGTTACTCGGTCCATTATTATTACTTACAGACTTGATCCCTTTCAACAATTTGTTGCACGGCTTGACTGCAATGATCAGGCCTTATTGCTTTTCCCAGTTCTGATACCCTCATTTCGGTTCAAATTATCGACTTGCGTCCGATTTTGAGACGCTCAGGATCTCAGGTGTTTAAAAAACGAACAAAATAAAACAAAACAAAAGTTGGCTGGCATTTATGAGGCGTTGTCGGCGTGTGTACACGGGGTTACTATCCCAGACCTTGACATACAAGAGGGTTTGAGCAGGTTATTTACCTTGAGAGAAGTCGGAACGGGTCACAGGCGAGATTAAGTGTCTGATGACATCTTTCGCAAAAACAAACAGATGGCTGCAGGGAATTTAGAAATCGATTTGGAGGCGAACAGGCGCCTGAGCAGCTCAGTCCACGGGTGACTGTCACTGTCCTACAAAGACGTCGTAGCCAAGATAGCCTAATATTTGCGTAGATCCCCGTCCTCGGTATTTGATAACGGGATATGGAGCAGGTACTCGTCTATGCAGACAATACATTACTACTTTACATTATCTTGAACATTATGTCCCGTTATTTCTTGACAGCACAGAAACGAAACAGGTATATCGTGGAGTGTGTTTTGGGAGAGACGTACCTGCAGCGCGCGAATCAGGATATACCAGTGTATCCGAGTACGGAGAACTTCTACGTAACATATCGAATTGTCCAGGCACAACACCTCGATAATAATTGAAACTGATAAGAATCGAAAGGTTGTATATGAGTATGTTGTGCGGCAGAGGGGTCATTATGCAGCTTATTTTGGCTAGATTCAACTAGGATAATCAATTTGGACATGGTCTTTGAGGATTGACAAGAAAACTGATTGCTCAAGAGTGCATGCATGAGACTTTGCATTGTGTGTGCTTGTCATCAGCAAGCACTGTCCAAATGCCATCTGCCACTCATTCCGATATCCGAATCCCCGAGCCAGGCTGCCAGGCCTTGGCTGCTCGTCTTTCCTTCAAGCAGTGTTGTACACTAAATAGCTTTTGAGCATGTCTAGAAATGCTATGCTACAGATGGACCAAACAAAAGGGGCCAAACTGGCTTGCACCTTTCCATGCCAGATCCTTGTAACTCCGAAAACGCCGTATGCGATGAGAAGATGATATGAATATCCCGTGACCCTTCAGATTTCCCAGCTGTATACTCCTGCCAATCAAACCGCATCAAGCCGTTCTCGTATAATCGTGTGGTGGTTTCCAACCAATCTGGGGCAGGTTTCACCGGCCCCCCACTTCCATGAATGGTAATCGTTCAAAGTATAAAATGTACATTTTGCGGTTCGCGGGTGTTGGTGGTTATGTGTTGTGTGACTGAAAGTCGCCCTCATGGCGACAGCAAACTGAACTATCGCTGGCCAGACTTGGGTTGCAGCTCGATCGAATTGCCGCGCGATTTCTTGGTGTGACCGTTGCCATTTGCCCTGGCGGCTTCTCCCTCGCTGTCATCGGCGAGATCAGCGAGGCCAAACCCAGACTCCTCATCATAGCCACGCATCAAGCCTTCTCTGTCGCCGTGGCTTCCAACACTGTAACGTGGGTCCATACTGCGGCGTGCAGACATGCTCAGCCGTGTTTGCACGCTAGAGATCATGTCGGTACCTCCAACATCACCACCGCGGCGACCCAGCATCTTGTCACCATTGGGGTCGGCACGCGACAAGTTGAGCAGGTAGACGCCGGTAAATGTAACCAAGAAACCACAGATGAGAGAAAGTGTATTAACGGGATCGTTCGTGTTGAATCCTGAAAAGAGGATGAAAGAGGCGCAGAGTGTAGCCGTCGTAAAGGTAACATAGTAAAGAGGGTTGACGCTAGTAATGAGTTAGCTACCTTGTACAGAATCAAAGACATGAGGTTGTTGGAAGTACGGCAACACATACATCTGCGTGGAGAACGTGGCCAGGGCCTTGTTGAAGTAGTTCATCTGCACAAGAATGCAGACACCCGTCAGAATCATGAAGACGTATGTGGAGGCATGCTTGAACTGGTTGTTGCCTCCAAAAGTGAGTTTGACTGCAATGCCAAAGGCCTTGACGGACATGACAGAGACAGATCCAACAGTCGAACAGATGGATAGGTAGATCAGTGGGTTCTTTTTTCCGTGGATCGGGGCAATTCTGTAGATCATGACTGTCGCAAACACAACAACGACAAGACAATACAGCAAATAGCCTATAATTACCAGTCAGTTTTCGTGGCTCCCAACGGACACATGCCCAGCGCTGTGTGAACTTACCAGGTGCAAGTGCATATTCCATGATTTGTTCAATCGTCTTAATCTCCACATCTGGCGGCGCATGTAGGACAATGATAATGGCACCAATGAGACAGATGGCACAACCGAGCTTGCCCAGCGTTCCGAGTTCCTCCTTCAAGAAATACGATCCCAGCACAGCTCCAATGAGGACACTGAGGGCTCCCAGGGGAGTGACGAGAATCGCGGGTGCGAAGGCATATGCAGCAAAGTTGCAGACTTCTCCAAGGACCACTAGAGGAACGAAGTCAGTCGAATCTGGTCTCTAAGGTTTTACATATTCGTGAGAGGGAAGGTCTTACAGCTGAGAATTCCGGCCCACCATGTAGGGTTGCGCAGATACACAAAGCCATCGCCCTCAAAGCCATGCCGCTCTTCTACTTGCATCAATCCCTAGATGACCATGTCAGTCTCTGTATATTTCAAGGCGCAAGGGTCGCGGGACAGCCTAAGCGAGTAGGACTGTGGCTGGGATCTGTTGTTCTGTACCTTTTTCGTTATTACGAAACTCGTGCCTGCAGAACAAGATGATTAGCCACATGTTCAGAAGTAGCGCAGATTGCTATCCAATGTTATAGATCTGGGAGGGCCTTACCGATAGCCAAACTGGATGACATGGCCAAGGCCAGTCCAATGTACCTGTAAAGGCGGGTGTGTTAGATTCTCTTCTCTTCAATCTTCTGCATGCAGGCAAAGTGCAGGATGCGCAGACATGGGTTGGATTGCTCGTACTTTTCGTCGATAGTCATGATGTTCCGAGAATGATGCGCCGGCGGCGACCGAAGCTGCGGAAAGCCAAAAGATGATTCGAGATGCGCAATGATAGGCTGTCAAGATAATGACGCGAACGGCTCTCTTCGCGCCTGGCGAGGGCAGCAAGCACAGCGCTTTGTACCTGTTGCGGACGGTATGGGGGTCGTGGTGGCACTTCACAACGGAGGGGTTGGGCGGTGGTGCGTGGTATGTCGGCTGCGTTTCTTTGTGGCGCGGGCTCTCACACACTGCGTCTCTTTATGGAATGCCGAGTCACTATCGTCGGATCTCGCGAGTGTCTGTCCGATCGGAAGGTTGCGTGGGGCGCTGCGTGAGCGAGCGATATGTCTGTATGTGTGTATTTAATAACGAAAGTTGTGGTTTTGTTGGAAGACAATGTGTCTCTTTCTGCCAAGTCGGAAAGTCGTTGAGTGCTGGCAGGGTCGCAACAATGAAAGTGTCGCGGCGAGGTAGGTAGCGGTGCGGGTACGTTGGTAGTTAAAGTGGTCAAGTAAGTGGTCCTTCCTTTGGCAGGTCGAGAAAAGGACGCCCGTCCACTCGGTATTGTTGCAGCGAGATGTGATGATATCGGCAGATGGAGTGGGCTTTTTGCAACCATGTACACCTACAGTACTCACTCACAAGGTGAACAATGGAAAAATGATCGTGGGTTTTTACAACAAGAAGAAGACAGGCGGGTAGATAGGGTAGGTAGGTAGGTAGTAGCTGTAGGTAAATGTGTCCTTGCGTAGGTTGGGAAACCAGAGCGTGTTTCGTGGACGGATAGAGCAGCAGTGCAATCCAGCAGTCCCTAGTCAAGGATACCTAGGATCGGCTCAGTGCTCTTTTTTTTTTTTTCCTTCCCTCCCCTCCAGTTTTTGGCTTTCGGCTTTGGCTTTTTTTTTTTTTCGGGGCGGCCTGGGGGGGTTGCGTTACCACTACACAGTATCTACTTGCCGTAAAAAAGGTGTAGAGGCGCCTGTACTATGTAACTACTGCCGCTGCTTGCGTGACCCGGTTTACTGGCGGCCTTCCACCAGGATTCTGCTGGTTCTGTCGCTTCGATTTGCTTTTTAGCGTCCCTTGGAAGGTTAGAAGCCGTCCTTTACTTTCCAGTCTTCTTTTGCCCTGGAGGCTGGCAGTTGAGGGTCAGTGGAAAGTTTGGGTACGCTTTCGCTGCGTTGACCTTTAATGCGCAACTAGGAGAAAGGTACCGACTTACACCCGGTACCTGTAACCTCTAGATTTAGCGCAATTATCTAACCCCTGGCTCCAGCGGCTAAGCAGATTTGCGATGGGTTCAATGGGGTGATGAACGCTCCAGACCACATCTGCACGATGTCTCGTTGCCAAGCAAAACCGTGACAAGCGCCCTTTTATCCTCCATGTCCTTTCTTCTCAATGCGTTCGAGGCCGAGGGACACAGGGAGGGACTCGACGGGAGTGGGGAGAGGGATTTCAAGCGGCAAGTAACTGACTTCTGGGTAGGCTACATGTGCACAAGGCAGTACGAAAAAACGTCAGGTACTTTGCGGGTACGTACTGTCGACCGTTTCGATCTGCTAATATCTGGCCAATCCTGTATTCCTCGACGTCACAAACTTCAGAACCTGCGTCGGAGATATCCAGTGGATGCTACGGTAGGAGTACCGTGTGGACAAGGCATATACGGTGGATAGAAGGTAGGAATTCGTGAGTACATGCTGTATACGTAGGTAGGACAAGGCCTGTATCTACCGCTCGTGATCCATTCCATTTCCCACCAAAAGTCTCTGTGCTTCTCTCCATTCATTTCTGAAATGGCACGAAATGGCATGGTAAGTATCAAGCCTCCGTGCACAATCTGCAATCTGCACTCTGCACCCCTGCGGCAACGAACAAAAAGAGCATGGGCCAGGGACACCTCCCGAGTCAAGCCAAGCCAGAATCTGAGGCCTTGACATGAGGGAGCTTGGGGTTCTTCAGCAGGGGGGGTTGGATGGTTCCGGATGGGAGAAACAGGTGCCCTGAAAACAGAATCAAATGGGCCAACCTGGGAACGTGCGTGCGCAAATCCATACAAGGTACCTAGGGGTGGTTTTATTATTACTTACATATTACGGAGCTCATAAAAGAGGAGTTGAAGAGCAGAACAAACCCACCCCGAGCTGGGCTGATGAGATCAAATGCGCTATCATTGGGCTACGTATACGTGTATAGTATATGTTTTTTTTTTGTTGTTTTTTTGTGTTGATTGTGCTGCTGCATCTTCATTACCTCCAATACCTTCTTTGCCTCACTGTCAATGTTTTTCCGCATGCCTCAATGGTAATGACCGGATCAACCTTGATCAAGTACATATATGAACAAGTGTCTTGGCTCCTTTACTCTGACTGGTGTATTTTCTGAAACTTCTTTCGCCTGGTCAGGAAATAGACGGGGTTTTAGTCTTCCCCGTCTCTACACGTTGAGTGCGCTGCACAGCCTCCTCCTCGGTTCAACCGAAACGGTTCGATCTGCCCGTCGCATGTCCCTGTTACCTGCGTCGGGGGTAACATCCAGTGTCTGTGACCAGAGTTTGACTTGTGCGCTAATGAATCTCATGTGGCCTCTAAAACGTGCTGATATACTATGTGCGAGACCTCGATCTTCAATTTGCTCGCCCTCGTCTCCCTGTCGCCTTCACTCATTCAAACATTCGTTCATTCCATCAGCACTATCACAGAATGTCCGAAGTTCTACGACTATCCATAGCCCGGCCCCAGCCTCATTGCCTGCTTGTCTGCTGGCCTACCTACCTGCCCTGTCATTCTCACTCCTCTCAACAACTCTTCATGAATTCTTAGCCCTATCGCTAAGAGAAATCCACCATCCGGCAGTGCAAGCCTCGATTCGTATTGGTGACCCATCCCAGCTGACGTGTTAGCACCAAGTTTTTGGAATAGTCTGGCTATTTCAGAATTGGCGATGACGACTATGTGGGCTGTTGTCGGCTAGGGACAGTCGGCGACCATAGCTCTTCTCCGAGGGACCCAGATAAACGATGAACCCCCAGATTGGATCTACCCATAATCACCAAAACGCAGCGGCCGCCTGTCTGTAAGATGTGTTATTGTTGTAGGTAGACGGTACTGATTTGGACTGCTATTCCTACTTGGTTACCACACTACGATGTCCAGTTATCTTCCATCTCGGATATGAGGGACATGGAATGCTCCGAGGCATCTTACACTTTCTGCGCTTGCCCTCCAGCTTCCTGCGTTCCCGTGGCTATAATAATTTCCATGGCTATTTACTACTCTACAGTCGACCAGGCTTTCAGAAATATCCAAGCCCGGCTCGAAATACCAAGTGGAGCAGCATTCCTACCGTGACATGTGGTCGCGGAAGAAGATCGACTTATTCCAGTCAAGCTTATTCGGGTTTTGCAGGAAAGGTCCAGCTGGATTTATACCGGACCACGGAGAAAGGAATGCCAAGACTCCTGGATCAGAGCAGTTTCCTATAAAAAGTATATGGGGTTGGCACCAAACATACGTATTCTCTCGACCAATTCGACAGCTAACTAGCATCTGGACCCATATTCTTGGCGCGTTTATTTGCCAAAGTCGGTCCAAGCCCACTCGAGCAAGGACATTCAAACTTGGGTCACAACAAGTTGTCGTAATAGTATCTAATGATGGTGATGAGCAGTGCTTTGGTCGCAAACGTCATGTTGTCTTGGGAAAAACATGTCGTGGCCGGCCCAGCAACTCTTTGGTAGGGCCAAACTTGATCATGAGCGTTTTATGGTCGGTCCACCGCCAAAAAAATTTCCTCAGCAACCAGATCCACCTACATGACAAGAGTCATAATAACGTGCTTTTTCTCAACAACAAATCACAAAGCACCATGGCGCAGCGGAAGCGCGCCGGGCTCATAACCCGGAGGACCTCCGATCGAAACGGAGTGGTGCTATCTTTTTTCACTTTTTTCTTGTTTCCAAGTTTGTTCCAATTAGTACTGCGATACCAGTAGCTGGATCTTTTTGCTCCTTCTCTTGTATCTCCTTTTTTTTTTTTTTTTTTTTTTTTTTACCTCACATTTCGTCATCATGGCCAATGGTCCTTTTTTGTCCGTTGCCTGTTCTGGAAACAAATTGGCCATGTAACCCGTCTGATATCAGTCCTTGTCTCCATCAAAGGCAAAGATTAGAAGATTATACGATATCTATAAAGCCATAAATTGGCATTCACATATATTGAGTGGGTTATAGCTAAAACGAAAATTAGAGAACATTTGTGACATTAATCTGGGGCGCAGGAACATCCAATGGTTGAAATCTTGCGCGGCATTCTGTATAATAGTGAGTATCCAACCGGACTCATATCCTAGTATGTAAGTCCAGAGATGGCAAAGCCTTAGTAGGAGGAATAAAACTCTTTGCAACTAGCATAATATGAGCTTTAAGCATAACGGAACGAAGCTACTACATTCCCGAGTTCTTAAACATTGCAGGGCCCAGTCAAGTATTATGATACGTGTCTAGCCCTCTCGTCTTCCGTGGCTGTGAAGTCATTGCTGCATATGGGAGGTGGAAGACTACTCGACAGATTCCATTAGCAACAGGGACGGCACTCTCGTGAAGCATATATAATTCAGAAACTCACATGAAATGTATTACATGTATTTCAATAGTCCGTCAGCCTAAGCTCGTGGTGATACTCATCTATTTCTGTTTTGGATATCTAGAACTTTGCATCTCTTTAAGATGGCAATAGCACCAATGCTTTGGTCAAAGCCAGACTCGTTGTATGGATCGTCATTTTGGGTCTTTTTACTTTTTCCAATACACAAACTTCACGGGGTTGATTCTTTATATGTAAACTGGCTTACAGCTCTAACAGTATGGTTCCCTGTTTCAAATTTGCGTAGCCAAATCGATTCATTGGCGAGTTCAATGGCACATCGTCAGGCTTGAGTAGCCGGAATTTGCAACACAGGGTAGCCAAGGCATACGTACATAAGTCCACAAGGCTGTGAGAAGAGATTCAGATGGCTGGTAGAATCTGAGATATCCACTGCGGCCTTATGTGAACGGGCAGCTATGGCGCCGCAGAGTCAAAGTTTGGTCTGAGATACTTTGGATCGGCTCCCATTCAGTCACCAGGCACTCCACGAAATAATAATTGAGTTATGCTGGGGCCACAGGAGGCAAGTACTATTTCACGGCTTGCGTATGCGGCACCTGACTTTGCCTTGTGAGTTTTATTTATTCAATTCACTTGCCTGTCTGGGCCTCAATCGTAGATGGGTATGGTCGGGGGGTTCACTGGGGAAAATGGGAATCATTTTGGTGAACCATGTGTATTCACAGTAACTGCCAAATTTTGCCGTTCCTTTAGCAATGCAAAGACAAACGCCTGGTCGTACCATCCTCACATGCTATTCATTATGCCATTTTTCCATTTCTTTGAACCGAGGGAACCCAACACCGATTGCCTCAGATCTATTGCTCCTCAGCGGGGGCAGCCTCCTCGGCAGCCTCACCCTCCTCAGCAGCGCGCTGGGCCTCAGCCTGGGCCTGCATCTGGGCGGCCTTAGCGCCGTAGTCCTGGGACATGGGCTGGATGACGCTCTGCTCCTCCTTGGGCTCAATGATGGTGACGGCGTCAGGGAGAGACTTCTGGGGACCGGCCTTGCCCTCGGGGTCGGAGCCGCGCATGATCTTGACCTTGATACCCAAGACACCCTGGCGGAGCAGGACGTGGCGGGTAGCGCTGTCAATGAAGTCGCGGGCAGGCTGACCGGAGTGGATCATGAAGCCGTCGGTGAACTTCATGGACTTGGCACGGGCAGCACGGAGCTTACCCGAGACAACAACCTCGCAACCCTTGGCGCCAGACTCCATGATGAAGCGGAGGACACCATAGCAGGCACGGCGGACGGCGAGACCGTTGAGGAGCTTGTAGCGGAGGGACTCGCACTGAGCGACGGCGGACAGACCACGGTTCTGGACCTTGGCGGCGTACAGGGAAACGCTGTTCTCGGGGAACTTGAAGCGCTTCTGGATGAGCGAGGTGAGCTCGCGGATGCGGCGACCCTGCTCACCGAGAACCTCCTGGGTGTGGGTGGCGCGGATGATGATGTCGGTGACGGTGGGGGTGACGCGGACCTCGACGCCAGAGTAACCCTCCTCAGCGAGCTCGCGCTGGAAGAACTCGTTCAGCTCGGCGTAGAAAACACCGTCAGCGACGAACTTTCTGCGCTTGGAGCTAGAGAAGAAAGGCAAGTCAGTACATGATTGTGTTCAACTTGTAGTCAATATCATGGTGTGTATGTTCGTAGGTCGGGTTGGAGGAAGAGGTCGTCGTTGGAATGATTCCAAGACAAGATCCTGACCCAAGTCGTTTGCGCGTCATCGACTCGCTTCCCCCCCTCGTCTCTTGCTCTCTGAAAATAAGGAAATGGTGTTTCTTCTGACGTACATCTGAGTGCCCGGGACAGCCATTTTGACGGTTTGGTGGTTGATTGACTGGCGAAAAAAGTCGATCAAGAGGTCTCGGGTTCGTTGGGTGTTGGTTGTCGTGAACGGCCGGGGATGAGGGTCGCAGAGATCACGAAAAGTATTGTGGTGGAGCACAGCGATTGGACCAGGCCCGGATTTTTTTGATCAAATTCTAGGGTTTGTGTGTGTGAAAGAGGCCAGGCGGTGCGCAGTACCACTAGCGAACCAGAATGTGGGGTTTGATACCGCTTTAGTGCAAAGATTTCCAGTTGCCAATATTTTTTCACTTGCATTTAGCGGGCAAGTACACATGAGACCCACTGCTCCCTCAGCAGTCACTCGTCTTATCGATAAGAAGACTTCAAAGACGTTACATTAGGTAAGGCTCTTCTCAAGTATCTCCTGAGTGCACCGGCCTGCCTGGTACAATTCTCAGCAGACGGTTTGGGCCCTAGGAGCTGTCAAATGCCAACTGCCCGGTACCATAGTGTGTCGTTTTTAGTGCATGTGACGTCGCGGGCTGCCCAGACGTTCAGAAACTGCCCCGCGCTTCTGGCTACTCACTAAAAAAGGGACCCCCAACTCACATCTTAGCTTGCGTCCTAGGAGGTGACGATGACCACGCGAGGCGTGTGATTTGGTTGAATTCTTGCTTGGTAGCACGTAGCAAAGAAATAATTCACTGACTGTCTGTCTACATCACCTATTCAGAGCATGCGTGATACCGGATTCACCTATCCAACGTGACGCCGCTCTTTTTTTCTTCTTCTTTGCCCCCTCCAAGAGCGTACATTAAACTGAAATCACCCGATCTGCACGCCCGCTTTGCAACACGCGGCCCATGTCCATTTGTTAGAAACTCGAAAGCAGTCATTATCTTATCGTGGCACAGCTGCCCCTCGACGTCTGCGTCCGCCAATGCGCCGAGCCCAACAATACACGTTCTTCTCTGTGCTCGAACTGCCCTCGAGGCAGGCATAAAACTGAAGATGCAGGTCAAAAAGGTCAGTATTATTTACCGGGGGACATTGTTCCCTCTTACTTTCCACAATCCCGGCGGTCCCGCTGATCCGACTGCCAGATACACGATGTTGAGGCCATCCGCGGGGGCGAGATGCATAAAGGTGATTTGCATCTGGCAGAACACCACATTGTCTTTGTTATGCCCAACAACCCCCCGGCCGACGTCAAGTTACCATTGAACGCCCCCAAAACTCGCGAGCTCTATATCGCCTACCCCATACTCAACTACTGCAACTTTAGACCCTCACCGCCGGCTTCGGGCAGACCGTCCACGATACGCATACGATGTCGCGATTTCACGTTCATCAGCTTCCACTTCAAGGATGATGTAGGCGCACGTGAAGCTTTTGAATGCATGCGCAACAGAACATGTCGCCTAGGATCAATAGAGAAGCTGTATGCCTTCAGCTACCAACCACTCAAGCAGGAGAAGCCCTTCAACGGTTGGGAAATGTACGACCCAAAGACAGAGTTCAGAAGACAAGGCATTAGCAGCAAATCCCAGGACAGGGGCTGGAGAATATCTACCATCAACAAGGACTATGCTTTCTCCCCAACGTACCCAGGCTTGCTGGTGGTTCCCACGCAGATCTCGGACAATGTCCTCAAGCATGCTGGCCCATACCGATCGCGGCAGCGGATACCAGTTCTGACGTATCTTCACTCGCTGAACAACTGCTCCATCACGCGAAGCTCACAGCCATGTGTTGGTATCAGGGGCAATCGTAGCCCGCAGGATGAAAGGATCGTGAGCGCAAGCTTTTCTGCCTCGGCCACAGTGGAGTTCAACGGCCTCGACATCTCTAATACCGGAACGGCCGAGCCGAGTCCGTCCTCGAGCCAAGTTGATATTCGAGACCCTGGCCTCGACTCTGAGAGCTTGGCAACAGCACAGCTCGAAGATGAGCTATTGGCGGCCGGAGACCCGAATTATGATCCCAAGACTGGCAAGCGACTCATATTTGGGGCACAGCAAAGCAATTTGATCGTGGACGCTCGACCGACTATCAATGCTGTTGTTATGCAGGCTATGGGAAAGGGCTCCGAGAACATGGACCACTATAACTTTGCCAAAAAGGCCTATCTCAACATTGACAACATCCACGTGATGCGCGAGTCACTCAACACTGTGATAGAAGCCATCAAGGACGGTGATATTAGTCGTCTACCGCCGAACCGGGAGCTCCTTCAAAAGAGTGCTTGGCTCAAACATATCAGCGGTGTTTTGGATGGGTCAGCGCTGATTGCTCGCCAAGTCGGTGTTCGGCACTCTCATGTTCTAATTCACTGCTCAGATGGTTGGGATCGAACGAGCCAGCTATCCGCCCTTTCGCAGATCATGCTTGACCCATTTTATCGCACCATCGAAGGCTTCATCATACTTGTGGAAAAGGATTGGTTGTCATTTGGGCACATGTTTCATCAGCGCTCTGGACCCCTGGGCCATGAAAAATGGTTCACGGTTGAACGTGACGGCGGCGCGGGAGGTACTCTCCAACCCGGCGAGTCTGACGGACGGGCAGGCGAAGCTCTTGAGAAGGCTTTTGCTAGTGCGACTCGATTTTTCAACAAGAAAACCGCCTCCAGGGATGAGAGCATGGATTCCGATGACGTGCCATCGCCGACGGATGATCCCTCACAGGTCAAACGTGGCGAGGGTGAGACAACACGTCCCAATGAGATATCACCGGTCTTCCACCAGTTCCTGGATGCGACATATCAGCTCCACCGCCAGCACCCTACTCGTTTTGAGTTCAATGAACGTTTTCTCCGTCGACTTCTCTACCATCTCTATTCGGCGCAATACGGCACATTCCTCTGGAACTCGGAAAAGTCTCGTAAGGACGACAAAGCTACCGAACGCACCAGAAGCGTCTGGGACTACTTCCTCTCCCGCAAACAGGAATTCTCCAACCCAGAATATGATCCTACAGTGGACGACCGCCAGTCTGGTCGTGAGCGACTCATATTCCCTCGCCTGAGTGAGATTCGATGGTGGGCTTCTTGTTTTGGCCGTGCGGATGCCGAGATGAACGACTATCTTGATGCAGCGGCAGCTCGTGGAGAGCGTGTCAATAACTATAGCAACAACATGTCGACGAGCCCTGCGCCAGGCAGCAGGAGTAGAAGTCCAGCTCCAACGCAGACACCCACGCCGGGGCTCAAGTCATCGACGAGCGTGCTGACCAGCGTCGAAAATGCGCATGAAGCATTGACGCCAGACTACAGAGCCCGCGAGGGACATGCCAGTCTCCACAAGAGTGCTAGTGCCGACTCACCTGGAGCGTTTGCGTCCAATCTTGCCAAGCTCAGAGATGGCGTTGCTGGACTAGATCTGGGCATGGGTGGCATTTTTGGTGGTCACCCAAATGTACCAAGTGCCCAGTCGAGTACAGCCGCTGGCACTCCTAGCGGTGTCATCCCAAGCAGCGTTGAAAAGCGAAGAGCCGAACGAGAATTGTCCGACTTGCCAATGCCTACACCACCACTTGGTGACAACAAAGACAATGGGCTCGAGATGAAATAAACACTCGAATTTACCACTCACTGATGGAAAGGTTTCTGATGAATACCCCAGTAACAAGATTTTGGGGGGCATATATGCGATTACACGATGTGTTTGTGACTTGAAAGAAGGAGTACCAAGTCCAGATCGAACATAATTGTATAGTAACGTAACGAAATGAAGAGGACTCAGAAGCATCTCAAGCATTATGTTGTTTCAGAGCAGGCAGTGGTTTCTTCCTAAGCGAACACATTCGAGCAATTAGATAGCGAGAATTCATGATGATCACGATTATGGATGATATTTCTTCTGCTAGCTTTCACAACGTGCATGTTCATCTAGCAAGCCACATTGGGTTGTGCATCTATACTATCTGTACACACCGGAAAGGGGCTGCCTACCTGTCTCATTTTTTGAACACGGTAGCACCTAACCTCTCAATCTCCCTACCATCTGCCGTGTTTCTTCCAGCAGCTTCCAGGAGACGTAGCCATGCCTCAGCGTCCCTTGTCTTGACCGCCTCTTCGGCAGCCTTGACGCGCATCCCGCACTTCTCGTACATGGTGACCGTGGCGCCGGCTTCAAGGTTTTGACACTTGGGAATGAATACTGCGGCGAGACGAGGGTTACCTGCTTGGAGGATGGTATTGAAGAATGGCTTTTAAGATCATTAGCATTGTGTGCCTATAAAAAATTTCAAGTATTTGGCAATGGAAGAAACTCACCTCCCAACCGATTGGGCTCTTTCTGGTCTTTGAAATCTCCTCAATTTCATTCCAATCACGCTTGGCAACCAATGCTCGCAACCTGTAAGGCGACAATCATTTAGTATAGTCTTGTGGTATTAGTACTTCAAGAAGGCCGACTTACCTAATCCACCAAGCAACCTTTTCGGGGACCTTGAACTCGCTTTGGATCTTCTTGGCCTTGTTATGATAACCGAGTCTGATCAGCTTGAAGAGCGTCTCGTTTACGCTCAGGCCGGTAAAGCTGTCCGAGAAGTCTCGATCGAAAGCTTCCTGCATTCGAAGCAGGACCGTGGCCTCCTTCAAGGATTGAATCTCAAATGTGTTGTCCCTCGAGTCAGAAAGCAACTTGGCGGCTAGGGCAAGCTTGTCACCAGCGGTACGGGCGTCGGGTTGATGCAGTGCTTCACGTATGAAAACGCCGGCTCCATCTACTCTTCTGTCGTCTTGGTAATAAAGATCTTTGAGCAATGCATTGTCGTTCTCCAAAGCTGCAGACGACTCGACGAGGGCCGTAGCAGCAGGGCGAGCATTGATGACTCGGAAGAACGCTGCCAAGGGCAACTTCTTCTTTAATTGCAACAGCACGAAGAAGATGAGGTCTGAATCGCCACTTTCGATGGCCTTGTCTAAAGCAATCTCATCTTCTTCCATACTCAGAAGCAATGGAACCTGACGACCGGCACGAGGTTCGTGGTTCAGAAGCTCCGTGGCAAGTCGGCCACGACCTTCGTCATAGGCGGCCCGCGCAATTGCTTCAAAGGAGATACCAGGCTTGCCGGCAAGCTTCTCGACGACCATGCGACAGATGACCTCGTCATCTTCTGAGCCGGTGCGTACCTTGGCAGAGGCCCAATGCACGTAGATGCGGTCGGTTGGTAGTCGGAGGTAGCCGGCCACCTTGAGTGCCAGGAGGTATTCATGGCGATTGATTAATCTTTGAATCAGTCCTTCAGGGGTGAGACGCTGATACTGTTCATACGACAGAGGCAAGCCGACCTCGTAATACCGAACTGCATTGAAAACACGAAGCGTCTCACACATGTCCACGAAATCATCGCTGTTGTATATATCGAGAACCGACTTGCCAAAAGAAGCAGCCTTCAGCAGCTGTTTCTGCCAGAAAACGTTGAACTCATGCCCTGCAGCGGCCACGCAAGTATCGACAGCTTCAACAAGATTCGACCGAATGAGCTGAATATTGTCATCAGCCTTGGGAGACTGGTTCTCGAGTTGCTCGGCCGCGTCGAGGAGAATAGAGGCCGGTGACTCGGTGCCGAATCGGAAAACTTCGTCGGTAACATCGGGGACTTTCTGCAGAAAGTCGCAAACGTCATTAGTGATAAGTCTTACACCATCGTGGTCTGTATCAAGTGTTTAGTTTGCGGCCTTCCTATACATGACTCTGGTAGGCAGCCTTACCAGCAAGCACGTGTACTTTTCCGTCGTAAAAGTATGAGGCTACGGCATTCTTGGGCCCAACGATGTTGACTTCATCATCCCATGCAATGACAACAGCATCGTTGCCACACCATTGGAGATATTTGGGTGGAATCTTGGACTTAGAATCATGCTCGCTAAGCCGACTTTGGAAATCGGCAGTAATGACATGTGCTCTGCCATCAGCAGCATACAGTGCCGCGAATTTGCCATTCGGCGATACACTTATTTGCGTGAATGGCCCAATATCGAGGTATCGATCTTCGCAGTCTGTAGCATCGACAACATAAATGGTCTTGTTGATGCTCAGCAACACTTCGACCGAGCGGGAGAGGGTAAATCTGGGAGAAACCAGAGTCCAGGCATGAACCTCACCCTCTGGTGGTGACACTAGCTGCTTCGGTCGGGGCTCGTCGTATGAAGCAACAGAGATTAGAGCATTGTTGGAGAGCAGGGCCACCATTCCCGTATTGTAGAACTTGCACGAGTGAACGCCAAAGTCCTCCGCCCCTCGCCCAAGAGAAAATTGGGTGAAGTCGCCTTGGAGGTCATAGTAGCAACGGACGGTGCCGTCATAGCTCACGACTAGGAGTTTCTCGTCCTCTGACCAGCCCAGTCCTTTGATGGAGCCCTTGTCCCAGGCTATACTTTTCAACAGCTTGCCCGCGCAGCTGTAGATTTCGATGCTCGGCTTGGATGACTTTGCTGCCCTGAGTGTCTGTAGCTTGGTCTCATCTCGGTAGAGAGCTGTGTGTTGAGTTAGTGTGATGAGAATGGCAAGTAGAACGACGTCACAGAGGCCGACGTCGCTTGATCAACATGGCTCTCTTTCCTGTATGAGCATGTGATGATGAAGGCGGGGCCCATCATCCAAACACGAGTATCGGGCTTAATGCCTGATCATCTATCTGTGGTGTACAGTCTCCGCAAAGACTTGACGAGAGATGCAATATCGGCGGCCACTTGGACCATCAGGGGGGGTTTGTTCTTTCAAGTTTAAATGACATGGATCCATATCAAGAGCCAAGAGAGCATTACGATCGTAAGAGGCATGAGAAGAGAAGAGATGAGCATGAGGAAAGCGGTTTGGCATACCTATGGCACCTCCGTATGGAGCACCAGCCACAATGTAGTTCTCCAGATCAAGATCCCGGTCAAAGACTGCTGTATAGAGTTGGGTCTTGCGGTAGAACCGATCTCCGACTTTCTCCCATCCTGCCGTGGGATGAGCTGCCTCCATTATGGGGTCACCTCATGATCCTGGGAAGTAAACAAGAGGTAGTCTGAACACGTAGTCGAGCACGCACAGAACTCCGCTACCAGCAAGCCGGATAAGAAATCGTTTGGGAAAGGCTGTTAGCAGATAGCCCCCGAAGCTGCAGCTGAATACAAGATCGGCCAGGCTACAGTATGAGAGAGGTCAGGCAGGCAGATGGGTAGGTAGGTAGGCAGTGGCTGTGATGCAGACGACGGCTCGGGTCGTGTCAGCTGCAGTCTGTTTCTGTATGCCTCGTCTCGTCGCGGTGACGTTACCCTAGCTCGTTGGCAACTCACTGAAGTTCTTCTGATCCTGGCACAGTTGTCAGCTGTGAATGTCAGTCACTCCACCACTGCTAGCTTGAGCTGTTTAGCGCTCGGACCCGCTTACAGTGGGTTGAGTTGCAGGCCAAGTTGACCCCTGCATGCTTACCTAATACAGTCAGTCACTTGCCCTCAATTCCGATGGGCGGGCCCCCGCTTCTTCTCGTTTACTCGTCTCTTGTTGGAGATTCATTCACATGAATCCAAAACTGTAACCTCTGTTAGGTACGCTTGAGATAGGTGTGCCCAAAGGCTCCATCATTCCGGAACCCGCCCCCGAACACCGTCTCATAATAAAAGATAGTCGAGAAAAAAGGGGTCCATCCACAAATCGACAATCGGATCTCTTTTAAAGTGCGGCGGACCACCATCTCAGTATAGTCAACGCTCCGTCTGAGCTTCCCAAATGGTCAATGGTTGCCCGGTTCGGCCACCTCTCACATCTTGCATCGTATGGTTCTCGACGTTCCTGCAGAGACGCTTGTCAGAACAAGCAAATGAATGAGCTATGGCTGTGACGTACATCGTGTCACTTCCGCCTCTGAGGCGCTCACAGACGTGACTGTCTTTCCGACGTACCTGCGTCTATGGAACACCCTGACCTCCAATCGCTGCTTGGCCGGCATGTGAGAATACCCCGCCAAGAGCTGCTTCTTGGAGATAGGCGGGCGACCTGTATCAATGCATGAATATTAGGGTCGCTTCGAATATGGAGGGGCTTGAAGCTACATCAACACAGGATCGGAAAAGCCGATCGACCACCTCCGTATAAGAGAGCTTCAGACTCGCCGTGATAGATCCAAGAGAAACCCAAAATCACATCATCCATCTCATCAACTACTGGTCAGCTTGTTCTTATCTTGATCTCCACTGCTCACTTCTCAATTACAAGGTACTTTTTTTTGTCCAGCAACACTAGTATAAACACATACCAAACAGTCTTCAATATGGCCTCTGCAAGCGTTCACGTCGGCTCCATTGACGCCATTCCGGCCGGTGCTTCCCCGGGCCTCCTCTTCCTCAAGGAGCTGATCCCGTCTTGGGACGCCCTCGGCAAGCCCCCAAAGCCCGTCCGTGAATTCTTCAACAATGAGACCACCTTTGTCACCAACTCCAACGACCCCACCCCGGCCGGCCAAGTGCTGCAGGGCCTGGTCAAGCGTGTCGAGAGGCTCGCCAAGTTCTCCCGCACCGTCACTGCCGCCTACGATATTGGCAAGGAGGACGGCACCCGCACCGTCATCTTTGAGGCCATCAACAGCAGAGTCCTCAAGAACGACCCCTCGGCCACCGAGGTCAAGGGCAAGGAGGTCACCATCCTCGAGCTCAAGGCCGTTGACGGCAAGCTCGTCGCCGTCGAGGTTCGCACCACCCTCGAGAACCACGCCCTCAGCGTGCACCAGCGCAAGATTGGTGGTGCCGGCAGTGCATAAATGGGAACACGGGTATTGATTTTGACGGAAACGCATCGGGCATGAGATGTTTATAGAGGGCACTGTTTGCCAAGAGAATCATATTTCGACAAGTCATATAAATTCAATTTATGCATCGTACTATACAATGAGCCAATTCCTGACTATGAGACCGTAATCATCCTAATACATACTGAGTTCTACACACGGGGTACTGCTATACTTGTCCCACTGAGATATTGTGTATACTCCGAGACGTTCAAAGCCGGGGAATTGTAGTGACCGTGCAAGGAGTATGCACTCGGCTTGGCGTGTTGGACTGCCTTGTCCAGCCGCATAGGTCTGCGGCTTTTGGCCAGACTATGATCAACGTCAGTCAACATGGCACATTCTGTGTCATTGCTTCTCCGGAAAAACCTACCATGGAATCCAGCTTGCGAACGAGAATTGGGAGCAGATAGACATCGACATTCTCAAAGCTCACATCTTGAGCAACGCTGCCTTCGCATCGCCTCCTAACAGCGTGCTGACCCTTCTTCAACATGACTGATTCAAGAAGGCCGTCGACTCGACATCCACCTGAATAGCTCTGAGCGGATTGCCCAATTTTGATACCGACCTTCATATCCTCATATCTGGTGGTACTGTCCCATTTCAGCTTGGCAGCGATCAGGGGCCCGCGAAGTCGTACACATGCACCTTTGACACTCCCGAATGAGTCCGTGGTGGAGAGTTGAATATCAACATTAAGAATGTTGGACGGGAATGTGCATCCAGAGAATGATGCTTTGTCCGTGTGCACAGGCTCTCCTCTGTGGGAGGCCCACGAGAAGCTGGGACCAATATATTCGTTGTAGAACACAGTCAGAGGTGAGTCAATCTTGCGCCTCCACATGAAGGACTGCAGCGTCAGAGGCGTCCATGTAGGGGACAACCAGAGCCCGGCCACATACCACTTCTCTTGCAGTACCGTTGCCATGGCTCTCGCCATGCCCGCAATGGCTACGAGCTTGTCGGTGGCGAACTTCATATTACGGGTGCAGTACTCCTCCACGATGCGAAACCACTTTTCAGCATCGGGCAGCGTCTCGTACAGCTTGCCGTACAGTGGCTGGCCACACTCGCAGGCTCTACAGGAGACGCACCCCCATTGGGCCTCTCCAGAGGTGAAGTTGATGTACCGACCCGACAGCACGCGCTCCTGCAACGTCCAGGCCCGAGAGTCGACGGGGTCCATCCAGCGCAGACGGGCGCTCTCGTCCGACTGCGGGCCTCCCCGGTGGTGGCCCCAGTCGTAGAGGACTCGCGCGCGCACCTCTGCTTCTCGGTGCTGCACACGGACCCTGCTGACCTCGGTCGAGAAGGCCCGGTCCTTTTCCAGGAATCCTTCGCTGCACGAGTCGGCCGAGCTCGCAATGATGGTGACCAAGGACTGAGCGTAGACGGTACTCATTTTGCCCGCTTCCTGTTTCCAGTCGTCCTTGTCATCTTGTATGATGCAGATCGAGTCAATCCAAATGTACCTGAGGCCCAGGGTGGCCGTGACGGTGACAGCATCTCTCAACGTTGCAGGCAACTTTTGCACGCTGATACCAGCTCGGAGTTTTGGAAGAGTTGACTTGTTTGAGGTGAGCTGGCCCTTTTGATCACCCCAGCAGTAGCTCAAGGCTACATACTTCGCATGAGCCGCTGGATCAAATCTCACAAGCCGGATGGTCCAGGTTTTTGCGTCGATTTGCAAGATGCGACTTGGCCAATTTCCATGAATCTTCGAAGCTAACTGAGTCTGGTATCTCTGACAAGCTTTGTGACTGTGAAGGCATGAATTGAGATTGTAAGCGATGAAGTTCATGGTCTGTGCCGAGGATGGGCGGGACGGCAGTTCGGAATCTGGGTTGAATCTGAAGACGTTTGGGCATCCTGTGATTGCATATTAGCTATTGCACGGAGAATTGACCTATTGGCTCGCAAGCAGACCTTTGGCGATGAATAGCTGTATCTTTGGCAATTTGGAACCGGCTCCTATTGTGACACGTTCGGCATCAAATCGCACGTTGATCGCACGCAGACGCTGGAACTCGACGTGATCCACCTTTTGCCACAATGCGGTTGCCTTGAGAAAGGCCTTGCACACCCAACAGTCTTTCTGGGCACCTTCTTGTAGTCGACTGAGTGGTTTCGAAATCTGTCCGGACCTTCTAGTTTCCGCCGATGTTATAACGTATTGCTGCTCATCGTAGCGGCACCAATTGCATAGAGCTTCCGCTCGTGGCAGAGGGAGAACATTGCGAGAAGCTGTGTGCGCTACCACCTTCTTCTCCGACGCGCGTGATTTGTTGAAGCCTAATAACTCTTGCATGTTTAAATCGTCTGACAGTTTTCTCGAGGTATTATATGCGTATCCAGATATTGTCATTCGTAATAGTCATTGGTTCTCGAGTTTCTTGAACTGTAGCTACCGGACTATATAATGTAAATTTTAACCTAATAATAGCAGGTTCTCGTTGGTAATATAAAAACTATGTAGCTAGAATGTTGGTTCCAGGTTATACACATCGTGGGCGCCTATGGTTCTCATAGGACAGTATAGGCGCTGCTATGTTATCTGGTCCAGTACGGCGCTTAATTTGTACGGGGTACCTTGATCAGCCCCACGGGCCATGCCCTGTTTGTTGCTCGCCCAACAAAGTCAATATCGTTTGACACCCACCTATCGAATCTAGGATAATGATCCAACTGCAGATCTTCTGTTTTAAACCTGTCTCATAGCGCCATCTAGTCGTAATGTGGACATGTTGGCTCTTTTGATACCAGCTTATAAGTTGAGAAGGATACGCTGATGAACAAACATGGCATGTGGATCAGTGATGAGCGTTGGCGTTCGTGTTGATTATATATGTGGGGAGCACAATACGTAGCGCCATTGGATACACCGAAATCGTATTCGTAGAGCGACTGATATACATATGTAGCCCGGGGGGTGGGGGATGTATCAGATTCTAGACTACGTTTTCATATGTTCAGATAATGCATAAGAAGACATCAAAAAAGTTCACATGGCTTATGCACGGTTTGCAATGCAACATGGAAGTTTTTTTCAAGTGTGAGAAGTCTAGGTCACATCAATCGTTGTATATTCAGAATGAACATTTGTTATATCCTTCAAAGTGTCGTTGTCCAACTAGTCATTTTTGATGAGACTGTCAAACAGACCCTTCATTTGTTTGCCACTCTCCTTGGCTGTTCTTGTTTGGCCTCCCTCGTAATCAACGTAGGTACAGCCAAATCGCGTCTCATAACCTTCAGCCCACTCAAAATTGTCCATGAGTGACCAGGCCATGTACCCCTTGACATCGCAACCGTCTTCAGAGACTGCCTTGGCCAGAGCATGAGCATAGTCGTGGAAGTACTTGACTCGGAACTCATCATTGAGAATCTCTGGCGGTTTCAAATCATTCTCGCCCTTGATGCTGGTGCCGTTCTCCGTGACATAAATGGGCGGGTAGCCATAGCGTTTGCTTAGCCAAACGATCAGCCCGCGGAAGCCCTCAGGGTTGGGGCGCAGCCAAAAAGACTGGGTCTCGGGGCCAATGCAATTGCCATTCTTGTCATATGAGGTGGTCTCGAGGTTGCCAAGGAAGTCATCCTCGTGAGCAGCTCCCGTCTTGTGCTTGACGTAGTCGGCAGTATAGTGGTTCATGCCGTAGAAATCGTTGGAACCCTGTACCAAGGCACGCTCCTCATCTGTGAAAGTAGGGAGGCGATCACCGAGCTGCTCGAGCATCGAGTCCGGGTACTTGCCAAAGTAGATGGGGTCTGCGAACCAGGAGATGGCGAACTCAATCTTACGGTTGGCGGCCTTGACATCCTCTGGATCCTCTGGGTCCCAGGGGTATGTGTAGTCTCCGTTCAGGGTGATGCCGATCTGGCCACCATTGGCAGGCTTGAATTCTTCGCGGTAGACCTTGACGGCCCTTCCGTGAGCAACAAGCAAGTTGTGGCCGACGATCCACGGCTCTCGAGAACTGTCTCCAATGGGAGACTTGGTGCGGTCAGACGTGTGACCAGGAGCGAAGTAGCCAGTGCTGTAGGCAAGAATGGAGCTGCACCATGGTTCGTTGAAGGTGATCCAGTTCTTGCACTTTGGAATGGCTTTGAAAACGACACGTGCGTAGCTCTCAAAGTCCAGAGGGAACTCGGTTCTGTTGAGAAGGCCGCCGTACCGCTTGTCGAGCGCATCTGGAGCATCCCAGTGGTAGAGTGTGATGAAAGGCGTGATTCCAGCCTCGAGCAGGTCATCAACAAACTTGACGTAATGATCAAGACCCTTCTGGTTGATTGGGTCATTTCGGCCACCCAAAGGGATGATACGGGACCATGAAAGAGAGAAGCGGTAGCACTTTGCACCAAGCTCCTTTAGCAGTTTGATATCCTCTGCGGTTCTGTTGTACGAATCACAAGCAACATCTCCATTCGCCCCATGTGCAATCTTGCCCTCAATTTCGCAAAATGTGTCCCAAATGGACGGGCCACGGCCGTCTTGCTTGGTGGCTCCTTCGATCTGGAAGCTGAAAGGGGAAACTCGCAGGTCAGCCTCCGCGGCATACCCAAGCTAGTAATAAAGACCCCAATGGGGATGGAATTTGGACACGAATGAAAGCTCAGCAAGTCACTCACGAGGCGGTGGCAAACCCCCACAGGAAATCTGCGGGCAAAGACATGATCGAATCGGCTCGGATCAGCAAAGGTAAGCAAGATGATAAGAGTTGTTGTTGTTGTTGCCGTTGTTGTGCCTGCTAGGCTATTTGCGGGCGTCTATTTCGCTCGGTTGGTTCAGGGCTCCTCTCTGGGAGAAATAACTAATATCCAGCTATAGTGCTCGGCTGCGTGCCAAGATCGGAGTGGCTGGCCGTCGGGGCGGAGTTCAGCAAGAGACGGAGGGCGAACGAAAGATAACGCGCTTCTAGGTATGAAAACCTGTGCCATCTCGAGACTGGCGGAGAGCATCATCTTATACGTATCAGGAGTCTTGTCCATTGAGGCGCTGTATGCAGTGACTCCTTTCCCAATTCTCTTGTGTCGGACCGTCGAGACCGAAATGTACTTTGGCCCAATTGATGGCAGTTTCTCCAACTCGGTTCCAAGAGCCACGATCCCCGCGGCGGGGTAATTTGGAGCAGCTAAGAACGAGGATTAGGGTCAGTACATGAGGTACAGTAGGTACGGGCCAGGGGACTCAAGCAGTGAGAGTCTTGCCCAGTTTGCCTACCTGTACCTACCCAGAAGGAGGGACTGGGAAATTTGGGGGGACCGTCTCGCGAGAGGCCACCCCCAATTGAAAAGCGCGAGCTCCTCCGCACCGGGAGAGAATGTGCAAGTCACGAACCATGTATCGATGTTGCGGCCCGCCTCTCCGGAAGCTAGGGAAGGTTACAAAGCAGTGGCCCGCCAGAACTTCGGCTATGCGCAGAGTGGCCAGATAGGACGACCTCGAAACAACACATGGTCTTCTTATAGCTATGTAGTAGTATACCTGGCCTCTAGGCCGGCGGGCGAGCGAGGCGAGATGTGCATCTCCAGCCCAATGTTTGCTTTTTGTTATCGTCCATACCCTTGGTTCGGGACGATATTGCATTGAGTCCAGCAGACCAGGGGCCCAGTCGCCCGCTTGTCACAAGTAGGGAGCCTCGTCTGCCTGCGGCAATCTTGAAGGCATCTTATGCAGAATTCGAGCAGTCAGATTGGCAGACGTGAAGCTGAAACAGCACTCCTCAGGACCCATCCCCTTCAGCCAAGAGTAAGGTGGGCGGCTGCTATAAGGCGGCTGAACCACCCGGCCCATTCCCTGGACTGGATGAATCCTGCGGCGGCCTTTTGTTGAACGCATATGGAATAAAATGCGGCAGTCAAATAACCCGCCTGTATTATAGATGAAGCATGCCCCGTGTTTGCTTAATTTTCCGGTGGCACTGCAAGACGCACAACACTATCACGACGGGTATGCATCTGATCGAGGCGACTACTGCCAGAACCGGAACAAGCGGCGGGATTGGTTTGCCATGATCTTCAACGGCCCTATACCGCAAGTATACTGAGACGACAAAATATCTGACGGACATCATGTACTGCTTGCTTCCACTGGTGCCCGCGCCTGCAGCTGAGGCCTCGGAGTATTGGCCGGAATCCTACCACGTCTGTCACAATTGATGCACGTCGAGGCTCAAAACGTCTGCATAATGTGCTCTGTTATACATGATATACCGCTACGCTCTTCTCCGGCAAGCAGTGCCGATTGTCGTGCAGATCCAACGCCTGATTAGACTTTGCCAGCATACAAATTCTCCGGCGCTGAGCCGTAATAAATCATGGAAACAACCAAAACCAAGCGAGATTTTTTTTTTTTATCTGCTTATTCGCCTAATAACTCCCTTTTATCATGCATGTGAAAGTCGCCTCGGGGAACTCGGGTCATTGCTCCCTCAAAGAAGAGCATTGAGATTTCCTGTCACTAGATAGCTACCATAACACGGCGTTTCAGTTACGGTAGCAGTTGCTGTGTTCATCGCCTAGGACTACCGGTCGTTACCACGAGGTGGAAACAAGTAGAATGCCGAGCCGAGAGATACTTTTCACCAGTTCTTTTTACGATACAGTCGTGCGGGCCTGCGGACCTGGCTGCCTTGAAGGTGACACGGTATTGCGCATAGCCAGCTCACAATGCGCTGGCTTGAGCAGAAAGGTTGGGTTGATCCGTGTCTCTACGTTTTCTCTTGCCAGTGGCCGAGGATTCAGATGCATCCAAGTTGTCGTTGTTATCGTCGTCGTCTTCCCCGTTCCACTCGGTAATTTCCCATTCCACGCGTGTGGTACCGTCACGGCTCTGCTGTACGCCTCGACTTGTTCGAGCGTTGCCCAAGCGGCTACCCTGAATGAAGCTTTCAAACCATGGAATGTGCGTAAAGTCGCGCCCGATCAATTGCAGTCCAGTGCTTGCCGTTGGTGTTGGAGGCGCAATATCCATGACGTCCTCTTCCTCTTCCTCGTTGAGGAGGCCCAATTCTTCCAGATCATGGAGGTCCTCTGTCAACAGACTGCCCAGGGTTAGCTGAATATAGTCCGCCTCGCTTCTGGGCTGTTCTGTAAAGTAGGAGATCGGAGTGCCGCAGAAACCACAGAAGTGTCTTTGGGTATGTTCCTCTGACGGATGGGAGTAAACCCGCCGGATAGCCGATCTTGATTCATCTTGAAAGAATGGAAAGGTCTGGCTGTGGTACCAGGTGAGAGGTACCCGAAGAAAGGCAGAGAGTGGTGTAGCAGAAGCGATTCCTGGCGATTGAGAAGACAAACATTAGTATTTATTCCTTGTTGCCTATTTCGATGGCATGTATGATGATCTCGGGGCTCTTCTTGTATCCCAGAAAAAAGAAGGATTGAGAAAGAAAAAAAAAAAAGAAAAAAGGAACGTACTCTGCGTAACATTCGTGTCAAATAAGACCTGAGCTTCGTTAGTGGAAGCTCCGGGAATCCGGATGATATACTGGTTGCGCCCGCAATGACAGCTGCCCCGCAAAGCTCTATCGGAGCTCATGTTGACTGGTATGGTCTAGATAGTCTTGGTAGTACGTATAATAAGACGACGCTTAGTATAGAGAGAGAGAGATGGTTATCCGCGCCGATAGTGTTCTCTCTTTCTAGTTTGGTCGGAAGGACGTAGTCGGGAGCTGAGAAGGCATTCAAAGCCTGGCTCAATGGCCAGCAACACCAATTGGCTTTGCGACGGGTTGACGGAAGCTTTATGTGACAGAAGTTGAAGGTGATGGACAGAATCAACTGGCAGCGCCTGGAAACTTTGGGTGCAGTGAGATCAGCAAATCAGCCCACCTAAAACTCGAGTGGGACACAATGACGGAATGGTCTCCAGCTTGAAGCTCGGGAACTTTCTTTAGGACCCAGGGAGGGTGGGGATGCCATGTGCATTCAAAGCAGATGGTCACGATTTTCCCGGACTTGAACAATCAACAAGAGTGAATGAACAAATGAACTGGTCCAAAAGCAAAAGGTTGAAGCTGAATCACAGCCTTTCTGATGTTATTACCCGCCTACATAGTACATGTACCTTCCTTGCCACCCATGCCTTCCAAGGTTGTTCCGAGTAATCTCTGGTAGAACGTGCAGCTGCTTGTCCGCTACAATGTTAGTGGGCAGCGGCCATGCTAAGTTTCACTAAAAGATGCATTTGGCCCGTACCCACTGTACAGAGTACTGTAGGCCGGAAACAAAACATCCCTTCACCAAGAAAGAAAGAGAATAAGTCACAATCATTTACTGGAGTATTGATTTGAAACGACAAACACATGCCAAATTCTCACATCAGAAGAAAAAGAATCTTTTGATTGTCACTGCCATCTTCGCTCAAGCAGCACATCATGATACTAGCGGCAAAATTCTAGGCCACGGCTTTCTCTTCTGGAGAATATACTGGTTTGTTCTCGCCGGTCTGAGACTGGCCGGCTTGATCATCGTTTCCGTTGCTGTCAGCAGGCAAATGTAGATCGCCTCCATTTTCCGACTCTGCATCAGATTCCCTCTTCTTATCCCTCTGCAACCACCAGCGAAACAGAATAGTGAGGAACTGTGCCGTAAACACCTGCTCCATTGTGTAGAGCAAAATGGGGATCTGGATCAGGGACTTGGTGAGGTCCTCGGACTGCGCCCACATGGCATCCGCCAGAGGTATTCCCAGCGCCTGCGTCTTTGCTGCACCGCAAAGACACACAGCAACGACCTGTTCCTTTGGCATTCTCTTACACTCGAGGATTCTCCGGACGATTCGAGGTAGGCGAACTCCCACCTTTGAGTCAGCGCCCCAGGCATTGATCCAATTGCATAGAAACCTGGGCGGGTAAGCAGCATAGTAACACACAGCCGTGAAAATCATGTACAATGCCAAATTCATCAAGACGTTGAAGATGACCGAGGACTTTGGCAGATCATAAAGTGCGCCGGTTTTGAAGGCGCCCGAAAAGGTTGACCTGCTACCCTGTTAGTCTTTCTTCTACGTTCTAACGGACAACTACCATCAAGACCTACCAGACAAGCAGAACCATACACAAGGAACAAACCTTTGCCAGTCGAAACGTCCTCAGCGTCCACTCGACTCGCTTCGGCCATGTCCAGCGAAGTATCTGGCCCACGGCCAACGGAATCAAGACGCTGAGACCCAGCTGCTTCATGACACTGGCATACATGGGGCCAAGAGTGGAGGGAGACGCGGGCCGCACATGGTCAAAATCAGAGTCTGTCGGAATGAACGCAAATGTCAATCCCGGGGTGATGAACGGTCCTAAAACGTTGCCAATAACGACTTCGATGATCGCCGCTGCTTCGTCTCCCCCCGAGTTTCGGGTCATGACCACGTTGGACGCGATAGTGGTGGGACAAGTGCTGACAACTACCATGCCAACAAGCATGGTGATATCAATGGTCCCCGACCTGAGTCCTCCGGCAGCAATCACGATGCGAATCAAGACTACGCATGCACTTTCAGTATTGCTTGTTCCCTGCTCGAGCCTCCGTGACTGTACTTACTCAGTATGATTACAGGAATGATGATGAACCCGATCCCCTGGACAAGTATGTGCAATCGCCAATTCTTGATATGCTCCTTGAGCTTTTGTGGCGACAATTGCATCCCGTTGATGAAGAAGATCAGCGCGATGGCACCGTAAAGAATTGAATATTCTGAGCGGATGATACCGCCATGTGCAGCGACATCTAAGAAGAGGCACAATGTTAGCACAACCTTTTCTTCCTCTTCTTCTTCTTCTTCTCTTCTACCATGAAATACAGGTCCGATAGACTGACTGGGGAAAAGGTACGCAAGCAAAGTTGCGATTCCAAAACCAAAAACCAACCAGTTGTCCAAGCAAAACTTGGCAACTGCCTTGATCACCTTGACCACGGCATGATCGCTCTTCTCCGAGCTGTTGGTGGCAGCACCTCGAGAGTCCCCCGTCATGGCGAGTATATATTCACGGCCGAAACATTGCTCATTTGCGAGAAAAACACCTCGAAGTGCGAAGGCACAAATCTACGCCGTGGACAATGAGGATTCCAGGAGAGCGAAGTCGGCTGCGATAAGCAAAGTAAAGGGTGGGTGTTGGTTGCACAGGCCCGTATCTTAAGCACGCCATCCCCCGTCTTATTGCCGCACCGGCCCTTTGGATTGGATGATGACCTGCCAAAAAAGTGGTGACGGCATCGGCCGGTCAATCCTGGTCCGGACAAAGAGATGTCCGGGTAGCCAAAATACCTGCATATGTCTGGAGGGCTCTCTCTGCTGGTCGTGTGTGTATGTTCGTTGTCATGATACAATTTATGCTAAATGATCTCATGAAAATTATAGTTGTTCACCCTCGATGGTGTAGGTCTTCGATGTGCCGGAAAGTTGCTCCCGACCCCCGCCACTCTTGAGAGACTATCAATCTACGGTGGCCCTTCAGAAAGAACTATATGGTTGGCGTGCCAAGAGTCTGCGTATAGCCCAGCGGATTGGCGCCCGGACTATAATTTGACCCCTCTCCCAAATACTGGAATATTCTTCTGATCAAACTTTGATCTTTTCAAGGCTTTCCTGTTGCTTATAATATAGATGAAATAAAAGGAATTTCCCATTGTACGAAGCCTATGTATTGATCGCTAATCTATGACTAGGCTCTATTCACCCTCGAGGCATGTCATGCCTTGGCTGTATCTCGCTTCCATCTACTCAATTTTGATAGGAGGCCCATTTTGATCTGTGTAATGACCGATTGTCCCCTTTATACTATGTCCAAAGCCGCCTTAACGAGCTTCTGGAAGTAAGGCATACCAAGACCTGTCACTGGGTCCCAACCGATGGTGTTGTTCCAAGATGCGTAGGGAATGATGCCCGCGCCCGGAAGCTCGGCGCCGGTTTGCGAGTTGACACCTGTACAACCAGTCGCGGTGCCATTGATTACGTCGATGAGTATTCCAGACGGAAGGCTGTACAGGAAGGGATTGATGAAGCCCATGGTCGGCTTCCCGGCCCGGAGTCGGGCGTCGTTGAGAAGACCGATCAGACCGGCCACGACGGGGGCAGCGGCTGAAGTACCACCCGTCTGTCCTTGCTTGTTTGCGTTGAAGACGGCATAACTATCTTGATATTAGCAGCTGTGTCTGGCCAGGGTGTTGTTCCGGCAAGAACTTACTTGGGGTGCAAGCTGTGAGCACTGATGTCAGGAAAGCCTCTCCCGGAAAAGTTGGCAAATCCGCCAGCATCATAGTAAGCCTTGGCCTCGGGGCTGATGCCATCTTTGAGGTATCCTTCTACAGCTTGCTCCTGATACCAAGCTCTGGGAAAGTAGAAGCTGAAGCCTCCTGTACTTCCGGTCCAGCCAATTTCCGGAGCCCAAGACTGGGTTCCACCAATTGCGGTGATGTCTGGGGAATAATATTAGCTCGGGTTCGCGCACGGAGTCAAGCAGACGCATCTAGAATTAGACGTACATGGACAAGTTCCTGGGAACGCTGGTGTGAATTCGGTATGGTTTTTGCCGTCATTCGAAATGCATGGAGCACCGGTTCCAGTATCTCCCGAGGATTCGAGCACCGTAATGCCTCTCAGACCCATCATGCCTATCAGATCACAAACATGTTTTGCGTACTCGGGCGGCACCGTCTGTTCATCATCACCGTACGAGTTGGAGATGACCTGGGGGAGTTCAGCATTCGTTTGATTGAGCAGAAACTCGTAGTATTCAAGGTAGGGCTCATTCGAGTTGCTCTCTTCATCGGGGATGTCCAGATTCGGAATGAAGGGCGGGCTGCCAGCCGTGATGAATTGCGTTTGGGGCAGGGGATATGACATGGCATTCTCAAACTGAGCGTCGAGGTTGGCTTCTCCGATTGAACCATTAATGTCCTGATGGTCTAGGCCACCATTGATGAGAACCACGGAAAAGTTGGACAGCGGGATACCATAAGTAGTTTGGTAAAGGTGCAAGTCCTCCAGCCGAGCAGACTCGTTCAAGAAACTGCCAAAGGCAACACGACTGCCAGAGCTAGCGTCCGGTACGTAGTCTCCAACACCGTATGCCTTCCGGAAGCAGTCTGGAGTGACGAGGGCAGAACAGTTTGAGGTGGTGTTGGTGGAGAAAGTGCCCTGGGTGATTCTCGCTGGCACGATCATGTCGTCGGGCATCCTCATAGACCTTGTCTTGCCAAAGTAAGTTGTAGGGTGAATTAATTGAACATGCTCTGCGATGTCGTCGGGCACCGAGTATTGTTTCGTCCGCAGTTTCTGGACACCTTGAACATTGTAGTAGGCGAATTGCGTGTTGAGAAGCTTATTGGCCTTGCCAACCGTTGTTGCAAAGTTGATGTTTGCTCCTTGCTGCGAGATATGCTCAACACCGGCGTCTTCTAACCACTGGGTGACGGCACTGAAGGCGGCAGACGAAGGGCGAAACAGTGTTTCGACTTCATCCTTGTCGAGATAATTGCCGTAGTCGTCACTGTCTGGAGAAGAGACGGCCTTGAGCTTTTCCTCCAACTGGTCAATGTTTCCTAGGGCCAGAGCAATCGATAGTGACATCAATCGGTCATTTGGAGGAGTTGCAATCATCTTGACATCGCTTCCGGTTTTCACTTGGCTCATGACACCGGCAAAGGCCGGGGTTGCCATCAAGGCCAAGTAAGCCAGTCGTCCCAACATCTTGGGCATCTCAGTGTCCGAGTTTCGTGTTTGGAAGAGCGTATCGGAATCTTCTAGGTGGAGAGGATAGCCAGTAAGAGATATACAGAGAAAGGTGCCGGGGGGGTTTCGCCTCAAGTTATCCTGTTCCAAAAGGGCACACTGCCTGTATGCCGGTCAAGAGGCGGCGTGCGGCGAGTAGAAGTGTCCGAGGAGGCAAGGCGAGACGAGCCGTAGCAATAACAAATACTCGCTGAGGGGAAAGAAGAAGAAAAAGAAATGTGTCTTTCCTATTCCATCTATCGACAGTGATAGAGAGATTTCCTGCGGAGATCGGAAGACGTGCATATGTACCTATATACATACAGCAGTCACCTCGCCTGGTCAGTCACGTAATGTATGATGTATCCATTGGCCTACTACATTGCAGGGGCCACGGGTCGTGGGACAGGGCCTTCCTGCCATATTGGGGAAGCGAAAGCGGAGCCGTCGTGATGGAAGGAGGCAAGAGGCCATATTATCCGGGCCTCTTTGGGAGACTCTGGTAAAGGAAACTATGAGTCTAAATTAACATCCGTTCGGGTGAATCAATTGCCAAGTCGAGAAAAGATGGAAGGGTAAAGTGTCATTGCCCAGCAAAAAGATTCAACGGTGACTTGCTGCCACAGGCAAGAGATATGACTTCATGTAAAATAGAGTTGAAAAGAGTGTTACATCGGTTACCAGATCGTCAGATCGTATCGCCAAGGTCTCCACACTTTGCCTGCCATGTCCTACTCATTAATTCTCTCTCTCTTTCTCTTCAGCATACCGGTAGCTTTGCCCCGTTTCGCCCTGGAACAAGTGGCTTGCCTAAACTCGTCCTGCGATGCAATAGCAATGCATGTGCCACAATGCCGTTACCGTAAGAAACATTCTGAAAAAGTGTTTCAATTACCATATTCCCTTTTTAAATTCAAAGCCCCGTTCACTTCTTGAACATGTGCTCACATCACCAAGCCTTGGATCTTGGCCATTACAGGTCCTGTGGTTGAGTACACGACGCTGCGGAAATCCGACTCTCCCATCTTGACCATGGTGATGTTTGGATACGAGAAGAACTGCGCAAGAAACGTGCCAAATCTTCTGCTTTGGTATGAGCTTTTGAACCTTCAAGTGTTGATGCCGTCGAATGTAACTTACTGGGCGTCCTTGTGGTCCTTGGTAATGGTCATGTTGAAGTCCCACAATGAACGAACCACGTCCAACTTGAATTGCCACCAATTACCAGGCTGGCAGAGGATGAAGCCTGTGCTGGGATTACTGTTGAGGCTTTGCGGAATGGCAACGCCATCCCACTCGATGGTGGTATTGCAATCCATTGTTTCGTCATAGTTGGGATCATACCAGTGGACTGAGGTCAAGGCGGTTGATTAGTTTGTGCGCTTCCATGTGTATACAAGTGATGAATATGGGGACTTGCACTTGTAGAGACATTGGTAGTTCTCATCCATTGTCTCTCTGTTGCAGTCCAGAGTGATACCAGTGAGGTTGTAGTCGTCAAAGTCGAATTGGGCCAGCTCGACCCACTTCTGGCCTTGAGCCAAAGGTTCGGTCGACGTAGGATGCATGTCTTCCTTGAGAAAAGGAGGGAGACCAGCTGCCAATGGCAAGAGCAGGGAGGATAGCAGTGCGTGGTACATTATGACTGACGCATTCGTGGAGAATTTGATGAAGTGTGCGTCGGGAATCTGATGTCTTGCCACTCTATCAAAAATCGAAAAAAGAAATCGGTGCCTTTTTGCTAAAGGAAGAATTGTTGATCGATTCAGGTTTCAAATACTGTGTTATATATCGAGGAGTGGATTGTGGAAAAAGAAAAAATGAAACAAATGAGGAAGGGCAAAGTTGCCCTGTATTTATATCTGAGCGAGCAAGATGCAAACGGAGCCGGTTCACCGCTCTCTGGCAATCACTGCTTGCAATGAATGGCATTTCGTGTTCGGAATCCATGACCAAGAGGAAAAATCCATGTCCTTGACTGCTTCTGCAGGGTCCAAGCAGGAACATCGCAATACGCAAAAGTGTCATATCCGAGAAGTCCACGAGGTTGTCATGCAGCTTTCCGCGGCACCGGCCTGTTTCGAAGGCTTCTACTACACAGCAGCTGAGCACCAGAAGAATCCACACGATCGTCAGGTTCTCGGACCAAAGTGGCAACCGATTTTTGATTCAGACTAGAAAGGATCCAGCGGTGACTCGAGGCTGTGCGCAATGCCAGAATACCATGGAGATCCTTTGACCGCCGGCACTGCAACGAGATGAGATAGAATGACAGTGACACCATATTCACACACCGAAGTCGACAACTGAAGTACCTTTTGAATTTTGTCTTTGCTTCCAAGATTGCCTCGTCTGTATAACAAGTCCAACATCGATTGTTGAAATCTTTAGAGCATTCTACTCTTTTTGGTGTAAACGGTTCAGGTGACAAGATGGTTTGTATAGTAGTGTTGATAACGCATCTGGTTACGCAATCGCCCCTCCCACAGAACAGTTGGGATCTGCCATGTCAATACATATTTCGCGGCAATATTAGCCACATGGCGACTTGCTGGCATGATTCTTTTTGGTTAGAGTATTCGTGGTTCTCCATCCTCAGACTCAAACACGGCAAGATCATAATCATCAAGACACTGCTGACTTATTGATTTGCCATGATGAAGCAGTCGCTGCAATAGCACTGACGCAGTCACGGTCTGATGTCAAGCCAGCCACGGAAACTGAAGGTCTCAAATAGAAGCAACAAGAACAACGTCAGTCTTCCGCAGCTCGTATCAGTCGAGCTCTCGTCCGGGTGATACGGTCGTTGGATGGACGTCGCCGTGGTACTAGAAAACGGCCTTGGTACAAGGCCGACCCTATGAGAATGGGGAAGAGGGAGCCTTTTCGTCTACCTTTAGTGTGAATCATTCTTCTCCTCTTCTCCCTGTTAATCGCGGTAACCTTGTACAAGAAGCGAACACAAGCCGTTACCAGTCCAGCAGATTTTGTTCTTTTGTGATTCAAACAAAACCTCCGATTGACCACAGACCGAGCCTACCTTTAACTTTGCGGTCGGCAACCGGTTACCCGCCGCTTCTTCTTTTTCGTGCCCGGGTGGTACCTTTGGCGGTGGCAACCCACCAGCCTCAAGCAGCATGCCGACGCTCCATGTTTGCCAAAGCGGTCAGCATGACCGTTTTCGTCATCACACGTTGACATAACAGGAAACCAAGCGCTGGCGTAATTTCATCCGAAGCATTCTGCTCGAAAATTGCTGCACTTTCGTGGTCAGCCAGATATATGCAGCCTTCCTATCGATCATGTTCGTCATCAGAGACAACCACCCATTTTGCACTCCGAGATTTGAGCGACATTGTAAGCGCCGTGAAGTCACCTCCTCAGGGCGGAGAAAGTAATCATTCGACTCCCGTTACTCTTCTTGATGTCTCTGCACCTTCTCGGTGACAATTTCCATTGCGGAGACAGCCGTCAAAATCGCAGCAAGACGGAAACCAGAAATCCTCTTTGACAAACTCAAAGACGGCAGTTGCACCAATCCACATGTGTTGCCTTCCAAGTACGTATTGAGAATGTGAATGATGGCAGAGAGTGACTGCTCATGCCCGTTGATTCCAATGGTTTGTAAATATGTTGGATATGCGTCATAAAATTGCAAATTGATGCAAACCGTTTTACCACAACAAATTCTGCAGTCATCGAATGATTGCACAAACTCTTGAGATACGAGAAACTTTTACCGCGTTATTGCTCTACTTTTGCATTCAACGATCGCGTACGGGGTATGATACTATGCGTGCTACACCTGGGCATGTGTTTGATGAGGAAGAGCAGCCCCTGCGAACTTTGCCATGCTCATTTTCCCCTCCAGCTTTGCAGACTTCCATGCCATTGTAAGCTCAAAATAGCACGTGTTGACTGCCATGTGGGAAGCCCCTTTTCTGCAGACGCCCGTGTGATTTACACTGCTTTGGTGGGAAGTGGGCAGCAATTGGCTGAAAACTGAAATGGTTTCTACTGCTTTCATTTTGAATATGCTTCGGAAACTACCCGCCTCCTTACATTTCATGTGTCGCATGCCAGACAATATACCATGGATGTGAATGATTTGCCTGTTCATAATTCCAAAATCATAATATTCCTTATTCCTCATTCCAAAAAGTGTATGGAAGATGGTAATTGGCGATCCATAAGTATGGGAGTATGTATATGTCAACAGCCTGCTCCGAGGCCAAGGTATATTTCGTTATATCCAAGGAAAAGACCAAATTCCAAGTGCAAGTATAACTCAATGATTACTGAAAATCAATTATTTATGACCGAGAAACTTCAACATGCCGTAATCACTACAGCCACTTGACAGAAAACCTTGTTTTTGGGGTCTAGACCCGCATACATGTTTCTTTGTCATCAAAGTCATTGAATTCAGTCAGCTGGTGGTGTTGTTGCTCAAATGATCAAGAATATTGGAATCGTCCAAATACTTCGCCCCGGCTGAAATCTTGAAACGGATGTTCCAGCTCACTTGCAGCTGCAGCTTAAGGAGCTCAACATTGGTATTCTGCAGTCAGCTGCCATGATATAGCACGAGAAGGACCGTTATTCAATGTGCTGCTTCCACTTTAGCTACGGGATAGTCACGCTGCGATGCTTCCGGGTTAATATAAAGTGGAGAGCTGGAGAGAGCGTTGCTAATTCTGGATTATGCTCGTACCGGCATGTCCCAAATACATCATGCGTCAACAACCTTTTTAGTGTTTCTGCCCCCAAATTACCTGGATCACCGCCAGTCTGGGGGAGGGAGTTTCGGCTCGCATGGACATGCAAAACGGGATCCTAAAAGTCTTGGCGAACGAAACGATCGAGCATATACAGATTAGTGTGTGTATGCTTTGCGGACTGTCAAAAAAAAAAGTCGGTACTTTTTGGTCGGCCCTCCTTTCTGTCTCGGCCCTGCTCCTGTCTCGGTCCTCGGGTCCGGATATGTCACGCTGCAACTATGTTAGTCTGTTCAATCAGTATAGTAGAGATAGATTGATGCGTTTTTGGCTTTCCTCCTTGTCTTGGCATGCGAATCTAATGCCCATCCAAGTTTTGATCTTATTAGCTGACAAAGCTGTGTTGCACGCAACACTGCTGATGCATACATAAGATAGAGCGGTGAGTGAGCACTAAAAGGCCGAGATCGCTGAGAGAAGGGCGTGGTTGCAATGTAACTTGAATCTCAATTTAGTTCACAGATGCATAATCACGGGGGAAACAAGTGATATTTTGAGACGATACGCTTTTCTGCTGATGAGGGCATCGCCAACGTCGATCATGGCAGTGCTCGGAGTAATGTACTATATGGAGACGGGGAAAACTACAATGTGGAGGCGAAGAAGATGGGCTCAAACTTTTGCGACTCAGATTCGACTGCACGATGACAGCTTTGGTGTGTCCTTGGGTGCCGTGATTTCTTGCTTTCAAAGTGCGATCCGACCAATCACTCGTTTATCCAGCCTGTTACGCGTCCGACAGCGGGCCGTGGTGCGCAATAATGTACACCCCTTCCCCCCAGTGATCGACCAACTTGCAGCTTGGGCCTTTTCCATATAAAGCGCGTGTCTCCCGAAGACATATCCGGAAAGGATATTATCAGGTCGGATAGCGGCCGGCCTTTTTGGGGAGAGGCTTTGCGGACTTGGAGGAGGGCAGCCATGCGTTCTGTGGGGAGGCAGCGGTGCAACGTTGGCTGACCACTCCGCCATGATCAAATCAAGTATACATCTGTGGTTTAGAGTTGCATTTCTGGATCTACGGAAATGGGCTGGAGATGTAGGTAAAGGTAGGTAGGGTCATGTAGTGCGACAGCAACGATGAAACATCATGGTAAAGAAGAAGTGCTCATGGGCTATATACTCGAAATCCGTCACCAGTGGTTACGTAAACATGTCCAATATTGAACTTCTTTTGACGGTAAAAGGTCTGTGGGCATAGCTGCTATTTCGTATAAACTCTATATCGTGGATAGAGTCTGAAAAGCATAATCTTCCTCTCCGGTACCGTTACTCGCAGGATTCCTTCCACGCATTCATCCACCGTCTGTCTCATGGACGACAGCAGCTATGTATTCCGTGGATGGCCACGCAATATGTACAGTAGGGCTGGGATTCGGGCAAAGAACTAGTGAGCAGCTAAACCTAAGGTTATGCCTAGCTCCGTGGGCTTTCTGCTGGGTCAACTGGATCAACTGGTGGAGCTGTCAACTTTTTGGGCCTCCTGTCTTGGTGTAAGCCGCCCCGCTGAGCTTGCTATTAATAGCCTGACAAGGAAGCATTACGGAGATTCAGGGGTCCACTCACACCATAGAATACAGCACGACAGGGCCCAGGATGCCAGGATCAAGCTTAGCTTGACCTCTTCTTTTCTTGCAGTTTTAGTTAGTAGTTGCAGGAGACTTTGGGCCAGCCAAGGGGGGAGATGGATGGAAGGGACTTTCGTGTGGTTCTACTATCGTGAGATTTTTTGCCGTCGGTTACTCGCGCTTCTTTCCATGTTGGAACTCAAATGGCTTCAAAAGAATGGAAACTTCTGATCGGTACCTACACCTAGTCGAGCCAAAGATCCAGACAAGGTTGGAGTCAGTCAACCGAAAAAACATTGAACGTACGTATGTACACCAAAAGATGAGACCCTGGGGAATTCGCATGTAAGTAAGCGAATGACCTACATGCATCAGACCGCTTCAATCAACCAACATTGGTCAATGGCTGCGAGTCAATGATAGTACGTGGTAGCGTACGGCGCCGGCCTAGAAAGTACGCATGTAGCATGTCTGCTTCAATATCTGCTGAGCACATACTGTACTTGGGTAGGTAATCTTGGTGGGTGGATGGATAGATTCCTGTCCATTGCAGAACAATGCCGAGCTGCAGGTTGTCGCACATCTTTCTTGCAATGCTCCATGATCTGACTGCACATTTTTTTTTTTGTTCCTTGGGGCGGGAAATTACTCGTCATACGGAGTATGCAGAGCCAGAGATCGAATGAACCCTTCAAGTGTGCCAATACCTACATTCATACATACGCACACTAGTCCAACGCAATGGACAGGGGCAACGAATTGCATTGGAATAAATTTGCCACTTGCTGCAATCTCATTATGATGTACCAGGAAAGAAAAATAGAAAAATGCAAAGAATAATATTGCTGTAATCAATACGAGTGAGTGGGCGAGTCTTCACAGATCTGCCTCTGGTGATTCGGCGCAGGTCAAGCGGCATGTCTCGGCGCATCTCCAGCTTGTGAACGAGATCGTCGTTCCTTTTTGGTTTTATTCGCTCAAGGAAAAGAAACAGACTGTACGCTACTTAGCTACCTACCTTAGCTCTAATGAATATATGCATCGTACTCGGGTCAGACGTGAGATGCGTGGGTAGGTATATTATAGGTCCTTGCAAAGCGGCCGACGACCCGACGCCTATTGGCGTAGGTAGCATGTGTCCATGTGGGAGGGGGGAAAAGGGAGATTCATGGTGCGGATTGAATGAGATTTCTGTAGCCCTGTCGCTCACTCATTTGTCCAAGGCTGGGGGGAAAAAGTAAGGTAATCTGACGGATTAATGGGGGACCTTTGGAGACGAGACTGGAGGAGATAGAGCTGACAACTTTCAAAATTCACCATTCTCGTTCGTCCATCTGGCGTGTCTGCCTATCCGTCTGTCTTGCAGTCTATCGGCCAAAGAAAACAGACTATACCAGTACTTGTCAGGAGCACAAAACTTATTTTTTTTAAATACCTCCCATGGCCTATATCGCGTCTCTTGAAGGGCGTATACGGTGACACTTGGGATCGATCTTGTGGTATTTCTGTACCGCTCTGCCCTGCTGTGGCTTCTTTGTTGTCTGCTCCAACGAAGGACATGACCTTTGTTGTGAGAACGGCCCCGAACCCTTTTGACGCCGGACGCAGCCGCTCACGAAACATGGAGTAGCAGCCAGCCTCTACCTATCTAGGCGCCACTATTACCACGAGACAGGAAAGAAAACAAGCAGTCAGTCAGTCAATCAATCAGCCGTTCATCCATCCGTCTAGTCAAAGTGAACGAGCCGTTCGCCAACTTAATCCTAAAGCTTCCCTCTGGACCAGGTCTCGTCTCTCGCTTAACAATTACCTACACCTGACATCCGCTTCCTGTTCCTTATCTCCACAAGAAGAAAAGACCAAGAAAATTTTCCCAAATCGATACATAGCACACGACGCAGGAAGCGCAGCAAGAAGTATCGTCATCCAACGACATCAGCAGCAACCCACGGCAAGCTTCCAGCACAGCCCCAGTGGAAGGCAGGTCGACCCAGTGTGCACCTGCACCAGAGGACGGACCCCTGTCGACCTGTAGTGTAGGTAGCGCTGCTCCAGGCCCCAGATATTCCTGGCCGTGCAGCCCGCCGACAGAACGTCAGCCCTTTTGGGTCAGTATCCTTTGGGAAACAAGCCAGATCATCCCGCGGCCACCGTCCCATTCTTTTCCCTTTGGGGCTGCAAAAGTAATAATTGTGTGTGTGTGTGTGGTGTGTGTGAGTGAGTGAGAGAGAGAGAAAACGATTGTGCAGTAGCACCAGCAGTAGCAGCGGCAGCAGCAAGCGGAGGAAGAGAGGAGAAACATTGGACGCGTTCTTTTTTTCCTCATCACTCTTCTCACAAGCACGAGCCGACCAACCCCAAGGGACCGAAGGACCAAACAGACAGACAGACAGCCCAGTCCAGTCCAGTCCAGCCCCCCCTTCACGGTACATACCATACCTTACATACACAGTACATACACTTTTTTCCTTTCCGTCTGTACCTGTCCACCTACTACATAATAGCATAGCTCGGGTCTTTGTCTTTCCCATAAGACACGACTATGCCCTCCTTCGGACGCATTGGCAGGCTCAGCAATCGTTCCCAGCACAATCTGGTCGAGCAGCAGCAGCAGCAGCAACAGCAGGCGAATGCATTGCCGTCGCTGCTGACATCGACCTCGTCGTCTGGCTTTGGTGTTGGCGCTGCTGGCCCTGGATCTGCCTCTTCTGCCTCTGCCTCTGCAAATACCCCCCCGTCAGCCTCGTCCACCGCCCTGAGCTCTAGTGAGCCCATTGCTTTCCAGGGGGACAATACTACCACTAGCAGCAGAGCATTGACAGCTGCTGCTCAACAACAAGCGCAACAAAGCAAACAGCAGTATCAGCAGCAGCAGGTACTATTACAACAACAACAACAACAACAACAAGCGCAACAACAGGTGCAATTGCAACAGCAGCAACAATTTCAACAACAAATACCACCACAGCAACATCGCTTACAGGAACAGCGCCCAAGCTCTATTGTTCAAAATCAGCAGGTGTCTCCAAAGCACCAGCAGCAGCCAGGCCAACCCCATCACTACACTACTACTGTGAATTATCCTGGTAGCGGTGCTCCTACGTCAAACCACAACCCCACCGGCAACCTTTCCAATTCAGTGCCTGGTCTTGATTCACCTGCTACTACTGCCATCACCGGTGCTGCTTACGCCAATTTGCGACAGCAGCAACTTCAGCAGCAACAGCAATCCTCAAAGGGCCATAGTTCAGATTTTGCCGAATCCGTTTCACGCTCACAGTCCACAAGGTACCCCCAGACTTCACCGTCGCATAACCAGCAATTCTTCGGTCCCGCTTCAAGCTCTGTTGACAATCTCCCTGGCACCGTCTCGTCACCCCTCATCCCGCCCTCACCACCCACTGCTGGGCCTTATAGCCACCATCACCAGCAACAACACCAAGGTCCCACCGAGACAAAGCAGTCCACCCGGAAATTGATCAAGAAGATCCTTCACGGAGCATCCGCAAGTAAGGCAGCGGCCTCCTATTCCTCTGCTGATCCTCGCCATCACCAGTCTCAGCCTTCTTACGACAATACCAGTGGTGGTGCATCCCGTCGGCCCTCGAAGCGAGCGAGCAACGCCTTTCCACCAAACCTCCGCGCTAGCGTATCCCTGGAGCAACAGCAAATTCCTGACTGGCAGCAGTCACCGCAGCAGCAGCTATCCTCTCTGCAGACTTCACCTCTTCAAGACGTAGGAACATCCACTGACCCTTATTCCAAACATCACGAGAGAACTTTACCTGACGCAGAGCTCCGCTTGCAGACACCCCAATCTCAGGGACCACAACCTCCCCGCCCCCGCCCCCACTCAAGCTCTATACGACAGGTACCCGCCAGCGCAGACTATAGCCCTGAAGACCTGGCTTTCCAGCAACAGCAGCAGGCTCAAGCTATAGCACAAGCTCAGCAGCAGCAGCAGCAGCAGCAGCAGGAGCAACAGCGATACGCGCAAGTTGCCAGTGATTCTACCCCGTCTCAAGAACAGTACCGGCAATACGCGCATTCTCGAGTCCAAAGCCAATCCCAAGTTCAGCAGGGCACTCCACCGAGACTCTATACTAGTCACCTTACGTCTCAGCAGTCCAATCCGGAGACAATATCTCAACTTTCGTATGATTCGCCCGTGATCGAGTCGGATCAGCGATCTCAGAACTTCCAGTCAACACAGACGTCGCCCGCCGTCAACTATCCACAACAGGAACGCTCAGCCCCCCTGAGCCAACAACCTGCTTCACCGTCACCTACAATCGCACAGCCATCACCCATGGCGCCCCCTTCCGGAGGCCCCTCGAGCCGAAGATCAGGTGAGAACGATAAGTTGCGAGGCACCAGCATCGAGCCTCCTCAAGGCCCCCCGCCAAACTACCGGCATAGTCAGACTTTAAACACCATGAGCTCCCTACCGCCTACCCCTGGCCCTGCGCAGGCCAATCGCGAATTCCGGGCGAGCAATGTTCCCGACAGACAGGCGCAGCAACAACAATTCGATGGCGGCAACGAAGCTGGACGCGACAGCCCCCAACCCACTGCTGGGACAGAAGGCCAAGCAGACCCAGAGAAACAGTTTAAAGACCTGCGTAAGACCAACCTCTCAAGCTGGCACAGACTACCGTATTTACTGACACACTGGTTTAGTTACTAAATACAAGAATGTCAAGCGACTGTATTTTGACGGCAAAAGTCAGATCGAGCAGCTGACCAGCCAGGTGGAACAATTACAAAATGCAGTTGCCAACCAGCGCATTTCGCAATCCAGGACAGCGCTGGACGATAGCGAGTATGCAACACGCTTCAACCGCTTGAATGGCGCAATCAACAATCTGGCCTTCAACATCCGCAAAGATTGGGCGAGCTTGCCACCATGGGTCAGCGGCTACGTCAGTCCTGAGGCGATCAAAACTGGCAAGCAAGAGATGACTGCAGTGGGACGTGCCGTTATCACCCAGTGGATCGTGGATGAGGTGTTCAACAAGTGCTTCCATCCCGGGCTTGACCAGGGCCTGAGCCGCCACCTCAAAGAGATTGAGCACAACATTCGCAGGTTCTCGTACACACTCAACAGCCAGGAGGAGTTTGAAGCCTTGACTTCCAAGGTTGTCAGTTGGCGAATGGCAACTCTTGAAGGACTTCAACATACCCTGCAGTCTGTCGAGAGCCAGAACGGCCGTGTGGCCTACACAAAGTCCTGTAATGAGAAGCTGAACAAGTACATCCTTGACCATTTGGCAGATCCTAAACCGGCCGGAGTGGAAGGCAGCGTGACCATGATTATCGAGCTAGCTGTTGGAATAGCCGCAAACCTGTCACTCGAGTCCCGCGACGTGGCAGTTACATATCCGCTACCAGGTGACTCGATAAACCCGGAATTCATGGAACTTGAGAAAGCAGGATTGCCACCATTGCCGGATAGTGACGATGGGGATGATAGTAGCCCAGACGGCGACAAATCCAAGAGGGAGAAGACAAAGAGCGGTATGTTGAATTTATTGGGAGGCGCGCCGCCTCCAGGAAGCCGGAAAAGCAGCGTCGTTTCGAGTACTGACATGGACGCCTATTCAGCAGCAGCATCGTCGTACCCGGCCAAGGATCCGACCAAGGTCCGTTTTGCAGGTTTTGTGGCAGTCGAGGTCCGGGGCAGGCAAGTTTTGGTTAAGGCTCCAGTCTGGAACCTCGGCTAGCAAACCGACTTCATGGAGATGCCATTGGATACCGGCCATGGACTATTCTTGGCTGCTGCGAGATTCGGCTTCGGATATCATGGCCAAAGGAGTTCCGTGCGGAATTGAGCCTACGAGATTCAATAATCTGGATGCCTCAAAGGCAACGTTGGCGTCTCTGTCATCTTGCATAGCGTAAGGCACGTTTGGAGGTAGATTTGGAAGACGGTTAGTCGTGTTGGACTCCCACTAGATGGATCTGGGAGACTAGGAACGCGAATCACGGGGCGTTCTAGGCACAAATTAGCCTTGTGTGTCTGGATCGAGCAGATCGAGCATCTTATCCTTCGCCCACAGGACAACAAAAATGCTGCCCTGGACCACTTTTTGAGAGAGTCGACTTTGTAAATTCGAAAATTTCGAAGAGGCAGGATTTTGGGGCGCCGGCGATGAGAGATGATTCATTTACTGGAAAGATTTTTATACCCCTTGAAGATATTGGCTTTAAAAACTGCTTACGTCTATGGCAGAAATTAGACAGATAATAGTCGTCATCAACTATTGTCTCGAGTTGTGGTGATTTTTGAGATCCATGCCTCCAGGTGATCAAACTGTGTGATGCGATTGTTGGGAGAAATGTGCCCAAATTGGAGAATATTAGTTGCAGCAAACAGGCGATAAAGATTCCAGCGAACTGCTGAAGCTGCATCAAGTCAAGTTCAATTCATGTAATAGCATCAAGTATCTCATTGTTTATCAGTTGACATATTCTACGAATATATATATATATATATAAGTATCTTTATAGTAAGAATTGGACGAATCAAGACTTGCACACCGCCTTTGGATATCCCTGCAATGGGAAAGTCAATTCTGCCGCTCTGCCCCTCCATGGTCGTGAGCCGTTCACTGCTACCCCTCCGAAATTTGGACAATTTCGAAAAGTTATACTTGGCTGACAAAGCTGTTGTAGTTAGCGATAGACTGTAGATCAGTCGGATATTCTTGTTCTTCTTTGGGGGCTTTCTTTGACCGAACCTTTCTGCCGCCAAACGAATTCTTATCCATCATTCAAACTCTCATCTCCAAAGCGTGCCTGCCAGTCCAGAGAAATGGCAGACCAAGAAAACAGCGCCGCAACGACGGCGAAGCCGAGCCATCTCGAACCTTCAGAGCTGGGCACCAGGGAATAGTCCGTATAACCTCCAAGTACATTCTCGATAGAGTTTTTCTTGTTGAGTCTTTTCTTCTTCTTGCTGGCAACAAGTATAAACTTGACTAACTCTTTTTTCAATTCTTCTCACCATTATAGTTGGGACGAGCTCTACACTCGCGAAATCTCCAACCACACGGCCAACCCATCAGACACGGGGACCAACTGGTTCGACGACTCGGGGGCGCAGGACAAGGTACTAGAGTTTCTAGCGACGCACCTTTTATCCTCCTCGTCGTCGTCGTCGGACCACCCAACAGAAGCAAAGAAGAGGACAAGAACCGAGACGAGCTTTCTCGATCTGGGCACCGGCAACGGCGAGCTTCTCTTTGGTCTCCGCGACGAGGGCTGGGCCGGCCGCATGCTCGGCGTCGATTACTCGGAGCGCAGTGTCGAGTTTGCTCGGCGCATCAATGAGGTGAAACAAGCAGAATACCACGACGAGGAGGAGGAGGAGAAAGAAGAAGACGAAGAGGATGATGAAGACGAAGACGAACCAAATCCTTCCCGTCAACCCGTCGAGTTTGAACAGCTCGATATTCTATCACCCCCACCCGCCGGCTCAGCCGTGCTGTCCGGAGCCCAAAATAGTGGTTGGGACGTGGTGCTGGACAAGGGCACCTTTGACGCCATCTCGCTGTCGTCGGCCACCGACAGCCGGGGTCGCCGCATCAATGAAGGGTACCGCGCCTCGGCGCTGCGGCTGGTGAGGAATGGCGGCCTGTTTCTCATTACGAGCTGCAATTGGACCGAGGACGAGCTTGTGCAGTGGTTTGCCGACAAGACTGCCTTCGACGAGGAAGAGGACCAGGATCTGCGAGGGTGGACGTTTGAGGTTGTGGATCGCCTCAAGTATAGGGTCTTCACTTTTGGCGGAGTCAAGGGTCAGACCATTAGCAGCATGTGTTTCCGCAAGGTGGCTCGGTGACAAGATCCGTTACTGATAATCACCCCATAAGATGCCGCTGTGTAGAAACAACGCAAACAATTTGATACCCATGATTGAACATGAACTTACGATGCCACCATTATTTCAACTGCACGCACGGACAAGTGTTCTATAAATCGATTTTCTTTTATTTCCATGACCTTTGCCTTGTAATCGTACAGAATCCCAATGTATTTGGGATGGAAGTGCCCTGCGCACTTCTCTGTCTGGTCTGTTCTGTTCTGTTCCAACATCTTCCCGGATCTAGACATGGGCTTTCTCTGCAGTCATTACCAACGGGATCATGATTACCTTTTGAAACTCCCACAAGTCCTCGAGTCGTCATCCCGCTCCCATCTCTGTCATGGTCTTTTTATGTCTAAGGGGTGGTTGATTCTTTTGATGGAAACTTGGCGTCATGCTCCTGTGAATACATGCAACGAGGAACTGCGTAGTCGGGGATATCAAAATTGCTTCATTTCTTTTGGGCATTTCTCGCTCTGAATTATGGCGACGTGTTCATCGGGTCTCCACCAGTGCTTGCGCCAGGGGCTTGCGCTGCTGCCGTGGTGGCGAAATATCTAACGTCCACGTCGTCGTCCTTCTGCAGTTTCTCCAGGCTAGGCAAAACCCTTTCGTTGATCAGCTCCAGAGACTTGGGAGCGGCGGTCAAGTCCTTGTTGCCAGCCTTCTCCAATTCGTAGATGGTGCCAGTCTCGGGCAGCCGCTTCAGCGTGTCGACAAGGGCACCGTAAGTCTTGGCAACATTGAATCGAATGTTGGGAATATCATCTTCTACAAGCTTCTCCAGCATAGGTAGAATCGACTTGTCAATGACCTCCAAGCTCACCACAGTAGATAGTGTCTGCGTATGGGACATTAGCAACATGACTTGAGTGATTTTGTCAAGGTAGACTTACTGTGATTGCAAACGTTGTGGTCATGCGGTACAGGTAGTTGGGGTGCGAGCCCATGGCCATGACCTTGGGAATGATGGCCTCGCTGGCCCACTCAACGCCAAATACCTCAGTCAGCTTCTTCAAGTTGTGAGTGGCAGCCTCCCTGATTGAGAAGACTGTGTCACCCAGCCAGCCCATGCAAAGTCCGCTGAGTTTCTCGTCAAAGAATTTGACACCTAGCTGGCTTGCCAGCAGCGGGATATACTCGATGATAGCAAGTCTAACTCTCCATTGCTTGTCCTCTGCGAGTTGTGTGATGGCCGGGAGAAGCGATTGAGAAAGAAGGTCAATGCCAATAACTAAGCAGGTCAGCAATGATGTTCAGAATCAGCATGATCAAAGGATCGGCGTACCTTGGTTAACGAGCTCTAGTTTCGAAATGATATGAAGGCGAACCTCGGGGAATTCGTCCTTCAGCATCTGCAAGAACATGGGTAGCAGGTGATCAATAGTCCTAGATTATGATTAGCACTGTTATCCAGAACGAATTCCGAGTCAAATCCTCACTCTTGCTTGCCCAGAATAGGCGCAAGTCCACTGATCTGGGTGCCAAGGGCAGCACGAACGTGCTGAGAAGTATCCGAAACCAGGTCCTCGACATTGCTCATGATATCGTTCAATAGAACGGTCCTGTCAACCAGAGCACAGAAGCCAGGAATTTGGCCAGCAATGGCAGTGCGTACTTCAGCCTCGTTATCCTTGAGTAGCTTGGTGAAAGCAGGAACCAGATCTCTCGACACAACTTCCTCGTCTACAGCTTTTGCGATCTGTTCAAAGAGTCAGAAATCCAGTGACAGTCGCATTCCGCGGGGGGACAACAAACCTTCTCGAACCTATCGGCGATCATGTACCGAACTCTCCAGCTCTTGTCTTCTATCAAGTTGCGCAGGGTTGTGAGCAAAACGCCATGGCTTGCTTGCTGTTCCTTGGGTACGACCTCGGCAATGGCAATGAGAATCTCAACGGTAAGAAGGCGCACGCTGTCCTGGTCGTCCTGTGCGAGGTGCTGGAACAGGGGTATCATTTCCTCGACGACAATAGTGGCGGGCATCTCCTTGACGAACTTGGAGAGATGTGTGGCGGACTGGCGGCGGACCATGGGGGTCTCATCGTGGACCAGGAGACCAAACTGTTGTCTGAGCTGCTCCTGGACTGCGGGAGAGACTTTCGAGTATGGTGCAGTGTAGAGACCGCATCCTGAGACCTTTGAAGTAAACCAATCGGCTTTGGAAAGGCGGATTGTGAGAGGAATGAAGTACTCCTCAACTTGCTGGGAGGAGAGTTCGGTGCAGATCTTGTTGAGCGACTCGACGGCCTGGAGTTTTGTGAGCAAGAAGGGCCAAACAGGCAATGGAGCAGAATCGTGGCGCTACAGACCTTGTCTCTGACGACAGGCTCCTCAATGGCGGCAAGGTTCTCGAGGGGGGACAGCAGGACGTGACCCCAAGCAGGGCCGCCGACATATTCAATAAAGCTGCCGAGCTCCTCGCTCAGGGCGACAAGAACTTCATCCTCATCCTCGACGGACTCTGCGACGCAAAGGTTAGTGGGCGAGCTGCTCGGGAAGGAAGCTGATTAGGCACGACGAGACGCATGCGTCGGGCGTCTATGACAGGTAGGCTGGGTGGGATCTAACCATCGAGGAAAGGAATGAGCTCGTCTCGGGTGCGCTCAGCACCAAGGGCGAGGGCGATAGTAGAGAGTCGGTGAATTGCATTCAAGCGCAATAGGACATCGTCGTGCTGCAAGCGTGGTTAGGCGGGCGCGGAATAGAATTGGGTGGCATTTTGTTGACATGACGTTTATCGAGTGGTGCAGGTCAGGCCAGGCAGGTCACCGCTGGCGGCGGGGAGGGAGAGACAGAGAGGGAGGGACGCACCTTGAGCTCGTCAATAAGGACGGCGATGGGGTAGAGCTCATCGCTGGCAGTAGGCGCATCAGCCATGATGAACAACCGGGTATCTATCGGGCGCCCTTGAGAATGGTTGTTGTTGGTGTGTATTTGTAGGGCTCGTTGGCGGAGGGGTGGGAAAGGAGCGAGAGAGTTGATTAAAGGCTGGTGCTTGCTGATCGATCGCGTGGGTGAAGTAGAGTGATGCAACAGGATTTAAGGCCCGCTTGTTGCTCAGTCGTTGTGCTTCTCACTACTTTGCCTTTTAGCAAGGTCCTTCAGTAGCTTGGGTACATGGATGTAGGCAGGTTGAAGGGAGTGCATTGATGCATACCTTTGACCTCTCAATTGCTACGAGGCACAGTTGGTACTAGCAACCAAGTAGTAAGTACCTTTATTACCTGCCTCCCAGCCTACATGTAATGTATCCAGTCAGTGGGTGTGGCTGTTGCTGGCTCGGACGCCTCTCTCTCTCTAGGTCACCTTATAATTTATTAGTGCCGTAAACCGATCAAAATCCAAGATCGGAATTGTTTTCGAGCGCAAGAAAAAGAAACCGAAACAACAGAGCAAAAAGGTGATGTTAGCTTCAAGACAGTAAAAAGGGAAGAAGAAAAATTATATTCAGATTGATGACTTAATTGCGGGGGAAAAGAAAAGAGCACAGGGACTCTGAACCCGCACACTGAGGTCTTCTTGTCAGACACGCAGCTTACGTATCTGGGTGACTGATGGAGGGGGTTGATGTCTGTTTAGCACGTCAGGTATGTGTAGGTATTTCTGCGAAGGCGGGAATTTGGCTTCAGTTGACTGCTGAAAATGCTGGCTACAGTGAGCGCACTGCGTGTTCTCCCGCCCCTAAGAGCTCAAGCTAATGTACAGGCGAGCCTCGTTTGCTAGGTCCAAGCATACATAGTACTCCCAACTTATCGATCAACACACGCACGGCGCACAGGCCCTTGTCGACGTTTTGGCAGTCCCGTGGCAGCTGGCACATTTTCTGGTCGATTGTCAACCACAGCACGTTGGACGAGAAAAGAACGAGTAACTCTCTTTATCATACTATATTGCACTACAATAGGTAGGATGAGGTAGTCCTACTATTTATTTGGATCTGGTCAACGTGGATCTTGCCCATCGTTGGATCTCATGCCTGACAAGGCTAGGGGTGAATAAAACCCCTTTCCTGCCCAATATATGAAAAGTGACTGCTGTCCTCTTGACGTATCCCCCAAGTGGTAAATATTGATGGGTATATCCTCATCAGAGCCTTGGGCATGGACACGGAAGGACTTGCATGATGGTGCCCATGTCCAACAAGTCTCTCGCCCAGTCCGTCCAGATCCATCAACAGTCATGTAAGTGGAGAGTTGTGAATACTGGCTTGATATGTCTTGTGCCGAATATGATCGGAGATAGGGTTCTCCGTCGCCGAGTGCTGGTTGTTCGTGATGCAGTTCTCAACTCGGCGTCGCTTATGCGATGGCAATGAAACCATGTCTGACCCAACATCACTCCAGATTGTACTGCGAGTACTGAGTAAATTGCTGTTAGCCACTCGGCTACTGTCCACCGGATCTTCTGTGGTACTAGCAGTGCTGATTGAAGTCGAGCAAAAGGACGACGCGGTGCGAATAAGCTCTCTTTGATTGTCCACGGGTCTCTTATGGGACATACTATTAAACAACCTAGAGCTCGACTCTGGTCATACTGCGTGGTATGCTGCCGCCTTCGGCCTGTGATTGATGTTGGATGTCCGGAGTCTTGTATTAGATTGCATACTGAACCTCCACCGTGCAAGCATGCCGCAAGCTTCTACCATCCGGCTGGTATACTGGAGTTGAATAAGGAGTCGGAGTACGGCACTTCAGGAAAGTGATGTATATTCTCATATGATGGAATGAGATTGACTCAGTGGACGTGGGGCCAATTGTGGCTGGTGGAGACGGATGTGGTTCTGAATCATCCCCCCCGAAACATGGACCCGTTACATGCATAATACCACCCATATTCAACGTGGGGTTGTGCCTTGCTGCTGCTGCCCAGACTGCAGCCAAATTTCTGTGACTCAAGCAGACAAGACCGAAGAATTTCGTGGCTCACGCTGGCGATCTCCTCTCCATTCCACTACAACCAAATCCACATTCTAGGCAATCCTTCTTCAAGATGCCTACCGTCGCCGTCGACAAGTACGACCTCTTCGAGGCTCTAGGTCAAAAGTGCGCCAATTCTCTCTCCCCTCTGAGCCCAGGAACCCCACTAAACAGGACATCGCATAGGTATACGACCGAGGAATTCGAGGAGCTTTGCTTCGAGTTCGGCATTGAATTGGACGAGGACACGGAAAACGATGATCGCCCTGTCGTCAATGGCGTGCAGGAACCCCCTCAACTCAAGATTGAGATTCCCGCCAACCGCTATGACATGCTGTGCTTCGAGGGCATCGCCCTCATGCTCAACATCTTCCGCGGAAAGCAGCCCGCGCCCAACTTCAGACTGACCGAGCCCGCCGGCGGCAACATCGAGACTATCACAGTCCAGGAGGACACCACCAAGGTCCGGCCACTGGTTGCTGGCGCCATTCTGCGAAATGTCCGTTTCACCCAAAAGTCGTACGAGTCCTTCATTGCCCTACAAGATAAGCTGCACCAAAATCTTGCCCGTGGCCGTACCCTGGTGGCCATCGGCACCCACGACCTGGACACGATCAAGGGCCCCTTCACATACGAGGCCCTGTCGCCAAAGGACATTGAGTTCATCCCTCTGAACCAGACCAAGAAGATGAACGGCGAACAACTTATGGAGTTCTACGAGAAGGACAGGAACTTGGGCAAATACTTGCACATCATCAAGGACAAGCCCGTATACCCCGTCATCTACGACGCAAACAGAACCGTTTGCTCCCTACCGCCCATCATCAACGGCGACCACTCCAAGATTACTCTCGACAGCAAGAACGTCTTCATTGAATGTACCGCAACAGACGCTACCAAGCTGGACATTGTTCTGAACATGATGGTCACCATGTTCTCTACCTACTGTGGTGATCAGTACGCCATTGAGCCCGTCAAGATTGTCTCAGAGCATAACTCCCAGACAAGAATTACGCCAAACCTCCTGGCTCGGTCGACCGAGGTAGAGATTGACTACCTCAACTCCTGTCTTGGTATTCAGGAGTCGGCAGAGAACATCTCGAAATTGCTTGCCAAGATGTCCTTCAGCGCCAAGCCTTCGAGCAAGGCTGGATTTGTTGAAGTGTCCATCCCACCCACCAGAGCCGATATCTTGCAGAGGTGTGATATCATGGAAGACCTTGGTATTGCCTATGGCTTCAACAAGCTGCCGCGGATGTCAGTCACCCGGACGGTTGGCGCGCCCCTGTCTATCAACAAGCTTGCCGACATTATTCGTTTCGAGTGTGGCATGGCAGGCTGGTCCGAAGTCATGCCCTTGATTCTGTGCAGCCACGATGAGAACTTTGCCTGGCTCAACCGAAAGGACGATAGCAATACTGCCGTCAGGCTGGCAAACCCCAAGACCGCAGAGTATCAGATCGTCAGGACATCTCTGATACCCGGTCTCCTCAAGACCATCAGAGAGAACAAGAAGCACAGCGTTCCCATCAGGATTTTCGAAACCTCTGATGTCGTCTTCAAGGACGAGACCGTTGAGCGCAAGGCCCGCAACGAGCGTCACTTCAGTGCTGCGTGGTACGGTAAGACGAGCGGTTTCGAGGAGGTGCACGGTCTGCTTGACCGTGTGATGCTCATGTTGCGCCAAGGTTTCTTGACCAGAGAAGAGGGCCTCAAGAGCAGCAAGAGCCTTGACTTCCAGGTGACTGAAGACCACACCCAACGAGATGGATACTGGCTCGAGCCAATTGATGAGGACACTTTCTTCAAAGGCCGAGCTGCTGCCATCTACCTTAGACTAGGTGGAAAGGCCTTGCGGATAGGAGAGTTTGGTATCCTCCACCCCTCTGTGCTGGAGAAATTTGATTTGAAATACCCTGTTAGCACTGTCGAGATCAACTTGCAAGTCTTCCTGTAAATGAATGCTGGGACTCAAGATAGATTAGCGATTAGCTCATGTTCAATTGGGAGAGCTTCAGAAAAACAACACTAGATTAGTTACCACATATGAGAGACAAAGCTATTCAATCTGAACAAACCGATTGATTCCACAGAAACCATCATGTTCACGTTGATAATTCACGATTGCGGAAAGGCAATTGACACAAGCGAGTAATTTTCTCCTTGACAATGCTCGATTTATTGTCTGTCTACTAGTCGGACGGCCACTGATTCGAGATCATCTGCTTATCCTCCTGGCGACCTGGCCCTTATTCATCATTGCTATCATCTGCTGCTCTAGCTGGGAAAATAAGTTAGTATGTAAGCTTGGATTGGAGGGAATTGGAGGTTTCTTACTAGTTGGTCCTGTGTACTCAATGTCCTGCCTCCCCAAGAGGATGAAGTTCCATCAGACAAGAAGCCCACCGTGATCTTTCACCTGAGGGTTGACAGCCCAGGCAAAGAAAAGGGGATAGTTGGCATGGACCTCTTGAAATAGTGAACAATTCATTCTTTCTCGTTTCCATCCCAACGTTCTCTCTCATGGGATGAAGAAACATTGGCAGGGGGCGGGTGGAATGGATGAGAGGGGAGAAGGAATCACGAGAAAGACAGCGGAACCTCTCTCTAGAAGCGATGGTTCAAACGGCGGCGCTTGTTCTGGCCAAGCCATGCGCGAGCCCGTCGAGCCTCGGCAGCAGCCTGAAGTTGCACCTGCTGCATTCGACGCTGCTCGGCTCGCTTGGAAAAGTTCCAGAGGCAACGCAGGGCGAGGACGAAGACCAGCAGGGCGACACCCAGAGCAATGCCCAAATGCTTGTTGTCAAGGTAACCAATGCCGGCAAAGCGATCGGAATGGAGAAAGGCGTGGTTCTCGAGCGTGACGGGGGCAACCAGGTCGACCTGGATGTCGGGGACGACCTTGGGACCCAGCTCGTTCAAGTTATGCATCTTGTCTCGGTGGTCTCTGAGACTTGCAGGGGCCTTGTCGATTGCGAATTGATTTTGGAAGTATCTTCAAGAATTACAGAAACTCAAGAAGGCGACCGTCTGTAGTGGGACTGGTGATTTGGTGATGGTTTCCCGGATGAAATGAGCCGTGGTGGTGGGAGTTGAGGCCCGAGGGTGATGGCTTGGGTTTGCTTGAGGCAGGAAACACTGCTCTCTGAGAACTGCAAAATAGTTTCCATCCTTGAGAGCTATCCATGAGCTGCTTAATCAAACAAAGAAGGAGGGGCGTTGGCTTCTGGCGACGAAGGTCATCGTGTAGACGCAGACAGGTTGGCCACCGAATCGTCGTCGTTATCCTTGTCTTGACTGTTGAAAGGAAGTCAGACAAACCCAAAACACACCTACCAGCCTCTACAGCCATCTAGGCAATGTGAAAAGGGGCCCGGGACGTCGGTGTGAAGTTGTGTCTTGAGTATGGATCAAGTTACACGCGACTAAGGCGTGGCAGTATAGTCGCCGAATTGACCATATACTCACTTGCTCGTGGGGTTACGAGTATTGTGAAATATGGCCACCATAAGAAGACACCTGAGGGATCAACACTCTATCACATGGTAGTACAAAGAAAAGACATACCATATACACAGTCCAAGAGATGATGTGATGGACTCAGGAGTCTGATCAGTTGTGGTTTTGTTCCTCAAGGGCAATGGTATATTTTCCTATCCGGTGGTCTATCTCATTACGATGCTCGTTTCATTGCATACCATTACTCGCTTTGCATCGTAGGACAAACTAGAAAGTCAAGTCGTAACAAAGATCTATTGCCAGATCTTCTTTTTCACGCCCGCCATTCCATAAAACTCCAGCCTGATGCAATGACGATGAACTTTTTCGTGATACAGCGTGATCAAAGCAAGATCAAACCGCATTTCAGGCTCCCATTTATATTGGCCTCTAGCATGCCATGTGTTTGCATCCCATCCGCCCCTGTCCCATGCGCACAAAATAGCGCCGACGACTTTTGTAGACAAGCGACGAGGTGGTCACCTCTTCCAATCTACGAGAACAGGAAATTGTGAATCCGCGCAATTGGAGAGTCATCACACGATAAACATGTGCAGATCCTAGAGAAAAAGCATTCGTGTCTCGCCGCCACGCAGTTTTCGATCTTCCAGTCTTGTGATCTTGTACGAGCGTTGCTGGTGAGTGTTTGCACATGTGCAATCACAACAACCCGGCTCTCTAAGCGCGGGTGCTCTGGTTGCGTCTTCCCTTGGCGGGAACAGTAGTCCAGCCCTCGGGGTCAGCAGGAGCTTCAGGGGCTGACGGTGTGGTAGGTGTGGCGGGAGTCTCTTGCTGTGCAGCAGCCGGTGCCGGTGCATTGCCATTGGCGCGAGGAGGGCGGCCTCCCTCAAAGCGACCTCCACGTCCGCCACGGTCACCGCGTCCACCGCGGGATTCACCTCGGCCGCCTCGAGGGACGTTCTGGTAACCGCCACGTGCAGTACGGGTCTCACCAGAGGCTGACCTCCAGTTTCCGGCCTCTGCAGCGCGTGAGCGAGGGTTCTGGACTTGCTCACGTGGTCTCGACGGAATCTTCTGTTCACCTGAAGCGGCACCGGCAGCATCCTGTGTCTCTGAAGCAGCATCCTGTACCTCGGCGGCAGGGGCGTTTGCCTTCTCCTCTGCTGCCTTGGCAGCGGCTTCGGCCTGAGCCTCGGCCTCCTTGGCGGCAGCCTCCTTTGCAAGACGTCGCTCTTCCTTGGCCTGCTCCTCGGCCTCCTTCTTCTCGCGAGCATTCTGCTCCTGCTTCTCAGCAATCTCACGCTCCTTGGTAGCCGTATCAATAGGGCGAGCAGCACCAAAGGGGTTGGACTTGGAGTCAGCCGCCGAGTTGGGAGGCGGTGATGCAACGCCAGGTGCTTCGGAGACGGTACGCTTGGCCAGGTTGAGTCGGGGACGACCAGCCGGTCCAGCCGGCGATGGAGCCTCACTCGGGGCAGCGGATTGCTCTGGGGTCTGACGATCGGGTCTCATGTTGCTGCGCCACTGGTTGTCAAGCTCTGCAGCAGTAGGAACGCGCTCGGGGCGTTCGGGGCGCTCAGGGCGCTCTCTGAACTCTCCACGAGGAGGTCGCGAGCCCTCCTGTCGGCCCTCGCCCCAAGTAGCGGGTGAGGTTCGTCGGTCACCACGGAAGGAATCCGTGCGTCTGGCGTCGTTGTTGCGAGGGCGACTGCTCTCACGGGATGCAGATCCCTCTGCCTGAGGCAAGGGAGAAAGCGGGCCGCGGCGCTCCCAGTTGCCAAAGTCGCGGCTCTTGCCATCATCGATGGGGCCATCCCGGGGAGGACCACGGCGCTCGCTGAAGTCCCGGCGGTCGTTGCGTCCAGGAAGATCGGGCAAAGGTCCCTTGCGGTCCCAGCTGGAAAGGTCACGAGCAGAGCCCTCTCTGTCTGCGCGATCATTGCGGTCCTTGGCTATATTGGGGTAAGCGATTGTGGCTAGAGATGGTGCAAAGGAATAAGACTTACGAGGATCAGCAATCTTGATTCTGATGCTACGACCCTGGAAGGTCTGGCCGTCCAAAGTGAGAGCTTGCTTCAATCCCTCAACGTCCTTGAACTCAGCGTAAGCAAATCCCTTGGGGCGCTGCTCGATTCTGTCCTCAATGATCCGGACACTGGTAACATCGCAGCCCTCGAGGAATTCGGTGACAGTCTCGGTAGTCGCATCGTATGAAAGGTTGCCCAAGTGGGCAGTGTAGGGAGGGCGTGTAGGGAGCTCCGTGGGGAATGAATCACGGGGAGCATAGCCTGGTATCTAGTTAGTTCAATGTGCATGGGGAGCATAGCGATGCGAAGGCCACAATGGCTCTCTTGGATCGCTTCATATGACCAAGACAACTTACTGCGCTCAGAGCGCTCAAAGCCGCCGTAGCTGGAGTAGCCGGACGGACCAGAGCGACCATGGGTGGCGGGAGGAAGAGGCTGAGAGCCTGGTGAGAAGCGTTAGTGACAGGACAGTGGAATTGAGCCTGGGGGAGGGGTGTGGGTTCTTTTCGACTTACCAACAACCTCCTCGACTTCATCGGCCCAGGATCCGCCATAGTTGTCATCCTGCAAGAAGGCCCCGAGGGACATCTTCTGCTGCTGCTCCTTCTTTTTCGGGGCTGCAACACCAGGTAGAGGTTAGCATTGGCTTCTTTCGAGAAATGTCTCGGCCCACAGCCGCGTTTGCACATGCACACACATAATTGTCCCTCAAGAGAGAGAGAGAATCAATGGTGGGTTTCGGCAGGACGCGACAAGGCGGGGTTGGACTTACCCATGATTGCGGTGTTTGGGAATTGCGCGCGACGTCGATGTTGATCGCGGCGCACAGTTGCGTGAGGTCGTTGGTTGTGGAAAGACCAAGGGTAGTCCTTCGATGGTTGGTTGGGAGGGGCGAGTAGTTTTTTCAAGATCTGGCAGAGCGTGAGCAGCCTGGGCTGTAGTAGTAGTTGTGGTAGTGCAGCGTAGTGCGGTAGGCTTTAGGTGTATGCGAGACGGCAGGGGATAACGGCAAGACCAGCAGCGCCATTTTAGCGTCTGCGCAGGATACGGAATGTGAGGACCTTGAAAACGGCGCCTGAAAGTGCCAAAGTGGCTTTGGTGCCTTCTGGCCTCTCCCTGTGTCCAAACGGGAAAGAATTTTTCTCGCTAAAACAATACTCTGCTTGACTTACTATAGGGTTTTCCGTAATCTGAAATGAGCTCTCAAAGTATGGGACTGAACTATTATTGACGAGGTGAAAATATCTCTGGAATCTATGGCGCAAAGCCGAGTACCAGACAGAACAGGCAAGTAACACTGGTTATCCGTATCACTCTTTCGTCCAGTCTCGAGTCCGTGCCAGTTCCGATTAGTGCCGTTTTGGTTTTGCGAAAGCGGTAGAAAAATAAAAAGGTGGGAAAATGAACGAAAAGGGCTCGACCAAATTCACCGCCTAACGTTTTGAATGGTGGGGCACAACTTCTTGCCTTTCTACAGAGTATTGCCCATGACTTTGAAAGCGACTTTTTTTTTCTTTAACGCGTCTCTTGGACATTTACGCTCGGACCGTTTAGCAGTCAAGGCGTCAAAGTGCATCGCGTCCCTAGTTCAGATATCGAATCTATCAAAGTTAGTCCATGCCTAATAGGTACGAAGGGAGACGGCATATTGCAAGACTGTCAATTTGTGAACCTTCCTTTGACATATTCTTGTATTTTGGACAGGCAGGATCCTATTCACAACCTGTTCTGTTCCGACATATCAATTCTCATTCCTGTTCATATACAACGGCTGTAATACTATTTGCCTTTCTCTTCGTCAGCTGTTGCCATTCGGCTTCTCTTTACATTCAAAGAGTACCTCATAGGTCGCTCTCGGTCAATCTCAAGTGCTTACACTCCATCTGGAACATCTCTCGGCCTCCTTTCAACATTATTGTCTGAGCATATCGACTACGCCATAATTCCTTTACCATCATGCCATCAGCTACAGGATCAGCCCCTCCACAGGAGCCTGCTTCATCACCAACAGCCACCACTGGCAAGGAGATGCCCACAAAATCCGAGCTTTATGATATAGCCGCCAAGTCCCTGCAAACTGGCGGTTTCACTGGTACGTACCTTGTGAGTTTTTCTCTTCAATGCGGACTTTGTACTGACGTCTAAATCTAGGTATCGTCGGTTCCTTTGTAGGCTTGGGCACCGGTATCATGAGAAATATGCCTCCAGCTTTGTTTGCTGCATTCGCTGGTCTTCAGTGGTTTACTCTTGGTTCAAGCTTTGTTGGTCAGTTTACAACTCCAGAGAGCCCTTGTCCAATTCATACTGATCCACTTTAGCATCGCGGAGCCTTCTTCAACATGCTTGGGGAGGCGAGGACAAGCTGGGGCCCTGGGACAGAGTTGCAGCAAGCACAGCAGCAGGAGGTGTTTCTGGTATGGTGGGAGGCTTGCTTCGTAAGTCAACAGCTAGGAACATTTTCCAGCACGCTGAACACGACTGACCTGACCACAGGAGGACCAAGCAATATTATACCTGGCATCTTGTTCTTCTCCACGCTCGGTGGTAGTGCCACCTACCTATCGCAGAAATTTTCAAGCCGGGAGCGATCGGAGAAGACCAGTATTCTGGCATCGAAATGGAGCCCTCTGAAAAAGTTGACGGACCAGGAATACGAAAAGCTCCTTGAGGAGAAGATTCTTAAGCTAGATGCTGAAATTGCAATCATCGACGACAACATTGCCGCTCTCAAGGCATCTACCCAGTCCAGCAACCAGGCACAGCAAGGTACTTCGCAACGCGCCAAATAAAAACCTTGTATGAACTCGATAGATATTGGCTAGCGGCTTACGAGGGAATACCGAAACGCTATCTGATATTGGTTCCTGTTCGCCTGGCTTTTGCGAGGTAATCACATCGTTACTTGCCAAGAAAAAAAAGGCTCAAGTAGATCAACAGCAGCCGGCACAAAAGCGCAGCACGAATACCAAACGTCCATGGTATGGGATCATTCAAGTTGCCTCCCTGGCTTGAGAATATAATCCATCGTTAGTACGTACCCAACAAAACTTATGGTACAATTAGGCATCTGAGCCACGCTGGATCAACTTGGCAAAGTCCATACTTCGATTAGCTAATTGAAGAAACCTCAGCTATGCTATTGGGTTCCGGTAGGGTGTCAGGCGAGGCTGGGACAAAGAGCTCCTAGTTGTGGTATTCGATGCCACATAACATAAAAGGGGGTATAACGAGCTGTCCAGATCTGCATTCGATCGTTTCGGTACACTTCATGCGGCGTGAGTCTCTGGATTCAAAGTGCAGGATCAAGACAGGGCAGAGGCCATAGCTGCATTGATTTTTCGCCTTCACAATATGTTTGACAATCCTGACAATGTATGGTAGTGTAGATAAAGATTATGTACAAAAGCATTTACCGGTCAAAATCATTGATTCCACTTACAATATGGTCGACACTGTGTGAGGATGGACATAACCCGGGTCAATTATACTAGTACAAGGCAAGGTGAATCTGATAATGAATTTATTGGGTGACAAGTAGGCTTTTATTGATTTTGTCATTTATCCTGTACTGCAACAATGTGAAGCAGTGGTCATGATACAAACAACATGCCAGATCGAGCTACAAGCTCCTCGCCAGGCGACAGCAGAGACTGCCAGTAAAGCACATACAACAATCAACTGTGCCGGCATGCAGTTGAATATTCTTTGGCCGGGACTTTCATCAACCGGCCAGGGGCGTTTGACAGAGCATAAGCGTAACACCTAGGCATAACTGCCCAAGTCCAGATAGCTGGCGTCCAAGCTGTGCTGGAGAAGATGCCATTGACTAGGACTTTTTGGGATGGAGAAGTGATACTGGTCACGAATCTCTGCGTTGACCTGGCTCCGACCTTCGTTTGGACTTGTTGAGCACATGTACTTCTGATGGTGATCAAATTCTGAACGACTGTGTCGCCATATGCCATCCACCCGCAATTGTTCACTTTTTGCCGTAGCGTTTCTGCGTCATCTTCTTGTAGTGACCCTTCTTGCCGCTGGTCTTGGCTTTCTGGATCTCGCCGTACTTGCTCTTGAACTTCTTGTTCGCGGCCTCGGTCTCCATGACCTCATGGAGCAGAGTCTGCTTCCTTTCCTTCTTGGTCATTCTCGCGCTGAAGTATTCTGTTGGTCCGGCAACAACAGTGCCAACTTGGCTGAACTCGGGGATAGCTCCCCTAGAGTCCTTCTTGTAGAACCTCTTGGGGTCCAAGGTGCTCTTGCGTCATTGTCAGTATTGCAGTTAGGCAGGAGGGGGACTGGATGCCCAAGCGACTGGCTACCTACTCGCATTTTCAGAAGCTTCAGGTCTCGAACCATTTCGGGGGTGAGATCTGTTTTTGGAAGGTTGAACCAGGCTGGCCCAGCTGTGGCTTTTGTCTTCTGAGTTGATCATGTCAGTATGAACCAATATAAGGACAACAGACATTAGAGGCAGAGGGGGATGTGCAGTCATTGTAACTATGAAAATCGATCACGGAGGTCGCAGCAACATTACCCATAACGGGAGTTATTTGCCGCTTCATTTGTATGGGATAAATTATAATCATAAAGCACTTCAAGAGCAGATAACGGAAGATGTGTCGAACGTACCTCTGCAAAGGCCTTGTTGCTAAGCTTGACCTTGGGCTCGCGGAGAGAGAGCTCATCCTTCTTGGTTGTAGAAGGTTGTTCCTCGGCGGAAGCAATGGCCTCCACTGCGGTTGTGTCGTTTGTCTTTTCGACGGCCAGAGTGGCGGGCGCGGTCAGGCTCTTGTTGTTTTGGCCATTCTCACGAGCCGATAACCTTGCCTCGGCCTCCTGTAACAATCTTTCGATGTCGCCATCACTCAGGTCGACGGCCGTCGCCATGGTTGAGATAAAGGATTGTCGCGCGCAGACGGCAAAATGGTATGATGGACTTTTGTAGCAGAAAATTTCCCAAGACCCATCGGCAGAAAATGGGATGCGCTCGAGCTAGCGGAGGGGCCACTTTCCAGTACGTACTTGAAGGCGGTGAAAGAACCGCTACGCACCGCCACATTCCGCTTGGCTCAATTGGGGGGCCATCAAGGTAGGGCTCAACATTCCGTGTGCACCACGCGCCACAACAACCGCCGCCATCAGACAAATTGACAGCACCTGGCCGCAGAAGAGGTCGCCAATGCTTCGGTTGGGTGCAGCCGGATTGAAGTCATCTTTTGCAGTCCGTCACCGAGAGGCACTGGAGGCTAGAAGCAATACGAAGCAGTTTCGAGGCCCATGTCGTCGGCGGACGAGGGTGTGATGGACGCCCAACCATATTGCCAGCGCATTCATTCATATGTGTGCCATGCATGCAGCTGCATGCTCACCTACCTTGGTTAGGTCGGAACAGTAATTAGGAGACAGGAAGAGAGGGACATCGTCAGCCCTACACCGATTTTGTGATATCTTCCAGTGACTTCTTGTTCTGCGTGTGTACATAGACACGTTCAAGGCACCGACAGCACTAAAATTGCCGAGAGGTGGGAATCCACGTCATTGGCAATTGCCCAACGCATACATACGTGCATAGAGGCGGTCGCTATCCGTTCTCTTGGAACCCAATGTTCAAATAAACGTGGTCCATTCCTCTCCGTTGCCCATTAATCAATCCTCCTTGATGACTCCATCTTCTGTAGCAGCGGAGCCTCAAAGTTGCGGGACAAGTTATTGAGGATATACACCGTTAGAATACCATTTGTTCGATTGTAAAAGATAAAAAAAGAAACCCAAGATACCACACAGACGGACACAAGAACAGCCCGCACGAGACACAAGAGCAACCGTCCTCACGCTTTTCGGCGGCACTACCCGCGCCAGTGTGGTTTTTTCCCCGGATTTCCTCTTTGCTTTCACCCGAGTGGCCGACCGAGACCAAACCGCGCCCTCTCACGTTGCGCATCGACCAGAAACCGCAAAAGCCATCCCATCAAATCCACCCACTCAGAGACAGCAAACAGTCTATGCTTCTCCCATCTACATAGGTACTTAGCTATCACCCGACTGCCCTTTGACCATTAAACGTCTCTCTTTCTTATTTTGACTCGAGGTCTCGCATCCAGACAGGCGAAACGAACCACTGATTGACTCGGAATCCGTCGAATGGTGGATCCCCCGCCCGACGAAACGGAAACTCCTCTTTCTTCCTCACACACCGCCCAAGCCCCCGGCCATCGCTGCTCTTCCCAGCTTCGGCCAATCATCCACGTCAATCGCGAACAGCGCTCAGCTAACTAGTATCGCGAGCTCTACCCAGTTACATCATTTAATTGATCGCGCGCAAACACTTGGAGTTTCCGAGTAAACAAAAACATACAGCGAGGTACAGTCGCTATACCGCAAAAAACACTTCCTGTCGTACCGCAGCTGCCTGCGAAACTCGGAACTTTAGCGTCGCGTCTCTGCCTGGATTCATTCCATATTTTTTTCTTTTATATTTCCCAGCAGTCGCATTCATTTTCAGCCTTAAGTAGTCGCCGCATTCCCCCCGACTGCTATTTCTACCAATCGTGCCATTTGCCGCAACGCGTCCCCCCTTCGACCAGGCAACTTTGTTTTTGGTCGTATCAAAGCAATAGTCGTTCATCTAGCTGCAGCCATGGATCCGCACAATCAATCTTCGGCCAGTCACCCGCAAGGGTCGCGCACCCAGAATGCAGTCTACGACACAACACACGGTGGACATTATGGTACGTAGACATGCACCGGAACTTTAATGCGGTCAAGTGGCCGCGTCTTGACTCTCATCTGTGCGACGTTGCTAACGATTTCATCTCTGTTCCAGGCGCCAGCGCAGCAGTGAGTTTTCCCGAAAACGCCGTGCCTCATCTATATCTCCCTCACATGTCACGATTTCTAGCGGCCATTTATTGACAATTACATCACAGCTTGCTAGCTCGGGCTTCGCTCCCGCCGAGCTTTACACCGGACCATGGGCCAATGTACACCAGGGATTACATGGGCAGTACAAGGATATTCTGACCACATACTGGCAGCAAACTATCAACCACCTTGAGTCAGACACGCACGACTACAAGCTTCACCAACTCCCACTGGCACGCATCAAGAAGGTGATGAAGGCAGACCCCGAAGTCAAGATGATCTCCGCCGAGGCGCCCATCCTGTTCGCCAAGGGCTGTGACATCTTCATCACCGAGCTGACGATGCGCGCCTGGATCCATGCCGAGGAGAACAAGCGGCGCACTCTGCAGCGATCCGATATTGCCAGTGCCCTTGCCAAGAGCGACATGTTTGATTTCCTCATTGATATTGTGCCGCGCGAGGAAGCCAGCCATGCGAAGCGTGCCAACCCTGCACAAGCCCAGGCCTCACAGGGAGGTGCTGCCGTACCGGGCGGCGCACAACCCAACCTGGGCCCGGGCGGCCAGCACAACATGCCGCCGCCGCCGAATCACATGGCAACGGGTTACGACATGAGTGGGCATCCCATGGGTGTACCTGACCAGGACTATCGCAACCCGCCACCTATCTACAACCAGGCTCAACCTGGCCAACAGCCGTATGGTCAGGCCCCTGGTATATACGGCGAGATGAATGAGATGTACACGTACCCAGGAATGCAGCCGCCGCAGTAGAGCCGTGGCGTCAACGGCACGAAGGGCACGACACAACCGGAATCTGGCGCCAATGACTCAACCACGACCACTTATCCTCCACCTCCGTCCTAAGATACTACAATATCACAAAGGATGAAAATAAAGGAGTTGATCGAAAGCCCTCCTAAAACAGACATGCTGGATGCCGACGGGAGAGGACGGGGATGATGCGGCGTGAATATTGGTTCAGCGAGGGTCTGGATGCGACTGGCAGGCCATGGTGCCGTGTCTGGCTTTCCTAATTTATCACAATTGTTTTCATTGCACAAAGGATTGGCGTTGACAGGTGTTTCAATTTACGTCATGAAGAATAGTTGGGTTATGTCCGTACAAACACCACAGCAGTAACTAGTTATGCAAATTGGTATCTTTCTTTGCTTTGCAATTTCCAGGAAACGTCACCTTGCTGTCTTGTAATATATACCCGGGAGAATAACAGTGAAATCTTCCGTGGGACAGATCAATCGCGAACCAGTCTTGGACCATCTCAAATCCTTGAAAAGTCACCATTGACGAGAAACCAGTAATCTGTAAGTAAATGTGAGGGAAAACATTGGCGGCACTACGATTTCGTGCTAAACTGAAGGCGGGACGAGAAATTCGCGAAACGTTGCCCAGCTGCCGAACTGGAGCTTGCGACCTGTGTGGTCAATCTATTACAACAAGAGTTAGCGTTTTGTGCAGGGAGCAGTTGCATCAATAATCGAAAGCATATTTACACAACATACTTTTCCAGGAGGATTGGACCGTTCATGGCATCCACACGACCATACTTTTTGTTCCTTGTAGAAACATCGAAGAACTCATCCGTGTTATCACTCTGCAACAGCAGAATAGTTTGTTCGAGCTCGTCAAGATTACTCCTCAACATGAAGCCGTTCTCCAAGCCGTCGACAAAGTCTGTGAGATGCTTTACATCCAGGGCCAGGGCAGCCACACCATTGTGGTTGATCTTCTTGACGTCAGGACTGAGAGGCAACGCCAGAATCTTGTTGGCTGCGTGGGATAGTGCGTCAAAGTAGATGAGCTCCTTGATTTCGCGCGGGAGGCCGAGCAAGGTCGAGTTCATAATGTTGGAGAGATATCGTGTCAGTGTTTGCATGTAATTGCTGGGCTCCTCGGGCGTGGCTGAAGTCATCCACTCATATTCAGCCGTCTCGACGAGATCGTCAATCTTTGAGTTGACTAGCTCGAAAATACGTTTCTCGGCTGTCTTCTTATTCTCGCGGAATTGTTCTGTGGCTTTCAGCTTCAGGGGCCCGCCAGCTGACGAAGTGGACCGAGCACGAATGAGAAGTTGTTCGAGCTCTGTGCATGCCGTTTCGAAATGCTCCAGGTTGATCAAGATCTGTACTATCTGGCCCAGATACTGTGAGCTCAGTCGCTCAACTAGGGACTGGCAGACCTTTTCGGTCAGTAGTGCGTCAAGAGACTGTTCGATAGGTTAGTGGTGCATTTCCAAGCATGTGATAGGATCTGAAGCTCCTGACCTTTCGTAATGTCTCATCGATTTTTGTAGGATGTTGAAAGTGGTCGTCGGAAAAGAAGTAGAATTGATTAAGGAAGTTCCTGATGTCGATACAGCAAAGCGGATACATTTGCGAGAATGGCAGTACACATGGGAATGTCAACTCGCTAATTTCCTTTTCGGGAGAGAACCAGCTGACGTTAATGACCTTCTCGTACTCCTCCAAGGAATTGATGGCCATTGGCATGTAATCGTCGGTCGATACAATCTCCTGGAAATCTTCACTAAATCTGCGTTTGAGCAATTCGGCATACTTGTCGAACAAATTGACCAGGAACTCGTCCAACCTGGATACTGAATATCCCCATGTTTCCATGGTCTGTATGAAAAGCGCAAACATTCCCTTGATCTTAAGGAGGGTTTCGGCATTGTTGACTTCACTGAGGGCCTTAGCGGTCAAGGTAATGGCGGATGAGCACATGGAATCCCACAACTCCTCAACATCAATGGTGGAGCGAAGCTGCGGTACCCTCGTCATGGTAGCCTTTTCAATGATTGCAAATCCAGCCATGCCTTCCAGTAAACTGCTGAGCGACGACTCGTCGTCACTTGTCAAACTCACAGAACTCGGAATCAGGAGTTCCTTTTGCCTCCTTCTCGTCGCGGCGTAGTCGCTGCGGAACCGTTCGTTTTGACCCAGCGCATTATGGATGTGCAGAGCCTCGAAAAGGGGTGTAAAGTCAACCTGTAGTTCTTCATTGTCTAGAACATCGAATTCTTCGCTTTCGTCAAAGACCAGCTCGATGGCCGAGTTCAGCTTGAAGTGGCCCAGGAACTCGTCTCTCTCTACACGCTCCCGCTGCTTTGTCCTTCTCATCTCAGTATGCCAAAAGGCCACCTCTCCCAGGAATTGCGAGGTCTCTCGGATTCTGAACAGCCAGGTGTTGAGATCCGTCATGACCGCCTCGGAGATGCTCTTCTGGCTGGCGGGTATGCTCTTTTGGATAATGTCGGCCAATTTATGCTGATTTGCATATTTATTCTGCAGAATGGGGATCAAGAACTCGTTCTGCGTGTCCTCCAAGCTCTTCAAAGCACCGTAGTACTGCTTCTTCCGTATAAGATCCAGAGCGTGGTTAATGGCATGTAGAATTTTGAGAGACTCCTTGAGCGCATCGGAGGCATCGCTGATATTTTCGCGCACCGCCCGCGTGTTGACCAGCGCCTGCTTCTGTTCGGCTAGCTTCTCGGTGCTAGATTGTATCGACTGGTTGAGCTTGAGAATCTCGGCTGTCAGGGCAACGGTTCCCTCGCGCACGTTCTGGAGCTGATTGACCGAGGCCAGGAACTCTTCGTGCTTGGTCAAGCCTATTCTTTCAATGTCGCCCTCCCTATCTTCGGCATATTGTGTGAGCGACTGCGTCAGGTACGAAGTCCGGCTCGTCGCGCCAGCATCCTTGAGGACGGGGATGAGCTGGTCGAGGAAGTCGGCATCAGAGGTCGAGAGGATAATCTGCTGGACGGCCGTGCCGTAATCGTCGTAGTTTTGCGGTCTTCGTGGCATCTTGTCTCTGCCTGCAGTTACAAGTCTCTGAAGGTGTTGCTAAAATGTGTTGTTGGCAGACGGGATGCGCCAGACTTGCGATTGTAGTTGTAGTAAGTCTTTCGACTTCAGGCAGCAGTAAATCCAGGGATCGATGGGTGTGGTTCGTCGTACGTCATGTCATGTCATGGTGTCGCTCGGGAATAACTGTTCAGAATGTGTGCTTTTGCTGACAAGAGTTCGTGCTCTCCCAGCGGTCCGGAACGTTTCGATATGAAGTCGCCCCGTTCTAGCTTGAAGCTTCCGATGCATTGAAGTCAACAGCAGTAAAGGCAAATACGCCGCTACTGGTGTTGGGTAGCTTAGCGGCTCGAGGAACTTCCCAGCCCCTGTTCCAAGCCAAGCACAGAGCCTCAACCCCCCGCAGTGGGCTGGCTGCAGGCATTGGGGATCTCCCGCACGTGCCTTGTGGTGTGGAACAGCGTTTCTTGGCGACCCTGGACTCGGTGACAACATACCTTGGCTATGTACGCCTCATTCTATACCTTGAATCTATTGCTTTTAGATTCTCTCTAGTATAGTGTATGATTAACCTGGTGGAACCCTTTCCAGGTTACATGGACTCTAAATCGCTTAAACAATCACAGCAGACTGGATCGATTCACGCAAGACCAAAGGCGGCCCCTTGTTTTGCCAGTGTACTTGTTGAAGGTTTGTTCTCACCTACATACCTGCATCAGGTGCCTGTGCAGGTTTTCAGATGCCTCACTTGCATTCCAACATTTCCTGCCTCGAACGGTTTCCACATTCAACCTCAATGCTCTCTTCTTTTGTGTGCCCGGTTGTAGACTGAAGGAGCAAAAGTTTCCATACGTAGCTCGATTTGCATTCTTTTTGCTGCTAATTTTGTTCTTCCCTCTTCCCTCACTCTTATTCTTTCTCCTTCTATCTTCTTCTCCTTTTCTCTGGGTTTCCTATTGCTTCTTCCTGCCCTTTTCCCCGTCAAGGCACAAAGAGAGGAGAGAGAGGGAGAGAAGGAGGGTACACAAGGAGAAGCACGACAGTCACATCATTTTCCTACCAGAGTCTATTCGGTGCAATATGGTTGAATGTCCCATGCAACTATTGCTCTGATTTCTATAATTCCTTTCGATACTTGAACAAAAGATCAAATGGTCCTCTTCGAGCTCAGTCAGAAATCTGGATCTTGTAAAATGCGAGACCCTATTCTTGCAACCATCAATATTGATTGGCTACATCAGTTGACTATTTTCCGCAGTCTATTGGAAACTACATATGCTTCTGCATCACTCTGCATCTCCGACCTATGTTGAGAGCAACGGATATGCGTGGGGATCTGCCTGATATCCGCACTTTCCTACATTATGCATGTGCCATACATCTCATACTTTCCCATCCCCACGTCGGATTCAACACATCATTCCATGAGTCTCGAAACGAAACGAGGATAACCAGAGCGTGGAATAGTCTATTTATGGCCATTAGGAATGTATTCTATTGGCTCTATTATGGCAGGATCATGCAATCCATGTATCACTCTAGGAAGTGGACATCAACGGAATGGTCATTGCTCGTGCTTCGGTCATTGGAAGCTGATGCTTGAAAATGCACTGATATCATAAATGCATTCACAATGGCTACTACATACCTTGAAATATCATCTAGCCATGTAGATGTTTCTCGGACAGCATTTTTGTATCTGCTTTAACAATATGTAGGTATCGATCAAAATTCCCGGCAAGTGGTCCTGCATGTACAATTACTGACCCAAGGCTGAACCTGGAGGCAGCAAGATCTAGAATTGAAAATTTCCCTTCTTCACCATGACCTTGGAAACAGTGACTGTCCAGTCTCAAAGTCCATTGTCCATAGACGAAATTATTCGACGAACAATTACCTAACAGTGGGGACTCCGTGCAAGAAGGCAGTTACATCCTTCCACCTTTCTCGTTTCAACGAAAAGACAGACAGGCGCGACTTCCCATTGAATAGGCCTGTTCCAAATCTTCTCCCACCAAAAACATTTGAGGTCAAACAGAAAATTTCTCCTCGTCCCAAAACTACTCTGTCCCTCCCCCAAACTCTTCAACCTCCTACCACCAAATCACTCTCTTCCTTTCCTGCCCTTGATACTGGCAACAGCATCATCAGCATTATACCTCAGACCACCTACACTCCACCTGCCCGTTCCCACATAGGCTTGTTCGAAGGCCAGATCAACTGCTTGCCAACAGCCAAAATCGTAAGTTCTCATTTTCCTTGTTTCTTGACATGATCCTCACATGCTATGTTACTTGCATCGAACATGATCTAGCCCTGAGATGATACGCATATTCCCCCCTCCATGAAGAGACATCTCAATCCGCAGACAAAATCTCCCATTTTTGAGCATTCCTTCCACTTGGTTGCTTTGTACAGACACTCCAATCTTCACACTCCAACTATGATCAATTGTGGGCGTACATTCACTGTATGACGCCCATGCTACCGATCCAAGGACTACCATGAGAACCCTCCCAACTTTGCATTGAGGTCGAGGCTTTTCAAAGTCTCTAGGGTAAAAACCAATATCACCTGGTTGTACGGCATTGTATAAGGTTCTGACACACCACCGTCATTTTCCCAAACCGAACACTCCAGCGCTCTTGTTTCGAGGTTCTCCATCATTCAACCCGACCCCTTCGATCACACTTGCCTGTTTTCTTCTTGAAACTTTTCTTTACTGCAAATTTGGCTTGTCACGCCTGGAGAGAAGTCTGCGTCCAAATTTGGTTGTCATATCTCCAACTTCAAACCCATGTTAATCACGTCGATTCAATCCAATATTGATCGCTCGTTACATGACCCCCAACATACTTTTACAAGATTTCTCCTTCATTTACTGTTTGGCATTGTTGCCTAACCGCTCGAGCAGTTTTCTCTGTCAACTTGGATCTCTCCAACTACCAGTCCTCGATTCAACGATAACGGAGCGTCGGCCCGCCAATACCAACGTGCACAAGTAACCACCACGCCATACTCAATCGCACCACACATATTGTTCCAAGGCCAGCTACATCGTTGCCCTCTTACCTGAATTGGTTGGAGTGCAGTGAGACAGTTTTTCAACTTGCCTGAGACCGATCAACTGCATCTCTTCAACTTCTGACTTGTCAGAGATCTTGATTTGGTTTCTTTCAAGTCTTGGTTCTCCAACAGTCCGCTCTTCCACAAACCAATCAATCTTCGCACGATCAGAGACATAGTGTGAATCTAAGCTCTTCGATATTTTGAAAGCCTAATCTCGTCATCAACATCACCTGAATCATCTCGCACCACCGGCGACTATCTTTCTTCTCGGTCTGTGCCATCACTGATCGATTCAGCAACAGGCAACTACCATCAGCTGTTGCCATTGCATCAGAGAAAACATCCTCTTGGGACCTTTGACCTGGATATTCGTACCTTCTCTGCTGACTTCTTTTATAGAAGGTGCACAGCCCGCCCATTTCTCATCAAAGAGAGGCGCACTTGCCATAAGATCAAATCTAATTGACAACTTGGACATATTCATTAGTCACTGCAGCCATTGCTATCGGCCAAAAGATAGACCAAGCGAACCAGAGACACTCTCATCATGTCCATCCCGCAGGGTCGAGACGGGGTGTTCAACCCGACGTCTCCCCATTCATCCTTGGGACTAGCAGACTCTTTCCGAGGCACTCCCGACACTCGTCTCACAGCATTCTCACCAGAGGAGAACTCGGTCAAATCCTTGCGTGCACCTCACTCTGCCGGAAGTGGCGCTCGAGAGTCAGAACCCGTCAAGTTCCGCTTTGGAACCCCTCAATCGCTCAACTTGCCTCTACGTGAGCCTCGCTTCTCCCGCGACAACCAGATTGAGAGAGACCCGTTTGTCAGCTTCGGTACGCAGGGTATCGTCACCAACTGGAAGCTGTCTCCTACAGCTTCAAGCTTTGACCCTTCATCCACAATTCTCAGCACTCGAGCAAGCGACCCCGAGTTCACATACGCCAAAGATGCGACGAGTGAGACAGCCAAGTCCGCAGAGAAATCTTCTGTGAACAAGCATGTCGACGTTTTTGTTCACAAGGAACTAAGTACGGATCTCGGCCTGTCTCGATGCGTCAAGCTTGTGCCTATTGTTGATGGCTCCCGTATCCAGCTTTCAGATGTGGAGCATTACATCTCGGTATGAACCATGTTCTGAAAAAGTCTCTCGCATAGGTGATGCTAATACTTACCAGAGTCTTGGAAACTGTGGTCTGCATTTGAAGAGCAGCAAACAGATGCACAGTGCTGGCGATAAGGTCTATGTCCGATTCCCTAACATTCGCGATGCTTGCCTTTTTTACCAGAACGCACAGCTGGGAGGACGTGACTGGATGATCAATTATGTCCATCCTCGCGAGTTCTCTCAAGTATGTAGAACCTCAAGCACCAGGGTTCAATCACTAATTGTCATTCAGACTATTGAGCTCACATCTGGCTTGATCACAGCTCACGAAGGTCAACTGACTCTAGCTGTCTTTGCACCGCCTTCTTTACAGGGTGTCGATGCGACCCGGTTCGTCAACTTCATGCAGGAAGTTCTGAGAGAGCAGGGTGACCTTTTTGCTTTCAAGGTCAATTCGCAAGGTGTCGAAGGTAGCATCATGTCTGCCATTGTCGAGTACTGTGACAACGACGTCTCGTTGCGAGCTACTTCTGCACTGAATGGTCAGGTGGTCAAGGTAGGTCCCATGGTCTGTATTTGGCTTGAACAAGTTGCTAATACTTCACAGGGATTCCAGATTTGCATCGCACTTCATCGCCCTGATATTCCTTCCATGTCGACTCGATCTCATGACATCATGACTCCCTCGAGAACCGCAGATACATCCCTTGACAACGTTCTGAGTGGTTTCCAGAATCTCTCACTCACAACCCGACCCTCTTCCTCAGCCTCATCCATGCAACCGGGGTTCCTCACTACGCCTACTCGGTCGCCTTCGGCCACTGGCTACCAGATGCAGCCAGCGTTTGGTATGGCCCCTGTCGTCTACCATGGCATGCCGTTGAGTCCGCCGTATATCCTCGACCCTGCATCTCCTCGCGTGCACACCATGATCCCGGCAAGTAATTATTCATGGGTGGGCCCTCTTTACCCTCAGCAGTCTGCGATGGTGAGTCCAGATGTCTTGGTACCTCGCCAATTTGGCTCTCAGCGAGCCGATTCACGCCGTCAGAATGCCGTCCGAGTGCACCGATCACCATTTCAACATCACAACATCACTGGTCAGCACAACCATGTTGATGTGGACCGTATCCGCGAGGGAATCGATGTTCGAACCACAGTCAGTTATTGTTGTACACTCTCAGGGCAATCTCACGAGCTAATGCTTCCCCAGATCATGTTGCGCAACATCCCCAATAAGGTTGACCAAGCCATGTTGAAGAACATTGTTGACGAGTCTAGCTGGGGCAAGTACGACTTCATGTATCTTCGAATTGACTTCAACAACAATTGCAAGTAGGTTATTGACTCTCATTCGGAAGATACAACTAGACACTGACATTAGTATCAGCGTTGGTTATGCATTCATCAACTTTGTCGATGTAAGTGCAAGGCTCCAACCACTTGACCTGATGACAAGCTGACCGCAATATAGCCGCTCGACATTATAGACGTAAGCTAATGCTCTGGTATACTCGTACTTCAAGTACGTCGAATTGACTTGGCTTCTAGTTCGTCAACAAGCGTGGCAATCAACGATGGAACTGTTTCAAGAGCGACAAAGTGGCAGAGATCTCGTACGCCAGTAAGTTACACTTCCAGAACTTCATGGAGAGCGGCATTGTTACTAATCTCACTCTAGCCATCCAAGGAAAGGACTGTCTGGTCCAGAAGTTCAGGAACAGCTCGGTGATGCTAGAGGTTCCTCAGTACCGACCCAAGGTAGGCCAACCATAATGATTCTTGGGATCTTGACTGTATTCTGACGTATAATCAGCTTTACTATACCATCAATGGACCTATGCCGGAGCTAGCTGGACAGGAGGAGCCGTTCCCAGAGCCGGACAACCAGTCCAAGATGAAGCGAAGCTGTGAGAACGCAGAGCACGTTGGTAGGTCTGATTTTCAGTCTTATGTTTGTCTCATGTCTAACTATCAAAAGGCCTGTTCACGCCTAATGCTGGCCAGCACTACCGGGACGAGCAGAGACGTCGTCGTTCTCAATTTGACCGAGGTACCCGGCTTGCAGCAATGGAGGAGTACGAGTATCCACCTCTTCCCTTGCACTCATACTCTCCTCAGTAAGGATCCCAATCCTTCAGTTCCCGACGACAGACGAGCATTCAAAGACGCACCGGATCTTTCTGAAACTCAAGATACTCTCCGATTACGAGGAGGAGACCATGTTTTCTTCTGCATCTTCCGGCGCATCAGTGCAACATCTGCGGCACATTTCCTTTGTTTCCTGGGCTCTTTTTGGACGACTTACCATGAATCAAACTTTCTGCGTCACCATCGACTCGTTCAGATTGCGAGGTAGGTCAACATTGAAAGTCTTGACGGTAAGTCAATACTTCATATTACGAAAACATGCACCATCAAGCTAACGTTACTTTGTTTACAGTCTTTCATCACTCCCCACTGCGGCATCATAATCAATACGGTCTCTCTTCTTGGCGGACGTTCTTCCGAGATCGTCCCCAGAAAAGAATCGAGTGAACTTCTTTTCTGCAGCATATCCACTTGTTTCTGTTCTGGTCGCTGCTTACCTGATTTTACCACGGGGATCTGCAGTAAGTTCCGATTTCGTTGAACATTCATTCAGAGATAACGGTGACTGACAACATGCTAGATGTGGGAGCCTGGTACCAGGCCTATCGTATCACGATTCCAACCTCAAGCCCGGCCCAACATATCTCTATTTAATGTTAATCTTTCCAAGAAAACGAGGGACCACAAGATCAGTCCTCGACCTTGGCAATATTCGGTCCATTGAGTCTCGTTTCACAAGATGTCACACACATAGATCATTTCTGGTGTCATTAAGGATACTTCACTGTCGACCTTGACAGCCGGGCATTGATGGCAAAAACTTTGGCGACAAGCTTCCACACCTTCACTTGGGTCACATTCTCACAGTACACCTGGACCATTCTCCGTTCAGCAAATGCTGTGGCGAGATCTTTCTACTCCAATCATATTCTGGGTGGCAAAATTTCTGGAGCATTCCGAACTTGTCAAGTATTGAAAGAAGCTTGCTCAGTTATTGCCACCAATTGCTTGGACCAGACGGTATCGTGAGGATTGCACCTTGGTATGTTCGAAGGGTCACTGGACTTGGCATATCAAATCGACTTCTTCAACTTCAAGTCATCGTGGACACGCTTCTTGAGTCAATTTGGTACTTCGCCCACGATTTCCCTCGAGAATTATTTTCATGCATTCGGCGTTGAGTGTCCAACGAAAAAAGTTCGGCATAATACGAGTTCTGGGTTCCAGGGGATACTTCCAGGCCATTCGGCAGTGCAAATCTCGGAAAATAGACTGTCTCAGAATGAGACTTTCAATCTCTCTTTGTCTCTTTTTCTCCTTCTTTCATTTTGCGTTCATGTTTAATAGACTCAAACCACGAATGGGGGAATCATCGGCTTCTGGTGATACTTTTCGGGGCATCATACAATCACAAAAAGTACACATCTTGAGTTCTACGTCTCCGGGATCTTTTTTATTCGTCTTCTTTCAGCCGAGCTAAAGTCAGCTCAAGCAATGTTTGCTGCAATAGACCGTATATAAATAAATCGCTTGTTCTCATAAGCAGATGTGATATGCGAACAGTCCACATGTGAAAAGTGTTTGCGAACGAGAAAAGTAAAGATAAAAGATGTCTTTCAAAGAGATTGAAAGCAGCCTTGGTTTCATTTTGGTCAACTTGGAAACACTCCCTTCCCCACCATGCCTTCGCCGCAAGACTTGCCCATTGTGCTGCCTTGTGTGATGACATTCCAGATTTATAAGAGTGTCGTTTCTGATCCGTGTTCATCCTTGCCATGGTGCGTGTATCCTCCACTGGTGGAATGAGCAGCGGACATGTCGAAACCAAGCGGGCAAGGCAATATCAGTGGCTTTGGCGATGACGAACTTTTCTGCCTGGACTGGTTGAAGTGTCCAAGCTTGGGGCACAGATGCTTAGGAAAACAATCGGTGGAACTGTCAGCCATGTCCATGGCAGCGGTACGCATGGACGACGTGTGATATGGGTCTAGACGACAGGCTCACTGACATTCGGCAGCTCAGCACAAGAATGCGTCACTCTGCCTTTGATCAGGGTTTCCTTGACCATTTATTCATTCAAGCGGGCACCAAAGGGCAGAACCAGGCATATATGACCATTTTATTGTTGTCCTCCAATGTGATATATATTCATTAATCATTACTTCATCACGCTATGGTCGCTATGCATGCTAATCCGATAAAACAAAAAGTGCTGCATCAGTATACATGGTGTGTTTTTGCTTTTGCCAGCAGAGCAATGTATTATGACTCTCAATCAGAGTCTTCGGGGAGTGCGGGCAGAGGCTTAATGCCGGCCGCTGATGACATTGGTATTCTAGTTGTACTGCGAGACTGTAGCTCAGATTCGTCGACCATTTCGTCTGCTTCTAGAGCCGGAGTGGACAGCCGCGAGCTTTGGTCGTTATCGGACAAAGACGGAGTCGTCCCGACTTGCGTGTTCTCAATGTTGCTTTCAATGTTGTCTGCATACTCCTCGTCTTGCCGAGACGAGAAATAATCCGGCTTGGGCGACGAAGGCATTTGGGATGGCTCAGAGTCATATCCGGCATCGAGACTAGCAGGCGTGGGCGGTTGATAGAAAGCCATGCCCGTAGTCTCTGACACGGTCCTCGTTGGCGATGGTCGTCGGGTCTTTGGCACCGCCAGATGATGTTGTGCCGACGGCCGGAGCTCTGAAGTCGGATTGCGACCTACTCTGGGGCGTGGCGGCGTGTTGTTTGTGTCACTATCGCTGACAAGCCCTCTATTCGCAGCTGCGGCATCGGTATCTTCGACGGACTCCCTGACTGAGCTTTGATTATGCTGGGCTGCCCTCCTGCCGCCGGGTGAGAGTGGACTGGCGAAACGGCTGAAGGATTCCTGGAGGTGTGTTGGGTAGTATAATTCAAGGCCGGCATGTGTTATACCACGGCTGAAGATGACTAGCATGATGCATCCCAAGAGTAGTACGCTCTGCACGATGGCCATGCGCTTCTGGAATACCATCTCATCTGCCAGAAGCCCAACACGAGTAGATAGTGCAATATTGTCGTTCTCTTGTTTCTCGCGTTGTGATTCAAGCGCAATGATTGTGCTTTGCCAATGCTGATCGTACTGTGAGCGCAACTCTCTCAATTCTGTCATGACCGTCTTGTTGAGCGAGTCAAGAAACAGGTCCACCTTTAAGGCATGGCGCCGCTCCAGCTTGGCGAGCGCCTCTTGTAAGAATCTGGATTGCGACTCGATATACTGCATTGACAGAGTGGTATTCGTCTCGAGATTTTGTAGACGCTTGGTCACATGTTTAAAGAAGGAATCCTGGACAGTCGGAGATGCCGATCCCGACGAGGAAGTCGCCGTTGCTGTCTTGTTCCGTGGTGTAGTCCCGGTGACGACCTTTGGGGTGGGCGTTTTCGACGAAGGATGTTTTAGTGATGTCGAGGCCGACGGCCTGACTTTATGGGTGACATGTGTGGTAGTAGACTTGCTGGAGGCATCCGAAGATGATTTGCCAGCAATTATCTGGGAACTCTCAGACGTCAAAGTAGGAATCGTCGCATTCGTTGGTGCCGAGGTAACATTGGTGGGTGCAGTGCCTGGGCGTTCGTGTGTTGTGCCCGAAGCCACATGTGCTTGAGTAGTCGTTGTTTCTGTTGCAGTCGTTCCTGAGCTCGACTCTCCATTGATTGGCGAAGATGTAGTTTTGCCGCTTTCTTCGGCAGTGGCTGCAGCCTTTGGCATGGCTGGTGCAGCCTGATGGTCCTGCTCCTTTCCAGGTGATGTCTGTGATGGTTTCGGGGGCTGTTCATCTGGCCCACACGTACTGTCCGGCACAAAACGATAGTGGAAGTAGGAGGGATCCCAATATGACGGATTGACATCACTCTGCAATGTTTCGGTAGTCTTGTTTTCAACCAGGACAGCCTCTTCAACTTCATGGTCGTCGACCACAATTTCGATGGTTTCCACAAGTTCGATTGAATCATCTGGAGTCTCAATGGACTTGGCCAAATCTTCTTCCTCCTCGAGTTCACTTTCCGCATCGTTTAGATCCGTCTCTCTCCAGGAATCCAGCATACGCGTGCCGTGGACTCTGAGTAAAGACAAGGGGCAATAAAACTCCTTGCCATAGTGACTGAGGACTTCTACACGTATATAGCGTGCCCAGATCTGTGGGTGCTCAACCAAGAAGGGCTGGATATCTCTCGAATTTCTCGCAGTGAACTCGCCCAGCACTTTCCACTTATCCAGTTTGACAGGATATCGATCGCTTACGCTGACACGAAACTGACGAACCATGCTGGAGAAGAATTCAAAGTTTGCCAAGACGACGGTATCAACCCGTACATCGTCACTCAACTCGACAATAAAAAACTTGTTCTTGGTGCCGCACTCCATGAGCATGTATGAGTCCTTGTTTTCCACCAGAATGGCCTTGGGGTTCTTGGCCCCCGGGCTGGTCTTGAGAACTGTAGCTCCTGCATCGAACGATGAGTACGAGAATCGTTCCTTGCAAGTCTTGCCAGCATCTTTGCTGCGATATATTTGTATGGGGTTCTCGTCATAGGTTACTTTTTCCACAGCGTCTTCCCTGGGGACCTCTTCTGGGCTAGGCTTGCCAGCCGAGGTGATCTCGGAGATCTTGTCCGAGTAAGCATCAAAATCGAGCGAAATCTCTCCTTCCTCGCCCATGGAGCCAAAGTCCTGGCCAGGAACGTCTCCACGTCCATCGTGCGACTTGCGCGGTCGGTCTTCGAAGGCGTCCTGGCCGGACCTTTTCAGCATCATCTCCTTCCATTCCTCAAAGGACATGAAGGCGCCAGTGCTGAGGTCATTGCCATCGCTGTCGAGCTCGTGCTCCTCGGCGGGAACGGAAGCTGCCGCATCTCCGGCGGTCGCACCTCCGGCGGCTGAAGCAGTTGTCGAGACAATGACATTCGACTCGGAGGACGTTGGGGAGACGGTAGGCGGCGAGGTCAGACATTGCTGAGGAAGCGTATGTGTTATATAATTCACGGTCCTCGATTCGCAGGTCGGTTGGACTGTGGGCGCTGAGAGTCTCGTCTTTGTCGCATCGGCGGTGGTACTGGTAGCAGCAGGGCTCGAGTCGGCATGGGCATCTCGGCCGCCGCTCAGCAAGACGAGGAGCGGAGCGACAGCAAGCCGTGGGTTCCGCAGGAACAACATCACGGTCGCTTTCTGTGTGCCATGCGAAGGGAAAGCTTCTCAATTCCGAGGTATCCAGAATATTGGGTTTTCAGTCGCCTTTGTTCTTGTATTTTTTCGCCTTGGGCCCGTTATTCAATGCAGCAGCAGCAGCAAAAAAAAAAAGTTGGAACTGTCCTGGTTGGTCCTATGTCGATTTGCGAAATCCTTGGAACCCAGCAGCTGAACTACTGTAACTTGCCCGTTTAACCTTAGCAGTAGCGCACCCAGCTGCACTGCTGACGTCGCAGTGCTTTTTTAGTTCTTTTAGTTGACCCTGCAGGTTCTGGCCAGAACTGAAGTGGGCTTAACGCTTCCCTTATTTTTTCCCTTTCTCTGATCTTTGGGGTGGATCTCTGCCTAGCACGACATTTAGCCCCTCCCAAATGGGTCTCCGACTCCCTTGACTCCCTAAATTGGCCAGCTTGAAAAAGCCCAAAGGTGGTTGGTGAGAACCCAACGGTTTAAATAACCATGTACCTGTTACATGATAGATGTCGATTCGAATTTACTTACAAGTTTCAATGATACACGTGTCGTTCAGACCTTTGAGAGTGGCATTGATATAAAGATGGATTACAGAGAATCCTACCCGTTGGGATCTCGGACTACTGGTTAAGCGACTTTGTCTTGGTTCTCAGCACTTGCTGTTCGATATCCCATGGACTTGAACACCGCTCGGCAAGTTCGACACGTGGAGTCAGAGCCAAACATCTGACCCGTCAGCCGTCTTCCTTTTAGGGAGTTAGCACCAACTTGGCCTGGGACAGGGGGGGTTTTGGCGGGTTGAATCATTGAAGGATAGCGTGGCCACCACCCTGTAGTCGATCTGAATATGAACTCCACCGTGCTCCTTTTGGCGGGATTGGCGCCACAGCACACAGTAAGTTTTGTCAAAGCAGGAATTGGGGGGTTTAGGTTTTATTCTTCTCTTAAACGGTCAGCCCACGTCTTCATTTCGTTTATCGGTGCCAATCCTTGAGTATGTAGTACCATATTTGTTTAAATCTCTTGGCACATGTCTCTGTTATCGTATAATTTGGGGGCTATATTCCATATCTAATAGACGACTATAACCATTTGGAGGGCGGGGAGATAAAGACCTAACCTAGGTGACCAACAGAACCCTGTCGTCTTCCGGAACTGCCTGTCCACTGCCTACAGAAGAGTCATACGTGAATTCACGAAAAGTCTCCAATGAGACGAACGTCCTACAGGGCGTTTTTATCCCAACCTTTCCCCCTATTCTTCCATTGAAGATCAGTGAGACGCTGTTTACGATTTAGGTACTTATTAAAGACCCGCCGCAATGACCGACACATGTTTCATCCCCGGATTTCGCATAAAGTTGACATGAGACAGCACAGACACTGACTAAGGGTAGCATCCCTCTATAATATAGAATTCAATGCCCTCATTTGACGCTCTCCATTCTGAATTCTGGCCATGGTGTATCATGAGACGTGCTACCATGCCAACTCCAATTTAAATCATTTCAACGTCGTTCCACGCCATCTATGGCATCTCATGCATTCTGAACATATGGGCGTTCAGACGCTTGCTGCAGGCGATGAAATTCGCCATGTAACAACTACATGCACTAACTGTCGCGAAAATCAGAATAAAGACCCTCCTTTTCCGCAATACGTAACCATCTGGAAGTTGGTGATGGATTTTCCCAGTCCGAGTGTTCTCGTACCCCCCAAGAAGAATGGAAAACATTGTGCATTGTCTGCTGTAACTGGGCCACAATGTCTGGTTATTACTCGAATGGCTTTGTGGAATGTATATATATGTGCCTATAACTTGGCTCGTCCGCTACTCAGCTCCAGCTCAGCTACCAAGGTTCCCTCGGCAACGTCCTCTCCATCTTCTGCTTCCGTGAGCCATGTGACCCGTCCGTGACTCGGGCTTCTTATATCCAACTCCATCTTCATCTGCTGGATCACCGCAATCACATCGCCTTGCCGTACCTCGTCCCCTTCATCTACGAGAACCTCGACGAGGCGTCCGGGAAAGGGTATTACGACGTGACGTGGATCTGATGCGACACCCTTGCGGTGCTTGCTGCCAGAGAGCGTCGATGAAGAGGAAGCCTGCGTGCTCGTCAGGGTGAGACCAAATGCTTGGGCCTCTGGGTACGAGGGCGAGCTATAGGAGATGTCCGCGGCGAGTAGAGATGGAAACTCGTTTCTTAGCACCCGGTCGAATTTCAAGTGGTGCGTGGCAGACTGATCATTGCCTCCAGACGAGCCAGATTTTGGTGTCAACTCAATTTTCCAAGCATCACCTTTGCGAAACAAGACTGTGGAAGACGACATGCCACCAAGGCTTGTCCCGCTGGTTTCCAAAGTCGAGTTGATACTGTCAAAGACCCCAGAAGTGTCTGCGGTTGCTGTGATCTGGCGGCCGGTGCGCAAGAGCTCCGGCATATTTGCCTCCAGCCATTCCGTATCGCAATTACCGCTTTGAAAAGCGGCACTAGCAATGACACCGCGCAACACATCAAGGTTGGTCTTGATACCCGAAATACGGACATCCTCCAGGGCCCGACGAGCTTTTCGTAAAACAGCGTCCCAAGTTCCAGCGGAAACGATGATTTTGGCAATCAAGGAATCAAAGTCACTTGTGATCACCGAAGGATGGCCACCGATCAAAGATGTATCGACGCGTATCCCATTTCCTGAGGGGAAATGAAAATTTGGTATCTTGCCCACACTCAGCGACCAGCCCGCGTCGACATTTTCAGCTGTAACCCGCAGTTGGATCGCATGTCTTCTGGGTGGCGACTCTCCCGCTGTAGGGGCTGGTAGGGGAAATCCAACGTCGGGATCATCCAGGCGAGCTCCCTGAGCGATACGCAGTTGGGTCTGCACAATATCCACATCCGTGATTGCTTCTGTGATTGTATGCTCAACCTGAAGTCTCGGATTAATCTCAAGAAAGAAGAACTCTCCTGTTTTGGGGTTTGCCAGAAATTCAAATGTTCCCAAAGAAAGATATCGTATCCTTGCCGCCATCTTCAATGCTGCTTCAATGATGCGACTGACCAGAGTTCTGTCAGTGACTGTGCTCGGGGCAATCTCGACAATTTTCTGATAGCGTCGTTGAATACTGCACTCGCGCTCCCAGAGATGTCTCACCGACCCCGTGCCATCGCCAATGATCTGAATCTCAACGTGTCTGAAGCCATCAACGGCGGCGCGCTCGACAAAAACCTGCTTTGAAGGCGACTCGGCCATGGCGAGCCTGGCAAGCCGGTGCAAGTCGTCGGCATGGCGCACAATCCGAATGCCGCGTCCGCCACCCCCGTCGACGGCCTTGAGCATCACGGGCACGGAGGAGCCCAAGCGCTGCATAAAGGCTCTCGCCCCCTCCAATTCGACCGGCCGGTCTGTGGCCTCCAGCACGGGCACGCCCGCCTCTCTGGCCAAGGCCTTGGCGGCCAGCTTGTCGCCCGTCCTCTCCAGGATCCGCCAGCCGGGGCCGACCACGTGGATGCCGGCCTCTTCCCACATGCGCCGACTGAAATCGGCGTCTTCGCTGAGGAAGCCATAGCCGGGATGTACAGCGTCGACATGCTGTTCCTTGGCGATCCGGACGAGCTCTGCAATGTTCAGATACGAGGCCGGCGACGACAGTTGTACTGACCGAGTCGAGTTGAATGTGTGGTTCAGATCTGATGGGGTATATATCGTGACCGTCTCTATTCTGAGCTCGCGGGCGGCGGACACTATGCGCGTTGCTATCTCGCCCCGGTTGGCAATCAGCAGACGGGTGATGCGGCGGCCGGGCGGCCCGCCTGCACTCTGGGACATTGTCACTTTCTGCCTTGTTTAAGGACAGAAATTACCATGACTTGGAATATGCCAGTTCCAGAAAATTGATACAGTCAAGAATAATCTGGGGGCTCTCATGAACAATTCAACAAAGCGCTATCAACAGACCGAATGAACCTCGGCATCCACAGTATTGAAGTATGTCGGTTCCACTAGACTGCGGGGGATACTGCTCTCGAGTATATGCCAGGTACCTTACCTATTCCATGCGCATTGGCTCTCTCTCGTTGGAATTAGTACGCACTTGCCACGGATTATCATGAGTAGAGTAAACAGATACACGCAGTCGCTACAAATATATATAATATATCCCTAAGCAGGAATATTTGTGATGATTGAAGTTTGCTCTTTCGGAATCATCAGAGGGATCAACTAGGTAGACAAGGATTTGCCTAGGCATAAATAATACTAATAAATACTTTCAATTGGACGCGGGGATGAGCAGGGGACTTATACCATACTACCCCAATGTCCCCGTACTAAAACATGTACCCTGCCTCAAACATCTCCCTGTCTAAGTACACACTTCCTACGTAACAACACTTGATACTCAAAAAAAAAATCTCAAAGTCTGGATGCCTTGAAGTGTATTGTGAGTATAAACGATCATGGCAGATGATAAAAGAGACACCCGCAGCACACCTGCGACCAAGGCCCAAGACCGCGTAGGCCAGATATCTTCTCACCTCTCGGCCTCGTCGTCTTCCACTGCCACCAGAGGAGACAGTGTCGAGTCGGCGCAAAAAGCCAACAGCTCAAGGCGTCGCCGGAGAAAGTCTGCCGAAAATGGCCCACCGGCAGACTACAGCGACATCCTCTCGCAAATCAGCACCCTGCGCACCATGGCCGCCACTCCGGAGCCCACCCGGCCGGGCTATGCGCGCCAGAAACAGGCAGGCAAACTCTGGGTGCGAGAACGAGTGGAGCAAATGTTTGATCGGGGCAGCGTACGGGAGATTGGCAGCGTGAGCGGCACCGTCGAGTGGCGGACCAAGAAGCGTGACGCTTCCGAGGATGCCAAGGATACCAGCAGCACACGGCCGGATGCCGAGGACCCAGAATCCTTTGTGCCCAGCAACAATGTCCAGGGTCTTGCTCTCGTGGGTGGGAGAAAGGTCTGCTTCACAGCCGACGATTATTCACTGCGGGCGGGCCATGCCGACGGTGCGCTTTGGGAAAAGACTGTATGTGCCATGCCCGAAAAAAAAAAAAAAAAAAAAAGAACGTGTGCGGATGAGACTTACCGGTGCTAATGTCTGGAGATGTAGATATACATGGAAAAGCTCTGTTTTCATCTGCGGATCCCCATTGTAAAGCTTGTCGACGGTTCTTCGGGTGGAGGATCAGTCACCAGCATACGCACAAACGGCTACTCCTATGTCCCTCCGCTCAACTCATTTGACGTGGTTGTCGCACAGCTGAACGCGGGCATTCCGAATCTCGGAGCCGTGCTGGGACCGGCCATTGGTCTCGGAGCGGCTCGCGTGGTATCGTGTCACTTTTCCGTCATGGCCGGAGACATTGGTTCCCTCTTCAACGCAGGGCCCAAGGTTGTCGCCGGGGCGACCTTTGAAGAGGGTCTGAGCCTGCAGGACTTGGGCGGCCCAGACATGCACGTACGCAACGGAACCATTGACAATTATGCTGCCAATGAAAAGGACGCCTTTAGACAGCTCAGGACGGTGCTGTCATACCTGCCCAACAACGGTGCCTCGCTTCCTCCCTGTCTGACCTCGGATGATCCGCGCTCCCGGACGGACGAGTTGCTCAGAAGCATCATTCCCAGGAAGAAGGAGCGCATGTACGACCCGCGCAAGATTATCAGTACGATTGTGGACAAGTCGTCCTTTTTCGAGATTGGAGCCCTTTGGGGCACCACGGCCATTGTGGGTTTGGCGCGACTCGGAGGACAGCCAGTGGGCATCATTGCCAACAATTGCGAGGTGAATGCTGGCGCGTTGGACGCGGCAGGCTCACAAAAGATGGCCAAGCATCTCAAGTTCTGCGATGTGTTTAATCTCCCCGTGGTCCAGTTTGTCGACATTCCGGGTTATGCCATTGGAACGGTCGCGGAAAGGACGGCGACAATGAGACATGGCGTCTCTCTTGTGACTGCCTACTATAGCACAACGATGCCTATTTTCAATGTCATTTTGCGCAAGGTATATGGTGTAGCGGGCGGAGCAATGATGGATGTAAGTATTTCCTCTGTAATCACGTACGGACTGTCTGGGATTGTCTACCCCAAAGTCATGTTTTCAATGTTTTCCAACCTAGAACTGACCGGTCTTCTGTAGTGCCGCGATCCTCGGATGAGAGTGGCCTGGCCGAGTGGCGACTGGGGCTCCTTGCCGTTGGACGGAGGGATAGAGGTCGGCCACAGCGCAGAACTCAAGCGGGCATACCAAAAAGGTGTACAGGAAGGTGGCGAGGAAGAGGGAAATAGGCAGAAGCAAGCGCTCTACAATGACCTCGAGCGCGAATATAGGCGATTCATGAATCCGGTTCGAACCGCCAACGCCTTTGGAATCGAGGAGATTATTGACCCGGCCAACACTCGCCCGCTACTTTGTCAATGGGTCAGCCATGTGTACGAGGAGCTGTTGCCCATTAGGCTCAGGGAAAGGGACACTGGGAAGATATGCCCAAGGTTCTCGTAAAGTCGTATTCTGTATTATAGAGAAATAATCACTGTCAATAAATAGCACATACTCGAAATTATCCGACAAAGACCGAATGACGATTCATCTGTGAATATACCTAGGTAGTCATTCTCGGGCTAATCAAATGTGATGCAAAGTCAATTTTCTATCGCAGCACATGGGTTGTATCCTTTGTGGGTGATGTTGAAAGGGAGAAAGTATATTGGAGTTATGGAGGTGAGCCAATGCTGGAACAACAAGATTCATCATTTATCATTCTATTCAATAACTTCTGGGCAACTGTAAAACCTTCTCACTGATATAATTCATAATCATCTCGCGACTGACGGGCGCAATACGCGGCACCAAACACTCGCGCAGATACCTCTCCACGTCGTACTCCATGGCATAGCCCATACCGCCGTGCGTCATGACGGCGCGCTCGCACGCCGTAAACGCCGCCTCGGCCGCCAGGTACTTTGCGCTGTTGGCCGCGACCCCGACGGCGTCCTGCCGGATCGTCTTGTCGGACCGGCTGCTGTCGTAGAGCCGCGCCGCGTGGTACGTGGCCAGCTTGGCCGCCTCGAGCTTCATGTAGGCGTCGGCCAGGGGGTGCGCAATGGACTGGTTCATGCCAATGGGACGCTGGAACACGACGCGCTCGCGGGCGTAGGCGGCGGCCTTGGCCAGGGCGGCGTAGCCCAGCCCCAGGGCCTCGCCGGCCAGCAGGCAGCGCTCGGCGTTCATGCCGTGCAGGATGATCTTGAAGCCCTGGTTCTCGGCCCCAATGAGCGTCTCGGGCCCGATGCGGTAGCCGTCGAAAAAGACCTCGTTGGCGTCCACGGCGCGGCCGCCCATCTTTTTGATCTTGCGCATGTCCAACCCGGCGGCGTCCCGGTCGAGGTCGATGCAAAAGAGCGACAGGCCCTCGCTCGGCTTCTGGACTTCTTCGAGTGGCGTGGTCCGCGCCAGCAGCATCATCTTCCGGGCGACCTGGGCGCAGGTGATCCAAATCTTTTGGCCAGTGACGCTGTATCCACCGTCGCCGAGCTTGGTGGCCGTGGTCTTGAGGCGCAACGTGTCGAGACCCGTATTGGGCTCGGTGACGCCAAAGCACGTTCGCCATTTCCCCGAGATGATGTTGGGAATGGTGTTTTCGAGCTGCTCACGGTTGCCAAAGCGGGCGAGTGGCTGGGTGGCGTACACGTTGGCATGTATACTCTGGGCACCCGCCATGCCAGCCCCGGACTCGGTGATGGTCTGCATCATCATGGTGGCCTCGGAGATGCCCAGCCCAGACCCGCCGTGCTCCTCTGGCAGCGCAATGCCCAGCCAGCCATCCTTGGCCAGCGCCGCATGGAACTCTTTGGGGTCTTGTTCCAGCTGGTCTTTTTCCTGCCAATATGTGTTGGGAAACTGCGAGCAAATGGCCGACACGGCCTCCCGGACAGTCAACTGATTCTCAGTGAAGCCGGTGGTCTCCATGATGCGCCGCGACGTGGTTGTAGAAAAGCCATGGCTGTGGATTATCTTGGGCCTGAGTGCAGCTGTAATAGCGGATTTGCATGGCGAGAGCCATTGTGCCATGGGGCGTGCCGAGATCATTTCTCTTCTTGAATGACGTTGGGCTCGACGTACGGAATAGAAGCAAACACTTCAATTGAAGCTCGGGAAATTAAAATAGTACCAGCATGCCGTTGGCCTACGAGTAACTGGGATCAACCATTTTGTGCCTCTATCGACTTCTCTCGGCGACTAATACAACAGACCTCGGGATCCATCGCCGAGCAACGGCTAGGGGAATTATGCGGGGATAAGGGCCGGGTTGGACATCGAGACGTCACCAACACCGCAAATTGACTGAAGGTTTTCTCTACGAGAATGTCGGCAGCATTCGGGGATTATTGTCAGCGCTATGTATTGTTTAAGCCATTAGTTTTGCTATCAATCATCCGAATTCGGAGTATTTTATTCTTTATGAATCCCAAGAATACCCGTAGTGATGAGAATAGAATTCGAGTACTACTACAACTGATCATAATTGATTTCTCCGCAGTGGGACGAATTTACCCCACACTCAAAGAACCGGGGGTGGATACATACTAGGTACTCTCTTTTTAGCTCCCGTTGAGCAGTGGCGGGCCCCCCAGCAACCCCCAGATCTATAAGCCATTAGGTAGTACGTAGCTGGGGAGAGACGCGAAGTGCCTCGGCTTCTGGGTTCCGGTCCGGCGGTCATGTTTTTCTCTTTTCGATAAATTACGGAAGACTAGACATTGAGAAACGTGTTTGTGAATTCCAAGTATAAATTGAAAGACGGAGAAAAAGAGCCTTGGCATTCGAAATAATACAGGCACCGTTTGTGTCCTGATATTTAGTGCTTGACTATTTTCACGGTCCATCACTATGGGTGCTCGCCATCTGAGGAGCACCAGCTTTGCTAGCAGGTATCTGATCAGCACCCAAGCTGTATCATTGCAGCGCACACGCAGACCCGGCTTCTTCATGGGTCGCCCACAGAACCCAGCTTGGTCTGCTCTGAGCAATGGCTGCTCGAGACTGACCATGCTCGCAAGACACTTGGCCACAAGTTCTCAACAGAAACAGACTGATGATGATGAACTGCCTTTGAAAGGAATTCTCGTAGTCAGTCTCGAGCAAGCCATAGCCGCCCCGTTCTGCACACGGCAGTTGGCAGACCTCGGCGCCCGCGTTATCAAGGTTGAGCGACCGGTAGTGGGGGACTTTGCCCGAGATTACGACTCGAGAGTCAATGGCATGTCCTCGCACTTTGTCTGGTCGAACAGGTCCAAGGAAAGCCTGGCGCTCAATCTAAAGGACCCAAAGGATCTGTCGGCCCTCCGGAAATTGATCGCAAAGGCCGACGTTTTGGTGCAGAACCTGGCGCCGGGCGCGACAGACCGTCTAGGATTGTCCTATGAAAAACTACGAGAAAAGCACCCTTCGCTCATCGTGTGCGACGTGTCAGGCTATGGCGACAGCGGGCCGTACCGTGACAAGAAGGCGTACGATCTTCTAGTCCAGAGCGAGGCTGGTATGCTATCCGTCACGGGTACGGACCAGGAGCCGGCAAAGGTCGGCATCTCCATTGCTGATATTTCCGCTGCCATGTATGCGTACACCAACATACTGGGAGCGCTCATGAAGCGCAACAAGACGGGCAAAGGCTGCCGGATCGACATATCCATGCTCGAGAGCATGGCCGAGTGGATGACCTTTCCGCTTTACTACACATATCAAGGCCAGCCGGGTCCCAAGCCTGTTGGTGCTTCTCATGCGGCAATCTATCCATACGGGCCCTTTGACACGGGTGGAAGGGGTTCTGTGATGCTGGGGGTTCAGAACGAAAGGGAATGGGCTCGACTATGTGCCGAGGTCCTAGACGACCCGACGCTTGCAACCGACGTGCGATTTGCAAGCAATCTCAAGCGGGTCGAGAACCGCGACGCGCTCAAGAAAATTATGCTGGACAAGTTTGCCAGCCTCTCGGCGGATGAGGTGATTGCGCGACTGGACGCCGCCGGCGTGGCCAATGCCAAGGTCAACGACATGGCTGGGGTCTGGGAGCACCCACAACTCAAGGCTCGAGGGAGATGGACCGAGATTGAGACGCCAGCCGGCCGAATACCGGCCCTGCTTCCACCGGGTGCGGCTCGGCCTTCGCAGGTCCGCATGGATCAAGTGCCGTCTATCGGCCAGCACAACCGGGCTATTCTGCAAGAACTAGGCATAGATAATTCAAATTGAGGCAAACTAGAGCTATAAGATTGGGAAACTATTCGCACATTGCAAAACTCACAAAGCCAAAGCCTAATAGAATAAAGTACGCGTCTGCCAAGCTCAAGCGAGTGAGTCCAGTGGCCTCGGTCTCAAAGGCATGGGGCGACTGTTATGAGAGCCGTTGGGCTCACCTATCCGCATTGGGTAGGTATAGACACCTCATCTAGCACCGATGAACCTTTTTCTTTTACCCCGCGTTATCATTATACATACTTTGTTAGCATCCCTTTCCCCGTTCTTCCCCGTGGGGGGCGAGTGTCTTGTCTGGCCCGAAATTTCTAATGGCTTCGTTGGAGAAAGGTATTTGCAGAAGGAAAGAACCGGGCCCCTGGTTGCGGGATAAAGTTATCAGTTCTTCGGACAATAGGTAGCGAGGTGGGTGAGTAATCAATCAGCTGGAGCAATAGAAATACATTTTGTAGAGGTCATCACCCTAACATTTCAAACTGCCTACTTGCAATCGAATTCTCCTTCATGATTGACAACTGTATCGAGGAATCTGAGTCGAATAAAATTTCCTTGTATAATTTGAATCAGTCGGCGTTCTTTTAGTTGCATGCTGCTACATTGAATCAAAAGCCATGGCGAGTTCGACCCAAGAAAGTGCCGAGAAGGAGATCAATGCTACAAAAGCAGATGCCAACCATCTAGAAGAAGCTGGGACATCACAAGACGTTGACTTGAAGAGCATTGATAGGAAGATTGATCGAAAGTTTGACTTGCACATCGTTCCTTGGGTTTTTGGTATCTGGTGAGTAGTGAACTCTACATCTGCTTGTCTCTATAGTCATAGACTCACCCGCCCTGACAGGCTCTTTGCCTTTATCGATCGAAGCAACATTGGCAATGCGCGTATTGATGGTCTGGTCGAGGATCTGGGGATAGCACAAGGAACGGGTTATAATCTGGCCCTTTTGGTGTTTTACATTCCGTACATTCTCGTCGATGTTCCGGTAAGCTAGCCGCCGAGCACGGTGTCACTTGGTTCTCTCTTGCCCGCTCGGCCGCGCTTCCAAATACTTGTTGGCTCACAGGCCGTCGTCGTACAGAGCAATTGGATCGTCAAGCGTCTCAAAGCAGGCTACTATCTACCCGCTCTCATCACGGCATGGGGTATAGTCTCGACGTTCCTGGGCTTTACAAAGTCACTGGCCGGTCTCATTGTCGCAAGGCTGTTCCTCGGCGCCTTTGAGGGTGGCTTGCTCGGCGGCATCGTCGTCTACCTCGCCATGTTTTACCAGCGTCACCAGATGCTACGCCGCATTGGCTACTTTTACTGCGCGGCGCCGCTGTCTGGTGCTTTTGGCGGCCTGCTGGCCACGGGCTTGGCACAAATCAGCTTCAATGGGTATAACCGATGGCCTTGGATCTTCTTCAGTAAGCATAATAGGGGAGCAATTCTTTTTCATGTTCAAGTATTCCGTTTTCTTTTTCCTTTTCAATGAGCTCTGACAGCGCAGCTTAGTCGAGGGAATCATAACGACGCTCTTCGGTATCCTCTGCTTCTTCACCATGCCGCACACGCCCATGGACGCCAAGTTCCTGAGCGACGAGGAGCGCCAGCGGGCCTTGTCACGACTTCAGCTAGATAGCCACGGCGCGGTCAAGAGCGGCGACGTCAATGAGGAGCATTTCGATTGGCATTGGGTGCGAATGGCTTTCAAGGCACCACAGCTGTGGTTTTGCTGCTTCATATGGTTCTTTCTCCTCATTTCCCTTTATGTAAGCTTTTGTTTCCGTGCATTTTCTTTTTCTCTTCCCTCTTCATGGAGCTGATCTTGCGTGCCAGAGCTTTTCCCTCTTCTTGCCTACCATCATCAGAGGCCTTGGCTATCAAAATACCATTGCGCAGCTCTTCACAGTACCACCAAACATGGCCGCCTTTTTCATCGTCGTCGGGGCCTCCTTTCTCTCGGACCATGTCAGAGCCCGCGGCCCGATAATGGCTGTAGGCTGCCTGGTTGCCATTGGGGGATATATAATGCTTCTGGCCGCCAAGCAAAACTCGGTACGCTATGGCGGGACGTTTCTGGTGGCCGTGGGGGTATTTCCCAATTCCGCCATGATCATGGTAATGTGGCTCACTTTGTGTGTTTGATGAATGATAGTGCTGATGCCATGACCAGGGCTGGCTGTCCAACAATCTGGCACCACACTATGTCAGAGCCACTGGAATTGGATTCCTCATTGCGTTTGCCAATTGTTCGGCCTTTGTTGCTACCTTTATATACCTAGAAAAGGATGCGTAAGTTTGGATATCAATTTGGACATTCAATCGCTATATGGACTGTCGAGCTGATATTGGTATAGACCAGACTATATACTCGGTCACTCCGTCTGTATTGGTGCGCTTAGTCTCTGTTTCTTGACAGTCTGTGCACAAATGTTTTACTGCGCCTGGGAGAACAGACAGCGAAAAGAAGGACGCAGAGATGATAGGTTGGTCAATAGCGACGGATCCAGACTTGGCCATCGTCACCCGGAATTTAGGTATATATTGTGATCAATATTCACGTCAAATTTGCTTGTAGTACAGCAAACCTTTGGAATATAATCTTTTGGAAAATTGTGTTAACCCTGATTATCCGATCTTATCAAAAACACAACAATGCTTTAGTTTGAGAGGTTGACCGCCCTTGTCTAGCTATTCATTTCAAGCATAGATGGATTCTAGTTGAGTAGCTCAATCGCAAAGTTTAGACTTGGGACCTCGGAGCTGTTTGCTGGCAAGGTAAAAGTAAAGTTCCAAAACTCAAAGCCACTACGCATGAAATTAGCCACGGAACTGCACTTCAAGGTGATTATATACGGGTTTTCTTTTCTTCAACTTACTGAATAGGGTCGCAGGTACCGCCGGCGAGCCCACAAAAGCTAATAGTAGGCTCCAGGTCCACGGTACCCGACACGGCCGTAATACTGAGATCCTGGATATCCTCGAGCCCCGTGATATCCCGCTTGCCACCGAGGGGGTTGGACTGGACCAGGAAGCTAAAGGCGCTGGACGCGTTGCCGTGCGGCCACGTCAGGTTCAGCGCATTGGGCGCCACCGACGCCGTAAACGCCGCCTCGGTCGCGTACCAGGTGAAGAAGCCGACGGAGCCGTCGCTGCGGAGCCACTGCACGGCGGCCGGCGTCCACTGGGACGAGTCGTAGCGCGGGCCGCCGACGGCGTCCTCGTCAAAGGATTGCCCGCCAATGGTCAGGTTGGCCGACAGCCAGGTGGTGTAGTTGCGGGGATACGTGTCTGTGGGTGGCGAAAAGGCCGCCGTGGTGTACGTGTGCTCGCCTGGGAACGTGACAAAGCTGCTCACGGTCTCGTTTGGCAGGAGGGAGTTGTGGTAGGGCGCGAGCAAGGCGATCAGAGGGGCATACTCGTAGTCGTCGGCATGCGCCATGGCCCACGGCCGGGAGCTCAGCGGACTCTGCGCCCTTCCGACCAGGGTGTCGATCTGTAGAGATACAATGGCGACGTAATTCTTCATGTCATAGCCGTAGGCACGGTCCCACGGCCCAGCCAGGTTCCTCATGTTGGCATTGTAGAGCGCCGCCTCTGTCGCCCAGATTTCCTGGAGAAGACGTTTGCCGTTTTGGCCCATGACTGAGTCGTCTGGTAGGTATTTTGCCCAGAGCGTCAGGGCGTAAATGGACACGCCGGCATACGTTGGGCTGTTGAACTCGGAAAGGGTATTGTTTGGGTTGAACAGATCGAGTATCTCATTTGCGTACATTTCTCCGGCCGCCGTCATGTTGGCGTCGTTGAACTTGCGACCAGTCCAGCCCGAAGCAACGGCGCGCATCAAGGACGGGTTACTATACGATGGGTACAAATTGTCTCCGTCCACGCCGCCCACACGATAGCTGTCGCCTACAGTGTTGTTATACATGCTTTCGAGGATCAAATCTTGAACATCGTCGGGCAGTATGTTACTAAACTCCTCGTAGATGACGATCAACGTAGTGCCAATAAAGCCTCGCCAGTTTGGATCCCAAGAATTATAAATCTATAACCATCAGCCATTTGCCACATTGCACTATCATTGCCATTGGATACGAGAGACACTCACTACAGGCTCATAGGCCGGACTTCCCACAGTGGGTTCCTCTGGATACTTTGTATAATCGCCATACCATTGTGCGCTAACATTTTTGTTTTGGCCTCCGATTATGTTAGTGATAATCTTGATTGCCTCGTCTGCATCGGTGCCCTCATTCCGCTGGAGGAGACCGGCCGCATACCAGATGGAAGATCGTGTCTCGTGCCTGTTGGCGGCGAGCGGGTAGTAGAAATAGTTCAGGTAGCCTGCCGTGGGATCATAGATGTTGTCCAAAAAGTTCATTGACTCGTCAAACAGGTACTTTGCATGACCACTGAGCTCTGCCGCCGTTGCTTGCTCCGTCGCGAGGACGGCGCAAAGCACGGAGAGAGACGTCCTTAACGAGAACAACATCTTTGCCAGTTACAGTCTCGCACACAAAGTCGAGTAAATTAGGTACATCCCGTCGTCTTTTTCTAGTCACGCGAGCCGCATGGTGAGGAAATTACCCCAGATTTATATATCGCCGCCATTTCTGGCCTACACAGGCACGCACGTACCTGTACTGTGTACTCAACAACTACTACCAACTATCATTTCTTTTAGCGAACACTCCAGTCGTCACCTGGCTGCAGGAAGTTGAGCGGTAACGATTTTCCAAGGTTATCAATGAGACGTTACAAGGAGGAAAGATCCACAGACGATAGATCCAATGAAACCTTAAAAGGCGGTTTTACTACATACGGACATGGCGCCCCAAAAGCTGTGAGGGGAAACGACTCTCCCAACCCCATACTGGACTTGCAGCCGGACCGTATCGGGCCATGCGAGGAGCTACTATAGATACCTAGCCAAGTAAACAAATACATACGCACATACTCCGTACATATGTACTAGTTAGTTGATGGACAGTGACTGACTCCTCTTGCGATATGTGGCTGGGCCATTTTATCAACAAAGTGGATAGGAAAGACGATGATCAACAGTGCACGTAGTCCTCTGCGGCATCCCCCCTCCCTGCCGCCTCGCTTAGATACCACTACAGTGTACACAACTTGCAGTTCTAATCGAGATAATTAATTGCTTTCTCCATTGTTACATGAATCCATAGAAATGATAACCATCAATCATGACCATAGTCCCCCACTCCTCTTTACATTTCACTCATGGTAGCTAGCTACACAGGCCACATGCAGTAGGTAGGGCCATTGACAAGCAAGAAACTGTAAATCATCCAAATATAAAAGGAAATTATTGCTATTGATAGTGACACATTGAACGCGATGCTAGAGGCCAACTTTTATTATCATCTACAGCAGACCCAAGACCCAATGCCTTTTAAGAAAAAAAGGCACTGACCGCGTGTAGATATACATCATTTTAACCTTTGAGACGGTCACAACCATACTGCTACTCCCATCGAACGGCTTTACACCTGAAAGAAAAAGAAGAAGCAGCACTGTGATCATGTCGAGTCTGACTGCAAATTATACTATGTAGCTACTCAGTTTTCATTGCTTAACAGCGTCTCTATTAAATACATAATCGCAGAATGTGCCTGCGCAATCATTGTTTAATGCACTCATCTATTTGTAGCGAGCCAAAACCTCAGAAAATGTGCTGCTGCAAACCAAGGCGAGGGAGGCATAGGGTATTTGTCTGGCATCTTTCTCCCTTTTGTTTTTCGGGCTTCGGGCGTTTCTTCCGATACACGTCCCAGTCGTTTCCGCTGAACACCTTTGCCCTATGGTTCCTCCAAATCATACAATTTCCTGAACGCCGAAGAAAAAAGACACTACCACAATTGTTCCAGTAAGCTCTCAGGCCACTGCCAATGTGGGAATCGGAGGCGTCGAAGTGAACTGATGGACGTCCCAATGAATACATGTTCTGAATGGTGCAGGTGATTTTCTTTTGGGACTTGAGAGCTTAATCACGAAAATGCCGTCCAAGAAATCTCAAGCAAATCAGACGACCTTTCCAGAATTATCGCGTTGCATGACGTGGTCCTCGATGGTGCCCATGATGAAGCCCCTATTCTCCTTCACTCTGAGGACCACTCGGACCGCCATTGGCTTGACTTGCGCCATTAGTCACAAGTTTTATCCGCGTTGGAGCCGCAACTGGTTGAGGTGTGCCGGCATTTGTCGTGGGAGCAGCGCTACTCTCCTTCACTGACGGGTCCTCTAGTTCCGCTAGCTCGGGATGGGCACTCAGCACCTGCTGCGCCTTGTCGTTGAAGAATTTCTAAGAACAAGTTAGTCTGCTGTGGGCACACGTCTCGGAAATCACCACCACTTACCTCCATGACATTAGCGTCAGCATACAACAAGCTACCATCATCGTTGTATGTCCGGCAATTGTTGCACATCAATGTGATGTCCTTGCGCATATCGTCAAGGCTGTTGTATTCCTCCTTCTTGATCTTGGCTTGTATCTGATTCATGCAAATCGGGTTCTTGATGAACTGGTAGTAGTCGCCGTAGTCGCGCTTCGAAGGCAGCTTGACAAACGGACCAATGATGAGACGCTTCAGAGGCTCTTCATCGTCGTCATCCTCCTGCTTCTCCTCGGGCTCAGGGTCATCAGCTTCGAGAGCCATGAGCCCATCGTACAAGGACCGTAGAGACCTTTGCAGTACAGCACGAACTTCACCAGGCAGACGTGCGTCGTTGCCATTGACTGCCACTGCCTTGGGGCGTCCGCCTGGTCCGCGGCGTTTCTTGGCAGGTGGCTCGGCATCTTCCTCATCAGCCTTCCGCTTATCGTTCTTGCTGCCAGGCTTGCGGCCACGCTTCTTTGGCGGCGTCTCAACCTCTTCTGTACTTGCGCGACTTGGAGCGGGTGAGTTTGCGTCGGAAGCAGCAACCCCACCGGCACGCTTGACCCTATTGGCCTCTCGTCGATCTTTTCTGGCTTGCTTACGCGCAGCCGCAGCCTCCGGGCTGTCCTCATCATCATCAACGGCCATGAGCCACTGCTCCTCAGTGAGACCATCGTCATACTTGACTCTGGTGCGCTCACGAGCACCACGACCCAGGACCTCCTCTTGAATATCTTCAACAGGATTACCCTCGGACAAGTAGATTTCGGGAAGCTCATTCTCCGCCATCAGTCTCGGGACAGCCTTGTTGCCAGCAACAGTACCATAGATGGGATCTTTTGATCGTTCCTCATCGAGTCTTTGGAAAAGCGCAAGTTCGTCCTCATTTCTCGCCAGGATCATATTGAGTTCCTCGTCATCCATCTCATCCTGCTCGCCAGCCTCGGCCATGTCAGCACTCTCAAGTAGAGTTCGCAGCATAGCGTCACGGTCAGTTTCCGAAGACTTGTTATCGAAACGACCGGCCTGAATGACCTTGCCATCCATGTCAAGCTTGTATCGAGCGCGCTCCAAGATCTTCTCCTCCACGGAGTTCGAGCTGATGAGTCGCAGAATACGAACCTCGTTCTTCTGTCCGATACGATGAGCACGATCCTGGGCTTGCAAGTCCTGGTGAGGATTCCAATCGGAATCGTAGATGATGACGGTGTCGGCGGTCTGGAGGTTCAGACCCAGACCACCAGCGCGAGTAGAGAGCAAGAACATGAAGTACGGTGAGTCAGGTGCGTTGAAGTCCTTGAGCAGGTCAGAACGGTCCTCGGATTTGGTCGTACCATCCAAGCGCATGAACTGAATACCACGGAAACGCAAAAAGTCTTCCATAATGTCCATAATAGCAGTCATTTGGAAGAACATGAGAACTCTGTGACCGCTCGCTTTGTACTTGGGGAGAACGCGGTCCAGAAGCTCGAATTTACCAGCTGTTCTCCACAGGAGGTCATTACTGGTATTCGTGGGGTTCATCTGGTTCTCGACCTCATCGAAGACGAAGGGGTGATTACACAACTTTCGGAGCTGCATAATCATGTTGCTTAGTCCGCGAGCATTAGCCTTGCCGCCCTTGCCGTCGGACACAGCAATCTTCTGGTGCGTAACCATCTGCTTGTACAGACGAGTCTGCAACGCAGAGAACTTGCACTTGATGACCTTTTCTGTCTTGTCAGGCAAGTCTTTCTCGACATCCTTCTTGAGACGTCTCAGCAAGAACGGTCGTAGAACCTTGTGCAGACGCCTAATGACAAGGATCTGTTCTTCTTCATTGAGCTCCATCTTATCTTGACCTCCAGTGTTGGCAAAAGGAGTATTGAACCATTCATCAAACGTCTTGACTGATTTGAAAATGTTTGGCAGGACAAAGTTGAGCATAGCCCACAGTTCACCGAGATTGTTCTGAAGAGGAGTACCAGTGAGAATGAGACGGAAGCGAGTGCTGTAGTACTGAGCAATTGTAGCACTGAGCTTGGAGTTGGCGTTCTTCATACGGTGACCTTCGTCGATAATCATGTGGAACCACTTGATCTTGCTGAGAATAGGTCTGTCCTTGATGATGTACTCGTAGGTTGTGAGCAGAACTTGGAAACGACCCTGACGGATCTTTTCTTGCTGTTGCTTGCGGGCATTGGGTGGACCCTTGTAGACAATCTTGGTAACGGCAGGGGCCCACTTCTCGAACTCAAGAGTCCAATTTGTCAAGGTACTCAGCGGTACAATGACCAGATATGGTCCGTTCTGCAGCTTCTTTTCGATCAAGTAAGTGACCAAAGAAATAGTCTGAATGGTTTTTCCGAGACCCATTTCGTCGGCGAGAATACCGTTGAGGTTGTTGTTGTAGAGCGACAACATCCACTGAAGACCCTTGAGCTGATATTCCTTGAGCGAACCACCCACCAAAATACTGGCTTGCTGGGTAACCTCTTCCTTTATGCGATGAGCAACAGCATAATAGTCGATCTTGCGACCGCTCTCCTCGTCCTCTTCTTCCTCCATTTCGCTCTCACTACTCTCGATCTCCTCGCCGTTCTGCAATTGAGCTGCCTGGCGCTGTTGCGCCTTGACAGAGGCGGCCAACTGCTTCAAGAAGCCATCGGTTTGTCTCAGCAAGTGTGTAATACGTGTATCCTTGGCCTGGTCAAGCAATTTGAGATAAGCTTCCTCGTCGTTTGCCTTAAGAGCCTGCAGACGTTGCTTGGCAGTTCTTTCGATACGCTTCTGCTCTTCCTTCTCAATGTTGAAGTGTTGAGCGAACATGGCACGTCCCATCTTAGACATCTTGCTTCTAGCAGCCTGCGCTGAGTTGTGGATCTCTGCCTTGTGGTGGCGAACGGAGTCGAGGAAATCGGTGTGCTTCTTCTTCTCACGATGCTCTCTTGCGTCGCGCTGCTGCTTCTCCAATTTCTCCGTAATCCGAGCTTCCCGGACACTTTGCTTCTTGACACGTCTGTACTGACTTCGGTTCGTGGTCATGGCCAAGTTGTCAAAATGCATCATTTGGCGTCCAACCTTTTCCCGGAGAGCACGTTGCTTGGCGTAGAGACCGAGGGCCTTGAATTCTATTATGGCTTTCCGTCTGATTGTGTCATCCGCCTCAACTGTGTCCTTTGTTGTGTCCCAGTGGGCCAAGTTACCTGGAACAGCTTTGAGCTCGGTATATCTGGCCTTCATGCGATTGAACACAATGATCTCACGCTCGTGCCTTATTTGCTCAAAGTCGACGCCGGTAGGAGTGATGCTAGGGATGATGAGGCGGTTGCTTCGCTGTCCGTGCTCATAGTAGCTGATGTCCTTCTTAACAAGTCCAGCTTCGTAGGGTGTCTTCACGGTCTTGTAAGTCCGACTGTTGGTGGCAGCAGAATCATCGGACTCGGGGACGCCATCAGGAGCAGCGGAACCGGCTTTGGTGGCATCGTTCGTGGGTGTGGCGGCGACAGAAGCTGGAGGTTGTGCTGATGGCTCAGCAATAGCTTGTCTGCGCTGTCGTTGCGAATTCAGTGCCTGTTGCAATTGATATGGCACACCGGTATTCTTTTGCAAAAGTTTGAATGCGTGGATCTGCTGCTTCAGAAGATTCAGCTGTTGCTGGTTGAACTGGGCAGTGGGCGATGCGGTCGAGGGTGAAGAGGCATGAGGCTGTGCTGCCGGATTCGTTGCGGAAGGCAGAGCAGACGCGCCGAGCGAGGCAGAGGCCGGGGGTTGCGATGTGCCATTAAGCTGCCCGTTGGCGATAACGGCCTGCTTCTGCTGTAGCTGTGCACGGTAGGCATTTTGCATTTGTTGCTGGTGCTGAACACTCTGCAGAAACTGATTAAGCTTCTGAAACTCGGGATCTGTCCGGGAAACGCCTGCTTCTTGCATCTGCTTGAAACGCTGTACAACAATGTCAGTAAGTGGCCTTGTTCAAGCGGCAGTAAGAACCTGGTGGTCATATCCAGTCCGAATGCTTGCAAAAGGCAGAACAGGTAATGACAGGTATGTGATCCGGGGGAAACGAGGATATAGGCTGTCACTGACCATGTACATTTCCTTGATCTGTTGACCATTGAGCTGGGACATGCTTTGAGGAACAGCATGCTGAACCGCGGGGGCAGCCTGAACAGACGCCATATTGATCGCGTCGGGTTCGTTGCTCGATACCACGGGAGGAACCAAATGAGAGGTCCTGGGTTTATTAAAAACTTCTCCGAGAGTTCTGGTTTACAGCGAAGCTTGCATGTCTTGCGACATCTAGCCAATTTATGGTTGAATAGCTATATGTGGGTGCGTATATCCCAAGCGTGGATGATTTGGTTGATGAATGACACGCAAGGCGGATGCCAAAGGGCGACGTGGGCGCGTCGCAAAATTAGTCGCGACAAGAGGGCAGACGATGACTAGGGAGGGGGTGGACAGCGATTGAGGAGATCGCGTTGTGGGGGTTGGCCGGTAATAAGGTCGTAAAAATCGTCGTCGGGGGAAGGGTCGATTGATGCGATTCGGGTTGGTGGTGACAGAGGCGCGAATGTCGAATTGCAACGAGCGGAAAGGTGCGACGTGCCTTTTGGGGCCAGAGAGGAAACAGCTGCACTGCACAGGCAAACTACAGGTGGGGATTGTGCGGATGGGAGCTGGTCGCAGTGCAATGCACACGGGGTGCTTGGGGAATGCCAAAAAGTGGCAGTCGTGGTCCCAAATCGCGCGCAAAGTTGACGTCTGACCTTGTTGCGATGCTTTTCGATGCTTCGCGGTCGGGGTGGGTTGGCGCGGACACGCTGTGTGATGGCTCTGGGCTTGGGGTGGATGGATTCTCAATCTTCTCTCAGCGAGAGGAAGAGGTTTGATTGCTGGCTGCGCTGACACAAACCAGCCGCGACTGAGGGAAAAACTTGGTCCGAGCGCCCCTTCCCTAGGCAGATAGCGCGGGCAGTGCTCCACTGCGGGTCTCGGATTTTCTTGCTGTCCGCGCCAATCAATCACCTGGGCACTCACAGCCCAGCGATCAGATTTGCCATTCTCGTCTCCCTTTGCGCACCGTGCGTTCCATACTCGTTTGCAAGCACGGGCGGCTGTTCGGTATTGTCTACCGGACCGGCTATGAAACCCATCGTAATTCGAGGTTTGGGGTTGGAGCCATAAATATATCTATTATCAAGGCTTTTAATTCAAAAGCCAACTCATCTGATCTGCTTTGACTATAGCGGCTTATCACATGGGCAAATGCAAGCAGAACCAATTCTCTATATATCGAAACGTGCTCGCCGTTGATCCGAAACCAACCAAATACCTAATCTTGATTGACCCGCCTTCCATACCTGGCTTTCTGTGCAACTCGTCATCCAATCGGTCCACAGCCTATGATATGCAGAAGAAAGCTTGGCCCTGATTACCAAGTACGCAGTCTAATATGATCAGTTTGTGAGGGATTGGCTTCTCGGCAATCTAGGTACCATCTGCGTTTTCCAACTCGCTAGCGTGCATGAGAGAGACCCATGCCGTCATGTCCCATCATAAACTGCAATCTAATCACTGAAATCTAGCAAGTCGTGTGTGGCGCTCAGTCTTGGTAGGAACACAGCATAGCCCAATCAGCTAGCTAAATTCAATGCCCTCTCCGTTTCTCACTGGCCCAGAAAAATGACCGCGGTGTCAGACCTTGCCTCGTGGTCTTGGTCAGGCAAAAACTAGACTGCCGTAAATAGATATCGTCCAGAAGCGATGCATTGCGCATTACTGCCGCTGCACTGATGCATGTATTGGTCCTCATAGGATTGATATTAACCATGCCATAGGCAATGCGATCGGGTGCAGCTGGAAAGCAGGCCTGACTTCGATTTTGCAGAGGAATTGTATGATGCCAACCCGGTAGCTATATCTTACGGAAACGGGGGCCCGAGAATACTATACCATGTCTGCACCCCACTTCAGCCTAGGGCAGCAATCGCGATCCGCCTCTCACCTTTTACTTCATCGTTTCACCTTTTTCTTGTCTGGGCCGTCCTCCTCTTCGTCACTCAAGTCGGCATACTGAGTGACGGGCTGTGTAGAGCCGTAGGCCTTGGTGAACATGGGATCTTCTCTGGCAAGCTTTTCGTATTTCAGGAGAGCTTCACGGGGATCCTCATGTAACATTCTGCTCAATGGAATGTTCTCGCTAATGTGCTTCTCGTCGGGTTGGCTGCGCATAAAGGGCGTGATCTGCTGTACCTGTGGTCGGCGAGGGTCCTTGGACCTACCAGTCGCAGTAACACCAGCTTTCCTCGAACCAGGCATGGCACCTGGTGTCACAATAGAGTCTCCAGACAAGCCAAGAGTCTGGTCCATGGTAAACTCAGGGTTGTCGTCAATATGCCTTCTCTTCGGTGCTCGAGACATAACATCAATCGCGCCACGAACCGACATGGCCGGATTATAGAGAACATGTGTTTCCCCGTTGGCCGATCCGGTGACGATTTGGTTGATCTTTGGATGCCAGTCCACCGTTATCAGTTGTGAGCCAGGCGTGATCGGTGTTGTGTACTCTGCTTGCAGATTTCCAGGATTGAGTATGTGCAGGTGGCCAGTAGCAGACCCGGTGAGTATACTTGTGGAGTTTGGAGAGTACTTGATGTTTGTCATTGGGTAATGATCCGACGTCGACGGGTGCTCGACAGAGACAAGCGGTTCCTTGAACTTGCGGGTATCCCACAGCTTGATCGTGTTGTCACCACCGCGAGTCACCACCATTCGGCCGTCTGAGCTGATATCAATCCCACCGGTCCAGGTATTCGGCTTGTGGGCATCCCTGATCTCTGCTGCGGGCCGTGTAAACGGGCCATTGCCGCTCCACATGACCAAACTTCCATCGAGAGCTGCTGAGAGGAGGACATTATTGCCTCCCTGTACGGGTGTGCCCCAGGCGACAGCGGTCATCCGGGTCCTCCCTGCATTGCCTGCAGTCTTGGACTTGTACACGAGAACCTCTTTCTGGCTGCGCTTATTGTTGATATCCCATATACGTAGTGTACTGTCAGTTCCTGCAGTGACGCAAATATTTTTATCGGTGGGATGCCAAGTTCCAGTCGTAATCTCGGAAACATGACCCTTAGTGTTGTGCATGTCTCGAAGATACATGTCTCCCTTGACAAACTCAGTCACAATGTCACCGTCTCGTGACATGATCTTGGCCTGTGGATGTGCTGAAATACAGAGAACCACTCCTCCCGCCAAAGGATTGAACTCGACATGGTGCAAAGGATGCGCCTCGGAACCTGCGGATGATGGCTTTGACTGGTAGGGGTCTATTGATCGAAATGCGCGTATCGTTGTAGGAGTCATGGCGGAGAAGTCGTGCAGTTTGATTGTGCAGTCAATAGATCCGGAAGCCAGTCTGCCGCCGGCCGGGTCTAGCGAGACCGTAGTGACCGCGCGATCATGGGTCTTGATGACCATTTCATGTGACGTCGGGTACTCGTCTTCATCGTCGTCAGAATCATCGGAATCATCGTCGCTGTTGCTTGCGCTATCCGAGCCTGAAGTGGATGTTTTCTGTGCAGTTTGGGCTTCCGTGTGTGCTGGTTTGTCAGACGTTCTCTTGCTGCGATCGAGCTGGGCGGCGATATCTGTCTCCCTCGATTTTTTACCGAAAGATGCTGGAAGAAAGGCGCGCATAGGGTCGTCCTCGGCCAATTCAGGCATTTCAACCTGGATATCCTCTTCGTCGCTCATCTCGACTGGCTGGGACGTTGGAAGGTAGGTGGAACTCAAAGAAGCAGAAGATAATAATGCGGATGGTTACTCGCAATCAGCTGCACCTAGCGAGGCAGAGGAGGGACACAGCGCGACTTGGCTATCGTGCTGCAAGTATGTGTGTAGAAAAAAAAAACACAGGCAGCTAGGTATTATTTTTCCTGGTTATGTCGAGGATATTTTTGCAAGGTTGCGCAGTGATGTCGACCTCCAGACTGCCCGAGCTTTTCAGAGAATTTGACGTCGCAGTTGCCTTGCCAAGCTTGAGACGTGCTGAGAGTTATTACAACGCCAATTCACACTGACGTCGCGCTTGAAGAGGCAAAGGTCATTAGGGGAAAGGCCCCTAAAAATTCAAGAAGCATGGGGATCAACGGCGCTATCAGCAGCTATCCAGCAGAATTATGACGGAACCTCGCAGCAGGTCCACTCCTCGCGTCTTAGGCATATGAAAAGCTCAAGCCACAAAATCTCCATCATCCACTCGCACGTACGGGTTCGACCCACGACACTGGGCGCCGTCCAACCCAAGTACAGCACTCTCAAATCGTTGCTTTGCTGACCCTGCTTTTAAATGTTTTCTACTGTCCACCTGATCGTTGGTTAGATCTCAGATTCATCGATTTCCCCGGCGCTTCCGCTCTTGCGACAAACCTCTACCGAACACACTGTCTCAGCTGCCCCGCGTGCGATTAACTGGCCGTATCTTGAACTGACCCGCGACACATGATTTCGCGAACCTGTTCCGCTACTTCAAGGCGCTCAGCGTCACTGCCCATGCCTTGACGGCATCAGTGGGAATCCGTGCTGCTCGCGAGCATCGCAAACCTGTCAAAGCGCAACAGATCACAACGATATATTCTGTGCTGCGCCGCTATTGCTTACGACCCCGACACCTGAGCTTTCCTGCAGCTCGTCAACGTTAAAATGCCGGTAATCCCGGATTTCGAGAACCTGGATCCGGGTTGGACCCTAGTCGCCGGCGACAGGAAGGAAGACAGGAGCAATCTGGGGGAATGGAGTTCACTGATCGGCATAATCACGGCTATTGTGGGAAACATCCTCATTGCGCTCGCGCTCAACGTCCAACGATATACGCACTTGCAATTACATAAGAAAAAACTGGAGGCGAGACAACAGGCTAGGGAAGCCGAAAGGAGGTTCCAACACGGGCAGCGCAACAGCAATGGAGGAACAAACTCCCACGCCAGCAATAATACACAAAACAACTCTGCAACAGATGACATCAACGATGCATCGGAAACGCAACCGCTTACCCAATCTTACCAGCCTGGAGACTCGAGCTTGTCTAATGGCGACCGGAGCAGGGAGGCAAAGTCTTCAAACTATCTACAGTCTCCTTCGTGGTGGGCAGGCCAGATACTGATGACCATCGGCGAGATGGGTAACTTTCTTGCCTACGGGTTCGCCCCGGCTTCTATTGTGTCGCCCCTGGGCGTGGTAGCCCTGGTTTCAAACTGTATCATTGCGCCGTTATTCTTTGGGGAAATCTTCCGCAAAAGAGATTTTTGGGGTGTTGTCATTGCTGTCGCAGGCGCCGTCGTTGTCGTGCTGAGCGCAAACCAAGAAGAAACGAAACTGGAACCGCATGATGTTTGGGATGCGATATCGACCCTGGCATTCGAGATATACATGGCAGTCTCCATTTCGCTAATAGTTGTGCTCATGTGGTTGAGTCCAAAGTACGGCAACAGGACTATTCTCATTGACCTCGGTCTTGTTGGTTTATTTGGTGAGTGGTGCGAATACAGCAGATTGATCACGTAACTGACATCGCCGCAGGCGCCTATACTGCGCTCTCGACCAAGGGTGTCTCCTCCATGTTGTCATCGACCCTCTGGAGAGCCTTCACGACACCGGTCACATATGTGCTACTATTGATCCTTCTGGGAACTGCCGTTATGCAAGTGCGCTATGTGAATAAGGCACTCCAGCGATTTGACTCGACGCAGGTTATTCCAATTCAGTTTGTCATGTTCACATTGTCTGTGATCATTGGAAGCGCAGTCCTATACCGTGACTTTGAGCGGACAAATGCCCATCAAGCCATCAAGTTTGTGGGCGGCTGCCTACTTACATTCTTCGCAGTATTCCTGATAACAAGTGGCAGGCCACGGCAGGATAACGATGATGATTGTTTGTCGGACGAAGAGGGTATTGAAGAGACGATCGGCTTATCGGACCAGGAAGCAAACACTGGTGAGGGAGCCAAACCCAACGATGAGAGGCGCCAATCCGTCACGCGGTCTTCACGACGCTCCTCTCGGGTCAGTTTTGCTGCAAGGCCTCAAACTATACAACACGACTCGGGCGTGCCGTCGCCAAGAAAACCAGATGCTGCAGGTGCCCGGGCTCCAATTACTGTGAAGGGAACTCCCACAGAAGCATCTCCATTGCTCACCGGCCCATGGGATCACCACCCGCATCCGGGGTTACCGTCAGCGTTCTCCGATGAGAGTGTCGTGACGATACATTCCATGACCTCAACAAACACGGATCCATTACCAGTCGACACAACTCTGCCTCCTCAAGTTATTGCGCCACCCTCACCATCAGGAAGGCCACGAACTCCTCGGCCGTCCTTTTCCTCGTCTAGACCTCATAGTCATCATCTTTCAAATGCGATCATTTCACCATCACCGCTTTCATCAACTGTGAGCGCTGTTGTCGGCGATGGACTCCTTCGCGACGAGGATGGAGTGCTTATCCACAAGAGATCCATTCGTCGCCTGCGTCCTGGCTTTCGATCGAGCCTCTTTGTCCCGTATAGTGACACTGAAGAGATTCCAGAAGGAGATCCACTGATCCGACCTGCAACTGAAGAACTTCCAGCAGCCGACGGAGAAACTTCTAATCAGGGTAATCAGAGCTTGAGAACTCGAGCTAGGAGTCTAAGCAACACCCTCGGCGGTCTCCTCAGCCGCAAGAGGCACCGTCGTAACACGAATCCTGAAGCTGGACTCAGTCGAAGCCACGAGAGTACCGATGAGGTTGACAGGGCGGACGCACCGCTGAATGGTCGGTGAAAGCATCGACCCCAAGGCATGCATGGCCACATGCAATGAATTCACAAACATCATAGATTTTTCCATACAATGCATTGGATAGGAGTTCACCGGATGCATTTCCCTTCAAACCATGCGACAAACGGCTAGGTTGGGAATGATTCCGTTTTACATAATACCCTCAGGGCGGGTTCCTGTTTACCAGCCAGCCATTTCGCATAACCTGAGTGACTTTACCATCACTTTGAAAATAATGTTATCAATATCGTATCATGAGTGCGTTCTTCTAAGGCACGAGGTGCTCGCTGTGGTGAGAAAGTTTCAGCTTTACGGATAATTCAAACACACAAAGACAAACAAATAGTGTATTCCCGATTTGTTTTGAAAGGGTGGTTATTGGACTGAGATAATAAAAGTCTCCGTGTGAAACCTTGTTCAGCATCCAATGTAATTTTTTAACCCACTATAGGCCTAGGTAAAGCACAAAGACCTTTTCCGAATTACTATCATAGTCCAGGTCTGCATCATCTATGATCCCGACATGTCTTACTGAGATGAACATTAGTGGCACCGTTTCCATTATTTCGAAGTAGAGACTTGGCATCTCAAGTCAGCGGACATTTGTGTTGTATGGAAGAACAGCAAGTCATGGCAAGTGGTTCTCATTGAAGACATTGCATTGAAACTGGATTATATGGCAAGTGGCTGCAAATATCATAATCTTTGGTCCGATCTGCCAATATCTTAGCCACTCAACCTCCTTCAACCTCTGTGATTTAGTAGTACCCGGCGTCTTATAGTGCCCTACCTGCATGGTTGTCATCAGACCAGAGGTGAAGACTGCAGTTCAAGGATCATCGTGGGTGATAAAGGGCCACGAGATGGCATGTTGACACTACAACCATGATTCTCTTCTATGCTTTAAGATTTAAGGGGGTCTGAAAGAACGGATGCTATCAATAGTTTGAGGCTTACAAATCCTGTAGGAAGAAGAATGCCTCCCGCGGTGGATGACACCCCTCACTGGGTAAAAGGTGATTGGGCCATATCTCTAGAAAAACTCAATCCAGTTTTGGCACAAGATCAGACAAAGACTCAAGCTCCTGGTTTGATCAATGATCGACTTACAGTACCAATGGTGGCTTGGTCCTTGTTCAAGGAATAGGTTTTGATGCTGGTCGAGAGTGAGGTGAGCGCAAGCATTGAGACATGTGGCTGGACGAGCATAACGTCTCATTTACGTATCCAAGCAAAGCCCTAGATACCGAGAAGGGAATTCAGAAGGTGGCTGCTTTCCGCCCATTATGCCCGCTGGTACCGAGTTCAGGATAGAAGGATTAATATGAAACCAACTGCATACAATAGAAGCGTCTTGGCTTAGAACGTATCACATCCCCAGCAGTGAGTAGTAAGGCACCGTGGTTTGCATAATCTGGTTGCTACGAATCGCAGAGCGACTTGAGTGACTGAAGTAGAGAGGAATCAAGCTTCTTATCGAAGAATCGTGTCTCCTGTTGGACGAGCTAATGCCCAACTCCCGTCTACGACTGTGACAAGCTCTACATTAATCTACTATGAAATACTCACTACTTGTGTTACCCCTTCAAGGTTGGCGCCGGTCTTTTATGATAGTACCATAACCAATCAATACTTGAATCACCACCTATGAAAATGTTACTTGGCGCAATAGTTCATCTTACTCAACTCGACTAATCGGGGGCATACCTACTAGGGTATTCATGTTGCCGCATGTGCATTTCAGATAACCGCTACAGATATTCCATACTCTGACATTCAACATTTCCATCTGCTGCATTCTGTGACGACCAGAGCCAGACGGCCTGTGTGTCTTGACTTCGAGGCATGTAAACTACAGTTGATAGGTTATGATTCATTCAATACGTAATAGAGCAAACTGCGAGATGGTGTTTTAGTCTCCGAGCGGCTCTATCGACGCCGGCTCAGAATAAGACAGGGACAGTTGGGAATCGATAGATGATAATGTAAGATCGTAGGTATTCTAATTCTCCACGAGCCGGTTGTCTGCAGAGAACGTTTGACTGGACACCTGGTTTCTGGGTACTTATCTATCGTCCCGCCAACACCAAGCACCGCAGTAAAATGGCAGGCCAAGTCGAAAGTCTATTCCTGCACCTATGACGAAACTGTAATAGACAAAGCCAAAAGTCCCACAATGCAGTCATGATTTCTAAAAATAATCTGATTATACAATCACCGCTTCAACCCACTCGTAGTCTCATTGTGCTGGGTGTGTTCGGGGAGTTGAAGTAGCGGAGAAAAAATATGACACCGCCAACCTTGGTATGTGCTCAGACTACTGTGTCACGTTGTCTAGAACCGTCTCTGCAGTGAATATATAATCATGAAATCGGGCAACACCAATGGATAGTCTTCAACACCTTCGGCCCTGTGAACCAAGGATTCTTTATCTGGGTTCTTCTTGTCGGACCCGTTACCAGAAGATTGGGTTCTCCGCAGCACTGCAGGGACACTGTAGATGTCAAGACATCTTGAATGCAATGTACTTCTCAAAGCATTGGCTGGAATATTACATCCATTAGATGGAAAGCAGGGCAAATGCTTGAAATAGAATGTACATTAAAAGTGTACATGGTAGGCCGCCGTGGACCAACAAAGAATCCATACCCTGCATGCAAAAGCGGCAGCACGCTTAAGCGCCGTGCATGTGACTATACTGGTGGGTAGGTATATCCAGGAGCTATCTTGCATATCTACTAGTATTTCTCGACAAGCTCGAGGTTCTTGCCTCACTCCGGCTTGTGTGACGCTTCCCCAATCATGCTACTTCACTTCTGAATGCAAGAATACATCCTTGAATAGGTCACTAACATGGATATACTCCACCTTTATATCCGGAGATGACTCGAAACAGGGCTCCTGAAGCGTGATGGCGCCGCCAGTGTTGGAGCAATCATGGTTATCATATGGTTCAGTTTAGTTTAGGTTTTTTTTTTCTTTTTTTTTCTTTTCCCATGGTAGCTCTGCCGGTTGCTTCAACCGTACAGCCGCTATGAGATCCCGCGACAACCCCCCACAAGGCCGGAGCCTGTGACTTTCAAATACCCTAACGATCGAGACCCAGAAGCATGATATGATCTGATTGACAGTCCCGAGCCCCCTGCGGGACGCTGCAATGGAATGGAGTCAATGTGGAAAGTGTTACTGGTACACGTGCCTTGCTAGAGCCGTTATTTTTATGCTAGTCATTCTTCGGACTATACTCTGTATCGTGCCATCCATGGATTGCAAATAGCCCGCTCCCAAGGCAAAAAAATCATTGCCATCCTTGTTGCTCTTGGCCTTTCCGAGCATCATCGGATCATCTTGCAGCACGATTCAGAATGACAACCAATGATACAACTGACCAAATAAGCTATTTCAAGATGAAAGGAATTGTTATGCTAACGATTGTATCAGCAATTTACAAACGTGTGGTCTTTGCTCAAGGCTGATCCACCTGAAGGATCTGGCCCAGTATCAGGCGAATATAGCCCCTCTCAGCAAGGAAGAGTTACTACAACAGCCATTCAAGCTCCACTCATGAGCACTATTGGTCGTGTACCCCTTTCGTATTGTGATGGTCTTTCTTCCCCCTTTATTTCTGGAGGATCAAAAGATGTAGCTTGTGAGCATTACGCGTAGCGACCATGAACTTCTTTCTGGGGCCCGGCTAGAGGAGAAATGTTGCTACTCTTGTCCTGGCACCATTCATAGACACAAATGTTGATAGTTTGGAGTATAAAATCCAGTCAGCCTTATGTGACTAGTTGACCTTGATTCGCCAAGTTGGGTCTCCATTTGTCATATCTCAAACATTGCCGTATGTATTTCCCAACTAGCCAGCGGAAGCGTCAAGCGTTACAGTCAGCACTTAAATTCTGGAGTCTTGACCAGTGGAGACCGGTAACAAGACGGCAGTCTCTCAGCCCTACACATTTAGTGCAAGCAATTGGGGGTCTACGATAGCATCTTCGAGCATGGGTGATATCCAACTCGGCTACCTCTACTCAGCTTGACCGCATTTGATGAGACGGAACTCGAGGCCTTGATATGATGGTCGTGGTGCGCCCGGGCCGTGTCCATCTTGCATAACGACTTCAGCCATAACTGTCCCGACTGATTGGAGACGGGAAATGACTAGATCCTTCTCTGACACTCAGCTGTTGGATCTTGCCTTGGCCTTGGCAACCGAAGCCTTCCTTCACCCACGCCACGTACTTCCCGGGCCAGGACAGCTGGGCTGATCCATAATCCCTGTTGTTCAAAGTGATGCAGGCGATTGAGGTGGTGCTGTGCCGAGTGAATGGCCGTACTCTGAAATCACGGCACAGAGTGATGCTAGAAGCCGCAGATTATGTCCCAATGGATTGTCTGGGATACTCGACACATTATTCATACCGCTCCATGCGATAATCTTGACAAAATTACTTGATGCTCAGAAGAAAATAAAGTTCAGAAAGTTTCCAAACCCCATTTCAACCAATACCAGAATGGTCCTTTCGAACGACCCTTGCCTGCTACCTGAGTCCCTGGACGCAATCACTTCTATCTGCCACAGCAACATTATGACACGATGACCGAAATGTAACCCAATCCCGCTCTTTGGGGGGAGATCGTACGTGTACATAGTAGAAGCATGGGGGATCAATAGAAAGAGGCGTTCCCACGTGTCGGCGGTGCGACCCTGGCTAAAGATAGACTGCTTACACAGATTCTTACAAAGTTATTTACCACCCACCATTACCTGTTAGTCTGTGACATGAACCCCCCTGCACGGGTCTTTTCTCCTCCGTTATGGACTCTGACTGGTTGTTCTCTATCTCCCCGCCTTTGATGATTGCAACTTTGACGAAGGAATTACTCACAGGGAGGTGATTTGCGGGGCGGTAGTGATGAGCCGTATGTAGGTACTATGTACTGTGTAGGTCACCACCCCCTCTTCCCAAATCATCGATACAGGTAGCCACTTGGCAAAGTAGGTCTGTAGCAAAGTCCACAGATGCATGAGCCGATTGCCATTTTCGAAACTGGCGGTCCGAGAGAGGGCGGACAAGTTTCTTGTGGAGTACCTAGATACATCTATTCCGTCGAATGTTCTGCCACACTCAACTGATTTTAGTCCTTTGATCCACTCGACATCAACTTTTTCCCGCTTCGCTGGTAGAGGAGATCAAGAGAAGCAGAAGAGGCATAGAAAGTAAACAACAGGGTATAGCTAATAATGAAACCGAGGTAAATAGCCCATGATAACGACAGCAAGAATAGACACTAGGGTACCTATTAAGCAATTGCCAGTCCTTGATACCGTATCCACAAGATCACGATGAATGCAATGAAATGCATGGCCGTTTGCCTGAGAAGGGTAATTCCGTAGCAGGTCTAGACACCTTTGGGTAACTCCATACCTACCTAGCTAATCTGCACAGGGAATCTAATCCTAGCCAAGCTAGCGGAACTTTTGTCACCTTTCCAAGGGTAACCCATCTACTGTGTAGAGGGTCTTTTTTCTCTCAGTCTTGTCAACCGCTAAACTAGCAAAACTGGAACCGATGAATGTCCATGAGCTTGTCAAACGGGACACTTCCACTTCCCGCGCCATCACGCTAGCTAGGCTCGGATTGTGGATCATTTCCGTTGTTGAAATGTGTGCTTGGTTTGGGTCTCGGGGGCAGCTCCGGACATTTTGCCTCGATACATTGGACACTGGAAGCAGTAATGTACGTAGCGACAAAGACTATTTGTCTGGGCAACTGCCCGGGTGTTGACTCGGTCAAGCAGTTTCCGAAAATCTGCATCAGTCATGGATGGATAGGTGAGAGAGAAGAAGGGGGGATGGCTGGATATAACGCGTCTCAATGGATTATCGCATCTTGTTTAGGCATCCTTGATACATCAATTGAAGAATCGGGTCGGTTACCAAAGATATGTACATACCAAATCTGGTTGAAGTACCATACATGAAGCTACACTACATACCTACATACATTACTGACATAGTACCAAGGTACAGGGTAGCATTGCAGCTACTCTTCTCCATGTATACTACTGTGTACAGGCATGTCATGCTGCAGACAGACAGAAAAGACACGGCTCTGAGCATTCTACGAGCTACAGTGCTACATAGTACATACCAGCTTGGCAAGACCCAACTGCTGGGCACCTGCAGTCACTGTGACACGACATACCGCCGGGACCAGCATGCAGACGGTTGGAGAATTACAAACCCCTCCGCTTGCCTTCCCTGCACCCAGCACGACGATCTCTCCGCCCTTTTACTGAGGTGCACCACGATGGTTCCTGCCTTTGGAGGCGGAAATTCTTGCCAAGTCTTGACATCTCGCTACTGCAATGCAGCTGTTTCCCTCCCTTCCCTGGAACCAATCGTATTCATTCGGCACTTTTCTTTCTTTCTTTCTGGTTTCACAGTCCGTTTTTTATGCTGTTCTTTGGTTTTTTTTTTTTTTTTAAACCTCAAGTCCAAAGAAACAAAGGAATCTCCGTAATCATCCACTGGTATTTCGGTCGTCAAGTTTTAAATGTAGCTTCCGGGCGGTTGCAACCTGCTGCAGGGGCTCTAGGGCTGGAGGCGGTTAGAAGGGCCGCCATCGTCGTGCTTGCCTGCTAATTTTACTGGTAGTGGAGGCGTTTTAAAAGCTGTTTTTCATTAGTTCAATTCCATACGTGCGTACCTAGTGAAAAAAAAAAAAAAAAAGTTTATCAGTACGGAGCTTTACCTGATCTAATAACTCCATACCATAACGCTGCCATTTTAGCTCGCCGCATATTTTCCATCGCCTCACCTACTCCCAGTATGAAGCCGACCCAACTGGAAGGGGAACGACGGGTGTCGCCGGCCACATGCACTGGACATCAGATTTACACCGACGTACTAACTATTATTCACACAGTCAACGAAAAATGGTTGACTGATCAGACCGGGCTGGCCCATGTTCCCCATAATCAGATGAAGGATGTAGCCACGACCAAAGCCCGCATTGTGCCGCAGAAAACACGTGGAAAGAGACACAGAAGACACATCTTGTGCAACAGAGCTTTCTTCCTCTCCCGAGAAACGCCACGAACCTGCGCCGTGCCTATGACGAGCCGCTGAGAAGGAAGGTTTCCCCCCTTGGTAAGAAACTTATTCTTTTCCACGTTCCAGCCCCCAAAGTTGACATTGACATATCAGCCCTATCGCTGTGGTGACAGTACCAGCTGTCTCCTGTCTGATGATTTCACCCTGGAAGAGTGACTCAGCCTTATTACTACCATTCGTTCCTACGCTCCGTCTGCGAACTTATTACCAATGTCAAGTTATGCAAGCGCTTCAGGCACAGGACCATAACTAAAAGCAGGGAAAGCTTGTCAACCAAGCTACTGTGTACACTCACAGTACTGGTTAGCGGCATTATTGCCAGCCAGGATTATTAGGTCATGACCGCCCACTCGCCAAGGGCAGCCTAAGGGGAGACCCATTCCTGCGTTGGACCTTTGCACGTGGGCCAATCATCATCAACCTCGTTCGGGGTGAGGTAGAAGATCTAGCAGAAATACCGGCCGACGGTAGCAAGTGAAAAAGCGGAGACAACCGTCTCTGCCTCGCTCGCTGCAATGTCCTTCTCGACAAGGCCATAGACAGTCGTGGCAGCCAATCACGTTGTAGCGCCAAGCTGAATGCTTGCCCATAGCTCCCAGGGCAGGACCTTGCGAGGAGGCTTCATAGTATAGCGAACTAGGTAGTATTCCGTATCGTTGAATACGTTTCCACACAAAACCGCCTACGGATCACCCTTACCCTAGAGAGGCTAACGGTCCTTTCGTCGTTATGAACGCTAAAACAACGGGTGACCCGTTTGAATTCCCCTCCCTAGTAGCGAAGAGGCTAATAAGCGCGAGATAGCATAACTGTACCAACCTATCTGTTCTCCTCTCTAGCTTGAGATCGTTCTCCCGCAATGATAGCCGCTCCTAGACCCTAACGATACCTACCTTATAGATCACCGGCATGAAGGTACAAAGACCCCTATATACCACCATGTACTTGCTTTCCCAATGGCGGGAAGGGGCTGGGGGTATCCTAGGCAGGCCGAATAGCTACGTACCAAATTCGCTAGGGTTTTATTCTTTTCATCTAGGCTCATTCCTTTCTTTCTGTCTGCCTGGATACGTACATGGTGCCCTACGTCAGTTCAAAAGCGAGGCGTTTCTGCGAGCATATACATAGATCAAAGGATTATGAATCTTTAGACCAGGCTATTTTCGCCCTGAACGACGCCGTTATTTTAACCCAGAGGATTTTAACGGGGCATTCTAGAAACCCACCCTTGATCCCGGACCTCGATGCCAAGCAGCTGGACCAAGCTGCAGAAATATAAGACTGTGGTGAGCCACTCAAGCATAACGCTTAAGGGTGTTACTCAAGAATCGCGATCAAATTCACCAATTGACTCGACGTGACACCACTCCAGGACATAATCAAAGACCACCTTTATATGTCAACATACACACACCACCCGTCTTACCTTCTCTGCCCGCGAACATGACGTTTGCTATTGGCAACTCTACAAATCAGCCCACAGAGGTAAGTCGTCAAATGTAGCCCCTCTCTTTCCTCACATACGCAATAGCATGCCGACTAGTTTGGCTACCATTTGATGGATGCTGGAGCAGCCAGCTTGTTATGTTTGAAAATTGGTCAGGATAGCAAACTCCCGATGGGGGGATGCATCTAGAATCAGGCGACGGATCTCTCGAGAGTCGCAAATCCGCATCCATCTGAACTCAACCGCGGTGAGAGCTTGCTTGAGCACCATCCGCCGTTGTCCCCCAAGCGGGTCGAAAATGCTACAGGATTGTTATGTTCAGCGATAAAATGGAATTTCTTGCTAATTATGTTACTTGCACAGGTAGAGCTGTCTTCGTCTCTGTCCCTAACCACAATTGCGGCTGTGACAGCGACGAGCTCGTCGCATTATCCCGTGACCACCGAAGCATGGGCGACTTATCCAGCACCACAAGGTGCGTCTCCAATTCACTACGGAGATAGTCTCGCCATGCCGCGCACCGGCTCTGCAGGCTATCCCAGTGATACAGAATGGTCGTCTGTGCGGAACTCATTCTCACATTCTCCAGCCAGCGGGTTTGACATCCCGATGCACGATAGCGGCATGGGGTCACACGGGTATAGCACCCCCTACAGCTACCCATATCATGGCGAGTTCGAAGCAGCCGCGAGCCCATTTCTCGATGCCGCTGGTGCTGGCAACGCGAATCACTATCGCCGCAGCTCGAAACAAATGGAGTCCTCGGCTTCGACGCGGACAAGGAGGAGATATCCACTCTCACCACCACCGCCAACCACAACTAGATCTGCAACCAGTTCAAAACTACGCTCAGCATCAAGGGCCTCGAAAAACAACCATTTAAACCCGCCCGCAACAGAGGAGGAACGAAAGAACCGAGCCTCCCACAACCAGGTGGAAAAGCAGTATCGAAACCGGCTGAATGCGCACTTTGAGGCACTATTAAACACCTTGCCGCAATACATGCGAGGCGGAGAGGACGAAGAGGACGACGATGGAGATCGCAAGATTAGCAAAGCAGAGGTGCTAGAGATGGCGAGACGTCACATTGTCACCCTCGAGAGAGAGCTCATATCCATGGAGGAAGAGAGAGACGAGCTAAAGGAAAATGTAGAGAGGTTGAGGTGGGCCATGGCAAGACCCGACAAAGACTATGGAAAGGGGATGGGCCCCACAGGGCCCGTATGACCAGATGGGATCACGAAGCCTCAGGACTGATTTTCCCAAAGGCATGATTTTCTCTTTCATGAGACTTATACATATTGACTTATACCGATTCATCATAAACAGGCGTAAAGGATACTTCACAAGTGGAGTTTGGGGTTGATCTATTGAGTTGAGCGATTACCTCAGGATAAATACGGCGGAACATTCATAACTGGCCAATTTTTGGTTCTTCATCAGGTAGAAAAGACACATGAACAGACACCATTTTCGAGGATTCGTTGCCAACAAAATTCGGCATGTGCATTCCACAATTACTATCAATGCACATTCAAATCTGCCGACATTGCTTCACAAGCAGGATGTCAATGCTTCCAGCAATACAAATATAGAGCAAAACTTGAAAAGTCTTGTGGCGCTTATCCAGCGTGAATCATAACGCGACTTGCAATTGTAAGCGAATGATGCGCGATCCTACGCCAAGTCAGTTTCTCATGTTCCAGGTGCGTAGCTCACCAGAGTCTCAGATCAGACTTGATGGCAATCCAGCAAGGCGACCCCGAGTATGACGAGGCTGTGTCCAGTGATCGTCCTGGATATGTAATTCTTTTCGTTCAACTCATGTTTACAGATTCACTCCTCTTTTGGCCACACAGCTCATCATAGCTGGTACTTGACAGCCCAAACGAAGGCATAGCTTTAAGGGTTGTCCAGGTTCGTGTTATCGTAGGCATCGACAAAAATCGAATTGAGAAAGGATATAGAATGACTAATCGAGCGATTGCCTGCCAAAAGACCTCGCAAAGACTATGTATTATCCACAATCAATGACACCCCTGAACAATGAAAGCTAGTCCATCGTGCTTGTTCTCCATCGGAGCACTCTACTGCTCTACAGCGTAGCCATTAAGTTACCCTACCTGCAGAGTACATTGGCCCAGTGCCTTTTTTCTTTCTTTCGAGATCAGATCATGTACGCCAAGATCCTTTCGAACAGTCCCAGTCTAGCTAGAATCGATCCTGGTAGAGGGGCGATCCCAGCCCACAAACATAGCGTTCCCGTTCACATTAAGGGAGTGCCCTTTTGTGTATTGGTCAATCAGAGTGCATTATCCTCAGATGCTCTCCTCTCTTTTTAATCCTCTTTCATCTTTGGCCTGGCCCAGTCCGCACGGAAACGATCCGGACACCTTCCCCGGAGAGGCAGTAGCGCAAGGAGCACCGGGGAGAATCATCCCCAAGGACAAACAAGAAACACAGACATGGGCAATACTTGTTCATTTCTCTAGTTTCCGCACGGGGGCCGCAGATGGGTCTTCAACCAGGGTTCAATGACACTATCTTCAATATGATCTGAATTGGTCCAAACGGCTAGGGCTGAGGAGTCCAAATGTCTCGCGCTCAATGGGCCAGAGTCGTGGCGCAGTGTTTTTCCCATTCTCAAATGACATGACATGATTTGGAAGGAGGTGAGGAGAGCTTTTAGCTTTCGCCCTGCTCTGCCTCATCCAGACGCCCAGCCCGGCGGCAAGCAGGTACACTGTCAAAAAGGAAGAGGCGCACATCAGTTGCCGGGAAGGAAAAAGAAAAAAGAAGAAGGAATTTCCCAGACCCGTGGATGTGGGACTACCTTAAATTTCGAGAATCATGAGACATGATGTTATCATGCTTGCAATGGGGGCCGTGCAGCTAACATCAAGGTCCATGTAAACCAAGGTATCTGCCAGGTACTTTGTCCTTTCGGAGCCCGGACGCACGAGACCGCTTTTTTCTCTCCTTGACATGCAAGGTTCAGCAGTTGCCAGGGGGTGGGCTGGGGGATCCGTACCGGGCTTGCAACTGAAAGTGAGCGCTCGCAGTTTGACTGAACGGAGCAAGAAAGTCTATAAAATCAAAACAAAAACTAGAACGACACCTTCACAAACATGTGCCACAAGGACGCGTCTATTTCCAAGTCGATACACTATTCGAGTAAACTCGCAAAGCGAGAAGAATGTCACGTCACTATGCAGTCCGTTTTCCAACTGAATTGCACCTTGATAACCTAAGCACGGCCGGGTATACTTTACTTGAAGGATGCGCATTCTGGACGTATTCGGTAAGGGGCCTTGCATGCGAATCCGACATGTCTCGTCTTCGGTTCCCCATGGTAATCGGATCATTAATCTGTATCTTGGGATTCGTCGCGGACTTTCCGAAAAGATAAAAAAAGATAATCGGTGAGCAATGATGGGTGCCAGACTTGAGAGAACGGCCAATGCAAAGAGAAATGAAGTGTCATGATACTCCATCGAATCCTCCCTGACCATGGAAACAGTAATCCCAAAGTATTCCACATTTGCATGATCCAGGACCGAATATTTATTAAAAGTTGGGTGGTAAATATATGGAACTCCACCTTTGTTACCCTAGCATATGTCGTTATGCGGGGTCAACAAACAGTCACTGCTCCACAAATTGGCGTCACATATTAGTGTTGCATAAGCACAAACTGTCAACAACAAATCACCGGTGAGATGGCCGAGTTGGTTATGGCGCCAGGTTAAGGTCACCTTAACACCTACTTCCTGGTACGGAAACGTGCGTGGGTTCAAGTCCCACTCTCATCACTTCCCTCAGATTCAATCTGAGACCAGCTTTTTCTTTTTTGCCTTTCTTTCTTTTTCATTCATCATCTGTCTTCCATACACGTTCGAGTTGCGCATTTTTCTTTTTATGTGATGTGCTGCATGCTGTTTATTTAGATCGCTGGCTGAATCAGGTACAAACCTTTAGCATTATAATGACCAGTTTGCAAAGCACTTGTGAAGCATATAAATCTAGCAGTTTAATAACCGAGACAAGTTTCCTTGAATGTGAACTGCAGCTAGGAAATTGCGTGATTTTCAGAGACTTATCTCTAATGATACCAGAAGCTCGTTTTTAACTCTGAACGAAAGTCAGGGTATTCATACTTGCTGTAATTCAGCCTTTCGCGTTTGAATAGTCAACATGTGAATAAAGAGGTAGTTGGAGTTACAAAGTCTACAACAAATACTCAGCTTTCACATTGCCTTATCTCATTTCATCACTGTGCGCTAAGGAGCAATATTAAAAGGCATCGCGGCTCATATCCACCACTCTGAGACTGATAATAAATTCTCATTTTGACGTGTATGGGTTCTTTGCCATGATTCTTTTTGGTAAGATTGTAGCAAATTCTATCTATGATTCTATTGCCCTAAGCATCTACGTAAGAAGCAAGAATATATGACTATACAGAAATCAAGCAGCTTCATCCTGAAATTGCTTCAAGAACCAGTCCACCATGGCCACGACAGTAGGATAATTCCACGTGAGTGTCTGCGGCACCTTGATCTTCAGCACGCTCTGCAACTTTTGGCGCAGCACAATGGTCATGACGCTATCGACGCCAATGTCAGTCAGCGCGACACGATCATCAATCTCCTCAATATCGTCAATCTTCAAAACAGAAGCGAGACACTCGCGAAGTCTCACATTAAGCCAGGCTTTGAGCTCGACTGTGCTCGTCGGGCGGGCATCTCCACTGCTGGCTTTGCTGCCGCCGCCGCCCTCTCCAGCCTTGACAACCGGCGTCATCGACGAAGAAGCGCTGGTTCGAGCAATTGGAATACGCACGGCAATGTCCTCGAGTAATGGGCAAGGTATCGGCTCAACCGCGTCCAGAGTTCTACAGCGAGTCACGACAACCTGGTCCACATTGTACTTGGACATGTGCTCCCAGGCCTGGAAGCCTTCGCTGCGCGTGATATCCGTGATGCCCTTGCTCTCGAGCTCGAGGGCCAAAAAGTCGGATGTGCCCATGCCAAGATTTCGCCACGCGGTCCACTGAAACGCAATGGCATTATCGCCCTGCCCGCGACGGTGCGCGGCAAGTGTATCGAGAAAGGCATTACCAGCACCGTACGAGCTCTGGCCGGATGTGCCGACGAGTTGGCCAATGGATGAGAAGAGCACAAAAAAGTCAAGTCCAGCGGCTGGAGGAAAGGCCCGGTGGAGGGCGAGAGCACCAGAGATTTTAGGTGACAGCACTCGCGCAAATGAGTCGGCTGTGGTGTCGCACAGCAGTGAATCCTCGAGCACTCCGCTGGCGTGGATGACTCCGAGGACGGGGGGCAGTGAAAGCCTCTCTAGAGAGGCGAGTAGCTGATCATGTGCATCATCAGCACCAATGTCTAGAGAGACTACGTGAATGCTTGCACCGAGTCTCTCCATGGCCTGGATTCTCCTCAGAATTGGAAGAATCTTTTCTGCGGCCCCTGTCCATTGGCTACGAGGCGGCAAGGCACGGCGAGAGACAATGACGATGCGACGCGCGCCCTTCTCAATGAGCCAGTCGCACGTTTCAAGACCGAGGACACCAAGACCTCCAGTAATGACATAGGTGCCCTCGGACTTGGGCAACAACGTCTTGTTGCTCGAGGCCGGGAGTAGTTGATATTTTGAAAAGGGCCTCATTCGCGCTACTCGAGGCAAGCCGTCCACAAATCGGATGATATCGTGCCCTTGGACATACTTGAATGGCAACAGAGGGAATGCTGGACCTTCATTGTCTATCAAACCACCCCAGATATCGGAGTGTTCCAAGGCAACGACACGGGCGAGGCCATAGAGCGGTCCTTGAGCGAGAGCCGCAGCGGAACCGGCAGCAAAGACTCCATCGGTGACGATGAAAAACTTGACAGCCAGGCTGTTGTGGACGATGGCCTTGATTGCGGTAGCCGCATCCCAGATGAACTTGCGAGCTGACCCGGCAATGTCGCCAGCCGATCCAATCGACCCAGGGCAGTACACTACTGCAGACGTCTTGCCATGCAGCAACTTATATGCTGCCTCTTGCTTCAGTTCTTGGGCACTGTTAAAGCCGATCACCTTTGGAAACTGTCCCTCCAAGTCCATCTTGTATCGGTCATGCAGCTTGCCATCCTCTGAGATGAGAACTACCTGATCAAACACAAGCGGTTTTTCAGACAGACGAGGTGGTGCCCATGCCAGCTGGTGTACCAGGCCTTCGATACCTTGGCTGATTCTCGGCACGGGATCCACTTCGGTCAGCGTCAGTCCCTCAAACTTGGACAGGAGCTCGCCCTCTACACTGAGAATCGAGACATCTGCAGACCTGCTCAGAGAATCATTAACAGCAGCTTCAGTCTCCACTACGTAGAGGTAGCAGATCTTTGGAGCCGGTCGGGACGAGTACAGCATGGCCTTTCCAACCTTCGAGACGATTCGCAATTTCGCATCGTCGGAAAAGATGGTGGCGCCAACTGACGAAGCCGCATCAAAGATGGGAGCCCAAGAGCTTGAGTGCCACGACACTGTTGCGCTGTCTGGGTCTGCATCCACTCTCGCAAGCATTTCTCGAGAGTTGCCGTAATGTTCAGTAACGGCCCACGGAAAGGCTATACCAGCCACGCCAACCCTAGTGAGGTAGTCGATAGAGAAGTTGTTTGGTAGGACTTTGCCGATGCGCTTCTTGATGGCGTCCAGATTGGCCGGCGAGGCAGTCTGCTCAAGGGGATCGACACCCCAGCGGGCTGCGCTGTGCGTGACCCATGATTTGTCGTCAGAGGAGCCAAGACGAGAAGCAATCTTGACATTTTCACCGTCTGCAATGACTTGAATATTTCGAGGGGCATCGGTAATCTGTCAAAAAAATAGGTTTCAGTATTTGACTGGCATGGAGAGACACTGCGAAAAGACAACAACCTACAGCAAGTGGGGTTCGCAACGTCATGTCGTAAATGACAGCGGCGCTCGTCGCGTGAAAGAAGGTATTCAGGTAGACTGCAGCAGGAACGATATCAGTACCATGCAGTTTGTGAGCCCTTGGGAAGGGCTTAGTCGCCTCGGTGACCCTGGTGGTGTATAAAGTGGTACTAGAGCCCGCAATGACTATACGCCTGCCAAGCAAGGTATGCTTGTCGATATCGTGTATGCCCTCATCACCCGACCAGCCTGTCGAGACGTCCTTCCAGAACGGCTTGTGGCTCCATACAAATCCTGGAACCTCGGCGCACCACTGGCTCCCGATAAAGGCCGAGAAGTTCACCTGAGCACCCGCCACGTACAATTGGGCAATGGCATGGAGAATGCTCTTCTCGGTAGGCTGGCTCTTCTTCATTGTGGGGATAATGGCAAACTCCTTGAGATCTCTCTCCATCAGCGTCTCGTTGATCGAATGCGACACAATGGGATGAGACGAGACCTCTAGAAACACACGGTGGCCATCGTCGACTGCAGCATTGACTGCAGAGGTGAGCCAGACGGGATGAACCATGTTATTAATCCAGTAGTCAGCATCTCTCGCAACTTGAGATCTTGGATCCTTCCTTGAAGTCGAGTACAATTTGATGACGGGTAGTTGGGGCTTCAGGACCTTGGATAGTGCAGTTTCCAGTGATGCTGACAGAGTTTTCAGCATGGGACTATGAAAGGCAATATCAGTCTTGACTTTGAAGGACCTGATATTGCGTTGTTTCAACTTTTCTTCGTACTCGGCGAGGGCAGCAATGGCACCACTGACGACACATGAGTTTGGGGAGGAATCAATAGCAGCTACAAGATCCTCACGGTCCCCTAGCTCAGCCGCCACTTCGGCAAAGGGCAGATTGACCAGAGCCATCCCGCCGAGACCCTTGACCTGGGCGTACAGGCGTGCACGTCGCGTCACTATAAGAGCACCCTCACTTGGAGTCAGACATCCAACGACAACTGATGCTGCGATCTCTCCGACCGAGTGTCCGATGACTGCTCGAGGTTGCACCCCTCTGGACTTGAGGACCTCGCTGAGCCCAACCTGCACGAGATAGGTGAGAACCTGAATCACGTCCGAGTCTTGAAAGTTGCCCGCTTCCAGAGTCTCAATCGCAGAGTATCCAAGCTCCTGAAGAACGATATCATCCAGTGGAGACACTGTTTGGTAAAAGACGGGATCCAGGAGGAGTTCCTTTCCCATGTCTCCCCATTGGGCGCCGTGTCCGGAAAATACCCAGACCACGTCTTTACTGGGGCCGCTGGCGAAAGTGCGGCCTTGTGCGCTCCAATCGCGGGTCATGCCCTTGGTGAACGAAAGTAATGCTTCAGAGGCTTCGTCATGATTGGACACGACAAATGCTGCGCGGTGGTCATGGTGAGCGCGACGCAGCGCCAAGGTGGAGGCAATAGTGTCGAGGCCCTGAGCTCGACCTTTGTCAGAGATCCACTCGGCTTGAACGGCGCTCTGGATCGTCAATCTCTTCTCCTGCGGTGACGATAGAACTAGTAGCGTGGGAGTGTCTGATCTTCTATTCTGGCTGACGGCGACTGGAAGTGGCGATTGCTCGATAATGGCGTGCGATACGGTACCGCCGTATCCGTAGGAACAGACGGCAGCGCGACGAGGGCCATTTGACTCATCCCAAACCACCTTTTCTCTGACAATTTGCAGACCGGACTTGTCCCAATCAACTCTAGAATTGAGCTTCTTCAGCCTTGCTTGGGGTGGAATTTCCCCTCTGCGAACAGCCATGACGGCCTTGACAAGACTGATGGCTCCAGCCGCAGCTTCGAGGTGGCCGACGTTGGGCTTGATGGACCCAACGTGGACAGGCGCATCTCGAGGCCGTCCAGCGCCATAGACGGCAGAAATGGCAGATATCTCTGTCGGGTCGCCTAGAGACGTTGAAGTCGCGTGCGCCTCTACGTAGCCCACGGACAGGGGCTCGACGTCGGCCACCTTCAGCGCCTTGCGCGCGACCAGCTCCTGGGCCTTGGCATTCGGGGCCATGATGCCGTTGGTCTTGCCGTCTTGCGCAATGGCCGTGCCCTTGAGAGTGGCGAGAACGCGGTCGCCGTCCACAATGGCGTCGGAGAGGCGCTTCAGGATCAAGACGGCCGCCCCTTCTCCTCGTGCATACCCATGAGCATCGTCGTCAAAGGAGAGGCAGACGCCGTCGGGGGAGAGAGCACCCGCGGCACCCAACATGTGGAACAAAGCTGGAGATAGACAAACATTGACTCCGCCGACTATGGCCACTTTGGACTCGCCGTTTAGGACGGCCTGGCGCCCTGCATGGACTGCACACAGTGACGATGCGCAGGCAGCGTCGACGGCAACACTAGGTCCCATGAGGTCGAAATGGTAAGATATCCGATTGGGAATGCCATGGGCAGTTGTTCCTATGCCCATCCATGCCTCTATGTTTGGTATATCTTCGAGAAGGAGTCTCGAGTAATCGTCGGAATCAACACCCATGTACACGGCAGTATCGGATCCGGAGAGGGATTTCGGATCAAGGCCGGCGTCTTCGAGGGCTTCCCATGTCACCTCCAGGCCAAGTCGCTGGTGCGGGTCCATTTGCTCAGCCTCTTTGGGAGAAATGCTGAAGAATGAAGCATCAAAATTCTCCAGATCGGGAATGAAGTAGCCCTTGGAGATGGTCTTCTCAATGACTTTTGCGTTTCGGGGATCTCTTTTGACCCAAGGTTCCCATCGCCAGCTGGGGTTGTCTCCGGAAGCATCCTTCTTATCCATAAGAAAGTCCCAGAGTTTCTCAGGCGTATCATTACCGCCTGCTGTACGACAAGCCATGCCAATGATAGCCACATCATCCCTTGCGACTTGATCGGAAGAGATGGAAGAGTCCTGCGAAACTGGTGTAGACCAACCGGAGCCTGGCTTGGATGTCGGGGCGGTTGGAATGTCGTTGACGACCTCCATTGTAGCAACTGTTGCTCGAAATATCAGAGGTCCTGCTATATCTACTTGATGATCATACCAGTATGTGGGAGTATGGAGATCAATATCCTGGTTATCGTCTTTAGATCAAACTCTGAAAGAATTGTCTTTAGAAAATTGTGTGAAAACTGGTCTTTTGAGCAAAATCACTCAGAAAACAACAACAAGTTGACAGGGGACTTTTATAAAGAGAACGGCTGTGAGAAGGTCAAGTAACTTCTGGGGGATCAGCAATCATTTTGATCCATATTTCACGGACAGCCTTGGCTGGTTTTCTGTTTGGTTTTTTTTTTTTTTTTTTTTTTTGGTCACGACCCTGAAGGCCGAGTAGATAATGCAACACTTCCCAATAGGATAGCACTCCGAGAGCGGCACAATTTGCTACGAACTGGTTCCAAGGAACTCGAGAAGTCATCGAATCCACTACTGGTCGCAAAGCAGAGCATTATCGGATCCCATCATCCATCACCGAACAAGTGCAAATCTAGAATTATGCATAGCATAAGCCTGCAGGGCTACGTCGGAGCGATTACCAATCAAAGAAGTGATGTTATCTGCAGTCTACATATAAGATCAGCTTCGATCGAGCTGGGCTCGTCGTTGATGTCGCAAGTTCTATTGGGTACCGAAAATGTCCATCATTATTTTAGCCGTCCCAGATCCGATCCGCATTCCTTGGCCCATTTTTCTGTCCTCATGTAGAATTTTCCCCGGGTGAGCTAATGCTGCAGAGTCCCAATGAATGATGTTACGTTTGCTCATATTCATGTGATGCGGTCTGACCAAAGAATCATATCAAGAAGGATTCCGTCACACATGCTGTGCGTTAATTGGTAAGATAAAGGGATCATACGAGTGATATCCTCAAGTGATAGACATAAAATTGACGCCCAATTGGGGCAAGTCCGCCTGCTGACTGCAACCATGATTGTGAGTTGGGGTCATTCCGGTTGGTTATAGGTTGATCATTGTATGATGCCGCCAAGCTGATTGGCCTTGCTTTGGTCTGATCCCTGGTTGCCCAGGTGTGCAACCAGTCACAAGAGATTCAAAGCTAAGCCGCAAAGCCGCGTGGGATATCATGAGTCCTTGCAGCAGCTACCCGCAATTATGGGGGGATATCGCCCATCATCAATTGCTTCAAATTATACATTGGGTCCGGTCGACGATTTGGGTAATTTCTCTGCATCGGAAGCCGACTCACTCCGATCGCAAAGCTTCGCCCGGCTTACATACCTCAAGGCTCAACCGGTGAGACGGTCAGACAGGGTTCCACCTTATGGTGGCTGATAGATATTGCTTCACAGGCGGTCATGTGGGGATAGTGAGGTTACACTAGCTGAGCAGGCAAGGCTATAGAATATTTTGATCACATTTTAGTTCGATGGACTAAAACGTATACTCCGTCATCACTTTGGTTCCCAATCCTGATCCTGGATGATCATTTGGAAGCAGAAGACGAAAATCATCAATCTCTCCCAGGGACTTTGACCATGAAAGAGAATAATTGATTTTTGCAAAAGTAAGTGTACTGTTGATCGAACAGAGTGCAATCACGGATTCATTGGAAGGATCGTGTCATGTGCAAACAGTTGTGCTGATCTTTAGGACGCAAAGATGCGGCTGCGCCTGTCCAATACCCAGCCTGATCTGACTTGACTTGACGGCTCATACCATAAATACCCCGACCACTACGCCATATCAAGGTGTGTCGCAACGACCAAATCTGTTATCACCGTCTCTTATCTATAATCAAGATCTGCATCACACCAGAAAAAAGTGCGTCCTAGATTCCAGCACAATGTCTTCCGAACCCAAATACACCATGCTTCTTTTCTTCAAGCGCAATCCAAGCCTCAGCCCGTCAGAGTTCAAAGCCTATTACGAGGCCAATCACGTTCCCCTCGTTCTCGAGGTGGCCAAGGAGGCCAAGGGACTAATCACGTACACGCGGCGCTACCTCGACCACGCAGCCTCGGACCCGTCTCTCGGCAACCCTTTTACCGTCTTTGGCGATTCGCCGCCGGCAACGGTGCCCTACGACATGGTCAATGAAGTCACGTTTGCGACTAGAGCGGATGCGGTCGAGTTCTCGAGAATCATGTACAAGGTCGAGGAGAACAGGGCCCGGGTCCTGGACGACGAGAATAAACTGTTCGTGGAGGATCAAATGAGGGGCATGATTGTTGAAACTATCACATCTTGAGAGCAAGCCACTTCAACTGCGTAGAGGCTCATATACTATCAATTGATATTCATGAGTCGTCGGATTCGTTGCTTTTTTCTATCCGTGCTATTGAGAAAAACGTTTCCTTGATAATTGGCCACATCTCCTCACGTTTCTTCAATTTGAATCGGAGCGAACACTTCTAGATTCATCTTATTCCAATCAATTTTGGTATCTTTCTTTCATAATATTTCAGCGGGAAGTCAAGCCCGCTGCCGCGTTAACCCCATCTTGCCACATTGGTCTGTCCTTCTTCTCCTACCCATGCCTTCCACGCGGCCGTGGCCTCTCTGGGCACCTCCCACTCGGTAGCGGCGCCAACCCACGCTTTACATCTGGCTACTTGCTTGGCCGCCTCCGTGTCCTGAATTCGATCTGGCGGCATGAAGAAACCTTGGCCTCTTTGTACACACTGGATAATGACTGCCACTGATCCTTCGAGGTTGCCTCCAATGTCCAAGCAAGCCCTCTCGAGGGCCGGCATGCGCTGAAGTGCAGTAGCCATGTCTGCAATCAGGGGATCAAACGTTTCGGGGTCCGGGCGCGTTCGCCACATGTGAACCGGCCGCTCTCCATTGACAATGACGTCGCGATCTGTGTCATCTTCGTCGTTACTTATCTCGGAGTCACTGTCACTAAGCTCGTCGTCTTCGTCGTCGGGCTCAGCAGAATTGCGTGACGACTCCGCCTCGACGGCATTCGGGTTGCCCGTATAGTACCATTTACCGCTAGGAGATATTATTCCGTCCTCAATGTGGAGCCGTCGCAACGCTGGCATTGGCCTGTCTTCGGAGACTGCGCCAGATCGACGGTTCCGGAAGAGGTCGGGCGAGACGAGCACGTTATTCAACTTCAGGTCAGTCAATCTTCCCTGCTCAGCGACTTGTCGAATGGATTCGCAGAGGGGGTCTATGTGTTCCTCGTCCTCGAGATCCTGACAGGTGAAGCTGTGGTTCCTTGGATCCCATCCGCCCTGGCGCCTGACGTGGAGCTTGGTGAGGCCAAGTAGCGAGCACATGTCCTTTAGCCCAGCAGCCAATGCGAGGCGATGTTCTCTGCGCATTTCGCGCCGTTTGATTGCCGGGTCGCGGTACTCAATATCGAGCTCCTGCAGCCGTGGGAACAGACCTGCGATCCGGCATATGGTACCCGGGTGAGGTGCCTTGCCGAGGGAAACATCAATTTTGAAGCTTGAGATCCTTTGGACAAGAGGAAACCCATCAAAGTTTCCATCGAGGTAGCGACGAGCTGCGCTGGATTTCTCCGCGTTGAAGTGGTGATCCACCGGGCCATCCTCTGAGCGAATGTCGTAGGCAAACCACAGCCAGAGTTTGAGGTCCGGCAGAGCCTCGCCGCCGGCCGCGTTCTGATCCCATTGTGCGAGAAGACCCAAGAGATCCTTTAGCGCATCAGTAAAGGCCGCCACATTCGTGGCGTGGTCCTCCCGGGAGTCGCCGTGGGTAGGCAAGCACACGACAAACGTGAGGTGGCGAAGGAGCCGCTGGCGGCGGACATCAGAGAAGATGGCAGCAAATTCCGACAGCTCGGTGCTTTTCAGGCGGATGCTGGCAAAAGTGTGCGTCTCCACGGCGCGCTGCCAGGTGCGTGAGAGGGTATACGGGCCGCGCTGTGGCTTTGTAGGAGCCCGGCCAAGAGGAAGCCGGCCAAGTAGAGGCCGGCTGAGCAGAATAGGTGCGACGGACTGCGGCTTTGCAAGGAAATGCGAAACCACGAGGGAGACGATTTCGGGACTGAGCTTGTCCATTGACATGGTATGCTGTTGCTGCTGCTGCTTCCTATTCTTATTTTTTTTTGGATCCCAGAATAGTGCGAGGAGTGAAACATTGGAGATGAAAGAAGAAGAAGAAGTTATTTATATATCAATCTAGTGCAGTGCGCGTCCCGAACTAGGTCTGGCAACTAGCTACATAACACTAGGTTAGCACCACGGAGGCTTGAATTGGTACCTGACTATTGCTGATCCACTGCGACTAGGGTCTCCCTGTAGGTGTTAGATAACGGGAGGTACCGCAGTCGGACCACTGTGCATGCAAACCAGTGCCTCTTTTAAAGTGTCTATATATTTCCACAATAAGCTAGCACCTATGGTCAATCCGAGTATACTACGTGCATACTAGGGCCTTGCATTTATTCAACAACCGAAGTACTCACTACAAGGATAGCAATTGTCTGGTCATTCCAGAATATGCTTATGTAGTTTTGTCTTCTTATGTAGTTAATATTCACTATACTGATATGTAATTACTCGATCATGGGCCGCGGATAATCTCGCGAGCTGCTATTCTTTACTTTTCTCCTAGAACGGGTTGTTGAACAAGGGAGTGGCCGCCGTCAGCGTATCAATCTCTGCTCTGACGTCCTCGATCTTGACCAGGATATTTTGCTCGTCCTGCGTCGATCCTCCTCCCGCGCCGATTTCCGTGTCGTAAAACACTTGGAGTTGACCGCTCCAGAACTGCAGGTAATCGTCAATCTTTGAACTGACTTGGGTCGTGTAGTCTCTCATAAAGACCAAAAAGGTCTGGTCCAGGCCCAAGACCGTGTATGGAGTTGCCGTATTGGCCCAGTTGGCGGCGATGCCCTGCTCGACGGTACCGAAAGCGGTAGCCACACGTCGGCCCTGTGTATTGTAGATGTTGTTGACGTTGGCGACGCTCATGTACTTGACCATTAGGATGACGTCCTTTAGATTCTTGATCACACGTTCCACTTCGTCGTACGAAGAGACCCATTTCTTCATCGTGTCCACCGCGTTGATGGCTACATCGTACTTGAAGGCACGGGCCTTGGCCAGATTGATCTCCTGCTCGGTCTGGACCATCTCGCCGCTGTTCACGTGGTATCTTGTCAGCACAGCAAAAGGGTGAGGGGGAATAGCATATGATGCGTGTTTGGTACGACTTACCCAGTGCCTGCTGCAGTATTCGGCCATTGTTGACCAATGATGGACCAAGGAGTCGCCCCGTTAATTTGACTGTTGCGATTCTCCCAGAAGTACTTGAGGTACTTGCAAAAGCTACCATAGCCTGCAACGGGGCTCGCCTGGCCTTCAAAGTACTAACAAGGTGTTAGATCGATTACTACTCCATGTGTTTGCAGCATAATTGGGGAGCCACTTACGTATGCGGAGAATGCTTGAATGATCTGCCTCTCAAGAATATGTTCCCAGTCGTAGTTGTGTCCTGCCGTCTGGCCCTGGGCAACGATGAGGTTGAAATTGCTGCATTCGCCCCAGTCCTCGTTATCGTAAAGAGTTCCGCTCTCGGGATATGCTGCCGTCCGGTATGTCATCTTGGCATCGTTCAAACAGATATCATAAATCTGAGCGGCACCATCACGCCTGTTCAGCTCATGGTAAGACTCTAGCAGCTCCGTGTTGTTCATAAACAAGTCCTCAATCATGTCGTGTAGAAGGGCGGATCTGCTGTCATCCGATTCGACATCAAGCTCCACACTGCGACGCTTGAGGAGCCCGGTGATGTCGATACCGCTGGCTTTCTCAATGTCTGAGAAATCGAGATCCAAGGGGCTTAGGTCTCTCTTCCTCATGTAATCAATGTCGTTGAACTGGTCATCGTCGAATCCTTTAATACTATTGCATGCCGTTGTTGTGGTTGCTTCAATGCTCGGGCACAACTGCCCTTTGACGGGGATAGAGAAAAGAGGACCGTACGTTACAGAGCGCTTGGTGACATTGCCGTGGCTCGATAAAAGCTCATGTTCGCCCCCAGAGGCAACGTAGGGATCGCGTCTGGACAAGCTACGCTTCGTCTCCGTCTCGGAATCAACTCCCACGCAGACATAGTCATCAGTGCCGTCTCCGGGAATCAAGTTGCTACTAAGGGAGTAGAAGGTTTTATCCTCGGGAGTCCAGCCAAAGTTGTCTGGGACGGATGCCCGGGCAGTAAAAGAGGCGCCAGCGTCGATGCCGTATTTGAACGGACAGGTGGATGCATCGTCACCGGCAAGATTCGCCTGCGCGCGGACGCGCACCCAGCCATCGGCAAGCAACTCAGCCTTGGCAGAGTCAATGCCCCAGCGGTCATCAAATTCAATTCCAAAGCTCAGTGTAGGCTTCAAGTGTGCCGTCATTTGACCCTTGGCAGTAACAGTCAGGTTGAAAGTTGGCTCGTTGAGGCCGTCCAAGGTAAAGTCACGGGATGGACTCTCTAAGGACTTTGGCTCCCAGTCGCTGCTGGCCTCTGGATAGGTCTGCTGAAAGTCCCACGAGGCAATCTCGACCTTTGTCTCAAAGTGACCAGCTAGCGTAACGTCTGCCGTAGCCTGGGCATTGAGTACAAATTTTGGTCCAACCGTCAGGATATTGGGGATCGTGAATGAGGCGCCGGGCATGGGCACGGTGACGATGGAGAACTCTCCACTATCAAAGCTAGCCTTGGCCATTGCATCGATGGAGAAAATCGCCGTGACTTCGCCACTTGTCTTCAAATATACGTAAGAATTGGAGAGATCCATGCTGGTTCCGAGCGTGAAGATGAGTGTCATGCCAAAGGTGGACGACACCTTGATGTTGGCCGAGGCTTTGGCGCTTAGGCTTGCCTCCAGTTTGGTGTAGTCATTGGGCTGACAAGACCAGTCTTCCTGGACAATGATGGCAGTGACGGACTCGTCGTAGTCATGAGTGTACTTGGGCTCGATCTCGCCATTCAAGAGGCCCTTGAGCCAGGCAATGACATCTTCACCGAACCATCGCTCATGAAGCTCGCGCTCGCTCAAGCTGCTAAAGTGGACATCGTCGCGCCATTCCTCCTCGAGCCATCTCCGATGACTGCCATTGACTTCGTCCAGAGATCGCTTTCTTCGCTTCTCTGCGGCCTTGTCAACAATGGCATCCCAGTAGCCGTCTTCGTTACTGTAGTCGACCCGGACCTGTGTGTCTCCAAGGTCTCTCGGGACCCTGAGCCAATCATAATCAAAGGTCAAGTCGTAAACCATGGGCTTTCGTCCCGAGGTGCGTTTTACCAGGTGATGAGGTAATGTTTGATTCGCAGACGGTACCATGGACTTGGCAACGGCATACTTGGCTGGGCCACAACCTTGGCCTCTGGGCATCTCGAGAATAGTACCAGGAACTCCATGGCCGAGGCCGATCTTATAGCAATTGCTGTCTGCAGAGTCGTCCATGCAGACCATCTGGACAGTCTGTTCTTCTGTGCTGACAGCATCGTTACAGTTGAACAGTTCCCAGTGCGACCCATCACGCTTGTCCAACGAGGTCTGGATCTCCGTCGGACTGACCATGACCCAGAACCCGAAAGTGGAATCATTGGGATCGTCTTCCGTGCTAGTCTTATCCTTTCCAGTGCCCCATGTGTCGTCAATCTCTAGATCGTAGTCGGTCTCGATATCGTCACCATCGGGCGCGTTGGGAAAGAGGTACTCCAGTGGAACAGGAAGGAAAGGGCTGGCACCATTTGCAGGGTCGCAGCAAAATGTGCGTGTACGTTCAATACGGGGCAGACAGCTCTGGCCAGCGCCATAGTCGCTTTGTGTGAGTTGGACTTGGGTGCCCTCGTCGCAGTGGTTATCGTAGCATGTGCCAGGAGTACCATGCCAGCCGCAATTCTCCCACTGGCTAATTTCGTCCTTGGGACAACAGTAAAGACGTCGCAGGTCCATATCCGCAGTATCGAGAAAGTCGGCTAGTACTTGGCCAATCAAGCCTCCCAGAGAGGCAATATCGGCAAGGTCTTCCAGGAACGTGCCGGCAAAAGTCAGGGGCAGCTCGTCCGAGGCACAGCTACCTGCGACACCCGTCCAGTAGCACGAGTTCTCTGTCTCCTGAGAGGATGCCTCGCAACAATATGCTTTGTGTCCATCCTCGCAGTACTTGCCGTCACCCCATTTGTTCATCTCGAGCATGACCTCGCCGTTCTCACAGTGACCATTGCAACTGGGGGCTGTGCCTCGCCACTGGCAGTTGTCTGGGTCAGGAGCAGACGTAAGGGGACAACACAGCTTTGACGGATCCTTGGTCGAATGTCTCGTGACTGGTTTGGCGGAGCCACAAGGCTGCTCTTCGATCTGGATGTATCCCGTGTTGCAGCTGCCTCCGCAGTCAGTGACGTAGCAGTCCTGCGCGGTCGCCTCTTGCCAGTAGCTTGCATCATCCGCCTCGGATTCAAAGGCATCAATTCCATTGGGCGACAGCACAGCCTTCAGCGCTTCGTAGTTGCTTGTATCTTGGTCAATGGACCAGATAAGCAGACCGCCCAATCCGAGCTTGTTGGCGAATTCGATCTTGGCTTGGAAAGTATCTTCATCGTCATAGGATACCCACTGGTCGTCATCCCAGACAATGTATTTCACCTGCGCCGTCTTGTCATAATATGGTGACAGACCTTTTGCCTCGATAATGTCTTGAATTTCGAAATAGGCCAGCGTGCCCGAGTTATCAGTACACGAGCCAGCGTTGGCGCCACCCTTGAACGCACATCCTGGCTTATAGCAGGATGGGTCAGCCAGCTGGAACGAGCGACCGTAGAAGCCGAGACCCAGATTGATCTTGCTTGCATCGATATCGTTGCGCCAGAAGAGGTCCAAGGCCAACTTGATCTCGGTGAGATTGGTGTGTGCCAAGACAGTGCTACCAATAGGGTTGCTCGAGTCCCACACTCCGTGTAAATCATAACTCATTACATTGATCCAGTCGACATACTCCGAGGACTTTTTCAGATCAAAGTGGCGAAGGTACCAGTACGACGTTGGGGCGGTAAAGGCAATGCTGTAGTCAATGGGCTCATCGTCGACGGCCTCACGGAGCTCCTTGAGTAGCTTGGTAAAGTTCTCGCCGTCGTCTTCAGTGCCACCGCGATCGGTCGCTCCGGGGTATTCCCAATCGAAATCAACTCCGTCAAACGCGTATTGGCGCATAAAGTCCAGAAGGTTGGTGATGAAGGTGGCACGATTAGTAGCGTCGCCGGCAATTTCGCCAAACAGCGGTTGGGTCACGGTGCCATTGTCGCTGAACGTCCAGCCTCCAATGGAGGCAATACACTTGAGCCCACTGTTTTTGGACTTGAGCGCTGTGAAATCAGTGAGAAGCGACTCGTCGATCCCGTCCATGGGCACAATCTTGAAGTCGCCCGGGTTGATGTAGAGGAAAGCAAAGTGTAGGTGAGTGAGGGCGTTGACGGGGATTTGACTAAGGGTCTGTAAGGCATTGTCAGCATTTACTCAAGCGCTCCAATTCGGTTTCATGCTTACCATTCCAACGCAGGCTTTGTCGGCATTCCAAGCTTCGTAGTAGCCAATGATTCGGCTCTGGACGTCACCATCTGAAGAGCCGGAGCCGGGTTGCTCACAGTTGCTCTGACAAGTTGTGTTTTTGTTGTCAGTAACCTCGCAGAATTCATCTGTCATGCCGCAGAAGCCATATTGACTGCAGCAACTATTTGAAATTTGTTAGCTTATGATTAAGCAAGCCGTTGTACGGATATTGTTACGACTTACACGTTAAGAGTACACTCGGCTCCCTCGACTTCAGCGTATCTGCAGACATTATTCCAGTCAGAAATTACTCTCTTCACTCAACAAGTGCGAGGCTCAAGACTTACTGGCCACATTCGGCTTTGGCATCGCAGTTGCTCCAGCATACATCGTTGGGCGAGATATCGTTGGTTCCACAATAGTCAGGCCCATAACCACAATATCCTTGGGTCTTTCCGCAACAGGCGCCTTTTTGATAAAGTCAACAAACTCGAATTCCGGATTAAAAGAGTTTCATGATTGGAATGTACCGTTCGAGCAGGCCTTGGACTCGCTGCAGGAGTAATCATCATCACGTTTCCCAAAGAGCGACGCGCCGGAGGACGATGCACAGACGGGAGCGTTCTCGTCGCGGCGGACTTTTACAGAGTAGTCGAAAGGACTGTGCATATTAGTATAGAACTATCTCATAGTTTTGCTGTGTTGTACTCACTCGTAAGCCTCATTCCGGCATGTGAGTTCTTGTGACGCTGTAATGTCGACAGCTTTGGACGCGGGCAAAGCCGCAACAAGATGATTGGATAATAAGAAAGTACAAAAGACGGTAAAAAGGATTGTTTTCAGCAATGAGCGTCTCTGGGAATAGTTCCCAGTAGCAAAAAGGTGTGATGCCATCTTGGGCATAAAATGAGAGTGGTTTGACTAGGACGACATCTCCAACCTCGAAACTACGACTTCACTTTATTCCTGAAGTGACAAGATACTTATGGCAATGTCTACGTCGCTTGGCAAGACCCTGTCATGTCAACCATGAGACCGATGGTGGATATTCACAAGATCCTCGAGCCATATCTCATTCTCGTTTTCGTGACCCTATAGAGGCCGGAAGATCCACAGGGCCCTCCCCTCCCTGCGATGAGGAAAACCCACAGTACTATCATGAGAAATTTCTCATTTCGATAGAGAACTCGCACCGATTACCGGCCTTTCCAAAGGGTCCGATAGGCACGATATTATTTTTTCGGTAGCTCATTGTGCATACTACCTACGTAGCGAGCTCGAGCCGCCAGCAGTATAGGATGCGGTGGATGAAAACGGAATAAAGCTGTCGTCAATACAGGTAATCCTTGCCTTTGAAACCTCCGCCTCTTCCTATTTTGGATCTTACCCGAGACCAAATTTGCCCCCGACATCAACAAACTGCTTCATGGTGTAACTCGCATGGTCATACGGCTGACGTGGAGCCTTGCCCATGGCTCGTCAATAGTCACTCCATTGCATCTAGCCTCTCGATATCACCAGCTAGTATCCATTGTTGCAGCCGACAGCTGACCTAATGGCGGAAGGATTGGAAAGTAATCAACGAGTATGGAGTTCATGCAGGTTGTGTGAAGAATAGCGTAACACATGATTGGTAGCCTGGTTGCTCTCCCTGTGATTTTATCTTTAGCTTTGCACCATTGCAACGTTTCTATGTGTCTGAATAGTTTGTATTGTGGTTCCCAGCCCTGGTAATCTGTAAGACAATAGCGTCCTGCGGGACAATGGGCCATGTATTGCGGGCTATGGACCATATATCGTGTGATGCTGATTCATGATTGGCCCCCCATCTGCTCTAGTCCCAACCTGCTGTGCGGAAATTGATCGGGTCATACACTGAATTCTCCCTAGTATATCTCGTTCAAGCTTTTAGTCACGATAGTCAGGCCATCGGAAGTCTAAAAAAAAAAAGTTTGCGACCCGGCGTCGTGGGAATCCCGACCCCAAAGTTCCTGCTGATATACTCCATAGGCCGCGCGTCGGAACCCTGGACAGTCCTATAATCAGCCCAGTCTGCCCAGACTACAGGCTTGGCGTCGGGATTTTTTCCTCAGACTTAACTGTGCTGCGCCAAGTTCAATCCTTCGACTTACCACACAAAGTGGGAGATGGGCCGAGGTTTCGACCCGGCTTCCAGGGTCTTCGCTGCGCTAAAGAAAAGTCTAACTGCGGCACAGTCCGTCAGGTCCCCATAATATGCAGGTACTATCACGTAGCACTGCCATGGGGGGTTGGCTTCAGGGCACTTGATGGGGCACGACTCTGACTTAGCTGGGTCCTATTCAACTAAGCGGAAATCCTTCCAATCACTACTACCTAACCAACTAGCAGGTATGATACTAGGCATGATATTCGTTAATGCTCACTGTCTATGGTTTACCTATTCGTGTAACCAAGTAGGAAACGTCATTGGCAATAGATGGCCGTGATTGTTCAAAACATGCGTAATACTTGATTCTCGTTATTTTTGGTTCTCATTGTCACAGGTGACAATTAGCAACTGGCGATTCAATTTCTAAATGTCGAAAATCTTCGATTACGCTACAAAGGCTATGGCATACCATGGCGCCCATGATAGCCGAATTACACATACTACATGCAATGATACCTATGTAATTATCCCAAGTGCTACGAGATGGACTTTTATGGATCGGTACCTATCCTTGATGGATTCTAGATAAAGTATCTACCTAAGCATAATGTCTCTTTTAAACCAACAAGTACAAACAGGTAAGCTTAATCTAAACTCATCGCGGTGTCGGCCGATGGCTCCTCGACATCTCAGTATCCACCTCCATTTGACCATGCATCAAGTTGCCCAACAATCGGACCCGTACCCATCCATACCCATACCACTGGATGTTTCTATACTTTACTGCGGTTGACATGGGACATGGCAAAATTCTTTTTCCAGAGCAATACGTAAACAAGCCGACCCATATGCAATTCTAAGCGATCCTGCACTGGCTATCGGAGCATGGCGAGGAAATGATGTTTCGCTTCCACAGCACCCGACAAGAGCATGTGCTCAGCCAATTAGACGTCTGCCTATCTTGGTGTAGGCAAGGCTAGTGGATGGTCAGATGAGACCAGTCTATCCGACCTTGACAGCTATTACCGTAATACCCTAGGCTTGGCCCATATCGAGGATATCTCAGTGTCCGACCTTGCGGATTCGACAGAGATGCTGATGCTGGGTGGATCCCACAGAGATGACGGGTCGCCATTCCGTCCCATGATAGAATAGTCATAAGCATTCAGCCTGCTTTTCTCATCTCCTCTGCTCAGGACTACGCCGCTCTCTTCATCAAGTCGTTTGACATGTCGTTCTTTACTGTCATAGCATCATTGATGCTGCCACTCGCTCAAGCTACTACCAAGTTCTACACAAACACCACAGTCCCTACCAATATCACATCTGCGTGCTCTGACGCTCTCATTGCTGAAGTCAACTGCGATGTTGTAGTGCCAGCTCTGGTTACAGGCTTCTATTACCCCAATACCACCTTGATTCGAGCGTGTACATCAGACTGCCAAGATGCCTTGGGCGCATACCAAGCCAGCATCGAGGCTGCATGTGCTGCCGACACATGGCTCGCCTATAGCAACGAGACTATGCCGGTTGCCATCATTCCCGAGATCTTGAGTTACCATTATAACTTGACTTGCATGACAGACGACGAGGGTCGCTTCTGTAACAATGCAGCAGCTTCTTATGCTGCATACCTCGACACGAATGCCACGACGAACAACAGTTAGTAGATATATTGTCTTGCCAGAGTCATGAAAGCCCCAGAGTACAAGCTGACCAACGTTCACTGTAGTTCCTGCCATGGGCATGTACGGAGACATCGAGGTCACCGATGAGTGTGACATTTGCCTCATCAAGAACTTGAAGTTCCAGGCAGAACATCCTTACTATGACGGACCTGAAATCTACTCCAGCTCCCTTTACCAATCCAAGACGGCCAGCTGCGGCGTCACGGATATGCCGTTGACCACGACAGCAGCCAATATTGACATGTGAGATATTTCCTTGGCCATTCAAGCGGCATCATGACTTATATCCATTCAGTACCACCACGGCTGCGTCTTCGACAGCTACTGCAACGTCTGGTTGCGAGGGCACTGTCTATAGCATTGCAGACGGTGATGATTGTCACTCCATCTCTTCAAGCATGAGCATCGGAACCTCGTGGCTTCTAACTGATAATGATCTCAAGGCCAAATGTGTCGATTTTCCAACTTCGGGCGATCTTTGTCTGGTGAACACTTGTGACGTTTACACGGTCCAGACAAACGACACGTGCTCAAGCATAGCCAAGGCAAATAACATTACGCAGGCACAACTCAAGGCCTGGAACCCGAGCATTGATGCTGGCTGCTACAATGTTGATAGCATGGTGGATGATCAATTGTGCATTTCCAACCCTGGTGGTACTTAGTAAGCTATTTCTTCTACATGTTCTACACACATCATGTGGCCGGGACCGCGTCCAGCTCTCAAAGCCCTGAAAGGCTAGGAGACCAGCAGTCAGCACTCTCAGTGATCGTCGCCATATTTTGGGTATGAATATTACTAATGTCAAGTTCCACAGCACCATGCCCTCTTCTGTTTCTTCCGCCTCGAGCGCATCGACAACTGCAGCTGTGCCTACTGATGTTGCTTCCGGCACAAACACTCGATGCGCTCAGTATTACACGACTGTGGAGGGTGACTATTGCAACCTGATCATTGTCAAGTACAGCATTTCGCTCGATAATTTCCTTTTTCTGAACCCATCCGTCAATGAAAACTGCACGAATCTCTGGGCGGACACGAGTTACTGTGTGGAAGCTGTCGGTGATATCAACACCTACAGCGGCATGCCGGCTTACGTGACGGCCACGGCCACATATGTCAGTCTGGTAGGAGACCCTGCGACGACGTGGCCGACCATCAACTACACCACTCCGACGGCCACGGCGACTACAACGGCTCTTCCCCTCGCTACCGGTACCAGGTCCGATTGTTGGCAGTACTTCAATGGTAGCAAGTACATAGACAAGGTATCTAGCGGCAGCTATCTTGCCTCGGACTGCGACCTTGCAGCACACGTCTTCTCCGTCACTTTGGAAGACCTGGGCGTATGGAACCCTTGTAGGCATATTCCCTCTCTACGGAGCATCGCAGCTGTTTCCATGGTTGCAAGAATTTGGACTGACTTATATAATCGATAGCCCTTGGTAATACAAGTTTGAGCACCTGTACTTTTGAATCAGGCTACCAGTATTGTGGCCAGTATTGGTTTGGCGACAGTGTCACCTCAAGCTCAGACTCGGGCAATAACGACGACTTGACTCTCAGGGATGGGACCCTCACAGAGGACAATGGCTGTACCGAATATTTCGACCTCGAAGACGGGGACGGATACGACTGTGCATCCATCCTAACACTCTATGATATAACGATTGCGGATTTCTACGCCTGGAACACTGATGTCAAATCAGACTGCTCCAATCTTCAGACAGGTATGTCAAAAAGACTCGCCCTTTTCATCGTCCCAAGACTTGCTAATAAACGCATCAAGGCTATGATTATTGTGTCTCCATCACTGACGGCTCGGAAAATTCTACATCCACTGCCACGGCAAGTGTCACAAGCGGAGTCACCTCGACAGCGTCGAGCACCGCTAGTACAACTGCCGTCACTGCACCTGCGCCGACGCAGACTGGCCAGCCAAGCGACTGCAATGCGTGGTATGTTGCTCAGTCGGGCGATGGATGTTATGCCATCGCCACGGACAATGGCATTAGCCTAGACCAGTTTTACGAGTGGAATCCCGCCGTGGGAGGTAAGTCACCATGACCTTTTTCAGAATGCCATGCCATGGAGCACTAGGAAACTAACGGTATCAAACAGACGATTGCGCCAATCTCTGGCCAGACGAGGCTTATTGTATCGGGGTGGCAAACAGCTCCAGCACTGCTACTACTACTGCGACGCCAACCACGACGACCACTGCCACGACGACCTCGGTCACGCCTCCTGCGGATACGCAGAGTGGTATTATCTCAACCTGTGATGAGTATGCCGTTGCCGAAGACGGAGAAGGGTGCGATACCTTTTATGACGAGTACAACGTCACCAGAGAGGAGTTCTTGGAGTGGAACACGGCTGTCACGGATTGCGCTACCGATTTCTGGGCTGGTTATGCGTACTGCATCGGCGTCTCTGAAGATTGAAACCGTGTCTGGGTGGGCTGTCGGAGGAGCCATCGTATTCTCTAATCTATAACAACTATTGTAATAGATTTCGACAGCGAATATAATTTAACAGAAACAAGTTTGGTTGTTACGTGCTGCTGTAACTTTATGCTTTGCCACTGCTGCCAACACCGAACAAGAACAAATGCGATGGGACAAATGGTATTAGTTGTCGACGACAAGAAGCATGTAGGACCGACCCAACAAGAACCCGAGACGCATAAGGACTTGAACGCATAGCTCGAGTAAATACCACGAAACAGTCAGACGGCACCGCAGATCAAAGATGGAAGGAAGGGCATTCAAACAGCAGAGCTGTTCAAATTGCGAAACGTAATCAATCCTTCGGTCAAAGTGGTTATTTCAAAGAGAGAAAATATACATATTGAATACATACATATTTGCGAGAAAAATAAAGAAAAAAAATTATGCTTAAAACAGCAAAAGAAAAGGTCCTCCACCACACAGGGTCGAACTGTGAGCCTCCAGATTGCATAGGGAATAACAGTCTGACGCGCTAGCCAATTGCGCCATGGTGGAACCGTATTGGTTGAGCGAGGAAGCTTTAATGACAATTATACTGTACTGTCGTAGGCCGACTCCACTCCGGTCTGGCCCGAGGTCTCGATCAGACGTTCCCAGAATCGGGGGCAAAAAAAAAACCTGGTTCAAAGGAATATGTTTGTGCTGCTTTATTAAGTATTACAGGGATCCAATACTCAGCATAAATACGACCTGGACAAGGCAATCAAATATAGGTTATCTTTTTTCCCACACTTTGTTTGCAGAAATGTTATAAGTGAGTCTGCATCACCGTCCCAAAAGGTGCCACTTGCAATGGCATTCCTTGTAGCGAACCGGGTTTGTCACGCATAAAAAGGTAAGCAAAAGGCTAATCGCCCGCTACATGTTATGCAAACTGCTTTGAGAGGTAAGGGAGAGGATAATTTTCCAGTACCTGCAGATACTTTCGTGGGTGACATGTTAGTAACGATCTAGCCTGCGTCGCATATAGCCAGCCATTATTCGCTGACCTGATCCCCCTAGACTGCCGCAAGCACGCGACTGAGATGAGTGTCATTTAGCGGGTGTATCACTCGGAAGTTTCTTCCATAACGACGGTGCTATTAAGACCTATGGCTTTTGGTTGCAAACCATAAAATGGCCCGTATGATACCTCCCTACTGTCAATCGGGCATCGTATACATATCGGTCACGACTAAGGCAAATCAATATTGGAGGAAGCCGTGGCCGAGCAATAGGGACGTATCACTGGGTTAATAATACATGCAAAATGTACATTGGGGAGAATGTCAAGCACTGAAGAGAGAGTTTTATACGTAGCAAAAGTAAAGTTCATAAGAGGGAAACATCTTATCACCCTGCCGCGATCTAGTATCAAGGAAATGGGTGTAGAGAAGGGAGAGAAAAAATTGCCCAGAATCCACTAATGGGAAGTGGGAAAAAGGCAAAAAGAAGCACAGGATGACCAGTGCCGGGCTCGATCCGGCGACCTTCAGTGTGTTAGACTGACGTGATAACCAACTACACCAACCGGCCGTTGAATTGGTGTTGACACCAATCCAGACGTGATTCGTTGGGGACGATGCTGATACAATTAATTATGTAGCAAGACATAAAACTCTGCGTAATAGAAATGCCGCATTTTTACCCCGCCACGGGAGACGCCGAACTGTAGCGATTTCGGCGTCTTGCCATTTGACACTGCACCCATCAGGGCGCTGTGAGCAATATGGACGGCTGCTTACAGCTCTTCGGAGGGCTGGGCCTCGATTAAAATCGTAGCAAAATGCCAAATAGTAATGAATTACCACACATCAAAGGGACCCTCAAATATTTCTTTCGCCATGGCAACAGCGGGGACGGCGCCGTTCCGCGGACTGCCCCGATCTCGCGGCCAAACTCGCATCGCGCCGGCGTCTTGTTGAACTACGGGGTAATTTTTGGCCAGTGCCAGCCTCTAGCCAATCGGAGAAGAACTGCTTGACATTTAATGCCAATCACGCCTTTTAGCTTTGAATACATGATTTAACAGGGTGGTCAATCCAGAGGTATACAATTTGACGGGCCGCTTCTGTATAAGATACCACCATTTTCCGATCAATTGACGCTCCTATAGCTCTGAGTTAACGAGCGGTATTCAGAGGTGCCTGATTTTGTCCTTCACACAGTCCCTTCTAGTTTTTGGGTCCACAGTCACCATTCACAATGGATTCCAAGCAGTTTCGCGAAGCTGCTGTTGCTTCCATAGACGAAAGTGAGCAGTTACACTATACTTAGCCGGGCAAACCATTGCTGACCAGCCTTTATAGTCGTCAAGTACTACGACACCATTGAAGAGCGTCCTGTGGTGTCTACAGTGGAGCCCGGATACCTGAGGAAACTCTTGCCAGATCATGCGCCCGAGGACGGTGAAGCATGGTCGGATATCCAAAAGGACGTCGAATCCAAGATTGTTCCAGGACTTACACACTGGTACGAAAACGCCCATCAGCGTTGAGGATAGACGGTATGGTTAACGGCCCCAATAGGCAATCACCCAACTTCCTAGCATGGTTTCCCTCCTCGTCCAGCTTCCCGGCAATGCTGGGTGAAATGTACTCGACTGCCTTTACTGGCGCGGCATTCAACTGGATTTGCTCCCCTGCTGTCACGGAGCTCGAGACTATTGTCCTGGATTGGCTTGCCAAGGCCTTTGCGCTGCCCGAGTGCTACCTGTCCAACGGCTCTACCCACGGCGGCGGTGTGATCCACGGCACCGCGTCCGAGGCCATTGCCACCGTCATGGTCGCTGCCCGGGACAAGTACCTCCGCGAGACGACGCCCGGCCTGTCGGGAGAGGAGCTGGAAGACGCCATCGCCATCAAGCGCAGCAAGTTGGTGGCACTGGGCAGCGCCGCGACGCACAGCGCGACCAAAAAGGCAGCCATGATCACGGGCGTGCGATACCGATCAGTGCCAGTGCACGCCAAGGACGGATACAAGCTGACGGGCGAGAGTCTGCAGGCCACCATTGAGGAGCTCCGGGCCAAGGGCCTCGAACCTTTTTACCTGACGGCGACGCTGGGCACCACGGACACGTGCTCCACCGACGACTTTGACTCCATCGCCGACGTGCTGGCCGAGCTGGCGCCGCCGGGACCCGGCGAGGTCTGGGTCCACGTCGACGCCGCCTACGCCGGGGTCGCCCTCGTGTGTCCCGAGTACCAGCACATTGCCGCGCACCTGGACCGCTTCCACAGCTTCAACACCAACCTGCACAAGTGGCTCCTGACCAACTTTGACTGCAGCGTGCTGTGGGTGCGCCAGCGCAACTGGCTCATCGAGGCCCTCAGCGTGACCCTCGCCATTCTACGCAACGACTACACGGACTCTGGGCTTGTGACCGACTACCGCGACTGGCAGATCCCCTTTGGTCGGCGCTTCCGCAGTCTCAAGGTCTGGTTCGTCATCCGCTCCTACGGTATCAAGGGTCTGCAGGCGCACATCCGCAAGCACGTGGGCCTGGGCGAGAAGTTTGCCGAGCTAGTCAAGACGAGAAGCGATCTCTTTGAAATCGTGACGGGCCCGAGATTCGCCCTCACGGTGTTCAAGCTCAAGGGCAAGGGCGACGTCACCACCTTGGAGGAACAGAATGCTCTCACCAAGACGGCGCACGATGCGGTCAACAATGAGGGCAAGATCTTCTTGTCCAGCACGGTCGTTGGAGGCGTCTTTGCCATGAGACACTGCCCTGCAACGCCGTTTGTGGAAGAAGAGCACGTCGTGAAGCACTTTGAGGTGTTGGTTGCAGCAGCTGAAAAGGCACTGGCATAGACGAAACACACACTCGAAAGACTTGCAAATAGATGGCCAATACATGTAGACTTGGTTCTTGATTACTCTTATATACATGCAAAAATAAATATGTTTCGTTATTCATACACGTGATGCTTCATCAGTCGTGACCCTCCGCCCAATTGGAAAAAGCGGTTTTCCCATGATTTTTATCTTCTGTTTTCGTGATGACTGTTGTAATTCTCTTTCTCAATGCGTCTGGCCCGCAAATGACATCCTGTATAACTCCTTGCAAAATACAATCAAAAGCGTAAAAATTGTAGCGAAATCGTGCAAATGGATCAAAAAGAATCGCGACGGCTGCTTCGTCTCAGACTGCCGTCTCGTCTATCTTCGTAGCGGACATCGTTTCGATAATCGACATACTCGTCACGGTAGCCGCGATATTCGTGATCGCGATAGTCCATCCGTCGCGGGTCGTCCCTGTACGCCAGACGTGGATCGTCTCTACTGTACTCATCGCGACCGCGTCTCGACGACCCATCCCGCACGTCATCGTAGCGGCTGCTTCCTCGGTCGCTTCGCTCGTCGCCGGGACGCCAGCTGCCATCGCGGATCTGGTCCTCTCGCCTCTGTCGGCGGCGCTCCTCGCGTTCTTTTTCCTTCTTTTCCTCTTCTTCCTTGCGCTTTTCGCGCTTTTCTACTTGTTGCTCAATGTTCCAGATCAGACCGATGCCTAGAGCCGCGAGCAGGAGTGGCTCCGTGTAGCCGTAGCCGTGCTCCTTCTCCAGTTGCTTCCGGCGAGATCGGTGCTCTGGGTCGGCGCGAGAAGGGAGAACCTTGCGAGGATCGGGCGGCGAGAATCTGCCCATGTTGGAATAAATATAGGTATATCGTTGTATATGCGTTTGATTGATTGATAAACAGGCAGCAAGATTTTATTGCGCCAATGGAATATGATCAGAAAGGTATGAATAGTGTACAAATCAAATATGGTAGATGAAGTAAATGGCCAAGTCTAGAAATGTAAAGGTATATTGGTCTCGGTGAAGTTGTGTATTGATCACTGGTATGTAAGAAGAAGTAGACTACACAACGCCAAGAAGGAAGACAAGGGTGGGGACATGGTATATAGATATATGTGGTTTCTCAGATGGACGGGTGGTCACGATGACGACCCCCAAATATTGTAATAATGCAGATACCTACCGACCAACCGAGACCTACCTACCTAACCTTTTAGGTCCCGACGGGGAATGACGGCGATCTGCAGGGTCCGGGTGGGATTCCCACCATAATGCTCCGAAGACAATTGGATGGCTGGATGGGAAAAGGTCATTTGAGACGCAATACTGAGAGGAGAAGAGAGGAGAGGATTTCATCATCGACCCTCGGCATCGTGTGTCCGTTCGTCTGGTTTGGCGACGGCGGCCACTGGAGGAGATGCAGAGAGGGGTTTCACAAAGAGGAACAGGGGGGGCTTTCAGTCCGGGGAGTTTTGGGGGGAGGAGAGACTGAGACTAGTGATGTCATGGCTCGATAGACGAAGGACGAGGTGCATGAAGCTGCAGAAGTAGAGTGCCAGCCATAGTGGGCTGACCGCTAGAATGTTCATCTGTCAGTGGTAGACCCCTGCAGTTCTCAGCACGACGTGGACGTGGTTGGGTGGCTGTCTCGCTAGGTACGGTCTAGCGCAATCCGACGCCCGCGCATTCTTACTCTCAGCGTGTGGGATGGGCGGCCAGTCCCTCGCGCTCACCTCTTCTCTTCTTCCAGGCGGCAAGTTTGGTAAGGAATCGAATCCCTCGGGTCTCGACGTCAATTGCGGTTGCTGCCGCTCCACATTATTACCGTTTTATCCTAGAACATGGCTCTTGGTCTTGGGTAAAATCCATTTCAACTTTCAATACCGCAACTGTACAAGTTAACCTTCTTATTTGGTGAGATGGATATTTAATTTTAATCATGGTTTGAGCCACAACTCTGACCTGTCGGGTTCCTTGGTAAATAACTTTGGTTCGTATAACCTTGAAGTGGCCTGGAAAATGATCAAACTGGATTGTCATCATGCTGTGGGATGCCGGTGTACCACATCATTCATGGGTTCCTACACATAATATGACGAACACCAGATCTGCCTGGAGCTGATGTGATCAGATTCGCAGCAGTACACCCAAGTGACATCCTCACTGTCCCAGGTACAATAAGAGTAGATTTGGACATGGACGTGAGGAACGATTATTCTGTCGGTTGCACACGGATCAAAGTTGCGGATTTCCACCGAGACAGATCAGAAGGCATCTCATCATTTTAATTGCGCAAGACGGGCGGTGAATAGGGCCAAGGGCAAAATCCGTCACCAATGTTTCTTGTCGCGTGGCACAGAAACACATCAGGATGCTGACGACATGACAGGGTATGCGTGTATGTGCACCGGTAACAGAATAAGACACGTTTTATTGACACCATTTGTTTTATGCTCACTTCGAGAAGACAGGAAAGACTATTTGCAAAGTGGCAGAAGTTAGTAGCGGAGGTATCTCTCCAAACGGCGTTGACAACGCGAAGATCACTGGAAGACCTGGGGAGATTTGTTGACATGATATTGCCTTGCATCATTACAATACCAGCTCGAGTCATCTAGAAAGATATCTGCTTACAAACCACGTCCCAGCAGCCCTTTGTATCATTAATGTATGCCCTTGGCTCTCTATCCCCTGTTCTTTTCATTCTTACAACTTTCCCGTCTTACACCAGACTCATAGTGCATAGCATGGTTTCAAAGTCCATTAGTAGTAATGATGAAGATTCTTGTAGCAGGAACAAGCTCAAAATCAATGACAGGATTGATTACAGGGAAATTCTAGCATCTTATTCAACACCCATCGTCTAGACTATAGTCTAATGAAAAGAATTCTAAAATGGAACGTCAATCCCTGAATAAGATACAACATTTCCTCCCTCACGACCACAATGATTCACAGTCATATTAAGCCTTCATCCGAGTATGAAACACGGTCCTCAGCATGTAATGCCGAAATCCGCGCCCCAAATTGCGGGTGTTGAGGGAAGGTCGTCGTTGGACATGTTCTGGAATAGGATGGAGTGGAAGCCCTCGGGAATGGGGTTGCCGGCATTGAACCTGCCAGTAATGACGGTGGCAAGAGTCGTGCGGGAAGAGGGAACACACTCGACCAAGACATCTGAGGTTGCAGAGTTAGCGAAGCCCATCATCATGAGATCAAAAGAGATGAAAGAAACGCTTACCAGTGCCCTGAGGGCTAGAGAAGTGGAGGCGAGCCGAGCCGAGCCGGCCGTGGCAGCTATCCTAGGCAGCTTGGTTGGCCTCGGTGCAGCGAGATGTGCGGGAGCTGAGGATGGTTCGGGTCTTGGTGCTTTGGAGGACCAGACCGGTGACGGTGGCCGTGGCGGCACCGATGCCGGCATATGCGGCCTCAGGGATCAGGGCAAGGAAACCAGCCGAAGTGACCTGCACAAGGGCAACGGCGGCGACGGTGGCGGTCTTGCTAAAGGAAATCATTTTTAATGAGGGTTGATGTAGAGTGTTGGGTTGATGTAGAGAGTTTTGGACGGAGGTTGATTTAATTCTTGAGGTAGGGTCAAGGTCACGAGGAGTTTTATTGTCGTTGTGCTGGTAGTGATTGTGGTTCTTGTATAACTGTTGATGAGAGTGATAAATTGAATCGAATTCGAGGTAACGAGAAGAGCCATCTTATGCATCACGAGTTACCAAACATCCGCCACTATTATAGACTCTATATTCCCATTGATTACACTAAGTCTATCATGGCAAGAACCTTCATACAAGGCTTTGCACTCGGAATAGCATCAGATCTGCAACGGACTTGGTCGATATTCGGGTGGACTCATCCTTCAGAGCAAAACCTGGTGATGGATTCATCTTGAAACTTTCTAATTTATCCATTGTCATTGGAATCAACGTTTGTCACTCCAATATATCTTCATTATCTGTGGTAGAATAGGCAAATAAAGCGAGCGGGAGCTTTGATACTCCGAAATCCTTCCATGGCACCATAGTACCAGCTTGATGTTACACGAGGCGAAGAGTTCAAGGGCAGATGGCAATGGTATCGGAGTGGATCATACATCATCGCCAAGTTTATACAGTTTGATAGTTTGCCTTGATTGAAGCTTTGGTCCCAAAGTATTCAGTGCACTTCTGGACGAGGAGGATGACACAGTGCAGCACAGTCACTCGCAACCCATGCGAGTGGACCACAACCTTACAGAGATTACAGAGATCGCATCTAATTCATTTTTCGGAGATATGAAAAAGGTATAAGCAGAGATGTGTACACCATGAGGATGGACATTACCGCTCCGGCGATTGGACGGAAGCCAAAGCCTCTACAGCGGGGCTAGCTTGAGTGCCGGTCGCCGCACTATGCGGCACAGTTTATAGCAGTGGAGCAATTCTCCGGCGGCGCAGATAATAGAGAGGCGCTGGCAATGACCCATACGGTGGAGATTCTCCGGAGAAGGATGCAATCCATCAAGTACAGAACAAGACATCAATGCGGACATTGATCTTTAATGTAAGGTTCCTTTTGAAGTTCTTTACTTGGTCGGCACTTCGTTCTTATATCCCCTTGCAAAGCAGGTTACCCATGAAGATCTGCCGATGTCAAAGTGAACCGGTTGCGACTGAAGATATCTACCGAGCTACCACCAAAAGGCCCCTGTCGATTATCCTTCTGTGTTCACTCTCTTACTTACCCATTACCCTGTTGTCTCGCCAAGAATAGGACAACGCGATAACCGTTGCATGTGGAGGTCATGCATAGAAGGCATGGAAGAAATCACGATCATCGGGTCTTTTGGAAAGCGATGCTTACATGCAAGGCGTGCAGGGAGCACTTGTATGCCTGATTATTCGGTTAACTTTCTTCAATGAGAGTTTGGGCTTCGTGAAAATATGCCTGCCACGATTTGTTTACCTAGTATGATGGATATGGACAGAGTATCATATTGGTACCTAGTCCTGCAGCTCAAGCGTCGTTGCATCATTACAATCATTAACTGGCATTCATAGTAACTTTTATCACTCATCAACTTGAATGTTTACCTGTTCTCATAGAATTGACCGAGGTCGGAAATTCTATATATGGATCTGGGGCAGTAGTGTCGAATGTATGAGTCGACCCGCCATAACGTTGAAACACCATACTAGCCAGTGGAGCTGGCTCGTGCATATGATCACCAACGACTTGGCTGCGTTCTCAAGGTGGATTCAAGACTGCATAATTGCGTCACTCGTACAAGGTACAGAGTATACACAGCCTCATTCGAATCTAGTGAAAGTATTGGCGGAGTTTAATATGTCTAATGACCATCATATTCTTACTATGAAATTTATCCCGTATCAAAGAACCCAGTGGGCTTTCTTGATTCTATCACCTCGATTTATATCCGAACCAGGATTCTTTTTTCTCGAAAAGCCTACATTCATAGAGTTATCTTGAATCACAAGATGGATATCTCTTTGGATTCTCCAAGTCCGCCCGTGAACATGCTCAGAGGGCATGTGACGGCGGAGTCGACGACGTTTACGATTCACTGTCATGACAGGATCTTCAAGCAAGTCACTGCTGTAGATGACTCCGGAAGAACAGTATTCCGTTGCGAGGGCCAATCGTACGGCTCTTCCTGGAGCTGGCGACGCAAGGTATACGACGGCACCGGGCAGCACCTCTTTGACCTCCGCCACAACAGTATCGACATCAAGAATGGCTGGGTAGTTGAGACTCCCTTGAAAGAAAAGGTGTGCTCACTGGATTTCACGTCGTTTTGGACCAAAGGGCCAGCCGCCATCACGGCAAAAGTCCGCACCCAAGCTGGCGAGGACGTTGTCGTGAGGACTCATCCCCAGGACCACTCCGCACTCACAACGACTCTTGGCGTGGATGGCATCTCATTTGCTTCCATTACCAAGCTCGAGGACAACGATGTTGTTCATATGGAAGGAAGGGACAGAAGTGTCTGGAAAGTCAAAGTTGCCCCTGGGGTCGACCTCAGTTTGGTAAGTTCGCGCCGTGTTTTCCTGACTGTGTTGCTAATTTTATCCAGGTCCTGGCCATATGCTTATGCCGGGCTGAAATGCTACATGTTTGGAGGAAGTAGAGTTATGGCTAATCAGTATTTAATTTCATGCAAAGATTCACTGGGTGTTCAATGCCTTCATTTCGAATAACTTTTTTTTTTTTTAAAAAAAAAAAAAAGAAAAGAAATTAAAATTTCCTTTATTTCAAGCGTTTACGAAAGTAGAAAATAGTATGCAGTGACCCCATTATACTGGCATCGCGCATGTCTGCTGCGAAACTTGAATAGATTGTGAGAGAATGGCTACAATGCATGTGTATAGCCGATGATCTAAAATAGCTTCTTCGAATTGCTACAAATTATAGCACGAGAGCCGTGGTACAGGTGGCTGAGAATGCATGAGCATCCGACTTTGATCGACAGATGGATGTCAATTGTTTCAAAAATGGTCATAGTTCCTCCATCATAGAGAAGATCTAGCACGCAAATGGCAATGTTGCATTTCGTACACTTGTATTAGTGAACCTTGAAGCCTGGTCACAACTGTCGGTACATGGATAAGAGCTTGGGCTATAGCGTATCTAGGCACTAAACTCCTAGTCAATGGCCTAGGTATGCACCAGGTACGGCGTTATGTCACCTTATGGCCGTCCGTCTCAGCAACTCAACACCAGCGAAGTCCGATGAAGATGCACCAAAAGCAATGCAACTTTTCGTAAGTATTGGGTCTGTAACGTAAAGATCTGATCACTAATTCTCCTCTTTTATATCCTTTGCGTCCTCTTTAGGATTTGTTTGCACTTGCGCACACGAACTCTTTGCTAATCATTTCGACCACGAGCCGAGTTCGTGCCCCGCGTTGGCAGCTTAACTCCGGATAGATTCAATGTTGCCAAATGCACCACCTCCTCGTCGCCTCCGAGCCGCCTGTGATACTTGTCATGATCTCAAAGTCCGGTGCTCTGGAGAGTCTCCGTGTATGGCTTGCGCTGAGAGCAGCGGAACCTGCGTGTATAGTCCCGTGGGTCGTCGCGGCCGGCCGCCTGGCGCCAAGAATAAACCAAAAAGCCATTTCATTGAACATTCAATGGCCGCAGACGAGTCGACTGATGGGAGCCATCTTGAATGGTTGAGAACCAAGTCATCAAAGGTTGCAAATAGCAAGGACCATCGGCCAGTGATACCCACATCCAACGTGCCACGACATCAGTATCAAGAAATTAGACCTCGGAAGCAAGCAACATTACAGCCCAGCGCGATTACAGAGGAAGATCATGCCACTAGCGACCCTCAGCAGCCAGTCCGACGTGAAGATTTCCACTTCACCGATGAGAGCCACCCCAGCATCATAGACCAACCGATTGATTGGAAAACCCGCCTTCACCCATTCTCCAATATTTTGGTTGGGAGATGGGATTGGCCGCAGCCGCAATAGTTTCCTCGGCCTTGGCGATGCAGTAAAGGATATATGCTAGCGACACAGCTTTGGCGGGACAACTGGGGCGATGGCTGGCACGATGAGATGGATTTCGGCCGTGACGACAGATCATTATAGTCTAATTTCAAAGGTGGTTTACTAAACAATATATATTCGAATTAAGCTTTTCGTTCTCCCTGTGTGTCCGGACCATAAGTTCCTGACCGTGAATTCGCATGCTACAATCCATGCTCCTGGAGAGTAAGCAGAACCTAGGCCACAGAGTCATTCCCAAATTCGAATCTTTCACCCCAACATTCTGTGCCAAAAGCAGTTGCAATGAAATTCTACATTCATAAACGTCTAATAATTAGCCACGAATGCTACAATCAAGCGAGTCATTCCGGTGGAATGGCAATGTCCGGTCCCCGGGGCATCTGACAGGACCTGTATTGAACCATTCAAGACCAGACGGGATCCGGACCAATAGCGCCGTCGGGTCGCCGACCTGCACCAATCGGCGTATATTTCTTTTCGCCTGCTGTTCCCGGCGCAACCCCGCCGTGACTGGCGAACATGATAAAAACGTCCCGCCAAAGGCTGTATATCTAGAGCAAGAGCACTACTATTACCCTCACGGGCATTACGGCGTTTTCACTTGACGCATAGGTTTTCTCGGTGCTTGAAGGATGGGCTGGAAAATGTGCACGCTTGTCTCAATGGCACGGAGTTGCGGTTGAACTCACGGCCAATTTTTCAAATACGTCCTTTCGTGTTGTCGTGGATAAAATCGTGCGCAGTCCTTTGACTTACATTTCTCTTGGCCGCTCAACATTTTCCTCATTGGCGCAAATCTAGAATTAATGGCTTCATCTTACCACCTCAACATGGAAATGGCCAAAGCGAGTACTCAGCCATCCGGCAAAGATGCTCCCGGAACTGAAACAAAAGTACCCCATCTCAGGCTCGTCTTTTCGCAGAAATGCATCAGTCCCGAGGTCATCGATCATCCGTTTCCGGGTTCAGGTACTGAAATTGACCCATACATGGTAGACTGGCTGCCCAATGATCCTAGGAATCCTCACGAGATTGCAACGGGAATGAAATGGCTAATCACCATGATCATGGCATTTGGCACACTGTCTATTTCAATGTCTTCCAGCATCTTCTCTGGAGCACTACCGCAAATCGGAGAGGACTTTGACGTGAGCCGCCAGCTCTCGGTCGCCAGCATCTCCCTTTTTGTTCTTGGTTTTGCAGTCGGTCCCATGAGCTGGGCACCCTTGTCCGAGATCTACGGTCGCCAAATCATCTATGCCATTACTTTCACTCTAGCCACGGTGTTTGGTGGTGCGTCGATTGCTAGCAAGAACATTGCAACCCTGTTGGTCCTCCGGTTCTTCACCGGGGTTTGCGGGTCGTCTGCCATTGTGAACGCAGCGGGCGTCATCTCTGATATGTTTGAAGCAAAGGATCGTGGCTTGGCTGTCATGGTTTACACTTCAGCGCCTTTCCTTGGTCCGTCTCTTGGCCCTATTTGTGGTGGCTGTAAGTACTCAGACCCAGTGGTGTTTTCTTTTTTTTTTTAGGCACGGCGTTTTAGAGGATTATTTCCCGGTCCCCCACAACTCGTCTCGGGAAATTCAAAACTACCTGTCTACAGGAGTGATTCACAAATCTCTATGCAATCGAAAGAAACGTGCAAGGCTAATCCATTGTGACTAATTAGTCCTGGCCCAGTCTTCGGGTTGGAGATGGGTTGATGGCCTCACTGTCATCTTCACTGGCGTCATGCTCATCCTTGGTCTGGTACTTGTCCCAGAGACATATGGTCCGTATCTATTGATGCAACGCGCCAAATATCTGAGCAAATTTCATGGAAAGGTCTGCATCAGCAAGCTGGAAGCTGGTAAGCCCAATGAGACGGCCGGGACTGTCCTCAGAAATGCCATCGCCAGGCCCTGGGCTATTCTATTTCTCGAACCCATTGTTACCTTGCTTTCTATTTATTCAGCCATTGGTAAGTGTCCCCCGTCGCCTTACGATCACCTAGGTGAGCTAATTATTCCCGAACGGCAGTATATGGCATCTTGTACTTGATCTTTACTGCTTTCCCCATCATTTTCCAAGGACAGCGTCACTGGTCACAAGGTGTCGCCGGTTTATCTTACGTCGGCGTCATGGTTGGACAAATTCTAGCCATGATTATCTACGCATTCATGGAAACATCAAACCAAAAGAGAATCAGCAAGGAGCCTTCCAGACAGACACCAGAGGCGCGCCTAGATCCTGCCATTCTTGGAGGTGTCTTGTTGCCCATGGGCTTATTTTGGTTTGCCTGGACAACTCTCACATCAATCCATTGGGCTGTGAGCATTGTCGGGTCGACACTCTTTGGCATCGGGCAGGTCCTCTTGTTCATTAGCCTGATCAATTATATAATCGACACATACACTGTGTTTTCCGCATCCGCGCTGGCTGGTGCCGCTATTTTGCGCGCTCTATTTGGAGCAGCCTTGTAAGACGACGCTTCCCAAAAATGATTGATTGCAACAGTCATGTGCTGACTTACCGGTTCCAGTCCTCTCTTTACGACAAACATGTACGAACGCCTCGGTATCCAGTGGGGCTCGTCAGTGCCGGCATTCCTGGCTCTAGCCTGCGCCCCCATGCCATTTTTCTTTCGCAAGTTTGGAAGGCGACTTCGTGAGCGCAGCAAACTGGCACAGGAAGCTCACAAGACAATGACTCGGATGATGACGCGCGGTGCGCAAGTGGTGGAGAAGGAGCTGGTGGTTTCTTCTGATGGCCGCTTCCAGGATGAGATTTGACGGTACAGCTTCTCAAATTGTTTACCTAGGGATGGCCAGATTCGGAAAGAGATGACTTTCAAAGGTAGTCTTGGAAAGACAGAACCATATTTGTATGGCAGGGGCCTGCTGTAAGGATGAGATTTCCTCAGCGCTCGGCGATCGAGACTACGGCTAGCAACAGCCACGTCATGTGCCTCGAGCGCGTCGTATTTTTCCTGCCTATTGAAGGTTCAGGATCGTCTTGACGTAGAGATGATGGAGGACAAGATATGATGCATGGGAAATTCGTTCCCTGCGCACCATTCAATTTTGCGTCTCATGCATGCGCAGTTCAAGACGCTTTCAGTCAAGATCGAATAAATTATGTTCAATCCGGCGATGCCTCGTTCACATCAAGATCAGCGTCAAGTCAGGTGAAAACGCATTGATGCTCCCCGCCATGAATCTATCTGTACATATGGAGCCCAGAAGTCTGCAGTTGCCTGCACTAATCTACCATGAGTATTGTGGAGGGAGGCACAGAGAAATCCTTGGTCCTTCAATCGTCTTTCTTTCGTGCATAGCGACTGCTGGTGTTTCCCCCCGATACTATGTAGCAACCACGACGGTTGTTGTTGTTGTTATTATTGCAGCATCCCTCTCAAGTATTTATTAACCTTTTCCAACCCAAACTTCCATCCTTATTCTTTCTCCTTCTTCACTTTTCCTTTCAAGCATTTTATTCCTTCAAGCATTTCATTCTTTTCTACCACATTTTCTTAGGCAGACACCAGTCACATCATCTCCCAAGCCTAATCTCTGGTTCAAGATATGAGGTTGATGGTGCGCATGCGAGTGGCTCGAGCAACTACCTCATCAATATCTATGTCTTATGGATTTGGACTGACCTTCCGCCTGTATGTCGTAATGGTGCACAACTACTCGCGATTCGTCTCACAATAGGCTCTTAGGATGAAGACAGCTCCGATTCCTACATATGTTCCGATCACAGCCAACACCAAACACTACCCAGATCCAATAACAAATTTATACGTGGGATACCATGTTCTGTGAGAACCCATTGCGAAACGTGGGCGAGATGTTTGAAATCGCTTGGGTCATCTGGTTTGCGACGATAGCGTTCCATTTCTTCGCTATGATGCGCAACTTTACACAACAGTCTTTTCCACTCTACTATCGGTTTCAATCAACAAGACCTTTACTTGCCTACCTATTGCATGGGTCTGCTGGAGACAGCGAGATACCATCTGTTAGCGACTCCAACTCTGACGTCAACAACTCGCGAACCACGACATCTCTCTGCCCCAACTGGCGGCGACACCAGAAGAGTTTGAAAGAAAAATGAGGACTGGATCGGCTCAAAGGAGTCTGGCACAATTGGCTAGCTTGGCAGATTTTTGGGTTATCGAGAGCTGGTCATCACAGAAGCAGATAGAAAAGAATAATATGAATTTCTTGGCTTTTTCTAAAAGGAAAGAAAGAATCTCTTTCTATATATTACAGTTAAAATGTGATGAATGTGGTATCAAAGAATTACTTGGGATCGACTTTTGGTCGAGTCGCTGGAAACAAGACATTTTTCTGCAAATGTTGAAGCTTGAAAGATCAGGCAGCTTTTCGCTCTACTCTGAGCGCCGTGTCCAACAAGATCAAAGCCGTCGAGATGGCCATCAACTGCCAATTGGAACCGAGAGCGGCGGTCGTGGCGGTCCCCAGGAAGGCAAAACGCCATTCCGACAGAGCAGTTTCAGAGTTTGTAAAGACAGCGACAATCTCTGCACCATTTTTTGTTCTCGGCCAGGCTCCTCGGGGGCCCGGTATCTGCCTCGTCAAGTCGTCCTGAACAATGCGGACCAATTTCCATCCAAGCAGACCGAGCGAGTCGCCGCCTAGCGACGCGCGAATGTTTTCATTATTACTAGAGCGCCATTCGAATTCCTCGAGTCGATTGTGCACATCCGTCTCGATGGAGAACCTGAGCAGAGGCCGTTTTTGAGCACGCCAGTCGCTAGGTGCTGAAACGATCAAACTCGCATTGGGCTCGGCGTGGCTTGGCAACCTTACGCTCCACGTCTTTGGCTGGAATGACCGAAACGACGCCAGAGAATGATCCTTGAGGGAGATGCCATTGTGCAAAATCACGTCGGGTTTGTTGCCGCTTCGCTGCTCCCTTCTGCTGATGGCATACAGCGGCCGGTGACGTGTGGATTCTCCCAAGAGCCACTTGACTGCCGAATCATGACTGTTGGGCCATATACTGAATCTTTCTGGGAATGAATAACCGCCACGGGCACGGTCGAGATGCGCGAATGCCTGTTTGATTGCGACGACATCCGAGTAGGATGGAGGTGGTTCCGAGTCGATTGACATTTGAGCGGCCAGTTTGTAGTATATTTATAGGCTTGGAGCGCCTAATGTAGTTGTAGGTGACACCACCACACTGAACGAAGAATTGGCGGAGAAACTTGGAGCGCAAGGATATATATTTCAGCAGAAACACACTGCTCCAACGTTGCGCACCAAGATTTTCTGATTGAATAAATCTTATGTTTAGATAAAAAGAAGAAGATAATCAAAGAAAAAAAAACGGGACCGGGGACACTGGCTGGACCCAGATTCATGTATCAACTCCCCTTATTACCCCAGAATCCATTCACGTGGAGTTTCTTCTTTTCTTGGTGCCTTGGCGCATTTTGGGGGGCTCGGTGATTTGGTTTTCTGGGTGGCTCACAGCCATCAGCCAAGACACTCCAGTGGACTTGGCTCACGCCATTAGAGGCTCCATGGTCATTCAGCTTAAAACCTTGGCGCAAATGACCCTTAACCAAAAGATTCCAGAGCGACATTTTCAATTCATTTTGGTGACTCTTTAGGGGACCTCCAGGTTACAGAAGATGGACGCGGCTCTCCGACGCCGGAGTTCTCTGCGCTCGGCGGGTGAGGGCCAAGGTCAAAATCGTCCCACCTCCGGGAAGAAAACCGTTGGGTTTGCATATAATCTGCACGTACAGATACTGCTCTAGATTCTTGGCAGCCATGGCTCATTTTAATCCAAGAAGCTCTCGGTAATCTGTCGAGCCGACACCTGTCAACTGCCTGCCGGCAATTCACCTCCCTAGGGGAATGATCGCTGAACGTTTGGTTCATCTTCCTCTACAATGCTCCTGCCCACTTGCCGGTCGCGATACTACTAGTCGACCTTATCCGTCTCCGCGAACCGCAAACTTGTTTATTAGAGGTAGGAATCATTCATTCCCTATCGTCTCTTTCACCATGGCCAGGACACTCTGTCTTTAGCTGTTTTGTCTGTCTGTTCTCTTCCCCATCTGAAGCAGAAGTGACTAGGGCCAAGTGATGAAGAAGAAGATCAACACAAACGCGAAAGCGAAAGCGACCGCGAATGCGAACGTTTGCAGCCAGGGAAAGTAGGGCATGGAGCAATGTCTGGGATTCGCAGTCAATTTGACACTGACGATCGCTACTCTTTCTTCAGCTTTGAAGGCATGACCATTGACAATTCCAACAACAACCACAACAACACGAATCCAGCTGCATCTGCATCATCATCATCATGACCCTTTCTTGATCATCATGATTGACAACAAGTCTGGTCAGCAATAGCTGCATTGAGCCGTGCCTTGGCCGCACCATTGACCACCATATTACAAAGACATGAACCCGGGACCAGTATAGTATCAGAGGAGCGACGATACGACTTCTATCTAAAATAAAGAGTAAAATTAAAGATGGCCTACATCTACGAAAAGATTGTGTGAACAAACAGACTAAACAAGCCCTTCCCGATGTGTCACCCGAAGGGTGCCGCACAACACAGCCACGCTATGGCGCATCAAGCGAGGATATTTCATTGCTTATCACGTACATCCCGTGTGAAACGAGGCGCGCCCACTAGCCCTTCCCTGTCGACTTGAGCGCGCCTATAGTCACCGTCCTCGTCGTCCTTGTAATGTTCGGTTCGCTACTGTATAGAGCGGTTAGTCAGATACTCGACAAAGGTTCTTTCAACGGGCGGCTTCGGGACCAAATTACAGCCGCTGGTGCAGAACTAATTACCTCCCTCCGCGATAAAAACAGCCCTTTACGTTGCCGATGATCAACTAGGAGAGGGAAGGGGGAGATAAAAGAGGATGGAGACAGAAATACTCGGATTTACGTACACGGTCGAGAAGGCGGTCAAGAAGGTCATGTGTCCGACCGTTTTGCCTCTCAACGTCCCGAACACACTGATATAGATCTCGTAGACTAACCAACATCTCCTCCTGGCGCTTGGCGAAGTTGTCGAGTGTCTCCTTGACCTCCTTGATCTGCGCATCGGCACGGTTGGCCTTTGTATTGAGCTTGGCGATGGCGCTTTGAGACCGAGCAAATTGCTCTGGCAACTGCGCTACCTGGGCATCTATAGAGGCCACGAGAGGTGCAATTGGAGGTCCCGCCGCTGCCGTAGCCGATTGGACCATTAGCTGGCCTAGTGCGTCGGCCATTGCAGACGCTCCGGTCTTGAACTCAGCCTGCCATGGCGAAGGCGACGGCATCAAAGGGGGGGCAGGGCATGGGAGGGGGCGTAAGCCAGACTTGATGACTGGACTGTGTGGCGAGCTGCCAAGATCTTGTGAGTCGCGGATGATGGAAGGAGCGGAAGTCAGCGGACCACCGAGCGTCTTGGTCGCGGCTATCTTCCTAGAAGCAGTATGCCTCTTTGGTGGCGGGGTGTTACTCCCATCGTCGTCGCTGTCAATACCTGCTGGTCTTTTCGGTTGGTCCGTCCTAGCAGAGGCATCTGGTCGCTCCGTCTCTGCGGAGACATCTGGCTGCTCCAGCCCTTTAGGCTTCTCGGAATGCCCCGTACGGACGGAGGAGGCCCGCTGTGTTTCAAGAACTGCGCCGCTGTTTACCATTGAAAGCCACGGGTGTAGATAAGCCAATGCACCGTGGTCGGGAGTATATGCAGGCTCAACTTTAGCAGCGACCGAGGACATATAAAGGAGATGCTTGAGCGGAATCTGAGTTCCTTTGACGGAAGCCGGTACGCGGGAGAAAGGGCCGTATTTTGCACTAAACGAACTCCATTCTATACTCAAGGCGGTCTGAGCATTAGCCCAACGTGCTTGCAGCATCTTGCTCGTATGGACTCGGATCTGCAAAAAGGTAAGTTTATAAGATAGACGAGAACTGCAACAAGCTATATAAAAAGGCGGGTATAAGATAATATTAAAGAAGAAAGGGCAAACCCCTATAATCCATATATAAAGCTGAATAACATTAAAAATACGTACGTCATCATCTCCCATTCCGGGGTTTTGCTCTTTCAAGGCGATTTTGTGATTGCGGATCTCCTCCGTGGCATCAAGAAAATGGTTAATAAGTCGAGTAAGTTCGGAAGGGAATCCCTTGCCTATAGGAGCACAGGGTCTTTTGGCCTTGCTACACTTATCGCAGGCTAAAGGGAGGCCCGGATCCTTAGAATGGTCTTTATAGCGACGCTGCAAATCGCAAGAGATGGTCTCGTATGTATATTTCGGGCATTTCTCGCTTTTATGCTGTAGCAATAAACCAAGGCAGTGAACACAGCACTTATAAGTGTTCACAAGTTTCGGATCCGCCCATGCCGAAGAAGGGGACATATTGCCAACAAGAAGGACGATAAAGAGGCGACGGGTTAATCGAACATATAGTGGTATAGCCAGTAAAAAGGAAAAGGGAAAAGGACAGGGAAAAGATAAATGTAAAGGAGAGGAGGAAGAGGAGCGGAGACTCGTGGCAAAGCAGGATTTTCTTCTCAGCGTGAAGTTTTGCTTCTTTCGTTGAATCCTCGTTTTTGTCTTATCCTATCCTTTATATACCTAATTAGCGAGCAATGGGTTTTAGCAAGGGGTTTTATACTACAAATAAGTGCCGACGCATGTAAAGATTGCTTTTTCTTTGGGGTTGAATTAACGTAGGAGCATTCGGATACAGAGTAAGGCACAAACCGATGGACGCGTATGGCCACGGCGCCATAGCTTCATAACGTTCGCCCGCTTGTCATAATGAAGATGGACGATGAGCATAGTCAATATCTATTGTCAAGATCTTAGTTGCCTGCACGCGCTATATCCGTACAGATGTTGGCGTAGTTATAATACCTGCACGGATTGCAAGTGTATATGGCCAAGGCCAGGCGCCGCGGGTGATGGTATGCTGGTATGGAATTGTGCGATTCCAATACCCTAGCCGCCGGCAGGGGTTTTATCTATCCTGGATGGCGGACTTTAGCGGCCAGCGAGGTGTGCGGTGGTCTCCAGCATTTGTCGGTAGGTCGAGATGGAATAATACTCTATTGCGCGAATTTTGTTCCCTCCACCTTTGCTCCGGGTAAGGCGAGGCCAGCAGTCATAAGGAGCCTGTATCCGAATTGATGCCACCAACAAGAGCGGATAGCGATAGAGGGGCCGTCGTCGATAGGCAGTACGCAACGTCACCAGCGTCCGGCACGGATGCCAGAGTGCTTACCGAATGTTCCGTGGGTTGATTACGCGCTTGGCCATACTATATTGTCTAGACGCGAGACCACGAAACATTGACCAGGTGAGGGAGACGGGGTTGGGGTGTTAGCCCAGGCGCGTCGGTCAAGCCCAGGCCTCGATAGCTAGATACAATGCGCTTCGCCATTACGCCGTAGGAGGTGATATATATTGGTCGCTTCAGTCGCGTCGGTACTAGTCCGCAAAAATGCTATTATGGCTAGGCAGGTATATGGCAGTAATACACATGAAATTCCGCGCCTCGCGCATTATATATTATATGTAACGACGAGGTGAATATGACACACGCTAGCTCAACGACGCGGGCGGCTCTGTGTACGCGCAGCAGACAAAAGCTTCGGCGAGGCGAATCGAACTTGTAGGTAATTACGTCCCGGTGATATTGATATGAGAAAAATGTTCAGAGAACCAGGTTAGGCGCTACACGTAAGCTGGTGCGATGGCTTTCGGTAGCATCACTACGAATCCGGCCCCGAATGGCGACATGCGACAGTAGGCGATAGACGTGCGCGCGCGATCCGGACCAGGGTACACGATACCATCGCTTTAATGCCGTATCTGTCGTCTTTGTTTCGGCCGACGCTCCCTGCTTCATTTCGTCGCCGCCTCCTCTTGTCCGTCTCATTGGACGCCACCGGATAGTCGCATTCTGCACTGTTATTCTCAAGATTCTACGCTGACATGTGTGAGCATGGAGTGCAATTGGGAAAGAGTCTTGCATACGCCCGCTTGAGCATTGGGTTTGCAGTACATCTGGAGGGGAGGAGCGCGGGGTTTGAACTCTATTCGGAATATGCCTTACCTGGGTAATTCCGACAACTCCAAGGTCTAGATTTTACATGCATTCCAAGTCGAGGTGCCTCAGAAGAAGCCCTACTCTGTACGACAAAGACGTGGCAATACATATGCCTGGTGTGCAGTGGGCAACGTTACACAGCTGGAATATTGATTTTTGCTCTTCAAGTCGGCATGCTGACCTATGCAACGCTGGCGAATTAATGACACCCAGCCCCCATCGGCCCGGGATCACCGTTTTCCCCGTCTGGCTTCCTGGCAAAGCTTAAGCCAAAGAGACTTTGATTGATCTGCTAGCCTCTCAGAATTGGGCATGATTGTTGAATGCCATTGGGTTGTATAACGGTTTCTCCGCTTTCGAGCTGGGCGCGAAGGCATGTGATGGATTCCCAGCCGCAAAGACGGCCAAAACTCAATATACAAAGTGAGAGTATAAAAAGTGTCGACATCTCGCCAACATGGTTTGGTGAGTGATTGACATCTACAAACAGTTGCTGCACGAACCATGTATACTTTGACGCAGAAATCTTTCGCCGCCATGTTTTCCGGGCTGGCCTTGGCTACTACTTCTACGTCCCATGGACAGCGCGATGCCTACGATTATGTGATTGTCGGTGGTGGCACAGCCGGAGCTACATTGGCCTCGAGGCTGAGTCTTGGCTTGCCCGACAAGAGTATCCTCCTCATTGAAGCCGGACACTCGGCTCTCGACGAGCCCAAGATCAACATCCCCGGTTTGCATGGCTCTACAATCGGTGGCCCCTATGATTGGAATATGACCACCCTCCCGCAGAAGTCAATGAATGACCGAGTGTTGCCTCTTCCTAGAGGTCGCGTTCTGGGCGGGACTTCTGCGCTTAATTACATGCTGTGGAATCGAGCAAGCTCTGCCGATTATGATGCATGGGAGGAGCTTGGCAACGATGGATGGAATTGGGAATCCATGAGCCAGTACATGACGAAAAGCGAGGACTTCACAAACAACAACTTGACCGAAGCCGGGTCCGAGGTACGAGGCGACGAGGGCCCCATTCACACCACTATCGGCCGCTATATGCCACAACATAGATTCATGTGGCGGGATTCGCTAGAGAATCTCGGCATACAGCGAAACATTGACTCCTTGGGCGGATATCCTTGCGGAGTCTCTTTTCAACCGGGCAGTGTAGATGCCAAAACCTGGGCAAGGTCCTACAGCGCGAACGCATATCTGCCGCTGGCCGGGAGCAATCTCGAGGTGTTGCTGGATACTCGCGTGGCGCGTATCAATCTGGAAAAGTCTAGCGACAATTGCGTAAACGCAGCTGGTGTGGTACTTGAAGACGGGACAATCATTCCGGCGACCGAGGAAGTCATTCTTTCTGCTGGGACATTACAGAGCCCGGGATTGCTCGAACTCTCGGGTATCGGTGGGAAAGAAGTCCTCGACTCCGCCGGTATTGAACAGGTGATTGACCTACCTGGTGTCGGTGAGAACCTGCAAGATCATGTCGCGATCCCCTACGTTTTCAAACTAAAGGATGGATTGACTTCATCCGACAAGCTCAAATTCAACACGACATTTGCAGCCGAACAGCTTGCACTATGGAAGAACCAAGAATTCACCATTTATGATGAGCTTTTGGATGCCGTATCGCTTTTGAACTACAAGCAAGCATTTGGCAATGATTCTGATTCTGCCTTGCTTCGACTTGCGCAAGACGAGATTGGCCAATCATCCAACATACTCGACCAGAAAAAGCTAGAGCTCCTTGCCAACGACAATGTCGCAAAGGTGGAAATGGTTTTCGTCGATGAGTATCTGGGAGCGAAAAGCTATCCAATACCAACCAGCCTAGATTATGGCAGCAATTACGTAACAATGGTGACGGCGCTGATGCATAACCTTAACCGCGGGAGCGTTCACATCACTTCGTCCAACATCAGTATCCACCCCGCCATTGACCCCAATCACTTGACCCACGAGCACGACATTCAAGTCTTGGTGGAGCTGGGCAAGTTTGCCCGCAAAGTCGCCCAGACGGAGCCGCTCAAGAGCGTCCTCGCGGGCGAGTACGAGCCCGGCCCCGCGGTCGGTGGCAGCGACGAGAGCTGGCGCGGCTTTGCCCAAGAGACGGCCATTTCCTTTTTCCACCTCGCCTCGACGTGCGCCATGCTGCCGCGCGACCAAGGCGGTGTGGTGGACCCGGAGTTGCGCGTCTACGGGACGCGGAACCTGCGTGTTGTCGATGCCAGCATCATGCCTTTGCTGGTGCCGGCGCACACGCAGGCCACGACGTACGGTATTGCGGAAAAGGCGGCTGTGCTCATTATTGAGGGGGCAAAACAAAGACGTTGGGAAAATGAGCTTATTTAAAATATTTGAACACTATGGACATTTTCTTTCTACTTTGATATAGTTCAACTCGATATATGAGGTATCATCTCCTCCCTATGTAGAATCCGAGATGGCCTTGAGCTTGGCAAAGTTTGGAGTTCCCCAGCCGGTAGCTGGATCCCAGCCCTAATGTGATTGTTAGCATATTGCATTGTAGTATATGGAGTGTATAACTTACAGATGCAGCAGAGAACCCAGCGCCGCCCGTGATGACTCCTCGGCAACCGGTTGTCGATCCGCTGGCAATGTCATTGAATGCAGAAGAAGCGTTGCTGTAGAGCCAGGGGTTCAGGAAGCCCAAAGCCGCCTTGCCATCTGCCAGACGAGCAGAGTTGATGAGCTGGATGATGCTTGCAAAGATGGGCGAAGAGCAGCTCGTGCCCGAAACCGAAGTGGTGGATCCAGATACCACAATCCGAACGGCAGTAGCCTGAGCCGCGACGTCGGGGTATGCGCGGCCCGAGGCGTTGAAGTACTTGTCAACGTTGTCGTCGTTGGAGGAAAGCCACGCCTCGACGGCCGCGGACTGGTAAGAGGGCTGGCCAAAGATTTCGCTAAAGCCAGCGCCTCCAGATGTCCATGCCTGCTCGGGTGTGCCCGACGTGCCACCGACCGAGGTGATCCAGGGGCAGGCGGCGGGGAATGCGGTAGTGAAGCCGACTGATCCATCAGCAGTCTTGCACGTGGTACCGACGGAAGAGTCACCCGAGGAAGCAGTGATGGAGACACCGCGAGCGCCAATCTGCGAAAACAGGTCGCAGACGGTGTCGGCGTAGCTCAGCGGGACGGTGCTCTCGTCATCGCCGTACGAGATGGAGACGGTGTTGGGCAGGTCCGCGTCGTCGAGGCCCTGCAGGTACTCGAGGAACTCGAGGTAGGGCTCGTTGGTGTTGGTGCCGCCTCCCTCGTGCGGCGGGCGACCGCCGGTGGAGTAAAAGACGTTGGGAATGTCCTTTGTGATGGCGCGAGCGTACTGCACATCCAGGTTGGCCTCTACACCCACCGAAGATCCAGGGCTCGCCGGGCAGGTGCCGCCGTTGATCAGCGCACAAGTGTACGTCTCGTCAGTGTTGTCAAAGATGGCCAGTCTGTTCAAGAACGTCTGCAGGTCAGACTTGCTCGGCCACTGCTCCAGGAACCCGGCAATTCCCATGCGTCCGTTGCTCTGCGTGTCCGTGCTGGATGCAAAGTTGTACAGCGTGGACAAGACTGCGGGCGTAATGGCTGTCGCCTCGGGCTCAACCTCGTCGGTGCTGAGGAAGGACCTGAAGCCAAAGAAGTTGGTCGGCTGAACCAGCTTGACATGACCATCGAGACTCTCTGGAAGACTGTACTCGAGTGTTCTAACAATCTGTTCTCCAGTCTCGCTATTGGCTGTGTGCTGTCAGCGCGGTGCCCTCTGCCCTCGGGCATGATTGAAATCCTCAAAACGCCCGCGGTTCATGACAAGGAAAAAGTCGAGATAGTACTCACTATATGAGTTGTAGTCTGCTCCTAGCAATTGCTCAATCTCAGAGATGCTCGCCTTTACAATAACGGCGTTACCGCGGGACGAAACTGAAGACTTGTCGGCGAGCCCTGATTGGGAGAGCCAATCCAAGACAAGCGATTTCGATTCATCTTTGGGAGCAATCATCTCGTCAATCTCAGCCTGAGAAAGATGCTTTCCGTACAGTTCATGACCGGGAGTGGCAATCTGCATGGCAAATGTCAATGGGTCTACTCTATGAAGTCCCGTCTTACAGTCCCCCATGGGAGCCCTGGGCGACTCGCGATTTCACGTACGTTGAGCGCCACATCGTGAAACTTGTCCATGTTCTGAGATGTGAGCTGGATGCGCAGTTCCAGAGTCGTGTTGCCCTTGTTCAGTCCCGCAACGACATTATCCTGCTTGGCCCACCTGCTCGGCACATTGGCTGGCTTCTCAAAGACCTTGGTCTTGGTAAAGGTGCTAGAGGTTGCCGGCAGGGCGACGCTGCCAGCAGCAGCCAGCGCCAAAGAGAGGAATGCCGAGAGATACATGGTGTGTCTTGATGTCTTCTAATGCCACCGGGAAAAAGCCTAGGAGATGCAAAGAACAATCCCGCCAAGTAAAGCCAAGTGCAAACAAGCCTTTTTAAGTATAAACATGTTTGAAGCAGTGGAAGCAGTGATGCTCCGCCTATATTAGCCTGATTCACAGAAGATAATCAAATCACGTCAAAGAACCAGACCGGATATGGTAGGTATCTTCCATCCGATCTTGTCGACATCACCACTGGAGTTGCAGCAGGCTACCGAGACTGGGATATTTTAATTGGGGATGCAGGCCACTAGAGGCCCAAACAGGCAGGTCGCCATGCCTCCAACCCCTCGGGACTTCTTAAATGCAGCAATCGCAAAAAGCCAAAAGGTGGAAATGGGTCAGGTACTGCTTTTCATAGAAGCTCGTATGGAATTTCTCCAAATTGAATTGTTCTTGGCAAAAGGCTTCTGGGCAGGTTATCAGCGGAGAAAATGAATGCCCGTTAAGCGGATGGATACCTGGCGTCTGGTAGCACGACATAGGCCAGGGAATGACGCAGAACAAATGAAATAACAAACCAGACATGGGGGTTGTTTTGCGATATTTTCGCAGTGCCTACAATTCATCTTCTGAATTGGTGCCAAATGCGACTCTTGCGAGCAGGTAGGTAGTATGGGGGGAGGAGGGAACAAGGATGTAACGTTGTCTGAGGAGTATGGATGTCTTGGATTTTCTCCAACAGTTTATCCCCCATTTCGTCAGAGGCGTACAAATGTCAGACATTTCCAGTATTTATTCAGAAATTTACTAAAGATAGCGGGTGACACAGGGTGTCGGGACCCCTCGGCGTCACTTTTGTATGGGGGTATGGTCGCACACGACTTCACCATGACCGTAAAACACCACTCCATTGGAGAATGGCCTTGTCAAATGACCCATTACTGAGAGTGCTTGAATATTCGTGAAATCCAGACAGGCGTAAACGATGGATATAGTCGCAAGTCCTTATTGTCTGAGCACTCTGAAATATGCAGACATATGTGAGGTACGTAGGAGGCGGCCATAAGTGGTGTGGCGGCCCGAGCCGCTATTCGGCGCTCCCTCTATCCGGGGTGACGGGGTCAATGGCGTTCTAGTGGCGTTGTTTATTCCCAAAACCTGGGTCACATCACATCTCCAAATTGCCACATCCATGTTCACGAGCTCTATAATCAGGGTTGTTGACAGCGGTAACGAGGGGATATCATTTAAAGCACCACGCGTATGTACGATCTCCAAAAAGAAATAAGAAAACTCCTGGCTATACCGAATTCAGCCCGTGTGTATAAGCTGAGAGCCCGGTTGCCCAATTCGGCCCGTTGACCTGAAAACGCTAAGCAGATCCTATAGTATAAACTTTGCAAAAACAACCTAGTAACTCAAGTACTTGGCGACAATGGCTCCTCCTTGGTCATAAACAGAAAGGATCTTCCCGCTGAAGCTCAGCACACCGGGCCAGTGGCTATAGGTGCTTCCGCTGCTGACAAGTTGTGGGCTGGACCAAGTCAGCTTGCCACCTCTCAGCTCGTCGCTCGTCACCGTCTTGATCTGAGCAACGGTAGGCCAGTTTTGATCGCTCAGACCTTCGTCAGTCATGAAAACCACAGCCACGCCATTGGTGCCCTTGTTGGCAATCTGTGGTGCGCCGGCTTGTCTGGTGCCTGATGGCATATAGACAACGCCTGCCGACGAGTAGCTGGCGCCGTCGTCGTAGGACACGGCATAGGCAATGTTGAAAATACCATCCCCGCGCGTCGTGGTCTCAAAGACAATGACAAGGGCGGCGCGGCCATCCTGCTGATCGGTCACCTTGGCGATGCCCACCATGCCATCGCGCAGGTTGACATTCGAGGCGTGGGTCAAGAGATTGACCGGCGAGGACCAGGAAGATCCCTGGTTCGAAGAGAGGGTGCGGTAGGTCTGCTGGTTGTTGGCAGCCAGCTCCTTGCTAAAGTCCAGCTGGACCTTGCCATCGCTGCCTATCCGCATAAAGGGCTCCCAGACGCCCCAACCGCCCGTGCTGGCGGCAGTGAACTCGGTGGCTTGGCCGGCAAAAGCCCAAGTCTTGCCACCGTCGGTACTCTTGGACACGGTGATGCGAAAGTAGGTGTATACTCCAGAGCTGTCCTTGTCATGGTTCCTGTAAGCCGCCAGCACCGTAGGCGGCGATGTCGAGCCAACTTCTAGAAGAAAGATGTTGTCCAGGTCGGCATTGTCTGTTCGTGATGCAACGGATCCATAAGGCTTGAAAGAAGCACCCCCGTCCGTGGACTGTAGTATGTCTAGTGCTCGGGTCGTGCCATCATTGTGGGCATATCCAAGCAGCAATGTCCCGTCAGAGAGTGCTGTCACACGGGGATATGCATTGTTTGTAGACTCAAATGTCTGAACACTGGCGGGGGATGTCGACAATGCCCGTGACTTGAGACCTGCGATATTGTATGGTATAGCCATGCCGAAAGCAGAAGGAAGGGAAGAGGCAAGCAGTAGTGCTGCCCTAAAGGCACTGTTTAGAAGCATGTTGAAAGTTTTTTCTGGAGTTTGCTATTTTAGAAGGATATTCCTCTCATAGTGGTTAGCACGACCAAGATAGGTTCGACAAACGACAGACGACATGATGCTTATATGATGCAAGATCGCAGCACGAAGCCAAGCACGCGGTCATGATTGAAACAAAGGTCCGCCATCAGATCCGGGTCATCAGGCAGCCAGACAAGAGAGACCGTCTTCCGGCATGATCATCAGCATGACTGACAAACCACATCTCGGGCTATTAGACAGACCAACGATGGATCCCTGATGGGCCTTCCTTGATGGGACTGAGTTCTTTTTTTTTCTTCCCCTCTAGACCAATGTAAAGACGCAGAGATGACTTGAATTTTTTAGGTCCAGCCTCGTCTTACTGAGGCACTGCCCGTCGGCCGTACGATGATGTTATTGACAAGAAAAAGGCCGGTCCCGTATGGCTAAGCCTTACATTTGGGTAAGAGAAACCTGACGTTGTGGAATGCGTTGCTGTCGTGCGATAGGACCGCTCGGCAATAGTCCCCGAGGACCCCCCATATCGCGGCAACGGTTATTGGATGTATCCGGAACCCAGGACTGGTCAACTGATTTGCACCATTTTCTCCAATTTTGTAAAAAGAAAGGCCGGGGCAAAGGCAGTAGAATGTTCTTTCTGTCTTTCTTTCTGTCGTCGGCGAACTTGTGTGCCAAGCCAAGGTTTTATTTTCTAGTGGTGTGTCCGTCGACCAATGTCTGGGGACGCAGCCAGTGCGGTGAGCCACGTAGTTGAACTTCAAGCGTCGTGTGACGCTACGTCAGTTACCTTGAGAATTCAATGATCATCACTGCAGGGACCGGTGATTCGGTCATTTTGGAATGGAAGATTCTGACTGCACAAAATATGAGTTGTCACTGCCGATGGCTCTCCAAATTACTAGGGAGCGGCACAGTTGTGTTATTCCCTTCACCTTTCGGCGCCAGTTCTTCTACCCCAGAAGGATCTCTACTATTGGGGACGGTGATCATCCGAGAAATCCTTCGACCCACCACTACTACCACCTTGCAGCTTGTTACATCCCCCCACATGCAAGAATAATTGGGTCTCTTAGAAACAACCTTCTTTTTGACGCGCATACGCGGCGTTGCTCGTTTTTGCTTTCAGATCGTTTTAACTTCTTTCTGAGGTGGGACTGCGGTCGGTACCTACGTAGCATCAGCAGGCGCTAGATATGCCGGTACTAGAGAGGAAACCCCGCGTTTCTACCGTTGGTATACAGATTTAATTTAATTTCTTGATTACCGAGGCGCGGAGCCGCATGCACGAATGACTACTGCAGGACGTTGGTGGTGGTTGAAAGTCAAGTGCAGGCCACGTGAGATACCCTGACTCGAAGGCAAGTATTTTGAACAAGGGAAAAGGGCAAAAAGAAACTGCTGTTACGTGGATGCAACTACCATTGTCGTTGCACACGGCGCGGAATATAATGTCCGCGACAATATCTTGGTATCTATAAGAACCGGCTGTCATCTTGTCCGTCCTGGCTCGGCCGTACCGCTCAGCCAGCCAGCCAACCAGCCAGCCGTCTCGATGACGACGGGGGAATAGAATGAAGTCATCTACATATGATCAATTAGTGGCAAAGTTGGGCATCTGCTGGCCGCAATGTGGTATTCGTTTATTTCCCCCCCTTCCCCGCGCTACGAGGTTGGTGTTAAGTAATTGTCATCAAGTATGACTGGTTCTTGGAGCACTCACGTGGGCGCGCTATATAATCGACATGCCGTGACGGGGCCCCGGATTGGATTCATTCACGATATTTTGCTCACCACGCGGAACCTCACTGTAACGCTATCAAATTCACTAGTTGCAAATCTTTTCAACTGGTCATGTCTTAGATAAAACTGGAGATGACGACTATATTTCCCTCGGCATGTCTATAGACAGACACTGGAGCAAACAGCATTGCCAGCAACCGATGGTGGTAAGACGGGGACTACGTACATCACCCGTACGTCTCTGTCACTTCACCTGATTTTATTTTCAGTCCAACGAAGACTGGACTCGTTCTACCAAAGACGACCGAGCAACTAGAAAGGTACCTAGGTAGGTACCCGTAGAACTACATATGCAACCTCCGAGAAATGCGCGTCAATATATTGCAAGAAATGATTGTTATGCGGCTCGCGCGGGCGTCTCCAATCCGAGAAGATTATGTCACTGAATCAATACTCGAAGAAATTCTCACCCTTCCGAGTCAACATTTCCTGCAAACATCAAAGTGCAGCCATAGTCCGCACTAAATTATACTAAATGTCAATCTGCCGTTGATGGCTGGAGCACTAGACTACACCTCAGGCGACCCCGATCATGTCGGTGAAGGATAATATTCATAGCCATCTCCGTGAGCTTTTTGTTACTTTGAAATATCGATAGCTGATGGAAGAATACCGATGATACTCGTCACTGCCATGCAAGCTGACGACGGCTCGAGGCTTATTGTCAAGGACTAGGTTCGCCGAAAGTTGTTGTCGTCATCAGAATAAAAGACTATGGATGCACAAAAAACCGTCAAACGCAAGGTCCCGAAGTCAAAAACACACTTGTACAACCGTTGCTAGCCATGCCGAACCAGAGTCAAAAGCGTGGGGGCCGGATCTGACACCTGCATTCATATGCTTCCGCCCGCCAAATTGAGACACTGCTAGTAGGGCCAATGGGACCAAGTATACTCTGCTAGACATGCAACACGCTTTCCCTTGCCGTGATTTACAATAGTAATAATGGAATATGTACGCAACCTGAAATCATATAAATGATTCAACACAAACCTAGGTCGATTCGATCAATTGCTGTTTGCGTCATTGGCAATGTACTGGCCTGAATGCACCTCACGAGATTGGCTAATTGCAGCTGTGGAAGACGAGCCTGAGTTAATCACCAGTACCGTTGCAAAACTCTATGTAAGAAAGAATCAATAATTGACATACTTTGAAGCCATGGTTCCCTGATCCAGCATGGACCAGTCCCCAAGAATCAAATGGGCGCAGGTATAATGTGAATGGATCGAGTCATGCTACATGAGTGATTGGATGCTTGTTCGGTTGATATAAAGGTAGTTTTACCAATTGATACCAAGTGCTTCCCTCATCAACCGCTTGAAGTATGACAAGAATAGGCTATCTTGCATTTGGAAATTTCGTCTCTCCGTTCAGAAGTCGCCCTCGAGCAACCCAGGTTCATCGGAACACTCGCATCGTGTTACTTTTCTGTTATATATACAATGGTGAAAAGCTCTGCAAGTTTGTCTCAGTACAGCCTTGTGTAAGCATAAATGCAGAATTGACTCCACGATCAGCTGTTCAGTAGGTAGATAGCCAAAGCCAGATGTCGTCTGAATAGGTCTGAGCTCGAGGGCCTTATTGCCCTATACTTGCTCAAATAGATAAGACAGTGAAGTCTGGCCTCGACGATATTGCCTGGTCTTCATTGGTCACTCCGTCATATCTGGAAATATTTGATCAACGTAGATCTGTAAGTTCTGTGTGCCATATTAGGTCTTACTTGGCCATGCAACTGCATGCATGCATGTTTGCTCCGCGGCGATCTGCAAGGGTGCAAGTTGGAACGTGTAGCCAAACCCGGTCGCCAAAACCCCTCTTCCCCCTTACCTGAGCAGTGTGAGGTTCAGCCAACTGCCCATTGCATCTTATAAATTGACCGCACATTGCAGTATGAGCAACTCAATTTGGCTGTCAGCATAGACCTTGCTGGATAGTCATGATGGCGTTGCAAGATCAAACTAAACTGAAGCAGAGCCTTATTTCACTGAGCAAGTCCCATGGGGGACAGTTGCCGCTAGACAAAGCTGTCCTAGAAGGTATGTCATCCATCCAGTCTGATTAGTCGGTGCGCAGAAAAGAACTATTGGGCAGGAGACTTTATCTGATTGATCTGTCATCTCATCCATCAGCCCTACCGCCAGGGACGACGCAAGCAAGGGCGCAGGCCTATGGACTAGCATCCGCTTGGTCCTTCACTGCTAGGATCAACGCTCTCGATGGAAGCAAACAGTCCGTGTCATACTTTCTCAAAGTCAGTACTCAGAATGCATAAGTTCCAGGGCTCGAATTGACATTGCCCGCTACATAAAGTATGTTGCAGGCGACCTGGGCAAAAATCAGTTGGAGGGTGAGTTTGTTGGCATGACAGAGTTACACCAATTGCAGCCAGAACTAGTACCCAAGCCCATAGCTCGTGGCCGGCTCAAGAACGCAAATGTCCCGGCATATTTTCTCTTGATCGAGTTTATTGATTTCATTCCTGGACTTCCCGATCCTGTGAAATTGGGAGCTCGACTCGCGGCATTGCACGCGAAAAGCAAAGCTCCGAATGGCCGCTTTGGATTTCATGTGAGTTGTCAAAGGACGTGATCTTTCTCTTTCTCTCAAAAAGGGATACAAATAAAATGGCACTGCTAATTTTTCTCGATATCTGAGTTACAAACATATGACGGGGCAAGACTTCAAGCAGTTGCGCCGACCAAAAGCTGGACATCATTCTTTGGTACACTTCTCGCTGAAGCCTACCGACAAGATACCGAGACCAACGGCATCTGGCCAGAATTGGAAATTGTTCACAAAAGGGTGCAGAGCCATCTCATACCTCGCTTGATCGGAGCTCTTGAAGCCGAGGGGAGATCAGTCAAGCCTACCTTGATCCATGGCGACCTCTGGGATGGGAATGTAGGCGTCCAGGCAAACACGGGAGATCCGTGGATGGTGCGTGTCGATGCAATTTACATTCCTTCTCTGCAAAACTTGCCAGCCCAAGATATTAGCTAACACCTTTCCTTCGAGACAGTGAGTAGCAGCAATCACACGACTCACCAGTCAAGACATGAAGAGTTTTCGCGCCGAGATCGTGAAGTAAAGAAGCTGACACTTTTTGTGGGACATTAGATTCGACTGCGCCGTCTACTATGCTCACAATGAAATGGAAATCGGTACATGGCGCGCCGAACGCCATCAACTAAATGCTGAAGTGTATCGTATGGAGTATCTGAAAAACTACGAGGCGAGTGAGCCCAAGGGCGAATGGGACGATCGAAACCTCCTCTACAGCACCAAGACGAACTTTATGCATTCTGCGTGTTTCGCAGGCTCACCTGCACGAAAATCGTATGTATCTTTGTCAATAAGTCGGTGCTGTTCTCTGATCGGGGGTATAGTGCATTTGAAAATATGCTCCAGCTTGTCCAGAAATACGTGCCGTGGGAAGAGGATTCCGAGGAATGGCAACGGATAAGATGCTCAGTCGCATCGCTGGGTCATTGCGTTGGCCAAGTTGATTGAAGCGGGAAGGCGCATCGCAGTCTCCAAAAGCGTTGAGATGAGATGATGATAAAGCACGATCTATCTGTGTTAAGACCGGAATGTCTAGAGTAAGAGGTGAAGGAAAAGAATCATTGATTGCCCATACAGGTCAATACCTGGGTGCACAAATTTAGCAAGTTTATGAAGCACTAATAATAGCACATGGTTTCAGCATAATTGTGCATAAATCTCCAGTCTACGCTTATCAGTGGCTTATCTTTGGTTCAGTCTGTTTGGGCGGCGACTGTTTGGTTGTGCCCCTCGTTGCTGCCCCTCCATTGGGGCTATTTTTTGAATTGAGGCTGTTCACAGTTGAGTCACCGCCGTTCATCGTATTCCCTGTGCAACTTTTACCCAGCACGTTGCTGTGGCTTTCGTTTACCTTTCTTTCCATCTTCGAAAACTCATTCATCCCACGACCGTCGACTGTCGTCTGAAAGATCCCAAACTTTGCGTCACAATCCACGAAACGAAAAGCAGTAATTATGGCGGACGCCATCACCGAAGCCACGGCCAAGCTGCTGCTTGACGAGGAGACTGGCGAGATGGTGTCAAAGAACGAACTGGCCAAGCGCACCAAGAAGAGGGCCAAGAAGGCCTTAACCGCAAAGAACAAGGAGAATGCACCGCCCAAGCCTGCCGCCGCCGCACCAAAGCCCAAGGAGAGGGCCGACGAGCCCAGTCTCGACCCCGAGGCCATGTTCAAGCAGGGCTTCCTCGCCGATGTTCATGCTGAGCGACCCGTCAAGCCTGTGGTCACACGATTCCCACCTGAGCCCAATGGCTTCTTGCACATTGGACACGCCAAGGCCATTGCTGTGAACTTTGGCTTTGCGAAATACCACGGCGGCGAGTGCTATTTGCGATATGACGACACCAACCCCGAGGCCGAGGAGGAAAAGTACTTTGTCGCAATTGAGCAAATGGTTAGATGGCTGGGCTTCAGCCCCTACAAGATTACCTACTCGAGTGACAACTTTCAAAGACTGTACGATCTTGCCGAGAAGCTCATTGAGCTTGGCCGAGCTTACGTTTGTCATTGTAATGGTACGGAGACCCGTCAATTGGGACTTGCCCCCTTGTCCTTTGAAACAAGCACTGATCGTTTGACATGATACAGACGAGCAAATCAAAGCACAGCGTGGTGGCGAAAACCACGGTCCTCGTTTCCGATGTGAGCACGCCGAGAAGGACGTCGAGACCAACCTGTCAGAGTTCCGTGGCATGAGAGATGGCAAATACAAGCCCAGGGAAGCATTCCTCCGAATGAAGATGGACATTACGGACGGCAACCCCCAGATGTGGGATCTGGCTGCCTATCGCGTCCTCGAGAAGCCGCACCACCGTACTGGAGATGCATGGCGCATCTATCCCACCTACGACTTCACGCACTGTCTTTGCGATAGTTTCGAGGGTATTACCCACTCTCTATGTACTACCGAGTTTGTCCAGAGCCGTGTCAGTTACGAATGGCTGAACAAGCAGCTGGTCGAGCATCAGCCCATGCAGCGCGAGTACGGCCGTCTTAGTATCCAGGGCACCGTTTTGAGTAAGCGCAAGATCATGAAGCTGGTCCAGGAAGGCTATGTCCGTGCGTGGGATGACCCTCGTCTCTACACTCTCATTGCCATCAAGCGACGAGGTGTGCCGCCCGGTGCTATCTTGGAATTTGTCAATGAGCTTGGCATTACCACTGCACCCACCATGATTCAACTTGCCCGCTTCGACCAGACCATCAGACGCTACTTGGAAAGGACAGTTCCCAGGCTCATGCTGGTGCTTGACCCCATCCCAGTGGTCATTGAAGGCGCCGAGGAGGTCGAGGTTGACGTGCCTTTCAACCCAAAGATTGCCGCTATGGGATCTCACAAGATCAAGTTTACGCCTACTGTCTACATTGATCGCTCTGACTTCCGCGAAGTGGACAGCAAGGACTACTTCCGTCTTGCACCCAACAAGACTGTGGGTCTTCTCCAGGCGCCGTATCCCATCAAGGCCGTTTCCTACAGCAAGGACGAGGCGACTGGCAAGGTGACAGAGATTCGGGCTGTTTTTGACAAGGAAACCAAGAAGCCCAAGACATTTATTCACTGGGCAGCGGCCGGCTCTCGCAAGGTCGAGGTTCGCCTGTTCAACTCCTTGTTCAAGTCCGAGAAGCCGGATGATGCCGAGGGTGGTTTCTTGAATGACATCAACCCAGAAAGTGAAATCGTGTACCCTGATGCTTTGATCGAATCTGGATTCGATGAGGTCAAGGCACGCGCACCCTGGCCCGAGGCTGCTGGTGAGAGCGAGCTCGGCAAGGGAGGACCAGAGAGCGTGCGTTTCCAAGGAATGCGCGTGGCATACTTTGCAGTAGACTCGGACAGCACCGACGATAAGATTGTACTCAACAAGATCGTATCGCTCAAGGAGGATGCCGGTAAGAGCCAGGGCTAATGAAATCGTATGAAACAATCAAAGCCTAGATTATATCACTGCATTTCTCCTCAGTTGCTCACTCTTTAGAGCGGCTTCAACTACATGAGCCAAGCATGCGTGCCTAACGACAAGAGTCATTGATCCACATTGATACATAGTCAGAATTGTTTTGACTTCCGACTTACCCGCGGTAGCCTTCCGATAAAACCAGCAAGAGGGCTTCGCATCCTTTTCTATCAATATCCCGGTATCAATATCGCCGATATGACACTCCAACAATATTTTTCTCCTAGCCGTGTCGGTGTGTCGTCGTAAATGACCAGTATTCGCATGTGGCGCGTCGCACAACCGCAACGTTGGGTGGGCTGAAGTGCCGCTGGCCAATCAGCCTCATTCACGAGGGTTATCAGCCAGCAGCACCCACGGCATTACTATGCGCCTCTCGTGAAAAGGCAATTGCAAATTCAGGGTTCGATGCAAAGAAAAGAAAAGAGAAAATTGGATCTCATTACAAGACTGTGTGCTCGTGGGCGGTCGCTTACTAGCCGGGCCGCTGGGGGCCGGACAGGGGCAGTTCCATTACTGCGTATTACATCCTATTTTCAGCCCGGTATCTCAATATATCGCCAATCCTTTTTGGTCCGTATGCAACCAACACGGAAAGCCATGCAGGTCATTATCGGCCACGCACCGCCGGATGCGTGCTCACGCGCGTGTTTCAACACGGCATATTGCACTGCATTATTGGTCATGCCATGTCAGCAGGGCTCGTACTTCATGGATGAGGACTCGATAATGTACTCAGCTTACCTATGTATTGATGACTTACTGACTTTGACTGCCTTACGGCCGCCGTATCGAGCGGCCGTAGTGTTCCAACGTGGGGGGCACATGGTATATTGTATACGATATGGCTATATGGTTAAATAGCCAAGACAGGCTAAATCTGGGTGAGCTTCTATAGAAAGAGGTTCTTCATAGAGGTTGATCAGGACAAACAGCAGGGACTCTGTGTGTGAAAAAATGCGTTTCTTCCAAATTCTTTCTTTCGCTGCATCGGGTGCTCTGGCGGCTTCAGGCTGCGGCCAGACCCCTTCGCTCTCATATGGACTTCTAAACGACAACCAAACCGCAGTGACAATCAGTGATACAACATCTACGAGCCGTCGGTATAGAGTTTTTCTTCCAGACTCTTATGATCCCAACACTCCGACGCCCGTAATTCTTTCGTATCATGGAGCCAACCGACAGATAGAGCAGCAAGTCGCCTTGGATGAACTCACAACATCTTTCTTCAACAAGAACTATATTGTAGTATATCTGCAGGGCGTTTCAGTGAGAAACAACTGGAATACCACCATGAGAATCCTGTGACTAATTTAAGTGGTGAAGAGTAGTGCCAGTCGTCCAAAACATACCACGTGGGAAGGGGCACCTGGCAATGAGGCCGACGACTTTGGCTTCACGACGGCCGTGCTCGACGCCCTCGAGGAAGAGCTGTGCATTGACACGTCCCGAATCTACGCCACGGGCAAGTCTCAAGGCGGCGGCTTCGTCGGTCGACTAGCCTGCCACGCGACGCTGTCGACACGCATCGCCGCCTTTGCGCCCGTGAGCGGCGCATACTACATCAGCCAGCTGACCACGGACGCCGAGTGCGCGGACCCGGCGACGGTGGAGATACCCTGCGACGCCGGCCGGTCCGGGATCCCCATCTTGGCGTTCCACGGCGGCGCCGATCCGACAATTGACTACGAGGGCGGCCTGCGGACCTATTGCCTGCCCGCCGTCCGGCACTGGGCCGAGGCCTGGGCCGAGCGCAATGATCTCAATGCCAGCGAGGTGGCCAATACCACCATTGCCAACAGCGACAATGGCGTCCACAGCTCCTGGGGCAATGGACTTGTCAATTTGGTCTATGATGGTGACAATATTGAGCATGACGTAAGTACTAAACCCGCTATCATCATCTTTTGCGTGTGCCGGAGGAATCTGATGTCAGATTCTTCTTCTTCCCTCTTGTCTACTCTTGTTACCGCCAAAATAAATGAAACTGACATGTCTTGACTCATCCAGTGGCCCAGTCTGTTGGAAAACGACGACAACGAAGGCGAGGTAACAGCCGCCTTCAATGCGAGCTCCTGGATTATGCATTTCTTTTCAAAGCACTCATTACCTCTGACCTACTGAGCACGGGCTCGGCACCACCAGGTGTTTGGGAAATTGTATCAGGTAACGCGAAAGAGCACAGTGTATCATTAATAAGGGACGAAAGTGTATTTTTGGGAATAGCCGCGGTGTTTAGGAAACTTGAAATGGGGTATATTTGACAAATCAAATAAGTAATGAAGATTTCTATCCACGTATAGTAAATGTCGCTCGTGGTATCATACGCCATATTATTGCGGCGTATAACTTGTGCTGTCGGTCGAACTTTTGGAATCCTTTCCCTTGACGTGGCCAGGCTTGTCGTCGTGGTGACTGTCCTTGTCGTCCAGCGTCGTCTCCTCGACGGCGTAGCCAAACTGTACCGTCTTGGTGATTTGCGCCCCGGCGAGGTTGGACATGATGAACTCTTCGCTGCCCGTGTCGTCGGCCTCGATCTGGGACTTGTTGTTGGTCGCGCGGGAAAAGTGGCTGCCGGGCCCGTAGCGAGCCGACTGCGAGGGCAGAGGGTAGGCGCCCGAGGTGCTGCGGCCCTTGCTGGCGCCGCTCGAGCCCAGCAGCTTGGGGAAGAAGCGCTGGGCAAAGGGCTTGAGCGCCGGGATGGAGCCGCCAATGATGGACAGGTTGAGCTCGAGGATGCACCACATGAGGGCAATGACGGTGTTCTTGGTCAGGTTCGAGTCCGTGAGCAGGGTGTAGAGGGAGCTCAGGCGGATGATGCTGACAATGCAGACAAAGGCGCCCATGGTCAAGATAAAGGCGACTCCGATCTTCTGTTTCGTCCTAAGCTGTAGGGATTTGAGAGCTGGTAGCGGCACAATGACGGTGGCGATGTCGGTGGCGATGCCCCTTTAAAAGTCCCAATATGTCAGCTTCTACAACGTCGAGAGAGTTTCACATATTCTGCGATATACTTACAGGCCAGCCTGAGCGAAGTAGAAAGCCGGGCGGTTGATACACACTGCCGTCAGAGACTCCTCCAACGACCACGAGCCTGCGATTGGGTTGCAACTGAAGGCGTTGACTAGTACGCTGGCGAGCGAGTATCCAAGCGTAAAAGCAAAGACGGTCCAGATGGCAATCTTCATCCCTTTCGATGGGAAAATTCGCAGGTAGAACAGCAGAATCGAACCCTTTGCCACACCCGTCGAAGCACAGAAAAACATGGCAGCTACAACGTTCCTGACCATCCAATTCGGGTAGAGGTCAGGCTGTAGGGGAACATCCCACATATTCTTTCCGAGGCCGTAGTTGAGCACTGTCGACGATGGTTAGTCAAAGTGTCTTGTACACTTCGGATGCAGAAAAAGACTCACTGTCTAATATCAACGCCACCATTATTATGTTGAGAATCATTGCTAATATCATCAGGACTTGGTCGATGGTCAGTAAAAAGTCTCCGTGTAAGTTGGGGTTTTAATGTGCTCACAGTCATCAAAGGCCACCTTTGAGGAAATGATTACCCGAGTATACATTCGGATGGCCATTGTCAAGACCGATAGAGGTAAGAAAATACCCGTAATCACAATCAAGGGCGCTGCTTCGTAAGGGTGGCTCTGATCCGGCGTTTGGCCATCGGACGCCGCCATGGCGTATGTGACTCCATTATACACAGACATCTTGTTTTTTTTTTGTCACCCTCTGCTTGGGATCTCTCTCGCTCGTCAGAAGGCTAGCTTCTGGACAGCAGCAGCCTCGTAGGTTTTAAAAGCCTTTTGGGTTGAGTAAGAGCAAATGCCGGACCGTGAGGGAACGATCGACAACACGACGAGCCCGAAAGCGCTCTGGGCTTCGTGGGAACAAGAGAAACTGGGGAACAAGCAAGATAGGTAAGAGAGTGTGAAGATCTGGGGCGAAATGACTATTAAGTTATTCCGCCTGGGAGGCATAGGCCTGCTTTGCTTGCTCACTCGCAAGGTACGGGGTGCGCCAAATTACACTGGCTATCTGGTTTTTTTTTTTTTTTTTTTCAACCCTCCCTCCCAAGCCAAGATCCGCGGCATCGGTTCCTGCAGCAAAGAAAGGACAACGTTTAACTTCAGATAGTATCAAGCAGCTAAGCTAAGCGAGGCTGTATCCGGGGTAGCAATCCAATTACAATCACTTTCGGTCTCGATAGGTAGTATTGAGACCGGCGAGACACCGTTGAATTCTAGCAGTCTTGACTCTTCATACACCATTGGTATCAAAATCAAAGTCTAGCCGGCAAACATCAGGCCATTGGACCCGCCAAAGATTCATTCTGTCCCTGGCCCGCTTGACGTTGAGTGTCCCGTGTCCCCTGGAGTCCATGACGACTCACATGGGTGCCCTAGTAATTTCACCATCTCAATGGATCCTTGCAGACATGAGAATGTAGGTATGGCCGGCCTATGGAGTATAGCGTCCATTATCGCGCGTCCTTCGCGCGACGGTGATGGTCCCTGAGGTCCTGGTTTTTGCAAATTATGAGCTAAATCAATGTCCTTATTCAGCAGTCCGGATAAGGGGGGATGTTGTGTTGAAGGATATGCGAGCATTAGGGGGGGTCAATAGGAGAATTTTTACTCTAGACATTTACAAATGCTGAATGGGTGCGCTACTTTGCAGTTCATGCATTCGTACTTCCGACGGCGTTTGCAAAAAACATCAACAAGCTTTGCCCTATCGAATATCCACTCAAAAGTTATGTCACGTCTATGTACAGTACCATAGTACTAGTTCGGTGAAGATCCCGAGTGCTGTCAACACAAGAAAGGCAACGATCATCACTTCAGGGCTACTAGTAGATCCAATTCCACGGTGCAAGACGTCCACTTTGTCTCTTATGTCCTTTTTCAGCAAATGCGGGAGTTATTCCGCAGCTTTCAAATTATACCAAATAAGCTATTATACTTTTGGTCTCCCAATGGCCTCAAAGTTTGACCAAGTGACTACCATTACCTTGTGGTTTATTTCCCTTGTCTTGTACGAAGCACACGTCGTTTCTGTTTCCGCAACGAATGACTTATTGGGTTAAGGCCGTCGACTAACCTCCACTTGGGACAAGACGGCCTTTCTGGAAGCAACAGGGAAATAAATCAAAAAAAAAAACCGAGGGAGAAAAAAAAAGTAGCACTATGTAGTAGTCCGGGGGTCCACAGCGGAGATCCAGTTCGGTTACTTAGCCTATCCCTGTCAGCATACGCAGTGCATAAGATGAATTCTTACAAACAAAATCCACCAAACTACTTTGGCTACAGACGTTAATGTGCAGAGCTTTGGTGACTTCTGGGTGCGCCTACGATGATTGAGCATTCATGGACCCTGTGGCGTTTTACGGTGTGTGTCTACCAGCCTGCTTAGGCAAGAGGTAGTCGTCACACTTGTGAGAACGGCTTCGCGGCCATTTGTCCTCGGAAGCGCAGCCGGTAGACTTTGCGAATAGTGCCCGAGATGCTTAACAAGCTATTATAAACGCCCAGGTGTGCTAGTAGAAGCTGCTGCCGCATAATGGCCGATTGGCTTGCGACATTCACTGCAATTCTGTCTGTATACTTCGGAAGTCTTCTTCCCCCCCTGGACCCGACAGTCCCGGGTGTCTCCCTCCAAAAGGCACAGGAACTCATCACATCACACATTAGCCACGTGGGATACCCAAATAGGTGGTCACAGCGATCTCAATCCAGTGTGACGGGTCTTCGGGGTCCCCTAGCTTCAATTTTGTGATAAGCATCCATTTGAATGTCCAAAATATTGTGGTCACATAGGCGCAGACATGCAGAAACTGGCTTGGCTGGCTGCCAAACGAGGTATATAATTACGTACTTGGTTGCTAGTAGACGAAGGAGCCCCGATGATCTCTTGGAGGTTAGCGCAGCGGCCAGAGGAAAACAAGGCGGATGGGGAAGACAATGATCATCTACAACTAACCTAAAATGTACCTTGCCCTATTGTACTTTATTTGGAGATCCACTTTCAGGACATGGTAAAAGCTTGAGGTTTTGAGACCTCGGATGTGTGCAGAGTTTCCGGAGTCCAACGTTGCACTCGCAAGACCCCAACCAAAATGGTAACAAGTATTATTATTTCCGCAGCTGGTAACAATATCTACCTGCTGTACACACAACATTTGTGTTTCTCGTAGGACGCCTGCTTAGGCGAGAGCTGCCACCCGCGTGGCTTTTTCCGTTGTGCCACACAACTTTCTTTTCTCCCAGCCGCCCATGACACTGCATTGTGTACCAGCGACCCGGTAGCTTGTCAAAACCTGAAGGAATAATCTCCGTCGTCGAATATAACTAGAGGTGGATGGCACCCGCCCGGCTGGGTCTACACTCCGAGTCTCCCATTGCAGATCCAACGTTTTTCATCAAAGTGGCGGCATCATCCGAAAGGACATATAACATCTGCGCACTCCAAAGCCGCACTTCCCTTTCTCTCTGCCTCTTTGTCTGCACGAGGGAGTCTACCAATCACAGCCGGGACTTCGGCCACAGGTATCAGACTGTAGCTATGGGCGGCTTCTGGACACTGGCCAGCTCTCTCCCCGGTGGATCGACCCCTTCATAATCACACTGCGTAAGTATCAACTCGCTTCCGGTGGGATGGCAAGGAATCAGACGACTGGCGACTAGGTAGTAGGCCCTTGGCCCTACTATGTAGAGGCGTACTATGTAGAGGCTGCGGCAAGTTACCGGGCAAGCAGCCGAACACCCTGGTCATCGGCTTACCTATGCAGTTCTGTAGTATCTGCCAGTGCTACTCTGCAATGTACGTAGGGAGGTACACAGCCTGCCAGCTTAAAACCAACTACTCCAGATCTGGCTCTATCTCCTCGGTTCCCTGAAGGTCTAGGTCGAGAGAATTATAGTAATGCCCATGCTGGACACGAGGCGCATGAATATTCACAGCCCAAGTGTACGTATTTCTCACTTCTCTAATAGCTACGTGCAAAAATGGCAATTTAAAGCATCAATAGTTGCTACGGTCTGAGGACTAGGGCTCGGCCCGCCATAACCACCGCCGCCACTTCGTCAAGGCAAACTGGGTGGCGGCGGGGTGAGTGAAAGCCTGACGCCGCACCCGCACCGAAACCCGCCTTGGCTGCAAATGTCGTTGCTCTTCATTATTGTGATTATCTGATTATCACAGCACCAAGCACATAGCCTGTCACTGCTCGGCGTGTCCCTGTTGCTGCGACGATGATAATATATGCATCTTTGTTCCAGAAAGGTCCCCAAAATATAGTGGACTTTGACATTAGCCCCAGCCAGCCAGCACCCTAAACGGTATCCTCCGAGGCCAGGAATTTACAACTGAATTGTACACTTGGGCTGGCCTCGACTTAGCGGGATCCATCATCTCGATTACATCAGGCATGAGCTATGTCGCCAATAATGCTCAGAAACTAGAAAACAGCTCGACGACGACTATATTCTTTCTCCCGACCGTTCGCAAGCGACTATATGGCAGCGCCAGTCCCACCTAGGCCACTTGGGGATCATGCCATGCCTGATCAAGGTCAAAGTGCGCGCCCGCCCGGAGCCCGTCGAGATTCCATCGGCGTCGGCCCATCTTCCTCTTGCTCGCCAATTCTGCGGGCCCGCTACCCTAGGTAGTAATTGTAGTCTACCAACCGCTATGTAGCATGACCGAGGTTCCTTTTCTTTCCCTCAGTGGGTACCAGAACCCCTTGCAGCTACTATCGATAGCAGCAGTGGCACGAACCCCTTCCCCTGGTAATAAGGCTCTGGGGGGCGATCATTACTATGGTAGGTATGAATCTACAAAAGGGCCATAGGTACGGCGCCTCTCTTGCCAGTGAATATCTTAATCTCTCTCAGTCAGCAAGTCAAGTTATAAGTGTATTTCTTTCGCTTGCTGCTGGGACAAATCCAAAAATGGCGGCCAAGATGACCACATCCATCATGTGCAAGCTCGTTACAGCCTTGGGCTTGCATAGCGCCTTGATCGAGGCAACCTGCGTTACCCGCGACGATGCCAACTCGTCGGCTGTGGCAGGTTGCGCCGCTCTGGAGATCAAGTTCCCCGGAAAGACCTTCTTCCCCGGCGATGACGTCTATGAATACGAGACTTCGCAGTTCTGGTCCAACACCGAGCTGCTTAGCCCGGCTTGCGTCTTCCGGCCCGAGTCTGCGTCTGATCTTTCCACCAGCATTGTGATCAGTACTTCGACAAACACTGATTTTGCCGTCCGTGGTGGTGGTCACATGGGCATCAAGGTATGTCAATATACATCTTCTGAAATTACACCAAATGGCTGCTAATTCGGGCTAAAGGGAGCCAACAACATTGACGACTCCGGTTTCCTCACTGTCCTCTCCAATCTGAGCTCCATTGCTCTTTCAGATGACCAGAGCACCCTGACTCTTGGACCTGGATTCCGCTGGGGCGCCGTGTACGAGTTTCTGGCCGAGTATGACCTGGCCGTTGCTGGTGGTCGTCTGTCGCCGGTCGGTGTGCCCGGCCTTCTTCTCGCTGGAGGCGTAAACTTCCACGGCAACCAGCACGGTTGGGCCGCTGACAATGTCCTCGAGTACGAGGTTGTTCTCGCCAACGGCACCATTGTCACTGCAAACGACTCGGAGAACACCGATCTCTTCTGGGCTCTGAAGGGTGGTAGCAGCAACTTTGGTATCGTCACCAGCTTTACTCTGCGCACCTTCACATCCACCCAAGTATGGGCTGGTGTCTACAGTGTCGCCGAGGACTACTTGGAGGATCTCTTTGCTGTAAGTTTCTGTATAACTTTATTTTTTATGTATCAAAGCTTACCATACTATAGGCCATTGCCAACTTCTCGGCTTACAACACCGATCCCCTGTCGCATATCGTTCCCCAGGTTGTCGCCGCGTCCGAGAACTCTTCCGTCGCTGCCGTCATTCTCTTCTACGACAGCCCCACCGTTTCGTATCCCGAGTGCTTCCAGATGTTCTTTGACATCCCCACCATCTCCGATACTACCGCTTTCCAGACCCTCTACGAGTTTGCCGTCACCACTGGAGAGCTTGTGACCGACCACATCAACGACATCTTTGTCGCTGGTACCACCGTCGGCCAGACCTACGAGGAGCTCCTCCAGGGTATCCAGATCACTAACCAGGTCTTCTCCGATGCTCTGCCCGACCTGTACGCCGCCGTTCCTTTCGAGAACATCAGCCTGGTCTCCATCGACTGGCAACCCATTGGCTCTCTCTGGCAAGCCGGTTCTGAGGCTGCCAACCCCGTCGGTAACGCTCTCGGTGTCGATCCCAGCTCCAAGGGTACCTACCTGTGCTGGGCTGAAGTCGTCGAGTGGGTTGGCGATTCGTACGCCGACGCCGTCGACGCCTGGGTGCAGAACACCACGGCCGCCATCAACGCGGCTACGCAGGCTGCGGGTCTCTACGATGCCTTCAACTACATGGGCGATGCTGCCGGTTTCCAGGAGATATACGCTGGATACGGCTCCGAGAATGAGGCCAAGCTCTTGTCCATCTCGCAAAAGTACGACCCCGAGAGAGTCTTCCAGACGCGCCTGCCCGGTGGTTTCAAGATTGGTGCTTAGATGGTGCCACTTCTATGACATGAAAGAGTCCAATTAAAATAAAATTCCATGTATATAATTCATGATACACCATTTGACTGCATATAGAGCACTACTTATATGATATATAATCTTTGGACTCCAAAATCGAAATGATATTAGCTTATATAAGTGGATACTTTCTTCAGTAACAACGTTCACAAGGACACATGTCGCAAAAATAATGTGTGTACTGGTTTCATCATAAATACTGTGATAATATGAGATGCATTTGGATGATATCCACAACAAGTACTTGTTTGGTACGTATATCGGCATTCCGTCCTCCCACAAGCTCTCACTCAGAACTCGCTTGTCGGTTCCATCGCTGTTCATGAGCATGATTACGCCATACGGCTGGAATGTACTATCGTAAAGAGCCGCTTCGTCCTTGAAGCCAAACATACCCGTGTTATCTGGTGTGCATGTCAGTGGAAATACAGCTCGAGGTAAACTTGCAATATGGCAGTGTCAATGAAGAAGGTAGAGAGACTTACACAGAATCGGACCATCTTCAGTCCACACAGCGTGTCCATCATTAGCGAGGCTATCTGTCAATACCTGCTCATCTGTTCCATCCGGCTTCAAAGTAACGACATCATAGTTGGCCCCGTCGACGTGGCGAGTCGTCACAATGCGCGTGCCATCGGGGGAGAAGCTCGGGAGATTATCCACCGCCGTGGTCACGGAGCTGATGCTCTTGTCCTGGAGATCAATGAGGCGCAGACCATAACGCGCACCCCACTCGCGGTATACTATGTACCGCCCGTCGGCCGAGTAGCTGGGGAAGCCCGAGTTGACGGCCCCGTCCGTGAGCACCTCTTGGTAGGTCCCGTTGGCGGTCCCGCGGGCAATGACGGCGGTGCCGGTGGCGCGCGACCAGAAGAACGCGCCCACGCCAAAGGCCACCCACTCGCCGTCGGGACTCCACGAGGGCTGCATGGCCTGGCCGCTCACGTGGACGCTGGCGTTGCCCGGGACGGGAAGCTCGGTCTGTGGGTTGTAGACGGTGGTCTGGTTGGTGCCGTCGGGGTTCATGGTGACGATGCCGTTGCCATTGACGGCCAGCTTTCCTTGCCTTGATAGTGCTGGGAACTCGTCGGTGAAGCGATATTCCCATTCCTCTTGCCAGCTGTAGAGAGGCTGTTCCATGGTACGGCTGGCATAACTCATCTTTTCGTACAAGACTTTCTTCCCGTCGGGAGACCAACAGGGAGAGCGCAGCGACTTGCGTGTGAATGGGGCGTAACCAAGATCGGCCGGGGCACTCCCCGAGATGGATGTATAGTTGACGCCCTCGCTCGTCCCGGCTTTGATCACGTAGCCAATAACATCATTCGTCACAAACTGCGGAGATACCTTGAGTCCAGCCCACCACGTGTGGTCGATTCTGTCCGTCCCGTCAACCTCGACGGAAACAATCTGCGATTCCGCGTCGGCTACACTCATGCTGTGGGCGTTCCATGTATTCTCGACGGTCATTTCGTGAAAGACGATGCGCTGGCCATCGGGCGAGAACTTTGGCGAGCCCAGACTATACCCTTTCTTGGCAATGACCTGTCGAAGGTCACCGCTTCCGTCGGACCGGATGATATAGATGGCCAGCTCTTGTGTATGCTCCCACCCTGTACCATTGCCCCATCCGAGCCACTGGGTGTTTCGATCCGACGAAAAGGCCAGCCACTCGCCATCTGGGGACCACGCGGGGCGAAAGTATCCATTGGGACTACTACTGTTGGCATTGCCGCTAATGTCGTCATTGTTGGTCAGCTTGAGCTGTGTTCCAGTCTGCAGGTCTTGAACAATGATATTGGCGCGGTAGCCATCTGTGGTAGAGACAAAGGCAGCTCTCGACCCGTCGGGGCTGAGGACGGCAACATCCTCGACGTGTTCGGTAGCGGCAATGGACTCGACATTTGTACCCATTTCGTCGCCAAAAGGTACGCGGTAGATATCGGCTTGGCCGTCCCCGACACGCTCACTGGTAAAGGAGATCCATTTCCCATCCGGCGAGATGGAGCCGTGATAGTCAAAGAACGACGTTGAGTTGCCGAACAGTTTCTGTTCCTCCGTGCCGTCGGCATTTGCGGTGTAGAGGGAGCCTCCTGTCGGACCAATGCGATTCAAGAAGAAAACGCCTTTCTTGTCTTGTGAGGAAGCCCATCTAGTACTTCGTGTCTTTTGCGCATTTTCCGTATTCTTGTTTCCATAATGAGGGTACGCTGCACAAAGCTGTGCAAAGACAGCAAAGAGATTCAGTATGCGCGCATGCATAGTTACGGTTGTGGTGGTTTCCAAGCATCCAATTCACATTTCAAGTGGAAGTCTACTTTGAATAAATGCATTCAAGACTATAACTGCTCCAAAGTTGCAACTTACGCGTCGCAGACCAACTAGGAAGGTGATCATAAAGTTATAGAGTCTTGGCTGTTACCATTATAAACACGAATATAACTGCATCTCTGGAAGGTAACCCCACCGGCCAAAGACCGCGGTTCCCTCCCGAAAGGACTTTGGCCACGGAAGTTATAGCAGATTTTGCTTTTGGCATAATATTCATGGTATATATAAGTCTTGTTCTCGTCACTACGAATGGGATTATATAGAAAGCAAGTGATCGATACTATTAATACACGCAACTACCTAATAGGTAATAGCTTCATTGTAGCTGATCAAGCGGAGAGTTTATATATGATAATGGAGTTAACACGGCCAGGTACCGTTGGTTGCTTGAGTCTGTCCACAACCGACCTCTCATTCGTCGCTTGATTTCTTGCCGAATATCTTTGGTCCAACGGTCCAATATGTCAACGTTTCAGCAGTCGCCAATACCACAAACGCCCCAACCAGAGCAATGCGCCCGGCCCGCGAAGTAGTAATATCGCTCATCTTGAATGTACCAACTTTTGGATTTGAATGTTTATCGCCAGGTCTCTGTGCACTTTGATGCTGCTTCTGCTCTGTTAGATAGATCAGCCTTGATGCACTCAGCCCCAGTAATGAATGAGGGAAGCGCTATGCCACTCTACCTTGAGAAGCCATGCTGGCAATGTTTCACTGAGGAAAACAGCTTGTACGTTGACTAATTGCGTTTGTTTAAAATAAATGACATTGTAAATATTTTGCGGTGAGTGTAGAAACGAGTTTCACGTCCATAATATACAGAGACGAATCTGAGGATTTCAGTGTCTTGTGTCACTGACTTCGGGTAAGCATTCTTGCCGCAAAAACGCCGTTTTCCTAAATGGGAAATATCAAGTATTGTGACAATCATCTAGTAGTAAAAAAGTGAGTCAATGCTAAACCCAATGTACTCTGCGTTGGCACCTGTTGCGGTCTACAAGACAGTAAAGACCATTTCGATGAGTATAAAATCAATGAAAGCCTTTAAATTATGCAGATTGGTAATGATAAAGACTGCGCAACCATTGTAAAGGAATACATTAATCAGTCATATGAGTCAGATGTAGAAGCCATGATTATCCTTTACTCGGCCGCGATCGTCAATCTTTGGCCAGTCTCAGTCAGGCCAGTGTCTGACCGCATAAGCCTCTGGCAACCTCCAAATTTGGAACCACGCTGCGTTGCCACCAGAGGTGCTTAGGCACACAACCAAACCATGATGGTAACAAAACCCAAGTGTCAAATCATGTTGCATCCGAACAAACCCCGCCAACTCCCTCCTGGAGTAGCATCATTGGGATAGGATCCAACCCCTGGTAAGAGTGAAGGAGGGTTTCCCGAACCCCGCGCCCAAGGGACTGGAAGCAGCATCCACCCGTGCCAGTCCCTTGTTAAATACCTGTATTGCGACCCCAACTCTGGCGCTTGGTGGTGATTGGCAGAACGGCGCCAGACTCGATCATAAGATGCTTGGCTTTTTGGGGACGAGTCAAACTGCCGGGCTCGAGATTGCGCATAGCTGGCGCTGATCACATTTCTTACCTAGTAGTATTCACAAATGTCTTGGCGCTTTATGTTGCATCGTGAGGCTTTTGACAGGGTTCTCGCCCAGCTCGCCGATAAGGGAAAAGGGCATCTCTTGGAACTGCTAACAAACCCCCCCACTTCATCACCATCTCATGGTTCAGCTTCATGATATCAGGCACAAAGTCATACATATGAGGCATTGCGCTTCAATAAGGAGACGCCATGTTGGAGAGGATCCATGTCAGCGACATGTCGCGGAATTCAGCAGGCGGCGGTGGCGCTCCTGGGCGTCGATGGGCCACACTGGAAGATTGGGAGTTGCACAAGGAAAGAATCACGGCTTTGTATTGGGATCAGGGCAAGACTTTAAGAGAGGTCTCTGAGATCATGGAAAAAGAGCATCATCTTCACGCCACGTAGGAATTCTCTCACATTCTGTTAATTCAGGAAGCAAGCTGACATTGTCCTTCCTCGAAAAGGCAGAAAATGTATAAACATCGCATCAAGCTCTGGGGCCTGACCAAGAACCTCTCGGCCGGCAAAGTCAGAAAAGCACTGTGGGAGGCATCGCGGGGCAAGGCCACGCTGCCCGTGATCCGCGGCCGCGTCCCGGGACCGGCCAGCATGAAGCACGAGTTGCAGACGAGGCTGCCGCGCGAGTACAGCTTCCTGGCGGCGGCCGACAACAAGTCCCTCCTTTCGCGCTCCCGGACCATGTCCCTCGAGCTCTCATCATCGCGGACCGTCAGCCCCTCGCCCGTGGCCACGAGCATTGATGCCCCCGCACAGTTCAGGTACATTGAGAGCTGTCTGGCGGCTGTCCTTGATTACACGCGGAACAGAGTACAGACCTCCATATGGGACCGAACCTGGAATATCGTGTTGGAGGACTACTCCGAGGTCTGGCATAACAAGATCTTTAACGGCCTCGTTATGATCAGAAATGGAAAGATGAAGCAAGGTTTTCAAATGATTGACATTTGTCTCAAGAACTACAAGTCACTAATACAAAAGGAGCACCCACTCTTAATCATAGAAACATACTCGATATTTCTGCGTCTTTCGCTCGAGAGACTAGATCTTGCGCACGTAATTCTTCGATATATCGCGGGTTTGTGCAGAGCATGTCTAGGACCCGCTCACCCATTTTCGAGAATATGGACATCGCTCATGCCACTTGGGATGGACCAGATCCGTACGGCCGCGGCTGTAGTGATCAAGGCGCAGCTCGCACTGCTCGCAACCTATTTTGCAGAGGATGCTGAATTCCTAATCAATCAACGGATCGACACGGCGCGACAAACGCACTGTTACGGGAGCATGTCCATTGAGGAGGCGGAAGCCGACATAGCGCAGGCTATTCGTTTGAAAGAGGCAAAAGGCGACTCAGATACAACGTCCTATGTGTGCTGGGCCAAAGAGATGCTGGCTTCTATTTACCAACACAACAACAGATTTGCAGAGGCCAAGCAGATCCTGGACGAAGTTGGTCGCGAGGTCGAGTCGCAGCCTGAAGAGATTGACCAATTCACCACCAGTCAATATTTCGCCATCACGTGCCAAGTTATAGAGCGTATTGGCACGTATCAAGACTTGAAAGATTTTTACCAACGGCGGCTCGACTGGTGTGTCAAGACTGTTGGCAAAGATCACCAATGGACGGTGAGGACGGTGATTCAACTTGACACCGAGTACGGGAAGCGAAACGATTTTGCTGCGTCAGTTCAATTGCACCAAGCTTTCGACTTTGAGTCCAGCTGGAACCTCATCTGTCGAAAAGAAGACAGTCGATTTGAACACGAGACGGACAATACCACAGCCCAGAACTGAGCCAATAATGAAGCTGCTTTGCGGGCCGGGGGGGGGGGGGGTGGGGGCTGAGGCATGACGACTTTGGGCAGGATTGCGAACATGTTCTGTGGCTGTGTTTCAGCGTCGTTGGCCAGCAACGTCAAGACGAAATACTCTGCTAGCACAATAAACAGCCGATCGTCGTCATCATGGTCGCAATACGATCAAGAAGATCAACTTGGCTTGCGACAACCGTGTCGGCGCAGCCCAATCACAACAAAGTGTTTTTCTGGATCTAAAAGAAAACTATCCGCCGCAACGCTAAATTGGTCTCGATCCCACGTGCCCCCGCCTCGGGGGTTTAAGAAAACTTGATCTTGGGCACCTAGCGTAGGATACCAGCCCTCGGGATATCGGCAGCAAACCTTGGATTCATGAATGCAAACTGTTGGAATGGACAATACGGAAAACAAACAAAAAATAAACTTTTTCTGGATACCAGCTGCAAGACGATCTCCCGTCTCGGATTTTTATCTTTCTGTCCGGAAAAGGCCTGGTAGCCCCCCGGACCCACCCGGAGCTTCCGCAAGTCGTACATAGTACACAAAAGATCTGTGACTGAGCCAAAAAATCAGCAAAAAAAGAAGGTCGAGATATCTCAGTAACTGAGATGCACTGGGAATTGAGCCCAATGCGGGGGTCGAACCCGCAGCCTTGAGATTAAGAGTCTCACGCTCTACCGATTGAGCTAACCGGGCTGTGAAGATCTCAACGCTTGTCGTTGCAAATATTTTCATTATCATCTGTGATGTATAAAGAAAATTTTCAAGTCTCTGGGTAAACTAGACAAGAGTTGGAAGTGGGCCTGTTGAAAGGCCCCAAGACAGGCTGGTTATCAGCCTAGTGCAGAGGCTGGGACCACGGAGTCCCGGTATCTGAGCCTAGTAACGTTCTTTGCAAACGATTGATTAGCCAGATATGCGCGGGCAATAACACGAATGGACTGATGCTGTTCTCGTGGCTGTCCTCGTGGCTGGCGCAGCCGATATTTTGGACGACGATACGCCTAGAGTTAATCACTGCTGACAACTAGCTCTGGGACCACGACCCCACGAGAGAACCAACCTGCTATTGACCAGGACAAGGATTGGTTTCATTCCAAGAGGTTCAGGGATAATGGCTGAAAACTCAGCTGTCAAAACTTCCCATCTGATACTGCCTTGAGACTCTTCTTGTACGAGAGAATCCAAGCTGACCATCTCCGCAATTGGGAGTAACTTAACACTTGTTGTTGTCGATGGCGCCGCTGCCTATTGAGTTAAGGTTCATCATGGCGCACTCTCACAGGCTGTCCTCTTGTGCATCAGCGCTGTTGCCCAGCTCAATATCGAGACGCTCGACCCCTCAGACCATCAACGACTGACTTCCATGCCAGCATGTCCTGTGAATAAGTAAATGTGGAGGCGGACAGGCTCTCCAACGGTGAAGCTCCGCCCCGGGATGGACCTTGATGCGAGAAGCTGTGTGGGATTTGGCATTTGCTCCTTTCAAAGTCGGCTGCACCCGGTGCCAGACTAACTAGTCTACCTATCTCCGTCCGATACGTAGTCGTAGATACGTGCAGGATGTCCTGATATAGTCTTCGCGCTGAGCTGCACAAAGTCTGTGGTATACTTGCTCTAGGCGCCAAATAATATGCATTATCTTGGTGCGGTAATCGCTCTCAAAGGTTCATTGGAGACGGCGGATCCAAACTTTGAGCGAGAGTCAGTATTCTGCAAGTAGCGAGACACATGGCGATGGATCAAACCCGAGCAGAAGCCATCGTGATTGAGATGTCTCTGACGGAATCGTACCATTACGTACGGGACTGATGGAGGGGGCGTGGAATACCCGAGACTGGGGAGGCACCATGACTAATAATGGGTGGCTAGGCCACCCAAGAGCACCCAAAGTTTCGGCGTCGGCACGTCCCAAGCAACCGGCAACTCAATGACGTGCGAGTTTACCAGAGACTAGAGCGACCGTAGCGGAGCGGCATAGTAGTGGCAAGGCTGCTGTCGTTCGCCGGATGATTCGCAGCTGAAAGAAAGTCAATGATCACGCTCAGAACTGAAATCAAAGCTGCCAGAATACAAGATAGTAGCGAGGAGGGAGCCATATCTCGAAGCTCTGCACAGGCTCCCTCACTTTGATCATAGTACTAGACATGACACGGCCCATCCCACTAATATCAGAAGCGGAGACTTGCCAGGAGCTCACGTTCCCCTTATCTTTTTCTGTTGCCATCACGAGAATTTCTGGGGAAGGAGACGTCGCATCGGTTTGTCCGTATGTATATCGTTGGCTCAGTTTCCAGATTAAATCCGAGACGCTGCGTTCCATCATCGTACATGAAGAATCAACGGAAGGGCAAGTAGCATCCAATGTGCTTCCTCTCCTTTGGAAGCATCACTGGCAGTCAGTCGATGGTGAAGCAAGCTGGATATGATATCAATTTCAATGTCGGAAGTAGAAAAGGTGTGCGGAGATGTCTCCTGTCAGACTATTGAGTAAAAAAACGGTCGGTGCCAAGCATTTTAGACCGGCGGGGTGTCGTCCTCAGGGGTCCAACGTCCTGGTAAACGGGGCGGCGGAATCCTACCTTTCCTACCTAAAGTGACGGACGGGGCAAAGAGAAAGGAAAAAAATAATGACTTGACATAACCTTATGTGACCTTGATCGCTATCCGAGTCGGCAAATTCGATCGGGAAGAATGTGCCTGAGATGCTACTACTTTGGGTGATGGGCCCTAGAATCTTCTTTGCGTGGAAGATCGTAGATACGGTATCTCACCGTATCCATAAAAAGCTGTGAAAGATGGACGACCATTTGTTGACGTGGACTCTGCTGAGATGACGAGTTGTCTGATATGCACTATAAGAGGTCGGCGGTGGCCAGCTAGCAGTGTTAGTAGGCAGCTGGGAATGCTGGGCAAACTGGGGTGCGTTTGAAATTCCGTCAGCAGACAATACATTGTAGTACTGGCCATTGGAAGTTTGCAATGTGTACTTGGTATCGAGGTCATTCTTACCAAGTCTGTCTCTTGGGCCACTCGGCGATATCGACGGGCGGCACAGCAGAGATCCGAAAGCACTGCACCACCACGATTGTAATTGCAAAAATAAAATAGTCTTGGCAAATACGAGATTCTACACACCTGAGCTGCCTGAAGAAATCGATACAAAGGGGGGCCGCCTTGCTGTCGGAGCCGCAGATCAGACTGCCAGCCAGGGGAGAACAGGCATTGGATCTCCAGTTGAGAGATCCTGACGAAGCTAGCACAGCGGCGAGAAATCGACGTGCAGGTCGCAGCAGCAGTGCCGCAGCACCCAAGAGACCCTCTTTCTGGAATGTGGATGCGCATGCTAAGCTTTTACTAAGTCAACTTTGGTCAGCTTCAGGAACCATGAAAACAAATGACATATATCCTAGCCAGTAGTATTCCCGAGCTACCTTGAGGTACTAGGTACTGTAGGTTCTATGTATCATTGATGTATGGTGCCGTGCATCCTACAGTGAGTGGTTGGTGCATACCGTATGCCCGAATCAGCAGTACGGGTGCACTATGCCCTTTTGCCCATACCCATTGGCAGGCAATGTCTGGTTGAAGTCTGTGCCATTTTTTAAACCAACCCAGATCTTCATACCTTCGTCGAACAATTTAAATGGCCCAATATGAGGTATACCCTGTCTCACCTCCAGTTCATCATATTCGTCCTGGTCTCTTTTGGCAATCAGGACTGACGATTTGGCCCACGGTGGGTCAAATTTGCCAAGCTCCACATGCGTACGTGGACACAAACGCAACTATCACCAATCCGAAAGCAAGGAGATCCCTGCCCAGTCGCAGTCAGTCCGAGATCTCCACGTTTGCCCAGTATCAAGAATGGCACAGGATTGCCGTCAGGTGAGAATGGTGAATGGCTCTGATGGATTGGCGTGTGGAAAAAAATGGATTGGAACTGATTCACTACTATGGACACTAACTGATCATTCGAACGGTCCACCAAAAGAGCCCGCCGAGGGACAAAAAAGGATGGATCGTAATGTGGCGGCGAAAATGCGTGTAGTGCACAGCGGCCGACTCAGTGTATAGCACGAAAGTCAATTTGGAACCAGACCCCATCGCAAGCACAGGTCCCCTGAAACCCCTTACATATGGGACCTTGAGACTCTTTGCAACGACGACTCTTTACTGTTCTTCTCGTTTACTTGCTTGTCCTTGTGTCTTCAGTTTCACAAACCAGTCATTCGCTAACTTTCTTCCCTGATTCTTCTTTCGCACACTCGTTCAACCACAAACAATATGCAGTACGTACGTTTGGCAGGTTTCCTCCTGCCCGCTGTGGCCCTTGCCCAGACTTACACGGACTGTAACCCAACTGAAAACTGTAAGAAGACAAGAATTCAAGTGTTACATCTTTACCAAGAAATAAGCCGTGACTAACAAGAATAATGTAGCCACCTGCCCCTCGGATGTTGGTTTGAACCAATCGACCTACTCGGTCAACTTCACCTCCGGTGAGAGCTCTGACTGGGTCATGACCTATGGCGATGCCAGCTACGACGACAATGGTCTTTCTTTCACCATTACCGAGTCTGGTGACGCCCCTACGATGCAGTCCGAGTTCTACGTCTTCTTCGGCACCATCTCCGCCGTTGTCAAGGCCTCCCCCGGAACTGGTATTGTCAGCTGTGTGATCCTGGAGTCGGATGACCTCGACGAGATTGACTGGGAGTGGCTCGGCGGCGACATTGACGAGGTCCAGACCAACTACTTTGGCAAGGGCAACACCACCTCGTACGACCGCGGCACCTACGAGACCGTCGGCGACTCTCAGGACAACTGGCACAACTACACCATCGAGTGGACCTCGGCCTACACCACCTGGTGGATCGACGGCGAGGCCGTCCGCACCCTAGAGTACGCCGATGCCGTCGACGGCAAGAACTACCCCCAGACTCCCATGCGCATCAAGCTCGGCTCCTGGTCCGCCAGCGACAGCGGCAGCGAGGGCACCATTGAGTGGGCCGGCGGCGAGACCGACTACGACGACGGCCCCTTCACCATGTACGTCCAGTCCATTGACATTGTCAACTACAACCCGGCCTCGACCTACACCTACGGCGACTTGACCGGCGACTGGACCAGCATCGTCCTCGACTCGCCCGACGCCGTCATTGTCAACGAGACCGAGAGCAGCAGCATCAGCAGCACCTCCAGCACCGGCTCCTCCACCTCGTCCAACTCTTCCAGCTCTGGCTCCTCCAGCTCTGGCACTTCTTCGTCCTCGAGCTCCTCTGCTTCCGGCACCACTGCCACCTCTGCCGGCGTTGCCCAGTCTGCCCCCGTTGCTGGCCTTCTCCTGGCCGCCATCTCCGCCTTCTTCCTGTAAGATGAGCGTATCGGCATCTCCCCCCCGTTGAGACGTCAGAGAGAAAGTGAGAGTCAGAGAGAAAGAGAGAGGAGGAGGAGGAGGATAAAAGATTTTTACGCTTCATCACACGAATTGGGCATACGCATGGCATGATACCCGCATGTTTTAGTGCACCATTGAATAAAAAACCTTGTTTACCTACACCCCAGCGTCTTGTGATAGATATTATTTGTTTATTTAAAGTTCTCAATTCAAGATTTCATAAATCTGATTATCGCGTGCTTGATATCGCTATGCGACAAGAAATAATCTTAAAGGAGGCCAGAATGGTTAGAAATGAAATGGACTCTAGAAATGTTACATTTGAACCATTTGACTATTTGCGTTGCTCTTGGCATGCATTAGTCCACGTAGAAACTTCTTGAAGTGGTGATTGTATATTATACTTTCCACGAGAGGAATTCGCACGATGTATGTCCTCATGGACCATATGCGTAGAGGTAAAGCAGGTGTTGCAGCAAATCTAAAAGCATCTATTGCAGCGTCTGTGACTCGTTCCGAGCAAAGAGAATATCATTGATTCAAAATCATGCCAACTTGATTGACTCATATAGTGAAGCAGTCTACCGATCCACATATATCTTGTAGCTATGATTGCAGTTTTGTGAATACTTGAAGACAAAGTAATTGATTCAAAACGTTACTTCTAATTTTGAAAGTCTGCTACAAAGTTGACACGGCTTTTCAACACTGTCCCATCAAGAACAACCCCTACTTCGGCTTGCAATTATTGAAAGAGACGTTTGAAAACTATCTTTCGGTCTCGTCCAACAAATTCCATTTCTGGTTCTTTCAGGAGAACGCCATTGTAAGAATATGATGAGTCTTGCGTCATAAAGATGTAACTCCAAGTTTCCAGATTTCCATTTCACATGTCCGTCACTTCATATCGTACACGCACCTGCTACACGGAGGCTCATATACATCCTTCGCGATGAAATGTTTCGCGGTATAGATATGTTACATGCATTCTCGACGCAATGGGCACCCATACTGGGAACAAGAAGAGGTCAATGGCGTTTAATTCGTTTATGCCCCAGGCGACCGGATCGTCCCCGAGCCCAGTGCCATAGTCTTCTTCATCCCTGGTGAAAATGGTCCAAGATCTGCTGGGATGACATGGATCGCGCTCGCGGGCGTGGCTAGATCCCCCGTTTCTTCAAAAGATGGCTTGCTCTCGTTCTCGTAGTCTTTGAGCTGGATTTCATCATGGTAGTGAGGATGTGTGGCATTCGAAAAGTAGTCCTCATCGTCATCTTGCGTCTCGCCGTCCAGGCTGTCATATGTTGTATTTCCGCTCCTCCTCCATCGCCGGATGTAGAGATATGCAACGACGGCCAGGGCTGGAATTATGATGAAGGCTGCAACAGCTCCGACGGCGATACTGAGCACGGTCATGCCCATGTCGGACGGGCCGTCCTGAGCAGCAGAAACAGCGGTAGGGGGATCATTTGGTTCAGATGTTGGTGTATGAGTGACCAGAGGGGGCGGCGGCGGAGGGTGGTCAGGCATGACAGGAGGATCGCTGATGGTATTTGCAGAGCCACCACTTCGTGTATCCACGACGACGTGTCTGCCATCTAGGAGACCATGATTCAGGGTGTTCAACGCCCACGCCTCTCTGCCCTCCATGTGGAACTGATGTCCCACGACCATCTCAAGGGGGCTGACCTGTGTTCTTGTTGAAAAGATCAACAGCAAAACAGCGAACGATGTTTTTTTTTTCCTCTTGTGCAGAATGAAGTCTATCTCGCCTGGGGTCGCCAGAGAAGGGGGGGAACTCCAGAGATGTTGTGTTTACGGGAAACATGGGGAAAAGTAGGTTTATCTCACGTTGCTTTGCACATGCGTTTCACCGATGGATGCAGAGCAAACGCTATCAAGGGCAGTGCGACCACCTCTTATGAGACATCTGTTCCTTCCCGCAACTCAACCGGTACTGCATGGGGAAGACACTCAACTTTCAGGTCTTTGCGCGAAGAATAAAAAACCATTTGTCTCAGCGATCTAGTCAGCTGCTACATGGATTAGAGGCAACTGGGAATTATGGATGCTCTTCTCTTATGGAGAGGCATATGCTGCGGAGTGATATGTAAGTCGACGAGGCGAAATGAGACGCGTTGCCCTGGATTGAGCCGTGTCAAGAGACATTGGTTTTGGTTCGTAGCAGAATCGCATTCCAATGGGCCACAGGGATCCCACCCGTCTTGCCTCGCTAGCGATCCGTTGTGAGACCAATATCGCCAGGTACAGTCCGCTCTACATCCTTCATGTCCTTGCGATCGTTCAGTATTCGGCAAGTGGTGCGAATTGGTAGGCCCTGCGGACATTGGGTCTCAAGAATTGTTGTTCATGGTGTTCTTGTTTTGATCTCAAGCCATCATCCTTAATTATGTGAGAGACAAAAAGCAAACTTCTGGTGACTTTCAATGGAGAGAAGACTACACGAAATTGTACTTTATGAATGCATGCACTTTATTTGCCTGCTGCAGGTGCCCTGAAAGTATATCCAGGTAAACACGGGAAAAAGGTGGGGACTGGCCACTTTACGCGGGCCCTGCCTTGACTACCGCGATGCCTCACCCCAACACACATATGCAGTCGCGCTTCCGCCGGCGATAAGCCGCGATAAGAGTTTCCAGGCTGTGACCAACCAACAACCCCAAGGCAACAGAGACGGGCGCAATTCCTCAGACCTAAATGGGAGAGAACTTGATTGTCCATTACATCGTGCCAATGGGTGCTGAAGTGGTCGCTTCAGGCTCAATGGGTCGCTATGGACGATTTCTCCGATGACGGTTTCGACGACTTGAATGTAAACGTGCTGGACGAGCTCGAAAACAATGCTATCCAGTTTACACAAGCCCAGAGGCAGGCCGGCTCGACGCAAGATGACCTCGAACTCGATGAATTTGACGATGACGATCTCGGAGATTCCATCATAACGAATGAACTGCGCGGCAACTCTGTTCTCCTCCCCGAGAAGACGGCCACGGCAACCAATGGCTCGCGCGTTGCGCCACAACGCCAGCAAACAACCCAGCAGCAGCAACAGCAGCAACAGCAGCAACCACATCAGCAGCAACAGAACAGATGGGGAAATGTACCTGTACGCGCGACCCACTACCGGCCACAGCCGGTAGGAACCAACTCGCGACCTCCTGCGCAGATACACACTGGGCTGCGGCAGTCTCAATATGGCCCTCGACAGTCGCAAACCGCCCCATACAGTCAAATGCGGCCCCCGCCTATCCCTCGACCAACCCCCCTCCAGTCACGCAATCAGCCGTCACAAGCGCCGCAGCAGTCCACAGCAGTAGATATCGACCATGAAGCATTGCAGGCTCGGATACAAGAATTGGAGCTCAAACTACAGACCAAAGACGGAGAAATAGATATCGTCCGTCGGAATCTAGAGAAACACAGGCAGGATCACGACAGAGAAGTGCAAGCCTTGAAGAAACAGACTGCTGAGCAAATATCCAAGTCAGAACGTGCTGCCGAGGCCGCCAAAGCTGGTCAGAAAACAGCCACGACAGAGCTTCAGTTCATCCGCCGGGAATTACATGATGAGCTCGACCGGGCCAAGCGGAGGGAGAAAGATGGGGGCACACCCAAGAAGCCCGCAGCAGCCAAGGTCTGGGGTGTTGCCGATGGCTTCGACGATGTTGAAATGGTTGCTAGTCCCAGCAAAGGCAATAGAGGTAGGAACCCTGGAGCCGTGGCTAGTGTCATGCCAGATCCTCCTGCCAGGCTCACCAGGACACCGACAAAGAACAAGAGAAAACGACCGAATATCGAAAGCCCCATCATGGCCCTCGAGACCGACCAGGATGTGATCATGACAGAGGATCACGAGACGACAGGCACAAGCAAAGATGTCGATGGACCGCCGCAAACCGAACAGCCGGTAGCTCAGACCAATCCTCTAGGCGTTGATGTAAGTAATGTTGGCATTTAAATTACCCGAATAGCTACTCATTTTGCTGGTAGTACCTGAGGGTCATACTCAATCACAGCTCTGGCTATGGTAGGCCTCTAACCTTTGACTACTTGGCTGGCTTTGCTCTGCCAGCCAAGCCTGCAGAGAGTCTGGCAGCCATTCTGTTCCAAAAGCTAGCCATGCTTGGCGATCATCAAGACCCCATACGGCTCCCGATTGAGTTTTGTGACAGTGTCATTGAATTATGGCTACAATGTCGCAAAGATGGATGTGTAAGCTCTAATATGCCCCATGCTTGTGTAATGTGATTTGAGTAGCTGACTCGACGCAGCTTGCGCCTATTGGTGAGCTCGTTTCCCTTGTTGCATTCACATTGCAGCTCAACACTATTGGGATTGCACCATTCATCACAGAGGCTCTGGTCTCTACTGCTCTGGATTCATGGTACGAAATCGGCATTCCTCGATTACGCAATCAAAGTTCCGATGGCGATCCATCCGATGCGGCTTTCCTCAACCTAAAGGAACACATTCCAACGTCGTCGATTCTGTCCGTTATGTATCTCACGGCTCTAGGATGTGCCACATCAGATCCTATCGGGGGCTCTCTGTCACGGCCGATAGTTGACTTTTGGAATTGTGTGCATCCAGACTTCATACTCATGATGCTCAAGAGCCACAAACAACCAATTGACGACTTTATTACGACTCTCAAGCTGCTATGTACATCTGCATTTGATGAGTCTATTGGGCCAATCTCAACTGCCCCTAATCGCACTGTGGATTTGGTCGCGCCTCTCATCATCGAAAGACTTACCTATCATCTACTGGAGACTCACCAGTGGGATGTACAGCAAGAAAAACGTTGGACTCTGTGTTTTACATTGCTACAAACGCTGGCGGCATTTGCAAGGTCACCCTTTGGCATGAGACAACTTGTCACGCACGATTACGCTATTCCACGGCTGGTCATATTCCTCAGTTGGACTATTGACGATATGTACGATGGCAATTGCACATCCACAGTATATGTGCTGCCAGACCCCGACTCCCCCATACCGCAACTAGATGCAGACACGAGTGATTCCGGAGAGCCTCCACAAGATGAGCCGGATGGAGTGCAGAGGTTAATCGCACACACGATGCTGCTCTTGCACACGCTTGTCACGAACAAAGACAACAAGGACAGAGTCAACATCACAACCAAACTATCGAAATTTACTGGGGCACACCAGAAATACTTATTGAGCCTCGGAAGGCTGAACTTTGCCGAGGAAGGGGTCAGTGAAGACACGGCAGAGTTGGCACACGAATTACTAGAGCTCGCGGTCACGGAAGAGGAAGGGGCAGAGCTTGGGGAGTTTTTTGGTGGATGATGGCTATGCCTGCGTGCTTATGAGATGCGATATACCCAAGGCGATGTCATATTCTGGTAGATTGTAGCAGCAAAGTATCTTTGAGAGGGTGTTGCGGTGTCGGAAGCTCTGTGCGCTGTTTGCAGCCTCTATTCTTTTGTTATGAACTGGAATGGAGTTCTGTACAAGCACGGGTTCAGTTGTGGTCCGGCGAGGAGATTGGATTGTATAGTAAAACAACATCCATGGATGGCAATGAAGATCATCCCGCTAAGCCATGGGAAAACACCCTACCAAAGCCTACCTTGAAATCTCATCCTGGGCTTATCAGGCATCAAACTGTGGTGGAATCTCTCCAAAAGTGTATGAAGTGTACATAAAGGAGACTGCTGCTGTGATTTGGCAATTGGCATATTTCGAGAATTCAGCTGACTTGCCATGTATGATGACGTTCGAGGCGGCTCTACCTTTTAGCACGCATAACATGGGCGGGAATACCAAGGGCAGGTCCCCGAATTTATTACGTCGGCCCCGATGGCATGCCGACCTTCCGCTGCCAAGGCGCTGACCTGAATCCCAATCACTGTCAGCCAGCGCACACGTGCAAAACCTGTGTTTCCTCCCCGCCCAAGCCACAATTTTTCTTCCAGGCAATGGTGACCTACGTCAGGGCCCTGCCTGCATGCCCGCCTGCCTGCACTCGCCGAAACAATGGCAATAGCTAAGGTAGGTAGCTCTCAAAGCTTACATTTAGGTAGGTGATCGACTAGTAGATTAGCTGGAGATAGGTAGAGTAGAGAAAAATCAAGGTAGGAAAAAAAAAAGTCATTTGCGACCAACAGTTTTTCCAGAAAGGCTGATTATTGACTTTTTCCAACAAATGATAGCCTCGCTTGCCATTTATTCTTGAAACTGCTTTTCTTCCTTTCTACTGCTTCATCAATCTACATGTCCGACATTCGTGGCCGTTTCTTGTGATCCTTTCACCTCCCGTTCCGGACTCGATACACAGCGCGTCATCAGCTCCCCGTCGTCTCTTCCTTGGCGTAAATACCCGACTCCACTTGACTTTGTCGCTAGACTTCCCTGAAGACCCGGCCGGCTACCGACCGTCTCCTAGCAAACTGCGACGACTGTCAACATTTTCCCCTGACACGACCACGACGAACTCTCGTTTGGATCGCGCTCTTTCGACGACCAAAACCGAGCGAGCCCCTACAGATCCGAGTCGCTGCCCAGTCGTTCTGCCCGCCCCCAAGGACTGCTACTGCCTGCTTGCCGCAACTGCCCAACCGACATCATGACCAAACCGCGTCGAGGGGTCAAGTTCCCCCATCAGACCAACGGCCAGGCCCGCAGGCTCAGCGTCAGTGAGGTCAGCGAAGATGGTTCATCCTCACCCGTGCGCACAAGAGCTTCGGCTCAGCTGGGCGACATTAACGAGAAGTCGCAGGCTCCGCCGCCGTCAGACTACGAGAAGAAGAAGGCAAACTTCATAACCCGTACCTTCTGGACCTTTGTCATGATCGGTGGCTTTTTTGCCGCCCTCTTCATGGGTCATATCTACATCATCACTGTCATGACGGCCGTCCAGATCATCTCGTTCAAGGAGGTCATTGCTATTGCGTCTGTCCCGACCCGCGCCCGGGACATCAAGGCCACCAAGAGCCTCAACTGGTACTGGCTGGCTTCCACCATGTACTTCCTCTATGGCGAGAGTGTGATATACTACTTCAAGCACATCGTGCTGGTTGACAGGGTCCTTCTGCCCCTGGCCACCCACCACCGCTTCATCAGCTTTGTTCTCTATGTCATTGGCTTCGTCTTCTTCGTCGCCAATCTCAAGGCCGGCCACCTCAAGTTCCAGTTCACCAACTTTGCTTGGACGCACATGGCTCTCTACTTGATCGTGGTCCAGGCACACTTTATCATGAACAACGTATTTGAAGGCATGTTTTGGTTCTTCATGCCCGCCTCCCTGGTCATTACCAATGATATTTTCGCCTACATTTGCGGAATCACCTTTGGTCGGACGCAGCTCATCAAGCTGAGCCCCAAGAAGACGGTTGAAGGTTTTGTCGGCGCCTGGGTCATGACCGTAATCTTTGCCGTCTTCTTCGCCAACCTGCTGATGCGCAGCAAGTACTTTATCTGCCCCGTCAATGACCTTGGCGCCAACATCTTTACCGGGCTCGAGTGCGAACCCAACCCCGTTTTTCTCCCGCACACCTACAAGATGCCCGAGCTCTTCTTCCTTCCTGACAGCTACAAGCACTCGCTGAGCTTCACCACCGAGCCGATCCAGTTCCACGCCATCGTGATTGCAACGTTTGCCTCCCTCATCGCCCCCTTTGGCGGCTTCTTCGCGTCCGGCCTCAAGCGCACGTTCAAGATCAAGGATTTCGGTGACTCCATCCCTGGACATGGAGGTATGACTGATCGCATGGATTGTCAGTTCATTATGGGCTTCTTCGCCTACATGTACTTCCACACTTTCATCGCCGAGAACAAGATTGCCTACGGCCACGTCATGGAGCTGGCCATTACGGGTCTGTCGGTTGAGGAGCAGATTGAGCTCGTCAAGGGAATGAGTCGGTACCTGGAGAACCAGGGTGCTCTGGGCTCACAAGTAAGTAAAAGAATTCAGAATAAAAATATATTTTTAGCAGCGTATTTGTATTAACTTGATGTTTAACAGGTCGTTGCATGCCTGGATGGCGCCTTTCCTGGAAAGAGGTAGATATTTCATTCACCTCGTCGAGAAGAGGGCTGATTGGGTCTGAGAATTGTACGCTGTGAGCATAGCAGGTGTGGTGGTAATGGGAAAGCCAAGAAATATTCTTTTTCATGATTTATGACGGAAGAGAAAACAAAATAAAAACGGGAATTTATTTCATTTCATTTGCTGCACAACTCTTTTTTTTCTTCTCCCGCGAGAAGAAAACCACATCCCCCTTTGCAGCGATTCATTGGGAATCGTGTACTATACCCTTCCTGTACATATCAAATCTCTCGTCTTTTCCATTTTTTTTTTTTTTTTGATAGGTAGGTACCTGGGAAACCAGTTTGCAAGACACAATCAACTTGTGCTTGGCCTACATCCATAGTTATGCGGAATTAGAGAAATAATCACCTCTACTCAAGAAAAAGGTTTCGCACCTCATAAGCATGCATCGTTTGCCAATCCGGGCAAAGGTGAAAGTACGTGGAACATGGCTTCTACAACGCACAAGTTCATCAAATTTTTCACACACGGAAGTGGATAAACACAGTTTGAGGAGGAAAAGCTGTTCAGCTACCTAGTCATATACCCTTTGTATATGTTTTGAACCAAGTAAACGTGAGCATCGCTTCTTCAAGTCGTATAAAAATGATGGAAAAAACGATACAACACACTGATGTAGTGCGGACAAACTCTTCAAGTTGGTAGGTATACTCCCAGAACGCCTTGCCAAGATCATTACTAAACCATTGTCTACAGTATTGACTTCTTGCGGATGTATGTACTGTAGTATAAAGGACGGTTGCACTATTTGCTAACACCCTCCATCCCGTCAAAGAACAATTCCAGGGAGATCTTGCGGGTTCTAGCGACACATTCTCATCCCGGAAAGTGCGATTGCGGCCTCTTCCCTGAGCTGATCAGAGGGACTTGGGGTTGACTCCTTTCGTACTTCAATTGGCAACTTAACCAGAGGAGAGCTGAGCATCATAGGGTGATGAAGATGCTGCAGGCTGAACCTTCGCTGGTTGGGCGACAGTGAAGCCAGAGGCGTCTGGTCGAGTGGACTGTGTGGCGGCGACGGGTTGCACGACGGCTCCATCGTAGCCAAACGAGGACCAGCTTGTTGCTCCCTACGGAAGGGTGGCAGAATATTCTCTTGATCTATTACTGCCGGTTGGGGGATAGTGTAGCCCGAACGGGCTGGTGGTACTTGCTTTGGCGTCGTCGGCATACTGCTCATGGCCTTGGCTGTGGGCTTGCGCTTGCGCGGGTTTGTCTTCACCGCAGCACTCACAGAGGCGCTTGGCGAGTACACCGGCTCTGTACGAGCAGAGAAGGATAGGATATCGGGCGACGCACTCAGCACATCCTCTTGTCTGGTTGGCAGCGGAGCTGGTGTACAGTTTGCTGAAAAGTCTGGAGGATTTCCGGGAAGCTGTAGTTGGAATTCCGACAAGGTGTATTGGGTGCTGTAACCAGCAGTCTCTAGATTACCACGCAGCTCAGCAACACGCAACGGCGTTTGCGGACGAAGAACACCCAGCTCCGCGGCAGCCCTGTTGAGTTTATCCTTGGTAATTGGACTTGAGAGCAAACTGGCTTTAAAGGCCGGCGCTCGGTGATCCGGAAACGATCCCTGCGATGTAGACAAAGCAGACGGGGCAGAATGTCTTGATTTCCTTGCTTTCGTGGCAGGCTTTCCAGGCGCGTCTGGCTTCACAACACTTTGCGAGATGGGGAGATTTGGCCTCGGCGAGGGTGTGTACCCGAAGAAGTCGAATTTCTCCCCGCGAATCGCGTAAAAGGCCTCGGCAATTGTACTCATACAATAAGCGCCGCAATTATAATCGTTCCGCTCAGCTTGAGGGTTCTTGGCAGGCCCCTTTGACTTTGGAGAGACCTTCTCCTCCTGCTTGACGGTGAACAGCGACTCGGTCTCAACGGTTTTTTCATGTTCAATGGCAGATGGAAATGCCGGCGGTGCCTGACTTGGTTGGGCTGATATCGAAGCTGTGGATAGACCTGGAGCTGGGAGTGTAATTGATGCCTGAGCCGGTTGAGCTGGTGCCAAAGCTGAGGACACTGGCGGCATTTGACCTGCTACCGCCAGAGTCTGTTGCTGGAAGACGAACGGGATTGGAACCGGCACTGGAGTTTCCTTCGGTTTCGGCCTTTCCGATTCTTCCTGATGGGAGGCTCTCGGGGTGGTAATCATGGCCTCCCGATTCTTTTCTTCCATGCTTTCGCGCTTCTTAATAGCCACTGCTTCTCTCTTCCTGGCCAATTCCTCGCGTTTCCTAGCAGCAGCAGCTTCTTTTTCGGCCAGTTCTTGACGTTTCTTGACAGCCGCTGCTTCTCTCTTCTCGGCAAGTTCTTCACGTTTTTTCAAAGCTGCAGCCTCTCGCTTCTCAGCCAACTCCTCACGCTTTTTCAAGGCTGCTGCTTCTTTCTCCGCCTGCTCTTCGCGCTTCTTGATGGATGCTGCCTCTCTCTTCTTCTCAGCCAGCTCCTCGCGCTTTAGCTTTTCATACGCGACAATCCCGTCGGGTGACATCCAAAGTGTAGGCTTTCGCTGCTTCAAATCATCGACCCAGGCATCACAGTCCCATTGCACCCAATAGTCGATAATATCGCCCCAGATGCTCTCAGATGGCTTGGTGAAGTTGATAAATACAACTTTGCCTCCTTTCTGATGGACTGCCTTGGCAAATTCCCTGACCATGACCTTGAGACCGTGAACCTTCAGACTTGTTCCAAGAACTAGCATCAAGTCTGGACCAACGGAAAGGTCGTGCTGTACAATGGACGAAATCAGATCTGACTGTGGATGCTCCTCTCCGTAGAGGACAATATCGGGTCGTAACACTCCTACTCCAAGTGCTCTTTTGCCTTTTTCTTGACGAGCCGCTGTAGCTCCAGCGCAATGCGGACATTCAGGCTGCTCGCCAGACATGGTCAAGGCTTCTCGGTCTTCAGAGCCCCAATCACAAAGCTGAGCGCAGGCGAAACAACGCAGGGCTTGTAATGAGCCATGAAGGAAGACACATTCAACCCCCTTATCTGAGGTAGTACTCATGCGATTCTTGACCACCTCGAGGCTTTCTGTGTTCTGGGATGGCTGAGACAAATCCTTTTCTGCGGCATCGCTGTCATTCTTGGCCTGAGTACATACATCGGTTCCGCCTGCTTCGTTGTCGACAAGGCGCTGTTGTTTTGCCGACTTTCTGCGCTTGTTACCGGCTCCGATCTTCAAGTCAGTTGACAGGCCGATTTTCTTCTCAATCTCATCAATATTCTGAGTGTAAACGCGTGCTAGTTTTCCGATATCGCGAAGCCGAGCAATGAAATGGTGTGTTGTAGTTGGCTCAACATCCCTCACCTTTTGCCTTAATGTCGTGGCAAATCGGTAGAAAACAGAGATTTTGAGGGGATCTTTCCAAATATTGCTGTCGAACAAGTCACGTCCCTTCATGGTCCTCAGGCGTGCTTGCGAGGTTTGCGAGCTCAAGAAATCACCTTCATCCTCCTCTCCATCATCCTGGTCTGAATCTTCGGGCTCGGAGCAATTCGAACTGCGATCAGTTGGCTCTTCGGGTTGGTCGTATGGATCAAATAGAACAGGAGGGGGGGATGAGAGCGGCGATGAGCTGAATAATCCGACCAGCCTGTTTGTCCTTGGCGTTCTAACTACTCGCGCGAGTCTATGCTCCTCTGCGGGCACTGTATCCATAGAGACATCTGTCTGCGTAGATGACCTTGACATCTCTCGGGCAGAGAATACAGAATCATGAGTTGTGGAAGAGGATGACGAGATCCCTGTGGAATGCCGCGACATAGCCAGCCGATTTTCTAATCGCACAGATCTTGTAAGCCTTTGCTCAGACTGCACATTGCTTGCATCCTTTTCAACAATCCCTGCAGGTGGCTGGGCAGCGAGCTTCTGGGTCGGCGTGTCCTCGTTGCAAGACTCCGTTTTCTTCAGTCTAAGTCCAGGAAAGGCCACTATTGGGGACGCATCGGAGCTTGACGCAGATCTGGTACTTGTTGGTGTGCCGTGCAACAAGGCCTCATTTCCTTGTGAGGTACGCCGGCGCTTTGTGGGCCTGTCGTTGATATCGGCCCCATTTGATTCACTGTCCTCTTCGATATCTCCTGAAGCCTCTGCCTTGTCATACTGAGCCTGGATCAGGGAGTACAGGCCGTTTTCCGAGCGAAAGTCCTACTCGCGTTAGCTGGAATGAGGGTTGAGTAGCGGTCGCCTGTTGCTTACTGGAATGCCCGAGTTTGTGCTGATCCCCGCGCCAGTGATCATGACAACTCTTTTTGACTTCCCGAGAGTATCGGCAACATTTTGAAGCAGCTCTGCGGAGCCGGGTGTGATCTGTACTGTCGGCATCGCGTTCTACCAAGTGGTCGGGTCTGAGCCCAACCCTGTCTTCAGCTCCGACCCGAGCGTCGAGAAGCTCACCAAACTGCTACTTGGGAAGCAGACGTGTCGTTTCCAAGTCAATTCAATTGCTCAACAGGTAGGCCGCACCTCCATGACTGGTGTTCTAGTAGCTGGTACCTAGCTGTGCTTGTGAAAAGCCCGTAAACGCGTCGACGCTCGGTAACTTTGGTTGAATCCGCTGTCGGTAGTCTCGAATCTTTTGTCTGGACGAGGAAGGCTCTTGGAGGATTGCTGGAGTTTATGCTTTGTCCAGCAATGGGCAATTGCGTGGGCAATTCACGAAGGAAGAGGAAATCGAGCAGGGCGGTCCAAGACGCGTCGCCGATATTGAAGACTGCCACAAATCTTGACCACACAAATTTCGAAGGTTGTTGTAGCGACGAAATCCAGAGCTTCCAGGTCCTTTCAATGGCGATACGAGCGGTGGGTGCGTAAAAAATTCGGCAATAAACAGTCGAGGGCTCGATTTCAAGAGAGAGGCCGGGTACTTCCAGGTCGTCGCGACTTTTGCTACCCCACCGCGGCAGGGACTCGAGCACAGTTGAGGAATAAGAAATACGGCTCAAGCTCAAGATCTGGACGTAGATGTGGCGTCCCAATAATGCCTCCAGACCGGTGGAAGCTGCCGTCTTTTTTTTGCTAAAATAACAAAGGAGGAACTGGGTTGGTTGAGCAGAGGTTGTGAATCTCACCGTCAGAGGTCGCGCATCAAATGGCCCATAGGAGTTGTCAAGGTAAACAGCGAAGTGCACGGCCCCGCATCGAATAGAGCTCCCCTTCGGGTTAGCACCTGCACCGGGACTCACAAAATAGGCGGAACAACGGAGCGCTAAAAACAGCTGATCACGGATGGTCTTGAGTTTAGTCGAGTCCCTTGACGCGCATGTGGAGATGCATATTTTTTGCCAAGCACTATTTAGGTAGTGTATGTACATAGGTACATATATTGTACTGAGCTAAGGGCTATGAAAGAAGATGGCCAATGCCAACTCTTCCTCTCTTGCTCATAATTGACCTGCACAATTATATTTCAAATCTCACATCGAGCTACGTATGTACTTGAAATTGCACTAGTTGTACTGATTAAGCCGTCTAGACAGGAGGAAACACCTCATCTAGACTTCGAGTCTGGCACAGTATACTATGTTGTTGCAGAAAGCATCTTGGCAATGTTTGAAGCAGATGGCCGTTCTCCTGTGAACCTGGGCAGCGTTCCGGAATGCGCTGAAGGCGTGTAGGCTGCTATGAGGTTACTAATGTCAACTATTCTCGCATATGGTGCTGGTGTTTGGTTTTCTTGGCTCAGGTCTGACGCTCGCAGATGCGCGCTTGGTTTTGTGCCCCCATGGTTAAAGCTATAGCTAAATCCCTCATGGAAAATGGCAGCCCGACGACCGAACTCGTCTACCGTGGCCCGAATCTCTTCGCTAGCAAGTCTGTACTGTTGGTGCGCCAGATTCATTATTTGTTGCCTTCTGCTGAGCCAGATTGAGGAGGGAGCTTTGATATTACTCAGTAAGTGATGGATGTCTGCCGCTGGAAGTTGCTGTCTCCGATCCGCCATGAGTCCCTCGTATAGGGGATCCGCAGTTTGGAAGAAAGCATCAAAAACCTCAGCCCAGGGATTCGTCCAACGCGGCACCTCCGTGTTCTGAAGCACGGGGTGCTGACCGATGCCGGTGACAAGATCACGAATGTCGGATGCTGTTTTCCTATACCCGGCTAGGGTCAAGACAACCCAATCGAACTCGTCGCTCGACTGGCCTTCGTCCGAAGGCCAAAGATAAGATCGGGACTCTTGGTGTCCTTGCCTGAAGTACTCATGAATATACTGTTCAAGCTTGCCAAACTCCCTAACATAAATATGGTGTATTTTGGCAACGTGTTGCGGGACCACACCATGCTCAGTGAAGTACTCTTCGAAGTGTTTGTTCATTTTCTTACGCCAGGAACTCAGGTCTTGGTTACGGCAGGCATTCCGCTGTCCTGGGATATTTTCCTTCCACTCTCGAAACCCTTCTTCATGATTTCGGTTACTCCAACACTCCAGAATTCTGAGTCCAAGCCAGCCTGCAGTCTGAAGCTCCTCCATAGCTTTGGGCATGGGGTCAACCTCGATACCCCAGAAGTTGTGAACGACCCGCTGCTGATATTCTGCACGAAGACGAGACTTGATACCAAAGAGCGGGACCGCTGACCAGATGAGACCCTTACAGTAGTCAGCCAAAACAGGCATCCCTCGTCGATGCAGCAGAGTCCAAACGGTCTTCATGAAGGCGTAGTTATCCTCCCCCATCATTTCTGCCAATACTTCTTCATCTGCCCAGTCATATGCCATGAGAGTGTAGTACGAGTTTGCTGGGTTTGTCATCCGGCCAGCCGTGTCCAGACCATATCTTACGACTTGCTCATCCCACCAGCCCTGGTCGAATCGAGTCGCAAGCCAGTCTATTCGTATGGGTTGACTGAAATCGATAATGGGTCTAGCAACCGGCAGGTATCTGTGGTCATCACAAAAGACTGTAGGGTAAGAATAGCCCTCAAGGAAGAGGGGCTGCAAGGTGATCATCCTAGAAGTAAATCCCGGGACCGGCAGAGCACACGTCAACATGCCAAACGTCTCGTACTCAAAAGCACTTCCCAGCTCGGCCCATGCGTCATTCTTCCAAAACGGCTCACCGTCGGCGTGAGTCATGTCGAAAAGCTGAGCGCCGGCTTGTTCAAGAAGTTCGGACACGCGACTACAATGGTTAGGAGGGTACTTTTTGCCCAGCGCGCCGCACATGAATGCAGTTGCAAAGTGGGTAGCATGCTGCGACATATTGGGTCAACGTTCATGAAATCGAAAGATTGCATCCCTTGTTTCTTACCATTAATTCGTGAAGGATTGTGACAGCGATCATGAAATGACAGCAGAGCTTTTCACAAGCGCGATATTCTGGGACAAGGAGTGGCCAGATCATTTGTGCAGAGAGGAGGATTTCAAATTGCCCAGGAGTCCGCTCTTCTGCCTCGGTAAACCCGTAAAACTCGCGGATTTGAGGATCCCATGTTCTATCATGCTTGTTATCAAGAAAGTTTCTCGAATTGTGTGGTGGATAATTGTGGCCGTCAACAATTCGGAAACCTATTGCGATCAGCCAATGCTGTAATGATCATGGGAATCAATGATTTCAGACTGATACGAAGATTTCAAAAGAAACAACTTGGATATGCTTCATTGTACAGGGCTCCCAGGGTCTTCGAGAAAACAATAAAAGAAAGAAACTTACGGAGTCCATTTTCCAGAATCCGATCAACTTGAGCGACAAAATCAAAGTGCTTTTGATGAAGGCTAGCCACGGGTGCCGGAATATATTCCGAGTTTACATCGTCAACCGGGACCATTTTCCACAAACATCTAGTCCTCGGAAGCACACGACGATCCAGGTTGGGGTCAATAGGCAGTCTCGTTCGGAGATCTTTTATCGCCTGCCAAAATTTGGGGTTTTGATTCAGGACACGAGATGCGAATTGCAAGGAAGGCTGTAGCGCTTCCCAAACCTCGTTATTTCGTCTCTAACTCATCAGTCAGCAGGTCAAGTCCACATATGATTTCTCGTTACTCACTGCATTCCATTCCTTTTTGCCTCCATTTCCTACATAGAAGTAACGCGGGTTATCGTGTTGAGAAGTGCGTGCGAATGGATCTTCCCACTTGTTTCTCTCGAGTAAACTAATCATGAAAACAGTTAGATTTTTCCGGCGCCGAGAGAAGGAGACCATCTCATAGATGTCGTGGTGACTGCCACTTACGGATGGAGCGGTTGGTTCATGTCCAGGTTGTGCGTGACCGAGTCTGACATGGTGTGAATATCCTCCGTGATTAGTTCATCCATTGTCAAGCCCTTGAACAAGAACCGTTGCCAGTTTTCATCTTCTTTGGTATTTGTAAATAACTTTTCATAGGGTTCCTTCATTTTAATATGCGGATTTTGTAGCTTTGAAAAATCCGTCGTTCGTAGATTTTGTTGCATATCCGGATGCATGGACATATCGCTCCATAATGGCTTTTCTTTGGTTACCCTCCACTCTTCGAGTACTTCGATTGCAATAGCCGCCGTGTTATCAACTTTGAAAAGGGGTCTTAATCCCCGCGCTCTCGTCGAGTCAATCATTCGGTCCTTTTCCTCCGAACTAGCATTGTCGAGAATTACTTGTAAAGCAAGACGGGCTTTACGAGAAACACCATTTGCTGATTCTAGCCGACTTTGGCTATCAGATTGGCCGAGGTAAGCTCCCCATTTCTGGTCATGGCCTGAATGAGTTTGGTCAATGTCCTGCGGTAGAAGAGCCGGACGGAGTGATTTAGGCGCATCAAGCTCTGATCGTTCTATAAATTCCCAATCTGGCAAGACAAGTTCCCGATCATTCCTAAATCCTGGCCGAGTCCATTCTGGAACATAGATCTCGTATGCTGAACTGCCTTCACCTGCGTTGTAGGTTTAAGAGACCCTGAGTTTATAACACAAGTGCTTTGTATACTTACTAGTCGTCACGCCAGTTTCCCCTGTAAAATTGTTGCGTTCAAATAGTGCTGTGAGGAATGGAAGCCAATCATATCCACATGTTGGGACAAGTCTCCGATTAATATAGTCCTGAGCTGCCTCGGCTGGCGTTGAGATTGATTTTAGTTGTCCCATAGGTGCTGCGAATATTGATTCAAGTGAAAGAGAGATGAAAAAGTGATGCAATGACAGTAAATAGAGTAAGATTACACGAATTAATATGATTGTAATTTCTTTTTTCATATATCTAGACTTGAATGCTTTCTAGATTGCCCCAGAATCATTTTGCTCGTGCCTGAGCGTACCATTAATTCAATGAGCTCAATGGAGTTGTGTTAGCTATGAATGAAACAATGAAATTTCTCAATGTTAAACTGTTTCCGGCACACTAGCTTAAACCTCGAGTTTTTACAAAGCTTTGAATGAACAATTGTCATGGTGGAAAGATCGGAAGGCTTCGCGAGGTCTCGATTCGCATCGTGAATAGTCACGCGTTCATACACGATATACGGGCTGGGCTGACTCGCAAAGTCCGAAGCACTCAAGCACTTTTAATTCTTGAGATATACTGGGATACATTATCACAGCAGTTAACACTGTACCCATTATGTTCGTAGAGTGTCGATTCATTCACATTGTGAAAATAATTGCAACGTCCTGCATCATTTGCCCATGTAATTGTAGGTATGGCCAAAATACTTGTAAAATATAATACCTGGGTCTTGACGTGGTCTGAATGGTCCCAGACTCAGAAAACGGGTGGAGAACGACTGAATGAATTTCATGGACGTCGCTACCACTCTTACCATCCTAGAGTAGATAAAGATCGGGTGAAAATGTGCATTGTAATCTTTCGGGACCTAGCGCTTGGCATGGCTGACTGTGTATACAGTCAAATATTTGTGCGGCAACCCTAATCCAAGCCCGGAGCAAGTGAGCGACCCCGGATTTGTCCAAAATAGATGACCAGGATGAAATCCGGGGTTTGGCCCCATCTCCATAAACCGCCTTTCGATAGGCTGAAGGAATTTTTTCTTTACGCTTAGCAGAGGTATTTCTAAAAACTTGGGAACACTCATGGGCATGCAGACGACAATTGCCTTCGCTCAAAACGCTGGTATGCATGTGACTTCTTGCATAAAGAAGGGAAACTCCGCCTGAAGACGGCAACGTGCCGAGATTTCACTGACCACGTTAAATGTTATGCGTCAAGACATGTGCCAGGTACCAAGCATTCGGGGGCGCCGCAGCGATCTCAAGTCGCCAACCTAATGCAATTGGAAAGCTTCACCCGAGACATTGTACACTAGCAAACTAGAGAAGAGAAGAACAAAAATTGGCTTTGGGTGGCTCAATCAGTTGTCATTGCTCCAAATTTCAAGGTTCGGATCCGTGGAATTTTTGACAGAATGAAGGCGGATTTATGATGTGTGGGGGGGGCCAAATGCGGGTCCTCTATTATTGTCTCGTTCTCCTTGTCTTGTCTCACAATGGGTGTGGCGGCGCAAGCTGATCTTGGCTGACAGTGCAGTCCTCTGCTTATTAGGTCCGTCCGTCAATGTCTGCATATCTGCCTGTCAAGTCTGTAGTCTAGACACAAGCGGCAGCGGCATACGCATACTACCCTGGCAAAGATACGTGGCCTCATTCGGACAAAGACAGTGATCATCAAAAATAGTTAAAAAGTACTGGAGGCCAGCAGCCAAGGGTGGCGGCGGTGTTGAAAAAAAACATGTACAAGAGTGGAGTATACTGCTCGATTTGTGGGTGTTTCCAACGCGGCACCCATAAAAGGCAGGAAAAGAACATTTTACTCCAAGTTACAGATTCGCTCGTACACAGTAGGACATTGACAAGCAGATGAGGGACCCTTAACGCTAAAACATTAGTTTCCTCACGTCTTCTAGACTTCATGATTGATCTAGCTTCACTCTTCTAGAGGGTTCCTCGGGTTCGGGCTGTTTGTTTGGTTGACGGTACATCGTAGTGGCGGGTGGCAGTGGTGGCCATATCAAATTTATTCCTTGACAACCCACTGTCCAAGGGGATCAAAGCTCCAATACGTTGACAGCAAATGGGAAAACCGACGATACTAGCTAGGCCTTGATATGGAAAAGACAGATTCGTAAATCCCAGCTACGATGCTCTGCTGCAATGAATGAGTGGAGGAATATACTCTGCTTAGCAGCTTCGCATGATGTCATATGCCCGCACTCGTAACGAAAGAATTTTTCTCTGGCTGTGGAACAGGCGAAGTTATTGTGACCGTCGCCGTAGTATGCGCTTGCGCTACAGCACATTGCACGGCGGGGGAGTGTGAGAGAGCCTGACAAGCCTGAGAGCTTTGATGAGACGGCAATTTGTGTGCTGAAACTTTGGGCATGTTACGCTGGACACCCGCCAACCGCATTCCAGCAAACCCAGGCGCAGTCGCCGAAGCTCACCGCCTTCGATAACGATAGGCATGAATCAGGAGGGGAGTTGATCCAATCATTGGCCGACAATTGGGCACCTTGGTCCCGGATGAGGCGCATCGAGGTCGGGAAGTACCTCCGTATCTTGCTGACGAGCGTGCATTTGGCTGGTTGCTGGCCTCTCGACTAGCGGCCCTATCTTGGTGGACTAGATCCCTGCAGCTCTCAGTCCTCCCCCTCCATCCCACCAAAACCCAGGCGAAAAATCTGGTCGTTGCCCCTCGCCAGAAAAATAAAAAAAAATTTATTTCTGGGCCGAAGCGAGGGATTCCTGAATAAAAAGTCTCTCGTAGCCTTTCCTCCCACTCGCTCCTCCCTCCTCTCCTCCATCTCCATTTCTTTTCTTTTCCAAGAAAAAACCTTCACCCCTCTTCCTCAGCATTAAAGGAACTCTCTGGGCTCTCCACCTAGTAGAATTCCTGCAACACCCGCGAGGTTAGATACAAGCGAGTGCAGATAGCCATCATAGAACAGATCTGATTCTCCGTCAGCATCTGTGGGCATCACACTCTTGCTTCGTCCCACGACATTACTTTGGGATCATCCGCCAGATCTTTCGTATAGACGATCCGGCGCCCTCTTTTAGACTTTCTTTCTTCACTTCTCGTCCTTTTTGCTACGAGAACGATCGACCGGCTTTTCGAACGACTCGATAAGACGGCCTTACTTTCGACCTTTATACCCAATCTCAATACTCGGTAGAAGATCGAAATCAGTCAATATGTCTGCCAAGGAGAACGCTCAGTCCATCAAGGTCCTTGATGACCTGATGAAGAAGCTCTCCGTCTCCAAGGAGGCTCCTGAGATCAAGGAGACCACCACTGCTCTGGCCAGCTTCATCAACGGTCGCATTGAGGACCAGGCCGCCCCTACCAAGTAAGCCCAGTTCCCCCCCTCCAACAGCCCCCGCCAAAAAAAAACTTTCAGCGCCTGGCACATTTCGCTTCCCGCGCAATGATTTGCCCCTCTGCATACCCTACCCCTCCAGACCCACCAAAGAAAATTTCCCCTCACATTTTTCGGCCACGCTTGTGCATCCATTTGGTGGCTGCCAAGCATGGCCGTGGCATTGCCGCGTTATTCTCATCTGTACCACGAAAAGTGTTGTGTCGACTTGTACTAATTTTGCGACTGTAGGACTGTTGAGGCTCTCAAGAAGGAGCTCGCCAACAAGAAGGATGCTACCGCCAGGGAGAAGGCTCTCAGTGCCATCCAGGCCATTGCCCAGCACTCCGAGGTTGCCGCCAACGTCGAGCCCTACCTCGTTGTCCTCCTTCCCGCCACTTTGGCCGCTATTGGCGACAAGATCACCTCGGTCAAGAACGCCGCCATTGCCGCCACCCTTGCCATCGTTGAGGCCATCACCCCCAACGCTGTCAAGGCCATCCTTCCCCACATTGTCAACTCCATCCTGACTGCCCAGAAGTGGCCCGAGAAGATCACTGCTCTCGAGTGCATTGAGACCCTCGTCCGCACTGCCCCTGCTCAGCTCGCCTACCGTGTCCCTGAGCTCATTCCTGTTGTCTCCGAGTCCATGTGGGACACCAAGAAGGAGGTCAAGGAGCGCGCCTACAAGACCATGGAGAAGATTTGCGAGTTGATTGTCAACAAGGATATCGAGCGCTTCATTCCCGAGCTTATCAAGTGTATTGCCAAGCCCGAGAACGTCCCCGAGACTGTTCACTTGCTCGGTGCCACCACTTTCGTCACCGAGGTCCAGGAGCCTACTCTGGCTCTCATGGTTCCTCTCCTGGACCGTGGTCTCGCTGAGCGTGAGACTGCCATCAAGCGAAAGGCTGCCGTCATTGTTGACAACATGTGCAAGCTTGTCGACGACCCCAACATCGTTGCTCCTTTCTTGCCCAAGATGATGCCCGCTCTCCAGAAGAACTTCGACATCCTCGCTGACCCCGAGGCTCGTGAGAAGACCAAGCAGGCTCTCGACACCCTTACCCGTGTCGGTGCCGTCCAGAACGGCAAGATCCCCGAGGTCCGCCACGACGGTGATATCGCCACCGTTCTCGGTCACCTCAAGGGTGCCATCCCCAGCAAGCACGCCGGTGTTATTGAGTCGCTTGCTCCCGTCGTTGAGTACGTTGCTGCCATTGGTGGTCAGCTCGTCGACGAGAAGGAGGTTGAGACCTCCACCTGGGCTGGTGCCGTCAAGCCCTTCGTCACCGTCCTTGTCGGTGAGGCTGATGCTGATGCCGTTCTCGACACCCTCCGCAAGCGCGCCTCGTCCGCTCTGGCTGGCTCCGCTGAGGAGGAGGTCGACGATGACGAGGGTGAGGACCTTTGCAACTGTACCTTCTCTCTTGCGTACGGTGCCAAGATTCTGCTCAACCAGACCCACTTGCGTCTCAAGCGTGGTCGCCGCTACGGTCTTTGCGGTCCCAACGGTTCCGGAAAGTCTACACTCATGCGCGCCATCAACAACGAGCAGGTCGAGGGTTTCCCCAAGCAGAGCGAGGTCAAGACTGTCTTCGTCGAGCACGACTTGGACTCTGCCGATACTGAGATGACCACCATCTCCTGGACCATGAAGAAGCTCGAGGAGGCCAAGGTCGATGTCTCCGAGGAGGAGGTCAAGAAGCGCCTTGACGAGTTCGGTTTCACTAAGCAGATGATTGAGGGTGAGATCTCTGCTCTGTCTGGTGGTTGGAAGATGAAGCTGGCTCTGTGCCGTGCCGTCTTCGAGGCTCCCGATATTCTGCTCCTCGACGAGCCTACTAACCACTTGGATGTGAAGAACGTCAAGTGGCTTGAGGACTACCTCATCAACTCCCCTTGCACTTCCATCATTGTCTCCCACGACTCTGGTTTCCTTGACAACGTCACCCAGTACATTATCCACTACGAGCGCTTCAAGCTCAAGCGTTACAAGGGTAACTTGAAGGCTTTCGTCGAGAAGAACCCCCACGCCAAGTCTTACTACGAGCTTGGCGAATCTGAGATTGAGTTCACCTTCCCCGAGCCCGGTTTCCTTGAGGGTGTCAAGACCAAGGCCAAGGCCATCCTGCGTGCCACCAGGATGAGCTTCCAGTACCCTGGTACCCCCAAGCCCCAGATCAGCGACATCACCTTCCAGTGCTCTCTGGGCTCTCGTATTGCCGTCATTGGTCCCAACGGTGCTGGCAAGTCTACCCTGATCAACGTTCTCACTGGTGAGCTTATCCCCACTTCCGGTGAGATCTACCAGCACGAGAACATCCGTATCGCCTACATCAAGCAGCACGCTTTCGCCCACATTGATAACCACTTGGACAAGACTCCTTCCGAGTACATCCAGTGGCGTTTCCAGACTGGTGAGGATCGTGAGACCATGGACCGTGCCAACAAGATCATCACCGAGGAGGATGAGAAGGCCATGGACAAGGTCTTCCGTGTCGAGGGTACTCAGAGACGTGTCATTGGTATCAACTCGCGTAGAAAGTTCAAGAACTCCTACGAGTACGAGTGTTCTTTCGCCCTTGGTGAGAACATTGGCATGAAGAACGAGCGCTGGGTGCCCATGATGAGCGCCGACAACGCCTGGTTGCCCCGTAGCGAGCTGCTCGCTTCTCACCAGAAGATGGTTGCTGATGTCGATATGAAGGAGGCCCTTGCCTCTGGCCAGTTCCGTCCCCTGGTCCGTAAGGAGATTGAGTCTCACTGCGCCAACTTTGGTCTGGATGCTGAGCTTGTTTCTCACTCGCGTATGCGTGGTCTGTCCGGTGGTCAGCGTGTCAAGGTCGTCCTGTCTGCTTGCTCGTGGCAGCGACCCCACTTGATCGTTCTTGATGAGCCTACCAACTATCTCGACCGTGACTCTCTTGGTGCCTTGTCCAAGGCCCTGAAGAAGTTCGAGGGTGGTGTCATCATCATTACTCACTCCGCCGAGTTCACAGCCAACATCACTGAGGAAGTCTGGGCCGTCATGGACGGTAAGATGACACCTTCCGGCCACAACTGGGTTCAGGGCCAGGGTAGCGGTCCCCGTCTGACCGGCAAGGACGATGAGGAGGAGGAGAAGTTCGACGCCATGGGTAACAAGATCGTGACCACCAAGAAGAAGGCCAAGCTTACTTCGTCGGAAGCACGTAAGAAGAAGAAGGAGCGTATGGCCCGCCGCAAGCGTGGTGAGGAGGTCTTCTCTGACGAGGAGGACTAAGCGTTTTCTTCCCCACGAATCTTTTGCACATTTACGACTCTCACGTACGACTAATACCTTCATGAACATGGTCTTACCGTTTTCTTTTGTCAATTCCCTGATCAGCAGAAAAGTTCGGGTTGCATGATGGTTGAGGCATTTCTGTTTTTCGCGCACACGGGTTGAATAGCACCCGCGGATAGCGCGTCCTTTGTCTCGGCCATAGTAGGGCAGGGGCTACTTGTCTGGACTGGAGACCCAGATGATGATAGCTCGCGTGTATTTGGCCGCAAGGATACCACCAGATAGACAAAAAAGACTGTTTAATAGACTACAGTTTTAGATCACTTAATGTCCCGTGTTTTGTGTCAAACCCTTTTCATCTTGTATGCCCTCTATTCACTTTTCCAGACGAGCACTGGTTTCACTACTGATCCGTTGCCCATACCTTTAATGGCACCGTCGAAATCCTCAAAGTCAAATGTCTTGATAAGTTTCTCGACGGGGAATTTCCCATCTCGCCACCATTGTATTAACTTGGGGATATACTCGGCCGTCCGACTGTGCCCTTGAACAGCTCCAAAGTAGCGCTTACCACTGACCATGAAACTTTGCATATGCAGATTCAAGAACGATTCGGGCATACCTGTCCCGACCTGGATGATTTGTGCCATGTATCTTGTGAATTGTACAGCAGCATCAACAAGGGGTGGGTGCGCCGAAGTATCAATCGCTATAGTGGCCCCTAGACCATCAGAAGCGTTCTTGACGGCCTCTACGATTTCGGCAGTGGACTTGTTGCTCGTGTCGACCACATCCGTGGCACCGAGTTCGCGAGCCAAGTCCAGACGCGAGGCCAGACGGTCGAGCCCAATGATCTTGCGGCAGCCGGCATTCTTGGCGGCCATGACGGCGGCCAGACCGACGCCGCCCAGCCCAATGACGGCGACGCAGTCGTCGGGGCCCGCCTTTGCCACGTTTTGCACGGTGCCAGCACCCGTCTGCAGGCCGCAGCCCAGCGGCGCGAGGAGCCGGAGCTCGTCGGCCTCGAGGTTGAGCGGCGCCACGTTGACGAGGCACTTGGATGACACAATCGTGTGCCGCGCAAAGGACGACTGCCCAAAGAAGCGCCCGCCAATGTCGGGGTTGCTCGCGGCCGAGGGGTCCATTGCTGTCTTGACATGTTGCGAGGTAAAGACGGGCTTTCCCATGAAGTTGATGTTGAAAAAATCGGTGCAATGCGAGGGTGGTCCTGTTTGAATTTGTAAGTCTTGACTGAGCACAGCATTGCCATTGTATATGGCGGGGTTCAACTTGTCTTACCAGTCTTGCAGACATGGCAATCACCACAATAAGAAAAGGACAGGAGGACGGCATCGCCTTCCTTTACCGAAGTGACGGCGGAACCTGCCTTCTTGACATAACCGGAACCTGTAAAATGGGTTAATGAAACGATCCCTTGGCTGGTGGTAGTAGTAGTCTGACCTTCATGTCCCAGAACACGAGGATAGTAAACGGCGGGCACGCCCTTGTCATCTGGCGTGTTGCCGCAGTGCAAGTCGGTATGACAGATACCGGAGGCCACAATCTCGACGAGCACCTCGTCGTCCTCGAGCTCGCGCAGCTTGACCGGCTCGATCGACCACTTGCCCTGTGAGACGGGGCCGCGGGACACCAACGCCTTGGTCTGGGACAATGCTGGCATGGTTTCTGCTTTGGCTGACTTTCCCTCTCGTTGCTTCTTTACTTTGATCTTGTGAACCTTTGGGCAATATATCCGTTCGAGTGACTGTTTCCCAAACAGAAGAAGCATACAAGTTTTGATGAGGTAAGTCTAATTTCTATATCAAAATCCGACGTTCGGAGTGGGGTCGTTCTTTCAGGTGGTCGCGGGGCAAGGAAAAATCGGGGAATACGACAAGCAACCGCCGGTTACCTGAGGCTCATGGATGAAGCAGAGTATGGAGACGGGGTCAGCGCCAAGCATGAGGCTCATGCGTATCTATATAAGGAGTTCTATTATACATATGCAAGACAGATGGCACGATGCACTTTCACGACGACCGCCAGTAGTGACGGAGGCGGCATCTACTGGAGCTTTAACACAAAGGTGTATACCCTTGAAGTCAATATCTGATGTAGTGCTGAATCAGCTCTTGTGTGTGCAGTGCACAGATGGTGCTTGATCAGTCCTTATTCATAGCTTGGTTAAGAATTTTACGTCATGGTTTGTCGGCGCTATTGAACTTTGATGATGCAGTAGATGATGCATCAATTGCCATTGTCTTTGCTGGGTCGGAGTTTATGTGATCGTGTAGGGGGTATAGTACGCGACGGTCTGAAATATAGTGGAAGCGCCATTCGGTCTACAAGGCTGTTCTGGCGACTTGGAGTAACTCCTGGATTCCCAGGTGATAGTAGTATACCTTCAAGAGATACTCTGAAAGTAGGCTTGCACCCTTTCGGCACCGTGACATGTTCAACGAAGGGTAGAGGTGGTGAGAATTTTGCATCGCGACTCGAAAAAGATTGTTGAAAGTGCATCGTGCCATCTGTCTTGCATATGTATAATAGAATGAGTATTTTTGGACCTAGTTGCCAATGATTGTCGCCTTGGAAGCAAGTGATTGAGCGTCACCGTTGCCTTTCTTCTTGTCATTGCATCCCTAGACTTGCACTCGGATATCTGTCGCCTCGGATTTAGAGTGCAAAAAAGTCAAGGTGCATAGCGCATCTGATCCGAACACACCGATTGTGGTGGATATGGATTATTCAACAGGGTCGGGGCCCGGCGCCTGTTGACGACCTGCCCAATGTGGTAGGTTGTGGCAGCCAATCCACTATTTTTGCGGTGGTAGCCACATTCAGGTACTATAGAGACGGAAGCTGATTTGAGACATTGCTGGCTGCTGCCGGCCATTATAGGAAGCTGAGCATTTGTTTTCTGAGCTCCATGGCTTTGGCTCGGTCATTGCACGCGGGAAAGGTTAGGAGCTCCCAGGGAAAGTGTACACGATCCAAATATTGGTCAACAAGAAAACGAAATAGAGGCCATTCTTGGCAGGACATCAGACGGACTCTCAATGCCGTTTGCTTGTATTGCCTCCAGTTATGGATCAAAAGGTGCACAACCAATTGATGGCATTTCCATTGCTTGTACAAATCCCTCCTCTAGAATGGATCGATCAGGCAAAAAGGACAAAATCTATTTTTGCACACTTGCACCTGAGAAACGAGGTCGAGTTGCAATTTCCTGTGACGTGACAGGAGCACGCCGTTCTATTCAGGAAGGCGCCCACGTTCACGGTGCCCACGAGACCCAAACATTCTCGCTTGTGCCCAGTTTGTCTGCTTTTCGATTACACATACTACATGTCTCTCCTTTACTGCTTGGCATGCATGTGTCCCCCTTGAATAGGGCTGAGAGTATATAAGAGATCGCTGTCGCCAAGACGGAGTTTGAATGCTTGGCACACCTTTAGACACACACAAACCGTCTGGGTCTGCCTCATTCGCTCGTTGCCCTCCTCTTCTTGGCTGTGATCACCGTTCGGTCTATATCTCTCTCGCTCTCTCCTTGTACCGTCTCCATAATGATTGGTGTCGTCAAGTCTCTCTTGGCAGCCAGCGTGCTGAGTCTGGCCGCTGCCGCCCCCTACAACGAGGTCAAGCCCGGCTCCTTCAAGGTTGTCCAGCAGCGCAACCCCCACTATGACAACAGCACCTTTGTCCCACGTGGTGCCCTTGCCATGTACAAGGCCTACATGAAGTACGGAGCCCCCGTCCCGGATGCTATCAACAAGACCGTCACCGAGTACCGTGCTGCCAAGCAGGCCCGACTTCTTGCCAAGCGTGCTAGATCCGGAAGTGTCACGGTAAGTAGTACAGATTCGTGGCCAAAATTGCATGGGAATTCCGAGGACGTACCACTAACAAGTCGGCAGACTACTCCAGTCAACGATGACGAAGAGTGTAAGTCTAGGAACACCCTGCAACAAATCGAGGCTTCTTGTTCGAAGCTAGAGCTATCTGTCCAAAAATGATGAGGATTAGAGGGTTAACAGAATCATTTAGACATCACTCCCGTTTCCATTGGAACTCCTGCCCAGCAGCTGAACCTCGACTTCGACACTGGATCTTCGGATTTGTGGGTGTATTCCACCTTGCTGCCCGCTGCCGATGACAAGGGCCAGACCGAATGGGCTCCCGGAAAGAGCAGCACTGCCAAGAGGCTCACCGGCGCTACATGGAAGATTTCCTACGGAGGTGAGATTCAACCGCTTATTTGAACTTCTGAACTTGGAATGCTAATTACTTTATACAGTAAGTTTCATTACCGGCACTGAGCGAAATAGATTTTGCAACTTTCTATCGACTCAAGTGGTTTCCGATTACTAACATGTCCGTTTGCTGCTAGGATGGATCCAGCTCCAGCGGTATCGTCTACACCGACACTGTTACGATCGGCGGTGTAACCTATGCCTCGCAGGCTGTTGAGGCTGCCGAGAAGGTCTCGTCCGAGTTCGTTTCCGACACTGACAGTGATGGCCTGCTTGGATTGGCCTTCAGCAACCTCAACTCCGTCACTCCCACGGCACAGAAGACCTTCTTCGACAACATCAAGTCCACCCTGACCCAGCCTCTGTTTGTGGCCAACTTGAAGCATGACGAGGGTATGTGAAATTGGACCTGAGATTTTGCCAATTTCAGTGCTAACTGTTGTGAAGCCGGAACCTACGAGTTTGGTGCCATTGACACATCCGCCTACACTGGCGAGATTGCATACACCGCTGTCAGCACCTCCCCTGGATACTGGACATTCGATGCTGCCGGCTACTCCATTGGAAGCGCAGCCAGCTCAGGAGCAGTAAGTCCTACATTTAGCATAATGATCCCAGAGACGTCAGAGTTGCCACCACAAAAAGGAAGGAAAATAGAAACATAACATTATCATGGACACTTGTTGAAACCCCACCGACATGGAAAAAACCTCGTACCAGACGGCGTCACGTACTGACTTTCTTTTTAGGCCATCCAGGGTATCGCTGACACTGGTACTACTCTTCTCTACCTTCCTACCGCCATTGTCAAGAAGTACTACGCACAGGTTACCAGCGCCAAGTACAGCGAGTTGGAGGGTGGCTACACGCTCAGCTGCAACGGAAGCCCTCCTGACTTCAACATCTTCATTGGCACCACCAAGATTACCGTTCCCGGAAGCTACATCGCATATGCTCCTCTTACCACTGGTGGCACGACCTGCTTCGGTGGACTGCAGCCCAACACTGGCATTGGCCTGAACATTTTCGGTGACATTGCGCTCAAGGCTGCCTACGTCGTCTTTGAGGACAGCGGTACCAGCCCCAGACTCGGCTGGGCTAACAAGAACTTGTCGTAGATTGTCCATAGATCAAGGTTCGCCTTTTGATATGGAAGAGAAGAATTGGGGTGGTTGTAGCAGAATGTAGGAATCATTCGTTAGTTTTGTTTGGGTGTCATAATAAAAATGAATGGTTCTAATATTTGAGCTTCTACAAAAGGTGACTAGCAATGCCATCACAAAAACGTAATGCTTTTCATTATTTGCAAGCCTGTGAGCTTTAGACCAAAATGGTATATTGGTTTACGAAGTGAGATATGTCTCTACAGATAGTAATCGCATGTCTCCAATTTTGGTTTTTTTCAAGGACAAAAGTCCAGACTGGACTGACCGCCAGGAAGGAGTTTAGGTCGTGCCAACTCAAGCCGTGAAAGCGACCTCGATATCTCTTGCACTCTGCTTTCCAGCCTGTGCAACTTGAAGAGCATTGACAAGGGCTGGATACCAGATGTTGGCCATCTTTGTGTCACCAGAGTCGTTTGGGTGAACTCCGTCTCGGAGATCGCTGCTGCCACTGAAGCCAGTGTATTGATCAACGACCCAGATTGGCGAATCGGTCGTGTTCTTTGATGCGGCCCACGTCGGAATGGCCTTGTTGAGGGCTTGGATCTGTGTGTTGTAACTACCCAAACCCATGGGAATGATTTGGGCAACCTGGACGAGCGAGTCACAACTTGTCAGAGACGATTACCACCAAAAGGGGTCAAACAGGTGCGTTCTTCTTGGCAGTCTCGCTAGAACTTACAATGATCTTCATCTTTGGGTTGCTATCACGCATGACTTGAACGAGGGTGGAAAAGGCGGTAATGATATCATTAACGGGCTTGTTCTGCTGGACGATATCGTTGGTGCCAAGGTGCATGGTGATGACGTCGGCGGGATTCTGCTGGAGCCAGCCGACGAGCTGCTTCTTGTTGGCGATATCAATGGCCAAGAAGCCCGAGTGCCCTTCGTTGTCGCGGTCGTACTTGGTGTCCTTGCAGTTGTTCTCCGTCTTGCCCGAGCCGACCCAGTTGACGCCGGCCCACTCGGTCCCCTGCAGCTTCTCCCACAGCTTGGCGCGCCAGCACACGATCTCGGTGATGGAGTCGCCAAACGGCATGTACCGCAGCGTCGTCGTGTTTTGTGCCTGGGCGGCAACGGCCACGAGAGCGTGGAGGAAAAAGGACTTGGCGAGCATGGTGTACAGAGGTTGGGGCAAAGGAGGACTCTTTTTGCGTGGTCTAACGTTGGACTACCGGCCACAAGATTCGGTAGCCCAGGCGGGGCGCGGCCATGATGATTCCTCTTATATCGGTATGATTTCAGAGGAGAAGCTCCCTGCCTTGGTCATGTCTGTCAATGTTCCGATCGTGCGAAAGAGGGCACTTGGGGGATTATGCGTTTACCCGTGGCTAAAATGGGCCTTGTAGAGCAGTGTAGAGAAATGACCTTAATTGGCGGACATGTTTCCGGCTATAGACGGTTTCCCTCCCAGTCAATATGTTTTTTGCAGCTATGCTTGGCGGATGTAATGGAACGAGGGCTTTATCCATATCCGCAAATCTCGCCCCTTGTCTTAGTCGACGTATAGTCCCAATTGGGCAACGACATTGGGGACTTTGAGATGCCGTGTCTCATTGCAGTAATATATTCGTAATCGATACCGTTTATAATCTTGCAATCGACTTGGTCAGCCCAGTGGTAGGTCTTGTAAATAGCCTTGTCTTTATTGGAACTATACTGGGAGCAAACGATTGGGTTCTGCCTCTCTGTAGTGTGTGATTAGTGGTTGCGTGTGTCAAGGTTGCGATGTTGCAATTTCTTGCCTATAAACAGTGGAAATGCTATTATGTCTCGGTGTACAATATTATCTCAAACTGGCTCGTGCATATAGATTTACTTACTCGGCGGAACCCCCGAATCAAGTAAAAAGCAAATGAGCATCGTGAACAAGTCTGCTATGAAGCTCTCGTATCGGTGGAGATGTGACCTAACAAAGTTTTGTATGAAGTGCATGAGTCGCAAACTTGCAGCGTTCGTCGGACAGAGTGGAGATGGGTGAGGCCTTTCTTGTCTAGCTACTCCGCAATATTACTAGTACTGCAATAGCTCTGCTCACCTCAACAACAAATAAGTCTTCGTGGCTCAGTTGGTTAGAGCGTCAGTCTCATATCATATACATATGACTTGATTGAGTACTTCAAGATATCTGAAGGTCGTGAGTTCGAGCCTCACCGAGGACATTTCTTTTTGTCAATTCTTACCTTGACAATAAACGAGTTGATTAGGAATTACGATCATCTCGGACTTGGGATTTCTAACTTTTGGCAGATCGTAGTGGGGAAAGCACATGACGTTTTGCAAATACAAATCTCCATCTGCCGTGGTGGCTAGGCTTGCATGCAATTGTGTGGTATTATCCCAACCCAAGACTCATATATTTATTACCCTGCTCTATCCTTCGCTGTTGCGGCGACTCTTTGTTTTCGCTATGTTTGATAATAATTTGGCTTGATACATACTACTGAAATTATGTTATGCCTCGGATTATTTGTGTATCTTGAACGAACAATAAGTATCAAATTGATCTATCCCGAGTTAAGTATCCATGATGCTGAGTTTCGAGAGATTAATTAGTCGACCCTATTGCGTGCATCAGTTTACAGTCCCTACTGAGTCTTTTTTTTGGGTTGGGAGAAACAGTCCTCCCTGTACCAAATTAATCCACGCTGTTGTCGCTGCCGCTATCTCCATCTTCTTCTTCTTCATCTTCTCCATCAACGTCGTCCTCACCCTCGTCCTCGTCTTCATCATTATCCTCCTCCTCGTCCTCCTCGTCCTCCTCTTCTTCTTCGTCAACGTCCTCCTCGTCCTGCGAACCGTCACTGATTTCGTGACGCGCATTGCGTTTAAACCACTCAAACTCTTCCGCATATTTCTCGTGAAATTTCACTTGCTCCTTTTCCATCAATTCATCGTCCTCTGCTTGAGATAGCATGCCCTCTCTTCTAACGTGACTTTCAAAATACTTTGCGACTGTGGCACCATCAAGCGGTATCTCATCGGGATAATTATTGCCGTTGCATTCGCAGTAACGACTAATGGATGATCTCATGTCGTCTGGGTAAGCCTCGGGTACGCTCAAGTTCCATGCTTCGTCCCACGTGTCAAGGGGGCCAAACCCTTCGTCTGTTTCGCCCCCTTCGTCGGTATAGCCATAGATACGCCCATATATCAGCACGTCGTCTAGATTGAGGTTGTGGCGGATATCGGGGAGAAGCTTGTGCCAGGAACCATGCATGACAATATCCCCAAGGTAAAGGGAAGTCAAATTGTCTTTGTGCAGGTCCAAGAAATTCCAAAGAGCCGCCCTGGTACAATCGAAGCCCTCGAGTGTAATGCCACTTAGCTGTGGCCACCGGTAGCCAGGTGCTATGACCCAGTCTAGAGATGCTACGGCCTCCTCTTCATCAAATTCACCGGTTAAAACAATGCTGAACTCTTTCAATCCCGGCATCGACTTGAGAAGATCCCTCAACATGCCCCGACACAATACGTCGCGGCAGGACTCGAGTTCGTCAAACTCAGCAATGCCATCGTCGTCGGTTTCCAGCTCCAAGCAAAGATCAATGCTCGTCAGGTTGGCCAACGGGGCGAAAAGCTGAGACAGGCGCTCCGAGTCCTGGGCAAAGAATTGCCAGTTCATTGAGCCAGCCTGCAGCTCTTCAATCTTCACATTGGCAATCGCCAAAGCCTCGAGCATTGCTTCGAGTTCCCTCACTCCCTGCTGAGGGTCGTGGTAATGTGGGTCATGGGCACAATCGTTGTACGGCGAAGGGAGTTTCCAGCGGCGCGCGTTGAACTGATTCCCACTCGTCACGGTGACTGTTTGGAGATTGCAAAAGCTGGGAAGCACCTCCACAAGGTGGGTAAAATCACGGCGTTCTCGAATATTGAGCCTTTGCGCCTTAATCTCCTCCAAGTATCTCGAGTAGTGCTGCTTCAGTTGAATGTCCGATAGATTCATCAGATGCGACCGATGGAGAGCTTTTTCTTCATTTAGGCGCATCATGGCCCTCGTCGTCTCATATTCACGGACATATCGCTCGTATGAGTCGGCACGTGGCTTTAGTTTGTCCGTAATGTACATGAGCTTTTTGACATTACGAGCAAAGACCGGATGAGCAGCGATCTCCTTGAGTTTGGCGAGGTCCTTGTCGTGAAGGTAGAAGGCGACCTCTGGAAGGATGTAGGGCGCCCCAATTACTGCAAATGCCTTATTCACCAGGCGGAACCGCAGTAAGTCTTTGATGTCCAAGAAGGACACCACGACAAGCAGGAGCTCAGAAGACAGACGGTCCATTGCGGTAATAGCGGATGATCTTCTGCAATGGACGCAAGAAATTGTGCTCGACTGAACAAAATCAAGTCGCGTTCAGGTCCGTCACGACTTAACCTTCAACGCGCTACATGGTGTTTTGCTGGTAGGTAAAAGCAATTCGTCAGATGCAATGTGGGTCTGTGCTGTGGTTGCTGGGAAGGGGCCCTGAAATTTAGCGGCAATGACGAAACCTATGCTGAATTACAGTGGAGATGGCGCCTATCTCAATTCTACATGGCCATGAGCATACGCCAATACGCAACCATTCAGTGTCAGATAGCTATTAGGTATAGAATACGTGCTCTCATAAGTCACAGCAGCACTCTCAATGGAAGTCACCAGGTCATTAGCATCAGGCAAAAGACTGAAACCCATGAGAAAATGCAGATCAATCTATTTGATCTGCCTATCAGACCGACTCTCTTGATGTAAATGTTATTTCCTCTGGGCCATCCTCAAAGCCCATGTGTCAACTTCAACTCGGCCTCGATCCTCGCCAAATCGGCCCAATCTCTCTTCATCCAGCGCTCCGGGTTCTCCATGCTCTCTAGCCAGTGCTTGACCGCCAGGACCGCCTGACGCGCCCACTGCTCATAGCTGACGCGGCCGGCCCCCGTGCCCAGCGGCGTCATGAGGATACTTTCGATCCGAGCAGCCCGGCCCGTCTCCTCGCCCGCGTCCCCCTGACCACTGGCCACCGCATCATTGTGCCGCTCCAGCGCCCCGAGCAGCGACCAGACGCAGGCGTACACGACCTCGCGCCCGCACGGCGCCGGCGTCCGCATCGTCGGGCACAGCGCCAGGTACCGACAGCCCCAGCCGGCGCCGTCGTGGTAGCGGAGACGGCGCGCCTCGCGCCACTCGCCGGGCATGCTCACGAGCTGGCAGTGGCCCGGCGGCAGGTAGCCGCGGTGCGTCGTGTAGATGTGGGCCTGGGCGTGCCGCGTCAGGGCGGCATAGTCGTCTCGGGGCGAAAAGGCCCGCGAGATGGCGTCGTCGAAACCCCCGTCTAGGATGGCGTACGAGTTGGCCGGCGAGACCACGGCGTCAAAGGTGAGATCCGCGGGCAGCTGTGAGAGGCTGGACTCGTGGATCGTGTATTGTAGGTGAGGTGATGAACTCAGTTTGTAGTGCTGAACGGCATTTTCCCAGGCAATAGAGGCTTGCGAGTCCATACACAAGAGGTGGATATGAGGAAGCAATGCAGACTGCGTCAACTTTGATGAAGCCATAATCAGACTAATTAAATGTGTTTGATCAAGACGTCAGATTTGTCTCAGTCAAGTTTGAATCCAACGGTAGGTCTATGGCCTTGTGACCGAGGTTTTATTGCGCCCTTACAGAAGTAATCGCCATTCGAATCAAGAAACCCCGGAAAATACGATGTCAGCCATGGCGGGCGTTTGGTATTAAGCAATAGTGATCATCGTATTGTCCAGCGCAGGCGGCAGGATTCAACTGTGGCGATGCAATACACGTCGTTTGAGTGGAGAAAGCCTACAAGCTACAAACGATTAGCCTAGCCAACCATAATAATCATGATATGATACTAAACTTGCAGATAGTTTTTCCATGTCAGCAGCAATCCACTTGTTTGTAAATAAACATCACGAAGCACATGGCCGGGAAGCAGTTTGCACACTTGGAAGATTTATTCTCATTGTCTCGTCTATAGGCATAACCGGAGAGAAATTTTGGGTTCACCCTGCCATTCCGTGCCAATACCATCGCTCATAGAAACACACAGCCTCTTCACCTTTAAAAGTGAAAAGTGGATATTTAGTGGCCAAATTAGGTCATTCAAACACACGACTATCTACTGGACTTCTCGCACGACCTTGTCAATGGCCTTTGCGACATAGTCCACATTGCCCGTGTTGAGACCAGCCATGCTGATACGACCATTCTTGGTCATGTAAATGTGCGACTCTTCACGAATCTTGAGCACTTGAGCCTCAGTAAGACCAGTAAAGCTGAACATGCCGATTTGGTCGGTAATGTGGTTCCATGTGCCTGGGGTACCAAGCGCCTCTAGCTTGGATCGCAGCTCCTTGCGCATTGTGATGATACGGCCAGACATTGTGCGCAGGTTGTCTTCCCACTCGGCATACAGCTTTGGGTCATTCAGAACGGTGCTGGCAATTCGAGCACCGTACAAGGGAGGGTTAGAGATTTCCGATCTCTGAAGAATGGCAAGTTGTGAGGCAATTCGGCCAATGGTCGTCTGAGCCTCCGGTCCCGGACCGGTTACGACATGGAAACATCCAGCTCTCTCACCGTAGAGGCCAAAGTTCTTGGCGAATGACTGTGCGACTAGCAACTCAAAGCCCTGCTCCACAAAGTAGCGTACAGCAGCGTTATCTTGCGACAGACTTCCAGTGGCAAAGCCCTGGTATGCTGTGTCAAAGAAGGGGATGTGGCCCTTGGCCCGGATGACCTCTGCAAGCTCCTTCCACTGGTCCATGGTAGGATCTACACCAGTAGGATTGTGGGCGCAGGCGTGCAGCAGAATGATGGATCGGTCTGGGGCACCGTAGATGGCTTCCTTCATGCCCTTGAAGTCAAGACCCTTGGTCTCCTTGGAAAAGTATGGGTACGTGGCAATAGGCACGCCAACATTGCTGAAGATTTGGTTGTGGTTGGCCCAAGTTGGGTTTGACAGGTAGACCTTCTTTGTTCCAGGATAGAACTTGGCAAGGAACAGGGCGCCAAGGTGCACAGCACCAGTGCCCGAGATGGTCTGAACAGATGTGACTCGCTTCTCCTTGATGGCGGGCGAGTCAGTGCCACCGAGGATCAACTCAGCGGCCTTGCCTGTGAAGGAGGGGATACCGGCGATGGGGGCGTATTCATGGTTGAGTTCGGGATCATTGCGAAGAATCTCATCGGCCTGCCGTCACAAGTTGGTCAATACACGCTGTTCACAATTGTGTCACAACAATGACGATAGGGGAGGGGTAAAAGGACAGAGAGGTAGGCACAGAATGCATGACAGGTATAAGTGAGCTTAGTAGATGAGCATCATGGCATTATTACCTTCTTGACTACGGGCAGTACCCAGGGCTTTGCATTGTCGTCGCGGTAGGCACCAATTCCCTGGAGAGACAATGTAAGCAAACGGAAAAAGTATCAGCTTCGTTTATCGTAGCAACTTACCAAGTCAACCTTCTTTGGATCTTGATCAGCTTTGTAGGCTCTCATCAGACCGAAAAGCGGATCCTCGGGGGCCTGAGGAACGACCTCGGCCGTGAAGCTTGTTGCTGAAGGCGGCGACATTTGTTTGACTAGACTGGTGACTCTGCGAACTGAATCTGCGTGATAGGAAGGGTCGAAGTTTTGGGAGGATTTGGGAGAGGACATGGTGAAAAAAGAAAAAAGGAACCGTCTCAGTTCGAGGCGGGTTTGCTTTCTTCAATGGCAAGTGACCTGATCTCACAGCTGGTGCGATTCGCCGAACGGGGCAGGTGGGCTGATTGCGACCGTAGGCGTCACTGGTGCGCGTAGGCGGCAATGGGACCTGGGGAGACCTCTGCAAGGTGCTGTAACGGCGGGGTGCTCACAAGGTCCAAGGGACCACTTTGCGCTGATGCAGGGGTAGCTGGGCACTGTTTCCAGCCTTAGCGGCGGGGTAAAGGCCAAGCTGCTGGCCTAATCACACTGACGCTGATTGGCAACTGCTGGTGCTGACTTCTGGGCGGAGAGATTGGAGAGAGATTTCGGTCGTACGGGGCTCTTCGGTTTTTCGGAAATTGATGATGACTCGCGCCCAGCGGAGAGTTGGCAGGTTTTCGTACAATAATTACCCTATGCAGAGCAATGCTGCAGAGGCAGGGAAGTGATGAGGTGCAGGGTCTCGTTGCGAGTTCCGTCTCTTCTTGGATAGGCAAGATTATTTGGAAACGCACAAACGGGGCAGTTCGTATTATTTAGTAATGGATCGTGCGATTCGGCCGGTATTTGACGTGATGGTTTCAATATTACGATAAAGAATCGAGTGAACTCGGACTAGAGGCCGTCGACGGAAGCTGCGTCGAGGAGCCAAACGCTCTTTAAATGCCACCATGACCTCCCCCGGCCTCCCCAGAAGGTGGGACTCCCCCATGGGCAGAGCCGCCATGATCTCACTAGGCCGAGGTTGCGAGGGATCTCGACCAGCTATTTCCAACAAGCTCCCCCGGCACTGGGCCGACGAGATAGGAGGTCCCTGGGTCATGGGACTGATGAGAGCAACTATTGCTCATAGAGGCCGGCAATGCATGTGCAATTCCCAAGTAATCTGTTCAAGGACTTTCGATAGCTGCGTCGACCCTCTTGGTAGGAATTCCCATGCTGTTGTGGTTTTTGCCCTCGGGCTTTTATCATACAGAAAACGGCACTGCATTTACTGGCATTTACCGTCCGGCAGCTTCCGCAGATCAGCAATCCCGGGGGCATGTGATAACCTTGCACTCACCAGTTCAAGCTCGAAATAGCCAGTGCATAGCTGCCGTAGTGTCAAAATTCACATGCCTCAGCATCCAAACTGCTTGAATAAAAATATTGCCCACGAGACATCTTCGGCTGGACTTATTGACATGGCTAAGATTTCTATGGAATTCTATATGATCAAGTCCCAGACCACCAAAAGCGTGCACAGTCCGCAAGTCGCATAGAATGTGTATTTCGCAGGACTCGGTTTCTTTGTTGCACTCTTGAGCATCTTGTTTCCACCACCAACCTCGTCCGTAATATTGGCGGAATCCGCAACCAACTGATCTATGTGCGCTGATTGTGTTGCCAGATTGCTGACCAGTTGTGTCTGCAGCTCGGATATTTCTATGAGTGACTTTTCGGCCGTCCTGGAGAGATTCAATATTAGCTCTGTCTTTGCATGGACGCCAACTAATGACAGTAGACTGCTTACCTCACTTGGCCCAAGACACTCTCGTAATGCTGCAACATGTCGTGGTTCTCCTTTTCGAACATTTGAATTTGTTCCGGGGACAGCTCATCCTGAGGATTATACAACGGCTGTTGCTGTGCATCTTCTTGCCATGCAGCTTGGCTGGATCTCCGTTTCGAACTGGGACTGCTAGGATCTCTCTTGCTGGCTCCAGGCATCGAACCCAGCCCCATGCCCTCAGTCACGCCCGCCCTGGCCAAGACGCTCCTCTGCTTCTCCATTTCCCTGTTGAGCCTGACCTCCATCATGCCCTGCTGTGTCTTGACGCACTCTTGTAGTCTCTGCCGTAGCATCCACAGCACACTCTCTCTATGCGTATTGACACTGTTTGCCGCCTCCTCGGCGCGCTTGTACTCGTCGCTCTTGCCGCTGGCACCAGCGCCTCCCGCAGCCCATGATCCAAGCGCGCTCAGGCCTCTGGCGAATTTCTTCTTGAGTAGCTGGGCCTCCGTCTCCTGGCGAATCTGCTCCGCGTCGGCGAGCTGCCGGATTTTGGCGTTGAGGTCGCGCAACAGCTGCTTCGAATCGGCGTCAATCTCCTCGCGGTCCCGGTCGGTCAGCGGCTGCCCGCCGTTCTGGCGGATGAGTGTGCGTCGCGGCTGGGCGGTGGACAGGTAGGACTGGCGGATGCGTAAGAGATCTGTATGTAAGGTGCGTATCGCGTGGTTGATCGTGTATGCTTCCTTCAAGAAATCGTCGAGACTGTCGACGCTGAAAGTCCGTTTTGTGGTCGATGCGCCCGAGTGCGTCGCCAGTAGGCTATCGAAGAGGGGAGTAAGGTCTGTCATGTTGGCGATTGGACGAGAGAAGATACTAAAGAAGCATTGTATGTTTTGTGAGAGAGTTCACAACGTTGCTCACGTTGTCCAAGTTCCGGTTTTGCATTGCAGTGTGGGAAGTCTTCAAGCTGCAACTTGGTCTGACGTTTTGGAGCAACTTGAATGTCGTGGCACCAGCTCAGTGCATTCGCGCCTTCCCCCTTTTGGCTCAGCGCTAATTCCCACTACGTATAGTCGCTCTATGATCACTATAACAGCGACAGATATTTCTTGGCCAGTGCCCTAAAAAAGCAGTTGATGAAAGGCTTCAGTATCGGAAGAAGATGAAATCAATGTTTTATGCTCAGGTATTATATATCTAACAATCTATTATGGGAATCATTTTGAGAAAAAGAATCGCAATATTTTGCCAATCGTTACTTCATGTCCTTATATGTGATGAAGCCGGAGACATGACAATTTACCGTGATTGGAGAACGGTAGAATTGTCCGCCTCCCTCTCAGACTTCTCTGTTCTCTTGGCCTCTTCTTTCTCCCTTAGCTTGATCATTTTAAGTCTGCGTTCTTCTCTCCAAGGTGGCCCATGTTTCTGAATAACCCAGAGGATGGGCGAAAGACAAGTAAAGATTAGGGCAATCAAGGTATATGACCATCCTCTCCCAATGCCTGCGATCATATCCTCAATGACAGATGTTGCCACTGCACCAAACAGACACCTGGTCAAATTGTTGGCGGCTGTAGCAGTAGCTGGTGCCTCGGGATACAGATCGACGATCAATGTGTTGATCACTGAGAAGCTCCCAGTGACGAAAAGACCAATGAAGAACGACAGGACCAGTGGAACGGCTACATGAACTTGCGCCTGCAATGCCCAGCCATAGCCAATGTAGACTCCACCTCCAATCAAGATGCACGGCATGATGATCTGTGTCCTCACCTTTTCGATAGGAAAGTCCTTCAGATTATCACCACGTTTCTTATCAATCTTGAAGCCAATCTTCTTGGCTGTGCGTCGATAATTCCAGTCGAGGATAAATCCCTGGGAGACAGATGCAATCATTGTTGCAAAGCCAATAGGCAAATAACATAAACCGAGTACGAGCTCGTTGTAATGATAGATATCATCAAATTGTGTTGACATTGTCGCTGTGATCAGCATAAAGCCAACGTAGAGCATCGCATTGTAAAATAGCAACATGGCCATGTCTTTGTTAGCCAGAACCCTCAGAGTGTTTAATGGGTTGGGAATGGGGATCTTCTGCTTTTGGCGCACAGTTGTCGGATCTTGCGGCTGACGGCGAAATCGCATGTAGTCGAGTAACGTCATGTTCCATGACTGCGGCTTGACTGATCCGTTGCCAACAACTTTTCGACCTGTCTCTGGGACCGTTAACACGTACGGAATCATGAAGACGACAGTTACTATCGTGCAAAACCAAAAGACTGAAGGCCACCCGAGAAATTCGGTGAGAAGCCCACCAATTGTCGGGCCGAGAGAGGGCCCAATTGTGAGGCCAGCGCCAACGATGCCCATGAACTTTCCACGCTCTGCGCTGGTGGCAATATCGGCAACGACACCAAAGACAAGGGCAATAGTCCCGCTACTTCCTGCGCTCTGTAGACATCTCAAGACAAGCAAAGCCGCATAGTTGCGTTGCAATGCTAGCCCAATGTTGGCGCCCAAGTATACAATGAAGGCCAGGATGAAGGCCGGTCGCCTGCCTGCAGCATCTCCAAAGTCTCCTACGAGGGTCGGTGAAAGCCCCTATTTGACAGTAGCCATCAGTAATTGATCTCTTCCGATTGTTTAAATGTCAAAGTTGATGGTGACTCAGCGCGTACAAGACAACAGACAGGGCTATGTCTAGGTCATGCACCCAAAGAAATGCCGATAGGGAAGAAGCAGCACCAATCACTAACCTGAAAGATCATGTAAGTCGTCAGCGACAAATTGACATCAGAGATTGACACATCTAGATCCTGAGCGATAGCGGGCAGTGCTGGGAAGTAGATATTGGCAGTGATGGGTGATATGAAGGCAGCGAAGCAGTTCATCACAATGATCCACCAGATCATCTTTCTCGAGAAAACGGTATATGGCGGACCACTGGACACACGGGATAGAGTCTCCAGGTCTTGCTGTTGGTGCTGTTGCTCTTCATCATCGTTATCGCCATCTTGAGAAGAGTCAGAGGACACGCGGTCCTCGATTAGGCGGTGTGGCGAGTCCCGATGATCTGAAGACGTGATCGTGTTTGGATTTGTTGACACATTCAGTTCTTTCGAAGAATGCACTGCATCTTCTGGGAGAGCCCCGGCCTCTGCGTGACCCGTCATTGGAGACTATCAAGGACCTCAACGGTGCATGCCACTACAAACAAATAAAAAGGCAGAAATACACATGGAGCTCGACCCTGGAAAGATAGGGTGTCGTATCGGACGTAGACCGGAGACGAAATCGGATATCCATGACGGCAATCCGGATACCCATGGTGGCAGCATTGGAATTTTGGCATATTTCCGCTTAGCGAGGCCCACACGGGGATCAATCGGCGATGTTTTTGAGATGCCTAGTTGGGCCGGTTGCCGGTAACGCTTCCGAAGAGAGCTAGGGTCTCGCAAAACAGCCGGCATATGATGATGCTTCATCGAGACAATGGACTGCCAATGGTCAGCATGGGCTTGAATGGTTATAGGCAGCAATATTGTGGGATTGCCAATGGTTCTTTGTTTGCGATCTGTGTTATCAACTATGAGGCAAAATCAGGACCAGTGCTCTATTCTGAGCCCGGCCGATAAATCGTGGGGTACTTTCACAGTGAACGAGAAGGGGAATACAAAGTCAGTCCAAATGCGATCATTGTCCGGAACTCCTTCGTTGTGGATGATGTGATTTATTCGAGATTGGCGTGTTGAATATTTCATGACACAGGCTCCAGCCTCTGAGGCTACAGGAAGAGAGAGAAGGTGTGTATGGGGGACGGCTGTCGGCTGCTGCCCGCTGGCAGATCCCTTAATTGGTGCATTGCTGAATGCTGGACGCGACCTGGGCAAACACGACCATTCAACCCAAGCCCACTTGTGGTGTCCTAGGGAAGCAACAATATTCTGGACATTATTGTCGCCTTGCTCAAAAATCGTTTTCCGCCTAGCTCCCATTGTTAAAAACTGGCTGCATATATATATAGATATATTTTGGCGCAATGATAGCCCTTCCAACAACAACTGTCACTCATCAATCAAGTTACTGCCCACCATGACGCGCAGAATCCCTTGGCGAGATGGCGACAGTGCCAAGACCAAGAATTCACCTTGCGGTAGTCCTGCTCAAAGTGGCCCAGCCTCAAGACCATTAAAACGAGTCAAGGCAGAGAGGGACACTGATCAGGGAGCAATTGAAGGCGTTGCCTCTTCACCCATGTCCAAGCCCAAGCCCAAGCCCAGCAAATTGCCCACGAGTAAGCGCACTGCTCGACTGGACAAGCATCAACTTACTGATGATGAAGAAGAAGGCACTAGGTCAAATTCGCAGCCACCTGAACCAATCAAAGAAAAGTATTCATTCCTTCTGGAAAGTGACTCGGATTTCATTACTGATTCGAAAATAGCTTCATGACAGATGGACTTGACAAGGATGACAAGTATCGCATGGTGGAAGACGAATTTCTATCCACAGCAGGTCAATTCACGGCGCATCTCCATAAAGCCGAGTACCAGAGACTGCAGGATGAAACAAAATCCTCAAACGCCACGAAGATTAGAAATATTTCGAGGCCGGTTGTCGGACATGCCACCGAGCTTGTTAGGACAAAGCACGACCGCATCAATCGCCTGCAAAGGCAAAAGTCTGCCACCAGAAAAAAGTCGGAAAGCGATGATGATGATGATAACGATGACTTCCGAAACACTACTCTTTTCGGCTTGATGGAAAGTCCCAGGAAGAAACCGCCAATGCTGGATCACTTCACCCGAACATCTACCGCAAGAACCCTTTTCGGTGTTCAAAAGGCACCACAGAGGGAAGGCTCTAGGGCTCAAGTTGACAGACCCAGACCAACTGTCGGTAAACCGTATGCAAGCACATTTCGCGACATGGAAAACGACGAAGACGACGACGATGATTTGGAAGCCGCTCCATGCAGTCGATCAACATCCTTTCCTCCACGAACGAATACCGCTGATGTCAAAAAGCCAGAAACGGCCACGACTCACAAAGCAGTTCAATCAGTCAAATCTGCCCAGTCAACCAGAAAGATCGTTCACACAGAACCTAAGCCAGCAGCAATACAATTGGAGGAAAACAGTGCCGCACAAGAGTCATCAGACGACGACTCTGATGGTGCATTGTTCGGATTTCAGAAACGCGCAAAAAGTCGAGCACGTCAAAAAGCAAAGAGCACGAAGACAGGCACAGAAGATCAAAGGTCTGGTCGTGACTTCATTCCGGATTTCATCTAATACTCAAAATCTATGCTGAGTATGGCGTCTCAAATGGCCTCTCAGCCTGTGGCGTGATACGCGCCAAATGCCTGCGCTGCTTATTCTTCCAGTCGACCAAGGCCGAGTGCTGGGTGACACGGTTGTCCCAGACGACCACGGTGCCTTCCTCCCACTTTACACGGGCATGGAAATCAGCACCGTATGCGATGTGATCATAGAGGAATTTCAGAATGGTATCAGACTCCTCCTTCTTCATGCCAATGATATCTCGTGTGACTGGGACTAGGATTAGCATGGGGTAATTCTGGATGTTGTTTTGAGATACTTACATTGAGGGTTGATGTATAGAGCCTTTTCACCAGTAGCAGGGTGCGTCCGCACAATTGGGTGTGCGTTGACGACGGGCTCACGACGCTTGATACCCTCTCTAGCCATGGAAGCATTGACTTGTTCGATTCCAGAGTGTGTTGCTTGCAGGCCGTGAAGACGCTCCTTGAAGAGAGGACTCAGTCGCTCATATGCTTCGACACAGTTGGCAAACAAAGTGTCACCACCAGTCTCTGGCTTGTCCAAAATGTACAGGAAAGTAGTGCCTGGGGGCTGCTGCTCATAAGAGACATCAGAGTGCCATGCGACTGAGCTCGTCCGCGATTCAAAGAACTTCTCAGCGCCCGCATCGCCAGCACCTCGGTGAACAAGGTGAATCTCGGGGTGTCCCTCGGGAGAGCCCGAGGTAGGGTGGATGTGGTGCCGACCAAAGTATTCGCCAAACTTCAAAGCCTCGGAAATGGGTAGATCAGCAAGGTCTTGGCCGCGGAAGGCAACCACCTTTCGCTCTGCTACGTATCGTGCAAGCTGATCCTTTCCGGCATTGGTCAGCTTGCTGAGCTGGACACCCTTGACTTCGCTGCCGATCGATGGTGTGAGGTCTACAACGGTCGAGCCCTCTGGCAGCAGTTCAGGAAACGAGGTGTCGGCATCCTTGCCGTGCTCGTAGTGCTCAAACGGTTCGAGTTGAGGATATTTCTGTTCAGGATTCCATGTTGGCAGGTAGTTGGGATACTGCACCAAGATTAGTTTATGGAGTCGCTGATGTACAAAGATCAAGCAAACTCACCTTTGCAGCTTCGAAATCCTCTCTACCTAGGCGCTCAGTCTTCTCGTCAAGTGAACTGGCCCCAAGCTCCTTGTAGGCTCCGAATTCCGTCTTCAACTTTCTCACGGGGAGTGGTGCCGGGCCCGTCTCGGTCAACGTTGTGGTAGCTGAAGGGGCCATTTTGGTACTCTTTTATTAACTGATGATGACCTAGGTCTTTCTTAACTTGAACATAACGAAGAACACGACTCTAAATTGAGTTCCGGCCACGTACTTATATCTGTATCACCCACCCTCCCCTCCCCGCATCTTGGAGATGTTGCAAAACCACAGCCATTATTGCGTGAGAAGCACTAGTGCCCGATTAAAACACCACTCACCCTTGGTCTAGGAAGGTAAAGTGGCACACAGATATGGGATAATGGAACGAGTGAAGATCCCTCGTGAGCTCTGCGCCAGTGAGATTCCGCCCAGCTACTGGAGCGCTCTAATCGATGGATCGATAGGGCTGCCCCACCACACTTTGGCTCGTCGTGACGCGATCACGGCCGATGTTGCTATTGAGTAGCAGTATCACGCAATCCCCCCGTTGCCCGGGACCGATAACCGAAAGTGCGCTTTCGGAGTAGCATTCCCCAGAATCTGGATATGTCCCCCCCAAATCTTGTCATGACTTATCATTTGTTTAATTTATAACCGGGTTATATCCTCTCCTGAGTTGCTCCGTTGGGAAATGCGTCGTCTTGCAATCTTTGCTGCTGCCGAATCTCTGGTGTTTGGACATCTCCACCAAAGACGTCACGCAACGCCAAGGTCCGATTGAACAAATCAGGGTTACGAAGAGACGATTGCAGCTATGCTGGCCCAAATCAGGAAGCTTATATCATGATACCCAAGGATAAGCATAAATGGCGCTTGTGCAATCCCACTTTACAGCTTCTCTTTGCAGGCAGCTCACGAACTATACGAGCTTTGAATCCTGGCGAGAATATTCCCCCCGCAAACGGTAATGATTTCATTTTTCTTGTCCCGTGGTGTTTCCCTCCTGTATCATATCTTTTTCTCGATATATCTCTACGTCACAATACACCTGCAATACGATAGCGCCCAGTAGGCCAATCCTATTGTACAAATGTACTCATACCGGGGTGCTGGCTGTTGGAATTATTTTCTTACTGCCAAGCCAGGGAATGCTCTCACCTTTGCGATATAGCCAGAACTAACAACATATCCATCGACTTGGTGCGGGAAACTATCTTGGGGTTGTGGGTCGATGCTTGTGTTGGCTTGATCAACTTTGGACAGATGCCCGCGAACGAAACCGAATAGTATCCTGGCTGCATTGACTATGCAGAGCAACATTATGAACAGCTCGACTGTTGACTCGGAGTCTGGCCAGTCTCTCATCTGATGGAGTTGCGAGACTCCTCGTGGTGCGCCCAAGAGCCGGACATGCTTCGAGCTCAACTTCTCTTATTTTAGCACCAAGGCGAGCCTCTGGAACTGGGATGCTGCGGACGAGCAGAGCACGCACTGCCACTGCTAGGACTGGCAAAGGCTACCAGGTCATTGGGTATGGGCTTCAGGCCGGCTGGTCTTACACGAGGATGTCGGATCAGCCTGAACCCCTTTACCCCCTTTGCTGGCCTATGAGCTTTGGGAATAGCATATTCCTGACTAGATACTGTGCTCGTTCGTCTGAATAGCTGTAAGGTGATGGGCTCTATTCGGCGCTTGCACTACAAGAACCAAGACATGGCAATGCCTGGCCGTGGCCTCCTGATATGCATAGAGGTCATCGTATACTCTTGTCAGATGACCGCCTTGGTAAGCAGCGGCATACCATTTGGTATCCCCATTTCACAAGCTCCAATTGTCGCACCGACTTCATCATTGAACAATATTCAAACGAGAATTAGAGTCAAGGATTTATTGTCATTAACACACAATGTACCATCAATCCGATATGGTGTAGTGGCTAACATATGACGCTCTCATCTCAAACCGTCATGCCCGGGGTTCGATTCCCCGTGTCGGAGTCCTTCAATAAACCTGATTCCTTTTTGCCTTTTTGATTGTCTGCTCATTCGGAAAAATTTGCGACTTAGCCCCGCGAAAAGTTTGCATTAATAGTTTACTGCTACGATCAGACTCCACACTATTCGTCCCCTGCCCAACTCATGCCAGGACGACACTTTCTAATTGCGATGACAGCCAAAACAAAAATATGGTCAAAAAACATACAACACCGGGGATTCCCCAGTGGTCACCCACCTGAGTACTAATCCAGCGGTTACTAGTTTATCTAGGGCAGAGCGGACGGGATGCCGAGCTTTCTAGTACCTATGGTCGTATGTGACTGGTTGTGGTTTGTTTTCTCTCATATAGGTTGAAGAACATGCCTAATTAGCGAAAGTGGACTGTTTTCTCGATAGCCTGTAACACAGTACGTAACGTGTAGCTCTCTTACCACACTAGTGGTTAGACGGATTTCCATTTATTATAACGCTGCAAATCCCAAAGGGGAATATAGGCATTCGAACGTTATATAATAGTTTGTTAGGTGGTGGCAGACGATACATATATAACAATTGTGGAGAACCAACCGACACCAATGGCAGAACGGTACCATACAATCTTTCAAGTTCTCTATACGCTCGCTTAGGCTGGCGAACACCGCTTTGCTCCAATCACATTCGAGAAAGTTAGCCGTCAGCGCTGACAAGAAATGCATGTAAAAATGGTCCGCACACACAACTTGGAGTTCCCAGATTTAATATTCGACTTGGCTGTATTCTCATTTAGCTACCATAGCTACAGTCCCTGATACCCCCTCTTCTCTTCCGTCCATCCATCGCTTACCCATACAAACCTCATTCCATCTTGACACGTAGTCCTGGTACGACGAGTGACAATGTTCCCTAGGCTTGTCCCTTCAAACTTTACGAACTTCCATTCCCTTCGATAGCGGCATCATATTTGTCCCTCAAACGCTCAGCCGCCAGCCGACCCAACGACATGATGGAGCCTGCTTCGAGGATCTCGGGCGTTGCGAACTCCGTACCTAGCTTCTGCCTGAGCCAGTTGCGTATCTCAATCATGATCAGTGAGTCCACGCCCAGATCTGCAAGTCCGATTTGCAGATCCAGATCACCCTCGGCCACGTGTAGGATGCTGCCCAAGTGATTGCCGATCTCCTTTGCGAGGATCAGGGCACTGTCTTCACTACGGATCACCGCCGGGTTGTCCGCGACGGAAGCCAAGAACTTCGCCAGGGTATCGTTGGAGGCACTAGTGCTCGTGGCCGAGTGATCTCCGTCATCGTTCCGGTACGTCGCCATGCGGCGATCCCGTCGCCACACGACTCGATTTCTGGGGTCAGAAAGGGGCAGCGTTGACCGCAGGCCTAGACCCAGTTGGTGGAAGCTCGAATACGCGGGAATCGTCGAGTCTATCGCCGGGGGCGAGGATTGACCGGACGACCTCCATATCATGAGCTCAAGGGCCTCGACGAGGTCCCGCTCAATCAGCATCCAGTACGCGCTGGCCCGAAGAGGCTCCAGAGCCCCTGGGTTCGTGGTGGCGAGATATCCCACGTCTTCCATGACTCCGATGTCGATAACGCTTGCAGGCATACCTAGCCCCTGTCGGTATTGAACAAAGGCGTCCAGGAATGTGTTGGAAGCGGCATAGTTTGCCTGACCCCACTGGCCTGCTAGCCCGCACACGGAGCTGTACATGACGAAGAAGTCGAGACTGTTACCTAGTACCTCATGTAGATTCCAGGTGCCTCGTACTTTAGGCGTAATGACATCGCTCCACTCGTTGAACTTCATTTTGGCAAGCGATTGGTCCTATCAACAGTCAGTCAGGTAATCTTGATGCCTCAAAAGGCGGGAGATCATACCCTCAAGATGAGAGACATCTGCATCACTCCGGCAATCGGTTTGCTTGCCCCGGCAGCCGCCAGCTTCACATCCTCGATACTTCCAACGTCGCCCGAAAAGGCCTGAACCGAGCAACCCGATGCTTCTAGCTCGTCAAAAAAGGTCCCATGGACGTCCCTGTTGACGGCCGACCTGGAGAAGAAGATCAGACTCTTCGCGCCTCGCTCGACCATCCATGTCGCTATAGCCTGACCAAGGCCGCCCAGTCCGCCCACGAGGAGATAGGAAACATCGGGCCGAAATAGGTCTCTGTGACCCAGGAGGCCCACGCCCGGCAGAACATTAGAATCTTCAGGCATGTGGATCGCAACTTTGCCGTCGTGGTCCCTCTTTTGCATGAATTGAATGGCCTCCGAGATATTGCTAGCATCGAATGCCGTAATCGGTTGAAAGGGCTTGATTTCACCGGCCTCGTACATGGCGACGATGGTCTTAAGCAACTTCTTCGCTTCTAGAGGCCTTCCTTTGCATAGGCGGGCGACATCCACCCCAAAGAAGCCCCGGTTGTCATGGAACAAGTCGAGGGCCAGCTTTCCATGACCCGTTATGTCGCGCTTGCCAAGTTCGACCATGACACCGTTTTCGGCGACGCACTGCCACGAAGCATGCAACAGCTCTCCGGTTAGCGAATTCAGGACGAGGTCTACGCCTCTGCCATCGGTAGCTCTCTGTAGGTCAGCCTTGAACGAATTGTCTTTGGAGCTGAAGATGCGGTCTCTGGCTAGGCCGAACGTCTCGGCCACAAAGATTGCTTTCTCCTCTGAGTCCGTCGTTGCGTACACCTAAACATGGGTTGAGCTGCGTATTCCCTCATGAGTGGGTGAATGTCTTACCTCGGCCCCGACAGCTTTGCAAATATACATAGCGGCCATGCCTGCTGGTCCTGCGGCAGCTTGAACTAATACCGTCTGCACAAAGTGCCGTGTCAGAATATCGCGTGCAGGTTCGAAAACATGAAACTACTCACTTGTCCGCTTTCTAAATGACCAACGCCGAGGAGTCCCCGTATCACAGTCGCATATATCGACGGCATAGTAGCCGCTTCTTCGAAGCTAAGACCACGAGGAATCTTGATGCACCTTTGTGACGACGTCCTGAGCCTCGAGCAGAGCGATTGTTCACTGAGGACCATTACGCGATCGCCAATCTGGAGGTCCTGTACCTCAGATCCAACTCCATGCACAACTCCAGCACACTCATAGCCGAAGTCGTCTCCTTCGACCACACCCATGGCGATGTAGACATCCATGTTGTTCATGCCGGTTACGCGGACGTCTACCTCCACCTCGCTCGGGCCCAGGGCATTCTCATGAGGCCACGCCGCCCAGTGAAGGGTCTCTATTACACCTTTCTTCCCTATTTGGAGGCGCCTCGGCGAGTCCTCTACTCCGATATTGACCAACTCCTTCGTCACAGATACGTCGCTGAACCGGCTTACATGAACAACACCCTCGTGAAGAGCGTATTCATAGTCCGGGTCCGTCTCCTCAGGACGATTTCCATTGGTCCGTAGCTTTTCGATCACCTTGAGAGTGGCCTCCCATGCCCTTTGGTCGAGGCAATCTAACTCGAGGACACCGAATGGCAAGTTTAATTCAGATCGAATTGTGCGTGCCATTCCGTTTATAAGCGAATAGCGAGGGTCGGAAGCTGCCATTTGGGCCGAACGGGTGAGCCAAAGGATGGTGCATTCTTCCAAACCGCACAAGAAATTGACCAAGGCGTGGAATTCACTTTCCGTCATGTCATGGAGAAAGGCGGATTCCAGCTCATAAGTGCAGATTAGGGCCTGGCTCGGCGGTGGTGTCTGCGTGAGAGAGCAGCGATCAACCTCAAAGCCCTTGGCTCGTAGATATTCTTCAAACGCGGAGGTGCTGAGGCTCGTAGCATCAGGTGCCAGAAGAGTGAGCCTTTGAGGTTGCTGCTGACATGCGACGTCAGTGGCTCTCGCTATCATCACAGCGTTTTGTTGATATGGTGGCTTTTGATCATAGCAGACGGACTCGACCCCATCAAAGCCCGTTTTGCGAAGCTCCTCGTCCCACCGCTCTGGCGACACCCAGGGTTGTTTCGGCCGTCCGTCTGCTTCTCCGAGCCACCATCCCGGTAGAAGGCCCATGATGTAATCTACGAATTTGGATTCTGGCATCATGAGTTAGCATTTGGCACGATCGCATAAAGCAGGCCGCTGTGTTACCTGGGCAGAGCTCAGAGAGAATCAAACGACCCTGTGGCCGAAGCAGTTTCCGGACATTGGTCAATGTTTCTGCAAGACTAGGTGTGGCGTGCAAGACCTATATACACAGTCAGTGGATACGGCAACGATGATTTCGACGAAGAACCACATGTCTCACATTGCCTGCGAAGACTAGATCAAACGAGCCCTCCTCTAAGCCCTGCTCGGCAGGAGCTCGCGTGACGTCGAATGTACGATATTCGATGCCTGCATAGTCTTTGAATCGTTCCTTTGCTTTGATGAAAAAACCAGCTGAGATATCAGTATAGAAATACGTGGAGTATAACCTCTGTCCGTATGAGTTCTTTAGGTTCTTGAGGACGATTTCAGTGGTACTGCCCGTTCCGGCGCCAATCTCGAGCACGCGAAGATTGGGGTTTTCATGGCCCAAGAGCTCCAGTAGCCCGCTGTAATCGATCCAGTCGAAGAAGTTGTAAAAATCAGTGAGCATATTGTTTCGGAAAAGGACCTCCAGGGCGTCGGCCTTGCCATCGATGATATCAACAACGGCTTTGTACGATTCATGGATGAGACGGCAAGCTGCCATATCTGGCGTGTCCCTAGCCCGATCCATCAGCTCTTCGATCAAACCCTGTCGCTCCGGAGAAGAAAGTTCGCAGAGTTCAGCCGTTCCGGGCACCAGCCTGGATTTGTTTGCTTTTGCAAATTCGACAAGCTCTTGTAACCAGTTGTAGTATTTCCCGAGGTGGCCCTCGGGCGCCGTGTGGCCCTGCAGCTGAAGCTGGTTTTCAATCGCGCAAAGCAAGAACAGTTTTTCCGCCATGGCAATCGCTGATTCCTGGACAACTTGTGCCTTGACCAGCGTCCCCGGGTCGACCATGTCAATGTCGGGCTTCCATTCTAACTGAACGGCTCCGTGAGGATCATCTCCACGTCCGTCACTGTTACTGGGTAGCCGTGATTTTGTGATGTTCTTGAGAAACACCGAGAGCTCGCCGGTTCGGTTTTGACCGTAACCGTTGGCAAGCACTGCGCCGCCAGGTGATAGCTCGGCCTGGAGGTATATCCGTGTGTGCTTGCCAGCGCCAGGACCAACGTACAGCTCCTCGATATACGTTAGCTGATCGGCATTCTCAAGAGCTCTCGTCAGACCATGATGCATCGCAAGGTCGATCGCCTGAAGAATCATCGTTAGTGAGGTAGGATGAAGCTGATAGGTAGATTCCGACTCTGTTAAGCCTTCGACGACCACAGCCGAGACTTCCTTCCGGCTTGTGTGAACCGAAACATCCTGCAACCCTCGAAAGGATGGACCATATTCTAGGCCGAGGCGTCTCCATGCCTTGTACCATCTTGCGGAAGATACACTCCGGGGTAGCAAAGGAGTGCTCCCTACTGTGTACTTCGACCCAGGGCCCGATCGTACCTGTCCGTGGCAATGTTTTGCCCAGCCAGAAGTACTGTTTGAGACGATGGAGAAATCATACCACTCAGACTCTACCGTCGTAGTCAGCCTGTAAGGCTGCAGTGAGGTGATAATCTCGAGCGATTCACCGGGTCGGATAACCAACGGGCTCGTGTTCATAACGGCGACGTTGCGAACTGTGTAGTCGCTGCCACCACACAGCTGAGTAATTGCTTCTCCAGCCATGACAATGTAAGCTGCTGTTGGAAACACAGTTTGTGTGCGCATGACGTGCTCCCGAACCCATCCCGGAACCGTATCTGGAGAAACAAGGTTCCTCCACACTGGCGCTAGATCGCTTGCTTCTGCGGCGCGAGAACCGAGCAAGTCGTGATGGGGAAACTCCTTCAAACGCCACATCTTCATGACGCGGCTCTCATGCCAATAATTTCCCTCACGCTGCCAGGCATAACTGGGCACATTCGGCAGCGTGCTACCCATCGGATACATGGCTGCAAAATCGATGTCTACTCCGGCGCCAAACAGCTGACCCACAGCTTTCAGCACGCTCTTGCGAGCATCTGCATTTCGAGTCAAGAGTGACATGTACTGTGTTTCGGTGCCGACCTCTTTGTATATCTGCTTCAAGGGACCCGACAAAGCAGAGTGAGGTCCGATTTCGAGATGCGGACTACTTGTCAGTTGGCTGTGGTTGAGAATCGCTTTAACACCAGAGTGGAACCGCACCGGTGATATCAGATTGTCTACCCAATATGACGCCCCGAGGTCCTTTCCTGCCGTAACGAACCTGTCCTTGACGGTCGAATAGTAGGGAACAATTGGGTCCCTGGGGGTGATGCATCCTTCGAGAAGTTGCTGATACCGCACTCCCACATCTTGCATATGATCTTCCTAGAGATGTTAGCCTAGCAAATGTAAGGGTGGGTTTGGGCTGTAACTACGCGAGTGGTAAGCCATTTGCACGCGCAATTTACGTGCAAAAAGGTCGGGCTTGGTTTTTTTGAAATCCGCAATAAAGGTGTCGAGGGATGACTCGTCGCCCGAGATAGTCACACTGCTGCCGCTATTAAGGCAGGCAAGTGACAAGCCCGGCGGAAGCAATGGGGCGACTTCGCTTGCGCCAAGACCGACAGCAGCCATACCTCCTGGACGTGTTTGGGATTTGAGTGCGACTCCACGATAGTAGGCGATTGTCATGGCATCCTCCATGGTGTAGACACCCGCGGCGTAGGCCGCGGCGATGTCACCACCAGAGTGGCCGATCACTGCTGAAGGGTGAACGCCCCATGAGCGTAACAGATTGACGAGGGCGACCTGAATAGCTGCGCAGATGGGCTGCGAATACTCAGCTTGGTCCAACAGACTCGTTGATGCCGGTTTCTGGAGTTCAGCTGGAAAAGGGTAATTTAGTATAGTTCACAGAACGCGGCAACATCGTGGTGATACAAGGCTTACTTTGAATACTGAAGCTTGGAGGGTGTTCCAATTGAGCCAGGTGGGAATCCATAGCACGGATGTCCTGCAGAAAGGAATCATGAGCTGTCATCAGCTCCTTCCCCATCCCTGGCCACTGCGCACCCTGACCCGTAAATACGAACACAGGTTTTGCGCCGCTGTTTTCCACCTTGGTCTTGGTTCTGATAAAGTCAAAGCGTGAAGAGTCGTCCGCAATCGCAAATGTTCGGTAGGGCATGTGTTCTCTTCGAGCGCCGAGCGTGTAGGCGAGGTCAGTAATTGAAGGCTGTTCCTGGATGCAGAACTTCTGCAAGGCCTCGACTGAGTTTGCCAGCGATTCCTCATGATTTGCCGAGAAGACAAGCAGTGATGGATTAATACTTTGTTGGCCGTTCGCATCGTGGCCGTTTACACCATTGGTGTTATCGTTTATCGCAATCCCATTAGTACCATTAGCTTTTCTAACTCCGTTGGCCGTCTCGCTCTTCTGGTCTCGTTTCTCAAGGTAAGAAGGCAAATAAGAATCTGCTGAGTCAAGGATGACCTGACCAGTCGTCATGTCAGTACTACGGTGACGACAACAGATGCAGACACCAAAAAGACATGGGATGTTGGAGCGAAGAGGTGAGAGCATTGCCGTGGCATGCGGACACCAGGGGTGGACCTACGTGGCAATTCGCGCCGCCAAATCCAAAGTTGTTGATGCTGATACGTTCCTTTCGCCCTTTAGGCCATGCAGTAGGTTCAGTGGGGACAACCAGACCGGCCGATTTGAAAGGGACTGTCTTCTGATCAGCATCCAGAAATGTGCTTTCAGGGTTTCGGACAGGACCAAGGCATCCGCCACGACTTACTCTTGGGGTTCGGTGTATCGAACTTGATATTGGGCACGATGATTTTCTTTTCCAGACACAAGACAGCCTTGATGATGCTGGAGATGCCGGAGGCTGCCTCCGCATGACCTACATTGGGCTTGACCTATCACCGCAACGTTAGTACGCGAACTTTACTACAGATGACTAATAGACTCACCGATCCAATCAAAACGCCCCCAGTCTCTTGCCATATGTTGGCTATCGCCATAGCTTCCAGGGGGTCGCCCACGGCCGTACCTGTGCCATGGCATTCGCAGAAGGCCGTCTCGGCAACGTCCAGACCTGCTAGTTGATAGGTCTTGCGAATCAGTGCGTCTTGTGCCGAAGTGCTGGGATTACTAATCACCGATGTCTTGCCGTCGAAGTTGGTCGCAGTAGACCGTACAATGGCACGAATGGGGTTTCCGTCCCGAATGGCATGGTCTAATCTCTTGATGTAGACAGCGTTGATAGCATCAGCACGTGCGTAGCCGTTGGCGCTGGCGTCGAACGTCTTGCATGAAGTATCTGCCGACAATGCTCCGGCTTCATATAATGCTACTGTCATAGCTGGCGTTAGGACAAGATTTGCACCACAGACCACGGCGGAGGAGCATTGCCCATGGGCGACCGCCTCGCAGGCTAGATGGAAGCTCATCGAGGAAGACGCGCATGCGGCCTTGGTGACAAAACTGGAGAGCTTGTTAGTCAGGAACAGAGCTGAACAGGGCGAACCATACTCGCCTGGGTCCACGCAGATCGTATTCGTACGAGATACGATTCGCCAGAGCAAAATCGAACGAGCCAGTCATTCGATACATCGGAAAGTCTTGAGGATCTTTCGCCTGCAGGTCGTTCCAGTCCTCGGCCGAGAAGCCCACGTAGCATCCAATATCTTTGCCCCTCCACCCTTTCTCTCCTGCACTCTCGAAAGCCTCGTATACGACCTCCAGGAGGAGCCGGTGATGTGGGTCGAGCTGGTCTGCTTCGGCCTTGGACATGCTGAAAAAGCCAGCATCCATCTGTGCGAGATCCAGGTCCTTGAGGAAGTAGCCCTGGTTGGTGTTCAGGTGTCCCGCCTTGCCGTGACCTCTGTAGCGGTTCTCGGGAACCGGCGAAATAGCATCTCTCTTGTTGACAAGAAGATCCCAGAATTTTGCTTCATTATTGACGCCGCCTGGCAGTCTCATGGACATGCCAACAATGGCAATGGGAGGCAGATCAGTGGAAGGAGGGTACGCATCCCGGGCATGATTTTGGAGATCTCCATTTTTCAGACAGGGCGTGTTGTTCGTCTCTAGGACAGCCATATTTACAGAATGGCACCGCTGGACGTGAACAGATTGCTACCGTCACCTCTTAGACGACTCTCACCTGAGCCAATATGTAAAGGGGAAAATGTGATCGAAAGAGCATAGAAGGATGTCTGAGTTGATCTAACTGATCTACAAAAGAGAGGTGCTGAAGAGAGAACTACTGTGGTCCGAGGCATATATTTCTGTTCCCAGGAATTGTATCGACGGTGGCCTCTTGAAAGTGGGTTCATACACTCAAACACCACCAGGAATTCACAACCTGCACCCACCCAAGCCAAGAGTACCGACCCACGAGCTAATACTTATCCATATGACCAAAGTATATACATTCTACACAGTACTGTGTACGTAGTTACCCAAGTAGGTGATCTGCAGTGGGTTCTGACTGACTACGTCTTAGTGCAACAATGACAAAGGCTTGTATGTGCAAAGAGACTCAAGGACGAGGACTGCCTTGTATAAAACAAGAAGCAATATTTCCTGGCTGCTCGTGTGCCTGGAAGTCGATTATTATATGCATTTCTCGTTGTTCCTCTACTAGCCATCCTGAGGTTCACGATATAGACAGCAACAGAGCTCTGTCACGACAAGCAATATGCATATTCTGGAAGTATGTGTATAGGTTTCGAGTAAGACCCTTTTCCAGCGCGATTTTTCTTATCGGAATACGTTGCGTTCTAGGCCCAGGGAGTAAGGCCCTCCCTGCTTAGCGTCGGGCGTTGCCTACCCTACCCCTTGAAGAATCATTGCCATTGAACGAACGTGGCACACTAATGATTTTGGACTGTTTTCCACTTCACTGCGACCAGGTAATACCCTGAAAGACATCCCTGAATAGACAGCACACATCTGTACCCTCCCCCCTTACGCATCCGTCCACTCCTCCTTCCTAAGTACAACCGCAAATAACTAAATACCATATTCCAGATTACGAAAAGCTCATACCGCCCCTCGAGCTCCCGGGTCCTTAACCCTAACCAATAACCACTAACTAAGCTAATTAAGCTCAATAACAGTAATCCTAACGCGTTTATGCATTTTTCCTATTTTATTTAATTAGGATATTGTGGATGTATGGTGTTTTAAGGATATGTATCTTTTTACGGCTTAGACTGGAATTTAGTGTGGCTAGTGTATGGCTAGTATAGTGCACTAACTTTTTCTGTATATCAAAGTGGAGGAGGGAGGTTGCGGGTGAGCGAGGGGAAGGGTACGGTTGTGGGCTGTGAATAGACGGCAGATGTTCTTTAACCGCGCTGCATCACTGCTTATACCTCGATGCGCAACGATCCTTTCACGGGAGATGGCATCGGCGCCATAGTCTGGGAGAATGGCCCACAGGTGTGCGACGTCAAAGCCAACAAGGCCGGTCCATCGAGCGACGACAGCTGGACATGGACTTGTGATAATGGAGCCGGCGTCTACGTCACCGACAACGGGAGGGTCCTCGAGTACACTGGGGTAGACGGGTGGAAAGCGAACATGGTCAAGACGGAAGGCGATAATTGGCGCGAGGAGTATGGCACGTTGCCGGCGGGGGACACCGGGGCGACGGGTTCAATCTCAAAGAGGCTGTTGCATGAGAATAGTAGTAAAAAGAGCAAAATGGGTAAAAAGGGAAGCCGTGGATTATTAAGTGCTAAACACCACACTAGGTATTAGTACCTGATTTCCCCCGCAGCTACTACAGCTCTCTGCCCTCTTCTATATATTACTTTTGCTACGTTTGCCATAATTTAGATTGAGAGGATTGTCAACGCCTAATCATTATTAGTTTCGTGGCCTATAGTTAGATTACCTAATCGTCTCCATCCAGATCTTCGTTTCCCGTTGTTTCCGTGAAGTCACTGCTATTTACTATCAAGGCACGGGCCTTCCATGGATAGACTATCGAATTTCAGTGCTTGAACCAATAGGCCTGCGTATTACAACAGCCTTTTAAACCCTCCGTCCCCCATTCTGTACCAAGTCCGCTCTGTTCATGCCCACCGAACGGTACGTTGGGAGAGAACTCGAAGTGAGTGTCGACCCAAATGCTTCCTGCCTCGAGCTGGTCCCCAATTCGACGGGCGCGAGCCACATCCTTACTCCAAACCGAAGCCCCGAGTCCATGGCTCGGAGCGTTTGCACGCTTGGTCATATCGTTGTCATCTTTCCACTTGAGAACAGGAACAATGGGACAGAAAGGCTCATCCGTCACGATACTCGGGTCATCGGGAGGGTTGTCGATGATTGTCGCAGGCATATGAAAGCCCGTCCCTTGCTTCGATCCGAGCCCCCCCCCCCAAAAGCTACCTTCCACATTTGCTGCTCGATCTGCCTCGATCTGCGAATACAGCGTCTGAAGCTTTTCGTACCGTACGCTGTTTTGAATAGATCCAAAGAAGGCGTCCGTGTCGGAATAATCACCAGCCTTGAACTGCTTCGTGATCGCGACGATTGTGGCGAGAAACGGGTCATAAATATTCTCGTAGACATAGATACGCTTGACTGCCATGCAGATCTGTCCCGAGTTCATGAAGGAAAAAAATGCGAGCTATATCATGCTCAATATTGTGTCCTGTGATCAATCAAGTGGGATGGCTAAGAGAACATACCTTTGCGGCTACCGACTCAATGTCGGCATCACAACAGCCGATCGCTGCATCGTTACCTCCAAGTTCGAGCGTGATGCGCTTCAAAGTAGCAGCACAAGCCGCCATGACCTTTCCCCCCGTCTCGACAGAGCCGGTACTCTGTGAAGCTCACTTTTGAAATACCGGGGTGCGTTGTCAACAAAGTGCCAAGACTGTCGTCTCACTGAGGGCCTGGAATACGCCCGGCGGGAACACTTGAGCGCCTATCTCGGCCATCTTCAGTGTGGAGTAAGGAGCATGAGGTGAAGGCTTCCAGATAAAGGTGTTCCCGGTAGGAAGGGCGGGAAGCAGCTTGCCAAGGCCGATTCCGAGAGGGAAGTTCCACGGCACAATCCCGACAGCGACTCCGAGAGGAATGTGGCGCACAATAGCGGTACGCTGGACAACCGTGTTAGCTTGCAAGTGGTCACTTTCAACAATAAGTATGGAGAGTAAACAAACATCGGCATCGTCGATGACGCTTTCTTCTTCCAAACGCAGCTTCGGTACTTCGCTAGAGGGATGCCACCGCGTACAGCTCATAAGCAGCGAACTGCGGGGTCTTTCCCAGCTCTTGGCCGATGAGCTTGGTGAGTTCATCCTTATTGGCTTCAACGGCGGCGACAAACTTGTTGAGATACGCGGCACGCTCATCGTATGAGAGTTTGCTCCAGGACGGGAATGCTGCCTGCGCCGCGGTTACAGCACGGTCCACGTCGTCCTGGGTCGACACAGGGACGAGCCAGAGAGGTTCCCCAGTGCTTGGAGACAAATTGCGATGTGACTCTTCCGTGTCAGACAGTTGATTGTTGATGATGTTGTGGAAAGTCTACACAAAGATATTTGTAAGCACACTACCGCGGATGTTCCTCACACGGTGGACGTCAATGTTCTTACTGCGAATGGGATCTCATATTCTGGTGCCGCAGACATGTAGCAATTGGAATTCTCTGCTGGTGAATGACCATGAATACGATAGATTTTATGGATGGGATGTTGGGAGGTTGAAGAGTATTGATTTTAGAATTGCAACAAGTTACCAAAAGTGTCGGTAGATCTATAAGTCAATAATTTTCAATCGGGCGTTGGAATACCCTTGTATGTCACACTCTGAATCATGGATTAGATCAATCTTAGCAGGCTTTCAGATTTGCGTGGTCTCGGGAAAAGGCACTGTTTCTCATCCCGGCTCTTCTCGTGCCAGGACAAAATATTAACATTTTGACGTCCTGAGCTTTTTGCCATCCTGAATCGAGTTGGCTTGCCCACTTGGAAAAGGTTTATATGGTGTTCTTCGTAGAATAGTGTACGACTCTTTTCTGCACAATCTCAAGTCTTGTTTAGTATCTCACCATGTCCGAAAGCATTCCAATCCCAGGCCCTACGGCTCTTCCGCTCATTAGCAATTTGAGAGATATCGACCTCAACAACACCGTCCACAGGTTCATGAGCCTCGCCAAGACATAGGGGCCTGTTTTCAAGCTCTATCTTGGTGGCTTTGAGCGAATCTTCATCACTGAACATGAGCTGGTCAACGAAGTCCTTTCATGCAAAGACTTTGTGAAGAAGATCACTGACACGACCGAACACCTGGCAAAACTCATTTCTCAGGGAATTCCTACCGCAAATCATGGACAGGAAAGTTGGGGCCTGGCCCGCAGAACGTTGAATCCCGCATTCACCAAAGCATCTGTCAAGGACATGTTTCCTGGTTAGTATCACTGTCCTAGGCATTCCTATGAGAGCGCAACAAAATTCCATTCAGATAAACAAGTCGTACTTACAAGTGACTAGAGATACTCGACATTGCTTCCCAGCTTGTCCTCAAATGGGCTCGATTCGGTCCCAGCAAGTCTTTCGACTTATAGGAAGAGGTCAAACAAACCTGATGGCCTGATTTCAAGAGCACAAAAATATATAAGCTACTTCAAAAAAGATCTTATTGATATGCGTCTTGAAAGATTGTATGACCGTTCTGCCATTAGTCCTGGCGCTAATGATGTTGGTTTGATTCCCCACAATTGTTATACATGTATCGTCCCTTACCACCTAACATAGTCGACTAATTATTGAGGGAAAAAAAAACACTAAATAGCAGGAAGTCAAAAAACATACAACACCGGGGATTCCCCAGTGGTCACCCACCTGAGTACTAATCCAGCGGTTACTAGTTTATCTAGGGCAGAGCGGACGGGATGCCGAGCTTTCTAGTACCTATGGTCGTATGTGTGTGTTGTGGGTTTGTTGTCTTTTATATCGGCTATTGGAAGACAAGTCTACCTAGCGAGAGTGGACCATTCTTGTCATGTCCAATACGGTTAATCAGCTTTAGAGAATCGAAGTAAATCGTTCTGGTAAGTGACTTGTGCTCTCATCTCTTTCGCTCTCGCTTCCACTTTATCCGGCGCATCAAGAATCAATTTCTGGTTATCATCCCAGCCGTCTAATTCGTGGAACAACAATGCCAGACTTGAGCTTTTCCAAGGAGATATGCCGCTCATATTGTTTACGTGAATAACAGTGAGAAGCAGGAAGAACGTAAGGCTCGTCACTGCTATTGGAAGCGCCAGCCACGTCCAATTGATGGCTATAATTACCTCGCTCTGCAAGGCCACACCGCTCGTAGGCAAAGTTCCAGACGAAATGCGGAATTCCTCGGTTATGCTATCCGCAATTTCTTTCATGAGCACTGGCATGTCATCGAATTGACTAAGTGCCGTTCCGTTAGTGGCTATTGACCATTGTTGGCGATCCTCAGGATGGACAGAAGCATCTTTCGACCCCACGAGAACCTCAGTAATATTTGTGGTTCCCATGAAAAGGGATCTCATGAACATGATGAGGTTCCGGAATTCACAGTTGTCAATATTGAACTTCACATTCGTGAGTGTGGGAATTATGCTCTCCGGTTCTAAGCCCAGGAAAAAGGTCGAATTATTGTCGAATATGGTACTCTTAGCGCTGATGTTGAGGCCAACTTGTGGCCCAGTCAGGGCGCTTGCTGTGAAATTGCCAAAATAAGGCGTCACGAAAGTTTTGCCACATAATTGTAAGGCGCATTGCATGGCCTTCTTGACCGGTGGGTCAGATATCAGGTGCCCTGAAATGTCTTGGTACTGGAAGTAATTCAACTTCTTGTCAAACTCCAAGTATGTGAAATTGCTAAGGATAGCTGGCATTGACCTGAAATTGAATTCTTGAGCGGTTGGCAACCATGGTAACGAGTCGGTCTCCCAAGCAGAGGTCCAAGTAGTAAAAGATCGTTCCGCGGTACTCATGTTCCATTTATCTTCTGTATATGCAAAGTTGAATATGTTTTTGCTTTCTGGTAGAGTGTAGTTACAAACGATGCCGAATCTGGTATTGGTGATATGGGTTTTGGAATCTTTATCGACCACAATAAAGTCGGGGTACACGGCTAATATATGACCTGTGCACTCGGATGCAATTGTATGCGTCAGGTCGATGCAGGAGCTGCAAACTCCCAACGTGTTTATAGTCGGCCATTCGCATTTTTCGAAGCCGCATGGAAGACTTGGCCCTTTCGTCGCATTGAAAATTGGCGTTAGCACCGCGTTCTTTAAAGCTGTATTGACGAGCCCGGATGAAGATTCACAATAAGATGTATGATACGTTTGAGCCGATTGTATTGGAGGATTTCTTCCTTGTATTGGCGTCAGAATGCAAGGAAACTGGAAGGCGGATTGGATAAATGGGTCGATAAGCAGTGAGGCTACGGTGATGATGGAAGCGCATGTTGTCAGGAGGGTTCCTGGATGTTTGCGAATAACCAGTTGTATGGCACCCCAAGGTCCGCGACTTGCATCATCAAATAGTTGAATGTCGCTTAGGTTTTGCGGGGCCTTATGAAAGTGCAACCACTTCAACTGTGATACGATCTCGGCAACGGCTAGAAGGCAAGAAGATTTCGCTAACGTGCCAAGGAGGAGACGACTACGTTCGGGGAAAGATATTTCTCTCCCAAGCCCCATTGGTGTAAGGGTTTTCCGTCTTCGTACATGAGAACCCCGATGACAGCTGCCATGCACGCAAGACTCAGGATAGAAGCTGAAATCTCCCATAGCCAATAGCGCTGCACAAGCTTTCTGCCGTGTGGTCGAGGCTTGACTGCTGGACACGCTGAAACGGATGGAGAATTGGTTGGTGGTTCTGTGTTGACCACTGTTTGACGAACGGCACCCGACGGACCGGACCTGGTGGCAATATTCTCCTGAGGTTTGAGCAACCTCTCGGTCGATTCGTGCCTTTGACTTCCTCTTCTGACATGGTCTTCAACATTTGCGAGCCGGGGATGCGGACCGATCTGTTCGTCTTCTTGGCCCGGCTGGCAAGTCCACGGGCATTCAGAAGTTGCGATCGAAGCATATGGGAGGGTAATATCTGATGGACTGTCTCGCTGGTTGGTCGCGCGATGCGCAAGCGAGCCTTCATAGTCAAGTAGCTGCAATTCGTGCTCATCTGTACTGCTTTCTCTTGTCGCACTGAGCTGGTAGCCTAGGCTGTGATGATGATGATAATGATGATCATTCGACATGTTTATTAAGTGATACTGCTGTTCGCATAGGCTTCTAATGCAGTGTGCTTTATGGATGGTGCAGGTCGTAATAAAGAACCAAGGCACTTATATCAGTGCCTGAGTCGGAACCAGCGCAGGATGAATCAATTTTTATGGCATAATTGTGCCTACAAGGCTGACCGCTACTGTCACCGAAAGTGCCAGAGGTGGCAGTGTCCATATTGTAGTTTACTGCGAATCTTATCTTTTTCAGGTATATATTGTGCAGCGCCGAGACCATAGAGCTGCAAAACGATTTCAACTGCTACGCTACGTAGGGCATCTTCCGTCTTTTGATTGGATTGCCAAATCACACTGCAGCTAATAGAGATATCGGCTAACCTGGTACGGTTCCAGCCCACCATCTCCCTCGAGCCTTGCCATAGGGTTTTTTTTACGAAGAACATTCTGGCAACAGATCCCGAAGATTTCAAATGTCTTGAATATGAGTCGCAATAGAGGCACTGCGCCTTCATGGCGACTTTAATTCTTGTTGCCAAGCCCCACTTCTCTGCCGAAAATAAAAAAAGAGTGGCCGCATCCAAGTCTATATCCGGATAGGCTCGCTTCGTCCGCTCCTGCTTCAGCCCCCGCCCTCCTTTACGGTTACCTATACCTTACATTCATTCTAATGCCACAATCATCCACTAATATTTGCGCAGTCATCAACCGTGGGCTGTCCCAGCATTTGTCAGTTTACCTTACCTAGGTTTTATAATAATGATACTAATGGTGCTACGAAAAATAAGGTTTTAAACCAAATATTTTAATTTAGAAATGAACGTAGGTGGTTTTTGTTTAATTTACTGTGTCAGAATTATCGTGATCTTGCACTAAAACTCCTGATATTGTTGTCGCGGCATTTTCCCTTTTCGACCCCTCCTCTCCTCTGCAGCCGAGCCAAATGATATTATCATTGCACCTCCTGTCTTGACTTATGCTAAGGTCCGATCTGAAATAGACGTGACAACATTCGAACCGTGTTTTCCTCACCTGTATGTTCAAGCCACAGATGAGGCTCGATGGCTTCGATTTCCATCAACACAAACGGCCGACCACATGTGACGAGGCCATCGATGCGTGCGTAGCCAATTTTGTCGCCAGGTGCCACTTCAAACCGGCGTTGCAGCGTCTCGTAAATCTCCCGAACGATCTGAAAGGTTTCGGGCGCAATATCGCGCCACTCGGCCAACCGAGCAGATCCACCGTAATCATCTTGGACCCGAAAGTCGCCCTTTCGTGGTGTCTTGATCATGACGTGGGTGAGATCACCGGCCACGAAGACAAAGGAATACTCTCCAACCAGTATGGCGGGTTCGAACTCCTGAATGAGCAACGACAATGCCAACCCCCCAGATGTACAGAGCTCCAGGAAGGCCATGTCATCAACGGAGAGTATCGACGTGTTGGCAATCTTCCAAGTCATGGTCGACGAAGCCGACATGGTTGGCTTGAGGACTATCGGGTTCGCAGGGCGGAAGTCTTGGATCAGCCTCTGCAATTCCAGCGTGGTCACCTCCTGAGGGGTGACTACTTGGGTCCTGGGGATTTCGAAGCCCGCTCGCTCCATATCCAAAAGGTAATGTTTGTCTGCATTCCAGCGGATCAGGTTGATGTTGTTTATGATATGGGGAAGATCTCGGTCATTTTTCCTCAATTCGTCCAACTTGTCCAAAAAGGAAAGAAAGGGTTTGGGATGTTTGTAGTATTCGTTGCACCACAAAAAGGTCACAACGTCGACTTGTTGGATTGCCGCGATAATGTCTTCATCCAACCATGACTTGATTGTGACGGTCGTGTTTAAGTGTTTCAAGAGGCTGGGGAAATTGTAATTCTGGTAGTATGGCCACTCAGCTCTGATGGTGGCTGGTGGCTGCGTAGTCAGAAACAGCACCCTGGTTGGTGTAATAGCATGAGGCATATCGGCGATTGAGGTCTTCTCTGGTTTGCCTGATACAACCACGTTATGGCACGTCTACGGTTGATTTATATTCGAACATCAGGCGAGGACCTTTGCGACCGCCATTGACGACCAATGGTACGTGGCCCTCTGCCGAGCCGGGGGAGGGGTCGACATATTTGGACCATGAATTCAGAGTCGAGCACATTTGACAATGAATACCTTTTCAGCCGACAGGCAGCCGTAAATCGGGGTCACAGGTTGACAGAACGTCAAAATGTCTTTCATCGGTTCGGGACGGCAGGTATGCAGGTTGTGGACCATGGTTGGTAGCATTATACCTGGCGCCACGTTGACCTAAGGGCACAGCAGTATGATCACTATAGCAGTGGAAGGAGAACACTGTACTGCGAAATTTAGTCATATTGCGCAATTCGTGTCTACATCCTGTTCATTGCCATCACTGAAGAGCATGCGTTGTGCACTCAACAATCAAGTACTCATAGGCGGTCAAACAAGTGGCGATCCTGAAGAAGCTCAGAGCTTAGTGCTTGGAGCTCCCAAATTCTCCGGTTCTCTCACCATTGAGTTCAATCCCATTGTCATGCCATGACTCACAAACCCAAGCTTTGTGAACACTCGACTGCCAGCCTCTGTTCCATCGAGATAGATTGGGACCTTTTCCACGTCTGCTTCAGCGCAGCCCCATTTCATGAGCGCGAGACCCAATCCCAATTTCCGATATTCGGGCTGCACTGCGAGCATGTCCGCATCTGTAGGATAAGTCAATGTCAGTCTGTTTATGCTCCCGGAATAATGTTGTCGAAGCTGCATACAGAAGTTGTATCGACCTCCGCCGACAAGTCGATCGCGACTCTTCTCGATCTCCTCAAAAAAGGCAGCATTGCGCCGGACGTCCATATCCTGGTGCCACGGGATATATCGAGGCCCGCGCTCCTCAGCCGTCTGGAGGGACCACTTCATCCAGGCGACGATGCTCCCGCCTCCCCGCTGCGCAGTGTCGACGACCTTGAGGTATTTCTCCTGCGGCCTGCCCAGCATGTCGTGGCGGATGGTCGCGTCCCACCATTGCCGCACCCCGGGCGTGTCGGGCCACAGGGCTCTGATGTCTGGGCTCTCAAAGACACGATACCACAAGCTTACTAGCTCGGGCACGTCATGAAGCTTCGCGCATGCAAGCTTGAGATGGGGGGAACGGGGTAAGAAAGTCAGAGCCATGCTTGGGAATCAGGTCAAGAACGGAAGAGATGCACGAGTTGAGGAAACTGTTGATTTGGGAGGTAGTGGCTTGAAATATTGCGGCACGAATAGTAATAATGCGAGCAGGGGACATAAGACTTACTGTCGGAATAGACTGCGTTATTTCCACCACGGTAATACCTGAAGGCCCAAGGATGAGACATTAGATGGTTTGGACCTTGTCTCACTCGGCACCAAGTCCTTCCAATGGTTCCTGCCGCTGGAATGACCCTCTATCTGAACCCAGACAGAATGCTGAAAAGAATATAGAGAGTCAACGTTGCAATCCAATTCTACGCCCTACTCACTTGTGTAGGTTGACAGCCAGCGCCTCGCCATTGGTGCGGTGGCTGGCACTCGATGAAGATGCATGACTTCGCGACCCCGCTCGTGCCGTTCAGATCCATGTACGCGTGAGCACGTAGTAGCATCTCTTGACAAAAAGGAAGAGTCACTCGTGGCTGACCACGGCATGTATAGACTTGCTTATTCGTGTAGGACTTTCTGCAAGCGGGAATCTAGATCCGGAGCTCGGCCTGGAGACCTATAAGATCTAGCTCCCGTAGTCTTCACAGATCCACCTGACTCATTCAAGGATGACCCCCAGACTCTCTTTGCGTGTACGAGTCTAATCCAGCATATCCCCGCTGCGGCTCAAACCAATGAGCTTCGCATTCTGCTGCCATTGGTGCCAATGCGGCTCGGGCCGTTGGCTTTTCGGCCGTCCTTGCATCTGTCCCGCCAGGTGTTAGTGCTTCTCCGCATCGGCCGATGAAACAATGGTGGCTTTCTCGACTTCGTGATCTGAACTGTGATGGTCTTGCAGAGCATGCGTGGGCACAGTGACCCCATCCTCCAGAGAGTAGTTCGTCTTGGTGACATATTTCCAGGTGACAAAAGCCATGATTGGCCAGCAGACGCAGTTCAAAGCAAACCAAATGGCATTTTCCACCTGATAGTCTGTGCCCGCGGCGTCGATGCCAAAGGAGACGGCCGTGCCAGCGGAAAGAACTAATTTGCAGATGAACAGTATATCAGCACAAGCTACCAGTGACACCAACGTGGAATCCCAAATATGGTCGAGTACTTACTGCCCACGAATATTCCTCCCATGTGTGCCATGGCGCCAGGTTGGTTGCTGAGTGATCCGACGAGCCACAATACCGTATTCTGAAAGATGCCATATTGAGCGCCGTACAAGATGTAGATTACGACGGCGCCAGGATATGCCGCGTCCTTGAGGTCAATCATTGGCCCTTCTATGTTCCTGTTGAAATTCCAGCTATGGAGCCAAATCGTAAGTGCGACATAAGTTCCCAGTATCAAGGTTGAATTGAACCCAATCGCCAGCAATCCGCGCCTGCGACGCGACCCCAGGCGATTGTTGTCCAGGATGAAGTAGCCGACGAAAAGCGCACTGGGAATCTGAAAAATATAGTTCAGAAAGTTGTTAAGGCTCCGAGTTCTCAGGTTAAAAGCGTAGGCATTGAGAGAGCTCTGCAACACAATAAACGCCTCCGGCGTGAAGAATGCCGGGAGCAGGAGAAGCATCCGCCAATCTTTGAACATTGATACCATGGCCCTTAAAGAATCCTTGAATGAGCTCGCTTTGAATTCGGCTACAGTGGTACCATCTTGCCGTCGTAGACGTTCTGGAGAGACCATCATTGCGGCGAGTAACAAGGTGAGAATCTGCAAGACGATGAAAACGATATAGACGGCAGCAGGGGTCGAGGGTGTAGAAGCTGTATGAGTCGCCATTTAGTACAGGGTTGGGGGCCATGTCGACGGCTGTATTGGGGGGCACAAACCGCCATAGTTGATTCCTAGCGCGATGACGGCACCCACTGTAGCGCCTAGTGCATTTCCCGTCCACTGAATTGCCCTGTAAGCACCTTTTTCCTGAAAAGAATGTTTATTAGTGCAGCCGCCCAAAGCTTGGAGCACTATTACTTACAGACTCTTCTGCGTACGCGTTTGCCATGAAGCCTAACTCAAGGTTAGTACATTGTACTCAATCTGCTGATTCCTTTCCCTCTCACCGGCTGTAGTCCAGAGGCAAGCTCCACAGAATCCCACAAAGGCGCCAGCGAAGATTGGAAACCAAATACGCCCAGTTAGGTCAAAGTACCAAAGGGAGCCAATAAATAAAGGATAGCCCAGACAAGCGAACGCCACTGTAAGCCGAGGTCCAAAGACTGTCACGATTGTTCCTCCGAGAATGCCAGTGACAGCATAAACGGCGTAGAGGCAGGCGTTGGATAGGTTAGCCATTTGAATAGACGTCGCCTTGCCGCCACCAGCTCCGAGGCCCTGAGGTGGCACAACCAGTCAATCTCTGCGTGGGAATGGGCACTTCGTCTAGAATCAATGCTGCAAGGCTTACAAGTATGGCCAGGTAAAGCCCTGGTAACATTGCGAGGCAGCCGGTTATCAAAAGGTTCTGGACATAGGGACTGCAATCGTTAGATGGCATTCTTAGGTGATGTCTATATGGAAGACGCACTTTGTCCTTCGCCAGAACCTGAGCTTGGGCTGCACAACATGGATCGATCTATCGGTGTTACTGGCATTGGAAATTGGAGGCATTTCGAGGGAGAACTAGTGGTGATGGGCTGAAGAATGACAATGATGACTCTTTTAACAGTAAGGAAACCTGCGGCGCCCGAACTTGTGATCGTAGGAAAATGCAAACATTTGTTCATTGCTTCCCTTATATATTTTGATATCTTGGTGTATCTCATCTAGCCTCAGGACTGACTCTTGACTGGCGCTACCTTCGATGGAGTAGGTAGGTAGTGAGCCTCAGTAATCGAACATTGTCAACTCTGATGCCACGACGAGCTATCAGTGACGACTAGATTATAACTCAGACAGACCGGAGCAATTGGGCCCTTTGCGGTATCTCGAAGCCAACGTGAATACGTGCGGGCACCTTTGCCAGCCAAGCGCATAGGGCAAACCATTCGAGCTCATAACCAGACCAAGGCGACTAGCGACAGTCCATGTGTCACAAGTTGCTACTCGTTACCGATTTTCTCAAACATTGTAGCTTGAAGTGAACTACCTCCAGCTGTGTTGCAACATGAATCTCAGATCATCTTGCTCTTGAGCCGCCCAAATGGGCGTTGACAGTTCGGTAGTGCTCATGGTCGCGCCTGCTGCGGCGCTTAGTCTGCCGGTCATCATGCTAGCATTTGGGAATGGCGTCAAGTCGCTAACTGTACCAAACGCAGCTCTAAAGACTCACCACTATTTCGATAACAAGAAAGTTAAAATGTTTGCTAAGTCGGCTTGCTTACAATAGACAGGTTCACGATGGAGAACTAGTAGCCTAGCAGACAGCTAGTAGAGAACTACCAAATCCATGACAGAGTGGCTCTCTCTTCCGGTCACACCTACCTAGCCCAGCGATCGACTTATACATATGTGCGCTCACGTAGTGTGTATGTCTCTATTACGATTCAAGTCATTCGCGCTGGACCCACGGCCGCGAATAAATTGCGAGACTAATAACCATGATGAAAGCGGCTTCCCAGGAGACGACCAAGCTGTGCCTTCAAAGATGCTAGTTTCTGATTGATAATCCTGTCAATCTAGGAGCGAGGAAGCTCTAAGGTGACATCAAATCGTTCGCAGCGCCCAATACTACACAACGTCGTCGTACGAGTCCGCATTGTCAACATTTACATGCATAGCCGCTCACTGCAGCGCGATTTGTGCCTATGAGCAACGCCTGAGGACTCAGTACATACCGGGTTTAGTATCTCCAGCATAAGAGTGTCAGTATCAATTCCCGATTGGCCGGAGTGCGGCGGATAGCCTTCGCCTATCACAGTATAAAAAGTGGGAAGAGCACGACGGTTCTCAAATAAGAAATGTTTCGGTGCAGTCAATCCTCGTTATACCCTCAGGGTCTCGAGCTTACTGGCTGTGGCCACTGCATTTGCCTACACCCCAACGTCTTCCGGCCGAGAAGGGTTGGCGCTCTCTTTGACTTTGGCGCTACACAAACGTCTTGTCTGTTCGAAGTATCTGTGTCTTGATCCTCGTGCCCGCCACAAGACATGCGGTAGGGCCCGCATACGAAGCTGTGCGGTCAAAGTCATCGCTACGAAAATGACACTCAATCCGGCTCTATTGGATCGTGGCAGTATCGGCCACGGTTCGTTATGTGAAACAAGTTCTTTGATGTACGGAGAAATTTCCGACGGCAGATGACTTGCGGGCCTCCTCCAATGACACACCTACTTGTTGACTGGCCCGATTGGAACAGCTTCCCTGCATGTAGGCCGAAATACATGACCGGTCAGGTAGGATACAAACAATAACGAACGCATCATTCAACGGAGGAAATAACTACCCAGGGCAGCTTCAAGATGTCCCCGCTGCCCCGGTGCTCTTCGCAAAAGTACTTTACTTTTGAGATGCTCTGTAGAGTATTAAGGCTGAGACTATCTGGGAACTTGTCTCTCGCCTTCCTTGTTTATATACAACTTTGACAGCTTTATGATCCCTATACTCTACTCGGCTTGTAATGGAAGTTCATCCAGATACTACAGCGAACGAGGGGCTTCGAAACATTGATTAGTGACACACAGCCTACAACTGGGGCCTATACAGCCAAGTCAGCTTAAGTGCATTCTGTATAAGAGCGGACATTTTCTGAAACGATCACGAGTCAACAAACGGATGCAAATATATCCGAACCATTATATTGCATATAAGCATTCAGCACTTTGACCGCTCCAAGCCTCACTCGTGCCGAGCCGATGTGCTCGAAATGAAGATCTGTGTGCTTTCCTAGTGAAACTGCACTGTTGACTGGTTGAAAACGCCGGAAAATCTGCCGAAAAAATTATATGGAAACTTTGAGTGGCTGCGTTCCTGTGCAAGGACCGAACCTTAATTTTTCCAAACCTCCCACGTGCTGTTGAAAGGCACAATTGAATAGTCGTTTGTGCATAAAGCATGGAATTAGTAGACCCACAGTTCTACTTATTGTTTGATGCAGCCGCTGCCGCTGCAAGGGGCTCGCGAATTGCAAGTCGAGTTATGGATAACGCTGCCGCGGTCGTGCATGCTCGGGGTATTGACATTGATATGCGAGACCGGAGCTTATTTAAAATAAAATACAGTTTGCAGCAAGAATCGCCGCGTTGTACCGTGCAATTTTGACTTGAAGTGTTGAGTCATCATCCAGAAGGTGGTAACCTAGATCATATGTATATGAAATAAGCAAAAATCACTCCCGTGCTCAGCCACAATAAGCAGTTTGATGACATTCCCACAATCAACATCATCCACAAACATCGATAATTGGCCTTTCATGGCCTGCTTTGAACATGTTGAATAGTACCATCTCCACCAATAGTTGGATCTAAATATGTCACGGCGTAGAGGCCACATAGTCATGATTCTTCCTGGGACTGCACGCAATCAATCAGTTATAATGCGAGATTTACTTGGTCACAATGTATAATAGAAGTCGCAGTATATCAATCTTGGTAGTATCACCACCTTCTGGTAATAGACTACGAAGCCGAACAGGATATAAACGCAAATCACTCGACTCATTCATTCATTCATCGTCCCCAACACATCAGACGTCACCATGGCTACACTAACCCAGACCTTCCCATTTACCGACCCAGCGGGTCTCAAAAACATTAGTCCTGCTTCCAAGGATATTGGGTATGCCAAATCTCTTTTGCATCTTTATTGAAGTCTTTGGGCTGACTCAAAGCTCAGCATTGGTGGTAGAAACACGGCGGTGCAGTTCGCCAATCCATTGACCCAGGGCATCCTATACCTACACCCGCATTTGAGTCAGGCCCGAGACCCAGTCAAAGGCAGGATTCTCAGTACCAATGGGCCCATCCGTGCTGGAGAGCTTCTTATGGCGGATCTTCCCTATGCCGTGGTGCCTGTCACAGATGGCGGTTCTAGTGATGGAGTTGTCTGTAGCAATCTAGGCTGCAGCCGACAAATTCCCCGTCAAGCGTCAAAGAGTGCTCATTGTCACCATGGCTGTTCCTCTGACATCCGCTGGTGCAATCAGCGATGCAAGGATGAGGACCAGAACCGCCACGCCTTTGAGTGCTTCTGGCTGAAAAAGTGCGGAGCTAGAGCTCGGCAGGAGCTTGGCGACCATGATTATCATATGCTCTGGATTATCGTGCGTATGCTCGCGGCCAGATACCTCGAGAGACACGGAGCCACGCCGACAAACGTGCGACAGCAGTTTTCTCGTCAGGACCAGTTCGTGAGCGGCTGGAAAGGTGTCGAGATGTTACGTACCAATCGGCAGGCGTGGCCGCCGTCTCAGATCGCACACTGGTCCACTTTGGTTAAGGTCTACTTACAGAACGAGTCTTTACTGCCCGAGACGCTTCCCGTCGATGATCTTGTCAATATCATCTGTGCCGAAGAGACTAATGTCTTCGAACTCTGCCCTGGGCCGACCGAAATATTTCCTGGCCAGGAGCTGGATATCTGCCGTGGAAAGCAATACGGGCTTGCACTGTTCCTCCGCATCACTCTGGCCAATCACTCCTGCATTCCCAACGTGAGTGGACTCTTTGATTGCCGTAAATACCTACAACGACGTTGAGACTAACACTGGCCTGCGGTCTAGGTAACGCATCAAGCTGATGATCGTGGCCGCATGATGGTCACTGCGCTCAGGGATATTGCTTCAGGTGAAGAGTGCTGCACCTCGTATTTTGATTTGTCTGAATACGTTGACTTGGACGCGCGTCGCAAAAAAACGGAAGAGCTTTTTACCTTTACGTGTCAATGCCCGCGGTGCTTGGAGGAGGAGCAGCTTATAAAGAATGGAGAATAGAGACGCGGATGTTATGGAGAAGATGTCTCGATGGAATAGGAGACAAATATTCCATAGACTACTGAATGAATATCAATCACTTCCGGCCACTTAGAGGCGCACCGAAGTCTTGACTCTGCTGCTGCACCGTGGCCCGTCTCCTTCGCTCCATCTAGCCCGAGCCCCCGCACCCTATATCGACTAGCCTTCACCCATCTCGAACATGCCCGTCCACTAATTCAAACTCATTGCAGTTCTTCAAATCGAGATATCTTACCCTAGAGTAATGTCAAAGTGTAGAGTCTCCCCGATCTCAAAACAAAAAAAGAGACACTCCGCACAAGCTTCAATGGTCTCGCCAGTTGCTGTATTCCTGATATAAAGGTGGCTGCCAGTAGACGTCTTGTCCCAAAAGGTGTCGAATGCGCTACATTACCAGATGGTGATCCCCTGTTTTATTCGTTGGATTGTTCTCATTCGTTGACCTGGAAGCTTTACGACACTCGTTGCCGACCAGGCAAAAAATATTTGACACAACAGCAAAAACATACAACACCGGGGATTCCCCAGCCGTCACCGATCTGAGTACTAATCCGGCGCTTCTCAGTTTATCTAGGGCAGAGCGGACGGGATGCCGAGTTTTCTAAGAGCTATGGTCGTATGTGAAAAAATTGTCTATCAAAACGAATCATAATGTGTCTAAGTCGAATATTAGATATGTGCTATATTTTACCAGTCAGTGGTCCAAGCTCTGCTCGTTGACATCTCGACTGACGCAGTCTTGGCTAGGCTGAACATTCTGAAAACTACCCCTGATCGCCCGCTGTTTCAAGTAGCCATCAATTATCGCAGAGATGGGGTTTCCTCTGAGTTGCGCTGGTAGTACCAATGATCCGTATCCTGCTACTTGGGTCTGGCGCGGACCTCAACATTCTTGATGTTGCTGGCATCTGATTAAACCGCGATTCCCACACAATAAGCCTCGTCAGCCCAAAAGCCGGAAACACAGTCAGACGACACTGCCGGGTTCCATTCGTGGAACTGTGCATCAGTAATGCCGAACTCTGCTTCGATGGTGGAGCAGTCATCGCCCGCTACAGAGTAAGAAATCGAACAAATCAGCTTGGAATCGGGGCTTAGAGCTCGTATGATTATAACTTACACTGGGCCACATAATATACATTGCAATTGTCCGGTATGCCATCTTGAGTCGGGCCCGGTGGGGGGACAATGGTTGTTGTGGTCCTTGAAAAAGTCGTCGAAGCCGAGGTGGAAGAAACAGTTATTGTAGTGTTGCCACCTTCTGACCCAGCAACTCTAACACAGTACGCTTCGTCGGACCAGAATCCAGAGGTACAATCGGAAGACACAGCTGGGTTCCAAGCGTGAAACTGCTCATTTGTAATGTTGTACAACTCTTCAACGGAGGAGCAGGTATCGCCCGCTGTCATTATGAATCAGTTGCATGAGCAGAAGCTCTCGAAGTGGAACATGCACTTACATTGAGCGACATAGTAATTGTTACAATTACTAGGAATACCGGTTTGTGTAGGACCAGGTGGTGTCACGATACTGTTGCTCGTGCTCGTGGCCGTGGCCGTAGCTGTCCCTAGCTCATCACTGATTGCTGGTGCGGGATTGGAAGTGCTGTTTACGCAGTAGTAGGTAACTACAAGATCGTTCACATTAGTTTCTTAGGTCTCATAGCATAAGCGGGTGACCGCCACCTACGGTTTTGCAGCCCGCTGCAGTCATCGCCAAGTCCCTCGTTGAGACTGACGAAGTAATCTAGTGTGATTTGCCAAACCTGCAGGATGTCCTCACAAGTAGAGTCACCATGGATAAAGGCCCATTGAGTGCAGTCATTGGGTACACCTGTCCATATATGTGCATGCAATTAGTAATTAGCTACTGCACTTTGAATGTTTCGGGTATGACGAATGCTTACGGCGGTAGGTATAGTGGTGATAAGGCTTGCCTCTGTCGTAGTCTCCCCGATGGGAGACCATTCCACACAATATTCGAGATCTTCTCTGAAAGTGCAGTGTTCTATGCTGTCGTATGCAAGAAAGGGATTCCAAAGGTTCAATTCAGCATACGTGATGCTGAATACAGTTATTGCCAAGTCCCAATTACTACTGAATGTGGTGTTGGAAATATCTGACTGATAGTCTGAACCAGAAATGTGAGTAGCGCAGTCCGTGCGAGTTCCATTGGCGTAAGTTTTACTTGGTGCTACATAGAGGTCTGGGATATAGGTAGCAGTCGAAAGTGAGGACGCAGTTATGGTAGACCATGTGGTGGAGCTCAAATAACCAGGGGCACCTGGATAATTGCTTACTGGAAAGGCGTGTCAGTTTCTGCTCGTGGTGTCGAAGGAAACATTCCACGTACTATCGCCCACTGGCTCCACGCAAAATGGCCAGATCTTCGCCTGTACAAGTTACCTAGTTGCGGCGGCTCTCGCCGCGACCTCGCTCAATCTTACCCTTGCGTCTACCAAAAAAAAAACATTATCTATTTGGGTCGAATATCAGATATGTGCAATTTCTTACTAGTTAGTGGTTCAACCTCTTCTGCTCACTTTTGGAATTTCGTCTAAATGATCGTTATGCTGAAGGTTTATATATGTAGAGCCTTGTTTTAGCCACCTCTTGGATGCTTGTGTTCCCTCTTGAAGCGAAGAAAACTGGATAACCAAGCAAATACCCGTAGAGTTTGCTAACAGCCCCGGCAGGATACCTAGTGAGATTCAGGTTGGTCGCGTTTCTATGAACTTGATACTCCTCTGGATGGTTTGACTATCCAAATACCGAATCGCCGTTTTGTAGAATTCTCGTTATCGCCCAAAGGACCCCACCCCAAGTAAAACCTGCAGTCCTCTCCTAACCGAGTTTCAACATCTTCCCAAGAGCGCGGCTCCGGGCCCTCGTCATATATATGCTCCAACACATTACCTCCAGCAAGGAGAGCGAGTACGCTCGCGACACTAGTAGGGCTTCGCGGCAGTGCTGCTTCGCGCGGACCAAACCACCAACTCAGCGCTGAAAGTATCAGAATAGTTAGCAGCAGAACCTCCAGGATGGTAGTAGCCGTATGATCCTGAACGATGCGCTGCCTCCCGAACGGATATGTCACTGTTGCGGGATAATTTGTCGAGTTTCCGGTTGTGGACCCATTCAAAAGAGTCGGTATCAGTACATTTGTAGCATTCTCTGTTGCTTTTGGAGAATTCATGTCCACACGATAGTTTGCGCTAAGGAATTGTGCTTCGATAATGCCATGTTGAAGCCGTATGGCATCTATGACAACTTTGCTTTGTGTAGGGTTGCTAATTATAGAAATCGGTATGGCGTATCGTGAAGTGACAAGTGCCGCGAAGAAATTGTCGAAGAGTGTATCATTAGGTGCGGCCAATGGAGCAATACGGTCGTATAGGGTCTTCCTGTCGAACGATGCAAGAGTCCCGTGCCTGAATATCTCTGGCGGTTGATTCAATGGCTTTGGGAGCAAGAGAAGGATCAAGACGTAGATCCGCCCCAAGGAGAGATACGGTGACATCCACGAGCTCCACACTACTGTTACAAGCAGCCGCAGATATTATCCAACAGGACCGGGCGAGGAGTCATGGTAGCCCCAAATATAGAGAAAGCTACGGCAGCCACTCATCAGTATAGTTGAAGCCGTGTTTGAAGCTGTAGCTGCAAAAAACAGCTCTGAAAGATTTCCAGTCTCAAAGAGCGCTGTACTTTTAATCAAAGGATGATGCTGCCAGCAGGAGTACTCCGACGTGATGTTGACGGAAATGCTATTCAGTAGGTCGTCACTCCACACCTTTGGCTGATCACGCTTATAGACTGCCTCTATATCAGCCTCGTTGTACAGACGACAAGACAATCGTGGCCGCAATGCTGGTGTTATAGCTTTTATGGTAGCCGATGAGACATTGTTTGTTTGAGAGGCATTTGCGGTGTCGAGAGTTATTATCGAGTACGTGGGGAACACGAGGTCCTGATAAACCTCTTGTGAGTAAGACAAATTAGTCTCGAGGATCAACGATGAAGGACGAGTCGTGTCAACGTATGAAGGATTCCTGAGCGCAAGGCTCCAGGAATCGGTAACCGCGACTGGCTTTGGGGTTGGCGCCGTCAAAATCGTTTGAAGCGTGAGTTCGACTGGCTCCGAAACAGGATGTATAATGACATGGAACAGGGCAGCTGAGGCAGTAGTCAGAGTTGCTCCAAGCAGAGCAGAAATTGTAGTTAAAACAGCAGCGAAATTGGAGGTTTTTAGCTCCTGGTAGAGAATTGTGGGAATCAGCCCTCGCATTAGATCCATATGAAGAATTGAGCTGCGGCAATTGTCGTGCTTAAGACAGTTGTAAGGTGCGAAAAGCCGAACTTGGGTGTCAATAGATGACATCCACCATGACAAGGTAGTCAGAATCGCGGCTGGAACTGCGGTCCAGAGATAAAGGAGGTATTTTGAACCTTCAGCATCTCCTAAGCCTTCCTCGTTAGCAGACTTTCGAAGCAAGCCCATTAATGTGATTGCACATCCTGTTGTGGCTACAGTGAAAGCCAATCGATTGAGTGGCCGCAGTGGACCCGGATGCTTGAACTTGTCGTTATCAGATGATGTTGGCCGTTCATTTTCCGCTGTCCTCTTGAGATTGCTGAGGTGGGTATTCATTTTTGTCCAGGCAGGGACGACCAATTGGTATGGAAAGAAATTTTCACAGAGAGATGTACTCAACCATGCAAGTAATTGCGTTGTCCTTACCGACCCGAGATCAGTGGAGAAGCCGGAGGATGCAGTTCGGCCGGCGAGGATCGCCATGGCCGCGATCGATCCAGGGCTTATCATGCATGGCATGATTCTTTCGTGCTTGAATTGAGTCACCAAAATTGTCAAGATAACCACAGTCAGCAGTGCAACCATGGCTTCGCATACCATCGGTTGCACCCGTAGGCTCGTCATATTGACTGAAGAGATTCCAGTTGATGTGATTTGAGCCCTTTCCCGAAGCAATGCGTGCGCAGTGGCGGCCGCAAAATATGAGAAGAACGAAGCCAGAATTTCCTCGAGAAATGTCCCATTCAGGAGTCTCGGTGTTTGATTGCAAGACCGGCCACAAAAAGCCAAAACAATCTGGGACCACCCATTAGCCCCTATAGTCATATTGACTTCTGAAACATCATATGCTGACGTTGAAATGGCATATTTGTCGAAGAAAAAGTCGATGAAATCCCAAGGGTGTACGAATCTCAAGGAATCAACAGGTTCCCCGTTGATAGGAGCAACGCTCTGTACTCCTTCACTGTTCCGAGAAACGTTGAGCGAGATCTGTTCCAAAGATGGCTTACACGCCAATGCTACTGCTTGTGAAACAGTTGCATCAACGGTGATATTATATCCCTCCTTCCCAGCACCCATGTCACTGTCATTTTTAATAACGATATTTTGTTTAGTTGAGTGCAATTCTACCTCGAAAGACAGCAAAACTAGTCGGTGATCATGCTTATTCGTTGAATTGCACTGCATGCCACCGAAGCCACGAATACCATTCAACATCATTCCATTTTCACGGAAAGTTGTGTTGGCCTTTCGTTCTGGATCAAAGTTGTCCCAGCTAATGTTTGTTTGACAGCCTTGGTAAGTGACTGGGAAATATGGACCTTCACCCGTGATATATATAGTATTATCTTCTTGGAACGTAAGAAAATACTCCGGCATTATCACCACCTTTTCTACACTTGCTGGTTCACATGCAAGATCCAGACTCAGCCCTTCAACAGTCGCTTTGACCTCTATCAGGTTTGAGGACACCGGATCAAATGTCTGGTAAGCGAATTGATCCGTGCAACCTTCGGGGTAAGTCAAGCGAGCATTCCTTAGAGCGCCATTATCAGATAATCGGCCGTCTGGAGCTTCTGATCCCATGACAATGTAGTAGGGAAGCAGTGACTCGCTGTTCTTCAGGCGCGTTGGATCATCGACAAATCGACTCGTTAAGAAGATAGGTTCGGCGTCGTTGGTCAAGTTTGTTGGCATCAAGGAAAATAATGCCGTGGACAGCACAATCACCACTTGAAGTAGCAGGGATATACTGGAGCTGCTGGTTACATCCCAATCCCTATTCCTAAAAGCTTTGAATGGGACCAATAAGGACCAAGTATCAATGTAGTCGACTTCCAAGGCCGCTTTGCTGGTAATAATCGGATTTGCTTTAAACCACGGGACTGCCACTTTTGTTTCGTAGTCCAAGCGGTGCCAAAATGCTGCAGTCAAGGTAAGAATGCCAGTAGTTCCGTAGCTCCACATGTATCGCATAAATGGCATCCCTCCTGGTAGACCAGACTGCTGGGTCGAGATTGTGGACAGCGTTTCAAGCCCAACAATCATGAGCACAAAAACTCCCATAAATAAGAGAGAGGTTGTTCTTCGTAGATAGAAAGGCTGCCAGGGTGTTTTCGGATGATGGTGACCATTATGTCCCCCACCAGGGAGCAGCGACAGTTGATCAGCATGTCTCGTTTCCAACAGCCTATGACAAGCCTGTTGGTGCTCTCTAAGGCTTTGTGATTCTGAGGAGATGTGATTCAATAAGTCGGGCGCCACCACATCTGTACGGACGGCTTGCTGATTAGCAATCCGACATTCTCTTCGACATCGCGAATTGGAAATATCGCCATCATCGGGTTCATTTGACTCGATAGCAGAATAGTCGCCATTCACATTTATTGTGTGATCTCGTAGCCTGTGGCTTGGGGTTAGGTTTCTTCCAGATGTTGTCTCCATCTTGGAGATCGAGTGCAGCCAATTATAGGCGATATTTGGATTCTGATCCAAAGCGAGCGTTAATTCGGAGGTTCCGGTTTATGCAATCGTCAACGTGTAGAGCTTGCAAGCAGATAGAACCTTCCGCACATCAATGCTGGCAAATACTGTATCGTAGGAGATTGTCAGAAAAGGATAAGGAGAGCAAGAATACATACCCGCTCTGCTAAAGAAGAACCAAAGCTAGTAATAACGCAAACTCGGCCGGAGGAGAACCCCCGAAACGCCTTGCAGCCCGGTCTAATATGCATGTTGATATGTCATCGTCTCACACATTAAGAATACGAGGCGGTCTTGCCTCTCAATTCATCGCAAGGCTGTGCCAATACTGTATATTTGGATGTCAATGGGGGCTAAATGCAACGCAATAAAGAGTACGGACGGTCCAATTTGGACTTCTTAAGCATGTGACTGCTGATCTCCTGAAGCAGCCAATGTTGCACCGCGCACTGCAGGAGTCCATTGGCGCGGGGTCCAATGTACTGCCGCTGCGCTTGAAATTACAAGAGATGCTGGGAATATCTGCACCATTACAGACTGTCCGCGGACTAGATCGATGCTTCGGGGCTTCCACTATTCGCGTCGAATCTTACACTTCCATCCTAATTCCACCACAATTGATCCATGGAGAGAATGACGAGCGCCCAAGGCTGGAGCTTCGTCAGAATGTACGCCTTGGTGGCAATGCTGCAGTTGCATACTGAGACATGCATAAGTCTCGAGGACTGAAAAAGGCTTGCAGGGGGCGAAGATACGCCAAGCCAAATTATTAGCGAAATAGATCCGGTTCCAACCCACCAACTCTTCGAAGCCTTATTATAGATTCTAGTAAACAAGTCATTTTTTAAATTTGCGTAATTGATTTCTGGGGAGTCACAAGGGATTGACGACTTCTTAGTTGTTATATTATGATGTAAATATGTTTTTTCTATGACTCTTTCTCTTTACAACGTTGTGGCAATGAATTGCGATTCTGGATGTTTTGGTTATTAATCGCAATGGCTGTGCTATGGCGGAAAGCGGGAGGAACTCGATTCGTCTCCTTGCTGCCAAACCTCGACTTTAATGCAGTAATTTAAATTAACGTTTTAAATATGCTTAAAATGGAATTTAAAATAACCGGTTATTAATCCTTAAGCTAAATGAAAGTGATATTATACAGGTCCCTTGCTTGGTAAGAGATCGGATCTCTACCGAGACTTGCGAGTAACCTTACACAAATGTATCGATAATAGTATTCATAAGAGGTTTGGGTGTGGATTTGTCCGGCATCAAAGGCTACAAGCCAGATGCAAGATGTACTGCACCGGTATCTGTCCCTCAGAGCTGACGGCACATTCATCTGGCTGGTTTGCCAAGAACTTGAGATACTAGATTAATAGAGTGCCGAAGTCGACACTAGCGTACTTGCATAGTCGAAATCACCCGCACGTCCGCCAGAAAGTCGTGACTCTGTGCAAATCTTCCCATCCAACAATGGATGCCGCGTGGAAATTGCTATGCTATATTCTACTTTGACGAGGTAATGGACTTGACGGAATGCCGAACTTGGAGAGATCTTCTGTCGTCTTTCCATCTATAGCCAGCTCTGCCATCACACGTCCAATAACTGGTGCGAATTTGAAACCGTGACCAGCTCCCAAGGCAACAAAAATTTCTGGATGATTCTCCAATGCACCGAGCACGAATTGCCGGTTCGGAGTGATTGCATACTGACAGGTTACCGTCCGAAGGACTTCGAGCTTCTGGTCCTCCGAGATGAATCCATTCATGAAAGTGGTTAACTCATGGAGAAGTTCCGGGGAATGCACATAGGTACGCTCGTCCGGGGTCATGTGATTGTCTGAGACGTCACGAGCAGCCTTGATTGTAGGTTCGCCAAAGGTGGGAAAACCGTAAAATGTCGTGCCACCAACAATCCAGATCCAGACTGGAAAGCGGCCAGGCTCGAAAGATGTCGGGTTCTTTGGCTTGAAGTATGTTACTTGTTCTTGCATGATCGTGAGCGGAATGTGGACCCCGAGGGGGCGAGCAATTTGTTGATCCAGGCGTCCGCGGCGAGGATGACCTTGTTTGCCAGGAAATCACCCTTTGTCGTTTTGACGAGTACTCCTTTGCCGTTGGAGACTTCTTTAAAAGGAATCACCTCGGTGACGGTTGTGTTCTCCTTGAGTATAGCCCCATGAGCCCGCGCCGTGAATTGCATCGCCGCCACTGACTTTGCCGCATGTGCCATTCCGGTGTCGGCGGTATACACCGCATTCACATCTTCTCCAACGTTGATTTGAGGCCAACGCTTCTTGACCTCTTTGGCACTGAGGAGCTCGTACGGCACGTTATTGGCGTCCAAACTTGCCGTGTAATCAGTGGTCTTTGCACCAGCAGACCAATGACGGTCGCTTGCAAGGACAACGATGCCACCAGTCATGGTCAAGAGCTTGACTCCTGTGGATTTCTCCAGCTCGGTCCATTCTTCGTACGCGGACTTGGCGAGTGCGACGTATTCCGGAGCATCATACGACGTACGGACAATTCGAGAAGTATCATGGGATGCACCATGCACATGTCCAAACTCGAATTGTTCAAATCCTACCACCTTGGCCCCTTTTCGGGCCGCTTGCCACACTGCTGCACTTCCAAATGCACCAAGCCCAACTACAGCCACATCAAACTTTTCCATTGCTCTGCTCTATCGTTGTTGTAAACTATCTGATCTGATGACTGTCATCAAGAAATGATGACGAGACCAAGCGAAGTGTGGTTTTAAGAGCGTGTTCACATATTAGGTATCCCATTAAGATACTAGATTCCAGCCGGCCACGTCAGCGATGTAGTACTCTGTACATGGAGTCGTACACGCCGGCTTAGAGCACGGGAGGGGCCGCTCAGGTGACCGTCACTCGGGGAGTAGCTCGGGGAGCGCACTCCTATTCCGAGGGTCGTGCCGAGTTAATTGATCATCTTCCTAAACCAACAGTTTACAGTGCGACTGTCACTAGTCTGCGATTTTCAAGTTACAATTCAAGTGAACATGTGCTGGATCACCACTCTCTGGGGTTTCTTGTGCATGTTTTCGGCTTACTAAGCTGCATGTAACGTTTCGCTGAAGCTTGAGCTTCTTATCCCTCCGTAATTTCCCTTGAAATTTAAGATGTTGGAAAACACAACTTGGCGAGGAAGGGATGAGTGGTCAACTGCTGTAGCACTTGTCAACGAGAATCCCAGAGACAGGCGCTATTTCAGCCCATTTGCACTCTGTTGACAGATAAATTCATTGTAGAACTATTCATAAGCATTGCTCCTACCATTGAGCTGAAATCACCATCGGCTCAAGTCAATTAATAATCCATGTTTGCCAAGAAAAACAAAAGGCCTTGTTTTAGAGGCTTCATAGCTCTACTATTGTTTACCATTCCCAATTGAACTTGTCATAGCAGAAATACGCGCGCCATTCCGAGTCCATTCTTCTACATAGCTCGCTTGCCGTAAGGCTCAAAAGGAAATAGGATAGCCACAATAGCCTAGAAAGCTTTTGGTCAACATCTATTTCCGATGGCATTGCAAAGAGTGCGTCTCACCATAACGATGTAGAGTGCGGCGCACACAAAGATTGGCACTGATGTCGCAGTGTCACCGTACGCAGCTACGAATGAGGACACCAACCCCATGACTCGATTGCACGCTACGGCGATTCCATTGCCTGTCGCACGATGTGCTGAGGGTAGAGACTATTGCCTTGTCAGTCACTACGTCTCAACCCTGATTATATCCCTCACGAACCTCTGGAGTATAGGCGTATACTGATAGGATCTGCTGTCAGTAGGAGCAACACCTCGGTAATGCCGGCAAAGTTCAAATGCAGAGCGACTTACGGGTGCCGTAATAGATATTCAAGGAAAAAGAAATCGCACAGCTCAGACCAACATTTTGGGCTGGAGTCTGTACGCTAGTATAGGCGAAGAATAAGGCCATGGTGATGAGAGCGCCAATTGCCATTGTGTATTTGCGACCAAGTAGCTTGAAATTGCACATGAACGCAGCAGCTATAGGACCAAAAATACCAGCGACGCTGCTGAGCATGTAGTTTCGCCACTGGTAATACACACCTGTCTCTCCGGTTTGAGCGCCGCGCGTGGCGAGATAATCGGGAAGGAAGACATAGAAGAGTGGATATGCCAATCCTAGAGACGTCAGTATAGATATTCTCAAAAACAAATAAGTTATGGCAATCGTACCAACTAGAAGCCACGATAACCAAATCATGAGTGTCGAGACTGCCAACTTCTTAGTCACAAACAATCCACGGATGTGCGCCCAGAACTCGCCGACACTGTATCTAGATGCGCCATAGGTGGAGTCGATAGTACCAAGAGACCTCAATGAGTCTAGACTCAGGCGGCATGGCCGGTGATACTTATGAGCGATTTCCTGGAAAATCTCGACAACTGCAGCATCGTCACCTTTGATAAGCAGATACTTGGGAGTCTCTCTGAGCCGAATCACCGTGACTCGTAAAACACTGCAGACGAACACCAGAGCTCCATTGCCGTACCAGATATACCGCCACCCCTAACTTTCAGTTTAGTTTCGATATTACATTTAGGGAGTATCCATATAAACTTACCATATTGTTGTCTTTGGTGCAAGCAGCGACACTCTCGCAAGTATATTTCGGATTCGAGAAAATGGGCCAGCAGAATGCTGCAACAATCACATACGCGAGGCCCCACCAACATGCCATCATCGTAATCAGCCATTGCTTATTGCTAGGAAGGAACTCGAGGAATACTGTAGTGTCAAGTACAAGATTTCCGCCGGCACCGAATCTGAAATCCCATGCTGAGTATCAGTCATAATAGCAAGATCATCACATCAAGGGGATGCCTGAGGAGAGTAGATGACTTACGCAGCTAGACCAACAAAAGTTGCAAGCACGATCCAATTAGGTGACGCACCAGCAACGATGGCAAAAATAGACGAGGAGAAAAGGGAGACGTTGAATGCAAACCGGCGACCGATTACATCCGCACCTAGCGAGAAATTACAATTCAGTAAAAGGCTTGCTACGGCACCGACGGGGAGGATTTCTGCTACCTAGTCCCCAGAACAATACTCCGAGTAGCATGCCTGTATACACAGCAACATTAAGGCCATATGCAAATGACGGCTGGAACTCAAGAGCAGCTTGACTGGCAGTCACAGCCTGGAGCGCGAGAATGAGAGAGTCAGCGGCGTATCCGAAGCCGTTTAGAAAGAATAGCTTTAGGTGCAAGTTGGTCCATCCGATTTAATCCATTGTCTACACAGAATGCCATCAGTCTATAAGCTGTTATATGCCAGATTCGGAAGTCGTCAGACCTTGTTCACGAGGCGCATCTTTGCGTCAAGCACTGGATCGATCTCACTCATGGAGAACACTTGATCTTCCACTGCTCCAATATCGATACTCAAAGCATCAATGGGACCAGTTCCATCATCACCTAGTCCGGCATATCGCTCTCTATCTGCATACTTTTCCAGTGGCTGATCATTCTTGCCAGAACTCTCTGAGGTGTTTTCGTCTGCCATACCAACAGAGAGGTTAGATGAGATGAAGAAAAATATTTTGCTCAGACACCATGAACATGTGAGATTCCGGACGGCCTTGGGGGTCTGGGCTCCTTTTTCAAGTTCACAGCTCGGACAAACTCTTGTATAGGCCTGAGCTGTTTTGTCTTTTGACCAAACCAAGACAACGATAAACAATTCCATATTCACCCTAGTGAGCGGAGGCAGGCCCATATTACCCCGTGGAAGTGGGACCCTAGCCCACAGCCAAGAAGGTACTTATCAGATTTAGCTTTTGATTGGATTCTCGCCGGGGTACCTAGCAATCAGAGAGGCTCCTCAAGCCCTTTATGGTCCAAACCCGCGAATCAGAAAGATTTTGATTATCAAGATACGACCTCATTGAGTAGTGCATCAAGCCGCTTCGCGAAAAAGGGCCCCTGCCCCGCGATACGACGCGGCACACGTGACCGGTGGCCTTCGGGGAGGCTCCGGCCTCGCCTGACTGTATCAATGCTAGGCGGGATCGGCCGGGGAACGAGGGGAATGCTTGGAGAACGATGCCGTTCACGTGAGACTCAAATGTCCAACCATACGGTGTCTGTTGGAAACTTTCACTGTCCGCGACCAATCGACTCCGGGGCGACTGTCGACGCAACGTAGGATTTCGAGGAAAGAAGATAGAGATGGTTTCATGGGAGCAGTGCAAGAGCTTACGGGGAGGCAGGACCGTGTAGAACCCCGAGTGGGATATGTCAGCGCTGCCTCGTGAGTAGCTTGATGGATATTTGAATGATTCAAAGGAAGACTAAAGCTCGATTTCCGTTTCACGCCTGCAATTAGCTGTTTTGTTCAGTTGTAATGCAGCGACTTGTAATCTTGAAACCAATACTTCGCCTACTCCCTCCTCTTCTCGCACTTGAATTTTCGCTAAATCTATAGCCACCCAAGCCCATCATGCTTTCAACACTTGGCTCGTTCCTCACAATGCCGAAGGCGAATCAAGACGAATATCTGCCGGCCAACTCTGACCATGAAGAAGCTCGAGCACTCCCGGCATCTTGGTACCGGAGGGACGAGATGTATCAGTTGGAGCGACGAGCCATCTTCTCCAAGCGATGGCTGCTCGTGACGCATAGACTGCGCTTCACCAAGCCAGGAGACTTTCTACGCTTCGAACAGGCCGGATACGCGTTTGTACTGTGCATGGACAAAGATGGTGATACCTTGAATGGTTTCCACAATATCTGCCGGCACAGAGCTTTCCCTGTGGTTACTGCAGATGAAGGAAACGCAAAGATGTTCTCGTGCAAGTACCACGGTTGGTCTTACGGTTTGAATGGCCAGCTTGCCAAAGCGCCTCGCTTCGACGCCGTACCAACTTTTGGCAAAGCAAACCACAGCCTTCTTCCAATCCATGTACACGTGGATGCGTTAGGCTTCGTATGGGTCAATCTAGACGCGTCCCCAGAACCTGAAGTAAAGTGGAACGACGACTTGAACGGGGCCGACACACAGGAACGATTTCAAGCTTTCGACTTCTCACAATACCGCTTCGATCACGTCTGGGCCATGCAAGGCAACTACAACTGGAAAACACTTGCCGACAATTATAATGAATGCTACCATTGCCAAGTTGCACACCCAGATGTCAGAAAGTTGGCCGACTTGTCCTTTTACTATACAGTATCGAAACCGGGCTACATCCAACACTTTTCGCGGCCGAAGAAGGGAAAAGAGGAAGATGACATCAAAAATGTCAGCACCTATTATTTCCCGAATGCCTGCATGACTGTCTCGTACGTGTGGTAATTCTCCTCTGGACACACCCTCTCTCTAACATCTTTTTTTTCTCATTCTAGACCTCACTTCTTTTATATGATGCGATGCGTCCCCACATCAGTCAGTACATGTTCTATGGAATATGAGGTATATCGGCATAAAGATGCCACAGATGACGAGTTTGAGCATATTGACTCTTTTTTCAAACGAGTCCTCGCAGAAGACAAGTACCTGTGCGATGCGGTCCAGAAAAACCTGGGAGCGGGGGTCTTTGTCAATGGAGAGTTACACCCAGATTTGGAGAGCGCACCAATCTTCTTCCAAAATACGGTGAGACAGCTTGTGACGGAGCATCGCAGGAAAGAGGAGGAGAACGGAGAAGAGTTGTGGCCGGCTCGTCGTGCCATATCCCATTCGGGGGTCACCAAGGGCGACGATGCTTTCTGTGATGGACTGGTGTGCAAGACTTCACAAGGGGCTAACATAGAGTGGTGATATGGAGTGGTGATTTTTCCGAGAATAGTCCACTTGTTGATTGGGATCGGAGTACTCTAGATTTTAATGAATCCTTCAAACCACAACTTGTGAAAGCGGTCGTGTCTAGGTAGGTACACAGTGCCCCTCAAGGCAGAGACCAACGGGAGAAGAGCGCATTCGGAGTGTGACCTTTCCACCCCACCATTGATAGTACGTACATACGGTATCTTGGGTATCCCTCCCGCTCTATCGCGTACCTAGTAGGTATATACCCGCTAAGCCATGTCGCAAAAGTGGGAGCTCCACGCCAAGCTTAGGCGGCTAGTGTGGGAGTAGATATATGTCGCGTGCTACAACTCTCGAATAACAAGGCCTTTGATAACGGTCTTCTCATTCGACCAACATTGATGAGATGCCGCTCGCAGAGACACAGAGTCGCCCGCACAAACGGCTGCATCAAGCATGCGAGAATTGCCGGTAGGTTTCAACATCATCGAGAGTAGATTTTGCTGCGTTTGCTCGCGACTTTGGCGACACACTGTTGGACGCCGATGGTTCTCTCGCTGACCGGATGCACTGCACATAGGAGGAAAAAAACTCGATGTCCCGGCGAAAGACCGGCATGTTCAAGCTGCAATCGCCTATTCAAAACGTGCAAATACCCAGAGCTTCACAGAGATGTCTTGACTCCGGTTCCTCTGCATGGTGGGAATTCAATAGATACAGTATGCTTGAATTCATCCACGGCCACACAAACGTGGGGAACTCAGGATATGGTGGTATTTAGGAAAGACGACTGGCCCAGCTTGAAGCTAGAATGAGGATGATGGAAAGACAAAAGTATGAATTGAAGCGTCTCAATGGCTCTAGACTTGTCTCATACTCCCAGTCGCTAACGATGCCGGTATTGTTGTTTGGTAGCTCGGGCAGGGATACCGAATCTCCCACGAGGAGTACAGCAGACTCACGCGAATCTCAGGATCGTCAACTTCAGCAATCACTCTGCGCCGAAATCGGTGATGCAACAGCGGTTAGGAATGTCCTAAGAATTTTTTGCTATTGCATGATATCTCCAGCTAACTGTCTACAGCCTTATGCCCGCGGGAGATGTTCTTGCAGACGCCGTTGATTCTTATTTCCATTATTGTCACATGCAACCTCTATGGCTGTTCGACCGAGAAGAATTCTCGTCGATCCAAGATTGCCGCGAGGAGACACTATTCTCTCTGCTGGCGCTCTCCTCGTGTCATTCAAGGCATCCTTTCTTCCACGGCCGATCTGATGAATTGAGCCAAACATATGCCCAGGCTGCAAGAGAGCGCATTATGCGGCAGATCGGAATTGGCAACGTCTCACTCTCAACCATCCAGAGTCTCTGCCTACTTGCACTTGCGAATCTGCAAGGTTAGTATCGGTCCTGTACGCATGGCTGAAATGCGTGTGCTGAACGAGCGATACAGCCAACAACCAAGTCCTCTTGAGGTTGCACGTGGGCATCGCAACGACGCTTGCAAAATGTGCCAACCTCGATTTTGAGACTAATCATCTTACAGAAGTTGAGTCGCGTACAGAGTCACACAGAAGATTGTTCTGGAGCTTACACTTGCTACAACAAAAGTATGGGCAGCAAAGCTCCGCAACTAATATCTTGGAAGATGTTACCAGACCGCAATTTGTTGCGACTCATTCAAACCTGGGGGAGAAGCTAAATGAGCTATGCCCACATATGCCGCAAGAAGAGATGATGCCTCAACACATCAGACTGAACAGTATTACAAAGAGCAGTGGAATCTGGGCTTATATGATTCAGCTGTCCACTCTATGGGGAGAAGTTCGGACGTATGTGAATCAATGGGCTCAGCAGAACAATTGTGCGCCGGCCCCGTGGTCCATCGAATCTGGGTACGCTATCATCAGTGCCCATCTCATGGACCTGGAGACGAAACTACCCGCGCATCATCGCTTCGACTCGGCACGCTTTCCTGACCAGGAGAACCGCCAACTCCAAAACGATCGGGAATACTGGAGTCCCTGGTTATATCTGCAGTTCACGTACCATACCATCCACGGCATGTTGAACCACCCCTTTTTGTATTCGTCGTGGTCACGGCATTCGGCCCGGCTGGCCGTTCCCAATACCTTCTGGAAAACATCATCGGAGCATGCATTTGTCCATAGCACGTGGGTCGCGCGTCTCATCGACATGGTCACAAACAAGGAGTACCGCGTCTCGGATCCGTTCATCGGTCATTGCACGGCGATTGCAGCAACCATTCATATTTACTTTTGCCGAGCAGCCGACAGAACCACCAGAGAGGCGGCGCTGGGCAGACTCACAAGGTGCATTGCATTTTTGGCAGAGTTGGCATTGCGTTGGCCCTCGTGTCGATGGATGGTGGGTTGCACAACATCTCTGACATGTCTTTCAATTCGTACCGCTAATTCTTGAGCAGCATGAAAAGCTGCAAGCTCTGGTCGGCTCGGCATTTGCGTTGGATTCTCAGCGAGCAAAGGAACAAGAAGATCCAACACCCAGGACTCTCTCAATCAATACGCGTTCAATGTGGGACATCCTCCTCTACAACTTGGCCGCCAATAGGAGCTCGACGACTTTGCCTCAACCTGGGGGGCTTTTCGACGCATCTTATTCCGTTTCAGAAAATAACATCGACGAAGGAGAAGACATTGTCGAAATGGAGATTTCTCATAGTCCCACTGTCGAAGTGGTTCTCTCCAACGGTCAGGCGTTGCCACCACAGTCGGGCAAGAGAAGAAACCCGGTAAATTCTGAAGGGATCAGAGTAGAGCATGCTAGTCAAGCCCGACCTGATGTTCACTCACCGTTTCCCGCCGCGCCTGTATCAGATCTTGATGCACATTTCGTACAACCGACACCCCATGCGCCTTGGCCCATGTCAGGCAATAGTTCGAACTTGGATATGACCTACGATTCTTTCTTCCAATCCCAAGTCCCTGGTAGCCCGTTTTTTGGAACATGGGAAGTCGGTAATTTGTAGGCCCTCTGCGTTTGTATTGAGTAGAGGAACTCGGGTGCAATCAAACCTCGTAGGTAGCTGCCAAATGGCTAATTGTGATAGTGATGGCGTTTTGCAAGCAGAAGAAGGCTTTTTTGTTTTGGGCAGACCGTCGTCCATTTTGAATGATGTTTTCACCGAATCCAATTGAGAAATTTCTGATAGTGGCTAGTCTAAAGATATGCGATTCTGTTGGAAAGAGTGCGCAATACACCAGGGAGCAGATGAACACGAGAGTAGATGATTCGTTTCGAAAGACTCTTAGGCCCTACCTCCTAGCGGGAACTTCGGGAACCTCGTGAATATATACAGACATAGCTCGGGGGACGACCGACTGCAAGTATTCTTGTTTGATCGCCCAGTAAGTCAGAATTGCAGAGAAATGGATGTTGATAGTATGATTGAACTTGTGATCAATCCTTGTATTTCTACCGAACGAGATGGAAGCCCCTAATTAGATTTATTTGCAACTGCTCTTAAGCCCTGAATCAAATCTGCCAAGAGGTCTTCAGGGCTTTCCACACCGATACTGACTCGTAAGAGGTCCTTGGCCACGGTCGCGTCAGTCATTGTCCGCCATTCGATCAAACTCTCGACACCGCCAAGACTGGTTGCGTGATGAAAGAGAAGAAGCTTAGACGGCAGATTCCTCGCAAACTCAACCTCCCGGAGAGTGAGGGCAAACACGGGTCCGTAGCCTTGGGGCATCTGCTTTCGTAGCCAGCCTCCTGCCGAATCGGCATCAACCTCCAAGCTTGCATGGTGAATCTCCTTGACCACCTTTTGGATGGTCAGGGCATCTTCGTCACCAAGGATCTTTGATGTCAGTGGTTGAGAACCCACCATCAGTGCAGAATGCAATGCGCCAACAATAAACTCGGCTGACTGACTTTGCCTCAATACTCTCATTTCCATGGTTCGGATACTCCTCGTCGCAAGCCAACTGTCGAAGCCCGCCATGCCCGACCCGAGATACAGCCTGTCTCGGTGGAGCTGCTGAAGCCAGTCGCTACCGCGGCCACCACTGCTGCTCTTGACCGCCAATATCCCGCACAGGAAATCGGAATGCCCGCCAATGTATTTCGTCGCAGAGTGCATCACGACATCCGCGCCGTGGAGAAAGGCGTCCCGAAGCGGAGGGGGCGCAAGCGTCGAGTCCACACTGATGTATGCACCTCGAGAATGGGCTCTGTCTGCATAATACTGGATATTGAAGGCTTTTCCTGTGGGGTTCACGGGTGTCTCGAGATGGACCAGGTCGCCGGGACCGAGTTGGTCCACGGCACAATCGAGCGGGAGCACCTCGGTGCCGGACGCGCGGGCGTAGAGCTCGAGCGTGCCGTGGCATCCATGATAGCCTGCGCCAATAGACACTCTCTTCGGGTTCAGCATATTCAACAGGGCGTGGAACGCGGCCAGGCCGGAAGAGTAGGCAATGCATGGCTGTCCCAGGATCGACGACAATACGGCTTCCAGACGCGACAACCCGGGTGTGGACTGCCTTGAGTAGCAGTGCTCTCCAACATCCAACACGGGATACGTAGGCCTCTCGTGATGTGGTCGTAAGCAGTGCACATCTCGTGGATAACGGAATGTTGTGGTGACATGGATAGGTGGTGCCACGTCGTCGACATTGTTGAGGATGTCATCTGCGTGCACGGCTCGTGTGGAAGTTGAAAGGTCCGGCAAAGCCGCAGCCAGGCTCGCCTGGAAGAGGTGGTTTGAATAGCTGGCCATCGCCTTGCTTTGGCCGCACACTGAGACAATTGAACCAAAATGTAACAGGCAGCTACTCCCAGTGATTAATTTCATATGTTTATATTTATATTCATCTAAGATGTTGTAAGCTACCGGGCAAAGACCTTTAATAGAGGACTTCCGCTCATGGAAATAGTCTATAATATGATCAACACTTCTAGGTTCCATTCTTGTACGCGATAGTCCATGTTCTCCAGTGCTTCCACCTGAACTATAGATCTGTACTGGCCGTCGACATTAGGCACGGTGATTCGTTAGCCTGTTTGCAGTGGAATGATAAGATGACCGGTCATATGACCGGCGCCTCTCCCCACCCCCTGGTCGTCTACTCTGTTTTCTTCCCTACTTGTCTAACCTAGGCCTGAGCTGGTTAAGGTTGTCTTCAACCAAACCAAGACAACGATAAACAATACCCTAGTGAGCGGAGGCAGGCCCATATTACCCCCCCTGCCACCTTGTGCTCCATACCTACATACCGAGCCGTACAGGCATCAGAGCACCCACGTTTGGGGGCCGCCCTAATGCGGCGACTGACTTGCAAATTATCCAGGCGCCTATCCTCAACATCATTGACCATGTTGGTATTACAGATGCAGCACCCCATATCAATCAATTATGGATTTATCTTTCCATATATTCCCCGTAGGGATTGGCCATGGGGACTTTGCTTCTTGTTTTCATAGGAAGATGTGGTTCTTGCAAGCGTGGCCAACAGTGGCTGACATCAAGCTCTATGGCTACGAGCTTAGCGGAGTTTGTGCTGGCCATGCCAATTGACCGCGCTAATGATGTTATTCTTTTTTTTTTTTTTTTTTTTTAATGATGAACCATATTACTCCCTAACTAAGCTTCTTGAGATTCGCGTTGATCGACCTTGAGTAGAGTTATCAGAATAATCTGCAATTGCCAATCTTCGCCCCGTTTCGCAAGATGTTTCGATACGGGACCACTCAACAGTTCTGTCGTCATGTCCAGAACAAGGAGTCTTGCAATTGACCAAAATCCATTCCGGGGTTTGAAGGCCGTGCTCCCTCCCCTCCCCTCCCGTATAAAAAATGACGACATCCGAAAAGAGATTCAACATGCGCTTATTTACCTTTTTCTGTATACTTCTTGTGTTTGAAATGCAGCTCAACCTGGGAGCTCATGCAGCGGCTGTTCAGTCATAGTGTTATTCTTATTCTGTGCCATAGAGTCCTGGCCTGGAAGCTCAGTCACGACGGCATTTGCATCATTTCTGGTGTCGCCGCCCGATAACTCTTGTCTCATATCTGCGACGAGCTCATTGGGCGGCGGCTTTTGTATACAATCCGAGTGTAGCTGTAGTTTATCCACATGATCATTATCCGATGCTGATGACCACAGATGTCGACGCAAGCGCTGGGTGGATTATATATTGGGCGCTGCCTTCGGGCGATCCGCTTTGCAACAAAGTCGAAAAAAGACATCATTTGAAATCATGAGCAGACCACCAGAAAGCGTACAGGTTTGAGAGTAATCATGAGTGAAATTGGAAAAAAGAAAGAGAGCACGAGAGGAAGGGAAAAAACGAACAAACAGAGGACTTATTGGAAGACAGAACTACCTAGTATCCAAGCTGCTTGCTCAAATAGGTAACCAACACAAACCTCTGTTTTTATGCTCCAGCCTTTTCTAGCACGGAAGGCGTTATGTTGGCATGAGGTCCGCTTCCGTATCCACTGGTGTGCTTATTGAGAGGCCTACCAGGTCATCATCATATCATATTCCACGGCGAAGGATTTATATTTAAATACAAATATGCATAATTTATGCAAAGCTGGCACGATAAACACTATTAATTCCCAAACCGAGGACACGGGTTTAGGAGACAGGGTCTCGAACCAACAGGTATTTATTTCTTGACTCAGCTTGCATGCAGTTCGCTGGCAGGTTCCATTCCATCGGAGCCAGGAGAGATCAATTAAGCTTATAACCTGACGGCCGCGGCCAGGGCCAAGTGCTCATACATGGTTGCGTACCTACTTACATTGACATGATTCGTTGCTTGTCCATGAAACCATACTAGAGGGATCGATGAGTACTAGGTAGTGATCTAATGTACCTACATTATGTATGTATCTGTGTAGATATGTAGACTTTTAGGCTGCTGGGGCTTGTGGCGCGCTATGTCCTCACTGTTCTCCAGGGATTTTGACCCCTCTTCTGGGGGCAGAGCTAGGGCGCGTAAAGCTCCATTTGGTGCTAACTTAGTGTCTTTCTTCCTCTACCTCCCCCCCGCATGTGTATATCTAGGTCTTTTCTTTGCATTTTAAATCCCACTAATAACAGTGACTAGCTTTGTCATTATTGCCAGATATAATGAATTAAATCTACATCAGCTTGAGATTTCCAAGATGACCACAATCCTGGAGGCTTTATGGAGATTTCACAAAGGTAAGTGCACTGGTAGAAAGGATTATATTGCTGTCCTTGCAAGTTTGCAATCAGAAAATTATTTCCGTCTGTATCACGCCGTTCCTTGAAATGCAGAGTACAGGCCAGTTGCTTTGCTTGAACTGCGCTCTGAAGATAGCAGCATTAGGCTACAGATACTCCTCTATTTGTTCGAGTTCGGCCATGTCTCTGCGTCGAGAGGCGTTTCATGTCCATGTTGGATCCCAAATTGGTCGCATCGTCGAATACGCAGGTTGCCGCATCATGTCTTATACACCCATCGCTCTCTATATATGTATTTCATAGAATATTTGCTTTGCAACAGAATTGACCCTTCATATCCCCCGGGTACAGTAAATATCAACTGGAACGCCCGAATGATCTCGAAATGATGCAGCTAGTCGCAATGTCTAAGATGTTTCCAAAATGTACCATAATTAGATAGCATATTACTCGACATGCTCTGCTTCCGCCACAGCCGCCGTTCTCCTAAGGCGCCGTGTGCAGTTAGCCGCTTTTGACTTCCTTCTCGCCGAGGACGCTGATGACCTTCTGGACGCTGGCACGGCCCAGACAGGCATTCTGCCACTTGGTGAAGTGCGGGAACTCATCCGGGTTCCATGCCTGTTCGCCTGTCCGGCTGCTCATGAAGTAGCCGACCTGCATGTTCCACATGGTAAAGGCCAGATCAGCATAGGTGCACTTGTCGCCCACGAGCCACTCCGACTTGGCCAGCACGCCGTCGAGCACGCCAGCGACGCGCTTGACCTCGGCGCCGTAGCGGACCTTGGCTGACTCTGGAGACTCGCCATACACATTCTCGTGGAATAGATTGAACCTGCGGCGGGAGACGATTAGTATTTACCATACCAGTAACAAGTGACTATCTATTGCCCACATAGGCGGCAAGAGGAAGAGGTGCGATCATTTGGCATGGCACCGGTTGACTCACCATGCGGCTTGGCCAAAGTAAGGGCCTTGGCCTGAAGCTTGAAAATACGACCACTGCTGAGTCAGGTACTTCTCAGGGAAGCTGCTATACGAGATTTTGTTGTCCTTGTCGTACGTGTCGATCAAATACTAACCAGGAGGAGAAAGAGTAAGCTGAAAACAGGACATGCCAAGGTTTGGATCCGGGATGAACAGCGCGCACCTGGACAATTGCGCCAGACTCCCAAAGCGTGACACCTTGGTTTGGATCCTCGATGGCGGGGACGCGGCCATTTGGGTTCACATCCGTGAACGGCTTCTGCTTGAGGCCTTCAAGCTCGACCCAGGAGGATTCATAGGGGAGGTTCAGCTCTTCGAGTATGATCAAAACCTTGGAGGGGTTGGGAACCTGGTCTGATGCAAGGTACGAGTTAGCAGACAGTCTTTCTCACGTCCTTTCGTGAGAATTAAAGAGTAACTCACTCCTCCAGTACAGCTTGATCGGCTTGAGGCTCATGGCGACAAATGTTTCCAGAATACCCTATTATGAGTATTGAGTATCCTCTGTAGTAATAAAGAAACGATGGATGTGTCGAGTGCAATTTTGAAAACAGAGTACAGAGATTAAATCAGGATCCTGGGGGCATGTTGCCAAGCATATCAGGGAGGCTCATGGCAAGGATGCACGCAAAGCAGCTGTTGGTGCCTTACATAGCACTGGGCAAGGATTGCAGTACGGCACAGCAAAGTTGTGGACAATAAAGAGTCCAAATTGGACAAGGACTAGCCAGATCAAATACCTTGTCCTGATTTCGCCATCCTTAGTTTTGTCTGCCCATCAAATCCTACGGCTCAAACGGATGTTAGTGGGTTGCTTGTCCCAGAACCACCAGATGCCCTGCTCGTCCCACCGTGGCAGATCGGTTCCCGGCGGAACAGTCACATCATAAGTCCACAAGAGTTTCGCCAGGATCAAACGCAGCTCAAGCCAGGCCAAATTCTGCGCAGGGCAATTGTGAGGGCCAAGTGAGAATGGGTTGAAGGCAGCCTTGTTATCTCGCGAGCCGCTCTTTGCATCACTGAGCCAACGCGCAGGCAAGAAGCGCTCCGGCTCGCCAAAGTTTCGCTGGGCTCTGTAGGTAGCCCATGGCGGAATCGAGACCACTGTGCCTGCAGGCAGGGCATGGCCAGCAACAATGCCTCCTCCAGGTGGAACATTGCGACGCATCGCATCGGGGATGGTCGGACAAAGCCTCATGCCCTCGCTGAGTGTAGCGTTGAGAATAGGAAGCTGCTTTAGCTTGGATCCCACGATCATGTCTCCAGAGGTGAAAGTTGTTCGGATCTCATCTACGATTGCGGTCAGGTCGCCAGGGTTACGCAGAAGGTAGTTGAGTAGTCCAGTCAACACAGTAGTAATCGATTCGCTGCCCGCAGCCACCAGCATCATTGCGTTGACTTCCATTTCTTCACGGCTCATCGATTCCGCTGCAGGATCCTTCTCCGACTCCAAAAGATGACCGATAATATCAGGCCGGTTGGAGCCGTTATCAATCCTTTCACGAACCTTCTGTTCAGTGATGCGCCACATCTCCATCACCTCGTTTAATGCAGAAGATGGTGTGATTGCCATGAGAGTTCCATATAGCCCAGGGTAGAACTTCGCAGATACGACTATTGTGGCTGCCTTGAACTGGCTGACGGTCTGGATCCATGGATGGGTCGTCAGACCATTCAGGCAGCCAAACGAAGAGCCCCAGACCAGATCTCCAATAATATCGAATGCCAAATAGTTGATCCACTCCACAGCGTCAATGTCTGTTGATAGGCATTCCGGCGAGTTTGCGATGCGGGTTTCGAGCTTCGAGATCCATTTGTCGATATACGAACGCACTAGAGGTTCCTGGGCTGCTGTGTATCGCTCCGAGAACGCTGGTGCTAGAATTCTCCGGAAACGAGCATGCTCCTCTTCGGTGCATGCAATCAAGTTTGATGCAGTCTTGCCTGGAGGCTGGTCCTTGTACTCGTTTGGACGGACAAAGTTCTTTGGGTAGATATCCCTCCAAGCGGTAGGGTCAACAAACGATAGCTCGTCTGGAGCCAGGCGGACAATATCGCCGTATTGCTCATGGAACTTCTTGATATCGTGCGGTAGTTGGCCTTTCATGAATGACAAAAGAAAAGGGAGCCGAAAGGCACGCCAGAGAAATGGCCCCGGGTACTTTGCTAGCGGATGAAGCCAGATATTGTACACTACTAGGTAACCAATGTACTGCAGTTTCATTAGACCGCATCCAAGAACCAGAAAATGATGTTGAGAGGAAACTCACAGCCGCGACCAAGCTAGTCGCCCAGGCGACGAAATTCAGAAGCCGAGTCATTTCGCAGTGTATAGAGTGATGATTGCTCTTGCGGAAACGAGACTTGGCTGATGCTGTTGTTAAAAGAGCGAGTGTGCTTCGTACAGGGAGGACGCCTAATAAGCAGGCGGGAAACCAAGCTTACATGCCGGGTACCAAACCAAGCAACACGTGACGTGCCCTTGTCCCTTACAGCAGGTTTCTTGCTAGCAGTAAAGTCAGTCTGAATTGTTGCGATCGAGTCATCCAGAGGGATTGATTGTTGCAGTGTAAAGGTGGAGGCGCCTGTAGAGACAAGATGCGCCCTACAGACATAGCTGGCACTCCACAGTTGACCAGGTGCAGCCTGTCTGTCCTGCAACTTGCGAATTGGTATTGCATCTCTGAAGAACAATCATATCGGATCGACCCATGAGAATTCGTGATATGAGAGTAGAAGTGGAAGAATGCGGCGAATTGACAACCATGCAATAAACAAAAACCTTAATTGACCCTTTTACATCAAAGACAGCCACTTTCAGCACGCAATACCGCCGCAAAAAATGATACGCTATAATTTCAGTGGCCGACAGTGGGTGTAAATCTGCATTACAGGGGGGAATCCACTAAGGTTATAGCGGGCTTTCAACTAAATTCCAGAAAGCCCAAAAATGTTTCAAATTTAAACTTACCTAGTTTTTATGAATTTCTGCGGATCGTTTTTAAAACAAAATTATTAAAAGGCAGATTGTTAAGTTAAAGGGTTGAAACAATATAAAGATGAAAATAAGTATTTTTTTATTATAATTTCGTTATAAAACGCGTGGTTGAAAACCATATATTTAATACTTCTTTGTATAGGAAATCACCTAATAAATATTAGCTGGTTTATAAAACCATGCTCGAGCCAAACTTAATTGGTGTTATTCAATACGTAGAGCATTAATCTAAGCGCTCAGTCCTTATCCTTGAGGATCGTTTATCCTGCGGGTCACTCTCACATGTGACATACTTTGGCACCAGGCAGAAGTGCTCATGATGCGTTGACTTGACGACTAGGCTCAGAGCACGAGCCGCTGAGAGGCAGGCCGGAAGCGCATCAAGATTCCAACATCGTGATTCGGCAAGATGATTTCGTGCGCGCACTGATTCGCCGGGCACTTGTTGCCAATTTTTGAGCTGGTATTCATTATGCATTAGCACACGCACGAGGACGATCTTGATTTCGAGGTTGGCAAAGAAGCGGCCCGGGCATGAGTCGGACCGTGCCCAAGATTTAGGATCCGTTCCTGTGTCGTTGAGAACTGATGCCGTTGGCCTTTCGTCCCGCCGTATACCCCGTTCGGATTTCCCTTATAATAACCAAGAAGATCCCCAGCAACATTCACCGAGGAGGATAGCAACATCTTCATAACACTACTTAGTATACCCATAAGCGTCAATGCTTTCTATGAGAAGTAGTGTTCCGACTATTTCGTTGTTACCTAAACAAACATGCAATCTTGCGTGAGCCTCTCAAATATGAGAAGTAATTTGAATTTCGCTGTCTTGGATTTGAATCTCAGATGTTTATTACGGCGAAGACGTCATTCTATGGCTGGGAATTGATATCAGGGGTCACCAATGAATTGAATTGTACACGGAGAGCTCTTTAGCTCTCAAAGACCTGTCCACGGTGGCAAGCCATGGCGTTGTCAGTTTCTAAGACAGACATTGTCCACAATTGAATCCCGCGTTCACGCCGGCGCCTGTCGGCTGATCGGATCATGTATTCATTGAGGCCCAGTAGTACGGATACGACGTTGGCCAATTGATTTGACGGGACTTGACAGAGGAAGTACCCACGATGTGAGAGGTTCAATATGGCCGCTTCCATGCGGCCAAGCTGTTGGTGTGGAATTTTTGCACCCTCCACTCATTCCACAGTCATCGATTCATGATGAAACGCAAAACACCAATTACAGACAAATTTCGGAATCCCCCCGCTGTCACCATATGAGTGCTAACATAGCGGTCAAAGGATACACGTCCCTTGGCGAGAAGAGTTCTCCATTTTGTGTAACACAGCAACGCATCGCATGCTTATCATGCCAGGGTACAGATCTTCGGTGTCCTGCACAAACTTGGGAAAAGACGCTTGGGGTACGTAGATAGTGATATGGGTACAATGAGTCTCCGTGAACATTGAAGGCGTAGATGAGTACTGATGTTCACGCCCCCCAAAACAGCTTTTCACTTTCAAGGGTACCTAGAAATCTATAAAGTTTTCACACCGTAAAAGCCCCTGATTTCTTGCATCAAATGTATTTGTTGGTTCACTCGGATTGGATCATGCATCTCCCCCAGTAGACGCAGCCTGAGGCAATGACATGGGTTCCAACCAGCACGACTGGGCGTATTTAGTGGGCCATGTTCCCGTTTTCGTGCATAGACCAGACCTTGGTCGAGAATCTACATCTGAAGCCCAGGATTTGGTCCAGAGAGGTGCATTGAACGACCAAATCTTGGTCCAAATCTCGGACCTGACATTACACATTGGTAGATTTGTACATCGGTGAACGAGAACAGCCCTTTCTGGCTTTCAATTTATATAGCATTAGAACTTTGAGAGTGAATTGGGGTTCCCGATTATAATGACAGCATTCCGGGTCACTATTTCAAAGAAGTTTCACGTCCAGCAGCTGCAAAAAAACCAATCTAGGGCAACTGATAATCCAAGTTTGACACGCATCTTTTTTCCAAGAATTTTTTCATAATCATTCGGTATTGCGATCTTACAATGCAATCCTATCAGCTGCCCGATGATACAAACCCTAATGAAACTGGGTCTGGCAAGCGATCGCTTCGAGTGAGTCAAAGTCAAATTCTCCATCATAGTCGATTGTCACTAGTATTTTGACTGACTCTTTTGGCGCAAATTTCAGGTAACTGAAAACTTTGACTTGGATGCGAATCGTGAAGAAGACCTCCAGGGTGGACCTCTCTTGCTAAGCATTGGCCGTAGATTTGAGGGTCAGGAAACCGACTGTCCGGATCCGCAGGATGATCCTACTCGGCCACTAAGCGGTTCGGCCCGTGCTGGTGCCTCGGCGGATCTTGAACTTCCACTGCCCGAAATGCACCATGCAGACTATGCAGAAACCACCGCAATTTCAGAATCGTCTCGTGGAAAATCCTTCTCCGTCCCTACCGACGACGCCTTATCTGCTGGTCAGCAGAACCATGGCTTGCTAGATGTCTCCCTACTTTCAGGCATGGGGGACTTCTCGGGTCGGCATCCAAACAAACACACAATCGGCAATTTAGACATAATCATCTCGGAGTTGCCTACCGTCAACCCAAACTCCAGAAGCGATGCACTAGCCGTTTTGCCTTGGCATTTTGAGTTCTCGTGGAGTGCCGGGCAATTGTTGTACGGCAGTGATCCTTTGACTTCTCGAGCTTTTGATGCTTTGCCTCGGAATCGATCCACACGCACAGGCAATGCTACTGTTGCTGGTCATTTGACGCATGGCTCTGATAGCAATTTCAGCGACAATGAGCAGAGCGCACATATATCTACCAGATGCAGTAATGCAGGTGAGCCAGGTACTCTCGACCATCCTGCGGACTCCAGGTGGTGCGCAATCGACAAAGCTCTGCGCCAAGGTGTCATTGACGAAGCATGGCACGAATTCCGTAAACGAGTCATCGAAATTGTCGATGACCATTTCTGGAGAACGCATGCGCCACGAAGGTCAAATAAAGAGGCTGGGAAATCCGTGCAAAGCAATAGCAACAGCGCTACCAAGCGCTCAAATGACAATCGAGTCACGAAACCCCGCGGATCAAGAACAAGTCAACGACAGAAAGGCAACATTGATGAGGGTGAAGATGGAAATTCCGAGGATGATCAACAACGCGATCCTGCATTGCCTGAGTCCAAATCCGATCATGATAAGCGGCGCGTCTGCTGTCCCTTCTTCAAGAATGATCCAGTTCGTTTCGACAGGTGCAAATTGAGAAAATTTCGACGGATTTCGGACCTCAAGGATCATCTCAAAGACAGACATTCACAGGAGCATTGTCCAGGCTGCTTTCAATCACTACCCAACGACGCACAACGTTGGCATAATTGTCTGAGTGGGGTTTCCCGCCCTAGTAAAGTTTTATTCCTGAACCACGAAGCCCTGGCTCATGTCAAAATGAGGGCCACCAGGGAGTCGGGACCTCGCGATGAACGTATTGCCAAACAGTGGTTGCATCTCTACAAGATCATTTTCCCTGATGCTACAGCTCCATTTCCAGACCCATTTGTGGTGTCGCCTGAGGTTGTTGCTGCGAGAAGAATAGCGAAACAGCTATTGAGATTCTTTCAGCAAAACCGGGCACTGCTGTGGTCGTCCTTTGCTGAATTTCTTCCCCACGAAACGTTCGCCACTCTGGCAGAGCAAAAACGGCAGACAGATCTAGCCGTTGAAAAATGGTCCGTTCTAACTTCCGACGCCTTGGTCGAACAGTGGGGTTATGGAGACTTTGAACTCGACATATTGCCAACGCGCGATTTATCTGAAGCCAAGGATGGCGAGCCGACTACACGCAATACTCTCCCGAGGCTTGAAAGCAATCAGCAACGCATAGGCGCAGATTTCCTTGCCGCTCTCCGATCTCCAAGTCCTATCCCAAGCACTCTACATACGCTCGGGCTTGGGCCCGATGATGGGAATACAAATGCCGTCAACCAGAATATGACCTTTCCCATCAACACATTCCCAGATGATGTAGGTTGGGATGATACACTCCTCCTTCATGACGACTTCTATAGATTTGAGATCGATGATGATGCAACAAAGAGAGTGGATCAACACGGTGATTCTTCTCCAGGAAAGCACACTGGGTTGCTTCCCTCAAGCTCAAACACCATCTCAAATGGAGCCATTGTACCTTGGTATCCTGGAGTGGGCCATAGCATGGAAGATGGCACTTTGAGTTTATCTCTTCTGTTTGGCCAAGTTTCTGAGCGAGACGACTTCAATCAAGGCTTCCATGATCAGGACTATTACCAAGGGTGAGGGGAGAGTATAGGAAATTCGCCCATGAATCCGGAAACTTTCCAGAAGCAGTTTAATTCGGTGCAAAAAAAAAAAAGTGATATTAGTTGAACCTCGCTAATACACTCACTACCCATGACTCTTACTCCTGCGAACTCAGTACCTGAATATCCAATCGTGCATGTAACTAGAAACGTAATGTAGAAAATCAAGGCTTGGAAAACCTCCAAGCCAGTTCCCTGACCGAATACATCGACCAGACTTCCAATCCACCATAGTCGCTCCGAGTAGGTGCGTTCTCCACGTGACCATTCGTCCAGCGTCTTTTTGTCTTCCCAGACAGGGCCCAGGCAAAGGAAGTGATAGGGGGAAATGATAACCGAAATAATGCGGAATCCAAGAGTCGGCGATCCACGGAATTATGCGATTTTCTGATAGCAGTGCACCGAACAAAGGGAGGTCCTGGATATGAGCCTTAATTATGGCATCCAGGAACGGGAAAGGAATTAGCCCCTCCTGACAGCGTGTCATCTGAGCGTGATCCACAGGGTATGTTGCTGAAAATGGGACAGGTTCCTGCTATCAGGCAAGGGAGACATTCACGACTTCCACCAAGACTATCACGGTTGATACTAGTACTTCTACCAAGACTATTACGGTTGATACTACTGTAATCACTTCGGGCACAGTAACGGATGTCGTCACCAGTACAGTCAGGACCACATCCACTTCCACCGCCACACTAACTGAGACCGTTACCGTGTCGACAATCACGGCGATGACCAGCACCGAAGTGATCAGTTCAACCACGTCGACTACGACGACAAGTACAACGACAACCACCTCTGCCACTGTAAGTGGTTTCCAATAACTCTAACATGACCTGGTCTGCACGCTTAGAGTTTTCATTTGGAAGCGCCGGCATTTTCTCACAGCCACACGACTGAAAGAATGCAAAGAGAGAAGCTGACACGCCGCTATAAACAGGGCCCCGTGGTTACAGACTGTATAGGTCTGGCACCTTCGTATCAAGCACCGAATGGAGTGGTCTTCAATATTGCTTGCGATGCCAGCTACGATGCAGGCAACAACGTTTTTGCGACTATCCCAACGGAGAATTTTCTGATTTGTCTTAACACGTGCTCCACTACACCCGGATGCGCCGCTATCGATTATCATGAGTCAACTACCAACTGCTCCCTGTTGACTTTTCTGCAAGGCCAACAAAACAATGCTCCTGGAATCGATCGGGCGGTGGTAATTCAGTAGTAATGGGTGGAAACGATCATGCACATGAGGGGTCCAAAAGTTGGTTCATTCGTGAGGGCGGACTCGGGTGTGATTTCTTGGTATAGCAAGGCCTAAATTGCATTTCCAATGCAGTCAACCGTGAGGATCTTGTGGAAACATTGAGCGCTTGAATGTATGATAATATCCTCTACGTCCCTTAAACACCGCTGTGTACAAAGTATGTCGTACGTACCATTGAATTTCAGCACCCCATTCACGTGTCCCACTTATAAGGTCCCCAATTACCTGGTTGCGTGCCTATGTAGGTTAATTGAAAGCCTTCAATGTTGGTTGTTAGTGATGGCCAACATTGGTCCACAAGTCGAAATCTTGGGGAGTTGACCTAAGTAAGCCAGGTAACAACAAGTCGGTATGCCATAGCTCGTAGACAAAAAGAGAGTGACAGAGATAACTTACAGCGCAAGGGGGTAGGCTAGTGATGATTTGGATTTGGGAAGATTCGAAATGCACTTTAAGAAGTCTGTAGTGGGATGAGCACCTTGAATCCATTCAGGTATTTCATGATGGGAAGGCTACGAAAAAGCTCATGTACTCTTATGCTGTGGTCTCTATACGTGAGGCTGACTGCCTCCGAACACAGATGACTAGCACGGCCGAGGATTCAAGGCTGGTTCCTTGAGAGATGACGAAAGTCATACCATTGCGATGCCACGGCAATACCCTGTGAAATTATACAGACTCAATTCAGACCCAGACGCATTCCAAACTGCAGACGGTGCCCATGCATCCCCGGATACTGATCCAGGGCTGACTGAAATGTTGCTATGCGTCGAGGCAAGGCCGAAGAAGAGTGAGTTTGGAAAACCTGCATACCATATCTTAGGATTGCACCCTGTTCCGCCTGTGTCCCATCTTATGCTTGAGTAACCACCCTGTGGTGTTTTCGTGGTCTCCAAAGTTGCAATGACTATGAAGAACAAGACATAAGCGAGCATCACGAAGGTGTACAGTCTGTACCCCCGATTTGAGATGCATGGTATGATTGTTGGTCTTTCTTGACGACTTGAGTAATAGGCGAGAAGTGGGACCGATATTGTCAGAAATGCGAGATAGAGAAACGCCATCAGAAACATTGTCAAGCTCATGGTTGAGCCAAGAGGGACATTTTGCCAGGATATTGGGAGAGCATATATAACACAAACTGCCCAATACACCACGAGTATCAATACATAGGCAATCCGAAACGCCACAGATGGCCAATATGATGTTGAATTATAACGGTTCGTTCTCGTCACCGGTATGGCGAAAGGCTTATGATTCGTTCCCTGTGCCGTGCGCATGGTGCTAGGAGAATTTCCTGGTATTGGAGTTGGTGGGAGCGGCTTGAAATGAAGATCAGATCTAGCAGCATAGACGTAATCATCTGTGAGCCATGTAGAGGCGCAGAGTCGGAGCAGTCCGAAAAGTGCCAGTGGAAGAAAGATATTGTCAACGCCAACGAGCGATATGAAGCTGTCGGTATCTTTGGGGCTGACCAAGTGATACACAATCCAGTAAAGCGCAGAGATGCCCTGTGCTGTGGTGAAGACAGTCTTCAGCATAGCGCTTGACATGATATCAACTCGGGAATGTTCTGGTAGGCGTAAGCAACAGATTTCCGCGATTGATACCATTTCCTCGGAACCATCCCAGCCGTGAGATGTCCAAAATATTGCATTGGTTGCAGCCATGTCGGATTTGTCCCATGATATGGCTCGAATGCGCCGGTCGGTGATGGCAGCATAGCGCCACAGGATGGACGTGGGATTATAGTGACAGATTTTCTCGTACCATTGTGGTTTGTCGTTTACGAGGCAAGACACACTAGATGAGCCTGATGCAACGTGCGTAATAAGTGGCGCAAGGCATAGTGTTAAGAGAGACATTATTTCTGTGAGCGAAAGACACTCACTATTGAGCGAAAATGGCAATACATAATACCGGGCGACCATTTTTTGGCAGCAGTGATATTTGCAGGTAATTGGCACATAAAACAAGAGAGGAACGAAGGTGAGAACTCAGCAACTTCAATAATGGCTACAGGTGGTCAAGTCATTCATGTATGAACAGTGGCTGTGTCAAACACAGCCTTGTGTTACGGAACCATTTTTGGCCCTCTGCATTCACAAAAGACGATTTGTTGCCCAGAACTGGAAGCGACACATTAAATAATTACCTAGGTCCTGATTCATACATGCCACAGCAATTTGGTCTGGCAAATCTCGAATCTTTAACCTTTATAGGGCGTGGGGGTGGGGACGCTCGTCCAGTAGTTGGATTTGGGGGCGATTGATGACTTTGCAAGGTTCTCGGCGGTACACACGTTTGAATTACTCTTGAAATCAAAATGCGCTAAACGTAGGTAGCGTTTTCGAATTTATGTTAGTGGTCTTTACAATCCCCGAGCAACTAAGAAGTTTTCTTCAAGTAATGTGCTCATGCCGGTGTTTATTTAGCTAACCTAGTAGAATTATATGCTACCCTCTGGGCTTCTGCTGCAGATTGCGAAAGTACAACGGTATCTAGGAGAGGTCCTTACTACTTGGGTACTTTCCTACGAATTACCAAGCGGTTGGGTATTCAGCAGCCTAAGAACCCTACCGTGCTAAGTATGAAGTAGTTTATAAGGTCATACATACATGGTTAACAATTATGGAGAAACAGTCCTCCAACATTGGCGGATACTATAGCAGAACGGCTACAATCTGTCAAGTTCTTTGTATACTAGGATGACCTGTGTAGCTTATTACCTACTAGTTAGGTATGGACCCTTTGTCTTTGGATGATGGTCCCACTTCATTGTTCACAGTTCTTTATTTCCTTTATTTTCTTTTTCAACGATTTTTCACCATCAATCATCAACTTACACCACCAACGAAAGCTCCGTGTCGAACTTTCCTAAAATCTTAAACACTTTGTATCACGACCCTCAGTCACTTCATCCATCAAAATCCAGTAGCTGTCGAATTCGGTCAATCCCATCTAGAATCTCTGCACGCAACTGTACTGCGTAGGATATAGCCGCAATAGACACCTCGCCCTAACCTATCATCTTCATCAACATGGTCCAAACTCGAGCTCAGAAAGCACGTCAGCAGTCGCATAATACGCCAGTAGAACAAGGTTCGTATATCAAGAGGAGACATTTCTTGTACTAATAATGAACAGAACAAAAACCAGGGAAACAATCGGGACAAGGAACAGCAAAGCAACCAGGACAAGGAAGCGCGGCGGACAGTAGAGACTTAAATGCAGTATCGTCTGGTGCAACATCAACGAGCCGAAATGTGCGAGATCAGAAGAGAGCGCTTGAAGAAGCACAGGATCCTGTGCAAACGAATCAATCACGCATAACAACACTGAGTTCTGACTACACAGTTGACATAGTCGAAAACAGTGACCCAATCGCGCTCTGGATAAACGAAGGACACTGGTCCGGCAACAAAAACGTTGAATCCGAGATGGAAGGTCTCACAGAAAGTGAATACAGCGAAATCTCGACCGGCTGGAAACGGGCAGACTCTGGGACGCCTGTGACGCGGAGTTCAGCAAAATCGCAGGCACAGAGCGTGCCGTATGCATCTCCACGCTATGAGCAGCGACTTCTAGAGAAGAATTGTTTCTTGACTGAGTCAGAAATAGGAGTTTCCGAAGAGAGTAAAGTCTTGTACAAAAGTTTGCTTGAACTGAAGCAGACGTTTCCAGAGAATTCGCTGTTCCACGATGAGATGTTTGCCACGACTTTGGATGATTTACGAGGCCGAAATGAGGCTCGGGTCATCCGAAACATCGGACAGCTTATCGTTCCTTCGGCAGCCATTCTTGCCAGGAAGGGTGACAAGCACCTGCATATTCTGGAGGAGAGCTTCGATGATGGCTGGAATCGTTCAATTCCGCTTACAGGAGCCCGTCCACAGCCGGACTACTCCGTTGGATTCAAAATAGACGCCTTCACTAAACTTCAGCTTGCAAGACTGTCCCCTTTTGTACGCGACATACCTTGGGGCAGTACCGAGCGGTCCTTTTTCATGGCCACAAACAGGATGTTTTTCCCGTTCCTAGCCTGCGAAGTGAAATGTGGAGAGCCGGGGCTCAACACCGCAGATCGACAGAACGCGCACAGTATGGCGCTGGCGGTGCGAGGCATTCTCGCGCTTTTTCGCCTCGTGAAGCGCGAGAATGAACTCAATCGTGAGATTCTCGCGTTTTCCATCTCATATGACGACGCGTGGGTACGGATCTATGGCCACTACGCGGTGATCGACGAGGCCGGAGGCATCAAATACTACCACCATCTAATCGCTCCCATTGCCCTTAAGGCACAGGACGGCCAAGATAGGTGGAAAGCCTACCAATTTACAAAGAACATTTATGATGTCTGGGTGCCGACACACTTGCAACGGATCCGCTCGATCATTGATCAGCTCCCGGATGAGTGCGACACGGAGAATTCAAAACTGTCCGACTCGACCAGTCCTCCGCAGAACCTGCCGACTCTAACCGAACAAGAAGAAGAAGAAGAAGAAAAGGCCACCGCAGCGCCTCCCACGGATAAAGAGAATGATTCAAATCACAGCAGTAAGGGTGACGTTCCAGCTCCTTGCAAAAAGCGAAAGAGCTCGGCAACCCAATCTTGATATTGCAACGGCTGGGCCGTGGACGCCCAATCTGGGCACGCTCCCAACGCTCTTTCGAGAATTTACTGCTTTTTGATACAAACTACCGTGCTCTAGATATATGTTAATAATTACTATGTAGGTATTCAAATTCTAGCCTGTACGTGTCTGAATGTAGATAATATTTATTTCTTGTTCTGTTGCAAAGCGGATAGTGGCTGGGAGTGTAGTGGTTAGTGGTAGACAAGGCAAGGGTAAAATGTATTAGCGTGGTCTCTTGGCATGGTCAGCAAAGCCGCAACCAGTAGCCGCTGGCCCCCAATCCCTGGCATCATGTGCCCTTGGGGCACGTATTCCCAAACCTGGTCATTGTTGTTTCTTCTCAATTTTCTTGGAAGTGCCATCGATCTAATGTCACTTTGCCTTCCAACCCCCAAATCCTTACTCTTTCATTGAACCACGCATGTCATCCTTTCCTATACACTTTTACCTCTCCGATCGAATGAGCCTGGGCATCCTTGAGTGATATTGTCCGCTATCTTTCTGCAACGTCTCAGAACAACGCAGTCCCATACTGCAGCCTAAAATGGCGGTCCTTTTGGCGATCCTTGGGGTCGTAATACTGCTGGTGACCGGCGTAGTCCTGCAGTCTAGTCTCTCATTGCTTCGCAATTACCTAAAAGCTCGCAAGATTGGTGTTCCAGTCCGGATTATTCTATTCGACCATGTCAATCCGTTGTGGTTGGTGGTTGATCGTCGAGTTATCTCACTGATCAAACAACTTCCATTTGGACTCGGAAACAACAGCTTCACTCGTTACAATTTCCGAGGCTGGGAAGTACCTGACAGATACTACTCGCATCACGAGATGGGCGATGCATACATTCTTGTTTCTTCGCTCAACACGTGGCTTTATGTCGCTGACCCTGACGCCGTGATTGATATTTGGCGTTGCGGGAAGGAGTTTCCCCGCGATGTATCTGTTACAGGTGCGTCCTCGCCGTTAATCGACATGAAGCTCATAATTAAGGTTCGAAACTATTCAGCAATACTCGATGTATTCGGTCCAAACATATCTACTGTGAGCTTCAGATATCTAGTGGCTAGAATGTTTTTATAAACTCACACTGTGATATGCAGGCCCAAGGAGCGCAGTGGTTGAAACATCGCCGAATCACAGCCTCCTCATTCAATGACCAAACCAACCACGTTGCCTGGACTGAGAGCATCACAGTGGCTCAAGATGTGCTCCGCTACTGGACCTCAAAGTCATCCGTGCGCACAACTGCCGATGACCTCCGAACTCTGTCCCTCCACGTCATGTCCCGAGCTGGTTTCGGCAAGTCTTTCAAGTTTCAAGGCCACGATGAAGAGGATAGAAGCATCTCCGACGATCTTGAAATCAACTACAAAGACTCTCTGAAAATGATCCTGGAGAATTGTGTCTTGATTTTTGCACTAGGCAGAAACTTTCTCGCAAAGCCTTGGCTCCCACGAAAGCTGCGACAAGTTCATGCGGCATGTGTCTCATTTCAACGGCATTTAACTCAAGTCTACGAGGATGAAAAGAAATCTCTCGCGGAAGGGGGTTCCAAAGATCGAAACTTTATGAACTCGTTGGTTCGTGCATCTCAGGATGAAGCTACCGCATCCACGCTCGGCGGTCTGACGGAAAGTGAGATATATGGCAATATGTTCACGTTCAATTTCGCTGGTCACGACACCACTGCTCACACATTCACTTTTGCCCTGTGCTTCCTGGCAGCAAACCCTGCCACCCAGGATTGGATTTCGGAAGAGATCCACCATGTCATGGGTGACCGTGAGCCAGATGAGTGGCTGTACTCGGACTATCCTCGCCTGAAGCGCTGTCTTGCTGTCATTTATGAGACGCTCCGACTTTACACGCCCGTTCCGACGTCCAAGGTAGTGGATACACAGACACCACAGACTTTCACCGTAGGAGAAAAGACTCTGGTTCTGCCGCCAAAGACAATGATTGTCCCAAGTTATGCATCTTTGCAGACAGACCCAAAATACTGGGGCAGCGATTCTCTGCAATGGCGGCCGTCTCGTTTTATAAGATCCGCTAACGCGGCTTCACTTACGGACACAATCGATACAGAAGAATTCATCACTCCAGCGCGCGGCATATTCCTTGCATGGTCAGGAGGCCCTCGCGACTGTGTGGGCAGAAAGTTCTCACAAGTTGAATCCGTCGCGACTATAGCATCGCTCTTTCGAGATTGGCGCGTTGACCCAGTCCTCAGAACCGGAGAGACAGCCGACGCCGCTCGTCAGAGGGTGCTGCATCAGATCGAATTCGACTCGGCCCCTGTATTGCTGTTGCAGATGTTACATCCAGAGAAATGTCCCTTGGTCTGGAGGAGAAAATAAATGGCAGGCAATCACTTGCCGCTATCTCGAAGGCATGCAGGCATAATGTCATGTTTAGCTCGTACATCATTTGAGGGCAGAGAATATGTGCCGTGCAAGATCGATGTCATTGAGGCGTATCCATATTCTTGGTAGTGGCCCGGAGATGCCAAGAAAGGAACCAGCGGACTGCTAGATCTCCTGAAAGGGACCCCGCGAGATCCAACCAGTTAGACCAGCCTCATCCCGTACAGTAGACACTGGGTACATATGCAATGTGGATCGAAGATACCTCAACAACTTCGTAGTGATCCAGCTGCCAAACCGAAAGCCATAGTCTGAGTAACCTCCCGCAACTGCGATAGCGTTCCTGAAACTGTTTGAAGAATACATATTCGACAGTTTTATCCAAGATCTCCAATTGGGTCGGAACAAGTATCGCCTCGAAGCTTAGACACCTAGTAGGGCCCAAGCAACGCGAGAAGACGAATGCCTTGCTTCAGCTTCGTCTCGACCAAGGGCACTGGATGATCAGCGGTACTGCGGTGAGCAGATCCCGAACGCCTTCGCTTACAGAGGCAGCCGGCCAGGCCGATTCTTCCGGTTCGGGAACAGAACTGTGTAATGGTAGTCTTGCTCGGGAACCACCAGTACTACGTTATCCTAAGATACCAAAGGCTGCAGTCTCGTGAGCTATCTAATGGCAAGTGTATCAAGCTCGAAATGCCCTTTTTCACACTCGTGGCGCTTACTCGGCCGAGCTGTGTGATACGCATGCACATCCCGACAGCTTAATCTTCCTGTCCCTCCTTGCCCTCAGACTCCTGATATTCAATCACTTCACATTGTCTGAGTTATCGCGCGCGGGGTCATCGGTACTGGTGGGACTTGAGCATTTACAAAGCCCTGATAGACTTGGAACATAAGATAACACGAGGAGGAACTTCGAATTAGTGCGGCTGATGAAGGTCGAGTTGAGGATCACGACTCCGGACAGGTTTTGCCTGATTATGTAGGTATGCAGTATAACGTACAATCCAGCCTAACACTTGAAAAGCCCTGACGAAAGTCAGCAGCACTGAGTGGGCGAGCCTGCGAACCAGCTACTATTACTCTTTCAACTAGTTCTCCACGATCTCTAAATTTTCACCCTGTTCCCGTAGTGAGATGGTGAACGAAAACCAAACGAAAACCAAACCAAAACAACCCCACCTAAGACGTACAGACGTGAGGCTGCAGCCATTGTATGGTTTTTGACCAAATAGCAAATTGTATCGTGAAGTATATGGGAACTGTATCAATTGAAGAAAACGATGGATCCATTATCCGTATGCTGAACGCAACGAAAAACAAAGGCTTATATGCCCCATTTGGACTATTGAGCCATTCCAAGCTAAGCCGTTATAGGGACTTCTCCAGCGCCCCCACATCAGTAGAAACCGAGCCACTTCAAAATTCCGTCCAAGTAAAGCTAAATCAAGCGGCGTCCTTCCGCCCCGATCGAGGGTAGTTAGGCTTGCACCATTTTCAAGAAGTAATTTAGCCACTTCGGGGTTGTCGCAGTTTGAAGCAGAATGAAGCGGAGTTCGTCCGTGAAAGTCAGCAATACTTAAATCAGCACCTACCCTGAGAAGTCGTTCAACTAATTCAGGGCGCCCACCACCCGCAGCAAGATTGAGCAGCGTCCGTCCAAGATCGTTTCTAACATTTGGGTTAGCACCCATTTCCACAAGGAGTGCAACAAGTTCGAAATGATTGTTAGCAACAACAAGTTCGAGTGCTGTTCGTTTGTAACCGTCTAGAAATCTCAGGCTTGCACCCTTTTCTATAAGGGACCTGGCTATCTCGATGTGTCCGTTGGCACAAGCAGAATAAAGTGGTGTCCGTCCGAGATACCCCGAGGCATCTACTTTAGCGCCCTTCTCCAGAAGAAGTTGGACCACCTTGATATGTCTGTTGGTGGTAGCAGCATAAAGTGGTATTCGTCCGTCCTTGTTGCTTTGTGTAGCATTTGGGTCGGCACCTTTATCGAGAAGTAATCTGACTGCTTCCAAATATCCGGCAGCAGAAGCTGAATAAAGTAGTGCCTGTCTATCCTTATTGTTTACCGCATGCAGATCAGCGCCCATTTCGAGAAGCAGTTCAACTTTGTCGAAATACCCGTTATTTAAAGCCGACTGAAGTAGTGTCTGTTTTTTACTACTGCTTATAGCATTTAGGTCGGCGCCCATTTCGAGAAGCAGTCTGGCGACGTCGAGTTGCCCTTTTCCCAAAGCTGACTGAAGTAGTGTCTGGTCTTTACTGCTACCTAAAGCATTTAGGTCGGCGCCTATTT